AACCCCAACCCCAACCCCAACCCCAACCCCAGCAATTTATAAAATAAATTTAAAAGTAAGCCTATTTTTTTAAGATTATAAAGATTTTTCAATCACTAGTTTAAGTTATCATAAAAAATTATAAAATTGTTGATTTTATTTTTTTTTAAATAAATCAATAATAAAAAAGAAAAAGAAAGAAAGAATAAAGTAGTGCAAAGGGTAAATCAGCAGAATAATTAAATAAATTCTCATTATCTAATTATCCAGAATTTATATTGAATATAATTTAAGAAAATTACGTGTTCATGTTCACTTACTTAAGCTATTTACTATTAAAAAATATTTAATGAAAAATTTAAAAAATTTAATTAGATAATATTTTTTCACTCAAAGTAAATAATTTGTAAGAATTTCAATTGTGAATATAATTAAATATAATTGTTAATTCATACAATTCTTAGAATATTTAGCATATTGCATTAGAGATAGCTACTCAATATTAGCTTATTTTTAATTTTAAGTAGCAAGTTTTGATCAAAAGTTGTATATTATTGATATAATTCTTATAATAACCTTTCCTTATCTAATATAAAATAATATTTTCAAATGATAAAAACTAAAAAATTAAATATGTAAATTGTTAAAAAAGAGTATTTAAAAATTTATTTTTTAAGATAAATAAAATAGATTTTCTAAATTTTTTTAACTACAATTGTATTTTATGGTTGAAAAATTTTTTAAACAAATGTTTATCTTAAAATAAAAAAAGAAATAAATATTGAGTCTGATTAAATAATAACTAATTTAAATTATTAGCAAATTTTAATCAAAAATTATACATTGTTGATGAAATTCCTATTTTAAATTTCTTAATTTTATTTAAAATAATATTTTCAAAAGATAAAAAAAGAATAAGATGTAAACAATAATAAAGGAATTTTAGCAAATTAAATAAGAATATCAATTTTAAAAGATAAAGAAAATAGATTATCATAATATTTTTTTTACTATAATTCTGATGTTTGAGAAAATTATTTTTAAAAATATTTATCTTAAAAGCAAAAAATTTAAAGAGTAATTAATTAACTAACTCTGATATTTTAAAAGTTAAATTAAAATAAACTGTAAATGAGTAAATAATTCTAAAATTAATAATTCTTAATGAAAGTTTAGGAAATTTGATATTTTTAGTTTATATAATACAAAAATATATTAAGTTTTTCTTTGATTTTCATACATCTATTTCTTTGACAATAGTTTCCTCACCATCATCAAAATCGTCATACATTTAATTTTTTATTTCTTTGATATTTTCTTCTTCATCCATTTTAGTCATATTTTTTTCCTCTTAGTTTTCATCTTCATCAAAACCAATAATATATCTTATTTCTTTCATCTTAGCTTGAATTTCTTGTTCTTTCTCTAACTCACTTAAGTTATTTTTTTAAATATAAAGAGTATTTTAAATTAAGCTTCTTTTCTTTTTTTAACACTAAAGAATCCTTTCCTCAATTGAAGACTCCATTATGAAATTAATGACTTGAACTCTCTTAGTTTATCCTATTCTATGACACCTTTCAATTGCTTATTCCTTATTTAATTTTAATAAAATTATAATTACTAATAATATTATTTGCAGATAAAAATACTTCTATAGCTGGATTATACCAAGGATCACATATGAATACGTGATTGGCAGCAACTAGGTTTAGACCAAATGCACCAGCTTTCAAAGATATCAAAATTGCTGTAAATTCAGACTATTCACTGAATGTTTTGATTGCAGTAGCTCTATCCTTTTTATTCATAGTCCCATCAAGACGCTTTTTTTTTTATCAAAAAAATTTAAGTTAAAAGAAACTAAATTAAAAATAATTTAATTTAATTTACTGTATATCTCACATCTCTATCATTTAGAACTTTTTGTAAGTAAGTCAAAAAGCTTAAAAATTATGAATAAATTATAACTTTTTCTTTCATTTATTAAACCTTTTTTACTTCTTTCACAATAATCTAAAGCTTACTACTATTATCAGGAGATAAAACTTTCAAAATTTTCAGCTTTTCTTTTTTATCTTTGACTTATTGAATAACTTGTTGTTTTATCTTAGCTTCTAACTCCTTAGATTCTTCTTTTATTTGTTAACTATTTATAAAAAAAGTATTTTTTTACTTGAGTTAGATAAGATAAATATATTAAATAAAATATTTATCTAATTAATTACAAGTTAATTTTGTTTATTTGATTCTCCTCAAATGGCACTCTACACATGGGACAATTAGGTACTATGTTTTAATTTTATTGTACTCTGAACATTTCTTATATACAATTCATATGAAAGAAATGGCCACATTAAAGTAAAGCTACTTCTTATTCATAAGGCTCTGTACAAAAACACTCTGTTAAATCTTTTTTTATGAGACTTTATTGAACTTATGCTTTAAATTAAATATTCTGCTATCTTTATTAGATATAGTTATTTTACTATTGCTGTTACCTTTATTAGTTATTGGCATTGAACTAATAGATATCATTATCATTCATTATATTATCAACAATTTTGCTAATAAAGATATTATATGCTTACATTTCTGTAATTGAGGTTGATTCATTTTTTGCTATTTACTATTCTAAAGTATCTATTTACTATTTTATCTTAATCATAGGTATTTTATTTAGCATAAGCATAGAATGGTCACACATTTATCTTAGTTTTGTCATTATTGAAAATATATGAAGATAGTTTGATGAAAATTAATTTTTATCAATAAGAATATTTTTTAAAACTTTTTAAGACTGACGCTGAAGCGTATCATATATTTATCTTTCTGCTTTTTTAAAAGGGATAAGCAGTATTTTTTATGTTTTTTTAGGAATTTTGATTATACTACTTCCATCATTATACTTTGATTTTTTAGTACGACGCAGAAGTATAGGTCTTAAGATATTTTATAGTAACTTAAATACTTCTTCTTTATTTTCACAATTATTTATATGTTTATTCCACCAATAGTAGTCTTAAAATGTGTCATATTTCAAAAAATATATCAGACTATATAAATCATCAAAACAGTTATGAATGGGTGTACCTGTCATACACCATCTATTTTCTGCTTGTAAATTGTAAGCACCTTTTGAGCAGTTATTTCCTTTGCCTTTTATTGTATGAGCCTTTATTTTAAAATTTTATATGAGTTTAAATTTTTATTAAATCCACAAATATATTCAGAGTTTAATTAAATAATTTTTAAAATTAAAATTTTTTATTTAATAAAATTTAAAAATTTCAAAATTAATTTCAGAAAAATTTTCAAAACTTGTTAAAAATTTGAATCATTAAAATTTTTATTTTGAAAAGATATTTTTACTGTATTTAAAATAAACATTTTTTATATTTTAATTTAAATTTAGAATAAAATTACTTCATCAAGTATAATTCTGTGCCAATAATAATTAAATAGGTTTGTTTTTTGAGGAGCTCCTGCAATAAAGTAATTTTTATACTCCATTCCTAGAATATTATATGTTGTAAAAACTATATCATATAGATGGAGAATGGGACTTGATCTACTTTTAGAATCGTAGTATTCAAAATAAAACAGAGAAGATTTTTTAAAGTGGCGATTAACTTCGTTACACCATTAAGTTAAAACTGATAAGGGAAGAATAATTAAAGTTCCAGCTCGAATCAAACCTTATTTTTTTTTTTACTCAAAAGCTTCAACCATATCTTAAGCTTCTTTTTGATTTTTGTTTTTTTTGACTTTCTTTTTAACTTGATCATTTATGCCTATTATTAGAGGATTACTTTTGTGATCTATTTTAGGTAGATTAGACGCAATCAGACTTAATGCCATAACTGTTTTACCTAAACCCATTTCATCTGCTAAGATACCTCCATTTTACAAATTAGCCTCACTTTTTTAAAAACGGTGTGAAAATGACTAAGAATATTCATTAAAGTACATGAGAGACCCATCAAGAAATAAGAGTTCACACCAAAATTCATTTAATTATCTTGGCCTTTCTTAAATTTCAGGCCTAGCTGCTTCTTCAAAAGTGAGTGCTTTTTCTTTGTAAAGCATCCAAGTCAAAGCTTGCTATTAATATTCAAAAAGAGATGTCTAGAATAAACTAGGTGGATTTTGCAAGTTAAAATAATCTGTTATCTACTAATCATTAACTCCTAAAAGACTTCCAATATCACTATTTAGTGTTGTACTTGAAGTAGAAGAGCTAACTCTGTTTATGCCATCAGGAATTTCTTACCATAAATTTTCTTAATTATTATCATAGTTTGGATCTAAATTTCTTAAAAATTCCTCGCCTTCAAATACATCAAAATTATTTTCACAATTTTCTTAATCTATCTAGTTATCCTTTTCATCATCTTCATCATCCTCATTATCATTTTCTTCTTCAATGTTATCATTCTCTTCGCTACTAATATTACTGCTGCTATTTTATATTTCTTATTCTTCAGTAGGCATCATTTTATTTTCCTTATTTACTTAATCGCTTTGTTTACCATTTTTAAACTTTGCTTTTTTAGGGTCTTTGCATTTATTTGTAGCTCCGTTTTATATGTCAACTTTTTATTTTTAATTTTGTGCATTCTAATCATTCTTATTTTTAATGATTTCGCTTTCATTAATCTTAAATTCTTCTTCTATTTAATTTATTTATTAAATTTCTAAGTCTCTCTCTTTCATATCTTTTAGGAAATTATCTTACCCAGCCTTTTCAGCTTAATTAAGCATGGTTATAATTTTTTGTTATTCATTCTGTTATTAATTTTAGTTTTAAGCTTATTGAGCCTAATCTGAATAATAACCTAATAATCCTGGTTTTATAACTAGTTTGGAAGGAATGAATGAGAAAAGAGGTCCCTTTATTTAAATAAATAAAATATTCAAAAATATTTTTTTTTTATTTTGTGAGGATTTACTTATGACTGTCTCTATTGCATACGATATTAAATGCCACCTAATAAATCTAAACTTCTTTCTATTGGTGTAAGTATGGCTGGAATAGTTTCTTTCACATATAAAAATGCTTTCATAACTTTAATTGATTCGCTTGCATATTTTCTCATCACTAATTTTTTTTAATCTTCCATACTCATCTCTTTTAAAGTTTCTTTATTGAAAACATTCTTATCTTCTTCTTTGTGCTCAGCATACAAAGAACATATTTTTTCAGTAACAAAAACCTGAATATAACATCAATTAAAAATAAAATTAAATAAAATAGTAAATTGATTTTTTACATCAAATCTGATTTGTAAACAATTTTTAGATTCTATTTTATGGACAAATAATCTAAAATTAGCAAACTGAATTGTATTAAGTATATTCCATATAAAAAAGAATCTATGATCAATCTTTCCTAGCTATATTAATTGAAATAATAATTATTAATTTAAAACATTTTGTAATTCTTTAAATTATTTCAATAAAAATATTTTAAAATGTTTACATATTCTTTTCTTTTAGTATAAATTAAGATGTAAAGACTCTCAATATTAACGTTAAAAATATATTTTTTCTTAGCATATTATACTTCTTTTGTGTCTAACTCGAAAGCTCCAAAGTTAATGCAAAGTTCTTAATTGGCTTATAAATTTGAAGGTAAGTCAGACACTTCTACAGGAATCAAAAGAGATCCTATGTATTTTGGCCAAATAAGCTAATTTTACGATATGTCATTGAATAAATCTTGTTGTTTTGGAAATAGCTCCCTCATTAAATTACAGTAAGATTAAATAATATCCTAGTTAGCTTTTTAGTATTTGCTCACTATCAAATTTGGAATTTATTTTAATACAATATTCTAAGTATCCATAAATTCCTCATTTATTATAGATTCTATTTGGTTGTCCTAAAACAAAGTCTGTATTTTATCCTTGTTAAGTGCAAAAAAATTCATTATTTCTTATCTACTTTTCAATTCCTTTTCTTTGATAATCTTCTCAACAACAGCCTAATCGATATTGTATGTTTTGCTAATCTATTTAAAAAATTGAATAAAATAAAAGTTGGATATTTTATTTTTCATAGATGAGCGTTACAGTCAATGGTAGAAATCTATCCATTTTTTTCAGAATGATAAACTAGATATTTATTAAAAACAAACTAAAAGTTTTAATCAAAAATTTTGATTTATTGTATAAAAGCTTTTAATTAATATTATGTTAAAATATGACAATGATTTATCAAGATTTAACTCTTAAAAAAGCATATTCTAATTATTAATAATGATAATAATTTCGCTGATTAAATTCAAATCTTTAAAAATATCAATTTATCTATCTATATTAATTTTCATTAAAATTTATATTTAGTGCAAAAAAGCGGTAAGTTGAATAAATCTCTCTATGTTCTTTAACTCTCTAAATTCAAACGATAGATATTATTTCACAAGACTCAAAGATAATTTTATCAAAGATATTCTAAAATCTTAAATCAAAACAATAACAACAATGATAAACAATAAAACTATTTTTATTGATAAAAACAATTAATTGCAAAAAAATACTTTGAATTAAAATGATTGATAGAATAGATTTATTATTTAATTAATCCATGAAGCAGTAATTTCACTTATTAAAATAAACTTACTAAAAAATGTAAAAATTATATTTATTGTACTATTGAATATTATAAATAATTAAAAATTGTAATTATATTAACTTATTTGTTATTTTTAAAAGATATTTCAATTTTTTTGTGATTATTAAAAGAATTAATAAATCATATTAAATTAGATTGGTATATAGAATATGAGTTATTACTTTAATCTCTTTGACCTATGTTATTATACCCTTGCTATCCATTCTAAGAATGTTGTCTTTTCATGTATACAATTAAGACAAAGTAGCAAGCATAAAATATTATACAAATTACCAATAGACCTAGTAAAATTAAAGGAACCATGCAATATACCAAGGCAAAAGTGTGCAATTTTCCACAAGACTTTCCAATATTAATCCAAAGCAAAATAAGACAAACAACATTATATAAGTGAGATAAAATTTCTAAGCAACATAAAGTGAGTGATATGAATTTAGGTAATCCAAAAACAAATTTAAATAAGCTTAAAAGAGTTATTCCTACTATCACAAAGCAAGAATACATAGTCAATTAAATAGAATTTAAAAATTATATGTCATCACAAAAATGATCTTATTTATATGAATAAAAAAGTACTCCAAACACACCTTGATATATCAACAAAGGAAATCTTTAGAAAACCTCTTTCCTCAATTCTCTATCATTTAGTCCATTGTTCATAATAAATTGTATCTTACTATTTCGCTAATCTATACTCTTTAATACTTTTACTTCAATATTTTGTATACTTATCTATTAAAAATTTATTGCATTAAAAATTTAATATTAAAATACCCTCAATCTATGTTTTATAAAAATGAGATAATATTTAAAAGTAATTTATAAAAAGCGGGAGGAGTAAATAAATAATAACATAAAAAAGTTTTTTAATCTCAAATAAATGACTATATTTATATTTTTTTACAGAATAAGAAATATGAAGACAGACAGATACACAACTATTGAGTTAAAATATTATTTTTTATGTATATTTTTTATATAAATTATATTTTAATTGCTTATGGATGCTTCAAAGTAAAAACGAAGTAATCCAAAGTTTCACATCAAAAACGAATTTAGTTAGCTACGAAATATTTAGTATTTTTTTAATTATAAAATTTATCACTCTTCAAAGTAAAATACAGGAAACTAACCTAAAAGTACACCAGAAGAGTTATTTTTTAGATCTTTTGAGACAATAGAGTCATAATATTTAAAGTCTGAAGTTTGATAGCATCCATTATAGCCAAAGTAACTAATGCAATCTCTATTTGGTTTCATAGTAATTGTATATTTTTGTTTAGTTTCCAGTTTGAGAGGTTTTTGAAGATTTAATTCAATTATGTGATCATAATTGGCATGTAAATCTCTACTTATCTGGATAGTTTCTTCATGTAAAACTTTTCCTGATGTATTTCCACCTTAGAAGAGCTTGATATCTAAATTTAAATTGCCATTATTTTCTCTATCATTAGTGCAATCTTTAGGCAAAGAAATGACTTCATACATACCAAATCCTTTTAACCAAATCTAAAAATTGATAAATAAATTAATAATTATTTCATGTAAAAAGCTAATTTTAGCTTAATTTAAAAAGTAAATGAATAATTATACATCTTATTCTTTGTTTATTTCAAAGGTCAGTGCCTCAGTTTCGCTTAGAACCCACCCTTATTAGCTCTTTCCAAATCTGCTTTGACTTATTTTAGATATAGGTCTTCTTCTTGTAGCAATAAGAATGTTATTCTCTAACTTTTTAAGATCTTCTAGTGATTTTTCCATCCAGAATTTACACTCTCTCTCAAGAAGCTCGGCAGATTTAGTAATTCTTTCAGCCTCTTTCTATTTTTATTCAACGCCTAATCAAACAAAATATGAATTAAAAAATAATTATACTTATAATAAATTAAGATTTTTGCTTTGAATATTTGATTTACAAAAATTGATTAGAAAATCAACGAAATTGTTAATAATCAAAAGCAAATTACTCTATAACTTTTAAATTCTCAAAAGAAAAAAACTTTTACCTAAACATTATACTTCCCCTTGAATAGGAGAAATTTATAAAAGTGGGAAGAGCTTCTTTAATTCTTGCTGAATTGTATCTGCGTTGCAGTTAGGATGATTTAATTTTTCTAAAGATTATTCAAGAAGATTACCAACAAATAATTCACTTTCTTATCTAAGCTCTAACATTTTTTTTTCAATAGCTTACTCAAGTGACTTGATAGAATCTTAAATGGCTGTAATGTATCTCCTAAACTGGGAGAACAAAAAATAATGTTGTTTAAGAATATCGCATCCAATAAAACCAAGCTCCTCTTTAGTATTGGGATTATTTACCTTATTTAAAGCCTATAATACTTTTTTAAGAGGAACACAGTCATTAACATGCTAGCTATGCTTTTCTATTAAACAAAAACTGCAAAGCAAACCCTTGAATTCGCATTCTTCGCTTAAACAGACCAGATTCATGGGGTTTTAATGGTGCTCTTTCTTTTAACAAAATTGAACTTGCATTTCAGTTTTTTTCTCGGTTTCTTATTTTAGTTATGCAATAGAAGACTTAGGAGTAATCTATGGAGATTTAATATACTAAATAGAAGACTTTTTAGAACTCACTTTTTATTAATTTATTAATATATTTTTTACTTCCTTTCTATTGGCTATTTTTTAATTTTACTGCAGTTAATAATCTTTATTAAAAAAGTTTTTAGATTCAAATTGATTTACGAGGATTTTTTTAAGATAGACTTACTATTAAATATTTCCTTCTAAAAATATTTCACTATAGTTAAGCTTCATTTATTTTTATCAGCTATGTGTGTGCTGCAAAGTAACTTCAAAGTTATTATTTTTCAAATCAGGATTTATTTTTTGTATTATATTTTATATTTGCTTTATTTATTTTTAACTTTTAAATATCATTTAAAATTGTTGTAATAATATATATATGTATTATTATTCTATAATACCATATATTCCAATAGCCAATTTCATTTTAAATTAACCGATTTTATCAAATATAAAAAATTAATCCAAAATATCTTTAAAACTCTTAGAAATAAAATACATATGCTTTTATTTTCAAAAATCTATTTTTAGATTTAGATTTATTTAATTCACGTAAAAAGCATAATTTATATTAAAACTCCATAGACATTAAGAGTATTTAGATATTTTTATCTTCAATTTATAAAAATACATTTAAAAAATTTACTATTATATTACATCATGTTATTTTTAATTGAAATTGTTCTTTTTGAAAGATTTTTTGCCAGAAATATAATTATTGAGAAATAGAGATAAAAGAGAAAATTAAATAATCAATTCATTCATTCATACATACATACCTTCAAATTAATTTATTATTTTGATTTAGATTTAAAGTAAATTTTATTATTATTAATAAAAACTGATGAATTAATTCTGTTTTCTATATTTTTTTATCTATTTCCTTAAAAATGGCTATTAGATATATATTGATATTTTATCTATTATAATTATCATAAAGAAAAAATAGAAAATTATGATGTTATAAATTAATTTTATGAAAATTAATACTTAAAATATCTTCTTTCTTTAACTATTTTTTTACTAATCTCATTTTCTTTATGATCTAGTGAAACATAATTACTGGAAATATAAATTTTATTAACTTAAAAATAGTAATTAAAATTTTATAATGGCATCTTTTAATTTTTCTTTCTAGAATAGATATTTTTAAACTATTACTATTTTATTTTAATTAATTATATCCTTAAAAAATTTATATTTACGTTAGATATTAGCAAAAAAATGAGATAGATTTATAAATATTTAGTTTTGATTAACTTTAATTATTTACAAAAAAATATTTCCAAAATGCAAGTTAGAGTTTATAATTAGAAAAATAAAGATTATTGATATAGATTTATACATTATCGTTTATCAATAAATATAAAATTATTTATGTTTATTTTTAACTTTTAGATAATATGAATTTCTAAAATTAAGAAATATTAAGTAATTAAAAGCTTTTATGACTGTAAAATTGTAATTTTATTTGGTACAATTTTTAAGAAATGACAAAATGGTAGGTAACTTAAAATGCTCTTTATTAAATCTAAAATCAATTATTTATTTGTTAATTTGGATTTTATTTTAGTTTTTAATTTCATTATTTATTTTAATTATTATTTTTATATTTTTATATTTATGAATTTGTTTTTTTATTTTTTTTATTTATCTATTTAATTTTTTTATTTATTTTTATATTTTATTTAATTTTATTTATTTATTTTTATATTTTATTTATTTAAAATTCTTTGAGTCTGTCTATCTATATTTTAAAAAATACTAATTATATATTTTTATAAGGAAAGAGAATTTCGAGTGATTAGTGGGAGAGGTTTTTAAATTGGTTTTATTTTGATAATTCCAATGCTCTTTTTATTATAGAATTGCTTTAGTGTAAATGTCAATCTTGGGTATGTTAAAAACTTGAGGATTCTGTAAATTAACTATTTCTAAATAGATTTTTATTCAAGATGTACGTAATGCCTATTAGAAATTAAGAATTCCTTTATTTGCGTTTTCCCCCTTTTCAGGGTTTAGGATTCTTATTAATTTATTTACGGATTATTTTTAAAAACTTAAATGACATTTCAATAATGCAATTCTATCTATCTCTTTTTTTTTGAGCATATTCTTTTCAATTATTATTTTTTTATTTAATTAATTATATAAAATTTTTTAATTGTATTTTCTCTCAATAAAGGAAAATGCTTTTGAACAAAGAGGTAAAATTAGATATTCAAAAAGTATCATAAAATTAAAAAGTAAAACTCTCTCTGACAAGTCATTTCCCACGGCTTTTGATTTGAAATTTTATTTTTAAAAAAATTAATCAATAAAAACAAAAAATAAGTGAAGTTAGTTAGATAAGTCAAAATCTTGAAATATTTAAAAATTTTTTTCTAAATAATTTGATTTTATAATAAATATTTTTAAGAAGGTAAATAAGATTTTTTCTCAACTACTTTATGAGTATTTTATTAATTAATAAAATTAATAATGTTTAAATAGTTTAATTTTAATGACTATTTTTTTAATTTTAATAAAAATAAATAGTAGTGAAGAAAATATTTTATGTTTTTTTTTAGACATTTACCCAATTTATTTTATAAAATATTTGTTTAAAATTATGATTTTCTCTTTCTTTCTTTAATAAAAAAATATAAAATTTTTTAAAGTTTAAAAATTTAAAAAGCTGTATATTATTACTTAAAGTCACTCATTTTATACGATTAAAATATGAATTACTCAATTTATATAAAAATAAATTTTATCTTTCATTTTATAACTTTATAATTTATTAAGCTTTCATTTTTATAAGATTATTTAAATAAATAAAATATTAATTATTTATTTTTAAGTATAAAAACTGTTTTTATTAATAATTATTTTTATTGTAAAAAAGGTTTGTAAAATATTAATAAATCTAATACAAAAATTTATAAAGATAAGCTTATTTATTAAGAAAAATTAATAATTAATATTTTAACAGCTTTAATTTATTTTGGGTATGATTTTTTCAAAATTCATTTTGAATTCAAGAAAATTTTCATATATCTTTGTTATATTCTCTTAAACAAAAAAATTTTAACTGATTTTGTTAATTAGGAAATTAAATTTTCCATATAATTAAAATAAATAAATTAAAAATAATAAAGATTATTTAGGTCTAAAGGATCACGATTGCAGCAGGCCATTTTAAGTGAAAGAGAGAGAAATTTATTATCCGAATCGTAATGAACAGTTTTTTATTGACTTCCTACTCTCAATGGATCAAAAAAATGTGCGCATGTGAAAAACCTTCATCTAATATTCTTTGAATAAATACAATTAATATCAGAATAGAATAAATTCGAATGTAATATTTTAGAGATTGGGTGATTATTTTCTAGTTTTTAAAGCCACAAATCCAAAGAAAATTTTCACACCTGCTAATATAAAACGCTAGGAGATTTCTTTATTATGTTAATTGTATCTCAAAGAAAATGCAGAAAAAGACCAAAATCAATCAAAAATACTAAAAAACAAAGTTCTTTTCTCCAAATATAAATAGGCACAATAGATATCAATCAGAATAAATAAAGTTTCTTTTCCTTAGGATTTTTTATAAAAATAATTTTAGATATGAATTTAAGCTAGTAATATTTTTAAGGCAATTTAGTTAATCATTAATTAGAATTTAATATTTAATAAATATAGAAAGTAAAATAAAATAAAATAATAAAAAAAAGATAAAATTGAAAAACACTAAAAAATTAAAAATGAAAATAAAGAAAAAGATTTTTAAAAATGAATTAAATTAAGTAAATAAATAATTATTAAAATAAAAAAGTATATTGATAACCTTATAAACTAATAAAATTAAAAAGTGATTAAAATAAAATATATTTAACAAATATTTATCATAGATCTAAATACAAAATTTACATTCTTATTTTTATGAATCTAAATTTCTTGCTTTTTAATAAATTAATTAGCTTCTGGATGATTAAATATATATCTTTATCATTAAGATATTATTATATAAAGGGAGACATCTTATTAATAATTATAAAATTAATTTAAAATTATTGCATATTAAAAAGAACAAAACATAATTAAAAGTATTATTTTAATATTGCTTTTAACAAATATAATTTATTTATTTAAAATAGTAAATTACTATTGCTAAATCTTAAGAAAAATGTGTGTTAATTAGATTTACAATAAATCTAAAAATATTTTTTTAAAAAAGGATAAATTGTATTCAACATTATAATTATAAGAATTTTTATTTTGGTTAATTAAAGAATTTAAATAAGAAAAATATTTTATTTTAGATTAAGTTTATAATATTATTAAATTTATTTATAAATTTAAGGTTTTGTTAATAAGCAAATAACAAAATAAAAATTCATTTAATTAATTTTAACGTTTACAAAATTCAAATTTTTTTGATTATGAAAAAAAATTATTAATAACTGAAAATAAATAGGAATTGTAAAAAATTTCAATCATTTTTATCGGAAACAAAGCCAGATGTCCTTGTGAGTGTCATAATACTTTAAAGAATATGTTTAGACCTGTTATTGTTAAGGTGTTAATTTTATTCTTAATTAGTAGGATTTGCAGATTTTAGATTTCTATTATTATTTTCAGACATATAAGAATAGTTTTCTTGATTTTGTTCTTTGTTTCTTTTTTATTGTTAAGAATTAGAAGTTTAAATTCTTCTAGAAGGTTTTTTTATTGATAGATTCTAGTCATATTATTAATCTAAGTTTATAATTTAAGCTCTTTAATTGCTTTGATTTTTATCTTCTTAAGAATGGCGCAATTCATAGTGGTCTTCTTCTGAAGATAAAATCAAGTTACTTGATTTTTCTTAATTTTTATTTTAATTATGTTAGGCGTATTAAACAAGGTGATTCTAAAATTAAGAATTATTTTTCCCTTTTTCTTAGTCAGTTGAGTAATTATCATTATCACTTGAAGAAGATTAAGCCATCTTGATTTTTTTATTCTTATCAAACTGATAGCCATTTAAATGCATTTCAATTAGTTTGTGTTGATTTAAACTGTTATTTAAAATACTATTATTCAAACTCTAATCTTATCCTTTAAATTCTAAAAATGATTTTTATTAATTCGAATTATTAAAATTAGCTCTAGAAGATTAAAACCTGTTGCTTTAATCAAAAGCATCGATTCTGTTAGTGTTCCAATATTTAATTTTTTCATCCTCATCTTTATGTATTCCAGCTAAATAATTATCTCTCTAAATTTGACTATTGCTCCTATTAAATTTAAAAGACATAATTAAAATACATTTTAACAAAAGTATTTAAAAATATTTATTAGTTGCATTCTGTGTTTCTACAAAATTAATAAAAACTTTTGAAGATAATAATTTATTGTAAATGATCCATCATATCTTAAGATCATTTTTGAAAATCTTTGAAAAATTTTAATTAAAGGTCATTTAAAAAAAAATTGAACACTTTTTTTTCATTACCAAAAAATTAAAAAAAATCTTTTCATTCAATAAATGAATTAATAAAATTTTATTAAGTCCATCTAAATTTCATTTATACTATGGAGTAATTTTTTTTACTTTCTTTACTTAAGGCTTTTTTTTTTACAAAAAACTTTGGGGCAGGACAGTCTTAATATATGAGGAATTAAGGTATTTTATTAGTAATTATTATATATTTAATTTAAAATTATATTTTAGAATAATATTGAAAAATTATATTTTTAATTTAGAAATAATTTAAAATATTTTAATTAATTTTACATAAAATCTTGATTTTATGAGAAATCTTCAGGTGTAATTTTTTAAACAGAATTAGGATTTACTTTGCGGCTTTTCTTGGTGTAAGAGATGAAAAATTTAAGGAATTGAAACATTGAAAAGACAATAAATAAAAATAAAATAAAGAAAATTAAGGCTATTATTGCATAAACATATCTCACTTCTATATCAGTAGAATATGATTTAGAGTTTCTATCAGAAGAGCTTATCATTAAAACGAAAACTAGGCTGATAATCAGAGAAATTGTTTCAATTGTAATAGCTAGGATTTTATAAAGAATTCTCTTGAATGGCCTAATAACAACAATGTAAAGCCAATAAAAGAAAGAGAGAACTATTAGTAAGCTTATTTACAATTTAGGATTTTTTACAATTACAGCACAAAAAAGTGCTTGTATTATCTTTTTGAAACAATAAATTACTGGAAAAATTCTTTTCTTTGTTTCTTTTACTTCTAATATATCATAGAATATTATAAGCTTCATTTTATTTTCTTTAAATGATTCGTTATTTTCTTCTTAAGATCTTTACCTCACAAAATTCTTTGAAATGTATCCAATTAAAAAGAGATAATACCCTAAAACAAAGAAGATTACAATGTTCGATAGAATTCCAATTGAGCTAATGTCATTATTAAAGTTAAAAAAGCCATAAAAGACAATAACAAATGCTTCACCAATAGTTATCAATGAGAATGCTATTGGTATTGATATGTACATGTATTAAGATAGCTTTTCTTTAAAAGCTAATTTCTTAGATTTCTTTTTTATCAAGTTAGATTCTTATTTAGTAGAAGCTGATTTAAATGAATTATTTTCTTCAACTTATTACTAGTTTTTATTTATAGAAGTAGTGCTATTCTTTAAGTTTTGTTTGGAAGAATGTTTATGGGAGATGTATCCAATAATCCAAAGTGTCAAACATAATATTAAAAATACAAACATATTTATCATAAAGTAAGGTGTTTTTCCATCCAATGCAATTTTATTGTTTTCTGTTTGTTTATCGAATTGATTCATTGAATTAGGAGCATATAAATCAAGCATTCTCAAAAGCCTATTTTGCTAAATGAAAGAGCTTTTCACTTAAAAAAAAATAATCATTTAAATTTAATTAATTTTTATGGTCAATTATTTACAAATTGAAGGAGCCCAGGAGTTAGGAGTAGGAAATAATGTAAAAATATTAGAATATTCTAAATTAGATGCTAGCTAATCAAAACCTAAACCGTTCTTACGGTCTAAGTATCTGAAGGAGCTTGAGTTTTGACAACTATCTAAAAATAGAAAGATGAATAGAGGATTAGAAGTTATGATTGATGTCATGACACTAAAAATAGTTCCAACAACGAACAAGCCAATCGAAGCAGACTGTATCTAATCCTATGCGCTATTATTTACTATTTTTAAAAATTATTTATTTCTATTAAGAAATTGAATATCAGATAATATTTTTACCTTCACATTAGCTTACAAGAACGTCAGTTGTAGAAGATGGACAAACGCATTCACCTACATTTTTAGCAAAAGGAGTCTAAATTACTCTATTTGCTGCACATGTTAGACAATTAGCATACCCTGATCCATAACAAGTCGAGCAAGTATAATGACACTAGTCTCCATTTTAGATACACTGGTTAGGCTGGCATTACAAGCAATTATTTTTTGTTACAGGGTCTTAGTAGAATCCATTATTGCAAGTATCTTAGCAATTATTACCCTGGAGAACTTTTCCATTCGGACAAGAAGTGCATTGACTTGGAGAACCTAATATGCATGTTTTACAACTTTAGTTGCATTAAATAATGCATTTATAAATTTTTTATCCAGGATTATTGGGATCTGGAGTTGTTTACAATTCATAACCTTTTTAGCAAGTAGCGCAATTCTATTATGAAGTGCAAGTAGAACAATTTTAAATTTAACAAGGTAGGCATTACTTTTAATTAATGTTCAAATAATATCCATCATCGCATTAAGATACACATTTCGAACCTTATTTTTATATTTATATTTTTTATTAAAATATGTATTGTTATTTATATTACCTTGTATGTATAAATTAGGAGGACACTATATACACTATGAAGTAGTAGGACCACATAATTAGCAGGAAGGATCACATGGTAAACATGTAGTAGGATTAGGCTAATAGTAACCTGGTGAGCAGTTTTTGACACAAGTATTACCTTAGTTAAGATAGGGACTTTAGCATTAAGTACATTTATTTGGTGCAGTACAAATTACACAGTTTGTATCTTCACAAGCCTTGCATATATTACTTGGGGGTCCAACAGGATAAGTACCTATGAAGTTTTTAATAAGTAAATAAAATTTAAATATTTAAAGTATATTACCATTTGGGCAGTTTTATACACATTTTTATCCATTATAAAGATAGTAATTATTTTAGCAAGAAGTGCAATTATCAGATGATACTATACAAGTACTGCATCCTTTATCACATGGTTTACAAAATCCACTTACTGTATCACCATAAGAGCCTGGAGTGCATTGTTAGCAATAGTTATTGTTTTAGGGGTCTTTAAATTTTGAAGGATCTGCACAGTGAATACAATTCCCTTTTCCTGATCCTGTGCATTAATTACAAGTAGAGTCACAAGGTGTACATTTATTTGTAGAAGGGTCTCCATATTCTTAGGTCTAACAAGGACCACAAGTAAGATTTGGATTTGTCAAGTAATTTCCTTAAGTAGCGCAGGAGGTGCATTAATTATTGCCAGGGCCTTTACATGTAGCACAAGTAGGATCACAATTTTAACAGCTATTTCCATTTTAAACATATTAGTTACTTAAGCAAGACCCACATGATTAATCAGGTTTTAAAAATTAGCCTGGAGGGCAAGTCACACATCCTTAAGGAGATCCATTTTTACAAGTTAAGCATGTGATATCGCAAGGTTAACAAAATCCAGTTAAAGTATTTCCAAAATAGTTAGAGGGACAAGGTCCACAGATATTTTAATTTAATGGATTTTTAAAATACAATGGATTAGCACAATTTTTACAATCACTTGCTGTTCCTGCTGTGCAACCATTGCAAGAAGCATCGCATGGTTTACATAAGTTTGAAACTGGGTCACCGTATTATTAAGCTGTGCATGGACCACACTTTCCAGGTGGGGTATTTTAAGACAGATAATATCCAGGAGTGTTGCACTTTGTGCATTAAGAAGGGTCACTCCCCCCAACGCATGTGGCACATGAAGGATCACAATTTTAGCAAGTATTATTGTTATCAATATACTAATTTGAGCCACATAGACCACATAATCCTGTATTTAGCTTAGCCATTGGATTTTTACAAATAATGCAATTTGTTGGACCTGAATCATGACAAGTTTAACAAGAAGAGTCACATTACTCACAATAACCTGTTGTAGTACTACCATAATAATACTATTAACATGGGCCACACTTTTATATAAAAATTGTAATAATTATTTTAGAATAAACTATTTAAAATTTACTAATTATGTTGCATGATCTTTAAAATATGCAGGATTATTACAAGCAATACAATTAGTTGGACCTGCTGCAGAGCAAGTCAAGCAGGATGCATCGCAAGGTTTACATTTTTAATCAACAGGGTCAGCGTACTATGAAGAAGTGCAATTACCACAAACTAAAGAAGGTTATGTTAGGTATTATCCTGGAGTACTGCATTTAGTGCAGCCTGTGTTTCCTGCTTTAGAACAAGTTAGGCAAGAAGGATCGCAGTTCTGACAAGACCCATTTTAATCTACGTATTAATTAGAATTGCATGCACCACATGTTCCATCTAGTCTAAGATAATTAGGCAAGCTGCATGCAGTACAATTATTATTATTTTATCCATTGCACTTATAGCAAGAAGGATGACATTAAACACAGGTCGAACCATTGTAATAATATCCAATAGTACAAGGAGGGCATGTATTGTCAGGTAAAACAGCTCCATTAGAACAGGAAGTACAATTTTTTGATGAACCAGAGCAAGTTAAACAATTTGGATCACACTATTTGCAGATACCACTACTACTAAACCATCCAGGATCACATTAACCACAAGTTCCATCTGGTTTTAAAGAACCAGTTTAGCATGAAGTACAGGTAGTTGAGCTGGTAACGCATGTTGCACAAGGACTAGTGCAAGGCTAACATGATCCACTGACAGTATCTCCATATGTACCTGGTGGGCAAGTTCCACATCTATTTTAATTAGTTGGATCTTTAAATTATCCTGCATTTGCGCATTTTACACAAGAAGTGTCTGAATTACCAGCAGTACACTGATTACATGATATATCACAAGGGTCACATTTCATAGTCTGTGAATTTTAGTAATAACTGCTTGTAGGTGTGCATGAAACAACACAAGTAGTATCAGGCATTTAATATTATCCTGTTGGGCAATTCTAACAATTAGTCGCTGTACCTGAACACTTTTTACAAGCTTTTTTAAATAAATCATTATCACTTTTTTTTAATGAATAAATAAGCTTATTTACATATTGCACATATTAAGCAAACCGTTTATCCATTTTATGTTCCCAAATAATATCCGTCAGGGCAAGAATTAACGCATGTATTACCAAGAAGATAGTATCCTGCTTTGCAAGCTGTGCAATATCCGTTTCCTTAATTAAAACATTATGTACAGGGATCAGTGCATAATAGACAAACCTAGTTATTAGTTAATAGAATTCAAATAAATATTTTATTTTCAGGTTAAATTACGTTATTTGGTGCTAAATAATATCCGTTAGCTATATCACATTTAGCACTTGGTATTTCATTTTAATCCACTATTGGACTTAATGAGTCACAACCATATCCTGAATAACCTGAATTGCAAGTACACATACCTCTAGAGCAATATCCATTTGTGCTACAATCTTTAGGGCATGCGTAGGTTAGCTAGCAAAATGAATAAAAGTTAGGACAAGTAATAGTTCCCTATACATTTGTTAGTGTAACTAGATTTTATACTTATCCTGATAGTGTTGGAGTGCATATTACATTCTAAGCTCCAACGATAGTTATAGTTAAAGTCAATTGAGCCATATCACAAACATATTCATGACATGAAAATGGAATTTAAGTACCTTTGGATGAAATAATAAATAAAAGATAAATAAAGTTGTAATAAAATTTTGAATAAAGTAGCTATTACTATAAACAGTATTTGTTATTGAAGATGTAAAGCATTTGCTTTTTTCATCATAAATTTATCCTCTTTGATATTGGATTGGCAAATTAATTCCATAAGTCTTATCAGTACAGCTTACATAAGGTACTTCTGCAAGGTTATTTTATATGTAGATATCCGATGTACCTTTTAGATAAAATAGTTAAAAAAATATTATAGCATAAAATTTAAACACATATTTTGTTAAGTATTTTTTGAAAATAATTGTAATATCAAACATAAAATATTTTTAATGTTTTGATTTTTTTCTATTTCAAAGATTGCCATTTTTTTAAATGTTTCATTTATTAAATTAAATTAGTAATTTAATTAATCAATTAAATACAGTTAGCTATTGCCATATATGTTTGGCTGCAATCGCTTATTGATGGAGAGCAAGTATTAATATCACCAGAATCTAAGAATGAATTGAAAGACTGTCCCCAATCATTAATATCTACTCTACCTGTGTTGATGTTTGTATACCACCCTGTCTATTATAATAGGAGGGCATTAGCATAAGAATAAAGTTTGTCAATATAAAAATTTAAGGCAGTGTTGGCAGTAGAAACGTCATTATAGAGGTAGCGCTTACTCCAGACAGTTACTCCATTTAGAACTTAGAATTATATACCAAGTTAATTAGCAAACCTATAGTTTTGATAATAGCTTCCAGCATACGTTAAAAATGGTTAAAGTGTGATATATGTTTTTGTACTTACTGTAAGTACTACTTCTGTATAAGCATAATAAACTCCAGGAGATTTTAAAAAATAAGAGAAAAGATCATTATCAAATCCTAATATACTTTAAATACTCTTCTAAGCAAGGCGATAATACATTAAGTGACGCTGATTTTGAGAATCGGTATTCATAGTAGGATGGTCTATTTTAGCGAAATTCATTTAAATAATTCCAAATTTAGGACGAGAATAACTAGCTATGGTGCAGAATTTACCATTCATTATTTCTGTTCCAGATACATTCTCATATGATTTAACAAATATGTGGAGATCAGTTGTTGTTGGAGTTACATATCCATTTGTAGCTTGAGGACTGCAATTATTAATCCCATTTTATATAGTAAATGTTAATGGAGATGTTTCAGAATTAACCTGCACTATTTCGCTAAAGAAATATGAAGCGTTTTATATTGCTTTTTTGATCAAATCATATTGCTATGTATTTGGAGCATCAGCTGGATTTATAAAAGCGCTCCAGTTAAAAGATATTTTAATTTAGCCAGTAGCGCATTGTACTAATGTAGATTACTCAAAGATAAGTAGTAACATAGTAGATATAAGCAATAATATCTTTCTCATAAGAAAAATGTATAATAAATATTTTACAAATGAAAGAAATCTATTTTTTATAATACTTATTATTTATTTATTATGTAGAAATCACAATATTTTGTTTGTTTTTTGCTTACTTTGTTAAGCTTTGATATTATTGATCACTAATTTGTTTTTAATTAATATTAAAGGCTAGCAGCTCACAGTATTTAGTATTATTTTATATAATCAAATTGTTTTTGGTAATCTTGAATGCTTTTTATTGTATAATATCTATCTGCCGCAAAAATTTATTTATCTTTGAATGATTAATATTAATAAATTATTGAATAAAATTAATAAATATCTTTACAATATCTATTATTCAAAATATTCTTTTTTTTTGGGCTCAAATCAAAAGATTTTCATTCATTCGACTTCTTTCTTAATTATTATTTCACATTAAAAATAAGCAAATGAATCTGAATTATTTATTTACATTGTGCTAAATATTCAGTCAATTAATTCTTAATTAATTATTTATTTCATGGTAATTATATACTTTTTTTTAACCTATTTTTTTCCACAATTTCACAATTTATTTTTAACCATAAAATTCATTTATTATAATTTCTTTTTAGCCTGAATTATATATTTAAAAATTTAAACTATTATAGCAAATTTATTATTAAATTTCAATTCAGTTCTAGTCAAATAAATTACACTGAATATAGCCTTACCTTTTTGATAATTATGTAGAATTTTAATTTATTTATGAAATATTACTCATAATTCTCAATTTATAAAAAATGTTTGATAAAGAGCAGGATATAGACTTTTAATTTACTAATTATCTAAGGAAATAGTAATATCCTTAATGTTAAAACTTAACTTATTATAATTAATTTCAAAAATAATATCATCATAATTTACCAGAAGAATTGTATCATGCTTAAACTTCAAAAGAAAAATTTAGTGATAATCTAAAATTTTATATTTTGTATCATTCAATTTTTCTGATCCAAAATTGATTTAAATCGTAAATTTAAAATCCTGATTCATATTTAGCTTATAGATATTCTTCTTAAAAATCTAAAATTAAATAATAAGGATTTAATTGAGAATAATTACGAAAGTAAATTTAAAGAAAACAGTATGTATTAGTTTGAAATGAATTTTTTTTTGTTTAAAAATATGAATTTTATAAAGATATTTATTTATTAATTTACAAATCTTAACTAAAATTTATTATCAAATTTATTCATTTTACTCTTTATGAGTTGAATTATTGCATAATATGTTTTGTTTTATTATATTAGAGGAAATTTTATTGTTTACAATATTTTATTTAACAGTATTATTTGAGTTATTATTCATTTAATTGCTATTTATTATGTTAGAATTATTAAAGTTTTTCTTTTTTTAAGGTGAAATACTTTCTTTTTTAGAAATATTTGAAGCATTAAATGAAGAATTATTTTTAAATTATTCGTCAGAAGTGGATTAATCGAGCTAATTATTTGAGAATTTAAATACTTTAGAGCTGTCTTCGCTATATAATCTTTTTTTACTTGAATTCTAGATAATGTTCTACTTTTATTTGAGATGTTAATAAATATTCGAACCATTCTGAGCTTTCGTTTCATTTTTATACATTTAATTAAACTGATAAGATCCTCCATTCTATTATGTATTTTGCTTCAATGCAGTTTATGTGCTTTAAAGGCTATTATTTAATGAGCTATTTTATAATACTCTTTGCTTTTAAGGTGTTCTATTTTTTGTTGATATTGGATCATTGAATGGATAAAATAAGCTTTTTAATTCAATGCTAGAATTATTATCTTATTTTTTATTTTATTGATTTTTATTTTGGTTAATCTTACTTTGCAAAGGCTCTTCATCAGTATCGTTGATTGTTAAATTAGTGTCAAGTTTTTATCTAGATATCCTAGAATTAAAAGACTCCACCATCATAGATTGGTTTGGATTATTTTTATTTTAAAGGATATTTCCAAATTTATTGGCAGATTCACTGATTTAGTGTTTTACAGAATACATAGTCTAATCACAATTTATTTCTAATTAATCTCTCTAATTAAGTTATTAGCTATTGTCTTGGTTGATCTGGTTTTAAATATTATTAGATTTAATAGTAAGATTCTGCCTGGATACGTTCATAGAAGGATTATAACTACCATTTGTAGAATTAATGTTTGTATTTGATTCACAGTAGTTATTATTAAATTTACTCATTTTTATTTATTTATCTAAATTGTTGCTACTAACTTTTTCACTTTCTTAAAGTCTATTTTCTTCTGAATCAGACCTCACTAAATAGTTTTCTTATTGTAATTTAAGCCATCCCCTCTTTGAATTATATTGTTCTTATGATCTGTATGAAGACCTAGAGCGTTTTTAATAATTATTTAAATTAACAGCTGTAGTAGTAGAAGACCCTACTTGTACAGTACTAAAATCTTCTCCATTCATATAAATATTATTTAGAATTTAATTTCTCTTTCTTTATCTCTTAGTTGTATGAGACCTCTTATTTTTTTTCTTATTCATCAGAGGTACTATTTAAGTCTCATCTCCTAATGTTTAATAGATTTAACCATTGCTTTCAAGAGTATTAACTTTTTAACTCAATATCTAGTTATTTTACTGTTACTCTTACTACTATTAATTTTTCTCGATATGATTCTAAATAGGGAATTTTTTGATAACCCTAAATTATTTTAGTGAGTTTTCATTGATTTAAGTTGCTTCATTTGATATATTTTCTTACAGTATTTTTTGTTCAATTCTATTTTTTATATTTCCCTATATTTATGGTCTTTCTTCTGTGTTAATTTTTTTTAATTCCGTTGACTTTTTTTAGTCTATGGTCTGTATTACTTTTTTTTATCCTTCAACTATTTACCTAACTAAATTAGCTTGAGTATCATTTTTTTGAGGGTTGTACTCCTTAATAATATTTTTTTATTAATCTTATACTTTTTACTCTTATTACTAAGCTATTATCTTTTAATTGTTAATATTATTTTTACCCAAAGAAGCTAATGAGGAATGTATAGAAGTATTAGGAGACATAGAAGACGATGAATTATTATACGCAGCCTCTAAAGTAATGAAATTTTATTTACCATCTCTAAATTTATTAGAATTTTAGTTATTTTATATTTATTATTTCTACTCATTATTAATCGCTTAAAATGTATTTGTAGAAAAAAGAGAGTGCTAGTAGTCATTTTTAGAAATATTTATTTCTGATTTAAGAGGTTCTCCATAATTTACATTAGGCATTTCTATGTTTTACTTGACAATATTTTATTATTAATTATTATGCTAATCTTCTTGTTTATTGTTAACTTGTTACTAGTTTAATTCTTTATTTTTTTTAGTTGCAAAAAGAGATACATTTGATGGTATTGATAGTTTTAAAAATGCAGCTAACTCTTTGCAATTATCAGAGAATTTAGGAGGTAAATGCTTTTTTTAATAATAGTTAAATCATTTTTCTAGAAAAAAGTAGCTCATTATAAAAAATGATGAATTAAAAATAAATAATTTACTTTTTATCTTTCAAAAAATGACATCTAAGTGAGCAATTTTTTAATGCAATCAGCAAAAGCATTTTCATTTACAGTTTCTTATCTATAAAATTTGAGGAGTCTTTTCTACAGGATTTTAAATAATTGCTCAACCATAATGTTATAAGTTTATTCAATTTAACGAGTAGCAAAGCCAGAATAAATAGACATATTTTAGCAAGATTGATTAAAATTATTCTTTTTTGGTAATAGATAATAAAAAATTGCAAAAATTAACTTACAGTAACTTTAATAATTAGAAATTAGTAGTTAAAATTTTTGATTGTTTTGTATTTGTTAAGTTACTTACTTGTTTCTATTAAAATTAAATCTAATTATATCAATATTTCTATTAAATTTTTTCTTTAATGGTTATCAAGTATAAATTTTTAACTTCTGCTTGTGATTAATTAAATGAAAATTTCATAATAACAAAAAAAATTAACAGTTTTGAGATATTTGAGATAAAAGTGTAATTATTTGGGCTGGATTTGTCTTTTTATTATATTTGTTTAAGTCATAGAAAAATTTACTTTTATTATCTATTAATAAATTCAATTAGTTTGTTTTATTCTTAAATTTACCTATTTTAAAAAAGATTTTTGTATAGTTTTAAACTTAGTTTTTTTACTTTAAAAATTTTCATTTTATAAAATAATTGCAAATAGCATTAAAAAATAATTATTAAAAATAAAAAATTTTTATTAAAGTAGAAAAATAAATAATAATAATAATAATAATAAAGAAAAAGAAGAATTTGAATGTTTGATAAAACAAATATTATAAAGCATTTTACACAATATTCAATAAAAAAAAAGTGAAGAAATATTTATTTTATCTAAAATCTTTTAATTAAAAAAAACATATTAGTGTATTTTATAAAATAACAATCATGATTTTCAGTAAAACATTAAATTTTTCATTTTAGCTAAGCCTCCTACTTCCTTTTTAAAAGTAGCCATTTGCAGTTTCTCTGCATTTCTCTTTTTCTTCATTAGCTTTAATACTTTTTAATCTGTTGGTTTTAGTTATTAACTTAGGCTAATTTATTTCTTTTTTTGTTAATTTTCACCATTTAATTTTATTAGTATTTGATTTAATTGAGCTCTAAAGGTGATGTTGAATTCCTTAACTCTTTCATATATATTCAGGAATTCTTAGTATTTTTTATACTTTCTAAACTTTTTATCTAGAGCAAGGTTGACTTATTCATTAAACAATTAAGAAAGCTCTTAGAAATAGTCCTATGTCTTCAAATAGGATTTTGTTATTAAACTGAATAATTCAGCTCCAACAAAGTGCTGATAATAATAAATTTTTTAGATATCTTTTTCTATCTATTTAATTAGCTCAAATGAGTTAGCTGCTTCCTCAATAGCAATCAAGCAATATTTAAATTGAGATACAAAATTCTTCCTTGAGATTTCATCTTAAATGTTGTAATAATCAGAAAGGTGTTTGAAATTTAGACTTGATCTATAGATGTAATCAAGCTGATCTTTATTATTCTTTAAAAATCTTTAGATTATCTTTATTTTTTAATTTTTGAGTTCAAAACTGCTTTCAAAATATTTTTTATCTTCTCTATACTTCTTTAAGTTTTAATCCTAATTTGACTTAAGTTTAAAATTAAAATTAAACAGTTTTAAATATGTTCAAAGCTTACTTTGTTGATGATGTTTATTTCTTCCCATTTAAAAAAGATTGTTTCAAATTCTTCTGTGAGAGAAAAATCATATGCAAAATCCTTGGCTTCTTCTACTGTTTAAATATCAAGTAATCCTTAATAGAATTCATTTTAACCTAAAATAATTATTAAAAAATTTAGTCTTTTTAATTTGTTTATGATAAATTTTACTTAAAAAATCATTGATTTCAGGAGACCAATCTAATAATTTCAATGCTGAAATCAAGTCATTCAGTGACTCAAACTCAATTTCATTGACATTAATGAGGAGAGTGAAAATCATTTTAAAGAGAAATAGTTATTCTTTCCTGTCTGCGAATTTCACAGATTTCAAAATATTTTAACAAATTTCATCAATGTCTTCAAAATTTTAATAGCTTTCTAAATTGAACTTTAGCACACCATCTTATTCGTGATCATATTAATAAAGGATACTTTGATTTAAAGATAATATCTTATAAAAAGTTATATCTTATTAAGGTATCAACAACTTTATCTATTTATTTTCTTCATAATTGATAATTAAGTTAGCTAGAATTTATTCGTATAATTGCTAATTTAACTCTTCAATAAGTAATTTCTTATATGAATTAAAAAGCATCTCATTATAATCTTCTGTAAGCCCATAAACTAATAACTGCTACTTTTCTTCTAACTTTTAAAATATTTCATCTTTATGAGAAATTATTAATATGTTGGTAATATTTTTCATTTATCCCTCCCCTTAAACTTCATCTTTTAGATAAAAATCATAATAATCTTAATCACTATAAATTCTCTTAGCATGTTCATTTTTAACTTAATGCTTATTGTCTTTTACTTAAATCAAACTTTAAAGAGAGCCCTCGTTAGCTGTTGAAATGCCTTATATGCTATCTAAAAGAGGCTATATTTTACGATTTATGAGCAAAAGTATTACATTTAGAGGAGCTTAAATAAATTCGAACTCAACGTCACAGTAGCTGATTAGATCTTATTCATCAACCTACTTATAGTTTTTCAGTAAAGAATAAACTAAAAGATTTGATTTATGGAGAATAACTTTGTTTTTCCCAAGTATTGATAAGACTCTATCAGATTCATTTGAAAGTAACCTTATTTAATATGCAGAAAGTATTGCTTAAGCTATCCTTAAAGATTTTTTATCAGATATGTTATTATAATTTTTTAAAAACTACTTTAACTTATTAAAGATATCTGTAAATTGAGATAGCATTTTAGCAGGCAAATTTTAGAAAAATTTTAATTAGGAATTGTACAATAAAACTAAATTTAATGAGGAAATAGTATCAAAAATTTATAATTCAGAGAAATCGCTGTTGTTTTCACCTAAAATTATTTTATTTCCATCTTCTAAAAGTTCTTATAATGTTTTCTGATCATTATGATTTTAATTTAACCTACCAAAGAATCTATACCAGATTGCCCTATGGTACTTAAAGCAATTTGGAATTTCAGCATTCTAGTAAAATTTTTGATTATTAAAACCTTTACTTATCATTTAATAATTAAAATCTTCCATTTATATTCTAGCTAGGAGATTGATATCAATAGATTCTATTTCTTAGCTAGAAAAGCTTTACAAATCATAAAAGCTAAATCTGTCTTTATCAAATAAATATTTTTTTTCAAGAAGAATATCATAAAAAGAAGTAAAATCACAAAAAGCAGATGCTACATCAAGAGCATCCTTTTTATCCATCAAATACAATATTCTTTTCCAATAACCTTAAAGTATTAACTATTTAAAACACTCCTGAGAAAATGAGGGCTCTTTTACTTAATCAAATACATTTACTACTTGATTGTTAAAATATTCTGGAGATATAGATTCTAAAATTGTATGAAGGCCAGCATTAGCTATTAAAGCTTATTCCTTGATTAATAAATTGAAAATTTGAATTATTAATTTATTAAATAATTATTTACCTTCTATTTCTTTTTTAAATAGCTAAGCTACGAAATCATTTAAGTCTATTATACTAAAGAATTGACCTATGATATAGGTGAATGTTTTACAGTAAGTAATGGAATAATTTTGCTTATTCTTTAAAATATTTTGTATCTGTTGCAAATTTGTAGCTCAATACTTGGTTAAAAGTATTTATTTAAAACATCCAAAACCTTTTCAATCAAGTTCTCATCTAATTTATTTAAATCAACTTACTCAATACCAGTGAGATGAGAAGCGAATCTATTGCTTTCGTTTAAAACAATTTCTTAGTCTATATTTCTCTTTATAAAATTACTAACTAACTCCATGACCTATGAGTCTATAAGCGAAGCTACTTCTAAAACACAAACTAAAGCTTAATCAGAAATATTTATTTCCTCTTTTGTTTAAATCAGTAAACCTTTTTATTGTTAATCCTTAAAATAATTTTAATTTAAAGTAATTGTAATTTTATCTGTATTTACCATATGAGATGAATCTAATATTGAAAATTCAGTGTTAGCAACTGACACAATAGATTATGAAATTTACTTTTTGAGCAATTAATCTAATGGATCAAACTCAGAAAAATTTTCAAAAGAAATGTCAGATAAATCAATATTTGATTCTTTTTCTATAACGCTGAAGCTATTCTCTAAGCTTTTTTTTAGTTTATTTTTATCATCAATAATAGAAATTGATTCACTTTGTTAGGAAATAGTTTCATCTTTATCAATCTTTTCTTAGTTGCTTTGTTCTTAATTCTTTTGTTGCTTTAACTTTTTCATTTAAGATGAAAGCTTTCCCTTTACTTTACTTAAATCATTTTGCTGTTTTTCCTCGATTTCTTCCTCCTCCTCTTCTTCTTTTAGACCTGGTTCTTGCTCATCCTTCTCAAATATTCTTTTATCTTTTAAATAATTCTTAAGTTTTTAAGAGGCTTACTATGATTTCTATTATTTTATTTATTCCATTTATTCATTTTAAATTGATTAATTATTCTCATCTAATATTTGATTTGAGTTATTTTAAAATGTCTCCTGTTCTTCATTATCCTTCTCTTCGATTATTTCTTCTTCATTATCTGAGAAATTGCTATTAAAAGATGAAATAGAATCATCACTTTCTCCTTCTTAAATTGTATCGTTTATAACCTTTATTTTTAGATTAGAGTATAAATAAATGTTTAAGCAAAATCTTTGAAATGTTTACCTGCTTTTAATTTTATTTCTCAGACTTTTCGATCAAGCTTCTTATATTCTAAAAAGCCAAAGTGACATACTTTTCTTTCAATTTTTCAATATCCTCTGGATTAAATTTATCTTAATTTCTTTAAATTAAGGATAAAATTTAAATCCATTAATTATCTTATTCTAAAGCAGTAATAGCTTTATCAAAATCTTGAGCTTCTTCATACAATAATGCAGCCTTTAGATGGTTTTTTTTAGAAAGGAAATAAGATTCTGCTGCTTCTCTAATTTAATTTATCTATTAATACAGCTCTCCTGCCTTTTCAAATTATTCTGCTGAAAAGAAGCATTAAGCTGCTTACTTCTTTCTATTAATAGATAAAAAGGTCTCCCCTACTTGTATAAAACTCTTTTTTTTCTCTTTAAGCTAGTTAAGCAATTAAGTTCTGAGATCTGTTTTAGCTTTACCTTTCAATGTCATATACTGTCCTATGCCTTATTTGAGTAAAGATAGCTCATTATCAATTTTCATAACTTCATTAGATATATTTGTAGCTTCAAAGTATGCTTAAGCCTTTTATATAATTATTTTTATAACATTTACATTAAAGAATTATCTAAAAAAAACGAATACTTTTTTTTCATGATTGAAATGACCAGATTTTTTAAAGCACTTAACAGCTTATTCAAAGTATTTATGTTTGAACATTTTTAATCCTTATTGATACCATTCTTCTTTAGTGTTTTTAACTAAAAGTTTCTATAATAATTTTATTGTTTAATCTTTTTCTGCCTTAATGAACTATTCTCTCTTTGTTAATTTAACTTCTGGAGATTCAATATTTTCAGAATCTTCCAAATCCTAAGAAGATATTATAGTAACAAGATTTTAAGCTTCCCAAAATGTTTGCATCTCTTTTCTTTTTAAATTAGATTAATCAAATATGATTAACCTTTATTTTGGACGAGTGATAGCAGTGTATAATTGTTTTAACTCTTAGCATAATAAGGAATTACCTACCCTATCAAAAGCTCTAAGCTATTCATTTTTAGTAATTACATTATGCAAAGTAACTTCATCTTTCTCCTTGTCATACTCTACTCCGTATGTTGTTTCAAATGTCAATTCATCCATATCTTCAACCTTCACTTAGTTTTCTACATTGTGTTCTTAATTATTTCAAAAATAATGCATTTAATTAACTTTATCTAAAATAAATCAATAAATACATGTAATCCTTTTCAAGAATAAGTCTCTAGATAAAACTTCTTAATTAATATCTAAAAGTTTGACACAATCCCATTACCCAATTGAGCTCTTGCTATCTGAAAAGAAGTCAAAAAGCACAACATCATCAAACTCTAGACCTTTAGCTTCTTTGATAGTTAAGCAAATGGCGTGTTCTAAAATTGGAGGTAACTTTATAAAATAATTATTTGACATAAATTATATTTAATACGATATAATTGTTTATTTACTTTCTATTTGCTTTCATCATCTTTAACAATAATCACTTAATTGCATCCAAAATCTAAAGGGACAAATCCTTAATCAGACTACTACCCTTAAAGCAGATTAAACAAAAATGATATATCTCCATTATCTAAGACAATTGGTTTAATACCTTTTAAGTTAGATCTTTCTTTCTTTAAAATATCAATTGAAGTAGGGAAGAGGCCTTCTAATAAGCTAATGACACTATTTGAAAGCTGCAAAATATTATTATGAGATCTAAAATTTGTCTTTTTATGTAAATAAAATTAAATGGTTTGATATGAAAATTGAAAAGCAATAATTTTTTTACTGTCAACTAATGTGTTTAATCAGTGGAACTCTGTTTTAAGTCATCAAACTTAAATCCTACTCCTCTTGCTATGCTTTAAGCAGAGTCTCCTCCAAAGAAAATGGAGTGCTCGTTTATTGATCTAAATATTTATATAATTTTAAGAGGTAAATCTTAGACTTCATCTATCATTGTAAGGTGTATAGATGGAATATCAAAATTGAAATTGTGAATTTCTCTTTCAATAAATAAGACCAAATCCATTAAGTCATATCCTTATTGTTTAATTTTCCATGCTTCATAATATTTGAACATACTATAAACAACTTCCTTTTGTTACTTTGAAAGCAAGTTATTGAGTTCAGATTCAACATAATTATGTTAGTCAATAATACTAAAACTCCTAAATTTTAAAAGTAAATTAAATTAATTTCGATATATAATTTATTTAATAAGTTATTTACTAATGTCCTTTTATGTTATAATAAATTTCAGTCCATAGAGTATAACAGTTTATCATAGAAGAGTCTCTAAATTTAATTGAAGCAACTGGCCAAAATATATTTTCAAAATACTAATAATCTACTTCAAATCTCCTTTCATGAGGTTCTTAATCATTTATTAATACTTTTTCTTCAGCTTTACGATGAGTTAATAAGAAAGTGAAATCCTCGACGTTATTTTTTGTAAATTATTTGATATCATCATCTTCTTTATTTTTAGTTGTTATTTTGAGTTACTTTTTTTGTTTTTCAGACTTATAGTTATTCCAACTACTTTAACCTTCTTGGTTAGCAATTTTACCTTGCTAATCTCTATAGAAAAAGGGATTTAAAAGACATCCTTCAATAAGCATCAAGTATTGTCTTACTGTAAAAAAAGCAGGGAAATCTGAAGATTACAATTCTTTTAAAGATTTGTGCTTAGTAGCTTGCTCTGATAGAACAAAATTCTAGCTTTCTTATTCATCTTCAAATTCATCATCCCCACAATCGATTTCGCTGTCTTGCTGATCATTCGTATTCCTCTGATCTATTTTAATAAAATTAGTAGATTAATTGATAAAGCTTAATTAATTATTTATTACCTTCATCTATTTTAAATTGCTCAATTTCGCTTTCAACCATATTTTAGATATCAACTTTTTCAAAAGTTGTATCCAAATCGTTATTTTTATTGATAGAATTTGTTAAATTTTAAATATTTTAAGCAATTAAATTTTAATCATTTATTTTCTATTATTCATTCTATTAGATTTGATTAGATTTTTATTCTTCTTCTTACTTTTATTTTTGTTTAATTCTTACTTGTTCTTTAATGTTTGAAATAAACTGATTATAGTATTTTTATATTTTGTTAGCCAAGACTGGCGATGTTGTAACAAATACGCTCTATAAACCTATAGGCTGATTTGTTAAAGCATCCTATAAAATTTTTTTGTTTTCTTTATATTTTATTTTAACCCTCATTCTAAAAACTAGCTCAAAGGTAAACAGCCTTAACAATGCACAAGTTGTTTTTCCTGTTCCTGATCTACCTATAACAATTGTATTTCCTTCAGAACCTATGGCATTTCTTTCTTCATCTGTTAACTTGATATTCAAATTTGTAACATTTTTTAGCAAATCAACTAAAACTGAAGCTGATTAAAAATCTGAATAGTTGTTTATTAAAGCATTATTTCTCCACACTCTACCATTTCTTTCCTAAAAAATAAAAAATGAGTCATTTTAACATTAAACAAGAATCATAATATACATCTTGAACTTATGTTCTTCTAAGGAAGTATTACGTAGCCCAACGATTTAGCTTTTTTGAAAATATGTAAATATACTAGTATTCTTGAGATATGACGTGATACTCAAATAAAAAAGGCTCATATTTTATTGGTTTTTAGAACTCAAGGTCTTCTTATAAAACAGATCTTATCTAATAAAACAAATTATTATTTAAGTAATTGAACTGTTGAATCTTACCACATCTCTTTTAAACTGAAGTTTCCCTTGCCCTACAGTTTCAGTGAATTTCTAGAAAAAAAACTAATTGTGACCTTTTGGGTTAGTTTACATAGGATTTATGATAAAGCCACTCCTGCAAGGATCGTTTAGGATGTCTTGATACTTTTTATTAATGTACTGCCCATCAATTTTTTCTCCATCTTATATCAAATTTAAAAACATGATGAACTACTTGAAATCAAACCTCTCAACCTATTTAATCAGAAAAAATCATGAAATAAATAATTTTTTAAAGACTAAATTAAATTTTCTATAAAGAAATAAATACCTTTTTAAAGTTTCTATCCAAAGTTGGAATCTTTTCAACTCCCACCATAACTAGCATATTAATTCCAGGTATAGAATCTCTTTCAATAATGAATTCTGTGAGATGAAGAGTAATACTTGTATAAAATTTGATTCTTTTTAAATGACTAAAGTTTCCTTAGCAAATATCTTCCATATTGCTTATAATCTTATAAATTTAAGATAATTAAAGCTGATTTAGCTTTGATATGAAATTTTCTATTATTTTATTGTAAAATATTATAAATAAAACTAATTTGCATCATACATGTAATAATTATTTATTAAATAACTTGATAATATTCATTTGTTGCTCGTAACTGTTTAGATAGATTTTTAAAAGTAGATTATTTTTTTTTGTTTGTGAAATGGTTGTATTTAAGTTCAAATTTATTTTTTTAATAAAATCTTTTATTTAATTTTTTTGCTGAATATATACTTATCAAAAAATATCCTTATTCTTTGAAATATATATTGCTAAAATAGCTTATAACATCAACATGATATTCATAGAAAATCAAACAGATTGTTAATGTTTACTAAAAGTAAAACTGAGTGAAATTAATTTAAAGATAAAAAAAATTAAAAAAAAGATGAATAGTATTTGTACTATGAACTCTCCAATTCCACGTGCTGTTTATCAAAGGATTGTTGATGATCATTTTTTATTCATCAGGAAATTTATTTATTTTTCCAGGTAAAAAATAATCTTCAATGTATGAGTTATAGCTCTCTAGCCATTTTATTATAAAAGATTAAGTATCCTCTAATGTCAATCCGGCTTTTTACTTAAGTTCAGACTAATACCTTAAGTATTTTTATTCTAACTTTTTAATGTCTGCTTAATCCATATAATGATCTGATAGAAGTTGTATTTATTTTGATTTGATTTGATATAATTAGATTGCTTAGATATCCTTTATTTATTGATAAAAAAATCATCTACAAATAATAAATAATAGTAGAAGCCTCTACAAATAATAAATAAGAATAATTATATTAAAAAGAAATATTATAATAATTCCTATTATCAAATTTTTTTTTATTATCAGAATGTTGAAAACCTAATCAAACCCTTCTTTCCATTACAAATTCTTCAAATATAATTTATTATAATCAAATTGTTATTTTTAATATTTAAAATAAATACATTTTAATTTCCAAAACAATCTGTATGGTTGGGTAGGAAAATAATATCTGATATTTATTTTTTAAACTTTTGAAATTTTATGATAAAACACAGCAATAATTATAAATTCAATATTAAATAACTATAATTTTGTTTAAATTATATTTTATATATAACTTTACAAATTAAAGCAGTAAAAAATAAAAAACCTTTGTTTTACAGATAAAATTTGTAAGTTAAAATAATATTAAAAAAATAAAAATGTTTTTTTTGCTTATAAAAATATATTTAGATTTGTTTTGTATCAATATTTAATTAAAAAAGCGAATGATTTCGATAAGCATAATATTAAAAGTAAGAAGAAAATTATTTATTCTTATTATTTTTTTGATTTATATCTTACTTGAAATATGTTCTTCGCTGTTTATCTTAAAAGTGATAATACTAAATTATCTATTTTTTTATCATCTACAAATTTTATATAAGGATTTGGGCCATCAAGATATAAGTCTTTTTTCTTGTTAACTGTTGTAATTTAATACAACAACAGATAACCCAACAAATGAAATAAGAAGAATTCCGATTAATTAATAAATACAAATTTTTTTGCATTTTTTTTAATTTCAGATTATATTAAAAATAAACCAAGTTTATCTTTACAAAGTAAAATCTCTTTCTCTTGAGGTAAAAGCAATTTTACCAAAGAATAATTGAAAGATAAAAATTAAACAATTCAAATAGAAGAATTTTTCTATTTGATGATTTGATGTAAAAATATCAAATTATTTTAGATATTTAGCAATAATATATCATAATTTTGATAAAAAAGAATTATATTATCTAATTTTTTATAAAAGAGAAGTTAATTTTTTTTAAACAATATATTTTATTGCATGAAAATTAACTTATTATCATTTCTAAATATTATGTGTCTCCTTAAATTGCCTCACTTTTTATACAATCTTGAATAAGTAATAGAGTAGATTTTAACTATTATTAATATGAAAATCATCATCAGTCTAGTTTTGTTTGAAAAACAGATAACTTAAAGTATGTTTCAAACATGATAGATAATTATTTGTTTTTTTTTTAATATAAGAAAATACAAAATTATGGCTTTTCATTTTTAGATTAAAAAGAAATTAGATTTTTTTTAAATCTGTAATTGATTATGGTTTTCAAATAGATCAGATAGAGAATATTTAGAATTAAATGTTTTAAATAAAATTTTTGATATTTTTTAATAGAAATTTAGATTTTTAAATTAAAGCATATCCAAAGAGATAAAATAATATTTTTATATATCTGTTTAATTATCAATTTAAAAAAATGTTTTATACTTTTAACTTTATTTAATGAAGTGACTGACATATTTTTATATATATATTTTTAATATTTTTTTAATCTGTATTATCAAAAAGATAATTTTCCATCATCCTCATCTTCTCATGCAGTTACTTCAATATAAGTACCACCTGTCATATCAGCAAGAGTTTTTAAAAGTTGAGTTGCATTATCTTTAACACTTTAAGGTTCATCTCCTCCAACAAGGAAAGAAACTGTGTTGATACGAATGTTATTTCTTCTTAATGGGTTAGTTTGTATAACCATATGTACAAAATCACTAATTCTGTCAATTCCTTCTGTTATAATACCATCTGACCAAATGTAAAGATCAGTAATTTAGTTGTAAGGATTAGACAACAAATCTCTTAATGAGTCGAAAAGGTTAGACTCCCCACCATTACGATAGACATTACCTACAAATGAATTCATAGCTTTTCTTTGTTCATAGCTTCCAGTTGGACAAGAATTGCATCTGTAATCAGTATAATTTCCCATAAGTATATAAGAAAAAGCAGTATAACTTTAGAAAATGTCATTTTTACTATAAGAAAATTATCTTAGTAAGTCATATCTTGTGACATTAGTACCATCTTCCTTAGTAAAAGCAATTGTTCCCATAGTCTTAGACTAATCTATAATAAAAGCTACGTGTTTTCCTTCGCTAGTAATTAAGAAATTATTATAGAAATACTTGGAATATTATTAACTACTTAGCTACTTATAAAGCATATTGTCATATGTAGACAAAGTCATATTAAGGCTTTATTAGTTTTCAATATTACCCTATAAGTCATAAATTTGGGAAACTATTACTCCAGAAGCAATACCATCAGTTACTGATATGATCTTTAAAATTTACTATGCTTCAGCAGTAGTAAGAGGACCAATATAAGGCTTCATTACTTCGATAGCATAGTTTCTGACTAAGTTGTACTCTGGATAGACTGATTCTTTCAATATTACTAATATTTTGAGTATTTAGTTAGCATTAAAGAACTTGCGTTATTGCAAAATAAATGACTTAATAGCGGAAAGTTATTCTTAGTCAGACTTTCCTAAAAGAGTCATAATAAAAGTGTCTACTGAAGTTTCATCAATAAAACTTATGTAAGGACTAGGACCAGTCATTTATAGGTCTTATTATTGGCTGTCTTAGTACAATCCAATTGTTAATCCGATTGTGGATAAAGCTGTAGCAGCTAAAAGTGCGAGTAGGACTTTATTCATTTGTTTTATTTTTTAATTGGCTTTTTTTCAATTAATTAATTATTTGTATAATAATTTCCTAATTAGACAAAATAAGTAAATAAATATTTGGAAATAAAAACTACTATCACATAAAAATAAAAGACTAAAATTTTAAAGCCAAATTGAGAAGATATTAAGTGAATTTTTGTAAAAGAAACAATATTTATTGATCACTACTTGCTTGATTGATGAGTATGATTTACAAAATATCCTAATATAATAACCATACAATTACACGCACCTTTGTATTTTATCTGTAAATTAAAGTAAAAATTATTGTAATTTAAATTGAGCTTAAATTATATTTAATTTTTTTCTATATTATTCTACTCTATCAAAAATAGCGAAAACTTATTTAGTTAAAATTTTTTAACAACTGTAAAATTATTTTTAGACTAAAATTAAAAATAGCGCAGCTTTTTTTTAAGTAAAAGTAATTATTGTAAACTTGCAACATTTGATTAGTATCTTTTGATTTTATATTCTTAGATAAATCAAAATTAATAATTAAATCGATGTAATTAATCTTACTAATCATACTATTTAGTAATTAAATAGATATCAACTTTAATTTGTAAATTAAAAGCAAATAGTCAATAATAATTAAAAATAATTAATTTTTTTTCTTAAATTAGAAAGTTTGAAAAAGTTTATATCCTTATTCAATATTGAGAAATAAATTATTTTTAAAATAAATTAATAGTTATTTAAACTTAATATAAATTAATAAACTTTTATTTTTTTATTTTTTAGCGAGGGTTTCTTTTTTAAATTTTGCAGAATTAATTTAATAGGACTTATAGAGATTTAATTTCTAAATAATAGTTTAAAAATCATTTTTTATTTATCAACCAGGATAAAATAAATTAAATTTTATAAATAATTAATTAATTAATAATTTAAATTAATAAAAAATAGTTTTATTTTTATTTAAATTTCATTTTTTTTTCAATAAATAGCATTGAAATTTTAATGAAAAACAATTTTTCTATAAAATTTTAAATAGCTATTTCATAATTAATTATTTTTCTTTATCTTTTAATTAATGAATTCAAAAAATAATTTATTTTAGTCTTTTTACATATTTATAAAATTAATTTGTTATTTTTAGATATAAAACATTATTATTATATTTATTTATTAACAAAAAATACATAAAAATATTCAAGTTTTTCTCTATAAAAATTACACTTTAAATATCTATTAAAAATAAATAGTTTTGTTGAATTTTTTATTTATTTATTTGGATTTTATTTTATCAATATATTAGAAGTGTATTTATATATGTATGCTTAATATCTATTTTTATTTTTGATTAGCTTATTAGAATATTTTAAATCAAATCTATGAGGAAAATCAAAAACATCATAGAAGATTTTCAATAAAAATTAGTATATTAAAAACTAAAAAAATATAAAATATTATAATTATATTTAAATATTAATAAAAAATACAGAAAAGTATTCAAGTTTTTCTATATAAAAATTACACTTTAAATATCTATTAAAAATAAATAGTTTTGTTGAATTTTTTATTTATTTATTTGGATTTTATTTTATCAATATATTAGAAGTATATTTATATATGTATGCTTAATATCTATTTTGATTTTTGATTAGCTTATTAGAATATTTTAAATCAAATCTATGAGAAAAATCAAAAACATCATAGAAGATTTTCAATAAAAATTCGTATATTAAAAACTAAAAATTAATTTGTTATTTTTAAATAAAAAATATTATAATTATATTTAAATATTAACAAAAAATACAGAAAAATATTCAAGTTTTTCTCTATAAAAATAACATTTTAAATATCTATTGAAGATAAATAGTTTTGTTGAATTTTTGATTTATTTGGATTTTATTTTATCTATATATTAGAAGTATATTTATATGTGTATGCTTAATATCTATTTAGATTTTTGATTAGGTTATTAGAATATTTTAAATCAAATCTATGAGGAAAATCAAAACATCATAGAAGATTTTCAATAAAAATTAGTATATTAAAAAACTAAAGATTAATAATTACTTCAAGCAATTATTATTAAAATGAGTTAATAACTTCATAAATAGAATCAAGCAGTAGACTAAAATAGAAATAGTCAAAGAAATTAAGAAATTATTTAGAATTAGAATTACATTTAGCCGATTACAGAGTGGTAAGTTGAGTTTTATAATGTTGAAGATATGTGGAGAAAAAATAATGAAGTTAAATATAATAATTATTTCGATAATCAGTAAAATATAGCAAAAGAAGTTGAAGTGACATAAAAGATATTGGGTGATAGCAGTCGTATAGTAGAAAAATTTAATTTAGTTTATCCATAAGCATATCAAGTAGTTAGGTCAGTAAGATAGGCATAAACTTAATCCTTAAACTAACTTAATTAATAATATCTTGATTCTTTTGAAAACAATAGGTTCAGTTTAGATCTAAATAATCTTAATGATAAAATACTATTTATTTTTATTTCTCACTCTAGCCTAATTTAAAACAGAGAACAGAGAATTAAAATTGATTTGTAATAGGAGACTGAAGTTCTTAAATCATTAGCTCATTTTTATAAAACAGGGAATATTATTTAAAAAAATTATCTTCATTTAATTAATTTAGACATTCATTAAATATCTTAAATACTCAAAGATGAATCTTCAATCTTATCTTACAAAAGTTTGTGTGATCAAAAAGCTGACTATAATACAATTTAATTTGAATTTGTTAATTAAATGAAAATAATAATGAAAAATTAGATTTCAAATCTTAGTGACCAAATAATTTAAAGACATGAAAGAATTCTCAACGATATTTAGTCAAGCTTATTAATTATAGAGAACATTGATTTGCAAGTAGTGTATTCAAATTGTGCAGCTGCTAAAGCTCTGGCTCTGTGCAAAATAAATTTTAACATTGATCAAATTGCAATTCTCTTAGAAGAGTTAGAAGAAACAAACAACAAATTTTGCAAAGAGATACTAGAGTAAATCAGTTTATTCTAAAAAGATAAGAGAAATGTACTCTAATCGTAAAACACATCCCTAGTCCAAATTTTAGCTGAATAAATATTAGATATAATCATTTTAGAAACTTAAAAATAAATTCAATTCTAATAAGCTTTAGATATGACTTAAAGTAAATCTATTTTAATTTAAAAATTAATTTCTATTTTACTAACTAAAAACTTTAAAAACCTACACTCTTCAATTCTAAAGATATTAGAAATTTAATTCTTATTTTCATTATAATTTATAATAATACAAATTTAATAAATAAAAATTCTAATAATAAAAATTTTTTTCTGTTTATTCAGGAAGACATTAAATAATTATCTAAAATTTTTGGATTTAATATTTATCAATAAAATTAATATTATTATTTAATTATTTTATAAAATCTCATCTATTTAATAATATGCTATATTTGAACCAATTTACACAGTTCAAAATATTTTTATGGATTAATGTAATTAAAAAATATTCATATTAATCTAAATAATCACTTAAAGTAAATTTATTTTAATTTAGAATAGATTTTTTTACTAAATTTTTGGTTGAAAAACCCAAAATTTTTCAATACTAAAGATATTGAAAATTTAATTCTTACTTTTATTAATTTTGATATTTGTATGAATTAAATAAATAATAATTTTATTAAATGAGAAATTATTTTTGATTTTTCAAGACATAAAAGTATTATTATTTTTATAAATAATATGAATTTTATATAATTACTTTATAAAATTTTATCAATTTAATCATATAGCTTAGTTGAAATAATTTTTTACAATCCAAATAATATACTTATTCTTATCTTATTTTTATGGATAAAAGTAATTAGAGAATATTTATATTAATTAAGTGAATGCTTCATAATAAATTATACTTTTATCAAATAAATCGCCAATAAATTATATTTAAGTCTATTTTTACTTTTACTATTAAACTGTGATTTAAAAAAAATAAATATTTTTCATTAGATAAAATATTGCAAAAAATTGTTTTAGTGCGTGATTTTATTTCATTTGATATTTGATACTCAAATTTTCTAAAATATTATTTTAATTAAAAGGTAATATTGTCCTTGCTAACAATAGCATTTCGAGATAAATTCCAAGAGAATTGTAAGGTAAGGTAAATAATTTAACTAAATTAGATAGCTCTTGGATAGATCTTTTGCAATAATATTTACCTAACAATAGTGATGCTTAGAATACTAACCAACCTAATCAGGAAAATTAATTTTTACTGGCTTTGCTATAGTTATAAGAATAATCTTTGCTTGATATAGTAAATAATCTGTATTCAGAACTATAATTTATTCCTAAATTAGTTTTGTAGCGTTTATATTAGGAATAAAATAACTAAAAGTAGAATCCAATTTTTAACATCTTAGCATTTCCTAATCAATAAAATGAAATGATCTTTCAATGGTTTGGAAAGTAAGTTTGTCTAAGTAGGATTTTTAATAATTACATCATAAATTATATTAATTAGAGCTTAGCGATTGCCCATAATTCTAATAATTAACAACATTTTTAATAGTAGTAGTTGCAAACTTTAGAAAATTTATATTAATCTCTATTTTTACTATTGTTGCCTTATTTTTGTGAAAAGGAAATGAATGAATTACAAATTTCAACAGTTAGCTAATTTAAATTGTATTTTTTAAAATATTTCAGACAACTTAATTATGGGCTTAGCTAAAAGCAACATTATATAGCTTAAATTTAAGAACAAGTAAAGAATAAAATATTGAATAATTTTATTTAGGAACAAGAATTCATTGAAATAAAAGAAATAAACTATGATAATTTATAGTTTCAAAACAATATAGTAAGTGTAGAAAGAGATTTTTAAAATAAAATTCTAAGATGGAGAGTACAATTATAGGACAGATATTAAATCATGTTTGGAAAAAATGATAAATTTATTGATTCAATGAGTTAATCAACACTACATTTTTTAAGAGACTCAAATACTGTAAAAATGGTAGAGGTTTCCATCGTATTAAATGATTAGATTTAATAGCAAAATTAATAAGAGTTTAAAGACTGCTGCCTAAAAGTTAATATCATCTTTTAGTAATCTATTGATACTCTCTTTTTCCTTTCTTCTAACATTTAGAGCAGTTATTTATTCTACCTAACCCTCTTTGTATTGAGAAACTACCATACTTAAGAAATTTCTATCATTAATAAAATAAATTAAAACTTGTTTAATTTAGACTTTGAGTAGTACAATTACAAATTACTAGAATTTATAAATTCTCTTGAACAAGAAATTGTGAATTATAATTTAGAGTAAGAGTAACTAAGGATTTAATAATAATAATAAAAAGAATTGGAAGATAGATAATATTAATAAAGTTTACCTTAATAATCAGTTGAGAATAGAAACTAACTCTAATAAGATAACCAAACTTAGAAGATAGATAATACTTGGAATTAAAATAATTACTTACCTTAGATCGATTCAACGCTTTAAAGCTAATCAACTCATTTTTAAGCTCAATTTGATGGTCAAAATAACAACTATAACCAAAATGTGAATTTACAATTATAACAATAATAATTCTAAAATTAAAATCTCAATTATCAATAAAATTATTACAATAATTAAGGGTATTAGTAATCTTAAGATTTAAGAAATGAAAGAAATCCAGAAAACACCAACTAATAAAATGTTTGTAAGCAATCCTAAACATAATATTAAAATATCAACCAAATTGAATATTAACAAAATAATTAACAATAATATATGAATCAATAATAATAATAATAATAATAATTTTAAAATTAAAATCTAATTTATCAATAAAATTATTAAAATAATTAAGGATTTTAGTAATCTTAAGATTTAAGAGATGAAAGAAATTCAGAAAACAGCAACTAATAAGATGTTTGTAAGCAATCCTAAACATAATATTAAAATATCAACCAAATTGAATATTAACAAAATAATTAACAATTATATATGAATCAATAATAATAATAATAATAATTTTAAAATTAAAATCTAATTTATCAATAAAATTATTAAAATAATTAAGGATTTTAGTAATCTTAAGATTTAAGAGATGAAAGAAATTCAGAAAATACCAACTAATAAAATGTTTGTATGCAATCCTAAACATAATATTAAAATATCAACCAAATTGAATATTAACAAAATAAATAACAATAATATGTGAATCAGTAATAATAATAATAAATTTAACCTAAAATCTCTTAATAGAACTAATAAATTCGTTAACACGTAACTCATTTAGTTGCAGCTGGAGACTTTGCATATGGATTAGGAGCTTGCTAGGATTTCTAATTTTGTTAATAATAAATTTTTTATCAAGAAGGAAACAATTTATAAAGTAATTTTCTTTTCATTTAAAATTTTAAATTAATTAATTTATTATTAAAAGACAAATAAATTAGCAATAGAAATACATAGGCTTTATTAAATTAATAATTTTAATCTTAAAAATGTTAAAATTCTTAAAATAATTCCCTTAATAAATCATAATATGAACTTTAAGATTAAAGAAATCTTCAATAGTAGGGAAAACCATACTCAATCGAGAATAAAAACGAGTATTAAGAAAAGGAAATTAAAAAATAATAAGAAGATAATTTGAGTTTGTAGCTTTAAAATAATAGCTAATTATCATTTTAAAATTAAATTGGTTAGAATTATAACCCATTTTAAGTGCAAAATTAAAATATGTAGAAAGAGTTTAAACAATCAGATGAATCAGACATAAAATCATAGCCTTCAAGTAATTCAATTTTTTATTTGTATTTTAAACTTATTTTCATATTTTTTTAATTCAATAGATTACTCTAATATATCTTTGTAAGGAGACAATAACTAATAATAATCAAACATGTAATAAAATTAGAGCAATGGTATATAAAATTTTAACTAAGGTTAAAATTTCTAATTTGAAGAGAGAAAAAATGACTATAATTAAATTACACTTATAACGAACAGCTAAAGCTAAGTGTGCAGCTAAACTTCTACGAAATAAGATTTTAAATAGGAAAACTTATCTTCATTATAATTATAAAATTAGCTCAATTAAAATTACAATTAATTAGATCCCTCCAAAATATCTTTGTAAGAAGGCATTAACTAATCATAGTCAAACATGCAGTAAAATCAAAGCAATTATATCTAATATGCTAACTAAGCTTAAAATTTCTAATTTGAAGAGAAAAAAAATGACTAAAATTAAATTATACTTACTACGACGAACAGCTAAAGTTAATTGTGCAACTAAACTGCTATCCAATAAGATTTTAAATAGGAAAAATTATCTTCAGGATTAATAAAAAACGAATTCAATTAAAATTAATAATTTGATTAAGCAAGCAATTAAAAAGAGGCTTTCAAAATTTAAAATGAAGAAAAAGCTATCAATTAAAATACTGAAAGTTGTATTAATCTTTAGTAAATGGGTACATAATAAAATAGTCAGCCTAATTTAGATGAATATGAAATTATTTAATCATATTAATCTAGTTAACTAAATAGTAATTTGGTAATGTAAGAATAGGATAATCTGGTTATAGTTGACTAAATAGATTAAATAGATTAAATTAACATTTAATTTAAAGAAAGCATTTAATTTCACAAAAAATGAAAAAAAAAAATTTTGAATTTATAATTTATCATTCAAAACTAAAAATATAAATTTAAGTTAAATTTAATCTATGAAATCCTTGAAAATCCTTTTAAAATAATAGATTTTATTTGCTGATATAGTTTTTAAATATTTTTTATAACCTGTAATTATTTTTTTAGTAGATTTTCTTTTAAGTAATAATTTTTTGATAAAGATTCAAGTTAATATTATTTTTTCAATTTTATGTACATATATTTTTAAAAATAATTTTAATAGCAAGATTTAGACGTCTTTTTATGAATAATTTAGTCAGGTTATTTTTTAATAATATTTAAGAAAAAGCTCATTTTCAAAAAATTTATTTTATTTAAATTTTTAAAACATCTATAAAAATGATAATATAAATCAGTTTTACAATTTCATTTATTTTTGAAAATTAGTTGTAATTTTCTTAATTTTAAAATTCAATATCTTTAAGAGCAACTTAAGAGAATGTATGAATAAGCTTAAAGGAGAGAGAATCCAGTTTTCAGGAAATTAAATTTAATATGATATCTAAAATGATATTTAAATAACTATTAATATATTTTATTTATTGATAAAAAAGCTTTATCATAAAAATTAAAATTTTTTCAATGTCTCTTATCATAATTATAAATCAAAAGTTTACTTTAAAGATATTTGAGAAAACCTAAGGTTTTACATTAATTTATTTGAATTTTAGAATTTTTAAAAATTTTGTTTATTATTTATAAAAATAATTAATCATTTTTTAATGTTAAAATAAAAGACATTTGAATCAAATAAAGAATTTTTTTCAAAAATAATAAAGTTTTAAAATAATTAAAATGTATTTTTATTTTAAAACTTTAATTAATGAATTAAAAATTTAATTAACTTTTTTAATTTAATTTTGAAAATTTGATAGAAAAAGATATTTGAAAAATCTTTAAAATTTACATAACTTAAAGATAAAAATGAAAACCAAACAAAATGCTCTTAGTAAATGTATAATTTATAGCTTATTTCAGAAAAGCAATTCATCTTTTAATTTTCTTTGTTCTTCTTAAAAATTATTAAAATTTTTTATTGAGGCTTTATTTTTCTAAATTAATTTGAATTAACTTAAAAATAGAAGATTATAAGATATAATTAATAGTATTTGAGGAGAGGCCTCTGGAGAATAGCTTTTGAGGAAATAATATTTGTTTATTCAAAATAATACTTAATTACTTAATTTAACTATAATTAGCTTTTTTTATCTAATGAGAGATAAATTAGTTTATTTAAAATCTTTAAATAATTTACATAAATGAAAAATGATCATTAAAAGGATACAAATAATTATAAAAATATTTATACTTAATAAACTAATTTCAGAAAAGTAAATCTTTTTATATTGCTTTTCTTAATTATTCTTTTTAGTATTTTATTTACTATTTAGATTTTTTATGGAGGCATTTTTACTTTTCAAAAGTAAATTGATTTAATCTACTTTAGGATTAATTAATATAAGGCTTCATTTTTTATTTAGAGACACTTTTATCCAGTAAAAATTATAATTCAGATTATAAATCATTCAAAAATTCTTAAAGATTATTTGAAGCAACTTTAAATTCGTCATAATTTGAATATTTTATTAACTTTGTTCTTACTCTGTATTCAAGACTTTAATCAACAACTTATGAAATTTGTTTTTTATTTTCATAAATTTAGTTTAATTTTTAAGTTAAAATGGTAATTTCCTTCTAGCTTTTTATTTTCTTTAAATAAATTGCAGAAATTATTTAAATCTAAATTTAGTACAACTTTAAAATTGACTGAAATAAAGAAAAGTTAGTAATTAAAAGCTGTTTGAGTTTTTTCAAAATTAGTTCTTTATTATCCATATTTACTCTTGGTTCCAAGAAGTTTAAAATTTTTTTAAAATTTAGCTCAATTTCATTTATAAATTTTATTTTTGTTCTATTCTAAATAAGGAAATTTATGATTCTTTTTCTACTTTGATTTTTTTAATTAACTTTTTTGCTTAAGTTTTATTTTTCTTAATCAAATTTTAGTTTGTTTGCTTCATGGTTTGCCTTTATAATTAAATAAATAAATCAATTTAATTTAAAAAAAAAAACTAAAATTACATCATTGTAAACAGTGATATCTTCCCAATACCCAAATATTTCTTCAAAATAGTTTTAAGTAACTAACTCATATGCTAGGTCGTTGGCTTCTTCAGCAGATGTAGCATTCAGGAGATTCTTGTAATGCCAATTTTATTCTTTAAAAAAAATTAATTTTAAAATTTTATTTAGGAAAAAATTTTTACATAGTATTTTTAAAGTTTTTTGATCTAATTAAATTGATTGTATTAGTTGAATGAATTGATTTAAAGTCTATTTACTTAAATCATAAACATTAGCCAATATCATTAATATCCAAACAAAATAAATTTTCTAAAATGATTAAGATTTATCTTTGTTTTTATCAATAAATTAGGCTATCAACTTAATGTCAAAATCATTGTCATATTCATTTAGATTTACAGATACTACATTAGGATTTTTTTACTTGAAATTTATAGCATTGTTAATATCTCTAATTAAAAGTTAATTTTTTTCTAAATCATAAAAATATCCCACATATTTCTAAGGAATAATCAGCTTTACTTTTTGGTTTGCTAAATTGTTAATTATTATGTTGTAAATTATATGCTCAGTATTTGTTTAACCTTTCATTTATTGTCTTTAATTATACATTCTTGACAATCCATATTATAGTAACCACTTATCTTAGCAAATGATTTCCGAAATTTCTTACTCTGTAACAGAATTTTTTCCTTCAAATAATTTTATAAAGCTACTGTCTTATCTTAATTTAATAGTTTTTAGGTCTAAAATTATCTGATTTTTATCAAACTATTTGCTCTTAAAATTATTTATCAATAACAAAATCTAATCTAATTTTTTATTTTCTTCCTCTTCTTGTTCATTTACATAAAAAGATGTATCTAAGTTCTAATCTTCTGTTTCATTTTCATCTGTAATAATAAATTTATCTAAATCTTACTTTTTTTTATTTTGGATTTTATTTTTAGATTTTTGATCTGTTTAATCAAATTCAGTTAGAAGTTATAATTCTTTTGAAATCTAATCTAAATTTTAAAAAATAGCTGAAATTACTACTTCTAGAGGAGCAAGTACCTGTTCAAAATTTTAATCACAAAAGTACATTTGAGGTTCTTATTTTTTGTTTTTTTTGTATTCTTAAAATATTTAGCTTATAAGATTATTTGAAAAATTCATAACAACATTTTGTTTTCCAAAGATTTAAAAAATCTAACTATCAGGAATTTCTCTTACCTAAAATACAGTAAGCATTGCTTTTGTCATATAAGTTAATCTTCTATCTTATACCAGTTCAGCATACTGCAAATCGTTTTAAAGTTTCTAAAGAATAAGTTGTATTCTGTTAAGCTATGAAATCAATAGCAAATCAAATGCTTCTACTCTATAAAAATATTTAATTGTCAAAAAAAATGCAGAGACTACATCAAATATTTAGATTTCATTTAATTCTTCTTAATTTTTTAAAAGAATTTCAAGTTGTTGTAACAATTCCTGAGTAAAACTTTAATATTATTCTTCCTTATTTTAATAATTTTAAATTAATAATTAAAACTTTTAATTAAAGCTTAAACTTTAGATTATTTTTTATTGTTTTAAATTTATCTTTAATTTAAATTTATTGTCTATGATTTGATATATGCATTATTATGTCTAAACAATAGCTAATTAAATATCTTCATCTGATTTTATTTATCCTTCTTAAATACTATTCTGCAAATAGCTTTTATCACTAGAAACACATGCTAAATATTAATCGTATTTGCCATATAATAGATATAAATTTAGCATATCATACCTTTACATGAATTAAATAAATAATTCTCCAAATCCAAGCAATACTGTTTGCTGTAAATATTCTAGAGTAAAATTTAATATTTTATTATCTAATTTTTAATCATTTAAAATTTTTTATACAACATTTAACATGCTTTGAATTAGAAAAATCGATTATCTTTAATACTCCTTTTAATAAATAATAAAATAATTAAAATAAAATTTATTAAAAATTAAAAGCTTTTAGTTTATTTACTTGTTTCTTAGCTAGACTTTGATTATTTTCTTTGAGGTAATCTGAAAGGACAAGATTTGAAATGCTAGAATGTTAAAATTTTTCATAAATTTATTTTTAAATGATTGTTGGGATGTATTAATATTGCTTGAGAAAGACTACAAATATCCATATTTGGTCTTAGAACTAAAATTATTCCATTTTAAATATAAATTTTTTCATTATTTTATTATTCAAGCAGTAAAAATCCAGTTTTTATAACAGAAACTCAACTAAATTAAATTTGGATTTAAATTAATTTTAATCTAAATCTTAATTTAAACTTTCTTAGACTATTTTAATAAAACTGTTATCTGATAGCATAAAAACTTAAAGAATTTGGTAAATTTATTTTTTCACAGTTTAATTTATTTGCTAAAATAGCTCATTTTCCTCTGATAGTATTTTTCCAAATGAAGAGTTAGAGACAAATGACTAGTTTAAAGATATTATGTATTGATCTTCTTATAACCTCTCTTCATTAATTTAAGTATTTATTATATTATTAATCTTCTCATCTTGCACTAAAGTAAATTAACTTATATCATCCAGGTTATTTATTTGTTTTGATTATTCAGACTCAGTATTTTCATTTTCAATATTAATATCAATATCTGAATCTTCAAATGAATGATTTGAACCCTAAAGCTCAGTTTCATTGATTTATTTTTCTAAAAAGGAGATGTCTTTATCTACTTCATTTAAAGTAACATCATCTAATTCGAAATCGAACAAGGTAAAAGAATCCTCCAAATTCTTTTGTGCAAGCAATTAGTTTATTTTTTCCTAAATTAAATAAGAAAATATTTTTAAATATCTTTCCTAAAAATTTAATTTCAATTTAAATTAATTTACCATTTTTAATTCATCAAACTTGTTCTAAAATATTTATTTTAAGCAGTTTTCTGTATACAAGCTTTTCTGGTCATCAGTTATTTTATATTAAGGATTTCTCGATAAAAGTAGGATAATTTATTTCCAATTTTCTTGTAACTCTAAAATGTGTATAGCTTACTCTAAATGATTCAGTTTTTCATAAATTTCAGCTGCTTTGTGCAACTAGGAATTACTTAACAAATATGATTCTGCTGCTTAGTTATAAAGTTACAACTCTTCATATATTTTCCCTGCCATTTCATATTATTCGCTATTAAAATAGCACTGAGCTGCTTGGTTTTTTTAGTCAATTTAATAAAATTGATCTCCAAGATTGCTTAAACTTTACTTTAAAGAATTTAATTTTTTGCAAAATTAAAATTTGAGATTATTTTTCGAGCTTTAATTTAAAGAAGCATATTATCCGTGATTCAACTTTAAAATTTAAAGCTCATTTTATGTATTTTGTATTTCCTTAGAACAATTTTATAGTTCAAGATGTAACTTAGCCTAAATAATTTAAAAAAAAAAATGTTTTATTTTAGAATTCTTATTAAAAAAAGAAGGTACTTGCTAAATTAATTTTTCCTTTCCTATTTTTTCAAAGCATTTTATTGCTTATTGATAATATTTATTTTTAAACATATTTATTCCTTACTAATACCAATCAACTTACTAGTTTAGATGCATTTAATTTTACAGATCTTTAATAATTTTTTACTTCTCCTTATTTTATTCCTATTCTAAAATGGGTTTTTCCTAATTATTTGCTTTAAAATCTTATGGAGAAATTTAACAAACAAGATTTTTCTACAGCCAATATTAAAGAATAGGTTTTCTTTTATACTCTTAATTATCAAAAATAATCAACCTTTTTTTTGGACGAGTAATAGCAGTATAAAGCTGCTTTAATTCTGAACATAAAATGACATTATTTACTGGGTTAAACTCATTTATGCTTAAATTAATTTCATTTTCTTAATCAGATTTGTTTATTTATTTTATGTTGTCATTGATAACAACTTATGGTCTGCAGTAATTCAATTATTAAAATGTACAGCTGCTGTCAGAAAAAAAGTCATACAATATGACATCTTCAAATTCTAGACCTTTAGCTTCTAATATAGTGAGGCATATGGCATGTTTTAAGATAGAGGGCAACTAATTATTTTAAACAAATAAGAAAAAATAATAACCATATTTTAATAAATTACTCTTTATTTGCTTTCTTCATCCCTTACAATAATAGCTTAGTTAGAACCAAAATCTAAACTTTCAGATTATCCTTTTAAAATCTTAAAAAGAAAATTTTAATCAGCATCCACTAAAACTATAGGACTTATTCCTTCAATTTCTGAAGTCTCTTTTTGCATAACATCTAGAGTAGTTGGAAACAAATTGTATAATAAGTCAATAATACTATTTGAGAGCTATAATATTTTCTTCTGAGATCTAAAGTTTACCTTTTTTAAAAATATTGGCAGGTTTTTTATTTAATAAATTAATACAAATTTACAGTCAAGTGATGGACTTAAATTTAAACTTATCCTTATTAAGAAGGTTAAATTTTTTCAAAAAGACTTTTAAGATCGTTGAACTTAAAACCAACTCCTCTTGCTATATTCTATGTAGAGTCTCCTGAAAAGAAAATGTTATACTCATTGATCTAAGTGAAAAGTTAAATAACACTAAATGGTAAGTCTTGAACCTCATCAATAACTGTAAAGTGAATAGAAGGAATATTGCATCTTTTTTCTTATAATTCACTAAGAATATAGTTATTTAAATCAAGAATATCGTAACCACTTTAATTTTGCTTCCATCTTTCATAGAGTTCAAACATAGTATAAATCGTTGTTTTCTGTTCTTAAGTCAGTAAATTAGTTGAATTCTACTTTAAGTATTCATCTCTTGGTACGTATCTATAATATTAAATTAAATTTAAATTAATATTTAAGTTTTTAAACGTTTAAATATGAAGCTTTTTTTATCATCTTTTATTTTTTGTGCAATTATTTATTTAAGTTATTTCCTAAAATAAATTACCTTTATTTATATTTGTAACAATTTGCTGAGCCTTTAATTACAGAATATATTTCTGTCCATAAGCTAGAGCAAGATATCAAAGAAGAACTTTTGAATTTAATTGAAACAAACGGCCAGAAGTAGTTTGCAAAGTAATTATAATCTATTTCAAATTTTCTACTTTTTTAATCCTAGATAAAATCATTTTCTTAATTTTATTTGTGCATGTTGTTCTCTAAAAACTAATCTCTCATAAATGCATCATAATTAGATAATTTGTTGTTTTTGTAAAATATTTATTCATTTATTTCAAAGTCCTCTTTTTATTGATCTTATATTTAATCTAAGTGCTAATATATCTAATTTAACTAAAATCTTTAATGTTGGAACTTCCCTAAACTATTCTATGAGCTATATTAAATAATATTTCCTTATTTATCCCTTTCAAAGAAGTGTCTTTCAAGGCAACATTCTAAACTCATTAGATAGGAGCGCACTGTATAAAAAGAAGGATGTCCTTATGAAAATTTAATTCTGCTTTAGCTTTTAAGCTAAGCACTGATTTCTTATTCAGAAGGTTCAATAAAAATGTTATCATCTATTTCTAAAACATCAAAATCATCATATTAGTCTTCAATTTAAATCTTAGACTCTTCTTATAAAACTGTAAAATCACTTATTAGAGAATCAATCAAAAAGCTAATGCTTTAATCATAAATTTAGCTATCATTGCTATTTTATTTATTTGAAATATTAATTATAGCTTTTTATAAATAATTTTTGTGCTTTTAGTAATATTTTTATATCTTTCTTGTAAGAATTGGGGAGGCTGTAATGAATACGCTTTGCAACCCAATTTTTTTTTCAGACAATGAATCAATAAGATTCATTTAACTATTTTTGTTCTTATCAAAATGCAATTTATACAATACTTCCAAAGCTAGCAAGTGATATAATGCACATAAGGTTTTTCCTGTTCCAGATCTCCCCATAACAATTAAATTTGAATGATTTGATATGACTTAAGTTTATTATTATGTCAAAGGAGTTTCAATTTTACAAATATCAATAATTTTTTTCATTTACTCAGATATATCCTCGTTTTAAAGCATCTTATATAAATATGCTTAATTCATCTACTAAATTCTCTTTTTGTTCTAATTTTTATAAAATGTTTGTTTAATTTCAAAAATATTTTTAGTTATATTTTTTTAAATTAATATTACATTAAATTGTATATTTCTCTTATGATACTGCTTTTTTATCCAACCATAACCAAAGTTAAAATATTGCATGCTCTCTTAATAAGTTAAATAATAATCAGGTATTTATTATGGTAAGTATCTATCAACCTTTATATTTAAAATAAGCATTATTATAATTTTATTATTTGTTTTCATACATTTGCGAGCCTTTCTTTTCTATTTTAGTATTATTTAGAAGTTCGAATCATATCTAGAGGATTAATAAAATTGCTAAGATCAGTGATGTAATTCTATTTTAAAGGATCTTCAAGTATATTTGAAAAATCAGTATTTGGTGTTTTTTAGAATTGTTAGTCAAATATCGATTAGAACATTATGTACCATTCAAACTTAAATTTAATCACCTTTTAAATTAATAATAATTTATGAAATAATTTTATCATTAATTTTAATAATGTTTAAATTTACATGACTGTCTCTTATCATAGGTATTTATTATAATCCTATGACAACTACAATATTTGGATAAAAGATATCTAAATATTGAATTCCTACTTTAGTTTAGCTATTTTCAAATTCACAATCTTCTATTTCAAGCTTTTCAAATCCATTAAAGTTTCCACTTAAGATTTTTTCCATATAATATAATTTATTATACATCTAAGATTTATTTAGCTTTGAAAAATCATTTAGAAACTAATCTTTTTTATAAAAAAGAGTTTTAGATATAGCATTAAAGTAGCTTAAAATAAACTATTATTATAAATATTTTTTTAATACCAGAAACACTCCAATTCCACAATGATCTAATAAATTTGTATGGATTTTCTTAATTTTAATCACCATATTAAAGTTTTTGATCCACCCAACTTTTATGATCTCTGAGATATTAAATAATGTATTCTTCTTCTGATTTTTTTAATAGCTAACGCTAAGTAGAGATATAATTATCTAGCTAATAATCATATCTTTGATAATGTTATTATTATAATGTTTAAGATTATTCTATCATTTATTATTTTTGATTTTCCTTTATGTTTTATATATTTTAGATAGATTTTTATTATTTATTTAATTATTGTTAAAATAAAATTTCTATTTAAATAAAATTTTATAATTTACTAGATGCTTTATATCCTTCAAAAATCTTAAAATTATTAAGAACTATCAATATTATTAAAATAGAAGAAAAGTTATAAATTATAGTTATTAAATAACTTAATGCAAACAATTATGGTAAAGTTTGATCTAAATATCTACTCTGAAATATTTTAATTAATAAAGTTTTTCTTTCTTAGAATTGCTAAATCATAGATTTTTACAACATTTTACTTGTAGAAAAAAAAAAAATTTTTACCTTTCGTTTATATTTCATTATATTTAATCCAAAAATCTTTTATTATCTTTTAAAAGTGTCTATATTGATGATTTATATTCTTCACAGCATCATTTTTCTGTAGGTTAGAAATATTGATCAGAAAAATATAATGATATTTTACTGGTAGGTCACAAACAAATTTATGTTTTCCCCTTATATGTCAAATTGTTTTATCCAAAAAATGTTTATTACCTTTTAAATTTATCTATTTTTATTCTCTATCTAATACATCATTTTCCAATTTATTTAGAAAAAAATCAGATTTTTATAAATATTGATCAGAAAAATTTAATGATACTTACTGGTAGATCAAAAACAAATTTATACTTTCCCCTTATATATCAAATTGTTTTATCCAAAAAATATTTATTATCTATTAAATTTATCTATTTTTATTCTCTATCTAATACACCATTTTTCTATTTGTTTTGAAAAAAATCATACTTTTATAAATTAGCCTCTATTATAAAAATTAAAAAATAAAATTTACAAATTTTTTATAGATATTTTATGCTAAATTTAAGTTGAATCAAACAATAATATAGTAAAATTAAATTTGTAAATATAAAATACTAAAAATAACCTTTTATTATAAAATAATATTAAAAATTTTTAAATAAACATATTTAAATTAAATGATTATAAAATACATATTTCAAATATTAATTCATTATAATTTATCCAACGATTTAAAATAGAAAAATAAATATAAAATCCCAGTCTCTCTAATCAAAAAATTAATTATGGTATCCAATTAAAAAAATAATATATTATTAGTAAAATTGTATTGAATTATGATATAATTTATGTTCTTTAAATAAGAATATTTAAAGTAAGAGATTATGAATAATATATATCATACCATATTTACCTACTATCAAACTATTTAAAATAGAAGAACAAATATGATATATAATAATATGATAGACCTGGCGCAAACGTCGTAAGTTTGAAACCAGGGGGGTATTTTAAAAAAATTAAGCTTAAAATATCACATTTTTAAAAGAAAATTTTTTTTAAGATGTCAATACTCTTTATTAAAATATTAATATTAAAAAATGATTTATATTTTAACTTACTATTTATTGATATTTCTTTAATTTATATGAAATAGTTTTAATTTTTTATTTAAATGTTTTTAATAAAAATTTATTTAGAAAAATGAGATTTTTAAACTAGATATTTCAGTTTTTTGAAATAAAATTTATTTTATTGATATTTTGCAAATAATTAATAAATTAATTAAATTAAAAACTTGTTATAAAATTTTATTCGATATAAACTCTTTTTTTCAAAATAAATTACTGTTTTCAAAGATAAATTCTGAAATATTCCTAATGTAAAAACAGTTAATATATTTAATTATACGGCGTATTAGTTATAAATTAATATTTTTTACAAAATTAATTTAATAAATAATTTATTTTGTGTTTTAGCTAAAGGGTAGCTCATATTTTAAAATTATATATCTGATGAATGTAAATACCAAAAATAAATGAAATATGCATTTTATTTAAATATTTAATATTTTTTATTTAAAAGAATTCAGTCAAGTGAGTAACCAAAGCAATTAGAACAATAAAAGAACATTTAAATTACGATTTGTGGTAAAAAATAAAGATTAACAAAAATATTGTTATTTATTTACAAAAAGCAAACCAGCTATCACCAGAAATATATCAATTTTAAAATTGAAAAATTATAAATTTAATTATTAAAATAGAACAATCTGTAAACTTTATTCTTTAAAACTATCTTACTCATTTTCTAAATTTCTTTTAGAACTTTTAAATTATGAAAATAAATGATATAAAATTTATAAATATTTAAAACTAAATTAAAAGATTAACGAATCAAATATAAAAAAAATTTTTCTTTAAATACTATGGGTTGCAGTTCTTCATCAGTTAGTGATTAAGTAATAAGCATAAATGAAAATTCAGATAACTTAGTTTACAAAAAACGCTTCACAGAAATGGAGTATAAATACTTTGGAAAATCTGGTCTTAAAGTCTCTTCAATATGCTTTAGTGCTTATAATTTAAATATAAAAAATCTTAAAAAATCAGAATTCACAAATGTTATAAAAAAAGCCTATAGCCTTGGTATCAACTTTTATGAAACTTCTGAATAATACTGTAATGGATAGCTAGACGTATTACTAGGAGAAGCATTCTAAACTCTTGCTATTCCAAGGGAAGAGCTAGTAATATCATAGACTATCCGCTAACCTGAAGTAGATTAAATCCAAAAAAACAATAAAAAGACATCTATATTTGGTCATTCTCATAAATAAATAATAGAGAGTGTGAAAAATAGTTTAAATAGACTTTAAATAAGCTACTTAGATATAGTATATTGCGATAGATTTGATGAGGATACTCCTTTAGAGGAAACAATTAAGGCATTTAATCATTTAATAAAATAAGGTAATATCTTATTGGTTTTATATTTTATATTGAAAAATATTTTAAATTTATTAAAATTTAATTAATAAGGTTTAGTTAATTATTGGGGTACATCAAGATGGACAGCTGCTTAGATCTTTGAAGCAAGATGTATATGTGCTAAGCTAAAACTATCTCCTCCTGTAATATAATAAGTTGAATATAATATGTTATTTAGAGACACTTTCGAAGTAGAGTATTCTAGGCTTTTTGATAAGTATAAAGTAAATTCTACAATTTGGAATCCTTTTTGCTTTGATATTCTAAATAGTTGCACTAAGATGTCATAATCCTTAAGTTCTAAGCTAAAATAAATCAAAGAAAAAGATTAGTATGCTGTTTAAGAATACAATTACCAAATTTCTGAGAATAATTTAAATCAAATATAAAATATCATCAAAAAGATTTCTCTTATTACAAAAAAGCTGGAGTGTACATTTTCTCAGCTTGCTATGGCTTGGATTTTAGCAAATAGAGATGCAACAAGTGTTATTTTCTGTACTAATAATCAAAACTAATTAGAAGAAATAGTAGAATCAATAGAGATAGCTAAGCTAATAACGCCAGAAATAAATAGTGAAATTGATAATATTTTATCAAATCTCCCTATTTTAGGGTTAGATTTTAAAACATTTTCTCCAAAAAAAGGAAGAAGAGAAAAATATTTAGTTTAAAATTAAAATTAAAATATAAATTCAATTTAAACATGAAAGTTTATATATTTTTTATTTAATAATCATTTTTAACTCAATAATCGAAATAAAAAAGATTTTAAATAAATGTTTATAAAATTAAAATTTATCTTTACAAATAACTTCAATATTCTATATTTTATACTTTATAAATAATATAAATATTTTATAAATTAAATAAATATTAATTTCAGTCAAAATGATTTAAAAATTAAGTAAATTAATTACTGTATAAAAATATAGAAAGATGCCATACAAAAATATAGTGATTGGCATGCCAACTTTTATGAAAGAGGTATGATAGGAATTGAAATATTCTTTAAATCTGACTTTAAAATAAATTCATTACAATAAACATATTTAAGGATTAAAAAAATAAATATTTTAATTTAATATTTGGTAATGATTTTCATTTCTTTTATTTCATAAATTTGAGCTATTTGAGCTCTTATATTTTTTGCTATTTGATAATATTCTGTCTTTTTTTTAACAGAGATAAAATCTTTTAGCTTTATGCAGACTTTTTAGTTTAAATTGCCTCAAATATCTTTTTATTTCTATTGGGAGCACTATTAATTTAAAATATCTCTTTAACAAATGTTGTGTAATCACCAAAGCTATTAGAGATAGTTTAATTTAATTATTCAATTATTCTTTTAGATTGAGTTATGTCAATTTATTTTGAGATTGATTCTAAAATGACTTCATTAAAGGCATCACTTAATTATTTGAAAAGTTAACGATTCTCATTTAATTTCTTAAGGATTTAATTAATGGAATCAGAATTAATAGAAGGCAGTTCATAATAAGCTTTTAGAAGTTCCTTTTAGCTATCTCTTAGAATCTAAAACAGACAATAAATATTTTAAGTATTTACTAAATGATACTTAAATTGTCTAATATAATCCTAATTAACATTTTTAGCAAACCTATCAAAGAAATCTGTATACAAATTTATCTACTTAAAGGCAAATTAAATCTACATTAATTTGTTCTTATTCTTCATTAAAAATTTGTAAATTTTAATTGCAGCTTGCTTTTTCTTTGAGATTTCATTTTTAATTAGTTTGTTAAGTTCTTTAAATTTCTTTTCATTTTCTACATGTGTATTCTAAAAGGAAAAAAAATTTTTATTCAGAATAAATAAATTGTTAAAAAATATTTTACATTATTAAATATCTCTAAGCTAATCCATTGACCAAAATGATCTTCAAACTCTTCTTCTTCAATTAAATCTAGCATAGAATCTCTCATATCATCAATTGATTGACTTTAAATTAATTTTTTATAATTTCTGCTGCTTTCTATTTATAATTTAAAAAAAAATGTTGATTTAAAATTTAAAAAAATGTTTTAAAGTAATTACATAAAAAATTAGATTGTTCGAAATTAAACTTTAGATTTTAGAGGGCTTTAATAAGATCTTTTAAAGACTCTTCCTCAGCATCATTTATGTTAGCAAAGATAATAAAAATGATATCTATTAAGTACTAGACATCATATCTATGATAATCACAATCACAATCTTAAGGTGTTTCACAAATATAAATTTCACTTTATTTTTTTTACTTCTCAGAAATTTTTAGTATAAGCTAGCATATTTCATCTAAATCTTCAAAATTATCATAATCATTTAAATTTAACAGTAATGCCAATTTATTTTATTTCTTGAAATTTTAGATTTGCTAAGAATTAAACATAACCATTTATGTTTCCTCTAATTTTTCTAATAATCCAGTATATCTAGTATCATTAGGGATAATTAAATTGATCTTTTTATTTGATGCATAATTTATAACAAGGTTGATAAGTGTCAGTTTAGCCATATTATGGTAAAATTCATCTTCATTTTATTTATATCTGTCAAAAGATATTTAGTTAAATTTCTCAACAAATCCATGTTGCAATAAAATATTTTCATTGTCTGAAAGTCTTTTTTCCAAGTCGTTTAGTTTGAAATTGAGTTATTTGCTAGCATAATCGATTCTTAATTGCACTCTTTGCTAATCAGATATGTTTATTAAATTATTTGACTCTGTTTTATTTATTTATTCTTAGATTTCTTCATTCTCAAAGTTAGCTTTTGGAGCTTTATTTGATGAGTGGAGTTTGCTCAATATTTCATTAAGTTCTTCTTTTGTGTAGTTAATAATTTTAGTTGTAAAACCATTTTCAGGAGCTAAAATATGTTCAAAATCTATATCACAGTAATACATATTACCTTGATCAGACAAGCCTTTATAATTTTTAACAATTCTAGATGCTAATTAGTTATTTTTTTTGATGATAACTCTGTTTCTGCCAAAAATACTTAGGATATCTTAATCTGGAATAGTTCTAACTTAATAAATACTTAAAATGGCTCTGAGGATGATATTTGAATTCTTGTTGTAATTATTGATATATTATTTTTAAAATCTAGATATAATCACAGGAATACTGCGAAGAAGTGCTTAAACTTCTTGAGGAAGTTTATCATTAAAAATTTAAAATTAATTATCATAATTAATGAGCAATAAGAAAGCTGTTATACAATCAAATATTTAAATTTAGCTTAGACCATGTTCATGTTTTGTTAAAATAGATTTAGCAGTTGCCAATAGATCCTTAACAGAGTCGAAATGAGTTTTATCTGTGTTATTTGTTTTATTTTTATTGAAAATACTCCAAATAAACTTATTAAATTTGAAATATGAAGGAAAAGCAAATTGCTTAACTGAGTTAATTGGTACAAAATTTTTATCAATATAATGATAAATATAATGTTCCAAAGACATAATAGCTAATTATATTCCTTATTCATCAGTAGGTTCTTCTTAAGGAAGTAAATTAAATTTAGGTACATTAACATTTTTATTAATGGCTTATGACTAATTTTCATCTAAATAAAGCAATTTATAAGAAGAAAAATCACCAAAAACTTGTGCTATACTAAGAGCTGACTTCTTGTCAATTAAAAAGAGAATTCTTTTCCAATAACCAAAAAGCAATAAGGATTTGATAAACTCAGAGTTGAAAATATTATTTCCTTTCAAATTTCCATCGCTATTTTGAATTAACTCAGGATTCAAAGACTCAAAAATTGAATGGATAGCGGTGTTAGAGATGATTGACAAATCCTTTAAAATAAAATATTAATAAATTTAAATTTTGTAAAAAAAATCAATAAATATTTTTAAATTTAATTAATAAAAGTTATTTACCTTTTACTTTCTCATAAACAATTGAGCTTATTAGTTTAGATGAGAAGGCTAAACAATAGCACTGCACTTAGAAAAAGGTGAGTAACTATATGCTAGTTAAGTTAAAATAGAAGTTATCATATCATATACTTAGAAGCGATTACAAATTTATAAACACAATTTTGATTAATTATAATTTTATAAATTCTTTATAACCTATAAATTTAAAGACCTGTCTATTTTATCACAGTTTATCTTCTTTAATTAGGGTGCTTATTCTATTGATATTTTATCTAAAACAATTTCTTCTTCTTAATTTTCTTAATTTAAAATTTCTTTTAGTTGATTTTTGATCTAAGTATCAGTAATAGCAAGTAAATTTAAGACTCTGATAAGAATTTAATCAGAAATACTTGTATTTTCCTTGGTTTAAATAATCTAGAATTCATCTCCAACCTATTTTAAAACAAAATAATTTAGAATTAAAACAACTATTAAATAATTAAATATTACAATTCCACTATTTTCCAAAATAGAAAACTCAGAAAAGGTATGACTTTGAGATTTTCTTGATTAGTTTAGCTTATCAATCATAGATTAATTATTAACTCCTAACCATTCATCATTATGATCAATATTTGAAAGTAGATCAAAACTCATTTCACTTACATTAGAATTAGAAATTCCTGTTCCTATTACTTGGTAGTTGCTCTTGGAATTACTCTTCTAATTACTGTGTTAAAGTTAATTAGAATTATTATTGATTTATTCAAAACTATCATCGTTAAAAGTCATTTCATCAATTTTTTAGTCAATAACGCTTTACTAATTTAATTAATCACCTGCTTCATCTTCATTTTTATCTTCATCTTAAATATGGTCAGAGTCAAAAGATGAAAAAGATTCATCAGATTCATTTTCTTAAATGGTTTCATTTTAAACCTTTAAAATTCAAATTAATAAATAAATAAATAATTTAAAAATGTTTGATAAAATTTTACTTGTTTTGGATTGTTGGCATTTTCTAATTCCTGATTAATTTATTAGAAAGCAAATTAAGTGTATTTATCCAATAATTTTTCGTATTCATCGCTTTCAAAACTGCTTGGATTTCTCTAAATTAGCATCAAAGCTTGATTCCAGTCTTGAATATGTTCGTAGCATTAAAGAGCCTTGTGGAAATCTTTTATTTTTTCATAAAGTTCTGATGCTTATTTAAATTTATTTCCTTGCAAAAATAGGGACTCAGCTGCTTCTCTAATAAAATCAATTTCTAAGTAAATTTATGCTGATTTTTCATATTAGCAACCTGAAAAATAGCACTAGGCAGCTTGCTTTTTTCTGTTTATTTCGAGGAACTTTTCAGCTATTTCAATAAATTTACTTTAAGCTTATTTGAGCTCTTTTTAAAGATTAGATTTAGCTATCTTCTTAGCTTAACTGTTACACAGAGAATAAGTACCTATGCCTTTTTTAAGAAGTTAGAGGTTATTTTCTATATCAACTATTCTTTGTGAATTAGCTGATGCTTCATAGTATGCCTAGGCTTTCTTTTCCCATTATAAATTGCCTGATTTCTTAAAGCACTTTATAGCTTATTCAAAGTATTTATATTTAAACATCTTCAATCCTTACTCATGCCACTCATTAGGTGTATTCTTTACAAGAAGTTGCTTTACACTATCTATAACTTATTCTTTCTCTTTTGTTAAGGTTTAGTTAAGCTAAACCTTATCGTTCTTAGTATTTGTCTCTTAAGTTGGTTCAAAATCGTTTTAAGATATAAAAGAGACAAGATTTTACTTTTACCAGTAATCGTCAACATACTTTCTATTTAAAGTATTAGAATCAAAAATTATTAATCTTTTTTTAGGACGAGTTATAGCAGTATAAAGTTGCTTTAGTTCAGAACAAAGAAGAGCATTACTAATACGATCAAATATTCTTAATTCATGATTTTTGGTATTTACTGTCTTAATTGTAACTATATCATTTTTTTCGTCATATTCTACACCATAAGTACTTGCAAATAAGGGGTCATTAACATCTGTAATTGAATCTTTAGAGAAGACTGAATCATGAACTATTTTATAAACAAAAATTATTAGCCTAAAATATTTTTATAGAATACAAATTACTTGTCATCTACCTAAAGAAAGTTTCTTTTGACATTTTTTCTGAGTTAATATTAAATAAGCTTACAGACTCCCACTAATTGTGTGGAGCAGCGCTATCAGCAAAAAAGTTAAAAAGAATAACATCATCGAACTCAAGACCTTTAGCTTCATAAATAGTCAAGCAAATAGCATGTTGTAAAATTGGAGGTAACTGTTTTAAAAGAAAGAGAAATTAACATTTAAAATTAAAAATATAAAAAGTTTACCTTCTTTTTGCTTTCCTCGTCTTTAACAATAATAACTTAGTGACAACCAAATTCTAAAGGTATTTAACCTTATTCAGATTACTGACCTTAGAGTAAAGTGAATAGAAACCCAATATCTGAATTTTAAAGTACAATTGGTTTCATACCATCTATATTAGATCTTTCTTTCTTTAGTATATCGATAGAAGTTGGGAATAGCCCCTCAATTAAACTGATTACACTGTTAGAAAGTTAAAGAATTTTGTTATGAGATCTAAAGTTAACCTATTTTATTTTTTTAATTATTTTTAATAAGATTTGAATAATTTAATATAAAATTCAGTACAGTGAGTTGGCGAGTAGTTGGTAAATCTAATTTTTTATCAAAGAAATGAGAGAATTCTGTAAAAATATTGCTAAGGTCTCCAAATCTAAATCCAACACCTCTTGCAATAGTTTAAGCTGAGTCACCAGCTAAGAAAAGATTTTACTCATTAACTATAGAGAAAAGAGTAATGATTGCATAAGGCAAATCTTAAACTTCGTCTATCATTGTAAAGTGAATAGAGGGTAAATCACATTTCTTGTTTTGAATCTCCTTCAACAAATAATTGACTAAATCCATCAAGTCATATCCTTGTTGCTTTAATTTCCATTTCTCATAATACTCAAACATGGTGTAAATAACTTGTTTCTATTATTCTGAGAGTAAAGGATTAAGGTTTTACTTCATGTAATCATCTCTAGACATATACCTAATGTTTAAATTAATTTATTTCAATTGTAAATAAATTTATCATAAAATAATTTTTTTTATCAAACAAAAATGATAAATTTTACCTTTCAAAATATGTAAAACTTTGAAAAGATCCTTTTATGTATGAATATATTTCAGTCCATAAAGTATTGCAAGAGATTAAAGAAGAATCTTTAAATTTTGCAGAAGCAATAGGCCAAAATGCGGTTGTGAAATAGGCATAGTCAACTTCAAACTTTCTATCATTAGGGGTAAGTTTTTCAACATTAGGAATGTTTTCAACTAATTGTTAGTGAGTTTAAAAATACATTTATCTTTAGTATAACTCTTCTAGATTTTCCCCTGAGTAATTATTATAAAATTCTTCTTCTTTATTTTAAATTTCTTACTCTTAATCTAATATACTATCTTCTTAACTATCTGCATTTAATTTTTAGATTTATTTTTCAGATTTATAGTTACCCCAGCTACTTTGCCCTGCTTAAAATACAAGCTTGCCATCTTTATCCTTCAAAAAGAAAGGGTTATGTAAGCACCCTTCAATAAGCATAAGGTATTATCTAACTGTCAAAAAAGCAGGAAAATCTTAAGATTTCAAATCTTGTAAGGACTTAAACTTGACACCTTATTCAGTCATAACAAATCTATCGTTCATACTATCTTCTTCAAACATATCTTCATCATCATTTTCATTATTATGATCATTCTTTTCTTCTTCTTCTTCATCATAATTTTTTTCTATGAAATTTAACAATGTTTTTTAGAAAAAGAAAATGATTTTTTTAAATTAAGAATAAACAATTTTTTAATAATTTTCTAAATTTGTTTATTTTTATTTATAAAACATTTAAGATTAATTAATTATTTTATTTTTATTTAAAGAGAGAGAATGTTTTATTTTTTTTTTCAAAGTAATTGATAATAGTGATTTTTAAAATATTATGAATTTAATTTAATAAAATACTCTCAATAAATGAAAGCTATTGAATCTCTTTGTTGATAATTTATTCTTCTTCTGAAGTAACAATATTATCTTAACCTTGTGATTCACTCAAAATCTTTAGGAAAGATTCTGTCTCTTGAACAGTGAGGTTACTAATAGATTCTGTATCTGATTAATCTTCACTCGATTATACCTATGTTCTTTACAAAACTTGCTTTCTTCTAATTTCATCTTTAACTTAAGTTATCAATTTTTTGTAATATCTTTTGATTTAATTAGCAAGAACAGGAGAGGCTGTGATAAAAACACTTTGCATACCTATTTACTCATTTGTAAAAGCATCCTACAAAATTTTGGTATTTTTTGAAATGTAAATTTAAACTCTAATATGAAATAAAATTTCCATAGCAAAAAGACGAAGCAAGGCACTAGTTGTTTTTCCAGTACCAGATCTTCCTATTACTAAGACATTTCCTTATTAACCAATTACATTGATTTCTTCTTATGTTAATTTAAGATTCAAATTAGGAATTTTTTAGAGCAATTCTACTAAATTTGAAGCAGAAGAAAAATCAGCAAAAGATTGTAAAAGAAGCTTATTTTAAAAGGCTCTTTCTTCTTTTTCCTAATTTATTTTAATTTATAATTTTTAAATAAAATAATTAAGATTATTTTTAACATCAAACAAAGTTTATATAAATAGCAATACAATTCTATTGTATATTAATTAATAAAAATATAAAATACCTAAAACTTTTCTTCTAAGACTTTCTTTTCCTTCAATATCCAGCGATAAATATCAGGATCATATTCATATTATTAGCTTTCTTCGAAATTAAGGAAATGGGGAATAAACTTTTAGAGAGTAAATGCAAACTCAAATTCTTATTATTTATAATGTGGATCTTTAAGTTTAAGCTTGTGTTCTTGCTCAGTTATCAATACTGACTTAAACTTTTATTTGATTAAAATAATTTGTTAATAAATATTTTGATTTTAAATAAAATTCACTATTTACCTATTGATATCCTTTTTAAGAATTGTTTTAAACAAAAAAGAAACTTGAGCCTTTGGTATAATGGTAACTATAAGGATTTGAATTGGGATCTATAGCTGGAATTCTGCTAATATTTATTCTAGCAGGATCGTTAAGCAATTAATCATATTTAAGCTTTATATACTAGGTGTCAAATGCACTATTTCTACCAACTAAATCAATCACCATTATATTCTAGATATACTCAAACTTGGTAATCTGTTTATATTTTAGATTAAATCAAATTTAGAATAATCAAAAAAGTTTTACTTAGTCATCAGTCCTATTTAAAACAGGAACCTGCTCTACACCAACCATAAATAACAAGTCGAAGGATGGTGTAAAAGTTCTTTTTACTATAAATTCTGTCATAAACATTTATTAGTTTATTGAAATATCTATCCTGAAACAATCTTTGAAATTGCCTTTTAGTAAAAATTCAAGCTGGTATAAAATATAGCATATCTAGTCGAAGTTGAGTTGTCTTAATCTAGAGATAAAATGATCTTTTGGTTTTATTGAAATAAATTTTAATTTCTAAATGGCTTTACACAAAAGGAATAATTAATATTACTATGAACTCTAAATGGCCAAACGTCTGATGCAAATAGAAGCATTTGGTTTAAAACCTTTGTTTGATGAGGAACTTATTGATTCTTTCCAGAAAGATGATAGTATTCGTTATAATCATAAAGGGATTAAAACCATGATATAATAAATTCTTTGTAGTTTCTCTCAAAATTGATATTATGTCTGAAGTTTAGGTTTTAAATAAAATTGAAGCACTTACTTTCTAAAAGTTCCTTAATCTCTTTATTGAAGTTATCTGCTGCACCTTCTTCTTACTTGACTAAGATAGTAGCTTTTTAGTCTTTTTTTACCTTTGAATTAGAAACTTATTGTGCTTTCTTTTTCATTTTTATCTTGTAGGTTTGATTTCTTTTGTGAGTTTTTTTATTATCTCTTTAAATATAATTATTTTTTATAATAAATATCTGATGATTTAATAGAGGCTTTAAGAGTTTTGGCAGAAAATTGTGTACATAAATTGATTATAAAAAATTAATAATTTATTACATATCATTTAAAGAAAGAAGTAAGTATTTTTACAAGAAATCTCAACACAAATATAATGAAATTAGAGTAAACAAAGATATTTAATTAATATAGATAGTTTTGAAACCTATTTTAATTCTAAATAAGTAGAATCAAATATTTTATTTTTGCTTTGTCTGCTTTAAATTAATATAAAACTGTAAAAAAATTTAAAACACATGATTGAATATATTTTAAAAGAATGCCCATATTTTTAAAAATATATCCACTTTATTTTATAAATTATTAATTTTATTACATCTATGAGTTAAAAAAATTCTGCTCGAATAGATTAGGATGCTAATAATATTCTATTTAAAGCATAGACGCTTTTTTTATTTATATTTATATTTATTATTATCTAGATATAGGTTTAATAGAGTCTAGTCTAACCAATTTAAAAATAAACAAATATTTACTATATTTTCTATCAGAAAATTAGTTTAATAGTCTAGTTTATTGTAGATACTCAAAAACTTAGACTTTTTTATTTCAGGATTATTTTTTGAAATATTTAATTTAAATAGGGTATAATTTTGATATTTGATTCTATGGCTATTTAGAAGATTTATATTTATTGTAAGATATGTTTTGTAAATATAAATGAATTGAAAATTTTATTTTTTCTAAATTTATAAATTAGGAAAAATGTTTAAAAATCTCAATATATTTGTAAAATTTTTCTTTTATGGCTTTCAAGTTTCCAGTTTATCACACTGTGAATCCTTATTATATATAAATAGCCATTTTAATTAAGTAATAATTACATTAATTTTTTTTTGTCTTTAAATATTAAATACAAACAAATTACAAAATAAAATAAAAAAAATTCAATAATTATTTCTATTATTTGTCTTGTCTCTTGTAAAGGAGAGCATATTTCTTTATGTTTATATTTAACTAGAATAAAATTCTTAATCACCATCATCTTCATCATTTTCCTTCTATCCTTATTGATTGTAATCGTTTTGTTATGAATTCATTTCCCTGAAAGTAGTATTGGGGAAAGAAATTGAAAAGGAATCAGAATTTTAATTTTCTATACTTGGAAATGATTCTTAGAAATTATTAGAAAAATTTGAATCTGTTATTGTAAGGTTATTTGTCTGTTTTTTCCCAAAAATACCTTATAAGTCTATTTAAGGGTCACTCTTTTAATAGTCTAAGTAATTATTTATGACCTCTTATTAAATTATTTCTTAAATTAACGTTTGTTGATTCAATTTACTTTCAGAATTAGAATAGCATAAATTACTGATATCAATATTTTATTTTTAAAAGCACCTAAATCTAACATGATTTTGTAAATCTATATCATTTGAGTTAAAAGATTTTTGTAATGCTAAAGGGAAATTTACCTATTCGTTTTTGATAATGTTTTTTAGCAAATGCATTAAAAAAGTAGTTTGCTTTTCCTTCACATGCTAATTTAAGGGTGAATTAAAGCACAAAACCCACTTTTCTTTAAAAATACTTTGCTCCAAATCATAACTTTCTGAGTAGTTGAGTATAATTAAAAGTTCTACTTGTTAAATATCTTTTAAGTTAGGTTAATTTTTTTAAGTATTTAAATTTTCTAGATCTAAAATTTCATATTTATCCTTAAGATCACTATCATCTTGATCTATAATAATAATCTTTTTTAGCTTTTTGAATTCTTAGATTTTTTAAATTTACTAGACATTGCTTTTGGTGAACAATTTCGTCGTAAAAATGACTCTGTTATAGATATTTTCATAAATATTTTTTTTGATGTAAAAAGACTTATCGATATAAGAATGCAAAAGCTCTCTTGCACATTTAAAATAGTATTAAACGAATAGAAAACTATCATGAAAGTTCTGTAGTAAATTTTGATTAATTTTAGAATTTAAAATCTAATCTTCATTTACTTTACTAAATATTTCATAAAAATCCTCACAATTGAGTTAAATATTACCAAATAGACTTATTAAACTTTGTGTGTTAGTATTTTTGATATTATGGAAAATCTGTTCGATCAGTAGCTCTAATTCATAATAAGCAGTAAAACTTTGTTGTATATGTTACTAGTAATGGCTATAAGTTTTAAAATTTTAAGAATATTCACTTTTAAATTCTATATATATTTTTCTCAATTCAAGAACTTAATGTTTAATTTTACTAATACCTTACAATCCTTCGCTTAAATCACTTACACTGTTTTCTATTTATATTCTATTATTTTTTATCAATTATGCTTTATTTAAGAAATAAATAAGCTCTTTTAATAAATTTGACTATAATAATATATAGATACATTACTTCTTAACATTTTTACTTTAGTTAATTGGAGATTGTCTTGTTTATTTTCTTAATTGTACTTTGTATACTTGATTATAATTATTCTAAAATTTTTTATTAAGATTGAGTATATAATCAATATCATTATAGGTAGATTTTTAAAAGTCAATATAAGAAATTGTTCTAATGATATTTCTTTATTGTACCATAATAGATAATTAAGAATTCTCCTTCAAGTTTATATTTGCATTTTTTATACTTAAATAGTGAAGGTTATAATTTTTATGATTTAGCCTTGCTACTTAATTGTAATATTTTACTTTTAGATAGTCTAAAATACATTCAACTTCTTTTAAATCAGAAAATGAATCAATTTCATTATTTGTTTAACATTTTTTTACAAAAGTTAAAACTCTTTTGTGAATTTTAATTATATCTCTAAATTCTTTATGAAATTTCTTTTCAAAATTGATTCCTATCAAATATGATTTTGTTAATACAAAATCTAGTGGTTGTAATTCATTAAGAATAATATATTTAGCTATTTCTCTAAATTAGGGTGCTATTTCGAAATATTCAATGCTAAAAAAATTCAAAATCCCTTTAAGAGACCAAATATTCATATTTTTAGAATTTATAGGATTTTAATACAAAATCTAGAGTTTATCCTTATTAATTTAACAATTTTATAAAATTATTTTTAGGAGACATTTCATTAGACCCTTTTTTTAGATTAATTGATGGCATTTTGAGCAATTTATCATGATATTTTTAAACAAATACTTATACAGATATTTATTTTCTCTATAATTTTCAGGATCTATAAAGCTTAATAAATAACGATTCATTTTCTCATAGGATTGTTAATCTTCATAATTTTTTGCATGTTTTTCACTTTTTTTACTTGATTCTATCTAATCGAGGGATTCACTATTGTTTTGAGAAATGGTTTCATTAATTTGTTATAAAAATTATTAAAACATGCAATTATTTGTTTCTTATCTGATTGATTTTTATTTAATTAAATCATTAAATAGTTCATAAGTTTTTTCATAATATTCGTATAATTTATTTTATTTTTAAATCTAGCAATATTTTAAGTATTCTTTAACACTTTCTAAATCCAATTTTAACTTTTCCATGATGATTTAAATTTAATCTAAAGGAAGGTTTTTAATCAAATTATCAATATTTTTAATGGTAAAAGAATAAAAAAATATTGAGTCAAAAATATTTTCTTCTTCATGCTAAATGTAAAGTTGAATATTTTCCTTTCTACCCCTTACAAAGCTTAAATTATCATTGTCTTTCAATTTTTTCCAATCATAAAAATAAAATAGATTTATTCTATGGTCTTAATTTTGGTCTTATTCTAATATATTTTTTTTTATTTACTTTAAATCTAAAAGAAAGATTCTTTAAAAATCTTCCATTTTATCAATACCAGTAATATTTAATATATGAATTTGTGACTTATAATCAGTGGATTTTGACTAAACATCAGTTAAATATTTAAGGAATCTTCCTTTACTTTATTCGTAGTAATTAAGCTTTAATGAAAAGTCTTTTTAGCTTTTCTTCATGCATTTACTTAGAGATTTATCTATATCATCAATATCTTTGCTTCTAGAAAGTTTTGGGTAATAATTACTTAGAAAGTCAGGTCCATTTAATACTAATTACTAGTATTTATGATCTTATAAAGAGAAATTTGGATAAGTTGAGTTTTTTTATTAATTAAATTTAAATCTTTCTCCTTCTAAAAACATTTATTTTAAGAAATTCACTGAAATTAAAAAAATGGCTTCCTAAATTTAACTTTAGTTTTCTAATGAAGTTAAAAACCTTTTATAAATGTGTGATTTCCTCAATGAGCTGATATCTTTAAAAAGTTTACTAATACACCTATTACAGAACAGCATATAATATTTTCTACTCAAAAAAAATAATTTTTCTGAATTAGTTTTTTTACAGCTTTCTTGATGCAACTCTATAAACTATTTTAAGTAGTTAAACTCATTTTCAGTCAAACCTTTGACTAGGTTTGGATGTTTGGTTTGACAATACTCAAAATTTTTTTGATTTTCGTTTTTAAAGCAATCACAATTTTTATTTTTTTCTTTAAACTGTTAAAATTCACAAGCATTACCAGTACAACATACTTAATTTAAATAGATCATCTGTTTCAATTAGATACTATTTATGTGTTGCTTTGCTTCTTCAATAATTTTTAGCCATAATATTTTATTTTCTTTTTAGTTTTAAGGAACTTTTTTGTCCTAACTTTCTGATATTTAAGATCTAATCTATGAAAGGAATTTTTTGTATACTAGAGTAACAAATTTATAAGCATATTTATCATTAATTTCAAATTCACTATTTATTGCTAAGGTATTAAAAACTTTATTATTTTTAATTCTTAGCATATCATCATAAATACCTTAGCTATAACAAGCATTAAGTATTATTAGGCTAGGATTACAATTCGATTTTTGGATCCATTTCATGAATTGTTATCCCTATAATTTTATTAATTAAATAATTTTCAACACTTGATAATGAAGGGGAAGTTTCTTAAAAAGTTTAAATATAATGAAATTAATTAGTAAAATATATATATCTATTCTTGTATAATTATTTCATGAGGTAGAAAAATATATTTAGTAGAACTATAAATATTACTTTATAAAATAAAAGAAAATTTAAAAGAAATAAAAAATAGTAAAAAACATTTAATCAAAGATTTAATTTTTTGATGATGAAATCTAAATTTCTTAATCAAACATTATATCTTGAATTAAATTATATTTATTTAAATAGAATGGAAAAAAAACTCAAGATTAATTGCTTGATTAAAAAATTTTTATTTCTTCATCGAAAAATTAAATCTTTGATTAAATATTTTTTATTTATTCAGGTTCGAAACCTATTTCGATACCTTTTTTTACTATTTATAAATTCTATTTTAATTAATAATAAAATATATATTATTCAACTAAATATAAATTATTTACTCACCCAATAATTATTATAGAATAGTTATGGAAAAATATTGTTTAATTTACCAATAGCTGAAAATAATTAAAAGTGGAAAAAAAGAAATTAAAATATTTTTAGTTTAATTAAATGAAAAATTTACTGTGATCATTTATTGTTCTCCTTTTTAATCTTCTATTTCTAAATACGTGGTGTATTTATTTGAATCTAATAATCTTTTTCCGTGGCAAATTACGTGTATAATTTATGGATTTAAAGAAAGCATTTCTTTGAAGCTTTCTTTTGTTTTCACTATGCTAATGCTACATCCAATTTTCTTTTTGTAAAGAACACTTTATATTTTCATAATTTCTTTTTCACAGCTAACATCATTTGAATTCTCCTTTTTTGGCATTCCTATTAAAAATAAAATGTCTATCTAGCTTTTAATCTAATTATTCTAATTATTCTGAATTTTAGTCATGTTTTCTTTTATTTCATTGATCTGTTTTTGCAAGCTCTGTATAATCATGTCTTATTATTTTAATTTGCTAAAAAAAAAATGAGCTAAACTAAAAAGTAAAACAAAAGAAATATACTTTTATAATCCTAATCCTGCATCCTTAAATATTATTTTACTATTAGTTATAGTGCTACTTACATCTAAATCAATCTCTATAAACTCATTTTCACTTAATTAGCCTTATTCGCCATCTTTTGTATAAGAAATAGGTTGACCATTATTACAAATTATATCTTCTTTTTCTAAACTTTCTGTGATTTCGCTATACTTTAAGCAGTATAAGCTATTAGATAAAAGATTTTCTACCTTAATTCCAACTGTAATTGTTATTAATTCAGTTCTCTTTTTATTATAGCTTTATTAGTATAAAAACTCTATTTTATGCTATGATAGATCAAAACTCATACCTTTTATTTCTAATTATCTTTTAATTCAATTTATAATTAAATATATATTTTTTCAATTGAATTTTTTTATGACTACTAAAATCTCAATAAATTTATTTTTAATAGTTAGTTTGCTCAATTTAATAAGGTAATTTCTAATATACATTTTTTTATTTTAAACAAAATTATAATTTTAATTTTAAACAATATTATAATTTTAATTTTGCAAATTCTTTCATATATTTACAGTTAGGCATTTTTATTGAATAAATAAATTTATTTGAGAATTATATTTACACTGATCATAAAAAATTGTTGGTAATTAAATAGTAGAATATTATTATTTATTAATGAAAGTAGTGTTGCTAAATGTATTTTTATACATTCAATAAAAATATAAAAGATAATTTTATTAAATATAAATAGTGTATGTTGAATTATAATTTTATAAATTATATGAATTAATTCATATTTAGTGAATCAAATTTATTAATAATCCTAAATAAAAATAAAAAAATTTTCGTTTTATTTCATAAATTTGAAAAAAAATTTTTTTTTATGGCTTTCAAGTTTCCAGTTTACCAAAATGTAAATCCTCATTATATATAAATAGCAATTTAAATTAAGTTATAATTATCTTAATTTTTGCCTTTAAATTTAAAATACAAACAAATTACAAAATAAAATAAAAAAGATTCAATTATTACTTCAATTGTTTATCTTGCTTGATAAGTAGTTAAACGCATCTTTTTCTGTTTAGATTTAACTATAATGAATTTTATTATTATCATTATCATCATTTTCCTTCTATCCTTATTGATTGTAATCGTTTTGTTATGAATTCATTTCCAAAGTAGTATTGAGGGAAGAAGTTGATAAGGAAACAGATTAATTTTCAAAATTTTTAAAATCTCCGTTAGAACTTTTATCAATTGTACAGTTATTTGTATCCTCTAAAATATCTTGTAATTCTTTTTAAGAATCACTATCTTAACAGTCTAAGTAATTATTTATGACCTCTTATTTATAAATTTCTTAAATTTCTGTTTCTTGAAATAACATACTTTCAGAATTAGAATAGCATAAATTACTGATATCAATATTTTATTTTTAAAAGCACCTAAATCTAACATGATTTTGTAAATCTATATCATTTGAGTTAAAAGATTTTTGTAATGCTAAAGGGAAATTTACCTATTAGTTTTAGATAATGTTTTTTAGCAAACGCATTAAAAAAGTAGTTTGTTTTTCCTTCATATGCTAATTTAAGGGTGAATTAAAGCACAAAACCCACTTTTCTTTAAAAATACTTTGCTCCAAAACATAACTTTCTGAGTAGTTGAGTATAATTAAAAGTTCTACTTGTTAAATATCTTTTAAGTTAGGTTAATTTTTTTAAGTATTTAAACTTTTTAGATCTAAAATTTCGTATTAATCCGTAAGATCACTATTATCTTGATCTATAATAATAATCTTTTTTAGCTTTTAGAATTATTAGAGTTTTTAAATTTATTAGATATTGCTTTCGGTGAACAGTTTTGTAGTAAAAATGGCTCTGTTATAGATATTTTCATTAATTTTTTTTTTTATGTGAAAAGACTTATTGATATAAGAATGTAAAAGCTCTCTTTTACATTTAAAATAGTATTAAACGAATAGAAAACTATCAAGAAAGTTTTGTAGTAAATTTTGATCAATTTTAGAACTTAAAATTTAATATTCATTTATTTTTTTAAATACTTCAAAAAAATCCTCACAATTGAGTTAAATATTACCAAATAATCTTATTTAACTTTATGTATTAGTATTTTTGATATTATGGAAAATCTGTTCGATCAATAGCTCTAATTCATAATAAGCAGTAAAGCTTTGTTGTATATCTTACTTGTAATTGTCATAAGTTTCAGAATTTTTAGAATATTCACTTTAAAATTCTAAATATATTTTTCTCAATTCAAGAATTTAATGCTTAACTTCAATAATACCTTAAAATCTTTCACTTAAATCACGTACACTGTCTTCTATTTATATTTGATTATTTTTTATCAACTATACTTTATTTAAGAATTAAATAAGTTCTCTTGATAAATTAGACTATAATAATATATAGATACATTACTTCTTAACATATTCTTTTTAGTTATCTGGAGATTGTTTTGTTTATTTACTTAATTTTACTTTGTATACTTTATTATAATTATTCTAAATTTTTTTATTAAGTTTGAGTATATAATCAATATCATTTTAGGTAGGTTATTAAAAATCAAAATAAGAAATTGTTCTAATGATATTTCTTTATTGTACCATAATAGATAATTAAGAATTCTCCTTCAAGTTTATATTTGCATTTTTTATACTTAAATAGTGAAGGTTATAATTTTTATGATTTAGCCTTGCTACTTTATTGTAATATTTTACTTTTAGATAGTCTAAAATACATTCAACTTCTTTTAAATCAGAAGATGAATCAATTTCATTATATGTTTAACATTTTTTTACAAAAGTTAAAACTCTTTTGTGAATTTTAATTATATCTCTAAATTCTTTATTAAATTTCTTTTCAAAATTGATTCCTATCAAATATGATTTTGTTAATATGAAATCTAGTGGTTTTTAATCATCAAGAATAATATATTTAGCTATTTCTCTAAATTAGGGTGCTATTTCGGAATATTCAATGCTAAAAAAATTCAAAATCCCTTTAAGAGACCAAATATTCATATTTTTAGAATTTATAGGATCTTAATACAAAATCTAGAGTTTATCCTTATTAATTTAACAATTTTATAAAATTATTTTTAGGAGACATTTCATTAGACCCTTTTTTTAGATTAATTGATGGCAATTTGAGCAATTTATCATGATATTTTTAAACAAATACTTATAAAGCTATTTATTTTCTCTAAAATTTTCAGGATGTATAAAGTTTAATAAATATTGATTCATTTTCTCATAAGATTATTAATCTTCATCATTTTTTGCATGTTTTTCACTTTCTTCACATGATTCTACCTAATTGAGACATTCACTTTTGTTTTGAGAAAATATATTATTAATTTGTTATAAAAATTATTTAAATTAGCAATTATTTGTTTCTATTTTCTAATTTGATTTTTATTTAACTAAATCATTAAATAATTCATAAGTTTTTTCATAATATTCATATAATTTATTTTATTTTTAATTTTAGCAATATTTTAAATATTTTTTAACACCTTCTAAATCCAATTCGAGCTTTTACATGATGCTTTAAATTTATTGTTAAGAAAGGTTTTTAATCAAATCATCTATATCTTTAATTGTAAAAGAATAAAAAAATATTGAGTCAAACATATTTTCTTCTTCATGCTAAATGTAAAATTGAATATTTTCTTCTCTACTCCTTACAAATGTTAAACTATCTTTGTCTTTCAATTTTTTCCAATCATATAAATAAAATTAATTTATTTTATGGTCTTAATTTTGGTCTTATTCTTATAAATTTTTTTGTATTTACTTTAAATCTAAAAGAAAGATTCTTTAAAAATCTTCCATTTTATCAATACCAGTAATATTTAATATATGAATTTGTGAGTTATAATCAGTGGATTTTGACTAAACATCAGTTAAATATTTAAGGAATCTTCCTTTACTTTATTCATAGTAATTAAGCTTTAATGAAAAGTCTTTTTAGCATTTCTTCATGCATTAACTTAGAGATTTATCTATATTATCAATATCTTTGCTTCTAGAAAGTTTTGGGTAAAAATTACTTAGAAAGTCAGGTCCATTTAATATTAATTACTAGTAATTATGATCTTATAAAGAGAAATTTGGATAAGTTGAGTTTTTTTATTAATTAAATTTAAATCTTTCTCCTTCTAAAAACATTTATTTTAAGAAATTCACTGAAATTAAAAAAACTTCTTCAGCAATTTAACTTGAATTTTCTAATAAAGTTAAAAACCTTTTAAAAATTTGTGATTTCTTCAATGAACTGATATCTTTAAAAAGTTTATTAATACACCTATAACATAACAGTATATAATATTTTCTATTTAAAAGATATAATTTTCCTGAATCTTTAGATTTTTTACAGCTTTCTTGATGTAACTCTACAAATTATTTTAAGTAGTTAAACTCATTTTCAGTCAAACCTTTGACTAGGTTTGGATGTTTGTTTTTATAATACTCAAAATTTTTTTGATTTTCGTCTTTAAAGCAATCACAATTTTTATTTTTTTCTTTAAACTGTTAAAATTCACAAGCATTACCAGTACAACATACTTAATTTAAATAGATCATCTATTTCAATTAGATACTATTTATGTATTTCTTTGCCTTTTTAATTATTTTTAGCCAAAATGTTTTATTTTCTTTTTAGTTTTAAGGAGCTTTTTTGTCCTAACTTTCTGATATTTAAAATCTCATCTCTGAGAGGAATTTTTTGTATACTAGCGTAACAAATTTATAAGCATATTTATCATTAATTTCAAATTCACTATTAATAGTTAAGGTATTAAAAACTTTATTACTTTTAACTCTTAACATATCATCGTAAATACCTTAGCTATAACAAGCATTAAGTATTATCAGGCTAGGATTGCAATTTGATTTTTGGATCCATTTCATTAATTATTATCCCTATAATTTTATTAAATATATAATTTTCAACACTTGATGATGAAGGGGAAACTTCTTAAAAAGTTTAAATATAATGTAAGTTAGTAAAATATATTTATCTATCCTTGCATAATTATTTTGTGAGTAAGAAATATATATTTAGTAGAACTATAAATATTACTTTATTAAATATAATACATTAGAATAGCTAGAGTAAAATATTATTTATTTAACCAATAGCTGAAAATAATTAAATGTGGAATAAAAGAAATTAAAATATTTTTAATTTAATTAAATGAAAAACTTACTGTGATCATTTATTGTTCTCCTTTTTAATCTTCTATTTCTAAATACGTGGTGAATTTATTTGAATCAAATTATCTTTTTCCGTGGCAAATTACGTGTATAATTTATGGATTTAAAGAAAGCATTTCTTTGAAGCTTTCTTTTGTTTTCACTATGCTAATTGTGCATCCAATTTTATTTTCGTATAGAACACTTTATATTTTCTTAATTTCTTTTTCACAACTAACATCATTTGAATTCTCCTTTTTTGGCATTCCTATTAAAAATAAAATATCTACCTAGTTTTTAATCTAATTATTCTGAATTTTAACCAGGTTTTCTTTTATTTCATTAATTTGTTTTTGTAAGCTTTGTATAATCATGTCTTATTATTTTAATTTGCTAAAAAAAAAATCAGCTAAACTAAAAAGTAAAACAAATGAAATTATACTATTATAATCCAAATCCTGCATTCATAAATATTATTTTACTATCAGTTATAGTGCTACTTAGATTTAAATCAATCTCTATAAACTCATTTTCACTTAATTAACATTATTAACCTTATTCGCCATCTTTTGAATAAGAAATAGGTTGGCCATTATTACAAAAAATATCTTCTTTTTCTAAACTTTCAGTGATTTCGCTATACTTTAAACAGTATTAGCTATTAGATAAAAGATTTTCTACCTTAATTACAATTTAAATTGATATTTCAGCTCTATTTCTATTAAAACTTTAGTATTTATACTCTATTTTATGCTATGATAGATTAAAACTCATACCTTTTATTTCTAATTATCTTTTAATTCAATTTATAAGTAAATATATATTTTTTCAATTTAATTTTTTTATGAATACTAAAATCTGTATAAATTTATTTTTAATAGTTAATTTATACAATTAAATAAGGTAATTTCTCATAAATATTTTATTAATTTAAACAATATTATAATTTTAATGTTACAAATTCTTTCATATATTTACTGCTTGGAATTTTTATTGAATAAATAAATTTATTTGAGAATTATATTAATACATAATCAAAAACAAATTTTGGTAATTAATTAAGTAGAGTATATTTATTTATTAATGAAAGTTGTGTTGATTGATAAATGCATTTTCAAGCATTTAATAAAAACATAAATTATAATTTTATTAAATATAAATGGTGTATGTTTATTTATAATTTTATAAAATTATTGAATTAATTCTTTTTTAGTTAATAAATTTTATTAATAATCCTCTTTAAAAATATAGAAATTTTTGTTTTCCTAAAAAGATATATCTAGAAAATTTAAAATTTAAAATTTTAATATTTTCTAGCTATTATCCTTTGTAATTTAAAATGTTTAAATCAATTTTTGGAGTGTACGTTTAAGAAATTAACAATAAATGTTAAAATGATGCTTAAAAGACTAATAACAACTGATTAAATAAGTCCAAAAGTGATTTTAATGCCTAACAGTTTAATAGGGTGATTAATAGAGTCAAATTTAACATCTTGTATTTAATCTTCATAGTCTCTTAATAATTCTTGAGTATAAGTTATTGGATTCCCCTATGATTTATACTTTGCTTCTTATTATATTTTTGAAATTCCAATATTGTAGATAAAACTGTGGCTTTTATAATCCTCTTTAAAAAATTTCTACTTATTTCTATATATATCACCAATAATAGATTTATTTTGCCTTAAGATATTTTGATGCTTTTAAAAAGACTCATTTACCTATGAGCAATAATAGCATAACATTAATATGATTAGAAACAAGAAAGCAGTGTCTGATAAAATAATAACTACAAAACAAGCTTCTAATTTTATAACTTTAAAAGTACCTAATCCAAGCAAAGTTATTAGAATTAACATGATTATAAAGAATATACTAAACAAAGCTTAAACTCTTAAGAAGTAACTTTTTCCATACTCTAAGCAGACTTATCTAATAAGCTACCAAGCTTTTAAGGTTTCAATTTTAAATATATTAATTGTAGGGTATATCTTAAAGCTATCAATATTTCTAGGTTTCCTAGGGGATATCATAAAGGCTAGCTAATACTATTAAAAAACCTTCCTTTTGATATCTAAAAATCCATACATAAGCTATAATACGCAATAAAAATATATTTAACGAGTATTCCAAGCAACTCCAATCATGATAACGTATTCTTGCCATTAATAAGATGAAGGATATTTACCTTCAATTAGTCTAAATACAATTGGTAATATTGCTTTATAAATTCCAAATCCTTGGCAAAAGTAGTAGACATACTTATAAATAAATAAATTATCTTCTTTAAATTTAACAACAAACTCTTTCATAATAGTGTATCCAAATAAACTTGCCTAATCAGGAACTGTAATTGTGCTATTTTCAGATACGAAAGGTTTAGTAGAATGCCACTTTTCCAAATCTTTCAAATATTATTGATCATTTTAAATAGTTTCTAAATCGAGATCACACATAAATTCTAAGAAAAACATGCTTGGGTCAATATCGTAAGCCCTCAAACAAAAATAAGTTTCATCATGAATTATCTTTTTATTATTTTTTATTTTATATGTAAATAAATAAATAAATATTTAAAATTAGAAAGCTTGTTACTTTATCTGTTTGATTAGCCCAACTTGCTAAGTAGAAATCTGAATAGATTTCTTCTAAAGTTAGGTTATGCTACTTGATAACTTTAATTTTGACAGGATCATACATGGCATATTTAATTCCTATAACTAAACAACGAGAGATAACTACAGCAATCTCCATCATCACTTCAGCTTAAAAATAAATGTTTGGACAGTCCATCAGATAATACAAAGCATATGAACAAAAAGTGAATAGAAAAAAAATGGTTTGATAAAACAAAGGTAAGCTTATCATAGAGAAAATGAGATTGTTGGGTAAACTTTTACCAAAGCGCTTAATAATTAAAACTGAAAGTGGTCCACAAATTATGTAGAACAAAATATGATAAAAAGTAAATTCAAAGAAGTAGTTCCACCTAAACTTAGCAAAATAACTCTTATATTTTGTGATATCAGCTTTCACTTTATTATATTACTAATCTATCAAAGACTGTTTATCTTACATAAAATATTATTCCTTGAAAATACTTGATTGTGAGTTAAATAACTTTAATGAGTAGCGATTATCTGATAACTTTTTCTTCGATAAATCATAATATAATTCTGGTTAATCTTCTCTTTTCGTTTCTATACCTCTAAGAATTATCTATTAATCTTCTACTTTATCATTACTACTATTCTTATTTGGTAAAGACTTTACCTACGGGCACTTTAAAAAATTATTTTAGCTTTTATTTTATAATATTTCTCTTTCAGTTCTTGATTTAAAATAAGGTTCACAATCAAAAGATAAACTTTATATTTTTTCCATCTCATTTTACATAAATTACTAATTTAATTCTTTGCTTTCATCTTTGCTTTTCCAATCTTTATAATAAATTATATTAATAAAAATGGTAATAAGCTCAAATTTTTTTACCATTAAAGTCTGCTGTTTTGCTAGGAATGTATTACAATTTAGTTAACTTTTATTTACACTTTTCAAAATCTTATTTTCCCGGGCTATTCATATTTTATGATTTTGTGAAAGAAGATTTGTTTAGTACTTCATTCATAAATAATTTCAAAAACTTTAATTATATTTATAACTTTACTATCTAAAAAATTATGATGAATGAATTATTAATTCTAATATTTCAACCTTAAAAAAGTCAAATAAATAATTTATAATTACAGATTTTTGCATTATTTTTCTATAACTAACTAACTGACTAAGAAAGAATTGAATTAAGATCTAAAATTGGAAAATATATTTAGTATTTATTATAATATTTAAAAATTTAAATTATAAAATAGTTATAAAAACCAAATAAAATCCCATATATAATTATTATATGTAAATATTATTCAAACTTCTCAATTTATTAAATATTAAATCTTATAAAAAGTTAAAATATATTAATTTTTTTACGTAATCAATATTATGCCTTTGTATTTATAATACAATTTTAATATAGATTGAAATATTTTAATTTTTAATTAAAAAATATTGCTTATTTATTATTCAATTTTATTTAAAATAATATTTTTACATCCTATAAATTCTTTTTTCAGCTTTCAAAAATCAATAATTTAGAAATTGAAATTTTTATTTTGTTATTAATATGAAGGAAAACAAAAAATTTCAAAATACTTAAAAGAATAATATGTGAAATATTCAAATAAATATAATTGAAATAATTATCAATAATTCTTGAACCTAAAATCCTTTATTACAATTTTTTTTTCTATAACTAAACAAAATTAAATCATATTTTATGAGCAAACACTAAAAACATGAAAAAAATACTGTACAATTAAGCATACTATAAATAGTTAATCAACAAATAACTCTTGATTTAATTAGCTATTGTAATGTAAATTTATAATAATAATATAACTAAAATTTTATAAAAATAATTTATTTATTAATTAATAATTAATTGATTTTTATAATAAAAAATTTCAATTTTAGAGTCAGTTTATTTTTAAAATTACTGATCTCTCTTTGATTTACTTATTTATTGTAATTTGCCAAGACATCGATGGATAGCCAGCCTTCCTAATTTTATTTATTTAATTAATTCATTTTTGTTCAATCTTTAGTTCGCTACTTTAAGAAACTAGCTACAAATGTTACTAAAATACTAAAAAGTGTGATTGTAACTGATTATATTAACCCAAAAGTAATTTTTATTCCTAAAATTTTAATTGGATTATTTTAGAAATCATACTGCAAATCTTCAATTTAGTCATCATAATCTCTCAGAAGTTCTAAAGTATATAGGCTTGGGTCTTATTAGTAAAAGTAAATGGTTTCTTATTTTATTTTTTAGATTCCAACATTATATATAAAGTTTTAGCTTTTCAGAGAATCAGAGAAATATTTATGCCTATTTCTATAGATGTCACTGATAATAGATTTATTTCCTTTCAAAATATTTTCATGCACTAAAAAGGATTAGTTTACTTTACAGCAATAATAGCATAACATTAAAATAATAATAAATAAGAAACTTGTGTCAGATATTATGATGGTTATAAAACAAACTTCTAGCTTTGTTATTTTAAAAATAGCTAAACCGAGCATAGTGATAAATATAAGCATAACAATAAATAATAAACCAAAGACAGCTTAAACTCTAACGTAATAGCTTCTTCCATACTCTAAGCATACTTATCTTACATATTGCCATGCTTTCAAAGTGCTAATTTTAAAAATGTTGATTGTGGGGAATATTTTAAAGTGATCTATATTCCTGATTTTTCTTGGAGCAATCATAAAAGCTAATTATTCTTGTTGAAAAAGCTTTCTTTTGATATCTAAAAAGCCATATATTAGTTAAAGCACAGTGTAGAAATATATTTACCTAGTGTTCCAAGCCACTCCAAACATAATTATATACTCATACCAATAGTAATTTTAAGGATATTTACCTTCAATAAATCTAAATATAATTGGAAGAGTAGCTTTGTAAATTGCAAATCCTTAAGAAAAATAATAGGCATATTTGAAGATAAATTCGTTTTCTTTTTTAAATTAAATAGAAAACTCTTTCATAATAGAATATCCATATATACTCACTTATCCAGGGACTGTAATCGTATTATTTTCTGGTACGAATTAATTCTTACTAGAAGTATGATATACTTCTAAATCAGCTAAATATTATGAGGCATTTTTCAAAGTTTCGCTATCAGTTTCTCCTATAAATTCTAAAAAAAACATACTTGGATCTATATCATAAACTCTGAGTCCAAAATAAGTTTCATTATGAATAATCTTTTATTTAAAATTTATAAAATATAAACTTACGTTGAAAGTATTTATAAATAATTTAATTAGTTGGTTACCTTATCAGTTTAATTTGCCCAATCAACTAAGTAGAAATCTGAAAAGATTTCTTTTAGAGTAAGATTTTCATTTTTTATCACTCTAATCTTAACAGGATCAAAAGTAGCATATTTTATTGCAATCGAAATACAACGAATTAATATCACTGCTATTTCTAACATTACTTCTGATTGAAAGTAGATGTTTGGACAATCAAAGACATAATAAAAAGTATAGGCGCAAAATGTAAAAACGAAGAATACAATTTGATAAAATTAAGGCTAACTTCTTAGAGTGAATATGAGATTGTTTGGTAGGCTTTTACCAAATAATTTGATGATAAATACTGACAGAGGCCCACATACTACGAAGAAAAGAAAATGATAAAATGAGAATTCGAATAAATATTTCCACCTAAATTTAATAAAGTAGCTTTTATACTGTGTGATGTCTGCTTTGACTCTATTATATTACTCTTCAATATTTGATTCTTTGTCTTACTTAAAGTATCCCTCATCAGAGAATGTTGAAGCAGATTCGAACAAATTCAAAGTGAAGATCCTCTCTCTTAGTTTTTATTTTTTTTGTATTGTTGTTGTATTTTCTTACTTAGAGTTATTTTGATTAGTCTCTGTTTAGATAGTATCAAGCTTTTGGACTTGCTCTTTATTGATTTCTTCAAAATTATTGATAGGAATACTTAATGATGATAAATTTTTGTACTTTTGCTGAGCGTTAAACTAACTCTCTAGTTAAATTAGGACTTCTGTCTTTTATTTTGTTTAGTCTTCTTCGTTAGATTCACTACTAAATTTTTTAATCATGTCTTATAAGTTTAACTTCATGAGATCGTTACTTTCATCTTTTTATTGCATACCTTTTTAGTTAAAAAATGTTTCATTATTTTAGCTTAAAAAGGGAAAATAATTTTCATTTTAAACCTTGCAAATCACCCTTAGGTATGCTTTATATATTTTACAGTTTTACGAGAAGTGATTTGCTTTTTGAATCATATATATTGACCTAAGATTTTTCTTAGCTGCTTCTTTAAATTATTGAAAAATTAAATCCTTCTCCTATCATTTTAGAAAGTTTATTATTTTTCTTAATTTTTACGATTTGTAAGCAAAAAAATTATCTATTTAATCATAAAATTGATTGAAAATATAAGATTAATTTGGCAATTCACTCTTTAATAACAGATTTCTATACTAACTTTGTAAATGCTAAAATTTGTTTTCTTAAAATATTTGTGAAAATTCACATTAATTAATTCTAATAAATTTAATTATTCGTAAAAATCAATATTTTTTCTTTCTCCAAATCATATTTTAAATCGTAAATACCCATCTATTTCTATATGATATACATTTACTTTAATGAACTGATTCCAATAAAAAAAATATGTCATTATTTAGGTATTTTTAATTTTATTCACAAAATTTTTTAAATAAATAATTTAGAAATAGTGCGTATTGTATTTATTAAATGGATATCAATTTTTCAAATAAAGTAAGTAAGTAAGTTAAAGTTATTGATTTTTTTATCAAAAAATAATTTATTTTATTTGCAATTCTAACAAATCATTTTTTTGAATAATTTTTGTTAATTTATAATTTAATATTTTAATTTATTTGAGGGTATATCTTTAGAAAAATTTAAATAAATAACTATAAATTTTTGAGCCTTATGAAGATACTTTAATATCTGGATAATAAAAGCATTATTTAATTTATAAAGTTTTCAAATAATTATACAAGGTAATGAGTTCAAATAAGTAGCACAAAAAAGGAGTATAAGCAAAAGAAAATAAGAAAACTGTAAAAATAAGTTAAAACAATAATGAAATTTATGTGATAAATGAAGAAGATGCAGAAGAGCATCAAGCTATTCTCTAAAAAATTGAAGAAACCCTTGGAGATGCTGTTGATTTGAAAAAATAATTAAATGAAAAAAAAGATGATAAATAATTAATTTAGTAGCAAGAGGTCCAAGTAAATGCTAAATAACCTGCAAATGCTTAATAATAAGTTAGCACATAATCAAACGTAAAAAGTACGAACTTTCAATAGGGAAAGCTAGCCATGCATAAAGAGAATGAGGAAAAATATAAGAAAGAAATTTCACAGTTGAAATCATAAGTTGCTAATTTGAATGAAACAGTCAATAAAATAAAGACTGAGTCAAATAAAAATTTGAGATTGCTTAACAGTACTTAAGAAACTAATAAAAATTTATAAACAGCATTAGACAAAAATGAAGAATTAGTGAGATAATTGCAAGAAAAGATTTCATTGCTTAATTCGAGAGTAAATTTTATCATTTTAATTTAGTTTTCGTAAAATCAAATTTTTGATAGGTTTAAGTACTTAAAACTAAAAAACCAACTAAATCTTTACAGAAAATTATATTTATTTGCAACTGAGTCAGTGAAATAAGCAATTTTTAAATTCAAATAAAAAATAAATTTCTTATTAAAAGAATAGAGAACTTGAAAAATAAAGTGTAGATGTAAATAGGTAATCTGATCAGTTATACAAAGATAAAAAGAACATGGAAACTTAAAAAGATAAACTAAATTTGTAAATTACAGATTTGATGTCTAGGTGTGATGTAAATTCAATTTTATTTATACATATTTCCTAACTTTCTTTGATTAGATTTTAAAAAATGAAAACAAAAATCTTACTGAAGTGATGATTTAGAAGAATAAGCAATCTAACGATAAAATAGATGAACATTTGTAAAAGATTTAAGAGCTTCATAGCGAAATAGCAGACTTAAAATAATAAATGAAGGAATAAGAATCTTATTACCAAAAAGAGAAAAATGCTAAGGATGAATTGAGGGTAAAACTTAAAATGCAAGAAATAGCAGTTTAGTAATTATTTTTAGGGTTTCTTAAGTTAAATATATTTTTTAATTTTTTTGACATAAAAAGAGAAAATGAGGAATTAAAAAAGAAGCTTTAAAAAAAAGAAGATAAGTTAGAAGAATTAGAGGATTTGGTTGACCAGCTAAAGGCAAAATTGAGAAAATTTGATACAAGTCTTACAATCAAAGACTAGCATGGTTAAATAAAGGAATATAGAAGTGAAAAATACAGTGATTTGTTGAGTGAAAAACAATCAGATTAGATAAAATAATTGTAGAATGTAATTAGCTAGCATTATTAGTTCTCACTCCTGTCTTATATCAAAAAATATTTAATTAATTATTTTTTATATATAATAAAAGGAGTTAACTCAGCTTTCTTAAAGTATGGGAGATTTTAGAAATAATAACTATAAAATAGAAAGTGAAAAAGAAGCCTTAAGAGTTGAAAACATTTCTTTAAAGGAAGAAATCAAAAGACTTGAAAGAATGAGATTAAAAGAGTAAAATGAATATGAGAGTGAAGTAAGAGATAAGCTTCGTACATTAGAAAATTAGAGATTAAAAATAAATTAATTGTAAGATTAAGTTTAGGATTTAGATAAGACTAGAATATCAAAATTAGAGGTAATCAATCTTATGGAAAAATCAAAAAAATCATTTCATAAATCTTTTATATTTTTATCTAATATTTTGAGATAGGTTTTTTAAATACCAACTAATTATTTTATCTTGAATACATTAAATTATTAAAATAAGCATATTTTATTTACAATTTTTATAATAAAATGTATGAAGATAATTAGAGATTCGGAATTCCAAAAAATAGAAATAGAGTTATAGTAAAGCAAGAATAAAATTCAATAGCTAGAGAACTTAAACTAATAAATGCAATATAAAATAGATCATTTAGAATAAATAAATAATAAGAAATAGCTTTTAATAGGAGATATTCATTTCCAAAACGAGACTCTTAAAGAGGAGGTAGCTTATCTTACCAACTTAAAAGAAAAAAATTAATGGGCCAAAGTATCTAAAAATGTTCCTCTTAAAAATAAAGAAAATGAAATTCTAATAGTTCAACCTTAAGTTCAGTCTTCAGAAAAATCAATTCAAGAATAGCTAAGTAGTCCCAGATATGGTCTTGTTTAATAGTAAGCTAAATCTTAAATTATTTTTATTTATTATTATAACCAATACTATAAATAAATTTAGATAAAGTATTGCTAAACATACATATGAACTACCATAAGATATGCATCCAAATATGCTGTCTAGTCCTTAGCATTTTGAAAAGGATAACTATGCTAATTATTATAGAGATACAAGACAAATGATGGATTCTTTAAATAGATACTAGAGTATCAGTACAGTTGCTTCTTAAAATTAAAGGTCTTATTACTGAAAATCAATCATAAAAATATCAATGATATATTACATAAAAAAAATATGCTGTATTTATAATTTGAATTTATACTGATGTATTTATTTATTAATAAATAATGGCAAATGTTATATCATAGTTTAATGGAGATTAAGAAATATATTAAAATCAATAACCATAGCTCATTTTAAATGTAAAATAAAATTAGAATCATAAAATATCAAATTGATTAAATTTACATGTTACTTTTCAAAAGCGTTCGTATTCTAGATGAAATAGATTCATATTTAAGGTATATATTAAATAGATAAATATTATATTTCTTTGATATGGAAATAATATTATTGATATTAATTTATTACCTTAATTTATTCCAACATTACAAAAATTGTTAGATTTGATGTAATCCAATATTTTTCAAAATTTATTTGTGGTTATTTTAAATTGACTTCATTTCATGAAATTACCTCGTTAAATTTCTCTAAAATATGCAAGACAGGTAAAAATATAATTTCTGACATCAAAAATCAAATAATTTATTGTTAGATTTTATTATTTGTTACAATGAATAACACTAATATTATAATTTTTTTTAAAAAAAATTAATACTATTTGTTTAAAGTTTTGATTTATCGCAAATAAGAAAATTAAATCAATCTACTTTTCAAATTTATATTCTAATTTATTCTAAAAAAGGAAATTAGAAATAATGATAAGGTGCTAAGTTATTCAAAAATAATAATCAGTCAGATTAGAATAATTTTATTCTAAAATTAAGATTTGGCTGCTAAAAGATATTATTTATAAGAAATGTAATAGTCAAACTGCATTTATTTTCTTCAAAGCTTAGTGATTTACTTATTATTATTCTAAACATTTAATTTAATTGAATTAATGTAAGAGATTGTTGTAAGAAGCAAAAATAATCCGAAAATTGTATAATTAGATATATTTATTTTTACAAAACTTGTAATCACTTGATGAAAGAAAGAAAGAAAATCCTAAATTACAAACTGATATGCGATAAATTTACAAATTAAATTAAAATAGACAGCGATATTAATTATTTTTATATTAAATTTAATTTTTTATAAGGTTTAACCAAAAAATAATCTAGATAAAAAGATGATTACTTTTTTTTACAAAAAATTAATCCATTTTTTTTAAAGTCAAAAAATTTATAAATTACTAAAAATAATATTCAGTACTTGCATATACATCATTGTAAAAAGGTATTCTCTGTTGAGAAAATATATCAAAATTGACGAGCTATTTTTTTCAGTGAAAAAATTTATTTATCTGAATTATCCTATGTTAATTTTTTAATTTCTAGCAAAAATTAAATTTGAATTAAAAAATATCTTGTTGATCTAGATTTATATTAAGGAATTTTTCCATAAAATAAATAGTTTTATAAAATAAAATAAACACTCTACTATATTTATTTTCAATGTTCTTTATAAATTTACTTGAAGTTTATTTTATACTAATTTAAAAATTTATTACAAATTAACTTAGATTTAACTTGCTTCAATTTTTTTGTTGAAATAAATGATATTCTGTTTTATTTTTTTAAATTGTGTGTAAGATACTGATGAATATTACCAAAAATATTTAAAGATTTTATTTTATAATATAATGTCTGATAATTTCAAATTTCTTAATCAATATATATTTTATAGATCTAATAAACAAAAAAATTTAATGATCCATCTTTCACTTTTATTTATTTGTAACAAAATAGTATCCTGATGCTTTCTGATAAAATTTTTGCATGTAAAATAATATCAAAAGCGCTTACAATAAAAATATTGCAAATAAATTTTCCTTTAATTATCTCAGAAAAAAGACTATCTTAATTTAAAAAGATCAATAAAATTTTCTAAATATAATTAAAGACCGATAGTCTACAATTTGTGTGCAATAAAAAAGTAATTAGGAATAGATTTGCCTATAAAATAATGGTGAATCAAACTGTAGGTATGTTAAAGAGAAAATTGCATTTATTAAAAGAAGTAGTCATTAAATGACTTACAATTCTTAATTATACACGATTAATAATAAATTAAAAAATCAATTCAATTTGATCAAAATAAGAATTTACTTTATATGTTTACAATCTTAAGCTTTGACTTTACCTTTATTTTTTTTTTACTGAAGGCATACAGATTAATTGAAAAGAAAATAGAAACCTTAAAATTTCATAATTAATTAAAAAGTAATAAATTATTTACAAAAAAAAAGTAATAACAATCATAATAATATTAATTAACTAATCACCTTTAATTTAACAAATAAATAAATAAATAAATATACTTTCTAACTTAAATAATAAATCAATCAATTAATAATTAAAATAAAAAATTCTATTATACCATGAACATTATTTATTCTATTCCCAGCTTCGCTCAACAAAACTTAAACATGCCATTTGACTCTGAAAACAATGAATATGACAATAACAACATGACTTTTTCTTCATTAGACGAAAATAATTCTACTTAGTCATAAAATCATTTATAACTAAATAATAACAACAGCGCCTCTAAAAATTATTTCTCCTGTCCTTTTAATCCTAACAAAGTTATCTTAAAAAATTCAAATTCTAAAGAAAAATTTACTAATATTTAACCCTGCAATCTCTTCTATAATTTGAATTCAGAACAAGCATCTGACTTCTTCTATGCCTTCAATGTAACTATTTTCTTCAAGCCTTTGCCTTCATTAAACTAAATTACTTTATTTATTTTTTGAAATTTATTTTCATTAGATTTAATTCCTTGATTTTTTATTTAATAGGTTCTCCCTATCAATTTGAATTACTTATCTGGAAAGAAAAATTTCTCATTCCTCAGCGAATTAAATCGTAATGTTGACATTTGTGAGATGAGCTCTGACACTAAAGCTGTTCATATCTTCTACTAAGACATTGCTGTATTACCTTAAACGTAAACTATTATCATTGATATTTTGTATTTTGGTTTATAACACTTCTTTTTTCTAGAATCATTAAAGATTTTTTTAATAAATTAGTTACAGTCTAATTAACAATTTATCAGTTTAAGAAGAAAAATACTAATCATTCGCACAGAAGCTTTAATTAGCAGCTTAATTGACAATCAATATGAACAACTCAGTTTCTTCTTGCAATTCTTAGCAAAACACCTTTGGTTCCAGATCTAAAAATATTATCAACGAACACTTTGCTTCAAAGAAAGACAAAAGAATGTTTGCTCTCTCAGGTTCATTCAATCCTAAAAGCTCTAGACACCAATTTTCAGTCCACTTCTCCTAGGAAATGATTCACATACTTGGATACGAAACTGACAGCTTTATGCTTAAGTGTTCAATCACAGGTTTTAATGAGTAATTTATTTATTTTTTTATTAATTTTTAAATGAATAATAGATCAATTTCGATTGTAAATTCGAGCTCTAAAATTATTTATTAAAATTAGATTTATGATGACAAATGAGTTTATAAGTAATATGCAAACAATCATTGAAGCATTACCAACTTAAATTATGACTTCTTCTTAAAACGAACCATTAAAAATCAAGCAAAAGTTTTACAAAAGCTAAGACGAGGCTATGGAAGCAGTTTTTTCTGTTTATTTATTAAAAGGCTCTTCTCTTTAAAGCATATCCGAATCTATTATTGTTTTCGAAATACTTCATATTCTTGATTTCTAAGTTTCCACTAAAGGAAAAAAATTTGTAACTAAAAAACGTTAGTTTGATGTTAGTGAATCTGTTTTCATTGAAAGATACTTAAAAACTTTGAACCAAGTACCTTAATAAAGTGACTTTTAACTCGACGAAACAAGCGGAGAAAGTAGAAATGATACATCTTCTAAGAAGACTAAAAAATCGATCTAAAAAGCCAGTAAAACTTTTGAAAAAGGATAATAAAAGAGAAAGAGCAGAAAAGCTAAAGATTTTATTTCCTACTGAAAGCAAAAATAAATAAATAATTGACCAAACCCAGTTTGGTCTTCAAAAACAATTCCTTAAAAATAAATATAATGACTAAAAATTTTATATCTAAATTACTATCGAGCTAAATTAAAAAATAGACGATTAAAGAATTCCTAATTGCCACTAATAGCAGCAAATGCATATCTTATTATTAATTAATTTCTTTCTTATCATGGTTCTATTTGAAACGAAATATTATCATTTATTGATCAATTACAGAATGATTTGATAAAGTTACACACAATCTCATCTTCTAAAATAATCACTAAAAAACATTAGCAAATTTTAATTGATAAAAATATTTATTGACAAAAATACAATTATTTCAATTGAGTACAAATACAAAAATATAGCTTAAACATTAATTCATAAAAATCTTAATTGATATTATAAAAATTTACTTACAAACTCATCAACTATCAAAAGAAACAAACAAATAAACAAAAAAAAGCTCATAAAAAGAATAAACTATTGATTAAAATACTCTCACAGTATATTTATAAAAGAAATAACTTTTATTTATTATAAAAATAATTTCAAATTAAAATTTATAATCTCATTTTTACCTCTCTTACTTTGTCTTTATATATAAACTAATTGTTGTCTTGAAATTTCTAAATACAAAAAATTTACTAATCTAATGCAATTTTTAGAATTTTTTTCGATTGATATTTGATTAATTCTATATATTAATTTCAATTTAATACAATTGATTAAACCCTATCTTTACACCTCTAAATTCACACATATTATTTAAAGCTAATATTTTTTCCTATGCAAGTCAACCAATCTATTCGTCCTAATACCAATCATAAATAGCTTAATAACACAATAAATTTCTCTCAATACTTCTCTTAAAACTGCTAAATCAAAGTAGAAAAAACAAAAAATCAATTAGATATCTCAAAAACCTCACAAACAACCAATGGTTTAGCTGACTGATAGTAATTTTATATAATAGGAAAAAGAACATTTAGAACAAAATTTGGTTTCGAAATGTGCGTCATCATCCAATATCTGGATCTATGCCTAGATTACAAAATAAAGTTACTGAAATTTAATTTTTGATATATTAATTAAATTACTCATAAAGTTTCTTTTCTCACTTATTATTTATGTAAGATTTTGATTTGTATGATTAAATTCTGGTAAATTAAATAACATCTAATCAATGAATTTGTGCTGGAAAATCGAATAGAATAAATAATCTAATATGTAATTTACACTTTTTAGTTATATTAATTATAGCTCAATTATTGTCTCAATTTTAGTTTTAACTAAAATTTACACTCTCTAAGTACTCCTCAACTCCTTGTCTTAATCACAAAAATAAAACTTATCAATTTTAATTTATTTTTTATCTTTTTTACTAAATTTAGTAAATTAAGCTATTGAATCGATATGTAATATTCCACTTTAACTTATGCAATTTATGCGCTGTTTGGGTAAATATTTTTTATTTTACTTTCATTTATTTACCATAAAAACAAAAGATAATATCTCTTTGTTTGTGTTTTCACATAATTAATAATTTTTTCTTGTAAAAACCCCACTTTTATATTTACAATTTTACACATATTAATTTTTTATTAAAAGAATATAATCAATCATTTATTCTAATCATACAAATTTTTTCACAATTTAATTACATATTTTTACTTTTATATTTTAAATCCAAACATTTATGTCATTTTAATATAAAATAACTATTTTAATTCATTTTTCTATGTAATTTATTGTAGTTGATAGTTGCAATTAAAACATCAAACTAATTTAATTTGTTTTCAATTTAATTTTTTTATTTTGAGCTTTTTCTTATTTAAATACCTAAAAATATTTGATTTATCCATTTTATTAAAAATAACTATCGCAGGGTAATGAAGAGAATATTTTTAATATACCACTCTAAATATGAAAAAACTGAAGATTGAGCTTTTAAGTCATTAAAATATAAATTTTAATGCAATTTTATTTTACATTTCATTATAAATAAACAAAAAAGCAATTAATTTAATTTACAATGAAAATGAAATGTTAATGAAAATGTAAGTTATTAGTTTAAGTAGTTATAATTAAAAGATTTAATCCATTAGCTTACATTAAATTATTATTAAAGGAAAAGTCTCTATTTAAATCAAATTTCAACACCATCCACTTCATTTTTATAAAAATGACTTGCTGTATATTATTTTGAAAATTAAATAAACCTTTATTTTCCATGATAAAATATTTTACTATAAGTAATTTTTTATATTTTATTTCTCCTTTACGATAGTTATACATATCGTACTAATAAAAATTTCTTCTAGTTAACTTCTATTAACTTGATTATTTTAAATAATAATATTTAAATTTCAAAAATAAGGATATAATTTGTGCAATATTTTTAGCAATAATTTTTCTTTTATTCTTAAATATATTTTTGTTTTCTTTTGGATTTCTAGGATAGTTATAAGTTATAAAATAGTTGATTTATAAAAATTCTCATAGGGAAAAAATCTAATTTTAAATAATCACTAAAAAATTAAAATAAGACAAATAAAAATGAATTACTGGTATATTATAACGCAATTAAAACATTTTTTTTCTTCTTAATGAATATTCATTTTTGAAAGTAAATAAATTTAATACTATGAATTTCAAAAAAATTTAAAGATGAATAAATGCAAGTAAATCATGACTTAAATAAATACATTTTTTCATTTAAGATTAGCAAAATTAACAATTATTTTCTTTTATTATATTATTATTTTTTTTATGGTTACAATAAATAAATCACTTGGTTCTATCTATGTAAAATATTAAGAATAATAATAATATTCTTAAGATATTAAATTTAAAGTAAAAATAAACTTGATTTTATAAAAAATAGTTTTTTTAATATTTTAAAGATGGCAAACTAATATACTTTATTATGTATTTAAATTATATACAATTATTTTATGAATTGAAAAAAGATATTGAAATATTTTAGATTTTAAAAGAGTATTAAAATTTTTATTATGAATTATTAATATCAAGACTTCTCCTAATCGTATTTGATTTATTAAATCAGATTTTAATATTTTCGATGCATTTTTATTTATAAACTTTATTTAACAGTTGATTTGCTTTTGAATACTTATATTTATTTCTTATTGTAATTTATAAATTTAGAGTTACTATTTTGGATAAATACCTGCTTACATTTATCTAAACAATCTTGTACTTAAAAAGTGAAGTTTAATGTAAGTATGCTTAATATCCTTTGTTATGGTTCAGTCCTTCCTAGACTCTAATTAATCAATAAATGATGTTAATTGTATAGAAAAAATTTAATTTTGTCTTATTTTAAATGTAGAAAAAATAAATTTGTGACGATTAGTATTTATCTATCTATCTATTTATCTATTATTTTATTTTTCATTGTGAAATATTTTATGAAGATTCTGATTGAAGGATTATTCCATCAACTTTTTTTAATGAATTAGACTCATCAATTAGTTTAAATGAGTAATCGGTTTGATCTATTTTTAGAAATTAATCGACATCTTCAATTCTAATTGTGCTTTGTATTTCTTAAATTTAGTAGCTAAGAGTAGCCAAAGATCTATTTACGACATGAAAAATTCCTTTCAATACCTAATTAAATATAAAAATATTATCAATTTAAATTATCTTAAAAAGAAAATTTTTGTTGAAGTATTTTGGGAATTTTTTTCTAAAAAAGTATTTTTTATGAAACTCATTTAATATTTAATAGTTGTTTTACTGCTCTTTCATACTGATCTTCTTAGAGTACTAATATGAAACAATAGCTAGGTCGCATTCTTATATGTTCTTCTATTTCTGCAAAAATGTTTGGGTTTGTGTGCTGGAGCTTATTTTTTAATGCTTAAATAAGTAGATTATGATTATTCTACTTTCTTTCTATTTAAATTTCTATTTATAAATAAGGTTCAGTTGATCTCTCTACAGACTAATATGTTTGGTTGTCATTAAAATGAGAATGCAAATTGCTATTACTGTTACTATTACTGCTGCTTCTATGACTACAGACTTGATTGTTATTTAGATTATGGGTGTTATGGTTAGAATTAGAACAATTTAAAATGTTATTCATATTATTTACATTACTTTAATTTATTCGAGAAGAATTCGTCAGATGAACATTTTGCTTATTATTGGAAATTACATTTTACTTTGTAGAGTTGTATTATTCTAAAGTATTTTCAGTCGTGATGCTCTGTATTACATTATTTTAATTATCATTCTAAGTGTTTAGGTGCTATGACGCATTACTGAATTAATTAGAGGATAACATCATTTTATTTTGGTTAGTTACATTGATGTTTAAATTATTATTGCTTGTATTAAAATAGCTTCCGCTACTAACCATTTTTGACTACTCTTCACTTATTTTAGAAGGAAATTTCGATAGATAAGGGGAGTGAATATTCTCAACACCCTCTTTACTTTTAGTTTAGCTTGAAGAAGCTGATTGATATTAGCTTTAAGCTGCTTACTGCAAATCTTTCTTAATTTAGTACTGATTTAAGCTCTTTGTTAGGTTTTATATTATTTAAAAGCCATTCATATATTCGAATCTTTGACTTGCTGTTTAAAAATTCTATTCATTTGTGTTTCTTTTGAGAAGATTTTATTCTTTTTTGTTAAGGTTTTCTTAGATTTCTTATGATTAATTAAATCTAATATTATCTTCATCATTTGGACTATTTTCGCCACTCTTCACCCTTTTTATAGAAGTGATAGAGATACTTGCTTGGTTAATAGCAAAATTTTAATTTGCTGCTTAAGGATTGCTTTGGAGATCATTGAAGTCTTGGTTGTAATTTTGATTGTTGTTAACTCCGTTTAATGATTTTTAAGATGATAAGTGAGAAGATGGAGCATTTTTTATTTTAGAAAATGAAAGCATTTGAGCATCAGCATAACTTTTCAATTTATTTTCTTCTGGAATAAATATTTCATAACTCCTGCTTGAAAGCCAACTATTATTTGCTGATGGGTTCTGTTAGTTGCTTTAATTTAAATTATTAGGATTAGCTATAGTGTGGTTAAGTAAATTAAATATAGTAGTAGTATTCTAATTCTATGATATTTCTTTTTATTCCTAAATGTTATGAATATTATTTTGGTTATAATAAATTTTATACTCGCTAGGGATTTGTTGCAATTGATTTTATGTTGAACAGTTTTCAATTTTATTTGTTTTTTGATTTTCATTGCTCTATAAAAGGTTATCTAAAATTTATATTTGTTAAGAGGAGGAACCATCATCTAATGGCTTACTGCTTGTGTTATTACTTTCTCCACTAGCCATCAGCTATTATTTTTTATGGTATTTACTTTTTGAGCCAGTTAAATACTGCTCACTTTCATAATTTAAATATTCTTAATGCTATTTATAAGTTGTATTTGCAGGCGATTCACACTCCTCAGAAATTCTATTCAGCAGAAAATTATTTAGATTATGACTTGCTGAGTTATTTATAGAGTTATTGGTATTACCAAATCCTTAAAGATTATTTGAAAGCTAGTTATTAGGGTTAGTTTGTTAGTTTTTTATATTTAAAGGATTGTTATTTCCATTTGTTTAGTTTTTTAAGTTATTTAATGAATAATTATGATTTTAATATTAATTATTTTAGTTGGCTTATAAAGAAGTTTGAGTAGCTTCTAAATTTTTTTGCTGTTGAGGTTAAACTAAAACATTTTAATTGCTAGAGTATTATTAGTTAGTTTCGTTTAGTTGAGTTTAATTGAAACCACTTTTATGTTGTATGATAGGAATACTGCTTTGTAGTTAGTTATTAGCATTTTGAGGGTTTGTAATATTTTTTGATTCATTGTGATTACCAATAAATGTAAATGTTGAGCCTACGTTGCTTTGAGTTGCAGGTTAAAAATTAGAGGAATAATCTACTTCTTTATTTTTTTTGTTATTACTGTTATTTTTATTTTTACTATCACTTTTATTTATGTTAAATCTTAGATCTTTATTTTAAAACTATTACAATGATGAAGGTGCCGTATTTAGTGGAATTGCAACTTTTTTAAATGTCTCGGCAGATATTTTTTAAGGTAGCTAAAGATTGTGTTAATCGTTTATAAATTTAGCTGTTGGTTACATAAATTGATAATTAATTTATTAGGAAGAAGTTTAAGTACTATTAGCTGGATTATCATTAATCTAACTTAGAATTTAAGACGAATAGAGATTTTTTTGTTATGATATCTTCTAAAATCCATCCATTATAGCTTTCCTCAAATTATTTTCATCATCGAATTCTTTTTTATAAGCAGATATCGTGTCGCTTGGAATCATTGATTTACTTGCATTAGAAAAATCATAACTCCAAAAGTTTTTGCTTCTCTAATATCCCTTTGTCTATGCATGATTTTATATTGAAAAAGAATGTGCATTTGTTGAACCTTAATATGATTAAATTAAAGGAATAGATGGATTTTTTCCTGAGGATGATCCATTTTGAGAAAAAGAGCTTGCTTTTTAAATGATATTTAATTTAGATTTTTTAGATAGCAAATGTAGAAAATCATTCATATCTAGATCATACTTTTCAAATTAATTTAGTATATTGTTTAGCATGAGGATTAATCTATTTTATCTCTTACTTGCTTATCTTTTTAAAATTTTGTCAATGTTTTCTTTTATCTTTTATTTTAAATCTATGTCTATGCTATTATGGCTGCTTCTAAAGTTTTCTACAAATCCTTCTTAGCTAGAGCAGCTGTGTTCTTTTCTAAACGATATAAAACCCTGATCAGTGTCTAGCTGATTAAGAGATTTAACAATATTCATACTACAACTATTGCTATTGTTTCCTAAATCGTTTACTAAGCTAGGACCTCTGTATCCTTTAAAAAATTACAATATTTGAATTAATCTAAAACTTAAACTTATTGAAAATAATTACTTGTATTTTAATTATTTTATGCTGAAGACGATAAGTGCAATTGCTAAATTTAATTCTAAGCCTTTAACTTGTTATTCTTACATTCTTTATTGCTTTCAATTTCTTCTCTATCTATTTTATTTTCTAATTTTTGCTATAAATACTTATTATCATACAAATAATTTTAAATACCTAATGAGGGTTTATTTGAAACATTGACAGTATTTTTATCTTTGATAACTGAAAATTCGTGGTTTTGATCTCCATCATATACTTGTGAGTAGAAACTTTCTTGCAGGTATTAGTCTTCATCAGCTTGATCAGTTGCTGCATGATTATTTTAACCCATACTAGGATTTTCAAAACAGAAAGGAGTGCTTGTGAAGGGTAAATTTGCATTTGTATTCTATTACAGTTTTTTCTCCAAAACAATTGTTGTAGGTGTTTAAGATGTGTTTTGGTAAAAATTACTGATTGAATAGTCACCACCTGAAGCAGATCTATAGTTTGTGTTAGATCTATATGGCTGCTGCTACCTATACTTGTTCCTAGTACTATTGTTACTACTATGTTAATAACTGCTAGAATTTACATAATTATGATAAGGCTCTTCTTCATGTATTGTCATTACTCTTATATTTTGACCATTTTATAAGTTTGATTCTTCGTTAGTTTAATTTTAGCTTTTAATTAAAACATTAAATCTAAATTGTAAATAAATTACTTGTTAAAATGTAAATTAACAAATGATATAATTTTAAAAACTCATCTAATCATTCTTATTTCTAATAAGAATGAATGTTAGGAATTCTTTTCATATAATGGTTTATAATATATGTTGTAAAAAATAATACCTATATTTGAAGTAAGGAAAGGAATAAGGGCAACTTTAACTCCTGTAATGCTAGTTTCTTTTTCTATGAATTTGCTGATTAAATAGATCGTTATTTGCTTTCCTGTCTAAAGGTGACAATTAATTGTTGGACTCAAATTCACTGTTATTTAAATGAGGATCAATTACATTTAAAGAATATTATGGCATATAAGTAGATGAAGATGCTACGGAAGGAGCTACTACAGACATTTAGGGCGTGTTTTATTGGGAAGGCTAAATTCCTTTTTGATTTTATTATGAATATAAAGAAGATAAAGATTTTTCATTATCTCCTCCACTTATACTGCTTCTCCTTGTGGTATTTCCATTCCCGTTATTGCATATACTGTTCCTATTACTGCTAATCATATATCTATTTTCGCTTTTCAAATTTTAAGAGCTATAAACATTATTAAGATGCTTATTCTAAAACGTTAGTTATGATTCTTGCTCTTCTCTTTCTTCTGAAATCTATTCTAACCATTACTTTGAGATTGCTTGAGCATACGAATCATACGAATTAGTTCGGCTGTGACCTGAATTTAAATAAAAATTTTTTCTTTTCTATAGCATATCATCATCTTCTCCTTAATATCTATTTTGATGAAAAGGGTTATATTACTGTTATTAAGACTGAGACTACGAGGTATTATATTATTGTTAAAAATTATCATTATTTAATTTTGCCTATTGATTAGTTTTTTTTGGCAAAGGTCCTTGGTTAATAGCTTCCAATTCGCTTTTTGAAAAGTAGAGACCTTCATTTTGGTTTTTAGTATCACTTAATTTGCTGTTTTGTTCATTTTATTTTAATTTGTGCAACTAATAAGTATCAAAGTCGTCTTCCATAAATATAATCTATTTAGTAATTTTATCAAATAATTTACGCTATTTGCTCTAGTTATAAAATGGACAACAACTGCAATGAGTAATAGTATCTTCTTTTGGAGAACATTTGCTTTAATTTATTTTTTTCTTTGCTAAAGCCTTCTCTTATTATTTATTTTCTTAGTTTGAATTTGAAACAGAAAACATATTTTATTAATTCTTTTCAGAAATCTTTGATAATTATAATGCTTGCTATAATTGAGCTGAAGTATAATCTTTAAGATGATTTGATGTCTTGAATGACTACTTCATGAATAAAATTGCAACTTTTTGGGAATATTCCTTCTCGTAAAACTAAGTTGTCTGAAAATAATTCCTTCCGCTATCCAAAAACAATAGAACGAGGTTATTTACTTCAGCTCTTTTAAAATTATGTGTGTATTTATGTATGCTAATACCTTGAAATTTAATGTCTAAATATTATAAAATAATGTAATATTTAATACAAATTTTAATATTGATATTTATATGTGCTATATTTTTTTCATAGCCTAATATTATTAATTTGAAATATAAATAGAGTATATTATTTGATAATTAATTGAAAAACTCTATTGGTCTTTTTAGATATTTAAACATACTCTGTGCTAACACCTAGGATTTTCAAAAAAAAAAACACTCTATTTTTCTACAAAAAATATCAAATAGGATTTATTTAAAATGTATTCTTTTTAATTCTAAAATTAAATACTAGCCACGAAAAACCCTAAATTACAATTTTATTTTTAAATAAATTCATCATTAATCTAAGTTCGAATCTGAATATTGAGCTTCTAAGTATATTTTTATTTTCTTCTTTCTTCAGTCCATGCTTTAAATTTTTGAAATTAATTTTTATCTGTTTAAAAATATTCTACTTATTTAAATTTTAATAAAAATTTGTTAATCTTTATTAATTGAGAATTTTTTCTTAATAGAATTTTATTTGAAATAAATAAAAATAATACAAATTTATAAAATAAATTTAACTAAAATCTATTGTGGATACATTTTTATTAGCAACCTGGCTTTTAAAATGATAAAGGATAACATTTATTCATAGGCTAAACAGACATTCTACAAATAATTTTACAATTTACTAAGTTTACTCTTTAAAAAATACTTTTGATATTGAAATAATAATATTTTGTTGAATTTGTTTATATTTATTTCATTTTGTAAAGTCTAAGACATACTTACCTTAGCCTGAATTATTTAAGGCTAGCTTAATTAACTCATTAATATTATCATCATCAGGCACCTGAGTTTATTGTATACGAGTTGAAAATGTGGAAGTTATTTGATTTTCTACTAATTTTTTTATTTATTATTACTCCTCACTTCCCTTCTGCTCATACCATTTTGATAACCAAAATCCTTTTATTTCTTTTTGTTTAAAAACTAAGTCTATTGGATCTATATCATTTATTTTATTGTTAGAAAAACGGCCATAACCTACTAGCATACCAGAATTTTCAAGGTTTTTAAAAATCAAACCTGAATATTCACCTCCGAGGGCATCGTAAAATACCTTAGCCTTATTTTATTTTATTGTTTGAACTAACTCTTAATCAAATTTTTCATTTGTGCTAAGTAGAACATGAGTTGCTCCTATATCATAGAGATTCTAAATTTGTTCCTGTCTCCTCACTATTGCTATTGTTTTTATATTTTAATTATTGAATAATTTTATGCTCATTCTTCCAACTGCACTATTTGCTGCATTTAGGACCACACATTAAGCATTTAACTTTCTAACTATATCTAGAAATCCGACAGCCGTGAAAGGGTTGATAAAAGGGCTGCAATATTAATCAAATTGATTGTTATGTTCTATCTTACTATCTAAGATAATTGAATTTTATTTTTAAACTGGAAAATAGTCTGCCCATGTTCCATAATTAATTGAATCATCAGCCCAACACATCACATTTCTACCGATTAAACTCTTATCACTTGCTTCAGCTATGATTCCACACCCTTCAAAACCTCCTATAGTTGGAAGAGGCTTTCGCAATCCATAAAGACCTTTCACATAATATACATCAGATGGATTTATAGGAGCATAACATATTTTAACCAAAAACTAATCTATTGGATTAAATTTTGGAATATCTACATTCTTTAATTTCAATCTTTCTCCATATCTTGCAACTTAAATAGCTCTCATTTAATTGCGCTAAAATATATACTAAAACTCGTCAAAATTATAATTAAAAAGTTTATTAAATCAATAAATAATTATTGAAGTATTTTATCACATATATATCTTGCTTGCTTGATGAATAAAATAGCAATAAGAAAAGATTTGAATTAATATCTTATTTGCAATTGAACAAGTAAATAAATATCTTAATAACATAAACAATCCTGATTTCTTAATTCACAAATTTTGTATTATAAAATGAATTTATTAGATATAGTTTGTAAGCAAACATCAAATTATATAAGCAAATAAAAGGCATTCAAACAAAAAATAAAAAATCTTTTTATTATTTATCAAAATATTTAGCCTTTACTATTTTATAAATTTAGATGATGTATTTATTTAATCAATAAGAATAATCTCTAAATTTGGATTGTAGCTAATGAAAAAATTTTCTGAATTAAAAAAAAACATACTTTGATATACTTTACATTATGAATGATTAATAAGTTATTAAATAATAATGCTATTAGTTTATTCAAAGCTGATTTTCTCAAAGGTCAGTGTTTGCTTAAGTAGATGTAGGAATTATTGGAATAGGAACAGTAGCCTTGAGGTAAATATTAGTGTAAGAGAAAATCCATGAAACAACGAAATTCATAAAAGAAATCATTAATGACTCAGTAAACAAAGTATTTTACTCTACTTTGTGGTCTTCAACACCTAAATATATGTAGGCATAGACATAAGTAATTAAGCAATTAAGAGCTAAAAATCCAGCAATTGTGAATATGCCAGTAAAACCTAAAGTACCTGCTACAATACCACAGATCAAACCAAGGATTTATCTAAAATAGAATAATATTGAGAATAAATCTTCCTATGAGGGAGCGCTTCCTGCTGTTAAAGCAATCTTTAAATAACTTCCAAAACTTTTGCCTTTTTGTTTACTCATATCTATCAAAATCTATTTATTAATCTTCTATGCTATTCTTAAAAATTAATTCAAAAAATTTAATAATTTAAATATATTTTTATTTAGATGATTATCTAAATTTCTTTCAAATTCAATAAAAATTTGCAATATTTTTCCATAATTATTACGTGTAAAATATTTAATTTTGTTTTGTGAAAATCATCTTTAAAATACACAATTAACATCATTTAATTATTTTGACTTTTTGTTGTACATTTCAATTAAGAAATAGATTAAAATAAAATCAAATTTTAATAATATATTCTTATTTTTCATTAAAAGTGAAATTGATATTTTAGATATTAAATTAATTTATTTTATTTTATTTAATTTTTACATTTAAAATTAATATTATTTCTTACATTTATTTAACCAATATTTAACCTAAAAATTTATCACATATAAACAACTTATTACTTGTTCCTGTTTATCTGATAATTAAAAATAAATTAAAAGATTTAAAAACAAATATATATATCTTATTTAATATATAACCTAATGAAAATATATGTACGGTACTTATAAAATTATAAGTCAAGCAAATTATTTTTTATTTCTTTATTATATATTAATTTTTATACTGATTTTCATATATTAATAAAAGTTATGAACATAATATATAAATTTTATAAAATAAACACAAAATATAGTTATATTTTTATATTCTTATTTCTTTATATTTTTAAACTATTTTTACAAAAATATTCTATAATATTAAATAAGTTAATTCAGCTTCACTCTTAAGCATTTTTGATATATTCATCTATTTCCCTTAGTATTGATAAATTATTTTGAATTTCAAAATTAGATGCTTCTGGAATCTTAGCTGACATTTTTTGGTCAATCTGTTCCTTTATTGATTGGTGATTAAGTGCAACCTTTACTTTATACTCTATCCCTTTCCTTATATCTTATTCTTCATTTTTTTCACATTATTCTAAATATTCCTCTAACATTTTTTTCTGTAAATCTTTCTCTAACTTACTATTAATTTACTTTTAATTAATTTATTAGGCCCAATCTTTTAGTATTTCGTCATCAACAGGTTTAATTTTTTCTCTTTTTATAAGTTTATCTACTCCTTATTATTTTTACTCACTACTTGAGCCAAGTTGCCTTTAATTCTCTAACTCTTTAACATATGTTGCAATCCTTTTTTTCTCAAATGCAATTTTTGAATCTTCATTTGTTTCATTCATGTTGACTCTCTTAAACCTTTCGAAGTAATCTTATTTGATACCTTCATAAAGTTATTTTTATTTTTTAATCTAATTTTTTTTTTAGATGTCTTCATCATTTTGTTATTTTTGTAAATCTTAAATGAGTCTTAAATTATCTTATTCTATCTACTTTTTCTCCTTTTATAATTATTCTTACTTTTCCTATATTTATTCCTCCAATAATTGTGTTTGCATTCTTTTTTTATACAATTGTTCTTATTTTTAATTTTATTTACTTTCTTTCATTTATTCTAGCTACTTTTTAGTTATTTGCTCATACTCTTAATCAATAATAAACTGTGTTTTTGCATTTTACTGTTTTTCTAGAATCTGTTTTTCTAAGTCTTCTTTAATTTTATTGTTTAACTCTTATTGCTTAAGTTGATCTCTTTTCTTTTTATCCTCTTCTTTCTAAATTTTAAACCTTGCAATCAAAGTCCAAATATCATTATTGTGTTGTTTCAGGTAATCTTAAGTAGATTTAATATCTTTTAAAAATGTATTAGGAGTGTTTATATTTTACAAAGATTACTTTAATACATTTGGGACAATGTTATTTTCTTATGTTATTATCATAGAGTTATTCAAATTATTCTTTTATTGAGGTAAATTATTAGCGTTGTTTTGATTTATTATTAAGCTAAAATTCAAATCTCTGTTATTTGTATTTTATGAAAAACTTCTTTCTTTAATGTTAATATATTTATTTTTTAAATCACTTGTTTGGTTCTAAAAATAACTTGTTAAAGGTTATTAGTTTTTGCTCAGCTCAACAAGAACCTGCTTGTCCGAAATGTTATTTGTCTTAGCTTTATTCTAATTCGAGTTAAATAATTGTTTAGAAATATGATCATTTACTTAACTTAGCTTATTTTTTGTACTGAGTTGCTTAGTTTAAATAACATCAGTAAATTCGTTGATCAAGGTTTATGAATTATTTACAAATATATTCTTAGGATTTTCAGCTTTTTATGATGATAAAAATATTAACTTGTTCCTCTTTTACAATTTCGAATTTTAGTTTATATTTTAAGATAAATTATCATCTATATTAACTTCTTTAGCATTGAGTAATTATTTATTACTTCTATCTAATTAAACATCATCCTATTTTGATAAATTTTTATAGTGATTTCTTTGAAATTAAGGTCTCGAAGGTGAGTTGTTAAAAGATTAAGATGCCCTTTAATTGATTTTTAATTTTTCATCATTTAAAAAAGAATTAGAAGGCGAAGGATTATTGGATTATCTACCTTTATATGCTAATTTTCTTTTATAGTCTTGACTATTTAATTAGATATATTCATCTTAAGATGTATTTCTGTCTTTATTATTATTTTTAGGTGTTTTGCTATAGGGATTACAATATGCTTTTAAAGCTTATTCTCTTTACTACAAAACCATTTAAGGCGATTATTATCGTTAAGAATTTAAATTAGTTTTTTCTAATCGATTAATTCTATTTTCATTATTTTGTTGATATTTTTAATACACTTCATTTGATGTATTTCTCGTTTTAAAGAGTTTAGGAAGCTTCATTTGCTAATCACCTTATTGATTATCTACTTATTCCTGAAATTGATGTTTATACATAAATACGTTTTTATCAGGAGAAACTTGATCGCATTATGAGTTGCAAAGAGTTTCTAATCTTTCTTTTAACTATGTAATTTAGTTTTATTTAAGTTGTTACTTTTTGCCATCAAAGACATCACTAATCATATTCAAAACTTAAGAGTTAAGTTTTTCATTATTCTTTCCAATCTTTTTAAGATAAAGATTCTCAAGAAGTTTACGAACATCTTCATGAAGTTTGTAATGAAATGCGTGAGGAGGAGATTAAGACATAGGAATTTTACAAAAGAGCTTTATATTTGCTAAGTATGATAGCACTCTTATTGGTTAACTATTACAAAATTATTAGTATATATTGAATCTAACTTATTAAATTTTATTATTTTGCAGATATTTTAGATTTTAAGTCAAATAAATTTCTAAATGAATAAATTATTGGTTATTATCTCTCCTATTAGAAATATATTTCATGTTTACATAAATATGTTAATAAATTTTTTTTAAAGGTAAAAAATGAGTAATTCATTTTTTAAATTAAATTATTTCATTTTAAATATTTAGTAAAAAGTAAAAAAAATAATAATAAAAATTTGGAAATAATTTTTTTATTTTCAAAATATTTTTAAAATAAATCTAATATTACACTTAAGAATTTAAATTTGAGATTTATAGTTGTTGGAGAAATTTGCTTAATATCATCTATCTTATTAATTAATAATTTGCGAATCTTTAGATTCAAAATTTTATAATTAGTCAGCAATTAATTGCTGTAACTTTTTAAATTATTGAATATTTATTATAAAGCATCAAAACATAATATTTATTTTTTATCTATACAAACTTATTTAGTAGACATTATCATTAATTAGATTAACTAAAATTTAAGCAAATGGATAAGCTGGTTGGTATGTGCAGTAAGTTTATGGATGTTGTTGCTTCCAAACTCTGCTTCAGAAATGGAGATAATGAAGGGAAAAAAAAACCTACAATTAATGTTACTTAAGCAATATAAATGAATTAGCAAGAATAAGATGATACAAAAGAAAAACAACTTCCTGCTACTAAACCACATGAAATACTAAAAAGAGAAATAGAGTCACTGCTAAAATAATTATAAGTATAAGAAAAAAACATAGATTACTTCATCCGAAATTTTGAAAAAAAATTTGGATATGAAGATGATTTGAATGCTTACAATGAATTCATAGGAGAAATACATAAATTTATAAATAAAGCAGAAGAAAAAGATATAGAAGATGAAGATGATAAAGAAAATTTAATCGAATTTAAGAACAGCGAATTTTATAAAAACCTGTAAAAATTTGTACAGGAGAGAAAAAAGCTTAAAAAGAAAAAAGTAAATTTATTTTATTGAAGAAATTTTAGATACATTTTGAAAATGCTATGAATAAAAACATAAATGTAAGATAGCTAAATAAGCAATTTAAGCAATAATATTTATATTAATTTATAGAAGAGCATGATACTTTATTGAATTTTATATCGTTTTATCAAAATTTTAGTAAAAAAGGATTATGCTATTTTTAAACATTAACTATATAAAAGGATGAACTCAAAATTGATGGTATATACTTGGAGTAAAAAGGTCTTAAAAATGATGGATTTTTTTAAGAAATAATGCAAAGGTTAAATAATTAAGCCTAAATAGATAAAAGATAGTTCAACTCAAACATTCTTAAAGAAGATCCATAAATTAAAGATATATTATCATTTACGACTTTATCAATTATAAATAATAAATAATGCTAACCAGAATCTTATGAATCTTCTTAGGCATAAGATATGCTGATTTAAGATGCAACGGAATGGGTAAAAGATATAGAATTGATATATATAATATCTTCTAAAGGTGATTAGCATATTTATCAAGAAAACAATTTATCACATCAATAATAAACATAATTTTTTGAAACTCTCTAAAAAGTAAAAGAGTAGGGTAAAAGTAAAAATACTCCTTAAGATCATTCAATACAGTAATTTAAATATTTATGAAAAACAGAAATAAACATTTATTCTTTTTTTAGGGATATAAGTGTTCAAAATAATATTATTTCTCTTTAACACTTGGAAAATAATACTGGCTTACCCACATCTCAATAGCTATAAGAAGAAAAAGTTGAAAAAGAATTGGAATAGTTCCAAAATGATGAGTTTTCAAATAGTTAACTTGATGATTTTTAAATGGATGATGAATAAAATGAAGGTGAAGATTAAGATAATGATTATGAAGATTTAGATGATAGATAAGAAGCTTAAAATAAGCTTCTGGAAGTAATATAAAATGCTCTGGCAAATATAGATTAATAAAAAAAATAACTTAATAAAATGTAAGAGAAAACAGGTATTATTAGAAGAACAGTAAAATCTTTATTTATTTATTTAATTGTGAATTATGCATTTTAAAAATTTTTAATTGTAAATTAAATTTTAAGGTTTGGTTTGCTAAAAATAAACGTTTTGTTGCATCAAAGCTTTAAGTAGAGATTAATTGGATTGATGGGACTATTGCGGATGTTGCTAATTATTTTGAGTAAGAATTTAAGCTGCAAAAAAAAATTAGAGAAAAATATCAAATGATGCAAAGCTAATATGTTTTAAAAGTTATCCATACAGCATTTTATTAGCAATAAATATTCTTTGGTTCTGTAAAATAAATTTAAAAAATAATTAAACTTGACATTATTTATTTCAAAGCTTTTATACATAACTGTCGAGATAAAAGAAACAGGGGAGCACTGTCTGAGAGACTTAATAAAAAAGAGATAGGAGTAAGATAATAACTATAAAGATGTTGAAGTAGCTTACATAATTTAGATTATAAATAATGCTCTATAAGAAGCTAAAAAGTTAAATGTTTATCATTCTAACATTAATGATGGAAATATATATTTCTTTCCTGATCTCAAAACGTAAAACAATTAATCTAAAATTTAAATAATATTAAAAAGTGAATGAATATTTCATAATTATTCATAATTCATTTAGGTATAAACTTGGAGATTTTATGTTTTATGATTTTGACAAAGATTTTAGAAAAATTGGTAACACTCCATAGAGTAGAAATAGAATAAGTGAAAAAGTTGATTAGAATTCTCTTATTTTTCATGCACCAGAAATTTTAAAGCTATACAAAAAGAATATTCAAAATTACAATAAATAGAAAGTAAAAAATTTCATTTATTTGCTATTTTAACCAAATAATTTTTCATTAAAATTAAAGGAAGAAGCAGACAATTTTAGCAGAGATATTAAAAAAAGATAATTAGAATTTTTAAAATCTTTGAATAAGCAACTAGATAATCAAGGGCATTTTAACTTGCATCAAAATTTGTAAGAAAAATATCGTAAAATATAAATTGAAATGCTTTTATATTAATTAAAAGACCTAAAACGATTAACAATTTTGATGAGGTGTATTCTGTATTAGAAGAAAGTAAAGATTATCTAACTCCTGCTCAGTAGTCATAAATGAGAAAGCTAATTGCTGAAAAATATGATGAAATAAGAAAGGATCTTGAGTCTGGAAGCGTTGATGTTTTCAAAGTATTTTTTAAATTAACAATAATAAATTAAATCTATTTTAATCACCATAAAATTAGGCAGATATTTATAGTCTAGGCATGGTTGCTATAAAAATGATTATAAAAGGGAAGCTTGAATCTATCTACAATAATCCTAAAAAAACACCAAAAGAAAAATTTATTCAAATTTTTAGGATAATTCAAAAATAAAAATAATTTATTAAACTCATCCCTTTGCTCAAAAGAATGATTGCTGTAAAAAGCTTATAATATAATAATTAAAAAAAGCATTATGGGACATATTTTTTTTTGATAAATAAAAAAACAGTTTAACCCAGATAAAAGATTCACACATTAAGAGATTGAAGGCTTTATTTAAAAGTTGAAAAAACCACCATCAAAACCTACAGATGATTTGTTTTACTAGATTTAAACTTAATCAAATGAATAATAATTTCTAACTTAATGTAAAAAATTTGTTAAATTTTTAGATTGATTTAATAAAAAAATTATTTATTATCAAAAGTTTAAGAAAAATAATCTTAAGACAAATAATCCTAAGACAAATAAAAGGAAGTAATATACAATCTATATAAAGTAGCTCAGGGTTATTATGATCTCAGAAGTTATTAAAAAGCTGGTAAAATATATAAAGAGCTTCTTAACCATCATGAAATCTTAACTGAAAACCTTCAGCTCGATCGTATACTTTAGATTCAGTTTTAACTAGCCCTTACTTATTATGAAAGAAGAAAATTGGCAAATGCTAAAATTGTCTTTTTTGACTAATTATAATTGGTATATTTTAATTTTTTGAATAAATGTTTTAAATTTAAATAATAAACGTTTTTGTAACTCTAAAGGCAAAGGAATATATTGAGAAGAATTAGTTAGACATCAGATTTTATAGACCTTACTACTATCTAGCTGGTATCTCGTTTATGGAAGAGTAGTATGATTCTGCTCTTAAATATATAGAAAAACTTCAAAGCCTAACAGAATCTTATTTAAATTAATATTATTTCTGGTCAAAGTGCATGCTTTAAATATTAGAGTAATTTTATTTGCAGGTTAACTAGTTATTGATAATTATTCTTATTTTATTAGAGCTAATATACTTGGCGATATGAATAACAATTTACTAGCAATCAGAAAACTGAAATAAGTATACAATCAAGCTGGTTAATGGTGCCTTTAAAACAATTTTAATTAAGAGTTATATATAGATATCATATACTGCTTGGGTATTTAATATCTTTAATCGGGTAATTATAAGTAATCAGAGTTAGCAGTAAGTTTTCTAATAAATAAAATATCATTTAAATTTATTTTTTGTAGTTCAAATAAACAATTAGGTGTATAAAAGAAAGAAATAACCCCTTTCTTTCATAAAATGTTATTTTGATGAGCATGGGTTATCTCGGTGTAATCGGATTCGAAATGAATGAGCTAAAATTATTATCAAATTACACTCAAAAATGTTATGATAAAATACTTGTAATAAATAATTTTAACATCTAAATAATTTAACTAAATGAAAACAAACAGAATTATTTCTAAAAAAATAATAAAGGTCTATTAAAGAAGTGAAGGAGATTATGTAGATACTATTCTGAAATGGCTCAATAAATTTGGATAATTTTTGCCAGTTCTATTAGTAAATTCAGAAATCAAATAACTTATTGATATATTATAAATTGGTTTATCTAAAGTAAATTTATTATAAATTTTTATTCAAGTATTGAATTCAAATTTTCTAATAATTAATTAATGAATAGGTTTAAAAAAATTTATATCACAATGAAATTCAAATTTACTACATTATGGCAAAAGCACATTATTATGCAGGAGATTTTAATGGTAGCATCAATGTAAAATTTTAATTTTTATTTATTATTTTTATTATTCATAATTAAATTAAGAAATTTTTAGATGCTTTGTAAGCCTATAATGAATCTAGCAAAGTATTACTTGATTACAAGAGTAAAGGATAGGGATCAACATACAAGACAAGGCAATAAATTATCTTTAATAAAATTGAAAATGAGAAAATTAGAAAATAGAAGCTGCTCGATATGGAGAGAGATAAATTTAAATTTAGATTCTATCACTTTTAGATTCCTTAATTTAATCTTCATTTAGTGGATAAGTAATTAATTTTTTTTTTAAATAAAAAAATGTTTTTAAGATCATTAAATTAACCAATCGTTCTTAACATTTTTGAAAGATTTTAAATAATTTATAAATACACATAAAAGGGCTCTTATTGCAAATATATATGACTGGCTGTGCTATCTCTATTTTTATTAGAATAAATTACCATAATCAAAAGAGTGCTTCTTAAATTATTAACAGATTATGAATTAAGTTTAAACATAAAATGAATAAGTATAAATTAGGTAATAAAATTTTTTAATTTATATATCATTTCAATATTTATTTTGTTGACTTCAATATAGATTTTCACTTAGAATGGGAAAAATTTTCTTTCTCTACCAAAATTACGAAATGAGCTTGTAAGCACTAGCAAAGAGTTTAGGGTAGCTTGATAGTATTCCAAAATTCTAGCTGTCTTACACTACAAGGTAACTCTATTCAGAAATTGTTAATCTCTCAGGTTTAATTGCTCTTATTCTCTAGATAGATGACATAGGTACATATGATTTATTATATTAAGAAAACCATAGCATTATATTTTAAAAAGGATTTAAAAGGTTCGAAGAAGGGTTAAACTAGTTTGAAAATCAAGAATTTAATAATTTAGAAAAATCAAGCCCACTCAAATCTCCTAAATCTAATTTAGTACAATCCAAGTAATTTTCTGAAAGTAGTCCTCGAACCCCTGGTTCAAAAAAAATAGAAATGATAAAGGTGAAAGATTAGGAAGAAGTAACGAAGGCAGATTTGATAGAATCATTATAGGAATAAGAAGAAGAAGAAGCTGTTCCTGATATTTTCAAAGACGATGAGGAAGAAGAGGAGGAAAGTGAAGAAAGCCAGTAAAATTTAAATTAAAATTAGTAAAATGAGAACTTGGAAGAAATAGAAGAAGCAGATGCATAACCAAAAGAAAAAGATATAGAAAAGAATTATAGATACAATTTGGAGTTGGATGAATACGAAAAAGATGAATTAAATTTAAACAAGTTGTCATAACAACATTTTTTAATAAACAATTACATTGATATTACATTAAATTGCATATATATTGGATTATATGAAAAAGCCCTTCAGTATATCCAAGAAGGTTATAACAAAATTTTTGGTGGATAAACAACAAAGAAAAAAAAGAAAGCTAACCAAATTTCATAAATTGATTTTAGATTTATTCTTGGATATGTTAATGCTTTAAATAAAAATGAATGGAATTCACTATATCATTTCTATGAATGCATGAATATTTGTCAATCTATTTACGAGAAAAATGTTGTGAATAAAACCTAGAAACAAAGATATGCCATAATATGTACATATGTAGCAAAGTAAATAATTTTTTTTTAATTTTTTCTTCTTTTGAGATTTAAATTTTTTATTAAAAAACATCAAAATAAATAAAAAACTTTAATAATTATTAAGTTAATTCTGCAAGCTCGGAGTGTACAAGGAAGCTTTTGTTTTTTAAGATAATACACTTAAAATTATACAAAAAGATGTTGAAGTTGTTTAAGCCTAACTAGCATCTGTTTGTACACAATTGAATAAGTTAAAACAGGCTGACATAGCAATTAGTAATCTCAATCATAATTTATTATTGATAGTTTATTAAAATTTATTTAAATTCATAAAGGTAAGGCAAAAAAAGCAAAATATGCAAATCCACAAGATCAATTAATAGTTGATTGTAAATATGCTGAGGTTAGGTTAAAATATGATTAAGAAGAGGCCATTAAGATATACTAAGAAGTTATGGTATCCATTACGGATCCAGAAAATTTTTAAGCAATTAGCTATAATGTAAAATTTTCTAAAAATAATAAAATTAAATACAATGAATTGAATTTTATAAAATAGACTAAAGCCTTTATTTTGAAATCTATTGCTAAATTTGTATTAGAAGTAGATGATTAACTGATTAATATTTAAAAGATCTACGTATTTTCACAGTGTTTAAATTACAGCTTTAAATTTTATACCATTTGTGTAACATAATTAAAAAACACACTTTCTTGATCAACTTTATATTTGAATTTTAAAATTTAGGATAATTAAGAAGCTATGGTAGAGTGCTTAGTTATGTTTGCAGAGATGTACTTTAACACGTGCTTATATGAAGTAACTAACATTCTTCTATTAAAATTTATCTATTTATTATTTCTTTAATTTAGAAATGCTTAAATTTTATTGAGCAGTTGTACAATTAATAGTCCTTCAAAATAATAAGATAAAGAGTAACAAAAATGAAATAAAATCCAGGTATTTACGAAAATCTATAAAATTACTCTGACAGCATATTATTTAGCTAAAATATGATATATTAAGCAGATATTATCAGATTGTTTGCTAAATGTCATTATCACCTTAACACTGAATACAGAAGGTATTGCTTAATTTAAAGAGATTTATTTATTTATTTGGCTATATTATTTTCTATATCTTTACTAAATAAATATAATTTTTTTTAACAATATTTTTTATATATATTCCTCATTTATTTCCTAAATTGTATCAAAGATAATTTATATTTTGAGTTTTTGCATTAAATTATGTTTTTTTTATTAAATATTTTCTGTTATTTTTGATTTTTTAGCATATATTTATTTAAAATATATTATAGAGAATTTGAAGCTATAAGGGAATAACTTATTCTGTGTAAAGACATTTATGAAATATGTCTTCAATCTAATAATGAAATATAGCACTTTAAAATAAGTAAAAAATTATCATTGACTTCCTATAAATAACTCAAAAATTATAAAAAAAGACGATACTTTAATGTATTTATTTGCTGTTGAGTTGCAAAACAATGAATTTACTCATGATAGTTTAAAAAATATGGAAAACGAATTATAGAAAGTAAGAAATTAATTTTGAATTTACTAGAATATATAATTATTAAAATAAATAATATAGATTGATAGTTTTTTAAAATAAAATATAAAATCCTTTTGGTTTAATGCTGAAGATATAACATTTTTAGATATGGTTAGAGCAAGGTGTAAACTTGGTTATTCTTCTTTCTTTAGATCTTATTCTCTTTACTAAAAATTCATGAAGTATGTTTTTAAAATATTAAAATTTAAAGCTATACAAAATGCTAAAATAATTAATAGTCACAAACTTAATTCAATTGGCTTGAATTACAATCCAGAATTGAAGAGGAAGTTAAAAAATTTGGTGGAAAATGAAAAACAGCCTGATTATCTGGATTTCTTTTCACAATATTTTGTTCTCGTAGACAAAAGAAAAACAACTATTGAACAACAAAAAGAGTTTATCAGTGTGCTTTTTGGAGACCCAAATCACACTCAATAATTTAAACACAAAGCTAACGAATTACAAAAAATAATAGGAAGTAATTAAGGTGGATTTATAAATCTAGTCAAAAATTAAGTCAGTCAAATGTAAAATATTTTTGAATTTTATTTAATAATAATAAAATTTTATTTTTTAATTAAAAAGTGATTCAAGTTAAACTTTAAAGCAAGAGTCTATGACTTAAATTAATGATAAATACTTAATTGATAACTAGAAAGAGTAATTTAATATAATTTAATATATTAACCTTATCATTATACTTATATTTAAATAGGTATGTTTAAGAGGCAGAGAGAATCATATGGGATAGAATTTAAAAAATGACTTAAGACAACCACCCTTTTAAAAAAGAAATCTAAATGCTTTATTCTCTAATAGGAAAATATAGAGATTAGTTCAGAGATTGAAAATTTCAATTTTACAAATAAAATTAAGAAATTATTGTAAAATATATAATTATTTCATTTAAGTTAAGAAATATACCAAGAAATCAAGCAATAAATAGATTTATACTAAAATTAATTTTTATTTATTTATTAAATTATTAAAAAATATTTTATATTTCAATTCATTTTTATATTAATAGCCTTTATATCAATTTTTAAAATAATCAATTTATGTTTTCTAAAACAAGAGAAGAATCTCTTCTATTTCCTTAATTTTATTTTTCTTGATCAAATCTTGTAGTGTTTTAATGCAATTATTTATATTCCTCTTACACTTTACTTATTCCTCTATTATAATAATAAGGAATAGCTACAGCAAAGAACAAACCAAATAAAACAGCAACAATAATCATTTCAACATCATATGAACTACTGTTTGTGATATCTTATTGGCACATTAGCTTTTAAGAATTATAAAAGTATCCATCATTACAATCTATGCACTCTGAGTTGCTAAGACAAGTTTTACCTAAAATTTTTTTATTTCAATTAATTATAAATATATGATGATTAATCTTACATTAGGAAGGGCACTAAACACATTTATTAGTAGCAGGAGATAAATATGTACCTCGAGGACAAACACAAAGTCCTACATCTAATTCAAAACTATCATTACATTCTTAGCATACATTACTGACAACACAAACTTTACAATTAGAAGGAACATCTAATATTTCAAATAATTTTTTAGTAATTTACATTTATAAATTGTTAAATTTTAATTTTTTTTATAGTTTTATCAAAATAATCTTTGATTAAAAAAAAATTTTTTTAATTTTTAATGAAATTTTATTTTTAATTTTTTTTTTTTCATTCGTTATATTTGTCAATTATTTATGTTAATATACCTGAATATATATTTTATGCTTTATGAAAATATTTTAAATTGAGTTTAATTATATTTATTTTTAAAATTAGTTTTTTAAATTAATTCAATTTACTTAGAGGGAAAGTTGTTTGTACACAGATTTAACTTATTTCTGAGAAGTTAGTAATGCATGGACAAGTACCCTACGAAGTTAAATTTCTATTTGCTTAACAGCTTATACACCCTTAAGGACTTCCATTTAAACATGAAGAGCATGAATAGTGACAGCCAGAACAATTACCATCTTATAAATATTTTAATTATTTATTAATATTAATTTTGTGACAAAATTAAATTTTACTTGAGTCCATATATTAGCCAGTTGGGCAATTACACATAGATGTTATAGGATCATAAATAAAGCCAGTCCTGCATGTTTAACATTAGTTAATAGCACCTCCTGAGCAAGTTTTACAACTAATATAACACTCTTTTTTAATTATTTATTTTTTTTATTTTTATTTTAATTAAAATTAACTTGAAATATTTACTTAAGCACTCAGGATTTTATCCATTATCCCAAAATCCTGGAGGGCAAGAGCAATCAGAGTTTATTCTTCCTGGAGCACAGGTCAAGCATTATACAGAAGATGTTGAGCAAGTAGCACATTTAGGGGCACATTGCTAACAATTAGCAGCTCCAGTATCGTAATATCCAGGTTAGCATGCGCATGTAGGCAATGTTCTAAAAGCTCCAACACATGTTAAACAATTAGATTAACTTGTGCAATTACTACATGGGAATTAACATTCTAACAAATTAAAATAAATTATTAGATTTTCTAATTTCAAATTGAATCTTGTAATTTTTTCAAATTATTTTGTACAAAAATAAAATTTTATTCCATAATTTTAAATTTTTTTATGAAATTTAAATTAATTGAGTTTACATTAACATTATGATACTCCATTTTAATCATAATAGCCGTTAGGGCAGGAACAAGTAGGATTTTGGAGGCGACTTGGGTCACAAGCAATACAGTTAGATGCTTAAAGAGTACATCCAAGACAATAATAATTACAATTGTAGCAATTAACATCATTAGGAAGAGAATATTAGTTTGTTCCACATACACAATTTGTACCCTAAATTAATTTTTTATTAATGCTTTTATTTTAATTAAAAAAATCAATACTGTCCTTGAGCCTTAGCATTAAGTACATCCATTTGGTCCTGGACCAGAGCATACATTGCAATATTATTAGCAAGCTTTTTAAAATAGTTTATTTATAGTAAATTGAATGAATTATATAAATAAATTACGTTAGCAAACCCCACTCGAATCCATATAATATCCAGGCATGCAGACACATTAATTGTTTACCATAGTGACTTCAAAACAATAAAAAAATTAGTAAATGCCAAATTTTGATTTGAATAATTTACAGAAGTTGCTACCATTACAAGTTAGACAGTTAGAAGAAGATCCAGAGCAGGTGGCACATTAAGGGCTACATTCTAAAGAAATAATTGTGTTAAATAGTTAATTTAAATCATTTAATTGAAAATGTACATTAACAGATAGCTGTTCCATTATCATAATATCCAGGTTAGCAAAGACACCCTGTATTTCCTGGTGTTGGGGGTACTCTATTAGAGTTAGGAGGACAACTAGTGCAATTTTATCCAGGTCCAGTGCAAGATTAACAATATATATCACAGTCTGTAAATTATTTAATAATTAATCATATTTATAGTTAAATAAAAAAATCAATACTTGGACAAAATATTCCAACACCTTTGTTATATGTTTATGGTGGGCATACACATAACCCACCTACTAACTTCTTATTTCCTACACAAGTTATACAAGTATTTTAAGAAGAACATTATAAGCAATCCCCAGCACAAGGTTAACAGATAGGATTACCTATTTTTCCGAATATAAAATATCAAATAATTTTTTTTTTTTAATGATTACCTGCAACATCAAAGTAATTATTTGGGCAGCTACACAGTCCAGTCTAATTGATATAACAACAGATTAGTATTTAGGCTAAATTTAATAAATTATTTTTGTAGTTTTACTTATTGTCTGATGCTAGCACAAACTGTGCAATCTGAAACATTAGGACCAGTGCATTAAGTGCATTAATAGCTACAAGCTTATATATTAAATTCAAAGATAAAAATATTATAAAAATAAAATTAATTCTACCTTTACAATCAATAGCAGGTTATGAATAATAATAACCTGGAGCACATACACAAGAAGCTACGCTTGTTGGTGTAGCAGGTTAGTTTATAAAATTAGATCTTGGAAGAATATTTGTGCAATCAGCATAACAAGCCTATGCATCTTAGAGGAAATAATATCCTGGTAAGCAACTTTAGCATGCAGTTGCGCTGTTACAAGTTAAGCAACCAGTGGGGCACTTTATTTTAAAACAAAAGTTTGAGTTATTTTTCAATTGTAATTATTATATAAATATAGACTTGCATTTATTTAAAAAGTATTATAATATAAATTCTCCATTCTGTTATAAAAAATTAGGAGTATTTAATTTTTGAAATAAAATGTTGATATATTTATTTATTGTTTGTTTGTATAGGTCATGTCTGTTAATTAGAAAACTAAATTTTATTATTAATTTAAATTCTTATTTAAATAATATTTATAATTCCTAATTAGAATATTTTATAGTTTAACCTCATAGATATTTATTTATTTGGTCAAATACCCTCAATTGTAATTTTAAAAAATAAAATTGGAATAAATTTCAATATTTAGAATATTTTTGATAGTAAAAAATTTTAGTTTTTTAATAAATGAAAATTTTTATCACGATAAAAGACACATTTATCTATTAAATATTTTAAAAAATTCTATTACTTAATCTATGATGATATCCACTTCTCCAAGCCCAAATGAAGCAGTTGTGCTAAGCTTTGAACTAGCTATAGTGTATTTAAATTAAACATCTAAACTAGTAATAGAGTGTGGTATTACTTGATTATAAACAACGTAACCATCATTTTATGAGTAGGTTCCACAAATATTATTTGGAGCATTTGCAGGAGTTCTATTACATTTTATGAACTATCAAATTTCTAAAATAGATATAATAATTTTACTATGAGATTGTTGTAAGAGGTGCAGGTAAATTATCTATTATTATCTAAACATTATCTGCAGCATTCCAATTGTCTATTAAAAATAATTCTGCAATTAGTCTCAATCTCCAATGAGGATTTAATGAAGGAAAATTTCTCTCTATAATAAGTGGAGTACCAGCAACTTATGAAGAACCTACTCCCCATCCTCCTATTATATTTCTTCCACTACAAAAATTGTATCTTCTTGTTGAATAGAAACCAGAAAATGTATATCCCCAATTATTAATATCATTATGACCATAGTTTTACCACCATAAAGATTGTAAAATATAGAGTCCATCTAAATAGTAAATTTGTAAATTTAAATATTTAACAAATATTTTTAATTTATTTTTTCTATACAAAAATCATTTAAAAATTACTGTTAAACTAGCTTAAGTATTATTCCACACAAGTTGATCCTACTTGATTTGTAAAAAGAGGACATCTGCTATAGCATTAATCTAGATAATTAATATATTAATAATAATATACTATTTTTTAAATCAACTAAAGTTTACTGTTCAATAAAAAATAGCCTGTATTACAAGCAGTGCACGTTTGAGTATCTTAGCAACTTTAGCAATTTAAAAAACATCCTGAAACATCTACAAATATTTCTCTTACACCCCAGTAACCTTGCACAGGATTAGTGAGAGCATTAGAACTAAATGATACTGTTACAGTTGAAGCTGTATGAGGAACAACAAATTCAACGTATTTAGAATAAACTCCATTAGTATTTGCTGGGTCGCCACAAATAGCCCCTAAATAAGTGTCAGCAGCAGAAAATGTGATTGTTTATTGTGAACCATCTATTTTCATTACTATGTTGTAGTTTGCATATCCTCCTATAAATACTATCAATGCCCCTAGTCTTGCATTAAAGTGAGAAGGAAGGTTACTTACAGTTTTAGACATAGATTGTACTTAAAATAATTGGTATCCACCAACCAAAGACTAAGTACCACAATTACTTACCTTTTATCATAAATTTTTATTTTAATATCATGTTTCAAAATTTATTTTCTTTTACAAAATTAGTCTAAGTAGGGGTAAAAGTCCAATCAACAATTATATTTTAAAAGGAATTCGCTAAGAAGTTGTTATACATGACAAGTTAGCCTATTTATTATAAAATAGTATTTAAATAGTTATGCTATATTTATTTATTTTAAATTTAATAAAATCGAAAGAATTGAAATGCTTTTAATACTAGGAGTTTGAATGCATAGTCTTTATGATGGGTTAGCCAGATTTCCTGCTGGACAGGTAGTTCTGCATACACCATTATAAGCAAGCAAATTAGCATTACACTAGCAACTTGATCCACTTTAAAGAGCACCAACAGGGCATGTAACACAAGATGTATTTGATTCTCCATTACAAGTAGCACAAGTGTAATGGCAAGTATTGACATAAATAAAAATATTTTTCACACTTAAATCGTGAGCTGGATTGTAAAAGTCATTAATTATAAGTTATAGATCTCCTTATAAGGAGTGACTTTTGTATACTGTTTGCAGAAAAGCATTACCTGCTGGATTTGCTGCAGAGGGGCAAAAGTTGTTAATATTGCTTGAAGCATAATATTAGAAGAAAAATAATGTATCGGGGCCAAGCTAAATATTAATATTGTCTCCTACCCAAGCAGTGCCAAGCACCATTATATCCATATCAACCTCCAATTAAAAATGAGGAGGAAATTATGCGACTATTCTATTTGTTGATTAACCTGCTGCGCTGTTTCCTAAGACACCTTTTATTAAAGATATTTTATTGATTAATGTATGTATTAATCATTAACTGTATAGATATATCCCTTATGTATGTATATCGACAAAAAATATAATTTATATAAAGATACTTACCAAAAGAGTTAGTAGCAAAAATATCTATTCCATTTTGACTCAATGTGGGAGTACATGCACGAACAATTTATTTATTCCAGTTCAAAATGTTATAGGCTTCAAATGGGTCTTAAAATTCTTTATAAACAAGTTACCAAACTACGATTTTTTAAAAAACATATATAATGGTTATTAAATGATTTCCAGGTTTCATAGAAATAATTGTTACCTGAGAAGACTTGTTTTATGGTAGTAAAAAGTAAAAGAAATGTAAGCCAATTCATATTTTTTATATATTTTAGAATTCTCTTAAGTATTATTACTTTTGTAGATAATTCAAATAATTAATTAAATCAAAAAATCTAATTGTGAAGGTGTTAATTAATTAATAATAATTATTTTGATTAAAAAGATATTAATTTACTTAGTAAGAATCCTTATTATAAACAAGATATTTTAATAATTTTTGTTTATGAGTATGATTGGTTGGCTCTATTCTTATTAAAAAATATTTGTACTTATCCATAAAATAAGAAATATTTCTTTTTACCACATATTTATATATAAAGCTGATATGAAGCGAGATTGTATAATATATTTCAGGTAAAAGCATACGTTATTATTTGATCCCAGCATAAGCTCCTTAACTATCTTTTTAACACTTACTCTTATTTAATTTTTCATAATATGAGAAAATATTTACGAAAGTAGATTTCATTATAAATAAGTTTCTTAAAAAATAATTTATGAACAAAAAATGAGTATTCCACTTCTTAAGTATTTTAATTAAAAAAAATTTATTTAGAAGCAAATAAAACATAAAGTAAGTATTATTTATTTATTTATCAAATATTTTTGATAAAAATTCGAATTAAGTAATATTTAGTTGCTTAACTAAAGGATTTTGAGTCTATAAAAATAAATCCTAAATCTTGTGAAAACATCCTTCTAAATTTTTCTAATTTTGATAACTGTATTCAAAATAAATATCAATATTTTCTTTTATTTTATTTTATTCATATTTTATTTATTATTCATTTTTTTTTTGGTAAATAAACAAAAAAAAAGCAATTAAGAATATTAATTATTGATAATAAAATTTGGATGAAAAATGATAACTGAATGGACATAAATTAGAAAGATAAATTTATTGAATTGAAATGAATGCTACATAGTTTATTTTTTAAAAATTAGAAATTCGCTTTAAATATATTAATTCTATATACAAAGGATTTTAAAAATATTATTATTATTATTAATTAATTTTAATGAAAATAGATAGGAGTAATATCTTTTTATATTTGTCCATATTTCTCAAGTATTATCTATTCATGATTATGGTTTTGGTTCTTATTGTTATTATGATTATTGTTGTTATTATTACTATTATTGTTCTTTTTATTGTTAATCTTGTTCTATTTTTTATTTTTCTTTCTCCTGCTCTTCGTTACTTTCTAAGTAGGCTTTGTAGTTTGATTTTGGAGAGAAGGGTCTTTCTCCCAAGATTGCCTTTATTTATGATAAGTCTAATGTTTTTTTTTCCAGTAGTGCATCGCTCAATCTGTTTATTAATTTCTCTTAAATATAAATTAATTAAAAATTATGTTATTTTACTTTTATATTAAATCTTTTTTAGATAAAATAATTTCTCTTGTTCTTTCTGTTTATTATTTTATCATTAATGAGATTTCTTCGTCAACAATCTAAATTTTTTAAGATTTTTATTCAAATAAAATGTTTCTTTTTCAATAAATTATTACTCTGTTTGTTTTGTCACTATAAGATTTTAGATAATCACCCTCTTTCAATCCTACATAGCCTATTCTGTCACTCATACCATATTTAGTTATAATAGCATGAGCCATTTTATATATCTTTTCTAAATCATCGTATGCTCCAGTTGTTATCTGATTTTTAACAAAATAACAAATCTATTATATTTTATTAAATTTGCAAAATTTTCTTACTTTATTGAAAAAGATCTCTTCTGCTACTCTACCACCTAGTATACAGCAGAGTCTATCTAGTAATTCTTCTTTTGTTTATAAACTGCTTTCATTTGGAAGATATTAAGCATACCCTAAAGAACCTTTAGTTCTTGGAATAATTGTAAGCTATAAAAAATTTAAATAATTTTTCATTACATCAATTATTTAATATTTTAAAAATTTACTTTTAATAAAGGATCACCTCCTTCTAGGAACCACGAACATACTGCATGACCTGATTCGTGAACTGCAATAACTTTCATTTCCTATTCATCACTCCTTGATTTCTTTTCAAGGCCAGCCATAACTCTTTCAGAAGCCATTTCAAAATCAATTGCTTCTATGTATGCCTTATTTTGTCTTGCAGCAAGAATAGCAGCTTCGTTACAAAGATTCATTATATCTGCGCCACTGAATCCTGGGGTTAATGTGGCCAATCTTTTAGCTATTTCTTCAACAGTTTTTGAAGGATCAATCTTCAATGGAGTTAAATGTACTATGAATATTTCTTTACGACCCTCTATGTCAGGATTTGTGATTTCAATTTATCTATCAAATCTACCAGGACGAATCAAAGCTGGATCTAATAATTCTTTTCTGTTAGTAGCAGCAAATACAATAACTTTTGAATCAGTAGAAAAACCATCCATTTCAACAAGCAACTAATTCAATGTGTTTGCTCTTTCATCACTTCCACCACCTCTATCTTATTATTTTGTCAAATTAAATTAATCGCTTTAAATTTTATATGCTTTTTACCATCACGTTTCCTTCCGATAGCATCGATTTCATCTATGAAAATGATAGAAGGTGATTTCTTTTTTGCTATTTAAAATAAGATTTTTTAAATTATTTCAAGAATATAATCAAATTTCACCTGCTTCAAAAAGCTATCTAACTCTAGACGAGCCAACACCAACATACATTTAAACGAAATCACTTCCTGACATGAAAAAGAATGGAACACCTGATTCTCCTGCACAAGCCTTATAAATAATTTACTTAATAATATTTAACTAAAATAATATCATACTTTGGCTAGGAGAGTTTTTCCTGTACCAGGAGGACCAGTTAAGAGAGCACCCTTTGGCATTTTTGCTCCTAAACCTTCATACTTGGAAGGATGCTTTAAGAAATCTACAAACTCCATAACTTCCTTTTTAGCTTCAGCTTGACCAGCAACATCAGAAAATTTAGTTTTAATCTTGGAGTCAACTCCAAACTCCTTAATAACATTTTCTTGATTTTACAAAAATTAGTTATATAATAAAGTAATCAATTAATATAAAATACCTCCCAAGCTTGGATTCATATCTTTTAAAAATCCTTTAGAAAATCTATTTGTATAAAATATCAAGGCAATAATAAGCATTGAAAGAGAATATTTCCTAAGTGTGTACAAATAACGCTAATATTTATTAACAAAAATGATCAGTTAAAATATTTTTTATATGTGCTATTTAATACTTGGATATCTGTTGCATATTTAAACTCCACTGCAATCATATTATCTTATTGAACTCCTTTACTTTTTTAATAAATTTCTAAGTTTTCAAGGAAACAATCTGGATCAGTAACAGTTAATGTTCTTTCAGCTCCATCCTTAGTGACAATAACTGCATAAGTCTTAATATGAAAAGTATATTTATTATCTCTGTATATGTAGATCTTTTAAATCAAGCCAGGCTCTAAATAATCTTTGACAAATGCCTTTATAAAATAGTTTTTCACATTATCATAATCCTTAATTCATCTAATAAAATTACTTTATAGTCTATTTCGAATGCATTATTTAAAAATTCACTTGCTATATTGAACACTACAAATGCCAGACCACCATAAATTAATGCTCTTCCTACAGGAATTTCTATACGCATTAAATTATCAGGTTGTTATTCGTTTTTTTTTTGGCTTTTGTGCTTTTTATGTTTCTTTGACTTATGATGATGTCTGCCTTCACTAGCTGTTTCTTCTTATTAATCCTCCTTATGTTCATCTTTTTTTTCCTTTTCTTCGTGATCTTCACTCTTCTTATCATTTTTATCATCTTAATCTGATTTCTTTTAATTACTTTTGTTAATTTCCTATTCTTGCATGCTATTTTACAAATCTTTTAAATTCTTTTTAAATTCTTAATCTTGTTTTTATATTTCTTTCATTACTCTTTCTTTCCATCTTTCTATGTAAGATTAATCTTATTTTTCGTTATTATCTTATTTTGACTATCCTTCATTTTATTGCTAATCTTTATGTTTTTATTACTCCTACTCTTCAACTTCTATTGTTTATTCATTCTATTCTTTATCTTTTTAATTTCCCCTATCTCTTTGATTGCTAGAACCTCTTCTTCTACGATCAAATTTCTTAAATCCTTGATTTGAATATTTATAAAAATATGAATTTAATCTATTATTTCTATCATATTCTACATCAGCAATATTGAAATTAATTATTTTTGCTTACCTTAAGGAGGCTCTTAGCAAAAATGCATTTGAGGAATGCTAGTGAGTTTCTTAGTAAAATTTATGTAGCGCGACTACTATAGTAGAAGCTATCCAAATCTTTTAGTAGAATTCAATAACATATTTATATTTTTTATATAAATTTGTTTATTTATCCTTAATGTATGTATATATTATTTCTTATTTTTCCTTTAATTTGAATGATATCAAGCAAACTCTCTATATTTTTATTTGCCAATCAAATCAAAAACAAAAGATTTTTACAGGATATTCTTAATTTTTCTTACATATTCTATCGAACATAGAAACAGTACATGCATTAGCATATGAATGAATAAATAAATAAAAAAATAAATAGTGTTTTTGATCAACGAATAAATAAAAAGTCAGCTTTATGCCTGCTATAATTAGAGTAGAAAAAATAATTGTAAATTTATTTCTAGAAATTTAATTAAACTTTTAGAATTTTTATATCATACATGAAATAAAATGGTTGCAATTAAATCAGACAGACCATACTTTTATTTAAATTAGCATAAAATATTTCTGGTAATTAGAATCACAAGATGTTTCTTTTTAAATTTTTTAAAACTTATTATAAGAAATAATTTAATTATATCAAAGTAAAATAAAATACAAAATAAATTTGTCTGTCTAAAAAATAATATTTAAATAAATTAATTATCCATTTTATTCTAATTTTTTTCTTTTTAAAATAATCAAAATTACAAAAAAGTAGCATGATTATACAAATAGTAATTTCACTCTTAAATATTATCATAAATTTTTTTATGAAAATTATATCAAGTTTAGATTATATTAGAAAAAACTTTTAAGAAAATTTAAGATTATTTATTAATTGATATATTACCTTTTGAGGAATTTAAACATATATTTTATAATAGCCTAAATACAAAAAAAATTATTTTGAAATATAACTAAGTACCTAAAATATTTAGATTAAAGGCATTTAACTTATATTTAGTTTTCAGGAGTAATTCAAAAAAAGCAATTATGGTATTCTTATTTATAAAAGGATAAAATTTGTAAAAAAATAAATAAGATAAGATAACTAAAACATCTGTTTTATAATACTAAATAAACATTCTCAATAAAAATAAAATTCACTTAAATATTACTTGATTTTAAGTTTTAGATAACTTTATGTGTTCATGTTTTTAACTAAATGGTTAAATGTATTAGCTATATAAGAATTAATTAATTTTTTACAATTAATTATGTTATTAATTAGGCTTATGATATATTAATGTTACCGTTCTTTCTATATAAAATGTAATTTATATAAAAAATTAATATAAATTATTTAAATACTCTCTAAAATACTAGTAGTTTGTTAGTATAATTATGTCAAAAATTTAAGTTTTATTATTTATTGGAGTAAACAAAATAAAAGAATTAATTTGAAAATTGATGTAATCGATTGAACAGTAAATTATTTTCTTTCCTTTTTTAGTTTACAATTGAAGTGTAATTAAAAAATTTATAATAATATTACCATATAGGTATTTTACTTTTAAAGTACACTAAATTATTATTAAATAATCATAGATAATTTTTAACATTTTCTTTGTTTAATGTAAATAATTTTGGATTTGGTGTAAAGCTATTTTAAAATCTGACGAATTCTCAAATATGAGAAATAATTTGAAGATAAAGATTAATAAAATTTTGATTTTTAAAAAGGAAATATAATACAAAAACCTTAATCATGCTTTAATTAGTTAATGAAAAATTAATCAAAATTTCTAAATGATTTAATTTATAGTAATGAATCATAGCTAACTATTTCTTTAATTATTTTTGTAATTATTTTATAAAAATTAAAATATTTCTTTCTTTCCTTTATTAAACTTTTTATTATAATTTTATTTTTAAAATAATCTCTTTTAACAAACAACCACTTTGATAAAAATTTTAAGTATAAATACACAATATAATACAATACAATATTTGTTTCTATATCCTTTAGTTTAATTAGGGAATCTGGTAAGGAATAAAAATTTTCTTCTATTCTAATAATTGATAGTTAAATTAATAACTTGAATTTCATATTTATGAGTCTATTTTAATTTATGGTCTAATTTTGTATAGAACGGATAACATAAAATATAATATTGTCTTTTAAATATTTTATAATAAAAATTTAATGTCAAATAATACTCTTTAAAGTTAAAACTAAGACAAAAAATAACTAATGAACTTCAAATTAATCAACAATAAGTTTTGGTATATTCTTTTAGCATTTTGTGCATTTTTAGTTGCTATGTATGGACTCACATTCAGACAAATTTCATACTTTTGGTTTTCACCTTTTACATGGAATTAACATTAGGTTCCAGCAAGAATCCACTTTATAACAGGTCCAATAGTATTAATTTTAGGTATATTTTAGTTTTCTGTCTCCATGAGGAAGAAATATCCTACTTTACACTGCTGGTTAGGCAGAATTTATGTGCTTTCTTTGTTGATTAGTTCTGGCTCTGTTTTTGCAATTTATTAATATTCTGCCTACGGAACTGTTGTTTAAGTTAGTTTGCTTATTCTTAACATTATTTGGCTGCTCTCTGTTTTAGTTGCTCTTTTTTTTATCTTAGTAAAAAAAAATATTACTCTACACTAGTATTGGATGACAAGAAACTATGCATTAACATGCTCTGCTATTACATTGAGAATAATTTTTGGAGTATTATGGGGAATTCTTGGTGATTAAGGCACAGCATATTAAATAGGTAAAATAAATCATTTTAAAATTTTTGAAATTTGACTTTAATATTATATTTTTTTAAAAGCTGTTGCCTCATGCTATATAATTAATATTATAATTGGAGAAATCATTATTTACTAATACAAAAAATATTAAATTTAATAAAATGGTTGTTTCATAGAAAAATCTTAAGACACATAGAATTTAAAAATAAACAATTGAAAATACGAACAATTATTAGGTAGAGAAAAGAAGATCAATGTTGTTAATCCATTTCTAAATTTATAACATTAAAATATTTTTATATATTTAAATTTTAGAATTTATAAATTATATTTTTATATAGCAGTTCCTGCATTATATTTTTGATAAATTTTTTTTTTTATATAGCTTAATTATTCTTAATTATTTTCTTTATATTTATACTTAAAAGGCCTACTAAAATTAATCAAAATTTTATTTTACCTAATAATTAAAATTAAATAATACTTAATTGTTATTTTTGAAAATAAGATATATTTTTTAATCTAAAAAAAATAATTTAAAATTAAACAAAATCATAATTTTGAATGAAAAATACTAATAATGATAATTTAGTTATAGTTTTATATATTAAACACATATGACGCAAATATATTAGGCAAAAATAGTAAAATCTTCTTACTACAATATGAAATATACAAATTAAAATATTTTTTTTTAATTTTATTGAAAGTATTGTTGCTATTTTATTAGAATTTTTTATTAAAAATAAGAATAAATTTAATATATCTTAATTATGATTTATCAAAATAATATTTTTATTATTAATCTAAAAAACAAACATTTTGAAATTAAAGTAAACCAAATTATAATTTTCAATGAAAAATATAATTTCTCTTAACGAAATTTTGTAATATCGTACATCAAATTCATAACCGACCAATAAATTAGTTAGAAAAATAAATTCTTTTAATGATAAAATGAAATATACAAATTTATTACAATATTTTTTAATTTTATTGAAAGTATTTTTTTTATTTAAAAAAAGTTAAGTATGATAATTTATTTACATTTAATCTGTAATAGAAGCTAAATTAATTTTCCTTATCTTTTTTTCAATAGCTTTTAATTCTAATTAAGTTGTCGTTTCACCTTATTTTATTCTTATTACCCTTATAATTTTAAGTTAGTAGGAAGTGAGTAAGAAGGATATATATAGATTTTTATTAATTCATCTCAAAATATGGAGAATAGATAAAATAATGTTTGTTCAATTCTTTTAGTTTTAGGTCCAGAAAAATTTCAGCTTATTTAAGTCGAATATGATGTTATAAAATCTTTAATTTTATAAATACAAAGTAGATATTATCATTGAAAAATAATTAAATAATTAGTTAATTAATTACAAAAATATAGGCGAAAGAAATATAGCAAAATATACTTAGAAATGGGTATGAATTAAAACCAAATCAATATTCTCTGCTTATCGAAAGTATTTTTTAGTACTTGCTCAAGTCTTATATCAAAATGGTAATAAAAGTAGTCAGTTGATGGACATGATTTCGTTCATCCTTTCATGCAAAGTTTATAAATGTTTTTAGGTGAAGCTCTTTGTTTCTTAGTTTTCTTAGTATACAAAAAAAAATTTGCTGCCAGATATGAAGAGGGTAGACAAGTAGCTGTAGCAAAAGGTGCATCTGATAAGATTAACTATTTGATTTTTAGCTTTCCTACTATGTGCGATTTTATCACCTCTACAATTTCTTTCTTTGCCATTAATATGATGCCTCTATCCATCAATCTTATGATTAAAGGAGGTAACATTATTGTGACTGCAATCTTCTCTATTATCTTTTTAAAGAAGACTCTTTACAACCACCACTACTTAGGATTAGGATTGGCAATTGCTGGTTCAGTTTTTATGGGAGTTATGAGCATGCTTAATACCAATAATAGTGATGATGATTAAGCCTAGATGCTTATTGGTATTCTACTTACAGTATTTTCTTTTTTCACTTTTGCTACATAGATGGTTGTTGAAGAAAAATTCTTCAGTTAATATTATTTGCATCCATTTTAAGGTGTTGGCATAGAAGGTTTCTGGGGTATAGGAATTACATCTATAGCTATTGCAATATTCAACTTCATCCCAGTTCCTAATAACTTTAAAGCCCCACCTAATGGAAATATGGAAGACTTCCCTAATTTTATGTATTAAGTGTTTTCTATGCAAAACTTGGTCTTATTTTTTACCTTCTTTGCATATATAATAGTAATTTTATTTGTTAATGGGCTTGCTCTTACTGTAACAAAATACGCTTCTTGTATTGTGAGGTCTTTATTGAATATAACCTCTCCATTTTTGGTTTGGGCTTTCTGCTTGGCTGTTAAATGGGAAAGCTTCTAATGGTTCTAGCTCGTTGCTTATATTTTCATAACATGTGGTACGTTGGTTTACAATGAAACAATTGAGATTCCTTTATTAGGTTTAAACAAAAATTTAAAGAAATATATTAATAAAAAAGAAGAAGAAGAACCATTTTTAGACTAAGATAATAATTTAGTTCCCTAACACCCATACAGATCTTTCCATAAACACTCTGAACAAATTGATAGTAACTTTTCAGAATCTTGAAAAGTTAATAAAAAGTATTAACGAAAAGAAAAGTTAATTTGTTAAAAAATAAATATCAAAACTCTCTCTTTTTTCTTAATATAATTAATCTTTTATAAAGTTGCATGTATTTTTAATACAAAATATTTCTGACTTAACCAGATAACTCTTACCTGCATAATTTTCTCCTATATTTAGTAAAAGATTTCTAAATACAATTTTTGATACATTTATATCTATTTAATTCTGAATTAAAATTTTCCAATCTACATATCTTCATTAATTCTAATTTTTAGTGAATGATAAAGAACAAACTAATTAATTTATTTATTTATTCATGATTTATAAATTATATTTTTTATCTGAGTTTAAAAAAATATTTTTAAGATGAGTAAAATTTTATTTTAAAAATATTTATTATTTCTTTAAAAATAAATTATTCAATAAAACTATTTTTTATTTTAAATAAAAATGTTCAAATATTAAATTTTTAATTGCAACTACGATTTTTAAATTAGCTCATACACTATCATTGATCTATTTTAAGGTTTTAAATTTTAAAAATACTAATTTTAAAAATCAAATTAAAGAAGCTATGAGTAAAATCAAGAACGGAATAAAAGTTAATTTAAATATTTAATTACATTATATATTTTTAAAAATCAATATTTAAATTAAAAAGCTAAATTTTTACTAAATATTTATTGCAAATAAAATAAATTTATGTAAACATAAAGATAAATACAAAAAATTTAGAATACAGATTTTATTGAAAGATATTTATTTATTTATTGTAAGTTGTTAATACTTGAAATTTATATACAAACAAGTGAGCTTAAGAATTTAAAATATTATGATAAATTATTTCACAGAGTTTGATAACAAAAATAGAAAGAAAGAAAGAATTTATTAATTGCTACCAATTACTTAAGAAAAAATTAAATAGTTTAGTGTTTATTTTATGTTTTTTTTTTTTTGAGTATATGTTTGAGTGAGTGATTGAATGAATGAATTCATTAGAAAATGAGTTTTGATCCTATTTTCTCCAAGCTTTATTGTAATTTTTCTAATTTTTATTTTCTCTTTTCTTATTCTTCTTATTTATTGGTTTTTGTATTCATAGCTTGTTGAGGTTAGAACTGCATAAATGACTTTATCTTATGTATTAATCTAGAAGGTTAATCCATACCTGTTACGTCTACTACAGGTAATTTCTTAATTTGAGAAGAAAAAGAAACTTTGCTGCTTGAATTTCCTAGAACATTGCTTTACTCTTTATCATTTTATATTTGAGAATTTTGTCTTTGCTAATACTTTTAAGAAGGTTTTTATTGAGAATCACCATCAGATTTATCAGATTTGAGTAATTTTTTAAGTGAATTTTCACCTGTATCTTCTTCTTATTATTTAGTAGGAGTAAGTTTTCTTTTTTTAAGATACACTAATTATGACGATGACATCTAACTATCATCGCTATCATATTTATTATCCCTTTAATTTACAATTTTATCTATACTTGGCTGTTTAACTCTGCTTTCATTTTTAATTGCTTATTGTACATTATTTTCTTATTATACTAAAGAAGCTAATGTACTTGCCTGAGATTCTTATTATTTTATTCTATCCATTAAATTCACTTAAACGTCTGAGAGTGAATTATTTGTTTCAGTTTTTTATTTTTCTTGAAGCTTCCTTAACTATCTAGGGTCTTTCATATTTATTGATTTATTTTCATTGCTTTAAGCTTATAAAACCAATTTTTATTATTATGATTATTAATAATTTGATATATTATCCATGCTATTTCCCCCATATTTTTCCTCATTTCTAATCATGCTGTTTGAATTACTTCTATTTACTAGTCCTCCATCTTAATCTTTGTAATTCTATCCAAACTAATATTACTAATTACCCTTATTTATTCCTTATTATTCAAGTATTGAGCTCAAGCTCTAAGTGCTACCTTGCTAATTTTCATGATTAGGAGTTTTTTTACCAGATACTTTTTTGCTTTCATTCATTTATTAAAGTATACCTATTGCTTACATTTACTTTTTGAATTAATCAGGGGCTTGCTGATTGTTATCCTATTCAGTTTCAAATAAATCATCTTATTATTAAAACTTTTTGTTTCCTTCGCTTTCAGGCTATATATAATCACTTATCTCATTCATTCTTTTATTCTAATAAAAAGGTTTAAATAAAAATTTTTTTTCTTTCTAAAAATATTCAAAACAATTCAAAATAGAATTTATAATAATGAAAAAAATTATCAAATTTTACTTAAGGATAATTAGAAGATGAGTTTACTTTTGATAACCCTGATTGTTGGGAAATATTTTATTGAGATCCTTATTACTGCTAATTTTGTTGTTAATAAGATTGACTAGAATTTTGTCTATTTTTGAAGTTAAATTATTAGTTATTGGCTTGATTTTAAGATATTTTTTGTCTATCATCTATATTAAATGGTGAAGGTGCAAAATTTTCGAACCCTCTAAGCTGACTAGAATTTTAGTTAGGGTTTGGTATGGGAATGCTTTGAGATGGAGATTATTAATTGAAGTTGTTGTTATTATTGATTTGATTATTCTACATTTTATTACCTTCATAGCTTTGAGTAGTAATATTAGGAGGTGGAATATTAGTGTTTATATTATTTTGGTTCATTTTTATCGAATTCATTTAGATTTGTGGGATAGATATATTTTTAGGAACATTTAAAATACTTTGACTTTATTGTATCTTGGAGTTATTCATTTGATTTCCAAAGTTTTAAGACGATTGAGAACTTTAAATTTATTATTAAGGTTGCTGCTATTAATTTTAAATAGGTGGAGGTGGTGGAGGGGGAGGTTAATATAATTTGGTTTATTAAGCAGTCATCTAAATAGGTAGATTGTTTTAACTTATTGATGGAAGATTTGGCGGTTGCAATTATTAAGGTCCTCCCTTTTTAATCATTGAAGTGTTGTTGTAATTTTAAAGTGAAGGATTTTGTTAAGAAGATTGGAAGAAATCTTATTAAGGTTGCAATGAGTTATTTGAATTTGATTGCTAGTCCTATATAGACTATGATGAGTATGTACCTTGTTGAATACTCTAATTACTTCCATACAAATTTTACTTAATTCCCTAATTATTTCCTTACTAAATAATCTTATTTTGCTAATTAATTTAAGAAGAGCTATTGCTGATAGAACTGCTCTAATTATTTGAGTTATTTGATATTTAGTTTATATTCATTTGGTACTGAGGCTATTAATTTGGTATAGGAGGATTATTTTGAGTAAGCTTACTTTACGAGGCCTGATTACTCATGTATTGATTCTAATAAGGTATATTTGGAGGTTTTTATTACATAGGAGGAGGAACACTTTGCTAAGGAGGTTTGTTATAGTTATTGTTTTACATAGGTGGAGGTTAACCATTATTTATATTAATTTAGTTATTTTCTCGACTATATTAGTTAAAGTTATTTTAATTTGAATTATTATTCTAATTATTGTTATTGTAGATACTTTAATTATTATTATTATAGGGTGCTTAATAGTTGGTGTTGTAATTTTAATTGCTATTCATACTTTGTTATTGAGAGTTTGAAGGTAGAGGTACAGACATTTGCTAGCTTCCTTTATATTAAGAATTATTGCTATTATACATTTAGGGGTTAGGAGGTGGAGGTGGAGGTTACTGTTATTAATTTTGGTATTACTAGGTAGGATTTTGATAATCAAAATTCCCACTTTATTGTTGGAGAGGGAATCTAGAATTTGATGATTAAGATGATGAAGAAGAAGAAGATGGAGCTAAAGGAGGCCCTTGCTTATTTAAATTAACTACTTTCTATGATTAATAATTAGGTTAATTTTATTGAGAATGCTCGAATTGATTATTATATTGAGGAGGTTTTATTTGCTATTTAAATTGATTAGTAGGAGGGTTATAGCCAGTAGGTGGAGGAGGAGGAGGTGGTTAATTTATGCCTCCTTACATTTATTTTTAAATACCACTGCCATAATAAGGATTCATGGGAGATGAATTATTGACTTATTGATTATTTGATGAAGGATAATTATTAAATGAATTATTTTACTTTTCATTTAAATTGTTGTTTGATGTACTTTTGAAATACTAATTTTAATTAAATTATTCCTAATATTCATCATTAAATCCCCTATCTCCAGCTTTTCTTTCGTTATCAGCTTAAGATTAAGACTAAGGAGGTTAATTATACATATTTCCTTTCTAATAAGGCTCATTATATGAGTTTAAATGAGAATTAATGTGGGGTGGTGGTGGAGGTGGAGGATTCCAAGAGTATTAGTTTTAACTTTAATTTGAATATTAATTATTATTATTATTATTATTATAATAAGGTTACTGCATTTTCCCTCTTTCCTAATTCTGATACTAAGGGCTCTGGATTTAGCCTGAACCATTACCACTCATTAATTAGCTAGGGATAAGCAAATTTTAATTCTTTTCTTAGTCAATTTAAGTTTACTACTATCTCTTTTATTCTAAAAACTTTAAATATTTGTTGTTAAGTTTACCTACATTCCCTTAATTCTTAAATAGATCAGTAAAAAATTAACTATTTTCATCAAAAAACTGAAACGCTGTTGAAATTTATAAATAAAAAAATAAATTTTAAATTTATTTATTCAACAAACATTAAAATAAGCTAAGAATATTGTTTATAATTAATTCTTGAATAAGCTTTTTAGGCAAATAAGATGATAGATGTTGATGCTTGTTGAATAAGTCAGCAAACAAGTTATCCAAAAATATAAGAAACAAATCAGCACATATGTAATAAATAAATAAGTAAGTAAGTACCTTCTTGGTCAGTCTATAAAAATCTATATTCTTCGTGGCTGAATGGACACATTGTATGCTTGTCACATTCTCTTGTAAAATAAAACTTGCATGGATAGTTTTCTAATTAATGGGAAAATTAGCAAGAATCACCCTTTTCACAAGAATTTCCAAGAAAGAACCTGCATATAGTCTTTTAGAAATAATTAAAATTATATTTAAAACTGAATTTAAGAGAATTAAAATATATCTGTTTGCCAAAAAATAATATAATTTATGTAATTTGCTTTAATCTTTACAAAAATGTGCATCTAAAATTATTTTTATTTGCTCTATATTTCTTTTTAAAAATTGTTTAAATCTAATTACATTCTATTTTTTGACTTCAAAGTCATGAGAAAATGTGCAATCTGCTCCCTTAGCGCATGATCCCTTTTTTAAAAATTCGCAAGGTACAGTCTTGTAATTTGATGAATAAAATTATGGGGTTTCTTAATTGCCATTTTAGCTGTTTGAGGATCCATTCTTATTACTTTGCTTTTGTTAATAATTTTGTGTCTTAGAACTATTATTATTTTTTTTCTTTTTTTTCTCTGCGCTAGATTCCAAATGATTTTATGCTTATCTCTGCTAACTACTACTCTAATCAACTGTTTAGCTATCCTTCTTCTTTCCTTTTTTCTTCACTTTCCTAATTTAAATAATTATACAGGTTAAATGAATGCCATATACATTTTTTTAAAGCTATATCCTTCATTTGATTATCACTCACAAACGAATTAATTGAATAAAAAATAAAAATATTCTTCTCCTATTTCTGATCAATTTTTGATAAAAAATATGAAATAAGGTATAACTTAAAGAGTTTATCTATGAAAAAATGTACTTGGGGACAGAGCTTTCTAGATCAGAAGAATGCCCAGCATCATCTTAGTCGCGTTTCTAAAATATTTCATATAAAACATATGTACTTTAAAGAAAGATAGGTAGGGAAAAGATTAAACGTAAAAAATAGTAGAAGACCATAAAATTTTGAAATAAGAGTTAGTAACAAAATAGGTTAAAAAGAAAGATAAATTGGAAGAGAGAGTATGGAAGCGAAGTGAAGCCGTTCTTTACAATATTGATCGGTCACTTATAAAAATAGCTTATTAAGTCTTAACGACAAAAAATATTCTTGTTAACTGATTTAAAATCATATACAATATTGCTATTTAAAGGTTCTTAAAATGATATTTCTCCTTCTTCTAAATCTTAGCTAGACATATTTTTGTATCTTTTTAGGAAGAAAATTCAATAAAGGAAAGCTATATCAAACTTTTCTTTTCTTTTGCTTTTAATTTTTAAAATATTCGATATTTACAGCGATTTCCTTTGTTTATAATTTTTATTTATTTTAATTATTTCAAATAAACGAGTTTTCTTCTTATTAATTACTTTAAATCCATTTATTTTGTTTTTCATCCCTATTTGCCTTAAATACGCCAAATTAATTAATATTTTTTACATCAACCACAAGAATTCTCATCTTAGCACTAAATATCTAAATTTACTTCTTTTTTGTACATTTTCAAAACTGAGGTTATTTATTTTAAATAAATATAGTTTTCAATAAAAAATATCCTAAAAATAGTATTTTATTTCATAATGGTTAAGCTTTTAAAAGTTTAACAAATAATTTATTTAAATAATATAAAAACTCAGTTCATCTAATATATAAAAATGTGCTAATTCTCTCCTTTTCAAAGCGATTTTCAGTTAACTTTAAATAAAAAATATAATTAATAATATTTATTTTTAATAAAATAAGGTATTTTTATTCTAATCCCTCACTTATTTTTTACAAACCATCAAATATAAAGCTTAAGTGTAAGTTTATTTTTATTTTTTTTTCACAAAACACTTTAAAATTTATCTAAAAAAATATTTTAAAAGTAGAAAATAATTTGATTGAGATTATCTATCTATATAATCTTAATTACATGTATGTATATATAAAAAGACACTTATGTTTATCTATTAATCTATTATTTTCTAAATCTAATTTACTAGAATAAATAAGTTAATTTTTCATTGTTTATATTAAAATATTTTCTTTATTTTTTATTAAAAGGAATTATAATTTTTTGTATCAAAGCATGCTAGGTCTAATTTAAGCAACTTACAAATCATGGTTTCCCATCATTGAAGACATTCTGTTGCTAACTTACTTTAAATTTTCTTATTCTTATTTTTCGTTATCTACTCTTTCCTTTACAAATTCTATGCATTTATCCCAATCCATTCTTTGAATTTCATAGTAAAATATCAAGGAAGATGCTCCAGAAGCTATAATAAGACCATACCATATACCAGCAACTTCTAAATCTAAAGTGAAAACCATGAAAAGAGAAGTAGGGAAACCTATAGCGTAGAACCCAATAATGTAAATCATCATGGCTCTTTACTCAAGACCTGCAGAACGAAGGATAGCACCAAAAATGCACTATATGTAATCAGGAATTATATATCCAAAAATATAAATGTTATAGCATATATCATAATAATAACCAATTTCTTCTGAAGTAACTAAAAAGCTTCTAAATATAGGATGTAACACGACACCAACAATCATGAAAACAACAATTTCTAATAGACAAGCATATATTCTATTTGCAAAATGATTAAAAAATTAGTTTCTTTATAAATTAAAAATGTAATTTTTACGAAATTTTATAGAAATTAATTGCTATTTTCTTTTTTCCATCACCAACACAGCTACCTAAGAAAGAATTAACACTCATAGAAAGACCTAAAGGCATCATGTAAAAGAATAATGTCATACTTTAGAAAGAAGTATGACCAGCTAATTAATTATCATCTTAAAGCATACCAACAATAATAGTTGTGACTTCATAAAAAGCCCATTCTAAATAAACAATAGATCCTACTGGGATAGCAACCTTTAAATATTCTTTAAAAAAAAGAAATAAAATTAGCAAATTAATAATCATTTTTAGCTTTGAATGGAATATTTTAAAATAAATTTTAACCAACAAGCACTCTAATTTCAAAAAAATTTTTAGCAAAGTCTTGCAAAAAAATAATATTTTTTAAAAAATTGAATTTAAAGCTATTACTTAACCATCCTCTAAGAGTTTCCATTTCAAAAAAGGGCTAATATATTTCATTTAATATTTTGCATGTTTTCTTTTCTTTGTGAATGTTGTATAACAGATTGAGTAAAATATTTAAATCAGAAATGCATCTTGCAAGTGACATACCTTTTAATGAGAGTAAAATTATAATTGTTATTATTTTTAAATACAATAAATTCTGAAATAAAATAAAAATTTCGAAATTTTTTAATAAAAGAAATTTGAGAATAAAGTACCGATTACTACCATTCCAAAATGGTCAAAGAAAATAAGAAGCCATATAGGATGCATCAAATAAGAAAGCATATAGGAATTCATGACTAGATCCATCTTTTAAATACCTAAAAGAGCATTTCTCAAACAATCAGATATTGCTACTAAAAATAATGAAGGGATCAACCATACAACAAATTCTTAAGCTATTATAGCTGTTTCTTCTTTGATTCCAAAAAATATCATAATATTAGCTGTATTTAGAATCATAATTAATGCAAGACAAGAGAAAGTGAGTGCTATAGATAATGCCTATTTAAAAAAAAAGAACATAAATAAACTATAATATACATTCCTTAATTATGCTAAAAATACTAATAAAAAATTTACTTTATTAAATAACTATCCAATAAGTTTGAAATTCTATGCTCCATAAGCTTAAGCTACTTGAGTAAACAATCCATTATTCAAAGAAAGTAATGCAGAATAACAAGCAGAATGGAACCTAAATACATAATTGTTAAAATGTAAAAGCTAAATAGAAAAATTAATAATGAATAAATATATGAATAGAAGAAAAAAAATGAATAGTTTCTATGATTTTTCTAATTTTCTTCTAGAACTAAATATTTTTTTGTAATATTTACCATGTGGTAGCTAAGCCATAAGCACCAACTATAAGAGGACTTTTTGTCTTTTGAATGAAGTACATATTTACAAACAAGAAGAATGTTGTACTAAGCTGAGTAAATATGTTTGGGATAGAAGCACGAAGTAAGTTTAAGACCTTTGAAGGAGTATTTTTAAGAGTCAGCTCTTCTTCAAACAAGAAATTGTATATTTTATATCTCATTTGATCCTCTGTAATACCTCCATCCTCTTTTTTTACTGGAGGTGGTATTTATATGATTTCTTAATTGCTTTCCTAGTCATGGAGTTTAAGAACTTGCTATAATTCATACTCCTCAGGATTATTTAATTTATCTTAGCCTCCCATCGCTTCAAAATTATAAACTTGCTATTTTATGATTTTTTATGCAAACTCTTATTTCTACTGAATTACTTATAAAATTTCTAATAATACTTATATTTTTTAATGTTCTTTGATTATATATGAGACAAAATCAGCTTGTAGATACAAATTTAATATTGGATATCATTATTTGATTTTAGCATACCTTTATTAAATAATTTATATACCCAACCCACCCTTCAATTTTAATAAATTTCTTAAGATATATATATAAAATATTAGTATTGGCTAATTTATGCAATTTTATCAAGAATACCTTCAAATCTAGTAATTATATTACATGTTTTATTGCATCATATATTTACTAAAATAAATGATCTCATATAGTTGTGTAGTCACTTACATTAATTAATTCATTAAAATCCAGTTTATATTTATTTTTTGTACTAAAGGAAGTAACCTGTATAAGGAATTTGTTATTCTTTTTACTACTTAACAAATTCAATAAAATAAATCATACATTTTTAAATAATTTAAGTCTTTAATTCTAGTATTTTTACTCCACTCATTAACTAAATAACTCTTTTAAATTATGAACAAATTATTTCAATCCTAAAATTACCTGTAAAATTTTAACAAAATTAAATATTTTCACAATAATTAACTTAAATTTCTTATTTAGATATACATTACATCTTATTTTATAAATTTAGCTTCTACTTGATTTCATAATTAACTTCAATTTATATTGTTAATATTTGCATTAAATTAATTGTAAATTTAGTTTTTTAATAGAAATTTTGTTAATTGCTTTTTGTAAGCTGGTTTTAATTCTGTAGTAAGGTGAATAATGAATATCTTTTTTATTTTTATACATAAATTTTGTTTGTAATTATAAGAAATTTATTTAATATAATTAAGTAAATTTATTAAACATTTTTATGTAAATTTATTATATAAAAAAAGATTTTTTTTTTTAGTACTGTGTTTCTTTGCTACCTAGAGCCTATAGGTATTTTATCTAAAAGATTATTTAAATAATACACATTAATTATTCAATCATATTTGAGGTTTAATAGAAATTTAATGTGGGTTAGTTTTAAACTAAAAGAATCAAAAAATTTGAAAATATTAAATTAAAAAAAGGTTTTAAGTTGTATAGCTAAATACCTTTCTATAATCTGATTATAGGGCATCACTTTTTTTTGAAAGGCCTTTATTTTTTTATAATATTTTAAAAAATTAAATTATATAAAATAGATTTTGATTAATAATCTTATTAATTTTAAATCTATTAAAGACTTTTCATTTTTTATTAAATTTTATTTTCAAAAAATTTTTTACTTCCAAATTCTTATATTTTAGTTTTAGAGATACAATATTTTCTCTCAATTTTCATAATTTTCATAGAAAGTTAGAATTTTCTATTTACTAATTTTAGCAAGACTATTATTTAACTTAAAATGATTTGTGAAGAAATTCTTTTTTTCTTGAGAAATTCTTAGAAATTATTTAAAAATAAAAAATTAGCCCCAATTTTGAAATTTTCAATTCAAAAATTCATATAAAAACCAAATTTGTAAAACAGATTAAAGATAAATAATCATTAACATTTCAAATTAAAATTAATTATATGTATTAATATTAAATTTAGTAATAAATTTAAATATTACTTTTTAAGATTTTCTATTGGCATATTGCTTATTATATTATGTAATAAATAAAATTACATCAATAGTACAAAGTAAATATAATATGAAGTGAACCACTTATGAAATGCAATTTATTTAAAAGATGAATTATTTATAACATATTATATGTAATAAAACTTAGGTATCCCTTATAAAATCCATGAAACTTATGAAACTTGCTACTGACATTATTTTTAAAATGATGTAAAGACAAAACGTAAATTATAAAATATTATCACTTATTATAATTTATATTGATAATTTTATTTAATATAATTAAAAAAATATTTATTTTTATTTTACTATCAAAGTATGAAGGAAAAATCAAATATTAATTAAATCTCATTTTTTTTCTTTTATTAAATTAATTTTTTAAGGCAAGAAAGCTTTATCTTTTTAGTATTAAAGAATATTGATTCTATTTATTTGAAAAGTAAATCATCTTTAATTTCTGAATCAATACCATTGATTTGGTCTTTCAAGTAGCCCAAATTCTTTCTATTGTAAAAGAGTCTGTCTTGAAAGAAGCAATCTCCATTTAATTGATAAAATTTTGTAAGATTTTACTATAATTATTACAGCACAAATTTCCCATAAATAAAGTTATTATTAGGGATATTTTTCAAGTTAATAACAATCTTCGCTTTAGATAGTATTTAAAGAGGAGTACCATAAACATTTAGTACCAATTTTACCATTTTTGAGAATCATCTCATCAGAAAACAAAACTATTTTCCATCTGATTGTCCAAGAGTGCGCTTCTTTTACAAATTCAAGTCTTTTATAATTTTAATCTTAATTAATTAGCATTACCTTATGTTTTTGTAAGCATTTAATCCACTAATATTTAATACATTTTTAATTTTAGTTTGGGATACTTTGATTAAATTCTTCATTTTGTTCAGCTTTTCTTAATGATTGAGATGGAGTAGAAACAAAAGAGAAAAAAATTCCTTATTTTCGTCTTCATCTAGCTTATTTACTCTCTCACAGTTCTTAAATTTAGCGGAAATATCTTAATTTTTCTCAGATTATTCAAAAATTTTACTGATTATATCAACCCAATATGTTCCAGTAATTCCTTACTCTACTTTATAATTTTTAGCTAATCTAAGCATTTATTAGAATTAAAGACATTAGATTTTAAAGTAAATATTACGCCACTAGTTAATGGAGATATAAAAATAGTTATTTTAACTATTAACTTTAAAAATTATGATAAATGTAAATATTTTAACAAAATAAATAAAATTTTTTTTACTAACCTTTAACTAAAAAATCAATAAGGAGATACCGTCATTTATAAAAAGATATATATTTAATTAATATAATTAAGATACTATACAAAGACAATAAATTTGAAAAATAAGCTAATTGCATTATGTATCATGTATCAAAAAAGGAAACTTTTTTTACATGTAATAATTATTATAACATTAGATATGGTTGATCTAGATTTTATGCTATTTAACATATAAGTAAAAAAGATTTATCAAATATTTATTTACTCTTAATTTTATTTTACTACTTTATATTTCATCTGGTAAAAATAATTACTTTAATTATACTTATTCAAGTGCTTATGTTTTCTAGAAAACATCTAAATTTTTAGATTTTATAAATTTAAAAAAAATACCTCTCATTAAAACAATTTTTGTAAACTTGAATCAAGGTAACATGGTATTTTATTGAATATATTTATTTACTAACAGGTTACTTATTTTAATAATCAAGCAAAATAGCTTTAGTATGAATTATGTTTTTTTAAAAGAGTTAAATTTATTATTTTTTAATTTTAATACATTTACAATATTTTACTTTATTTTAAAGCTTCATAAATATATGTAAACAAAAGTAGATAGATATGCATTAAATTTTTGTTTATTAATGATCTAAATTATTATAAGTTATTTTTGAAAATTAATAATTTATTTAAAATAAAATCTATTTTTAAAATAACTCATTTTTTGAATTGAAACATTTTTTCAAAATCAATAAATGAATAAAAGTTTATTGAATAATTTCCTAATATAGTTGTATAAAAATTGGATTTAAAATTTATGCTAATTGAAATTATATTTTAAATGATCAACTATACTTTTATTTTAAAATTCTATTGCTTATTTATTAATTAATTGATTTAAATAGTAGAATATATCTTATTAAATAAACAGAATCTCATATAAACGTATCATCTCTAATGGATTGCTCTAAATCAATAGAAGAGGATATCATTAGCTCTTCAAGCAGGGATAGCAGTATTGATTATGAAGAATAAAATAATGTGGAGGCTTCTTTTGATTATAATAATGTTTATGAAGAGGATTATTCTGATGATGATTAGGATTATGAAGAGGAAGAAGAGGAAGAAGTATTATAATCGCCTTTTTAAGAAAAAAATGTAGAACAAAAGATAAATAAAAATTTTCAAAATACTCAAAGAAGCGAATTGACTTAAAATATGTATAATTGCAATCGAGATTCTATTATTAAATTTTATTATTTCATAGTAAAACAGTTCTTTAAGAAGCTACAAATAATGAAAGCAAATTAGCAGATGAAAAAAAGAATTTGATGTATAGTTTGTTATTAAAAAAAAAAATATTTTAATTATTTAAATTTAATGTAGCAACTCTATAAACAAATTAAAAAAGCAGAATGATTATACTACTCTTGATGTTTTATAACAATAAAACTAGAAAAAAGGAGTTAAAGATAATTTGAATAGGGAATAATAAGATTAAGATAGATTATAAACAAATGAAAATGAGTGTTCATCATAAAATTAAAATATTAAAAGCCTGGCTTAATTAAATAATAGTATAATCATGTCTATTCCTAAAAGCTCATCTACTTAATTGGATCTATAAAGCACAAAAGTCAGCAATAGTGATTTATTATAAAAGTGCTCACAGAACTCAATAAAAAATATTGTTTCTACTAATTCTTCAAAAAAAAAAAATATTATAACATTCGAACTAAACAAAAACGAAAGCAAATTAACCTTGGATCTTTTAAAAAAAAAACAAGTTAAATCTTAAATAGGAGAATATCTAAATATAAAACAAGGAGAATCCTTTAGAGTATTACAAAGTCCGAGAGATGGTAAAAACCTCCCAAATATTGATAAAATAAAAGGTATCAATCTAAAAATACATAAAAATTAATATTTTTTTTAACTTTGATCAGTAAATTAAATTTCTGATGTGTATTTATTTCAATATAAATTTTAGAATTAAATATTTATTTTTTTAAATATCTTAATAGCAAAATTTAATAAATTAAAATAAAAACCTCCAAAAATAACAAGTAGAAGCTGGATAATCCTAAATGGTAAAAATAAAAAGTTGGTAGCAGGTTAGAATGAAAATTAGGTTAGGGAGATAGCTTCTTTAACTAAAATGATGACTTGTTATATAGTAGTGCATTATATAAGAAAGCTGAATTTGATTCCAGAAAAAACATATTTCAAAGTTTCAGCTCATGCTGCAAATTAACCAGGTAATAATGTTAGCAAATATTTTTTTCATTTAATATTTATTTTGAACTCATCTTATGTACATTTATGAAAAATTAATATCAAATTCTATTTTTAATTTGAGATAATTGACAATTTTGTGTAATTTTAATCAGGTACCACTGCAGGATTAACTGAAGGAGATGTAGTAAGCATAATGGATCTTCTCTATGGGATGATGCTTCCAAGTGGTAATGATGCTGCTTTTGTATTAGCTGAAAATTTTGGAGTTTATTTATATATGCAAACTGATAAATTTAAAGAGAAATATGGAAATGCTTAAACAAACAAAAAATTAAAAGTAATTAATTAGAAAGGAATAAATTTTATTTATAGAATATTTAAATTAAACATTAACGGATGTGTCCAGTTAAAATTATTGAAAGTGAATTTTTACACTCCAAATTTAAATAAAAACAAAATACCTGATCTTCAAACAAATCAATAAAATAAAAGTAAAAATATAATTTACCAGTAAAAATTTAAAATTAAAATTTGATTCAAGCAAAATAAAATTAAAAATTTTTGATTTTCGCAAATTTAATTAAAACAAATAAATTAAGTAGGAATTATTTCCTGCATTATTTCTGGGATATATCCGTTAATAAATAATCACGAGTATCATTCAAGCTATTTTCTTTTTAATTGCAAGAAATAGTTAGTGATGATTATTTTAAATCCTTTTTATATCTTAAAATAAAATTGAACAAAAATAATCTACTTTTGCTAAAATTAATATAATATGTGGTAGGATTTTTATTAGAATTTATTTTTTAAATTATTGTTTATTTTACCTTTAATGTAGTATTAATTACAAAAATCGAAAAGCTCACTTATTAAATATAAAAAATATGAGTATAGGTCAAGAATCCAATTACTTATTTTATCAAAGAAATGAATGATTTTGCAGAAAAATTAAATATGCAAGACACATATTTTACTAACCCTCATGGTTTAATGCATAAAAAGAACAAATCTACTTCTTATGATGTTGGTCTGCTTTCCTATTATCTTATACATGATCCTTTGATAAAGTAGATAATGGCATAATAAACCTATAATGCAAATATAATGACCGAAACACTTTAACTTAAAAATCCACCTACAATATGGAAAAATACAAATAAAATGCTCAAAAAAACAGGATTTTTGGGGCTAAAAACAGGAATTACACCTAGTGCTGGTCCATGCTTAGCAAGTTGGTATAATCATGAAAATATAAATTTAATAATTATCTTGTTAGGAGCAAAGAGTCTAGAAGAAAGATGGGTTGAAACTGTCCAGTTGTTAGAATGGGCAAAAAAGTAAATGTAATAAAAAAAAAAGGAAAAAAATGTAAATTCATGAAAAGAATGGAAAATTATATAAAATTTTATATAAAAATATAAAATATAATATTATAGAATTTTTTTATATTATTTGTTACATGATGCATCAGTAATAAATTTATTTACTTGACAGTAAAACTTTTATAGCAGTAAAATTTATAAAGAAATATAAAACTTATTATTACAGTAATAAAATTACTTAATAATTGCATAAGAAAAAGCTAAAGGAATATATATATAATAATTTCATTTCAGATTACATCAATTAAAATTATTATAGAAAATAGATGAATTTTGTTTGATAAATAGATATTTAAATTATTTATATAGGTTATTATCATAAATTATATGAGCTAAAAGTGATTTTCCCTTTCTAATTAAATAAACAAACGAAGTTTTATCTATCTTTCAATTTGTAATAATTTAAAAAAATATATTTAAATTGAAAAGCTCAATGATTTCTAGACTAAATCAAGTCTATTTATCATTAATGTATGTTAAATTAAAAAAAAAATAGTTAAAAATTTAAAAATCTTTTATGTTTTATACTTAGAAAAATTAAGTGTAAGAATGCTTGATCTATTTCTCTTTTGATTTTGTGATAGAATAATTTACTATTGAATGTTTGTTTTTCTAAGAATTTAAAAGTATATTCGTTTTTACGTTTAATCAAAAAAATTTATAGAAACATAGATAATATAATATTTTGTTATTTCTAAACATAAATATATGCTTGAATTTAATATAGGTAAAGAAATGGATAAACACTATAAAATAAATAATAAATTAACTATTTTAAATATTAAATACAAAATAATAAATTATATTGTAAAAATATTAATTATAGACAAAATTTAATTCCTATTGTAATAATAAATATATTAATTATCACATATAATTAATATATTAAAAGACAAAATACTTTTAAAGATTTAACTTTCAAAAAATTTAAATTATCTCCTTTTTAAAATATTTAAATAAGAATAAGCACGAATCAATAAATAAATTATATTTTCAAATGATTCAAAAAAATGTATTTGGTTGTAAATTATATAAATAATCTTAATTCTTGTGTTGTCAATTTAAAAGTAAAATGAAGATCTACAAAGAATATTAACAAATAATTTAAGCAATTTTCTTAGTGTAGAATGTAATGGTTGGAGTATTTGAGATTTTGAATTCTAACTTAACTTTTGAAATGGATTTATTTATTTAGTATAGCAGTTAGTACGTGTTTTTTTGTTACTATTGTCAGTAATATATTACATATTTTCATATTATGCATCATTGATTTTACACTAAATTTAGTACACATTATGACTAGCTTTTTATAAATTGTTGTAAATAAGAGAGCAAGCTATTATTTGAGCTTGTAGATCATGGAATTGCTCAATTAAATTAAATATTGTAAATTTAAAATTTATTAATTTTTGATAATTAATCAAGAAAGTAAATGGTTTGCTTTTAGATAAAAGCAGAAGGCATGGGTTGTTTTCTTTTTTTCAGCGAAAAAAATTAAAAAAGGTAAAAGAAATTAATAAATGAATGAATGAAAATTATGTGCAAGTGCTGAAATAAATAATTATTATTAAATTAATATAGTTGACTGTACAAGATATCTTGATTGATAATGACCGAAGATTGATACTGCGAAAAATTAAATAAGTACTATAAAAAATTCTAAATTTTTAATAAATATTTTTTAATTTTTATCAGTTCTTTGCAAATATAAAGAAAAAATAAATATCTAGTTTCTTTAATTTTTTCCTCTTTTCATTTTGTTTATTTTTTAATTGCATAATAAGTATGTTTGTAAGAATGAATGAATGAATGAATGAATGTATGTATGACTCATTCTATTTATTTGTTATTCTATCTTTATTTAGTTTTATTTTTAAGGTGAAATAAGATACACAGAAACTTTATCAACTGAAATATATTAATTAAAAAAAAAAGTAAATAAATAATTAATTAATTATCAATTTTCAAGTAAAATATAAAGAAAAGTAGAAAAATTAAAAAAAACCCTATTAATAAAGGCAACATAAATTTTAATCGCTTAAAAAGGGTTTCCTTCTGATTATAAACGACTCTTAAACTATTTTTGGTAAACCCACTACGTCCTAAATTGCCTAAGACTACTAAAAGCATAATAATTTATACTTTATACCATATTCAACAACATTTGAAGTAATATTGATGTCTTGCCAACTAGAAGTTTTGTAAACTTGTGTAAGCGCTTTTATGATGGGTCTGATTAATCATAAGCAAATCCCTAAAAAACTAGCTAAGAAATGCAAAGTGTTTGATTATTTATGCAAGAAATTCCCTCTCGATTAATCCCAATTAGAAAATTATTCCAAGCTGATTGCTTTTAATAGCAATGCAGAAGTAGAAAAAAAATTTATTTAAGATAATTTGCTTGATATTTTGATATTCAATAAATGTGTATCAATTGATTCCTCAGTTGTCTAACTAAGTAACTCTGGATCTACAACTCTATTAGATTCTTCAGCTGAGTGCATTTCACCATATATGTTAAGAGTTAAAAATAACATGCTAAGTGCTAACCCCTCAGCTAATGCTCTCTTAAAAAATGAATAGACTTTAATGAATATTCCTATAGTAAAAAGCATTACTAGTATACAAGATTAATCCTGCAGTAGCAGTGGAGGTATCCTTGGTTTAAATTCTGGTTAAGCTTCAAACTAATTAAATTCTACTGTTCCAGCTTAAACTGTGTAATTTGCAAGCAGCAACAAGGCTGAAAACCAGAACAAACCACCTCTTCCTAATACAAATCAAAACTATGCTATTGGTAACATGTAATCTACTTAAGGTAATTAGTATAACCTAGGTATAGAGATGAAATCATAGAATAATGGTAAGAGTGCTAATGCTACAAACAGTCTTGAGCCTCCAAAGAAGCAAGTACCCCTTATTAATCTTTAGTCTCCAATCTAAAACACCAATCCATATCAGGTTCCATAGACTTAGCGTCCTTCAACACTGTAAACACCAACAAGTGTTAACACTAAACCTACCTTTCCTAGCTAAGAAGATATTAAAGTTAATTAATTTACTCTTGGATCAAACAATAAGCCCATAGTTTCCACCAATAATTAACAAGCAAGCAACAATAGCAATAGTAATAATATCAACAATAACAACAAACAACACTTAAGTAATAAGCAAACCAGTAACTAATTCTATTATCCTCTCTGTATTAAACCTATAAATTTCAACATGACAATGAGCAATAACAAAGATTTCACCTAAAACTATCTTGAAAGCAGCATTAACCAAGGCAAAAGTAATACTTCCATGAACAATTATAAGTTGAACTAGTAATTTAATAATACAATTTATAACTTGAGCTAATAAGATTTAATTATCAAATCAAACCCTCAGCCAGAGAGAGTGAATAACTTTAACTCATCTAACTTGCTTTCAAAAGTGAGGAGTAATCTAGCTAATTTTAAGGAAGACACAGAAAAAATTGTGGCTTTAATTGAATCTTCTGGTGTTACAGAATCACACATTACTCCAAGCATCATACAATCCTAAAAAGCATAACAAGCTAATAAAAACAACACAAACATTAACATTAATGTGAACAACAAACCCATCCAATACTAAAACACTCACTTAAATGCTAATTACTACTAAACAAATAATGGAATTCGTTACTATACAGATGTGAAGAGGAAAAGTTACATGCTAAAAAATATGAGTATCTATTAACAAAATAATGCAGCTTTTAAAAAAATGAATGTTTGAAATGCAGGCAGTAATTCATAACTTTAATTTAATTTTTAGAAATACCTCCCTTCCCTCCTCATTCATTCTTTTATTCACATAATAATTTTGACTATCCATCAATAATCAATCAAAAAAATTTTGTTTAATTAAAATTTCAATCTTCACACGAAAAGGATTAATTAATTAATAAATTATCCTTTTTACATTAATTGCTATTTCGTCTCAATTTCATTGATGTATTTTGAAGAAAAAATAAATCTATGATACAATAAATAAATAAGTAAGTAAATAAATTAATTAATTAAGTTCTTTTTTACTTGCAATCAAGATAAAATAGATCATATGAATTAAAAAGTGGATTTGAAGATACATAGTTATTTAGAAGTAATATATATATAATTTAAAGAGAGAAAAGAACTAAGACAAAAACAAAAACAAAAACTTAAAGTACAAAAAATTACAATATTTATAAAAAAAAAGTAAAATTGAACTATACGAATAGCAACATTTCTTTCTAGCCTTTTTTACAATAAAAAAATATAAAATTGAAATCTATTTATTCTAATAATAAATAAGCTATAAAAATCTAACACTGATTAAATAGCAATAATAATTGTTATCAATTTCAAATAAATTTTAATTCTAGCAATTTTGATTATATTTAATGCATTTATAATAAAAATAATAATAACAATATGATGTAAACTTTTCTTTATTTCCTTAAGAATTTATTTATAATTTTGTTTATATGTTGTATGTATTTTCTTTATTTTTTTCAATTAAAAAATTATTTTAAAAATACATTTTATCCACTTCCCCCTTCCTCATCCTTGCCATTGAAGATAAAGTTTCCTTTCTTTTTTATTTGTTCAAAAAGCAGTCAGTGTATATACGTATATTAATAGAATCTTTTTTTGGTATCTTACATGGTTAGAATCTTATCAAATAAATTTTTATTTGAAGTAATATACTTTTTTTCAAATAAATTTTGTCAAAATATTTATAAAATCAAATAAATTGAACACATACGCATATATATTAATTTATTTACTTATTTTACTTTATTAAAGATAATTTAGATTCTTATTTAAAAAGGAATCTATCAAATTTTTAGAATCTGTTTTTCTCAATATATAGTTTTTGTCTATTTTCGCAAATAAAAAAATAAAGGGAAGCTTGTTACTTACACATATTTAAAGATATTTTAGAGATTTTAATGCTTTAATAGCTTTTTATTATAACTAGAATTCGATTATGAGTATTTATTTTTATTCAGTAAAAATAATTTATAATTTTATAATGTTGCCAACTTAGAGGTATTCTTATAAATATAATTAAACTAAATATTTTCTGTAGTTTAATTTAAATTATAAAGAAAAAATTAATGATTGCATTTCACATTTCTATTTGATTTATTAGCTTACGTCTATCTAATTTTAAGTTATTGCTAAAAAATTCATTGCTTTCTCTTAAAACAAAGAAAATTAAAATAGTTAAATTTATTGCTTTAGTGTTATCATAGTCATCAAAAATTAATTTCCTTATTTAATTTTAAAATATAAATTTATCCTTTTTATTTCATAAATATAATTTAGTTAGGTTATTTATTACTGGTGATACATATATCTAAATATTAATGATAACAAAGTATATGATGCTTAACGCATCTTAATAAAATTGATGGTAATTTATTTATCTTAAAGATTATGGTTATATTCAAAGTTCTAATAAATTGATATAATAAATTGACTTTACAGCTAAAATCAAAAGCATTATTTACCAATAAATATTGATGTTAAAATATTATGAGTAATTAATTACGTTTACTGGTAACAAAATGCACTTTTCATTGAAAGTAAAAGTAATAAATACATATTTACATTTAAAACCATGAAAAAATGATAAATTTAATTTTGAGTATAGAAATTTTAAATTATTTAGATTATCGTTTGATAATTTTATCTCATTAAAATTGTATTTTTATATACTCACTGATTTTATTAATTTATAAAAAAAAAATCCATAAATTACACAGATGATTATCAATTAAAATAAATTAATACTAACATATTCAATTTGAACAAAAAAGAAAAAATTATAAAAATATCATTTTTAAATTTTATAATTATTAATACATTTTAATTTTATTGTGAAATTAAAGTAAAATATTTTGAATCAATAATCAATTCAGGGCTCAAAAAATAAATAATTATGATTAGAAAATAAGTATTCGACTATTATTTATTTAGTTATTGTTAAATATATTTATTTTTAAAATAAAAAAATATAAATTTGTTTTAATTTTATAACATTCTTATTCATATTAAATTTTAATATTAAGATCGAAAAAATTCCAAATTTTAGCAACTTAATTTAAATATAATATTTATTTCAATCCTTCCTTATTTTTTTATTTGTTACTCAATTCTAGAAGTACCATTAATAAATATAAATCTAAAGTAACATTAAAATTAGGAATCTTCAAATGCTCTTTATCATTAAATAAATATTTAAAAATCAAAATTACTTTTTTTGATTTAACATTTTAAATTAAAAAAGTGTGATCAATGATATATTTTTGGATAAAAAATTTTTTAATTCAAGTAAAGAAATTTCTGTAAAATAAAATATTGGAAGTATTTCAATACTAATATGTATTACCTAAAAATTTTATTAATTTATTTACTAAGATATTAATATAATTTTAGGAGTTTTTTAGATAATTTCAGATAAAAGTAAAGTTTAAATATTAATTTCATATTTCTAAAACCTTTTTAAGTAAGAAAAGAGTCATTTGATCTAATTAATTTTAAAAAAGAATATTTTAATTTATAAATAAATTTGTAAGAAAATTAGTTACCTTCACAGAGTCTCTTAAATGGAATAAGCTGAATACCTCTTTTGATGTATTAATAGTTTGATCTGATAGTGGATAAGAAGAAAACCATAACTATGAAAAAGGTTACAACATAAACAAAGCAACCCAAGATCAGTATTAGCTGGAAGATAGTAAGAAAAGTATTTTTAATTGAAACATTTTCATTCTCAAAAAGAACTATGATGCTTTTTAATAGATGGTCAATCATTTAATAAACAATTAAACTTTCTGTATAATCTTGCTAATTTATCATTTGCTATATATATTTAGGGTCATTTTCAAAATAAACTTCATTTTGAATTTAGTTAAGCATTGATGTTATTGAGTATTAAAGTCCTTTCTGAAGCAGACCATTCTTTGTTTAAGAGCAAAGAGCTTACTATGCTTCTGAAAAGTAAGAACTTTCGCAAGCATTTCCTTAGTTTATTTTTAACATATCTTACTAAAAACTTCCTGAAGTTTATTGATTCACTAAACTGTCATATTAAGTACTAAAGAACTTTTATGCTTATTAGAAGTTATTTGACCTGAGAGATTACAATTCTCCTACTTTCAACGTGGAGATAGATTGATAACCTTAAGTAGCTAGTAAAGAATTAATCATAAGTATATTATGAGAACTTACCATTGTAGAAAACTCTAAGGATCCCTACAAGAAATATTAGTATCTATTGGATGGAGGGTCAAATTATGAAGGGAATGTTTCCATGTAAACAAATACCTATATTTATTATTTAAATTTTTAATCAAATCAAATATCAGATTAGTTTTAATAGGGATAGGTTTATTTTTATAAGAATTTTTAATCAAAATTATCAATTTAGTTGGTTTGTAATTGTGTCCTTCATTCTAAAATTTGATTTTAAAAAAATCTAAACCTATTTTTTTTAGATTTGAAATTTCTTTTCCATACTTATTTTGGATAGGCTAGATAGAGTGAGATTTAGAATTATTGTTAAACCTAAGGAAGTTAGTTAACCATTAAGCTTATAATATGAATTTGTATATGGAAATGAGAAAAATAACTTTAAAAATTCAAATTTAATGAATTTTATAGAATATCGAAGTTGGTTAAAATGCTTTAATTACTGTAACAAAGAAGCTGGTTGACATAAAGCATAGAAGAACCAAAGTGTAGAAAAATGAATTAAATTTAATTTTAGGATCATTAATTCTATCAGTTAAATTGCTATTTTTCTTTCTCGATCCTGATTTATCCCTCTTGGATTTTGATTTTGATTCCTAATGACCATCTAGGTGTTAGTCATCCCGTAAAGCTAAATTCGAAAAATCTATGTGTAAATAGTCATCATTGAGTGAGAATAGTTATGTTGTCATAAAAGTAAGACCTGAAACAATTGTTTCTGCTTCATGTTCAGTCATTCTACTTATAACTGCCAAAATTCTTTCTGTATTTTATTTAAGCATTTAATAAGGACTGCAAATGAAAACGAAAGAGAGTGCTATTAAAAAAGTTCCCAAAACAACGCTAATTACATTTACTTTTATAATGCTGTTCTTTAAATTTAGCAGATCAGCTGCTATTTCTTATTAAGTTTAGTATAATAATTAATACATGCTATTTATATTATTTGTTAGCAACTATCTTTAGTCATTTGTTATGGTAAGAGCTTCTAATTCATAAATTTAATTAATAAAATAAAAATTTCTATAGTTATAATGGCTAACTATGCAATCTCAAAAAATTACGCTAAATTTAAGTCATCATGAGCTAGTAAATGCTTTCTGTAGTCTTTTTTAGAAATTCAGTAAAAAACATTTATTGTTCGTAAGAGTTTTAATTTGCTTAGATGAGAGCAGTGATTTGATAATTATAAAACGTATTTTAGTAATTATAGGATATTTATTCATTTAAAAAGTTATAATAAGACGAAATAAAATCCGAAAAACCATCACTAACATTATCAGTCATAAACTTATTTATATCTTAACTTTAAACAGGCATTTAATTCATATTTTGTAAGCATAAGAAGTCTGTGGTTAACAGAGTTTAACAAACAGGAGTCAGTATTTTTGAGCACCTAATTATTTATAAAAAATAAATATAATTTATTTTAGGATTCACATATAAAACAAAATAACTTCAATGCTTCTCAATATAAAATAAAAATTTATCAAAGGTGATTCAATAATTTTAAAATTAAGATTATACCTTCCCATTTCATTCATAGCTATATTTAATTAATAAATAAATAAAATAAATAAATAATTTATTTTTTGATTAAAAAAAAATAGGAAATTTAGATAAAAAGAAGTATTACATCCTGTGTAGTCTTAAAAGTTTTTGGAGATTGTAACAATAAGCACGATGACAACTCCTATGAAAACAAAGAACTAAAAGATAAAAACAGTATTGAGGCCAATTAAAAAAAATGGTGTTTTTGTTGCTTCTGAGCTGAAAACAATTTTTTTGATTATGCTAGTTTCTTAGCTATTTATGCTTGTCTATTGAGATTAATTTTCATTTAATTCTTGCAGTACGTGGTTATTTTAATTAGTTATTAATTAATTTTTAATATCGTATTGCTCTCTTTTCTCCCTATCAGTATCGAAAGATACAATTTGTTATTTTTTAGAATCTTCATCATCTGATGAATCAACTTATTTCTTTTACTCATTTTGATTGCTATTTTACATATTTTATTACTATTCAGTTGAATTACCAAAGTAGCCAGCTACAGAAGTATTCAAGACATTTGCTTCTGTAGTTGCTTATTATTTTTATTTCCCTTCCTTAATTGATTTTTAAGAGAGATTAGATTAATAATCAACTAATTATTATGCCACGTTTTAAGATGCATTTTATTTTTATTAATTTTCTAAATCACGCTATTGGTTTGCTTAATTTTGTTAAAGACTTATTCCAGCATAATTTGCTTCTACTTCAAACTATTCCTTGACTATTTAATCTTATTATTACTCTTTAATTTGGCTAGTTCCTAGGGGATTATGTATAATATCATTTATTTTTTCAAACTAATCTTGATAATGCTCTCTATTTGCATTTAAGAGAGCATTCGAATCATCTACAACAGTTGTAAGCTAATTAATGTTTTCTAAGAACTATTCCTTTACAAATGAACCTTCATTTGGGAAAGGCTTTGCATCTCCTTACTCACTTAAAACAGCTGAATGTAAAATGTCTTCTTCGTTCAATGGCTTCAAAACTTAAATGTCATTAAATTTACTATTTTACACAGTGTTTTACTTTTAAAATGTTTCAAGAGTATTATATTTATCTATTTGCTATTACTAAACTATCTTTTCAGCTGCACGATTTTTTGGATTAGATTATTGTTTTTTATTTGATTTATGTTCACTACTCGGGTTAAATGTTTCATTTAAAGGAGCTTCTTCATAATCTGTTCCATTATTCTTATCTATAATTAATTTTTAAAGGGTAAATAAATAGATAAAATCTTTAATTAAAAACTACCTTTATGGTGACCATTTTTAGCTTAAAATGTTTCTTATTGTAAAAATTCTTCTGTTTGACCTAATAAAAACAAAATAACACGTCAAAAAATTTTAAAAGTTTATAAAATATTTAAAAGAAGCTTAATGAAATGTGTGAATTTAAAAAGAAGGTTTTTTAACAATTAAGATGTTTTAATTAGTTGATTTTATATACATGAATAAATAAATTGATATTAGAGCTTTAATTTTAAAAAAATTAATTTTTAATATTCTAATAAGTTACAAAAGATTTTCAAAAGCTATTTAAAATAAATAAAAAAAATTAACCTTGCAAATTTAAATTAAAATCTTATGAAGTAGGTTATAAAGTTTAAAATTTTTAATTCCTTCTTAAAGAAAATTTATGAAAATGAAAAATTTGTTTCTATAATTTATTAAAAACAAATTAGTTTCTTAAATTTAAAAGAAATTTATTTCTTTTCTTTATGTTAACTTATTTAATTCATAAAAAATAAAAAAGTTTCAAAAAACTTATTAAAAAAAATTAGTTTCTTAAATTTTTAAGAAGTTTTATGTTATTTAGTTAAATTACTAGATAAAATCTCTTTATTAATTCATTATCTTACTTGCAAAAAAATGTAATTTTATTGATAAATAAATAATTTTGATTGATAAATAATCTTAGATTTTAATTGGATTTTTTTAAATTATTTTTTTAATAAAAATCATTTTTACCTTTAATTTCTTTAGTTGCAAATTCTCCTTGTCTTGATTTTCCTGTGTTTCTTGTACTTCCAGATAAAAGCGAATTAGTTTCATCCCAAGGTAACATTTTTTCTATTTCAATAATAAACAATCTTACAACACGATCTATTCCTTCGAACTCCTCAACTCTTATATTTAAAATTGATTCATAACTGAAAATATTTCCTTTTCTATTTTTGATAAATTGATTCAAATTTTTCCTCCAATTATCTCTATCAACATCCCATCTTTAATGAAAATTTTTATGGTGATTGATGAATTAACTAGTGAAATTTATTGGATCTTTTGTTTTTAAAAATATTATTCATTGAAATAAAATGTTATTTTTAAATAAAATTTACCTTTTGGAAAATCTGTTCTATATTTAAGGAAGGCATATTCTTCTTATGGATCATATGACTCAATGAAATCTAGAAACTATGGTATGTATATGCTGACGTGGCATTGCTTGAAGTAGCTAATATCAATATCTTTGGCGTTCATTATTTCTACTATACCCTCTGTTAAATCTTCTATGTATCCTTGCTCGTTAAGGATCATATAGTTGCTGTGTGTCTAAATCTTAATTATCAAGGCAGAAAAAGCAAAATCATCTTATTTTACAAAATAGTAATTGATAAATAATTTGCATAGGAAGATAAATCCATTCTTATTTTTGGCAAACATAGTCCTGTAACTTCTTACAGTTTTTGCAATACCAGTCTAAATTAATCTTTGTAAAAATTAATCGTGCAATATCGATATACAGTCAGGGATCAAATCTTTTACTCTATCCTATTTATTTTAAAATGGAAGATAAAAAATGTTAATTTTTGATTGAGTTTGTTTTAGCTCTAATGGTATCATATGATAAAAAATGAATAAAATTAGAGAAAACTCTGGTACATTTAATTAAATAATAAATGTTAACTTTGTTCACAAACTCTCCTCTGTCGTAACTAAATATCTAAGGTATTCTTTCACTGTACTGAAGTATTTTTCCTGCATCTTTTTCTGTTTTAAAACTTGCAATAATGCTTCCAACGTTTCCAGATAGAATAGTAAGAGAAGTGATAGTTGTAGCATCACTGCTCTTTTCTTTGTTAAACATATCTTATAAATCGCTTTCTATCTTACGAGTATATAAAGGATCAAAAATCAAGAAGGATTTAATCATAGCCAACAACTTCAAAAAATAAATGTTATCAGGATTTTCTTCAACCATTTAAAGTAGCCCATTTTCTATTCTACACACCTAATTTAAAATGTTTTTTATTAATTTTGTATATATGTATGTTTGTAATTATTAAACTTTTATGGTATAATTATATTAATTTTTTTATCACTTTAATTATAAAATAGAAATAAATTAGTTAAAAGTTCAAGAAAAACTTAACTCATATTATTAACTGAAAGTACAGCTAAAAATTATGAAAAAAATAAAATCAAAATAATTTATTAATAAAAAATATTTCTTACTTATTTTATCAGTTTTATCGCTGAATCTTACATTATATTGTAGTTAGTAAAACCAGTTATAAGTTAGTTCATAAATTCTACTTTTTCTTTCATCACTGACCCTACTAACTTTTTAAGGTCATTTTTCTTTGTTTCTGTTAAAACCATTTTTTCAAATTTCACATTATTAGCTGCGTCGCTTCTATCCTTTTGTCTATAAAAAAATTTGAATTGTAGCATACATAGAAAAATATAGGATTGGTTATACCTGTAAGAATAACTGTGCGCTTTATCTCTTTCCTTCAATCTATTTTCAATCAGATTCGTTAGACTTCTTTCAACTGTAGCAAAAAATGTATTTTTGTGTATTATTAGTGTTGTCATGACTTTGTTTTGAAACAGTGCTTTTATAGAGTTTTTCTTAAATTTAATTAAGAAGAACCAGTATCTTAAACATACTTCCTATAAATATAATTTTTGAATATACTTTTATAAAAATCAAAATAAAATTACTTAGCAAACTAATTATTCTCCCTTTTTGATAAGGAATGCTATCAATACTTCAAACTAAAAGTCTATAAAGCTCTAAAGCCATCTTTCAAATAACAATTCATTTTAGCAAACTCTTGAAAAGTCCACTCCTTTTATTTTAATATCTCTTCCACAGTCAATTATCATACCTCCTGAAAGTGTTGGCTTTTCATCGCCTTATAAAATTTTTTATTAATAAGATACCTCAAATTTAAAATCCTTTAGTTTAAAAAAATTTTTACCAGCTAATTTATTGATTTCTTCATTTTTACAAGGGCATAGCAATGCTTTGCAAAAGTTTTTGTGCAACTACAAAGTTCCAAACAAAAGCAGTTTTTAAGAAAGAGATGTATAGTTTTTCTCATAAAGTTCGCATAATTTTTCGAGATAAAGACAGGTTTCTTATGGAAAATCTAAAAAAATTATTTAAGTAAATTAAAAATATGTTGTATGAATCATAATAAAAAAAACTACCTCCTAGCCTATTTGGGTCTACTGTCATTGCAAGAATAAATTTTTTGTTCCAGATTATTTTAAAGAGCCCATAAGACAAAGCAATAAGCATTAAAAAAACAAAAACAAAATTTCTATCTGAAAAAAAGTCGAAATACTCCCTAATTAAGAAGAGGGTTGTAAATATTTCAAAAACAGAAATGAGCCAGCCATAAATATCAGAAATATTTTTATCGACCAAAGGAAAATGCATAAAATATTCAATCATCAAAAAGATTCCAAACGTATGGGCAACTATAAAAACAATGAATACACTGCCAAAATATGAAAACATTACTAAACATATTTCTAAAAAGGGTTCAACTGATTTAAGAACTGAATATCTTGACTTTAGTTAATTTACTGCATTGAATTCTTGTTTAAATAAAAATTTTCTCTATTATTCATTTAAATATGTTTTTATTATTATTTATTTTTTATTATCTATGAAAAAAACCAATAATGCTTCAACTATGCACATTCAAATTGAAAGAAAATTTTTATTTATAAAAAATTAATTAATTAATTAGATTTTTACCTGGATTGTGATATATCAATATATTAATCAAGCTAATTGTAATACTAGTGATTAAGACAAAAAAGAAAAGTAGAAGAATAAGTCCTCTATATAAAAACCCTTATTCACTAAATTATATCACAGCGCCGCAGCGACTGCTTATAATTGGCCCATTTGTTGAGCTGCAAAAGTAACAGGCAAATAACAGATCAAATTTAGGTAAACAATATATCCATTTTTGATGCTCTAAGTAAAGTTAGAGTGTACTAATATTCTTTTCTTATCTTTTCATCACATCACAATCATCTAAAATATTTTAGGAAAAAAGTATTTATTATCTTGAATATTATTGAATGAATAAATAAATAAATGTCTCGCTTAAATTTAATTGTCAAATATTTTATTTTAAATTTCATGAGAGTGAGAGAGGATTAAACTTAAAAATTTTTGTAAATATAATTGAAATTTAATATTAACCTTTTATATTAGCTAAGCTAAGCACATATGCACAATAGATGACATAGACTTCCATCACTAAAATGATCAATAAAATGATTACAGGGATTATTCCATTCGAGACTGAGCTGATAATAGGAAGAAATCTTGCTTTTTAAAGAAACTCAAAAAAGTAGTAAGCGTAAGTATCTGTAGACTCTTTTTAGGAAAGGGTGCACATAAATCCACATATTTATACAAAATAAAATGTCACCAAGAAAATATAATAGGTTTTAGTTCTATTCCTTTCGTTGTCTTTTAAGAACATGAGCAGGAATAAATTGCTAAGAGCATTATAAAACCTTTCTTTGAGTGGTGGTTACTTATCAAAAACTTTCATGTTTATAAGAAATGCTTAAAAATATAAAGTTTTTCTTGTATTCTACTAGTTAATTCTACTAACTACCTCTTATTTTTTATCTCCTTATTTTTTATTATAAGCTTGAATTATTTAAACAAAAACAAATTATTTTCTCTTTTCTCTTTTTCTTATCTATTTAAAATAACTATCTCTTGCTTTCCAAATCATCACCAACAAATAAAATTCTTTCTTATCTAAGCAACAAATTTAAATAGCATGAAATAACATAAAAACAAAGTAATAGAGATAAGCATTGATTGAATACATTTATTTTAAACTAGCTATCTCACAATTTATTTTTAATTATTATTCTCACCATCATCATTATTAAGTCTAAGGATATACCATATGTCGATTAAATTAATAAGCATATTATTAATTAATTATTTCTTAAATAATTTCACTAATTACTTATTACTTATGATTATTTTTTTTACTGTGCGAATATTATTTATTATAATAATTATTAGATTACAAAATCTGTTGATTACTGCCTTGTGTAGGAGTTTAATCAAGTAGAGAAGAGTGAGTGAGTGAGTGAGTGAGCCACTGAATTTCTTATATTTTACTTCCAAACACAATTTAAAAAGTGTGATTTTATTTTAGCTGTTTAATATTATCAAATTTTAAAATTTTATTTTAGTTAACTTATCTATAACTATCATAGCAAATAATCTTTCCCAGCAAATAAATCATTTTTTAGAACAATTAATATTATAGAATTTATAATTTCAACAAATTAAAATTAATTCAGAAAATTACTAAATCTGTTGATTATTACTTTGTGTAGGAGTTTAATCTAGTAGAAATAAGTGAGTGAGTCACTGAATTTCTTATATTTTACTTCCAATCACATTTAAATAAATGTGATTTTATTTTAGCTGTTTAATGTTTAATATTATCAAATTTAAAAATTTTATTTTAGTTAACTTATCTCTTACTATCATAGCAAATAATCTTTCCCAACAAATAAATCATTTTTTAGAACAATTAATATTTTTAATTTATAATTTCAACAAATAAATTAAAACTTAGTAAGTATTTATTTTAGTTCTAAAAAAAAATATATTTCATTTAATCAGAAAATGTCCTTTATAATTTTTTAAGTGATTAATAATATAAAATTTAAAGAAATAGACTTATAAATTGTGTAATAAAATAGTTTTATAAAATTAGAATTAATAAATCTCAGCTTAGCTAATCATATAAATAATACAAACTAAATATTTGTTTAAGTGTCTCAAAAAAATAATTACATCTAGAATAAATATCTTGAATTAAAGAAAAGATTGATATTAGCATAAAATAGAATATTGACAATATAAGTAAAATATGGAGATAGAAACTACTAAATCTCTTTAAGAGGAACTCTTTGTTGATAAGTCTGATAATTAGAGAAATTATATGAAAGAACTCTAAGACTGCATAGAAAAAAACGTATTTCATTCAATTCATCCTCTCATGATAAACAATTAATTAAAATATAGATGCCATAAATGATAGAAATAGTTAGGACTGAAGAAAAAATTGATAGTACATTGAGGATATTACTAAATTTCAAAATATAATATCCTGAGAATTACAAAAAGGTATCCATCTTTTTTATCACCTATGCTCTTTTGCAAAAAGATGTTTTCTCTAGCTATAATTTAGAATTAAAGCTAAATAATTTTTTTGCTAAAAAAGCATTTATTTTTTTCTTAAAACATTAAAGTAAACCAAAATTTATTTATAAAATTATAAAAAGATAGTAATATGCTGCTAGAGAAGCTAAGATACAACTTAATATTTTGAAAAGGCGACTCAACTAGCTGAAAAATACCCAGAAATTAAAGAAAAATTACTTATTTTAAAGGTTTCAAATAAAAGAAATCTTTGCATTGAACCAACTAGAGAGGATAAATATGATGAGGAAATATTTTGTAAATATAAAAGAAAAGTTGATACAAATAAATGTAAATTTTACGAAGAATTCAGAAATATTGTTAAAGTAAAAAAATATATTAATAATGAACCTAACATCTTGTTAAATCCTATCTTTTTTTGTATAAATAAGAGCGAACTTAGCAATCGAAAGGGTATATACGATTAAAATAAATTAGTATAAGAGGGTAAAATGAAAGGATTTTGTTCTTATTTTGCCTAAAATGAACTTATTAAAGATGCAGACATTATAATATGCGAACATAAGAATATATTTAAAGATGAAGACAAACAATAAGATATATATTAATTTATTCCTATGCAACAAAACAAAGAAAATAAAGGCACATTTCTATTTGTTGACTAGTCTTAATACCTTTATGAAGATATCTAAACCTACAATACGTAACTTTTAAAAATATATTTTATGGAATTCATTTTCATTCTATTAATAAATAAAATTAGATTTAACATCGAGCAGCAGGTCATCCATTAAGCTGTAAATAAATGCAGGTAGCTAAAATAGGTTATTTATGAGCAAGTAGAGTTAGTAAAAAAAAACGAATTAGTAAAAAACAACAAAGTCACAGACTTTTTTAAAAAGGATTACAATGACTTAATGTCTAAATTAGAAAAATAAATGTTAAAAGCAGTAAATGACCAAGAAGTAAGGAACAATTTAAATAATTTTTTTATTTAGTAATTGATTTTTAAACTAATAAGAATGGCGCTCAAGAAAAGCCTCAATAATTTCCTGCATACGTAAAGCATCCGATATTATTGGTAGAATTTTTGCAAAATGTTTCTCTTGAGTTAAATTAATGGTTTGAAAATCATTTCAATAAGAAAAAGTAGTATAATTGTAAAATTTAGCTTTTTAAAATAATAATTTGATATTTTTTAGAAATGATTTAGATAGATAAAATAATTTTAATAATGCTCACCATGCAAGTGCTCCAATCTTGGTAAATGAAAAAATACCCAAAGAAGATTTGCAAAATTTGAAAAACTTATATCCGATGAAAATTAAATTAAGGTATTTTATTAATTTATTTTATTATTTCATTTAATATAAAATGAATAAAATAATTAATTAGACTTGTAATTGATGAATTACTTTCATATATGTTCAAATACATATACCCAGAAAACAGCTAAGAGAAGGATGATACATTTTAAAGTCTTTATATAATAGGTGACTTCTTGTATTTCTTTAATTTGTATTACTAGTCAAATGACTATCCTTTAAGAGTCTTCTTCTAAGATCATCCTGAATACTTAAAGGAAGCTATTTACTATCCTATTCTAACTTGCACCCCTTCTCAAATAAAAAATTTTTCAAAGCGTATTTTTGACACCTCCTCTAATTACATATTGACTTCAGACTGCATTTTATAAAAAAATTAAATGCGTACAACAACAGTATTAGGTTTGCAAAAACTAGCAAATCTAAGATAGAATTTCTTTCCAAGATTTGATTTAGAGGATAGAGTTAAATTCAACTGTAAACCTATGTTTTTTACAAAATGGAATGACTAATCAACATTCTAATCACAAAAAATTGAACACTCTCCTCTACAATTAAGAAACTATGTAAATATAATAAATAGAGTATCTGAATTTACTCCTGATGGTATTGTAGTATATCTACCAAACATAGCAGTATTTTTCAGATTTATTAAAGAAAAAGTTGATGATATACTTTCAAAGAGACCTGTTTACTTTGAATCTCCTTTTTCACCTGAAAAAACTAAGGAAGTAAATTCAAATTTAACTTAAAATAAGCTAAACATATTTATAAAAAAAAGGCATTTAATTATTATAAAACAAATTGTGATAACGGATAAGGTTCTTTCTTTTTTTGTGTTGCAAACGGATGGGCTAGCAGGCATCTTGAATTCTAAGATCACTGTGCTAGAGCTGTTTTAATCCTTGGTTATCCAAAAAGACAAGAATTCTATTAATATATTTCTCATGATAAAAAAATCTATGGTTTAGAAGAAGAAGATTTTTACACCTTGGATTCTATGACAAAAGTAACTTAATGTATAAAGAGTGTATATACTCACACAACAGATTACTGCACTATAATCCTCGCTGATACAGTAAACTTTTCTTTCTTTTTTTAAATGATAATAACTTTTGATAACTTAAATAAATTAGAAATTAAGAGCAGACTCTGATTATCTTCCAGCATGGGCAAACTAAAATTTAAAAGGTTAAGATGAACTTACGGTTGATGATCTCTTTTAAGAAATCCTCTTAAACCAAAGAGCCATGGGGAAATTATATGGCTGATAATAAAGCGATAAAATATGAATTCTATTTCAATAATACTATTAAATATATTTTTAATTAAAACTATAAAATATCTTAATCAATAAAAACATTTTTTTCTATATAAATTTGTGAATAATTTTAAAGTTTGTAAAAAACCATATTCAAATATTCAAGTTCATTACATGCATTAATAATAAAAAAATTGAATAAAAATTTTATAAAAATGAATTATTTTGTTGAGACAAACAAAGAATCAATCATTTTATTGAAATATATTTTTTAATATTTTATATTTAAAGTTTACTTAAAAGAATTTCTGTATATTTTCTCTAAAAAATCATATAAAAAAATGATTAAATATCTATTGTATTTTATTAGGTTTATAAATGTTACAAAAAATATACTTATTTATTTCAGTAATAAAGCCAGAACAAGCCAAACAAATACAAACCTATTTGATGATAATATAAAGTTTGAAATCAATCATTAAATCGCATTTGTAATTTTAAAAATCAAAAATAATAAATAACTTTTGATAAATAGAAAAAATTTCAATTAATATTTGATTCAACTATTATTTAAAATAAATAAATAATTAATTAAATTTTTAATCAAATTTAAAATATTTGTTCATTCATTCATTCTTAAAAATATCTATCAAATAAATGAAGAAAATAAAAGCAAAAGTTTTAGTTGTAGGTTAGAATACATTCATTCATTCATTCAATAATCTTTCAATAGTGAGATTTTTATTAAGAATCCATCTTTTTCTATAAAATTTAGGTGATGCTGCTTGTGGCAAAACAACTTTAATATAAATGTATACAACTAATGGTTAAACCTTCTTGAAAGATTATAATATGGTACATAAATATTTGCATTAAAATGATAAAGTTTACTTATATCAAATTAACTTAAATTATTTATTAAACAGACTTAAGCTGCAGAAGTTTCTTCCAAAATCATTCCTTTTCCTGAAAAAGATAAAGATGTAGAGCTTTTCTTTTTTGATATTAGTGGATAAGACTGCTACTAATCGATCACATCTGAGTTAGTAAAAATATTAAAAAGTTAGCAAAACAATATTTTAAAAACTCTTCTTTTTAATAGCTAGGACAAGCAGATCTTTTAGTTTTAGTTTATGATTGCACAAGCTAAGAAAGCTACAATAAACTTTAGACATGGTATGATAAAGTCAAACAAAAGAATTCTAAATCTCTTTAAGGTGATTAAATAAATGAATATATTTTAGTTAGGTTATTGACAGTTATTAATATATAAAAGGTGTTTTAATTTCAACTAAAAACGATTTAAGTGGTGCTAGATAAGTAGATCCTCAACAAGCAAGAGACTTAGCAAAGAAACTTAATTTATAATTTTTTGAAGTTTCTTCAGCACGTAATACCAACATAGATCTACCTTTCTAAAACTTAGCAGAAAGACTTGTATGATAATGAAGTTAAATAAATAAATAACTAATTAATTAATTTTGATATAAATACATAATAAATGTTTTAAATAGTATTATTATTATTTTAATATAGAAAAATAAATATAAAACTCTCAAAATATTTTAAATCAATTGTTGCATGTTTGTTTTTAATAGTTTTAAAGAATATAAAATAATCTGATAAATAAATGATAACAGTTTAAATAATAATAATAACTTAGTTTTATCTTAAATATAAGCTTCATTTAAATATAAAAATACACTTCAATGATGTGTATGCTCTCTTCTTTATGAAGAGCCTATTCTTTATTAATTATTTTAAATTGATTTGTTTTTAGAAATTGCTCTAGATCTAGGCTTTAATCCTTCTAGCTAAGGAAGTATGTTTTAAATTTTACTTTGTTAATTTAAAAATGAAGCATTGTTCTGTGAGGTATTAGCATAGTTTGTTCTAAATTACTACTAATCATTGTTTGAAAGTTAAGAATTTATATAAAATCTTCCATTATGGGAAAAGCTGCTTGTGCTATTTTAAGTAATTGCAGTTCTTACATTGTCCAAAGCAGAATTTTATGTGTTTATGGCACTATTGTTAATTATTTTATTGCTAAAATTTGTTGGAGCTTGCTTATTACTTTCTTCATTGACTTATTCGTTATTTTAATTTGCTTAATCGGTTCTATTTAATGATACGTCTAGCACATCATTTTATGAGGAGGATTCAATTTAAGAGAGTTCTTAAAAATCATTAACATTTTACTTCAGACCATATTATTAACGAGCTGCTTGCAATAAACGTGTTGCAACTTCTAAGACTTCCTCTCTTTTGTAGCTTCTGCCATCTATGTTAACTGTAGAAGGATTATAAGCTAAACAAGCCATTTTAAAAGCTTAATTTATTTGAGCAGATTAACCGCTACAGCTGATACAGTTTTGATCTAAAATTAAATTTGGGAAAGCTCCTTTTGATATGGTTTTTTATGCAACATTTGAAGTAGTTCCAGGTGAAGAAGCCATTATTGCAGGATTTCTGAGAGTTTTTACCATTCTTATTTAAGTTAAAATTGAAAAAATATATTTAAATAATAGTTTGATAATTAAAGTTACTTTGGATCATCACTAAAGTTTGATCTAAAACCATATAGAGCTATGCTTTGCTTGTCGAGCTCATCTTAAAGAACAAGCGAGTTGCTTAAGGTATTGAAATGTATTAATTTATGAACTGTTTCACTTAAAATATTGAAAGTGTTAACTATTTTTTCCAGCTCATTCCAGATTCCTGTTATTTTTTTATCTAAGACCCCTGTTTCGAGCAAGACGTTGTTGTTTTACTGCTTAAGAACATTTATACCCTTCTCCATTTCTTCTTATATTTTAGATATATTAATTTACATAATTTCTTCATTTTCTAGAAGTCCATTCTATAAATTTGTAGTTTTATTTTCAATTGCTTCTTTCATTCTTTATACTTCTAAGTCAATCATTAATTTTAGTTATGCAAATTACCTATTGCTAATATCGTATTTCTACTACGAGTTTAAGCTATTAAGAGAAGACCTCTTTGAATGTTAAGTATTTACTTTATTTTAAGCTTAAATAGTTGTATTGTTATTATTATTATTACTGTTGTTTGTATTATTTACTGGAGTTATAACTTAATTTTAAGAAGCTATGTTATTGTTATTACTGCTACTTGCATTTCTATTACTACTACTACTATTATTTCTTTAAACACGTACTTCAATATTAACATTTTAAGGTTGGATAGTGTTATTTGAGAAAGGACTTAAAGATTTTTGTTCATAGTTAAAATTGTCTTCGTCAACAGAATCAATTCCATTACTATTTTATCTAAAGGTATCTACAAATCCAAAAGGGATAGAGATTTCATTTTAATTAGAAGGAAATGGATAAGGGTCATCAGTGTTGCCATTTTTTTATTACAAATATTTAGCATTTCTCTTGACTATTTTCTCTAAATAGTTAATACTTTCTTCAATTTTTTAGTTTAAATTAGGAATACCATCATCATTTAAAATCACTTAATTCATCGCTGCAAAAGCCTTTATTTTTTAAATAAAAGCCTAAAAAAAATAATAATAAATTTAATTATACTTTATCTTCATATTAAATAAGTTTCCTTTTAGAGCTCTTATCAAGTACACTGAAGAGAGTATCAGAAATTTAGCCTTGGACATACAAAGAACTGTATTTTTCAATATAATTTTCAACCATTTTAAACTTTTTTTTAAAAGAAATACTAAAAAATAAATGTGTGAACTCCTCAAAATAATTACTTTATTCATTAGTTCTTCAATTTTGTTAGTAAGTTTCTTGGCTGTATTTATATTGTTTTACATTATTGATATAGCTTTATTAGCTTATTCCATACTCTGCTCAAAGTTTGAGTTTTTCTTTATTCAGTTAAAAGATAAAAATTAAAATAATTACAATCTTAAATATTTTTTTTATATTTTTAAAAACTAAGTTAAAATTTACTAAATTAATTTATGTTAATTTCTCAAAAATTTCATTAATTTTTGAATTGTGAATTTATATTTCTTGTGTGTTTTAGTTAGTTTAGTGATCGATCTTCAAAATATGCTCCCAACTTTTAGAGAACTCTTGCTTAGTCCACTATGAGGAAGTAGTAATTTCTTTATTTAAAGAGCTGATAATATCCTGAGTGTTCTTTTTAAAGCTCTCAAAATATTCAATTAAACTATTCTTATCTTCTTAAAATTTATCTCTAGCTATAATGAAATATTAAAAAAGACATTACTAAAAGAAGGTAATTATTATTCATTCTTTTTAGTTCTAATATAAATATTTAGTTTATCAAATAAAATAAATATTTCATACATTTGTGAACTTCTCTCATTTCATCTTTTATGTGCTGAAAATCTTTTAGTAAATTCTATTCGAACTACAGTATCCTTTCTTATTATTAATTATGTTTATTATTGAGAATTTCTAAATTTGAGTTTGTGGTAGCTATTTTTTAATATATATTATCTATGACTTTAACACCATCATTATTGTAATGAATAATATCATGAAGACATTTTACTGAATCATTATTTTTGTCTATTTTATCATTTATATCATCAAGCATCTTTTTATCTATTGATATTTTTTTAATCGTTGGTTGTAGTAACTCATTCACAAATTTCCTTATTTTAGTTTCTACCTCAAACCACTCGAATTCTCTAATTTTGAAACTCTAATTAAAATCTTTTAGATTTGCGTTGTTAGATATCGAATTTATAGTGTTAGCTTTTTAATATGACTCTAAATCTGTGGAATTTCTAGAATTTCCGCCAGCAATTTCTCTGCTTCTTTCTGCATTAATGCTCATTTTTACTTATTAAAGAAAGAAATACCTATTTTGGTTATTATTTATGCAAATCAACTATTGATCACAAAATATTTAATAATTTATTAAACAATTAAATTTTGATTGCCTTATTTTGAATGGTTCGTTAGAAATGTATTACAAAAATCAATAAGCAAAGCATTTCTAAAATTAAATTTATACAATTTAATCAAATTAAAAATCTATTTTTTAATTTTAAGTATTTTAGTTTTTAAATGATATTTTAGCTTGAAATGCAATTTATTTTTCTTTATTACAGTTTTATTTAACTAAAAAAGATGTACACACATACGTAATCTTCAGTTTTTTAACATTTTTATTTTAACTATTTAATTAAATTTGTAAAGTATTATTTTAAGCTTAAGGTTCTTAAATTCTAATGGATTATAAAATCTAATCAAAAAAAGAATTCATAAAATAAAATAAAAATTATAAAATGCATTTGAATATAATAATATTATAATCTACATTAAAATCTTTATAAGTTTAGCATTAATTTTTAACTGTTTAATAAATTTAAAACTCAATTTCGAATAATAGAGTATATTTTAATAAGAAATTTCTTCAAAGATATTATATACAGGCAGCATTGAGAGTTGAAATAAACAAATAAGCCTATTTTAGAGTTTATATGAAATTTCTTTCATGCAAAAATTTGAGATGTTTTATCCAAAGGTTATAATCCATTTTGATAACTCTAAGTAAGTTAATTTTTAACTAAACTATTTAGAATAAGGAATGTCTATTAAATGATTTCAATAAGATTTTTAAATACTATATTTGATAAAATATTATTTTCATATTTGTAATAATCAATATAAATTGAGTATTAGACAGGCTAGTATATAAATTAAAATAGAAAAACTATAAAAATTTTTAAAGTATTTAATCTATTTACAATTTATATAAATTAAATAGTAACTATACACTTATTTATGATAAATACATTTTTTTTTTCATTTTTTTCCCTTTTTTGATTTACCCTTTTCTTATTTCTAAACAACAGGAACTTCTTTTTTTTCCTCTTCCATTTTTGAAATTTAATCTAATTTAAAAGGATGGGGCTTTCCATTTGGATTTTTAATTCTATCATCTAATTATTTAACATATTCGCATATCTTAGCATAAAGTACCTTTTCTATTTATATTTTTATAAATGAGTTTACAATTTTATTTGTGCAAAAGAATCTTTTGCTATTAAGCACAATTATATTTATTTATAGTACTATATTATTTAATAAAATGATATACTTGAAGGTACTGATGGATTTACTAGCTTATTGCTATCATCAAAAAGCATTACTTTCACTCTTCCTTTAATCATTGTTTCTCTAGGATATGACTAAATAAAAATAAGATTAAGCGCTTGTTTAACTTTCTTTATTTATTTAAAAAGCTATTACCTTATGCACTTCAACAACAACTGGTACCTTAACTTTTTCTAATGCCTTAGCCATTTCCATAATAGTGATATTAGGAACTCCTACTGCTTTAGATACACGACGTCCTTATATTAATTGATATTGATGTTTAGTTAAATGCTCAAAATAAAAAAATTTTGATTAATATATTCTACCTTCTTGTTATGAAAGAGTAGAGTCGAGATAATGAGGATAAACTGTCTTCCAGGTTTTAGCCTTGATTATCATGTCTTCTTATTTCATCATTTTTTAAAGCTATATTTATTATTTTACTTGTTTATTAATGTATTTTTAAATGAAGCTTAATTTTTTGAAGAAAGATATTGATTATTTCTATTCAATGCATTAATAAACTTTTCTCAATAGTTAAATTACGTTTAAGGAATATTATTAATCTGACTTATATCTCCTTAAAGAATTTTAATTAATTTCTACACGTATTTACTTTCTTTTCATACAACTTCAATCAAATCAGTGAAGTGAATACAATAACATATTCATTTTAAAAAAACATTTACATCTTAATTTAGCTTTAAAAAGGTTTTATCTAAATTACTGTTTCAAGACATAAAATAAATAAATTGATTACATATTATAATATAAGTTATGTTTTTATAATTTAAATTAATTTGTGTAAGAATATTTTTTTATCATTATAAGTATTTATATGAATTCATTTTTGTTAATTTATTTCATTAATAGTAGTGCAACTATCATTTATTTCATTCATTAATAGGCTCATTTCATACTTTCATTATTATTTACATTGATTATCTTCTAAATATTACTCATCAGCTAATTCTTCATCGGCTTCTTCTTGTTATTGTTGAACAAATTTCGATTTAATCTTTTTCTTTTCTTAATATTATTCCATAAGTTGTTTTTCAAGCATTTCCTATTTTAAATTCGGAGTCCTTGCATTTAAATAATATTCTAAAGAGTAAGGTATTAGCTCATCCTTAAAAATTAGAGCTATTTCATAACTTCTCCCAAGTTTTGTGCAAAGATCATGAGCATCAGATATCTTTATTTATTTCAAATTATATTAGAATGTTTTTAGGGGCAAACATAAAATTTACCTTATTGAGACCCTCTTCTAAATTGACGTTTTAAAATAGTTAAAGAAATATTCCTGTTGTAGCTGTTTCTTTATTGCCTGTTTTGATTTTGAATTCAGCATTTGACTCTTATCTGTAAGCATTTACTGAATCAATCAGATAAAAAGTCACTTAAACAAATGAATTTGTAAAATATTTCTAATCTTAAGAGAATTAAAATGATAAAGTAAACGATTTAGTTGTTTTAGTTTCTTCTCTTGAAATTTCTATCTTTTAAAATTAAATCATATTAAAAAAATATAAAATATGATTAATTTATATAAATTTTGATGGGTTTATTATGTAAAAGTTACAGTTTCTAAGCATTGTGCTATATCTTAATCTTTTTTAGTAAATTAATGCTATAAAATTGTGCAGTTTTGTATGCAACTAGACCAATATTTTTATATTTTTGGGTAAGCAAGTGGCTCTAAATAATTAGGATCTCCAGGCATTGTAAAATGATCAGAAATATCAGAGAAATCATTCAAAATAATAGTTCCTTCTTCTTTTATTAAAGACTGTTTAAAATTTATTTTAAATATAAACTAATGTCATATTTATATAATAGGTTTACATTCATCTATTTAATTATTTCATATGTCTTCTTTTCATAATTCCTTTTCAACTTTAAAAGCTCATTATGTAAATCTTTATCAAGATTTTATTTCTATTTATGATGATATAACATAGCGCATAACTTAATTCTAAATTTAGGTTCGAAATGCAATATTTTTTCAGACATTTTATTGCTTAAATCTTTGTGAAAAGAAATGTAATCTTCCTCAACTATATTCTTTTTACTTCTCATTGTAATAAGTGGACAACTAATCTTAATAATTTCTTATCAAAATATACAAAATTTTTTAATTCTAAAGAAAACATCAAAAATTAAAAGATTTGTATGAACTATAAAAATATTTTGAAAATTTAATAGTTTATTTTTAATAAATTAAATAATGTTAAATAAATATTAATAAATATACTTTAAACGTTCAAATATTAAGGCACGCCTCTACTCTGTTTAAAGCCCTTTATAAGGGTCTTAATTTAAGAATTTTCAAAAAGAAAAATTTTGATTATTAGCAATAAGGTTTGTAGAAGATTGCGATATTTTTATATAATATATTGATAAATTTAAATGAAAATTTACTATGAAATATACAGATTACTAGCTAAAGAAATACAAATAATTATCTTTATTTTATATAAAAATTAAAATTTCTAAATTTTAATTAATAAATAAAATGATAAAAAATTAAAAATAAAACTGAAATAAATAAATATAAACTTATGTTACTTTATATATTTTGCTTAAATATTAAACATAAAAGACAAATTAAAATATTTGAACAAGACCTTAAAAAAAAACTTTTTAATTGGGTTTTAAGCTCAGAAAATAATTTAAATTTACTTTTACACAAGTAATACAAAAATTAAAAATAAAAGAATATATTTTTCTATTCATAATTTGTAATTTATTTTTGTTAGAATATTTTCAATTCAACACTTTTAATTAATAAAAGACTGCTATTTGAAAATTGTATTTTCTTTCATTAAAAATTTTAAGGTTATTCTGTAGGCTACACAAAACCTTCTTATTAAATTGGTTGAACATATTAAACGGGCTAAAGTTGTTATTCTTAATCCTATATCTAAGCATATACTTATTATTCTTAAATAGGATAGGCATATTATTGTTATTATTATACAGGATAAGTATATTATTAATTTTGTTATACTGGTTAGATGTATGGTCCTTATTAATATCCAGATTAAGGGTAAGCGTTTGCTTACTATGGGTATACTGTTTAGGCATACATTGGTTATTAATTATGCTATTAAACATAACCAGGTTGCTAGATTACTGGTTATGCAGCAGGATAACCATAATTTGGCAAATCCTAATAAGTACCTTAAAATTAAGCTTGACCTACGGGTTGAATATTTTACATTTATATATTGGTATATTAAGGTTAAGGTAAAGGTTATCCTGGATATTAATTTTGATTAACTGGATTCTATTCCTCATCCATGTTAGGTTTAGCAGGCTCTTATTGAGAGTTAGGAGTTTTATTTTTAAAGCATAAAGCCTTTAAAATTAAAACTACATCTATAAAGAGGGTAATTGCAAGCACAATAAGAGCAGAAAGATTCTTTTTGTATACTTAATCTTCTAATTGTGTAGAAAATGCTAAAATTTATGAGTTGAAAATAGGATCCATAGGAGCAGCATTTGCAACTTCAGAGATAACATCCTTTTTTTGAGCTGATACAATGAATGCCCAGAGAAGGAACTAATTTATTTATTTAAAAAATCGGTTAATTAAGTGAAATAATTAATTTTTAAATGAATTATTTGAAGAATAAATTACAGGAACTTGCAATAATTTTCCGCCATAAGATAATATTGTTTTGGTTTTTTTAATCTTAGCTGATTCTTCATCTCTAGAACCTTCGAAGCAAGGAACATCTTTGCCCATAAGATTATAAACTTCAGAAATATTAAGAACGATAGATACCATAATGCATACAAATATATTGATAATCATAACTACTAATTAAGCATTTTTTAGATCAGTTAAAGAATTTGAGGCATCAACAAAACCTTTCATCTAAAAAAAAAAATAATTTTAATTACAACAAATTAATTTTAATTTATTTTACTAAATTTCTTTTAGGGATACTCCATGATAAGTAATTTCTTTGATAAGTGTTAAATGGAGCAGTTGAGCTAGGAATTTGAATTCCTGAATAGTTTGAGAGAATCTTATAATCGCTTGAATTCATATTCATAATAAAATATCTATTTTCAGGGATCTATTAATTAAAAACATTTAATTATAAATAAACAAAATTTTTGCAAATATTTTATATTTTACTGAGAATCCATTTTAAATAAATGTAGGATCAAATTAAGAACATGAGGATCTACCTTAAATACTAAGAATATATTCTGATTATCCATTTGGAAGATTTTCTTTTATATAAAATAATTTTTAATTGATTATTTTTAAATTATACAATTTTAATTTTACTTTAAGTATTGTAAATTTGGCAAACTCCTGCACCCTAGGTTAATCTAAGTTCACTCAAAGGCTCTTTTGTTGCGCTGGCCCCAATATTATCATAATAAAGATATTTGCCATTAGGTAAAGAAATCTTTGAATATCCAACGTAACTTGGATCAGATGAAGCAGAAGAAACTTAAATATCATAAATTGGGCAAGGGTCGTCTTTTGAAACACAGAAAACACTTTTAGGATACTATAAATTACCACACAACTTTTAGCCTACACATGATTCTCCTTTTTATTAATCTGCAACCTTGTAATAAGCGTATTTGCTTAAACCTCTCTTTACGCATACATTCATTCTAACATTTGATGGTCCTTTTTGATTATTTGTTTTTGATAGTAAAATTTATTATAAAGATTTAATTTCAAATTACCTTCAAAAAAGTTGAATGTTGTGGCATTTATTCCAGTTGTATTGTAGCATCCATAGCTTGTATAATTAGCTGAACAATGGCCACGGTACATGGTCTTTGATATTTCAGTAGTGTTTGCATAAGTACAATCACAACCATCACTCATACCTCCCCAATTCCAATTGAACAAAGAGGTATAGTTAGAATCACAATTTAAGTCTTACTTGCTTTAAATATCTACAATAGGGACTTCTTTTAAGTTAGAGACTATGTTGTCATAAAGCTAGCTTGTATCAGTGAACTTAGTATATGCCTAAATACTATTTTAAATGTTTTTTTAACAAAACGGGTAATTAATTGAGTTCAAAATAAATTCAAAGTAGTAGAAAATGAAAAATACCTAACAATTAATGTAAATAGGCCATAGAAAACCATCAATATCATATAAGCAATGGTACCTATTTTTTTGAGATCCATTTTATTTCTTCCTTTTTTTTAATTTAGATTATTTTTCAGATTTTTGTTGTACTTTTTTTAATTATTTACAATTTAATTATTTATAAATTTTACTAAAACTTAAAGTTTTTAATCAGAACCAGAAATTAAGCAATCACTTTCACCACACAGAACTTTATAATCATTACTATCACTAAGCTAAACAAAAATAACTCCTTCCAAATTTACAGTAGCATTAAATTAATTAGATCTAAAACTATTATTACCAATTAATTTTTTTAGTTTTATTACATTTTGATGAAATAAATATTCAATAATATAAATCTAATAATTTAACTTAGTTTATTTATTTTTTCACATGCAAAATACCATTGAGCTTGAAGTATTTTACGCATGCATATTATATTTAATAATAAAGCGTTTCAAATAGTTCCTTTTTTAGGAATAATTAAAATATCATATTAAAATAGATAAATAAATCATACAGATGATTTCTTCTTAAATTATGATCATAAGATTTCTAATTTTACTTTCTTAATTAGAACTAATTAATATTTACTTATTTTAACTTCTTAATATTAATTAAATTGAACTCAAAACAAATTTAGGTATAGTTAATATTATTTGAAAAGGCATGCTGCTACGAAATTTATAACGCTTTTATTTTTCTATCAAATAAATGTACTAGCTAACAATCTAAATGAGAGAAAAATTAAAAGTTAAATTTATATCTAATATTATCTATGTATGTATTAATAACCTCTTAAATTTAGATAGATTTTTAAAGTTTAATATTTTTAATATATTACCTATAAAATTTAAAAATGCTTAAAAACAGTTATTTATATTTTTATAAATATCTAATCAATCTAGAGTATTTATATTTTACACAAGATAGTTTCTTTTCCATATGAAACTAACATTTTGTTTTTCATGTATTTATTAATTTTTTTTTACACTCATCAGTAATAGTTATTTTTTTATTTGATAATTTTAAAGCAATTTTATATTTTAGTAATAGCAAAGTCGGTTTTTTAAGACTTAGTTCTTTTTAATTACTTATTTTACTTTTACATATTACCATGCAAAACAGATACAGTAAATGCTGTTAAATTGGAATCAAATCAAAATTTAATATTACATAAATTATTAAGCAAACAATAAAGTATTTTTAAATTATTTGAGCACATGAAAAAATGTAATATTTTATAAAATACAAAAAATATCAAAATTAATTGCATATTTAATTATTTCATATAAAAATTAGCTAAATTTTTAATAATATTTCAGTCAACTTATAATTTTTAAAGGTATTTACTGTTTAAAATCTTTTAAATGATGATTATCATACCACATTGCCTTAAATGAACTTCAATTTTATAAGTGCTAAACATAGTAAAATAGAAAGTTCAATCGTGCATTTTCTCGTAATTATTGCAGTATTTAAAATATCTTATATTTTTAGTATATTTTATTATTTTTATAAAATTTTGAGCTCAATAAAGTTAAGAATATGATATTTTAAGAGAAAGAATTATTTAGAATGATTAAAAGTATTAAGAAATCAACCAAAAACTAATAATAAATAGCTACGAAAAAAAAGCTAATCGCAACTTAAAGTAATTATATAAATTAAAATAAAGCAAATTGTTAATTTATGATTTCCTCTATTTACAATTAATTTATATTTTACCAAATAGTTAGTTATGTATAAAGATAATACTTTTAGTTAAATAAAATATTTAATTTTATTTTCTCTTTTTATTACTGATGTATCTAATTAGAAAAAATACTTAGAATAAAATAATGAGTAATTATTTTTTTAGCATAATTATTTTTTTCAATAATAATTTTAAGGTTATTAAGTTGGCTATACGAAGACTACTTGTTAAGCAGGTTAAACGTATTGCACTGGTTAAACGTAAACTTATTATTATTACACAGGCTAGACGTATACTGGTTATTATTATATAGGTTATACATATACTGGTTGTTATTGTTATACAGGCTATACATATACTGGTTATTACTAAACATAGCTAGGTTATTAAGTAACTGGTAATGGAGTAGTATAACCTTAATTTACACCAGGTTATACACTTTGCATAGGTATATTAGAATATTATGGTTATGATTGCATAGGGAATTAGCTTTAATTTACTGGTTTCTATTCATCATTCATATTAAGTTTAGCAGGTTCAACCTAAGAATTAACTTCCTTTTTAGAACAATATTTAGACTTCAAAAACAAAAGTATGTCTAATAAGATGGTAAGTCCAAGCACAATAAGGGCAGCTAAATTCTTTTTGTAAACTTAATCTTCTAATTAAGTTGAAAATGAAGATATTTATGAGTTAAATGTGGGATCCATTGGTGCAGCATCAGCAACCTATGAAATAATACCTTTTTTTTGAGCTGAGACTATGAATGCCCAAAGGAGAAACTATTTTATAAAATGAATTTTAATTTAAGTTGAATAAATTTCATAAAATATTTTTATTTAGAATAGTTTTTAAATTAATTTATTACAGGAATTTGCAAAATTTTTCCTCCATAAGATAGTATTTTTTTTGTTTTTTTTATTTTAGCCTATTCTTCGTCTCCTTAACCATCAATACAAGGAACATCTTTGCCCATAAGATTATATACTTCTGAAACAGTAAGGATAATAGATACCATTATGCAAACAAATATGTTGATAATCATTACAACTAATTAAGCACTTTTTAAATCATTTAGAGAGCTTGAAGCATCCACAAAATCTTTCATCTAAAAAAAATAATTTTACAAAAAATATTTAATTATTAATTATTTTACTAAATTTCTGTTTGGAATATTCCATGATAAATAGTTTCTTTGGAAGGTATTAAATGGAGAAGTTGAGCTTGGGATTTAAATTCCTGGATAATTAGTCAGAGTTGTATAATCAGTTGGATTCATATTTAACATAAAATATCTATTTTCTGGTATCTATTTATAAAATAAATAAATGAGTTTGTGAAAATATTGATGTTTGTTTTACAGAGAATCCATTTTAGACAAATGTGGGATCAAATGAAGAGCATGATGTTCTATTTGAAATAGTTAAGACATAATCTTATTATCCAGAAGGGAGATTCTCTATTTTTATATAATAATTACAATTTTAATTTCGATGAAAATTACAAATATCCAATTTTACTCTAAGTATTTATTAATTGACAAACTCCTCCTCCTTATGTTAGTCTAAGTTCACTCAAAGGCTCTTTTGTAGCAGTTGCACCAAGATTATCATAATAAAGATAATTGCCATTAGGAAGGTTAGTTACTTTATATCCAACAAATCTAGAATCAAATTAAGTAGAAGAAACTTATATATCATAAACTGGGCAAGGATCAGTTAAAGCTACACAAAAAACACTTTTAGGATATGCTAAGTTACCGCATAGCTTTTTACCTACACATGAAACTCCTTTCTGCTAATCGGCAACCTTATAATATGCGTATTAGCTTGAACCTCTTTATATACATACATTCATTTTAGTGTTTGCAGGTCCTTATTTTATATTAAGTTTAAGTTAGTAATTTTGAGTTATATTTTTGGGGTAATAATAATAAAATTAGAAAGATTTATTTATTTTTAAATTACCTTCAAAATAGTTAAAAGGTTAGGCATTAATACCAGGAGCTTATGTACAACCATAATTAGTGTAATTAGCTGAGCAGGTACCACGATACATCCTCTTCTAAATACTTGCGTTAGTTGCTTTAGTGCAATCACAACCATTGGACATACCTCCCCAATTCCAATTAAACAAAGAGGTATAACCGGAGTCGCAATTCTATGTTGACTTGCTTTTTACATCAACTATAGGAATTTACTATAAGTTAGAAACAATATTATCATAATACTAGGTTGTATCAGTAAACTTTGTATACGCTTAAATACTAATTTATAAAAAATTTATTTTAATGTTTTTATTCATTCATTCATAAAGAAAAGATCTTTTTAAATTTAAGATTTAAATCGTAAACCAAATGGCAAAGTTTTAAGATATACCTTAGAATTAATGTGAATAGCCCATAGAAAACCATAACTATCATATAAGCTATGGTACCTATCTTCTTTATGTCCATTTTTCTTTCTCTTTTTACTCTACTTTTATTGAGTTATCAGAATAATGTTGTTAGTTAGTTAGTTTGTATATAATTTAATTATTAATTAATAAATTATTAGATTTGAACAAACATCATCACGAATTTAACTTGAACTAAAACATTAATTAATGACTTTAATAACTTAAATTGTTTACAAATATTTGGTTTTATTAAGATAATCTCCTTCCCGTTTGGCTTTACTAACACTATAAGAAATTGTTATTTGGTTTGATTTCGATATAAAATAATGAATGATAATTAATATCAATCTTTTGTAACATACATTTTGATATAAAAATATTGATTCATTTGCACTCGAATTTGTATTTTTATTCATCGAAAGATTTCTATAACCCATAAATCCCATTTAATAAATTATTAATGATAATAAACATTCATCATTTTAAAAACAAAACTATTGCTCATTCATAACACTTTTATTGTGCATGGTACTTTAACTGTTTTAATATTCTTATTTCAAATAAAAAAAAATAATTTTGAAATTTTCTATCTCATTAAAATATACTATTTATAGACAATATTTTCAAGACTACCTATTTCATGAAATTAACTAAGTATAAAATAATAAAAAAGATTGGTATTTTTTAGATAATATTCTTGTGGTGTTTTATGAAACTCTTAAATTTGAACAAAAAAATTTTCTATATTTTATATGTATTTAATTTTTTAATTAAGTGATAAATATCACAATAATTTAGATAGTTTTCTAACATATTACGCATAGTTTAAAATATGTAACTATTTTATTATTATATCAACTAACAAAAATACATATGAAAAAATGTAATTGAAATTAAAATTACTACAATTAATTCATAGAGTATAATTATGTTCTCAATAAAATTAATTTTTATTTTACATTCTATAATTCTACTTTAAACTAAATTAGACTAGCTTCATTCAACATTTTATCTATGTAGTCTATATCTTTGATAAATAATTAATTACAAGAAATAAAAATTAATATTAGTTTTTATTTTCTTTTATTTTGTTCATTTTTGTAATACAGACTTTCTATTATTTAAAATAAATAACTTTATATTTCTCATTCTATTTTTAGGTTTTTTCTCCTTTAATTATGTTTCTTAATATAAACACCTATTAAAGCAATTATCTATTTAAACAGATTATAAAAATATAAACTTAATACAACAATTAAAAAAGATTTTAATTACTTATATCTTAAAAAATAATTTTTATTTAAATTAAATAAATATATTTTTATTTACTATTTTTGAGTAAATTAGAAAAAAAAAAGTAAATAAATATATTTTTATACTCAGTTAGAAGATAAAAATAGGAAATTCTTCTATTTTGATTTTTACAGTCTTAGAAAAATTGCCAATAAACAAATTAATAAAAAATAAAATAAAATTCGATTGATGCAATTTATAACTTGAAAAATTAATGTTTAATTTAATTTCGAGTAAGAAAATATAAGTTTCAAAAAGTATCTCTGATTTAATAATGATTATAAACATAATTAATTTAGTATTAATATTATAAAATTGTATTTCGAACTCACATTTAATTAATAATTTAATATTTTTAATTGTTCAATATTATTAATTTTATATAACTTAAGAGTTAAAATAGACAAAATTAATAAAAGTATTAATGAATTTTATCATTTTTTAATTTATTAAAAAAACACACAATTTCAAGAAAATGTCTTAGTTCCTTACTATTCTTTTTTAGTAATACACTATAGCTTATTTACTCTTATAGATATGTAAAATTTTTAACCATTTTGTTAATTAAGCTAATGCATATTATAATAATTAATTGTTTTTCTTCTTTAAAATATAAAAATTAAGCAATCAAACAATGAATAAATAAATAATCATTATTTTTCATTATTTTAAAAAAGAAATAATAAATAATAATAAGAAATTAGATTAATGCAAAAAAGAATACACTCAATTGAAAAAAATGGTTTATTTAAGCTTTTGCATTTCATTTTTATCGTGGATCAATAAAAATATTTATTGGAAAATTATCCTTTTGTGTATATATTTGAAATGTTTATTTTAAAATCTATGAATTGTATCATTAAAAACTGATTGTTTTTATTTTCATAAATTTATACAAAAATTTGCTATGTTAAATGAAAACTTATATAAAATGTATATTATTAATCTATAATTTAGTAAATCTAAAATATAGAATACTTAATACTAAGCAAAAGTAGCTTTATCTATTATAATTTTTGAATAGGTTTCAATTAATTGTATTAAAGTAAATCCTTGTATTTTATAATTTATATTTTAACCTTAGTTATTACCTTATTTCCTCCTGAGCTCGAATCTCGAAATATCATACATAAAAAATGAAAAAAATATTAAAACTATTTAGAATGTTAAACTTATTTTATTTTATGATCTAATGAATTTAATAAAAAATTATATTTTATATTTTTAAATAAAAAATCTAAATTTTTTTATTTCATTTTTTTATTTTAAATAAATTTAAAATTCATTTTTATTTTTTTTATTATAAAATAGATAATTTAGAAAAATATTGTTTTTACTTATAAACTTATAATTATTGTAAAATTATCAAAAATAATATAAAAACTCTCAATAAATAATTACCTGATACAAAGAGAAAAAAATATTTTTAAGAGAAAAATTAAGAAAAATATTTTTTTCTTGTTTAATGATAATTTCTAAGTTATTTTAATTCATAAATTTCATTTTTATGGTTAAAGTTGATAAATTTAATTAATTTTTTAACAGTAATAGATATTTGAATTTAAATAAATTAAAATGTTAATATTGTTCTGTATTTGCAACTTAAATTAAATACCAAATTTATTTATATTAATTAATGTATTAAAAGCTTAATAATTTTTTTTTAAAATAAAAATGAATTTTACTTTTTAAAAAAATGAGTTTATTTTTAAATATAGCTAAAATTTATTTTGAAAGCTTTGATTTTAAACAGAAGTAAATCCATTTATTTATAAAAAATATTTCCTTTTACTAAATCTTGCATTTCGTTTATAAAAATATGAGCAAATTATTATTAAATTATTATTTTCAAAAATATTTTGCCTTCATATGTAAGAATCTTTTATGTTTTAAAATAACTTCGAATTTATATTTTTGCATAATTACTTTAATTTATATTTTTGAATAATTACTTTAATTTATATTTTTGCATGATTACTTTAATTTATATTTTTAAAATTACTGAATGATATGTTTTTTAGAATTAAATTTTTATTTGATTAGATTAAATAGAAGAATAGATTTATAAATTAATTAATTTGATCCCTATCTAATAGTTAAAGTTAAAAATTATGTAATTAACTATGAAATGTTTGTCAGAAAGAAAATTAAAAGAATGTTTTAGGAAAATTTATAAAAAAAAGTAAATTGATTAAAATAATTAAATTAGCAGCAAAGAATTGTAAAAAAGAAAACAAAGATAAGTATAAAATTGTAAGTAGAAGATAGGTAATTTGTTGAAGTGTTATTTATGCATTTAGGCTATGAAATATTTATTTACTTGTTTTTAAAGTGTTCTAAGTAGTAATTTTGAGTAAAGTTTTATGTTTTCACTATAAAAGATGGCGATGCATAGCAATAAAGAAAATAAATTTAATAAAAGTAGTAAAAAAGTGTGTATAACGTTTACTACCAGAATAATCCAGAACTGGATTTGTTTTTTATTTATAATGACAATTTGTATTAATTTTAATAAGAATATCTTTTCATTCTTTTTTGATAAAGAAGATTTAAGTGATAAGTATATGTATCTAATTACACCTTTTATGAATTCATAATATAGTTTTTTTAAAAATCAATTAATAGAACTCTCCCTCATTTCGTAAATAAATAAATAAATATTAAATAAAAAAGAATCATCCGAATCAAACAAAAAGAAGAGGTATATTAATTAAATATTCTTTATTTTGTAATTCCATATTTTACAACACACCTCATCCCTTTAACAATACTAAGACATTAGTTTATTTGCTCCTGCATTATACTTTACTTTACGTAGTTAAGCAATGAATATTATCCCATTTAGAGATGAATATACTTCATATTATTACTTATTCTGATCATTTTTCAACTTGCATATTAATTCTTAATTACTGATTAATTTAAAAACTAGACCAAACAAAAACTGCTTATATCATGTTTTATAGAACTGCATAGACCTTTGGCAGAGGATTATTTAGAGCCTTACAAAGAAATCAAAAACGTATTGCCATGACAGCATTGCCTATCTTTTTGTTTTCTCAATAGGTATCTCAAAGATTTATGGCTCAAGAGGCTGAAGCTCCATAGGAAACTGTTGAAGTTAGCCAAAACGGAAAAAGCTCAGTAACTCCTAAAGTTGATGCTACCGGAGCTATCTAACTTTGCCATAAGAATGACCTTAAAGATGGTGAATTGAAGTTATACACAGTCGGAGATAAGAAAATTCTTCTTGCTAAAATAGGTGGCTAATACTATGCTTGTGATGCTGTTTCTCCAGTAGATAATAAAACACTACTTGATTCTACTTTGCTCATTGGTGATAAAATCTACGATATAGTTAATGGTGCTATCTTCTCAATTAAGGATGGTAATCAATAAATATTCACTTACTAATTTTAAATGATAATAAGTATCCAAAATGTGTGTAATTTAGAACTAACACATGATACTAAAGATTTTACTTAATTTGTTTTCATACTTCTATTTTATTTTAAAAGGTGTCACTGAATACTCTCCTAATTTAGAACAACTTAAGGTATTAAAAGTAAATGAGACAGATGACCATGTTATCTCTGTCCGCTATACAAATGAAAAACCATTCTTTGATACTGTTAATATGAGAGGTTGGGTTCCCGATTTCACTAACTTGGTTATTTTAGGTAGTGGCATTGAAAGCATTAATATTATTAGAACTCTCCGTCAAGCTAAATACAGAGGTCTTATCACTCTTATGTTTGGTGAAGATATTGATGGCCCTTATGATCTTAACCTCTTGTTCGAAGATTTGGAAAATACTGAAAGACCTCCAATTAGAGAAAAGGAATTTTATGAATAATTCTAAGTTAAAATAGCTAAGAATAAAGAAAAAGTAAAATATATCAACATTGATGAGCAAGTCATTAAAACCGTTTAGGGTAAAGAAGATCCTGTTCCTTATTAAAAGTTAGTTTATTCCTTAGGAATACGTCCTCGTTTCCATGGTGTTAGTGGACTTGGTTTGCAAGGTATTTATCAACCATGTTCATTAACTGAATTCAAGTAGATCAAAAAGGATAGTGCAAATTTCAAGAACATCGTCATAGTAGGTGATACTGTTAATAGTATCCGTTTAGCTTGCAATCTAAAGAAAAACACTAAAGCAAATATTACTTTAGTAACTGAATCTAGCAATGTCCTAAGCAAGGATAATTTAGGAGAAGACATTTCAGCAACTTTAGTTTAAGAGTTGAAGAACACTGGCGTTAAAGTTGTCAAATCTCAACAATTAAAAGGTAAAATATTTCTTTTTCAAAATCTTTATGCAAAATAAGTTAAGTTTATGTAAGCAAGCTCGTTTAATAAGCTAAGAAGATACAAAAGATATGCATTAATTATTTAATTAAAAGTTAAAAGCAATTCAATCTATTTTAATATAAAGAAATTTACTTGAAAAGTGTAAGTCGAAAAAAATAAGGAAATAAGAAAAATTTTAATTAATTTTTAGAGCGAATGCATATTAAACTTTACTTAAATTTAATAAATTAAAGATACTGAACTTAATTAATAAATTAATTAAATATCTAATATTTAATAGCCATAGAAGGAACAAAAGCAGTAGAGTAAGTAGAATTATCAAAGGATAAAATAAAGTGCGATGCCCTCTTTTTAATGAGAGAAGAATTCCCTAACATAGATCCTTTGGAATCTAGCATGAGACTTTGCAGCGATGGTGCTCTTTATACTGATTCCTTCTAAAGAACTGTCAGTTAAAACATGTGGACTGTTGGTCCTACTGCTTCAATTATAGCTCCTTTCATTGCTTCTCGTTTAGCATACAGAAATTCTGGTGATGTCTTATTGCAAGCTCACACTACTGCCTTGAACTTAATTGAAAAAAGACTTGCTTTAAGAACCATTCCTTTTGATAAGGTTAAAGTTGGTAATACCCAAATCAATAAGATAGGTAATTTATTAACTCAGATCCATTTGATACTTAGATAAAAATTTTATTCAAACATTTACAAAAACTTATTAAGCCTTTAATATGATTCACTAATTTAAATAAATAAATAAATTAATTAATTAGGTTTCCCAGAAGTCAGTAACAGAGCTGAAATCGTTGGTGATTAGTAATCTAACAATTATATGGTTTACTACTTCAGAGATGATCAACTAGTTGGAGCTGCTACACCTTCCAGATATCGTGACTTAACAATTGTAAGAGAAGCTCTTTTCTAAGATATTATTCCTAGAGGAAAGTTTGAGATTAACATTAAAGATTTAGAAAATAAAATTTTCAGTCTTTCTGCTAAAAAATTGAACAGTAAGTTCATGGAAAATATGAGAAAAAGACCTCATATGACAAAGTGAAAACTGTTTCTCTTTAGAAAAGTTGGCACTTTGATCTTCTCTAGTAATTCTTAGACCTTCTTTATAGTAAAAATAGTAATAAAAATAAAACAAATAAAAAATAAATGCATACAAAATAATTCAATTCAATCTATTAATAATCCATCCATCCATCCATCCATCCATCCATCCATCCATCCATCCATCTACTTTAATACTATATCTATGAAAACAATTTCATCATCAACCTATTTTATTCATTATAAATAGCATTTTTTCATATCTTTGTTTTTTATTGTATACCAATCAATTCAAAACTTCTAAATATTTTTAAAACAAAATAAATAAATTTTATATTTTTAAAAATATTTTTATTTAATCTTATTTAGTTTTTTTAAGTTTAGGTTTTTATATGAATTTCATTGTTAAAATTGTTATTTACATTTATTATATAAATATTTGAAGTATTAGATCTAATTAATACTAAGTGAGTAACAGATAGTTATTCAAAATTTATAAAATAATAAAAAATAAATGATTATAATTTAAGGAGAAAAAAAATTCGTAAATTATTGAAGATATTATATTGTTTGATTCTATTGTACTTTTATTGAAAAAGAAAGAAGAATGTTTAATTAAGCTGAATTAAATGATAAAGATTAAACAATATAAAGAATTGACAGAAAGATTGATGGAATACATGCATGAAAATTTAAAAATAGTGATTGATATATTAGTTTTTATATCTGTTTGTAAAGAAAAAAAAGAGTCTAAATCATTTAATTTGTAATCTCAAAATTTATATTAAATATATTATATACATATATTGTTTTTCTGTCGAGTTTTTGCTTTTAATTAATTTTATAAACAAACATTAAAGTTTGTTAATTAACAATTTCTTTAAAATACTAAATATTAAAGAAGAATCAAATAAACAAACAAACAAACTAGCTAGCAAATAACTAACTACAAATTCAAAGTATTAAAATAGGGTAAAAGCTACTAAAGATCTTGTGACTTTAAATTATTTTTATTTTGTTTGAGTAAATGAATAATGAATCTAACGTATACATTCGCAAAAGGTTTTATATTTTTTAGTTCTTATTAGCTAATTAGTTTCACTTAATTAGGTCTTCTTTAAGATCAAATGACTATTATTTTACTTTTCAAAATAATTAAATAGACATGATCTTATTCTAACCATGTGTTTTTAACATGAATTAGCAAAAATATTAAGCAGCAAGCAGTTCCGAGAAATTCTGATGAAATAGACATGGGTAATAGTCGAAGAGCCAATGAAAAAGAAAACAGTTCTCGCTTGTACTAAAATATTGGTGGTAGTTTGATGAATAACATAGGACTTGATTAAATTAAGATTGGGAATACCTCTTAGTATTACAGTGCAGGAGGAACACAAACAAATTTACCTTCTCATATGGGTTTATCTTAAAACAGTGGGATTTCAAATCAAACAACTAATAGCTAAGGATCAAATAGCACTTAAAATGTGATACTTACTGTTACTAGAATTGTTCCATATTAATAACACCCTTCCTAAACATAACAATTGTAATAATAAATACTTAATCATTAACAATAACAATAGTTAATGAGCTCACTTTAGAATAATATGCTGTAATCTTCATAGTTTTAATAATAGTCAGGGAATCAAAATATATACTACCAAAACTATCAACAAAGTAATTCTTAGAAGGGCTAAATGAATTCCCCCACAAGAAGATTTGTTCAAAATCAAAAACCTTTACAAAATGGATAATCAAAAAAAACACAATCGATAGGAAATATACAATAATAGTAATAATAAGTAACAAATGCAAGTATAGGTATTTGAATATTATTTTACAAATTTTATTTTATATTAAAATACTTCAAACCCTCAAACTAATTACCACTATCTAAATTCTACTTTTAGTTAGAGGGTTAAAAGTTAAACTGATATTTCGATATTTACATAAAAAATATTTTCATTTATAATACAACATTTTATTTTGATTTTGAATTTTACCATCTAATTCATTCTAATCAAATAATTTTTGTATTATCAGAAAAAACTAACGAGACAGATGATGTTAATTCACCCGGAGGCCCAAGATAGATCTCAATACATGTATTAAATAAATATGTTTTGTTGATATTTTTGGTTCTATGTTTCATAAGAAATATAAATACTAATGATTCAATTTATTAAATATTTTTTAAAAATTGATTTTCAATTATTAAACAAGTTATTTTTAATATTTTGAATAATAGTATTTAAATGGATAAAGCTCTTTCTAAGGTTAAGTGTAATAAAATAATTTATCAGGTTAGAGTATGGGAGTCCATTACAATGCACAAAAAAAGAGCATGAATCATATAGAAATGGAGGAATCGGGAGGTTAAGGTGCTGATTAATCTGGTAATTGTTCAGGATTGGATAAGTCACCTAAATTTAAACCATGTAAATATGTTCTTTTAATTTTTTTCATTTTCTCTTAAAATAATTCTAAAGAAACAAAGTTTCCACCAATAACAAAGGGCTCAAGTGCACAAAGTAGCTAAAATACAAGCAATTACAAATTATAAAAAATAAAAATGTAAGATAAAGAAGTTCGAAAAAATATTGTAGCTCTTGATTCTATTTCTAGTAGTATTATTTATTTTAGAAAGTAATACAATTAATTGATACTATTTTTTTGTAATTTTTTAAGGAATGGATTAGTTTACAGGTTTAAATTAAGTTGGCGGTGTCTTAGGAAATAATACATTTAAAATTCTAAAATAAGGTTAGCAATAAGGAAGCTATTACAATTAGTTCAAGTATAAATTTATATTTATATCTAATTATTTATATATATTTATAGTAATTATTTGATTTTAGTAAAGCCATTTAGGAGAGCAATGGAATATTAGCTGTGGGAAACTCTTTGAATCAGCTTGATATGGATATAAAAGGTATAATACCTTAAGAGAATCCTCATTATTATCCATCTTATAAAGTAAAAAGAGCTAATCCTAATTAAAAGCACTCAAAAGATTTCCATACAAATAAAGATACAAAAGAAAATGGAGATAACTTATATTTAGAAGTGGTAAATTCTAAATAAATGAACGAAGTCAATCACAACTTTATTTCTTCTTAGCAAGAATTCAATTAGAACTACCCTTCTACTGCAGGCTAAGGGGAAGGAAGAGAAAATAAATTTATCGAAAATTACTCAGCTGGATAAGAAGATGCAAATAGTAATGATATAAATAGATCTTCTAGCACTCCTATGCTATTGAAGAAAGAAGCTACTAAGCGTCTTGAAAAGATAAAACATCATAATACAATAGAAGGTAATGGGAATGAAAACGAATAGTAAAACAACCGCTATGAAAAAATTACATCTCAAAAGATCAATGCAGTTTTAGGAAGTAATTCATCTAAGCATGTTGTCACTATTCAAAAGAAAGAAAAATCAAAACTAAATTTAAATAGATTTGAAGATTCTGATAGAGAAAGTGATCATCCCTAACTGAATCCACTCACTCAGAAGAAGTATTCTCATAATGGGCAATCAGTGAATGCAAAAAAGCCTATATCTGGAGCCATTTAAGCAAATACAAGTCTTAAACCTATTAAAATTTTAAAAAAATAGTAAGAAGGCGAACTTTCAGAAAATTAAAATGCTGAAACTGTAAGCATCCGCTCATCTAACATTGATTTACAGTAAACTCCCCAATAAAGCGTAAAAGAAAGTGGTAAGAAAGCTCCAAAAGAAGAACAAATTTCTTCATCGAATAATACAAATTAAGAAGAAGATTATTAAGGAGATGATGAAGACTTTAAAGGATCTTCAAATCTTAGTAATCAAGCCAAACAAAACTACTAAAATAATAAAGGAACAGATTTTTTCAAGATTAACCCCAAAGAAAATCAACTAAATTAAAACGAGAGAGCCAGCAGCAATATTAAAGGAGCTATAATAACAAACGATCAATCATCATTTGAAAAAACTCCATAAATGAGAAAAAAAACATACTAACAAAAATAAGCTATGAATTTGGGAAATAACTAGATTAAATAAAATGGCGAATTAGACAATATTCTAAATGATAGCATTCAAAAAGCTCCTTTGAATATAAAGACAACAAAAGAAAAAGAAGCCAAGCTATCTGAATAAACTATTTAAAATAATGCTGACATAAACGCCTCAAATAAAAAAAAATAGAAAAAGAAAAAGAAAAGAAACACATTAGTTGGACCTCAAGGTGGCTAAAATAATGGTTTATCCTCATTAAACTAAGGTTAAATGAAGAATGGCTAATTAGTAGGAAAATATGATAACCTTCCTAAAGAAGTGTAAAGGATAAACTAATATTAAGATTTCATAAGAGCAGTTAATTTCTCTAACAATATTGATGTTATTCCAATTTAAAAGCCTTGCTTTAAGATGTATGTTGGCAAAGGTAATAATTCTTACTTAATCAAATCAAGCGTTAAATAGAGATGGTGGCTTCAGTTAGAAACAAACAAAGATAAAGTTGATCAATGCCACATAGTGTGGACATAGCTAAGATTTAATGAATTTCTTAATAACCTCAAAGCTTTTACTGGACCCAGGATCACAACAGACAATTAAATCCTTGGTTCTGAATAAAAGATTAATATAAAAACTAACGACTCATTTGCAGATACAAACAATAACAACGATGCTTCTACGAACTTTGGTAAAAAGAATATAAATTTATTTATTTACTTAAATTATTTTATCTAATTTTATTAAAAATTAAAAATATAAATAATGTTTCCAAATTAAATAGAAAACTCCCCACTCCTAGACCACAAAATGAATTCATCAATAAATAAAGATTTAGACTCATAAAGCCAATTATAAGGAGACTTAGGGAATGCAATTGATTCAAGTGATTCAGAAACTGAAAAATTAAGATCTTTAACATCTCGTCCCACAGTTAAAAAATCTAACTCTTTAAATAATTCCCTCTCTAGTTTAAAAGCAGAGTTAAAGAAAGGCTCTCCTAACCCAGGAACAGCAAATTCATAACCATAAAATAAAGTAAAAAATCTCCATAAATAATTTTTATGCTTAGTTATTTATATTTTCAAAAAAGGAAACACGTTCTCTCACACCAAGCACTAGAGGAAATGCCCCATAGAATTAATTGAAAGTGTAAGCAACCTATAATGTAAATGCTAAGCGTTTATTCCATCCTAATGACTTTAAAAAAATTATGGAGATTCAACCTAACAAAGACTACGATTTAAGATATTTCTTTTCCTAATCTCTGCCTGATTAATTTTAACAATTCCAAAAAGTAATATATGATTTAATCTTTAAAAATTTTTTAAAAATGCTAAAAATTAAAAAATGATTTAGGAATTCGACACTTTTTAAGATCCTAACTCATTAAAAATGCATAATCACTTGGAAAATAATTGGAATCTCTCAAATAAAAAAGCTCTCTTTTATAATTTAAGAAACTATTACACAACAATAAAACAGAACCCATTCGAAAACATACCATTAACTTTTCATATTAAAGATGGAATTAATGATCCTGAATACACCAAATTTTTAGAACACTGGAAACAAAAAGAAGATGAATGCAACTAAAAAGAAAAGTTGAGATTAGAATACAAGTATTCTTCAGATAAAGCAAAGCAATCAATAGGAAGTAATATGAAGAAACCCAGAAATATTTGGATTATAAAACCAGGTGAAATTACAAACAGAGGAACAGGTATTACAGTTCTCAATGAAATAGATTAAATCACTTAACTTTTAGCTAAAAATGTAATTTTTAAATAATAAAAAAGATTTTATTAAAATAAATATTTATAAAAATTAGGATTTACACCCAAACGGTAAGCCAAAAACCTACATAGTTTAAAAATATTTAGACAATCCACTACTTTATAATAAGGTAAACAAATTTAATTATTTCAAGCAATGATTTTTATCTTAACATTGTCATTGTTTGGCTTTGTTTTATTTATTTATAAAAAAAATTAATTATGTTGCAATTTCTATACTATTTAGCTCATAATTTATTGTCAATTTAAATACTTTAAGCAGCAATATTTTTAAATTATTACAATTTAAAAGTGAAGTATTTTGTATTTAATATATAATTTTAAAATTTAAAGCGTAAATTTGACATTAGATGCTATCTGCTTGTTACTGTTATAAAAGGAAGGATGAAGGCATACTGGTATTAAGATGGGTATATTAGAACTAGTTGTAAGGAGTATAATTGCAAAAGCTTAACTAATAAAGTAAGTTTTTAAATATAAAGATTGTTTTAAAATATACAAAATTTAATAGATGATTCATTTAACAAATGACGCTGTGCAAAAAAAGTGCGAAGATTATGGAAAATATGAACCTGGAAATAAACTTTCTTATAATGATCTTTAAAGGTATCTTGACTAGAATCACACAGAATAAAAAATAAATTTCTAAACTGTTATTTATCCTAGAATGAGAGTAAATAAATAAATACCTAATTAATTTCAAATATTAAATGTAATTTATTCAATTAAGTAATTAGCTCTTGATTGTATTAAATCAACTTTCCTTAAGATGGATCCACAGAGAAGGGAAATCACCTTTGAAGTACATAACTTCTACTCACTAAAATATTTAATTTATTCATTTTGCATATAAAAGGTTTTTGGTTTAGATTACATGATTGATGAAGAATTTAAAACGTGGCTTATTGAAGTAAATACTAACCCATGCCTTGAGCTCTCTTCACCTCTTCTAGCACGTATTATTCCAGCTATGATAGAAAATGCTTTTAGGTATTTCTTTAAATTAATGTATTTATTATTTTTAATACTATTTATAAAATATTTAGAATCGCAATTGATCCCATTTTTGGATTTCCTCCAATTAATGACTGGTCAGCATCTGCTAAAAAAACATTCATTCCTGATTCAATAATGGAAAACAATAAATTTGAATTGATATTTGACGAAGCATTTGATGGTCCATCTTTACAAGCTCTTTTCGCTCAATATAATGAATAATAATGTAAGTTATATTTATACAAACAGTATTATATTAAACCTTTATCAACAAAAACTTAGAGGATATAATTATAGAAGAAGAAGAGGAGGAAGAGGAAGAAATTGAAGATGAATAATGAACATACTAAACATAATTTATATATTTAAAAAAAAGATAAAAACTACTAAATTAATTATTTTAAAGATATGTTAATTATGGAAAAAAATATTTATAATACAAAGTAATTAATATAAAATAAATAAATTAATTAATTAATTATATCTTTTTATTTGCTTATTTATTTTTAATATTGTGATTTAATTCTAACTAATTAACTAATTCAAAGTGAATAAACTAAACTCAACCTTCCTTTATGTTAAATGATAATTAAATTGTTTTTTTTTGTTGACATGAAAAAAATTGGGGTCGTCCGAGAATCGAACCCGGGACCTCTCGTACCCTAAACGAGAATCATGCCACTAGACCAACAACCCTTAATCAATAATCTTTCTTCAATTATAAAAGATTTTCTTTTAACTTTATAATTGAATAAATAAGTTTATGATAAGAAAACTATTTAAAATAAAAAATTGGGGTCGTCCGAGAATCGAACCCGGGACCTCTCGTACCCTAAACGAGAATCATGCCACTAGACCAACAACCCTTAATCAAAATATTTTAGAAAATAGAAAAAATTCTTTTCTTTTTTTGTTTTCAGTTAATAGTTATTGTGGTTTGAACTTATTTAAAAATAAATAAAAATTGGGGTCGTCCGAGAATCGAACCCGGGACCTCTCGTACCCTAAACGAGAATCATGCCACTAGACCAACAACCCTTAATCAAGATGTTTTTTTTCTTAAAAAAAATTCTGATTTGTTCTGAAATAAAATAAATTAAATTTATGAATAAATTGAAGCATTTTAGAATAAAATAAAAAAATTGGGGTCGTCCGAGAATCGAACCCGGGACCTCTCGTACCCTAAACGAGAATCATGCCACTAGACCAACAACCCTTAATCAATATTTCTTTTTTGGATCCAAAAATTTTGATTTGCTAAAAAAAATTAAAATAAAATTAATTTTACAAAAAAAAGTCATTAAATTTGATGGATGAATTCTCATTCTTTACCAATAAAATAAAAAAATAAAAATTGGGGTCGTCCGAGAATCGAACCCGGGACCTCTCGTACCCTAAACGAGAATCATGCCACTAGACCAACAACCCTTAATCAATTATTTTGTTTTGTTTTCTAAAGACTTTTCTAATTACCAAAATATGCAAATCAATAAATATACATGAGATCAAAATTTATATATTGAATTAAAAAAAATTGGGGTCGTCCGAGAATCGAACCCGGGACCTCTCGTACCCTAAACGAGAATCATGCCACTAGACCAACAACCCTTAATCAACAAATTTGATTTAAAATTAAGAGACCTTTTTAACTTGGAATAAATTAAAATTTTACTTTTCTCAATTTTCTTATTTGATTTAATAACAATTTGAAATATAAATAAGAATATTTAAGACAAATAAATATATTAAGTCAAAAATAACAAAAATAAAATTAATAATATTCTCATAGGGATTAAAAATTTTATTGTATAAATTTTATAAAAAATCTATTTTAATAAAAATAGTATTAAAGCTTTTTATGTTCATAAAGAAGTTACTGATCAAGTAAAAAAATTGGGGTCGTCCGAGAATCGAACCCGGGACCTCTCGTACCCTAAACGAGAATCATGCCACTAGACCAACAACCCTTAATCAATAGTATAATTAACTTTAAAAAAAATTTTTTTTATCTTTATATATTTTGCAGTAATTAAATGTTGCGTTGCAAAAATAAAAATTGGGGTCGTCCGAGAATCGAACCCGGGACCTCTCGTACCCTAAACGAGAATCATGCCACTAGACCAACAACCCTTAATCAGTATAAATCGAATTATTTAAATTGATATGATTATTTTTGATAATTATTGAATTAAATTTTACATTAAAAACCAAATTAAAAAATAATCTAATAAAGTAATAAAATTGTGTTAATAATTTAGTCAGAAAAATATTTTTTCTTATGACAAATAAAATTCTATATAAAAATAGATTCATTGTTTAAAGAGTATAAATCATTAAAAGGGAAAAAATAATCAATCTTTAAATTAAATTGATGTAGTAAAATAATATAAATAATTATTCTCAACTATTTTTTTGGATATTTAATGAAAAATAATTCATATTTGATAAAAGCAACAATAAAAAAGACTATAAAAACAAGATTCAATTTGTCTTAATTTGTTTTTTATATAAAGAACACTTTTATATTGTTTTATGATAAGTGTAATATTTTTTTTTTCATTTTTTTAACCAATTTATCTATCAATCTCTCTCTAAACTGAGTAACTTATGAACGAAAGGTACTTAGAGTGTAGAGTTATTATAAATACAGGAGTTGTTTCTAGCCCATTTACAGTTATTAGCATAAATACATTGAGTCTTGTTAAGTTCATTGCATAAACGGAATGCACTTTCAGTTTAGTTAATGTAAGAAGAACTTAAATTGAAGTTTTAAGCTCCTGTCTAAGTGGAGTTCACTGTATAGTTGAAACTATTGAAATCGAATAAAGTAACATTAAAACTACCAGTTGAATTAGTAGAGTTGCTTTATTCAAGGAAGAACTATCTAGTATTATTTAATTAGCAAATATTTCTTGTATAGTTCCAAGCACAACCATTAAACTTACTACAGTTGTAAAAGGTTTGGTTGGTGCAGTTAACAGCTGCAAATTATTGAGATTCAAGTGTGAAAGTGTAGTTGTATCCAGAAGTAGAGTTAGTGTAATTAGAAGTAGAGTTTTATTCAAGGACGAATTTTCTGGTATTGTTCAATTAGCAGAAGTTATAAGTATAGTTCCAAGCACATCCGTTGGTTCTGCTACAGTTTTAGAAGGTTTAGTTGGTGCAGTTAACAGTAGCATATTCAGATTCAAGGAAAAACTTTCTGGTATTGTTCAATTGGCAGAAGTTATAAGTATAGTTCCAAGCACATCCGTTGGTTCTGCTACAGTTTTAGAAGGTTTAGTTGGTACAGTTAACAGCAGCGTATTCAGATTCAAGGAAGAATTTTCTGGTGTTATTCAATTGACAGAAGTTATAAGTATAGTTCCAAGCACATCCACTGGTTCTGCTACAGTTTTAGAAGGTTTAATTGGTACAGTTAACAGCAGCGTATTCAGATTCAAGGAAGAATTTTCTGGTGTTGTTCAATTGACAGAAATTATAAGTATAGTTCCAAGCACATCCGCTGGTTCTGCTACAGTTTTAGAAAGTTTAGTTGGTGCAGTTAACAGCAGCAAATTCAGATTCAAGGAAGAATTTTCTGGTGTTATTCAATTGACAGAAGTTATAAGTATAGTTCCAAGCACATCCACTGGTTCTGCTACAGTTTTAGAAGGTTTAATTGGTACAGTTAACAGCAGCGTATTCAGATTCAAGGAAGAATTTTCTGGTGTTGTTCAATTGACAGAAGTTATATGTATAGTTCCAAGCACATCCGTTGGTTCTGCTACAGTTTTAGAAAGTTTAGTTGGTGCAGTTAACAGCAGCAAATTCAGATTCAAGGAAGAATTTTCTGGTGTTATTCAATTGACAGAAGTTATAAGTATAGTTCCAAGCACATCCACTGGTTCTGCTACAGTTTTAGAAAGTTTAGTTGGTGCAGTTAACAGCAGCAAATTCAGATTCAAGATAGAAGGTACGGTTGAATCCAGTGGTAGAGTTAGTATAATTTGAAGTTGAGTTCTATTCAAGGAAGAATTTTCTGGTGTTGTTCAATTGACAGAAGTTATAAGTATAGTTCCAAGCACATCCGTTGGTTCTGCTACAGTTTTAGAAGGTTTAGTTGGTACAGTTAACAGCAGCGTATTCAGATTCAAGGAAGAATTTTCTGGTGTTGTTCAATTGACAGAAATTATAAGTATAGTTCCAAGCACATCCGCTGGTTCTGCTACAGTTTTAGAAAGTTTAGTTGGTGCAGTTAACAGCAGCAAATTCAGATTCAAGGAAGAATTTTCTGGTGTTATTCAATTGACAGAAGTTATAAGTATAGTTCCAAGCACATCCACTGGTTCTGCTACAGTTTTAGAAGGTTTAATTGGTACAGTTAACAGCAGCATATTCAGATTCAAGGAAAAACTTTCTGGTATTGTTCAATTGGCAGAAGTTATAAGTATAGTTCCAAGCACATCCGCTGGTTCTGCTACAGTTTTAGAAAGTTTAGTTGGTGCAGTTAACAGCAGCAAATTCAGATTCAAGATAGAAGGTACGGTTGAATCCAGTGGTAGAGTTAGTATAATTTGAAGTTGAGTTCTATTCAAGGAAGAATTTTCTGGTGTTGTTCAATTGACAGAAGTTATAAGTATAGTTCCAAGCACATCCGTTGATTCTGCTACAGTTTTAGAAGGTTTAGTTGGTGCAGTTAACAGCAGCAAATTCAGATTCAAGTAAGAAAGTGCTATTATATCCAACAGTTGAGTTAGAAGTAGAGTTGGTATAGTTACTTGCGAATTATGTGAAGTTTGAGTTTAAATTCTATTCAGGGACAGGAGAAACGATTCTTTTACAAATTTAAGATTAGACATCCCAGATGCAATATGGAGCAGTATCACATTAATGTTTTCTATTTAATAAATTTGAAATTAAAATTTCATTATGCTATATAAAAATATTTTCTGGTCAGTGAGTGATGACTTGACAACTCACTATTCAGGGAAAAATTTTTTTTGATAATGAGCAGAAATTTATGAATGTGAAGATAATTATATAAGAAATTCCAATTAATAAACAAGGTTAAAAGAATTTAATTTTAATTGAAAAACTTCTAAGGATAAACAAAAATTAGCTAAAAAGGATTTTTTTGTATGAATTTAAATATAAGTATTACTCATAACCGCAGAAAGCTAAAGCATGATTATCAATATTCAAGGTTGAATCTTTGCTAATTACTTTGGATAAGAAGTTGCTGACAACTGAATCCCAAGCAGTGACTGTGGCAATTAAGCCAAATATAGCAATTATTAATTTCATATTTCTTTTTTTGCAAATATTAACTTTTTTTATAAATAAATTAATTATGATTATTTAACCCAATCTAATAATATTAAAACCATCGAAAATTATGACACTTTAATTAGTTTTTGATAATCAAAAACAAAAACAATTTAATATTCTAAATTTTGGTTTAATCTCAAAAATTTGACAAAATTAGTTAAGCTTCTTTGTTATTATTATTCATTGAATTTAGGCTAAAATAGTAGTCACCTTTTTATTATTATTAGAATAAAACTATCTAAAAGTTTTTTCTAATGTTTTAACCATTCATACTTACAATTTATTTCATTACTCAAATAAGAATGCTCATTTTTCTATTTCCATTTAATTTAATCTATTTTCTTAAAATTTTTTTGTATTTCTCAATCAATTAATCATTCAATCTTTGCAATTAAATTCTAACTTACTTCTATAGAATGTATTTAAATTTTATGTATATTTATTTGATTGAAATTGACAACTAATTATACAAAAAGATTATTTATTAGTAGTTTATTTAATTTAGGTTCTCTAATATTTGCTCTATATTGTTTTGGAATCTTTTTATGTAGATTCTATTACAAATAAAATTAAATAAATATTTTTAAGGTTTTTATTATAAATATTGGATGTATTTATTTTTGCTAATAAGCTGCGATGCGTTTTTATTTTATATAAAAAATGTAAAATATTATTGACTTTGAATAAATTTATTTTTAAACAAACAATAAAACTTTGAGAAATGAATATATTTTGAATATATCATTTAGATTTTATTAATTTTAGCTCTCTGCGTACTAAATTGTATAGCTGTATTTTAAAATTAAGTATGATAAAAAAAATTTTATTTGAAAAACAAAAATATTATTTTTATTTTTAAAAGACATAAAAATATAAAAATTCATTAAAACTGTAAATAAATTGTGTAGAAATATGTATATGTTTTACATAAATATTTTAGAAAATAAAATTTAATTCATAAGAAATAATTATTTGCTATGATAAAAAATAAATCATAGAAATTTATTAATTCTAAATATTTTTCTTTACTTAAAAACTTAATAAAAAAATCAAAAAAAGAGTGTTTGATTTACATTAAAATAAAAATAATTAAATTATTTGATTGTATTAATTATTAATTTATTACCTCCAAAACACTTATTTTGAAAATTTGAATAATTCAATCTCAAATTTAACATATTCATTAATCCTCGTTTTAATAAATAATTATTTTCTTTATAAGATTATTTACATTTTTTTTTTTAATTTTATTAATCTATAATAAAATTTTTTTATTTAATTATTTTTATACATTATTAAATTTAACAATTCTAATATGATTAATAATATTTTCTTAAGTGCTATTCCCTTTCTCCCCTTTTTAGTGCTTTCTCTACATTATAAGTATTTATATAGCTAAATCAAATAAGCTATTAAATGTTACATTAATTTATTCTGAAAATGATAAAGTTGATATTGCTTCAAAAATTAATAATTATAATTCATTGTATTTTTTCATTTTGAATAAATTATTAAGTTATTTTATGTTAGTAAAAATGTTATTCTTTTATTGTGTAATTTTTTTATTTTTTTTTAAAGTAACAAGATTTAAATAATAAAAAGAATAATTTAAAAATTTGTTGTTAATTTAATTGAAATACTTGCATTTTCTAGTTTTAAATTTTCTTTATAAAGAAGATTTTTAAATATATTTGATATCAAAATAATTCTTTAAAAGTTTTGATTATATTCTAAAAGAAAATAATCATCTGTTTGCTTTATTTTATTTGCTTTAATTTTTAAATTAACTCAAAAACTTGATGTTCTAGTCATTTTTTGTGGTATCTAGTCATTCAAGAATAAACTGATTTCTTATTTTATAAAAATACATCAATTTTAATAAAAAAAATTAATGAAGAACAATTTCACATAGTGATAAGTAATTATTTATTTATTTATTTTTGAGTCAAAATAATTAAATATTGAAAAGCATAAAATAAGCTAAAAAATCAAACAAAATAATTAATAAAAAAATGCTCTTTAAATTACACATTTTCTTAATTGTTTTGGCAATTTAGATATCTAAATTAATATCAAGAGAACTCATTTTTAACCCTTAACCAATATCAAGCATTAGAGTAAGTGACATAGATAATTTTACTTCGTTTTATTAAGACATCACTGAGGATAATAAGTGGGCGTTCCTAACAAGAATTGAGGGAGGATTTTGTGTAATATCTCTAGAAGATATTTAATAACCTACATTAGTAAGTATTGTAAAAGCAAAAGGCGCTTATGAAGTAAAAGTAAAAAAAAATTACTTATTTCTATCAGACTTAGAGGAAGGTCTTGTCATTTTTGATATAACAGACCCTCCTAACCCTAAAAAAATATATACTTTAACTACTCCAATGACAGCTTAATCTATAACTGTTACAGATGACATGAAAACTTTATTTCTAATAGCAAGCGGAATAGTTTACTGCTATGATATAAGCAACGTATATAACCCAATATTTTTATCCAAAGCAGGTAATTTAAATTCTCTTAAAAACTAATTTACTATCTTTATAGGTTTTAATTAAGCGCTTTAAAATAATAAGCTAATCTTAAATTGTAAAAAATTTCTGTAATAACTTACTCCAAAAGTAATTAAAACCTAATATTAAAACTGTATTTTATTTAGAAAAAATAGTTGATTTTGAAGTAATTAAATTTTGTTTGTAAGATTGTGATTTTGTTTTTTAATTTACACTCAATAATCGAACTAATTTAATTACTTTTTTTAAAAGGAGTTTATGCACCCAATTCTAATAAAGTAAAACTTGACAGAAATTAATAATTACTTGCTCTTGCCAATCATATAAGCGGTTTATAGATAATAGATATAAGAGATAGAAATAATATCAAATTAAGAGCAACTCAGTTTACAGGATCTTCTGCTTGGGATAGCTATTTTACACATGATATTTCTACCATTTACGTAGCTGATGCTTATTTTGGATTGTTAGCAGCATCCATAAGTGGTATTTTAGATATTCCTAAAGAAAAAGACGATTTATTTTCTTTGAATTTTAAGAGTGTTTTTTAATCACCATAACTAACGATGAGTATAGTTATGACTCAAATGGGAGATTATTTAGTATTAGGATTTAGAAGCATTGGCTTGAAACTTTTTCAAATTATAAATTAAGATTACTATTCTCTATATTATATTTAAGATATAGATGGAAGTTATTTATGCAATAAGTTAATTTTATCATCAGATGAAAAATATGCTTTTGCATCAAATGGGCATTCTCTTGTAATATACTAATCTGACTAACCTTAGATAAATAAAGATTTTCCTAATTTATTTAACACCTTCCAATCATCTTTAATAAGTAAGTTTTAAGATCCTTGGGCATGGGAAATTTTCTGCTTTAACGATAATAAACACGTTGCAGTCGCAGGTGGTAGTTCGTCTTTTATATTTTCTATTGAAAATGCTTATAACCCTGTGCTTCTTTCAACCATTCCTTCAATATAAGGAGCTGCATATGATGGCCTAACCCTAATAAATAATAATGAACCTTAGAATCTATTGTATCTTGGATTAAGTGAATTGGGATTTTACATATATGATATCAGCAACCTATCTGCTCCAAATAAAAAAAACCACATTATACCAAGTAATGTTATGAATGACTCTGATGGGTATTAAATATAATTTCTTTTTCTAATTAAATGATAAATTGAATTTTTTTAACTTAGTTTTCTTATTTAACAAAAAGTATTAATATAAATAAATAAGAATAAAAAATATTTTCAAATAAAATAATAAATTTAGAGTTTAACTTAATCATGATAATTCTTTATTGATGATCTCTAATGGAAGTATAGGAGTATCTGTATATGATGTAAAAACTGATAAATGGAACCCAATATTAATTGCAGAGTTTGTTAACAAAGGATAGTATATGTGCACTTTTGAAAAGTGTGCTATAACACAATTAAATGATTATCTTTTTTGTGCTTGCAGAGAAGAAGGGGTCGTTATTTTTAATTTTCAAAACAAAACACTACTTCCGATGTCAATTATTAAAAGAGTAGGGTCAGAATATCCTATTCTATCTGCTGATGAAATTCATTTATTTGTTGCTGTTGGGTTTTAAGGATTGATAATAGCTAATGTTTAAGATAAGTTAAACCCGAAGATAGTAAGTACTCTTCCTGTTGATGGTTGGGCATAAACTATACACTTCATTCCTATATTTGGAGAAAAGTATATCATCGCTTCTCAATTAGAAAAAGGGTAATTAACCATAATTGATGTAGAAGACTATGCTAATCCATACATATTTTCTATTTTAAACTTCCAAAATGAAAGCTCTTCAAGTTTTTGCATAACTCCAGATAATAAAAGCATTTTTATAATAGGTAATAAATATAATTTCAATTTTCTTATTTTTAAAAATCTTTTTTGTGGATATTTTTTTTTTTTCAATAATCCAAAAAATTTTATTTTTTATAGGGAATGCTGGGATGAGATTTATGCCTCTATAAAATGATATAAAAATTCACACTTAAATCAGCAAATTATCAACAAGTTCTAGCGGTAAAGTATACTATGAAATTTTAGACAAGGGATAAAAATTATAGGTAGGTTAGACAGTTTAGATGGTTTTTGTTCCTTTGGAATTGAGAAGAAAAATAAAATTTACTTAAGTCTACTATTATAGAAACTATGAAAAAAATAGTTTACCTTATTGGATGACCTTTTTGAGTAATTAGCAAATGATACAAATGACTGTAGATAAATAAGGAGCATTCAATACTTTTTCAAATGAAAAAAAGGGAGAAAATATTATAATTTTAGAAGTTATGAAAGAAATATTTGATTATGATTTTGTGAATGATTTGATTAATTAAAATATGGCTTCTGCTATTTATTTTGCTCTCTAAAATTAAGGGATTATTTCGACATATAATTATCTTGATAGTAATTTCGATCCAAATAAGTTCACATATCTTGACTTTTACACTAGTAAAATTCCCTTAAATGCTTCGACTGATAACTAAATCCAAGCTTACATAAAACAAGTTTTAGCTTTCTCAAAAATTGATTACCCTATTAGGTTTTATATTGAGAGTTCTCTAGAATTTAATTATAAATCTTATTTATAAGATCAAAAACCTTTGCTATAAACTCCATCTTATTAAATTATTGCTTACTTCAATATTAAATCGTAAGGTAAATTTATAAGGAAAACATTTGAAGGAGTTTTAAGTTCTTTCTCAGATGATTTAACTAGTGTCAAAATTGAAGGTCCATCTACCAAAGTTAATGAAATAGTTTCCAATAGTTTATAAATAGCTAATTTTACAAACAAATTTCAAGATATTCTGATAACAGGGAGAATTTCTGATTCTTCAAACTATGATCTCGAATTTTCGGAAACATATGATGTCTTTTAAAGCTTTATTAAATTAAATAACCCTGTTACATTAAATTAAAATTTACAACTGCAGTAATAGTTTAACAAATTTTATGATAAAAGCGATGTAAGTGTTGAAGCAAAGTTTTAGTTTACTTTTGATTAAAATACATTTCAAGATGCGGATGGATAATAGCTTACATTCAAAGCCTACATAGTTACTGATTCTAGTCTTGAACCTGTTGAGATAGCTTAAGGATCATCTCAATGGATAGAATTCAATCCTCAGAGTCTTGTAAGAATCAAATTGCAAAAAACTATTTTTTAATAATTAATTTTATAATAATTTTTTAGACTTTTAGTGGAATGAAAACAATAAGTTCATTTTTAACAGCTGAGAGAATAAAAATTACTGCTAGCGATGGTTTTACTGAAGTATCTGACTAGTTTACCATTTATTTTAACTAGCTTCCTTTTATGTTTACAGTTTAATTATTGTTCCAAATATTTGGCCCACTAATTGGAATATTTAGTATTTGGAGATATAGATCAAGCATTTATTTGTATAATTAAAAAACATTTGTTTTGTTAGGTAATTAAATTTATTTAATTGTAAAATAGAATTTTAATGGAATCAAGCTATATGTATTCAAATGAGACTGCAATAGCTGGGGAACTGTATAGAAAATAAATAGTCATATTTGATAATGTTTAAGATAATGCAAACAAATTGTGGACACTTTATAAAAAAGAAAATTAAAAATTCTTAAATGAAATAAAACAGATGTATTTAAAAGAAAAGAGCATAAATATAAGCGAAATCATGAAAAAAATGTTTTAAACATTTGAAAAAAACTAAAAGAAATTCTCTAGTTTAGATCCAAGAGAGTTTGATTTTGATGAAAGCAGGCTACTGAGAGTAATAAAGGGAAAATTAATTAGAATTTTGCTAAATGATGACAAAGAAACAAAATAAGTTTTGAAATATTTAAGAAAATAAGGAACAAAATATTTTTCAAAAAATGATTGGTACAAAAGATATGTATCTATATAACCTACATTTCAGGCAAGTAAGTAAAGGATGCTTAACAAAAACTAAAGCAAGTTATCTAGTTCGTAAATAGATAATCATACAGATAAAATTAATAATTAAATATAAAACGATGATATAGAAAGAAATAATTTAATTAATGAACAAGAAGTAAATTTAGAAACATATCACAATGTGTACAAATTAAGAAATAATGATAAATCTGATGAAATATAAGAATATAAAAATTTAAATCCTTTTCCTGTTTTTTAAGTGTAAGAGCATGCAATATGCCAAGATGCTGATACGATACAGAAGACTTAGTTTGATATTTATCTTTTAAAAGAATATCTTATTATAGAGGCTTCAGGTATAGATTAAAGAACATTTTCACTTAATCCAAGCAAAGGAGAGTCATTAATACTTTAATCGCATTAAATAAGCAATATTTCAGCTTTTAAAAAAGATAGTGTAATTAAATAAATTTATTTATATATAAATATATATTTTGAATAAATAATATATTGTATTCATTTAGGGGTGCTGCATGGGTTTTAGAAGATTACTTAAAGACGATTATAGACCTATAGGATTATCAATAAATAACCCACTTCCGAAATGGCTTAATTGTGAAATAATAGATGGTGTTATTCATATTTGGGGAATACCTAAAGCAAAAGATGAACCTGAAATATTAATCAGAATAGTTAATGAGCTTTAATTTACCGTATTCAGCTTTTTAATCATAATAAAAGATAAGGAAGGAGGAGAATTAAGAGATAAAATTTATGTGAAAAGTAAAGACTAGTAAAATAAAAAGTTAAAAAATTAAATAGATACTGATAGTTATATCAAAACAAAAAATAATTTAGTTTAAGGGAATAAATAAATGAAGGATGAAAAATACAAAACAAAAATATATTAAGAAACAAATTCCGAAACTAATTCACATCAAAACATATTTTAAAATACTCTAAAGTCTAATCAAAATTTATACATAAAATAAATACCCATTTAAGATATTCAATAAATATTTTCAGTTTATTCTGCTAGCAGAAGAGAAATAAAGGAGGAAAAAAATGATTCAAACGAATAAATAAGATAAATTATCAATCAGAAAGATATTAGTGTAAAAGAACTAAACCATTCTAGAGAAACTATTCCTGATGAGAATTAATCTCGATTATAAATAGGAACCCAACACACTTAAAACTGGTAGTAATAGAATGTAAAAATTTTAATATAAATTAAATTAATTAATAAATTAACAAAACATTATTATGATAAAGTAGTAAATTTTGGAATCAAAAGAGAACCTTCACTAATATAAAACATACATAGTAATTAACATTTTAACTAATATTTTTATTTCTTAAAAATATCTTAAATTTATAAAAATAGAATCAAGTCCAATCCACTGAAGATAAAATTTAAATTATGTCATAAAAAAAAGATTTAAGCAGAAAAAATAAGAACTAAGCTTTAGACTAAAACTGTTGATTTAATCATATAAAAAATAATTTAATTTTTAGATAAATTATTTTTCTGATTCTTCTGATCAAACATATTTTGCTTCCTGCTCATTCTTACTCAAGAAACATTTTTTATTATTTGATTATTGAAAAATTAATAATGATAAAAAGGTTATCTTCAAATACTAATTTATGCTAAATACAATAAACAACCACAAAATTAATTACTCATTTATTAAATTTTAGCTTTACTTTTAAAACAAAGATATATCTTTTATTTTATTCATTAAAAAGTTTCATTTTTTTATATTTTTGAAGTTAGTAATTCTATCATGTTTTCTTAGACTTAAAAAAATATTTCAACAGCAATATCATCTAGCTAAAGATAATAAACAAACTTAATTATTTTAATAGATCACTAAATTTTTTAATAAATTTAAAATATATTTATCATTTATTTCAAATAATAAGTGTATGAATGAAAAATATTTTAAAATTAAATTAAATGTTTATTCCAATAAAAAATGTATTTGCTTATAGATTAATTGATTACTTGTATTTATTTATAATTTAACACGTTTAATACATTATCATAAAGATTAAAATTATAATTTATCATTTTTAAGATATTAAATATATAGATAGATAAATAAATAAATAAACTCAACAAAATGAATTACTAAAACTGCGAAGATTGCCCTTTTATTTTAAAAAAAATGAATTCTTGCTTTTTGAATTCTAATTTTAAGGAGTTAACTGTTTCTGAATTGCTATTTGAATTTTTGTTGGTTTTTTGCTCTGTTTATCCATACTTACTTGGCTTCTACTTCTTGATTATCCCAATATTCAAGAGGACTGCAAGAAATATGATACTAAATGCAATGTTTGTTTCGAGTACTATTGGTTGTGAAATTCTAAAAAAATTGTTTAAATAACCAAGACCTGAAGGAAGCTGCTCTTAAGGACACGGATTTCCTTCTTCTCATGCAGGGTTAGCAGGTTTTTTAGTTACTCTATTTTTAGCTGAATTTTTGATAACAAGATCAAAAAGTAGATAGTTTTCTAAAAAGTAATTTTTTAAGTGAATATTTATTTAGTTTACAATAAGATTAAAATTAAAATAGATGGCACTATGGTTTTTAGCAAATTTTTGTATTTTTTACAAGTCCTTTAGTTCTCTATAGTAGATGGTATTTAAATTATCATACTGAATTTTAAATAGCTATAGGATTTTTAATTGGAGTTGTCTCAGGAATTATTATATCTTCTGCTGCTTACTATTAGTTAGATTCATAAAATTCATTTTTTATCAAACTTTTAACAAAATTAAAATTCTAAAATGACTACTAAATTGTAGATAAGCAAGACAAAAGTAAAGATTAATGAAAAAAATTGTTTTACTTGTTATTTATTTTATAAAGTTAATTTACATTTAATTTAAATACTAATTAAAATAACTAATATTTCATAAATTTAAACTAATTTTAAGTGGCTATTTATTTATAAATAAATGAATAATTAATATGATAAACATTTTAATTAAAAACTAACACTACTACATAAAAATGTTTATTTAAATAGTTTTATAAATTAGTTTAATTAAAAAAACAACAGAACATTTTAAATTAATTCATACATATAATAACTTAATATTTTAGTAATAAAATAATTGTAAATAAATTCAAAATAATTCATCGACAAATTAATTAAATTATATTTTATTAATATAATTGTCCTAAATTTTAAAAATTCTTTCTTTTAAATCACAGTTGAATTTTTAAAATCTCTCTTTTTTAATGTCTGAAAAAAGCTTACTTTTAAAATTTGTTATTTATTCTGGAGTTTATATTGGAGGCAGGATTAATTAACTGAATTAAGCTAGTTAATTCTATTTTACCTATGAAAGAGTTCTTTGAATTTGATTTTTTTTCATCTTATTATTTTATTGCTATACTTCTATTATTTTTTAATGCTATTTATTACTCATTTAAGGACTAAGTTATGGTAATTTGAACTCTACAATGCTATTGATATTGCATTACGGAGCTACTAATGCACCATAAATTATGTTATTTTAAAATATTGACAGCGATTTTTTTTATCTGTTTAAGCTTTTATGTCTTCTTAAATTACTAATAGCTTTACCAGCATCCTCTTATTCCTAAGTTAATTATTTACCATCAAATTATTCATTTAGCTAAATTGAACTATTTCTTTCTGTTTATGTACCATTGTCATGAAATGATTGGGTTTATTTATTTTACTTTAATTTGACTAGTTTAATCATATCATTTTTTGTTGTTTTATCATATAATAACAATTTTTCTGTTTCATTCTTTTAAATCAGCTACAATTTCGAGTTATCAGTTACTACTTCATTTAAATTGGACTGGTTAAATTAGCTTTAAGATTATTTTTCATATTTCATAATTATTTTCAGCTCTATTTATTTACCCTTTATAACTACTATTTTCTTTCTTGCTATTATTTTTTTTTAATTTAAGAAGTAGAAGTAAAATTAAAATACGAACCAAATTATTTGAAAAATCAATTTAATTTACATAATTTAACAGATATAATTTAATAAGTTTACTTAATAGACACATACAACTCATATAACCACAAAGAATGATAACATTTGGAAACATTTTACAATTTTAAGAGAAATTTAAACAAAAAGTAGTATAAAGATAAATCTAAATAACTTTTCTAATTAATTCTCAATAGTTTTAATATCTTTAATTTTTAAGATTATTTAAATTTGTATTGACTGTTGTTTAAGTGTTGTAGTTTTTAAAATTTTATTTATTTATTTAGTTATTTAAATTCATGGTTTTATCTTGTTGAACTGGATTGCTTGAGAGATGTTACTAACTCTCTATGTGATAATTCTTTTGATAATAGGAATTCTATTGTTTATTCACTTTGCTATAAGTTCTATCGGGATTTATATCTTAAAAATTATTTAAAGTGTTTCCATAATTCTAATTTTCTTTGTTATTTGTATTCATGTATTATAGAGTTTTACAACTATTTTAATTAAAGTTATTAACAATTTATGACTATCCACGGCTATTTTATTCATTTGGTTCTGTAACAAAATTGTAACTATTGTTTACGCTAGGAATTCTCTGCCTGCTAGTATTTACTTACTATCTATTTGCTTGGCTAGAAGTTTCCTAAATAGGTAAATATGGCCTCGTAAGAGAAGATGATGTTGCATTTCTCTAAGAAGGTATATTATTATAGCTACTAGATCTAAAAACTCTGGTTTAATTTTGATTTCCTTCTTCATTATGTAATGTATTATTTCTGCTTCTTACAGGAGTATTATCAAATATTTTAGCTCTAGTTGTCATTAGTGTAGAGTTATTAAAATTATTATTGTCATTTACATTTAAAATAGTATTTTATTTAATTTTTTCAACCTCATGTTTAAGCTATTGATTCTATAGTTGCAATCTTAAAATTTCTTCATTTTACATCTACTTTTAATTCATCTCAATTTAAAACTGCTAAAGTTATCTTTTTAAACCCTCTAGCTCTCTATTTATATTGTTATTCCCCTAGTTAAAATTTTAAGTTATGCTTCTTCTCTCAACACTAAAGTAATTTTATGATTTTTCTAAAATTTATATTTGACTTCTAAGGTCGTGATTCTTATTTTCTAAATTATTGATTATTAAAATTTATTCTTATATTTTTGAATTCAGCTAGTCTTTTATTTCTTCCATTTCCATGTAAGATTTCTACAATCTAATTTGATATTTTTTTTCAACCTACTTAATTATACTTTCTGATTCTTTTTAACTGATAAGCTCATCTTTCCCACTGTTACTAAGTCTAGAGTTGCTACCTCTCAAATGAGAACTATAAGTGTTTCTATTATTATTATTCGAAGAAGAATTAAAATTCTATAAAAACTATAACTCCCCTTCTAATTGCTGAATCCGTTCCTTTAAAACAGCATTCTCTTCTTATATATCTCTTCTGCTCATTCTATAGTCTTTTCTAGTTTAATATTCTATCTCTTCACTACAAGAAATACCTTATTACTACAAAATCTACTTAAACGTTTAAATAACCAAATGACATTCTTCCTCCATGCTATCTACTTCGTTCTTTTATTAAAATAATAATAAAATATATAAAAAGAAATTTATTTTTTTAAATAATATTCAAACTATTTTTGTTTCATTTAGAAATTTTTCTAAAGTCAATTTTTAAAGTAATTTTCATATTTATTTTTCTAAAGTCAATTTTTAAAGTAATTTTCATATTTATTTTTCTAAATTATATTTAAATTTTAATCTTTACGAGCAAACATTTATTTTCTTCCTTTAATTTAGAGATCAGATACTAGTAATGGCTTTAAATTTTAGAGTGATGAATGTACTTTAAAATTGCTTCTGTGAACTAGCTGAAATCTTTTATGTAGGATTTAGGATCTATATTTAAATTAGAAATTATTTTCTCATCAATAAATGTCTACTTGGCTGCAAGAGAACGCAAAACTATATAAATATAATCTCTAAAATATCTAGATTCTGCTTATATTTCTAACACATTTTCTAACTGTATACATGGCAGAAGGGAATTATTCTAAATTACAGATCGTTTTGGGAATATTAACTTAAAACTTTTTTCGCTTATTGGTCCTTTCTTTTCACTGTATATTATTCTGATATCAGTTAAGTGATTTAAGACTTTCAAACAGTCAGTCTAAGGTTGAGAAGATTACCTGATAATAATATTTTGAGGACTAATAATCATATTTGCACATTCAAAATCTTTTCCGATTTTAACTGGAATATTTACTATGCCACTATACAACACGCTCTAAACAGTATATTTTGTATCAGGATCCATTTATATAGGTCCTACCTTTAATATGATCCTATTTAAATAAAAAAAAAGTTAGAAAAATCCTTTAAAAGAAAAATTTAACATTTTTCTTCAAGCTTTTCAAACATATTTTCTATTTCAGTTTTGATTTTTCGTAAAATTTTACATAAAAAGTATATATTTAAAATTTATCAAAAATATTTGTATGAATTACTCAGTAGATGGGTCCTTTTTTGGATGGATGAATACACGGACATACTAATTAATATCTTGGGCACTAAATTCATACATATTTGTATAATTTTTAAAGTCATCTTATTCTTAAACGTGAGAATTTCTTGATGTAGAATTGTATCCGTTATTGTTGTTGTTGCAATTCCAACTAAAATTACATTCTACTAATTACTAATTTAAATCATAAATTTTTATAGTTAAAACAGAATTCTAAAAAAGCTTATTCGTAAGCGAATGGAGTATTTTGTAATTTTCAGACCCCTTTTCCACAATTATTTCTTCATCTTAATTGCCTTGATTGAATATTTAAGTTTTATTAATAAAATCTTTGATTTTATTCTAAAATTGCTTCATATCCACTATATATTTGCTTTAAAAATTAAACTAATTCTGAAGCTATTATTTTAAATAGTTTATTGTAGTAAATCAAAATTAATCAATTTATTTATCAAAATTGCCAAAATCTAAGTATGTTAAAAATTAAAGTGTAAATTTTTCTTTATCGTTAATTTTTTGAATTTAAATATCACAAACTCTTTTATCAATGAATTTATGCATTTAGTTGTTTATTCAATAGTTGTTTTAATATCAATTTAAAAATCTTTAATTAAATAAAATATTTATTAATTATATGTAGATTAGTGATTTAAAATAAATATTTTTAAAATAAAAACTTTATAAATAAAAATAAATTGACTTTAGTATGTATTATGAGTAAAATTATATTTTATTAAATATTTCTATTTTTAATAATACAAAAAATTAAGAAATTCTATTATAAAATAATATTGATAAATAAATTTTGAATAATTATTTAATATATTTTATATCTAATTTATAATAAAAACATACCTTGCTCATCTCCATCAACAATTACTACCCTTTTTAACAAAAAAGATTAATCTTGAATAAAAAATAAAAATATATTGAAATTAATTGAATATCTTTTAATTTTATATTTAGTCATTGAAAAATAAATGCATGTTTAGCAGGATAAAATAGAAAGAACTAAATTGAATATATTTTTCGTTTAAAAGAATCTTTATTTAATTTAAATATTAATTAAAAGTAAAACAAATAAATTAACTAAATCAAATCTTAAAAGAAAGAGATAAAAAAGTAGAAAGTTAGAGATAAACATCTCTAAACATCTACTTTTTTAAATATTATTACTAATTAGCCATATCATTCTAAATGGTAGAGTAAAGCTGTCTCATTTATTAAAAATGCCAACTAAACGAAATACAAAGGTAATTAACTACTTTTAGACTTTATATCAAATTAATTGAATTAGATGCAATAAAGAAATATTCTGTATCTAGTTTCATTTATTTGATCATTTAAAATGAGCACCTATGGTTTGATTACTAGATTCTAATATGACTATGTAATCCATGCAGGATGCTTAAATTGAATTTTGGTTAAACGGGAGTATTAAATTCATTTTAATAAACCTTCTTTTCCAACCAAAGACATTTTTTACAAAAAAGTTTCCTAAATAAATGATTAATTTTTTCAAATTAAAAGTAGGTAAAATGCTTTATAACAGAAAACAAAGAAAGAACTTTTCCATTTAGAAGAATTTTCACCTGAGAAAGATGAAACATTCAAATATAAAATAATAAATAATTAATAACAATAAAACTTTTCAATTATCTAAAAAACTTATTGACAATATAATAACTACTAATTAAATAAGATTTAATAAATCATCAACAACTTAATAATAAATAATTACTCTTTATTTTACTCAATAACTAAAACAATAATTAAATACTATTACTACTTACTAAACAACTAAACAATTACTTCATTGTAAATCTAATTAAAAATCTAATATTTATTTATTTGTATTAATTCATAATATTTATTCATGAATACCTTAATTCATTTTATTAACTAAAACTTTCATAATTCTACTAGTTATTTAGTAATATATTTTTCTCTCTCTTTTTAAAGTTTTATCTATAAAATATTCTAAAATTTACTGTTTACAACTAAAAATAACAAATTTAAGATAAAAAAATTTCTAATTTCTAATTTTATGATCAAATTCTAGATTTGCGAATTTATAAACATAATTAATTTTCATAATTTGTAAATTATTGTAAAATAGAAAAGTCTAAAGAAAAATGTTGAAAAAAGATGTATTTTTAAGAAAAGATGTCTACACTGTAAGTAATAGGTTTTAATTCAAGCATTTTTAAAAAAGCAATCTAAATCAAATAGGTTTATTCAAGTGAGAAGCAAGAAAGAATGAAAGTTTACTTTTAGTTAACTGAAGGTTCGAGATTATTTTTGCAATATAATTTATAGATTATATTATTTTTTTTAAATTAATTAGAATACAATGAGTGTATGGAGAAATGCACAAATTTGACAGATGAGTCTAAATAAGAATGCGTAAATGAATGCGAGAAAATATATGATTAAGTATTAATTAGATTTATAGAGTTTATATTTGCAAATATTTAATCTTTTTTTAGTATGTTGACAAATTAGAGACAAGATATTAAGGTGAAAATGCATAAAGATTAAATATGGAAGTCAAGAATCTTCCAACATTTGATAAAAAAATAAGAGAAGAAAGAACAGGATTCTTTTATCAACTCTTCGGCTTGAGTTTCAATGAATTTTTATATGGAAAAGATAAAAAAGCTGCTACATAGCAAGGCGATTTCGAAAAGCATTGAAAAATTAAGATTATACATATAATTAATATTTGTAAATAGCAACTTAATATTTATTATTTTTTGTTTCCTCTCAAAAAAAAAATTAAGTCTGTATTAATAAAATCAAAATAATTTTATATTTTTTAACAAAAATATTTTTGATTTAGAGAAAAATGAGAAATTAAAAAAACATATTTATTTAAATAAATAAAGTGATAATATAATTGAAATACGAAAATTAAATAGATAATATAAATATATTAAAATTATTAAAAATTGTAAACAAAAATAAATAAATAAATAAATAGATGGTGTTTTTACTTTTAAAAATATCAAAATATTTTAATTTTTCTTATTAGAAAAGTAAATTGTATGAAAGAAAAAAAAACTTTAAAATTGAACTTAAAAATAAAGCAAATTATCTTCTTTAAAATCATATTGAATAATAATAATTATTAATTTAGTGCTTAGTTTAATTTATCTAAAATCTTTAAATTTAAACATAAAAATATTTTTTATACATTTGTTAATTTGCTTGTTTTATATTATTTTTTTAAAATATAAACAAATATTTAATTATGATCATCACATAACAATAGATAGATAAATTTAAAAAATCTTGAAACAAAATACCAGTCTATAATTAACATTGTTGATAAACATTATTTTAACTCTAAAAAATATAAGAATTATTTACTATAAAATTCTTTATGTATTTTAGTTTAATGTTTATTAAAAATTAAATTGATTTTATATTATTAAGATAAAATGGTTCATATTTAAAGTACTGATGATTGACAAAAATAATTTATATTTTACTTTTATAATATTTTCTTATTAAGTTTGTTAATTGTAAGTAATATTAAATATTATAATTCATATTAATATATTTTATAATTATTGAAGAAAATATGAACAAATTAAACATAAAATAACATTTAATCAAATTCTCTTTAAAATCCAATCTTTAGTTTTTTCGATTGCACTGTAAATTTCTACTTCTCCCCACATATTGTGCCAGCAGTTTTCATAAAAAACATGGGTTTTATCTAATGAAGGAGATTCATCCATCAAATCATATCCCAATAAAGGGTCTACTAGCTTATCGACACCTGCAGTAAAAATTAAGAAGGGAGCTTTATATTGCTTATATGTAGTTGATAACACTTCTTATTAATTGATTACATTTCTAACTGTACCTGGTATTATTTTATCTGTATATGAATATGGATCTTTTGGGAAACTCTCTGAAACAGCTGGGTTTTTATTTGCAAATCCATGTTTTTGTTCTATTTTATTAATTATATTTTAATAATTGAAAAAATAAATAAATAATTTACCTATTGTTTGCATTGATGGAAATAAGGCTCCAATAGCACAAGCAATCATTTTACCAAAGGGACTATTTTTTTTATTATCTTTGATTGCTGGGGCATACATGATAACTCCTGCAAAACGATTAGGATTATTTAAAGTTAATGTATAACAAATTTATCCACCCCAACTTTAACCTCCTATAAATATTTTCTCTCCTTTATATACTTCTTCCACATGCTTAAGAAATTTTTCTACATCTTCTATTAAGGTTTGATGAGAAGAGTTGACTCCTCTTGGACCTTCACTTTTACCAAATCCTCTATTAATAATTCAAGTTTATTTATAAATAAATTTATAATTGTCTTAATAAATACCTATAATCAAATCCAACTGATTCTATTCCACTTTAACTTAAAGTTTTTGCAATATGAGCAGATCTTCCAACATGAGAGTTGAGTCCATGAAATATAACAAAGACAGCAACTCTTTTACCTTCAGCAGGATATTTATATGTATGCAATTTTAAAGGTTTTTTATTGTTATCTATCACTTGAAAATCAAACCAATTTTCAACTGGATATGTAATTCCCTCTCCAGGTACAGGGCCTCTATATTTTTCGCTTTATTCTTACTTCATTACTTCTTCAAGATAAGCTTCTCTCCATTTAGGATCCTTAAAATGAGATCCACAATTTCTACCTTCCATTGTTATTTTTTTACTTTATTTAAATATTTAATTTAATTATTTCTAAAAATTGATTGATATTATTATAATATTTTGATTTTATGTTCCAGTTTCAACCAATTTTATTATATTTTACACAACAAAAACGAATGACATTTGTAAAAGAGCACAAATTCTGACGCATTAAATGTGTATGAATGGAGGATTCGAATATTTTAGAAGATATTCGCCACAAATAATTTACTTTTTTTACAAAAATTCTTAAGACACTTCATCCAAAACAAATAACATTAAGTAAGATTATTTTTTTATTGAAAAAATGGATTAATTTTTTTGTGATTATTTGATAAAATACCAAGCAAAATCATAAAAATGATTAAAAACATAAGTTAAAATAGATTTTAAATTTTATGAATTTGCTATTGAAATAAAATAATTGATATATATGATGGAAAATTTTTTGTTATTAGATTCTAATTACTCCTTAAATTGATAGAAGGCATAAAATAAATAAAAACAAACTTCAATGATTTATAGAAATTAATTTGAAAAATTCGTTACTTAATTTTAAAATAGGAATGAATCTTCAAAAACTTCAAATTAAATTTTATGAACTAACGAATAAAATAAAATAATTAACTATTATGATGAAAAAAATTAATTTTTTAAAAATAGAATTTAATTACTGCTTAAAATAAATAGAATATTGATTAATACATAAAAAATATTTCAATAATTTATCAAAATTATTCCAAAATTTGATTGTATAATTTAAAGTAGGAAAAATTCTTGAGAGACTTTATAGTATAATTTATCAATTTTATATCAACCTAAACTAGGTATCACATTAAAAAAATGATATACTTTTTCATTTAATTCATATGCTGCCACTTCAGTTGAGCAATTTAAACACTCAGCACTAAAATATATAAGAAACAAATCCTTTTGTTTATTTATCTGTTGTTCTAATTCCTCTAAATTTTAATTAGCTAAATCATCATCCTCATGAATAACTAAAGTATTTTATGCTTGTTCTTTCTTATTTTTTTATTGTTTCCTCTTATTTTTTCTAAATTTTGACTTCATCTGTGACCTTGTAGTTGCCTCATTATCTTCTTCTGTGGGTTATATTATTTTGCTTGTATTTATTTTTACATTTTTTACACAGATAGACCTATATTAATTATCATAAAACTCATGTCTCTAAGAATCATAGCTAAGTTATACGAAGCAGCATGGACAACTTAATATAATTCCTGTTTTCTCAGATAAATCGCTTTCTTTTTTATTTTAAAAATAAATAAAATATTTAATTTAAGATAAATATTACTTAAATTCTATTTCACCCAAACATCATCTTCTTCATCCTATATGGGATTAAAAAACACATCTTCCATTTGAATTTATTTTCTCAACTTTTTAATTGCTTCTTTGTTATCCTAAAATAATCTATTTTTATCATCTACTTAAACTTCTTCATCATCAAAATCAATGTTTTCTCCATTTCTTTTTTATGGTTTATTTTCCTAATCATTTTAATCTTTCTACTCTTCAGCATAATAATCATTGAGTTCCTCTTCATCAAAGTCTGCAAACTCTCCTTAATCGAAAACAACATCTCTAAAATGGTTCTCTCCTTGAAACTTAATTTCTTTATCTATGTAAAATAAAATAAATAATTAAAAATCCACTTAAGATAAATTAAAAATAAATTTTCATACTTGTAAAATTCACTTTTAGCTTATTGAGAATGGTATTTTCTTTTTTTGGTGGTGATGGATCCCAATCATCTTCATCTTCCTCTTGTTCTACTTTATTAATTTATTGCTAGATATATTGATTATCCTATTTGTGATTATTCTACTCCTCGATTTCAACTGTTAATTTATTTTATTTTGAATATAATTACTAAGTGTCAGAATGACTTTACTATAGGTTGCAGAAGTATTTCTTAGAATCTCTCTGAAAATGAAGAATGTTAAAATTACTTTAATGAGTTATTTCTCCAACTAAATTGCTTTGTTTATTCATTCACGCTATAAAATTAAATGATTATTTGTAAAATCAAGTTGATTAAGAGCTTATTTATTTTAAATTAATTTATGTCTCTAAAATTATAATAAATATAATATTGCAGAGTAAATTGCTTATTAAATCTATTAATGGTATTTATTTTTTATTAAATAATTTCATTTAGAAATTCTGCTAATTCTTTCTAAAATCTCTTTATTTTGATCTTTTCATTAAATATTCAATTCAAAATAATGAATTTTTTTAAATATTATTCTTTAATATTATTTCAAAAAAAAAAATCTAAAACAAATTACAACAAATAGAGTTATTTCAATTACTAATTTCAAATAATAGAATCCTTTTTTAATATATTTAAAAATTTAGCTAATATTAACACATTCAAAATTTATTTCGTAATGCTTATTATTTTAACCAATTAATAATATCATTTCAATTTTTTATTTATTTAAAAAAAGAAAAATCTTGAATATTTAATAATTGCTAAAATTGTTGATTTTTTAGTTGATTTTAAGAATAAATAAATAAATTTTGTAAATTTTTAAATAATTTACTTGTAATTATGATACTGTAATGTTCTGAATTAAATTTTTAGAGCAATTTGAAAGTAAATTATACAAAAATGTATAAATTTTACATTTTAAATAAATTATAAATAGTGTTAAAAATTATTTTAATTATTTGTTATCGATTTATGGTTAATTAAAAAAGAGCGAGAAAAATTTATTAAATCTAATTTACTTTTTATAGTAGTATAAACTGAAATTTTAAAAAATTATGTAAAAAATTAATTGGTTTTTTAAAAATGAGGGATTGATTGAATGGTTAATATGATAGTAATTTATGAATGATCATTACCTTTAAATTATGTATTATGTTTAATATAGGTTTTATGGTTTAGGTTATAGTAATTCTTTCTATAAATATTTGGCAGAAATTTTAATCAATTTTAGCATGATTATTCAAGGATATTTTCTATGTATTTTTTATGACCATAAATTGAGAAAAATCTTAAAAGATTTAAGAAATTCACCATATAAAATTGCTTTTGTTTAAAAAAAAAAATTATAGGAACAAATCTCAACGCATATATATCTATTACACTGTAACTTACGTCTTTAAATATATACTTTGCTCTTTTTAAAATTAATAAATAAGTATTATCAAATTTGATATTAACAAGATTTTAGATAGTAAAAAAAAGATTATTATTTCAAAAGATGTAGTCAGAAGTGTTAACACCAGGAAATAAAGTTTAAAAATCAGAGGTTCATGATGAACATGTCAATTTGGATTTAAAAAAATAAAATTAATAATAGCTTCATTCTTAAGAAAGTTAAAAGAATAATAATAGTACACATCCAGAACCTAATTAAATTACATAAAAATATGAAAATTTATTAGGAGAGATAGCATTTTAAGTTTAAGATGCAGTTATAGGTACATCTTGTTGTTGCTGTAAGAAGAAAGTAGGAGCTCCTGTATTTCCTTCATTTTAAAATAAATTAGATGAAGTGAGATCTAGGCCTTTTAAAAGAGTTTAAATGCTTATCAATCCTACAAGCGGAGGAGGAAATGGGAAAAAAATAGGAAATAATGTCATTAAGTAGCTTACAAAACATAAAATACCTTTTGTTGCTAACTATAGCGCATCTATATTAAACTTCTATGATTTTGTTGAAACATTTGATTTCGAGGGAGAAGATCTTCTCATGGTTTGTGGAGGAGATGGCTCCATTTTTATGACTTTAAACATTTTAGCAAAAAGATAAGCTATTGAAAAGAAATTAAATGAAAAGCCAGTTAAACCCTATCCTCTTGCTGTTGTTCCTGGAGGAACAGGAAATGATTTTTGCTCATCAATAGGGTTTAATCATATTTAAGTGAGCAATTATGTAGGTAAATAGATATTTTAATTTTCTTTAACAAATTAAGTTTTTGCAAACTTTTTCAGTTATTTAAGCATAATCACAATAAATTAACTGAAAATTTAAATATTTAAGTTAAATAATATCAAAATCCTCAATTTAACTTTTATTAGAAAAATATCTTTTGGAGCCTAAGGTCAGAAAAGTTGATATTGGAAGGTGCAGACTGAAAGATGAAAATGGTAACTGGAAAAACTATTATTTTAGTTGTCAAGGTGGCGTAGGATTTGCTGGTAGAGTTGACCAAAGAGCAAAAAAATTAGGAATATTTTTTAGACTGAAATATAAAGTAGCTGCATTTTTAGAAGTTGCTTCTGCCAAAACTGATATAATGACAGTTATTATTGATGGAAAAACAGTTCTTGATAAAGGTAAAGTTAAGTTTATAGAAGTTAATAATGTACCAAGGACAGGAGGCGGATTCCGTGCATGTCCAATAGCATAAGTAATAATTAAATTTTTAATTTAATAATTTATCTATACTTTAATAATCTTTAAAAATAAATAAATTTTTTCTCACTTTAAATGGGTATTAATATGTTTATTCTTAAACTTTCTTAAATTAAATAAATCTCTAGAGAAATTATTTTTTTATTTTTTAGGTTATTTAATAATATTTCTTCAAAATAAATAATTGAATATATTTAAAAATAGGTAAATGATGGAATTTTAGATTTAATATTAATGTACTCTGATAAGACCAGTAGGATGATTAATGTGCTTTAAGCAGCAGAAAAAGATGGGCTTCATATTTATGAGAAAGAATGCTAGTATTATAGAGGTAAAGAAATAAGAATAATAAGTCATGAAAAGGACCCAATTGATATGGAAATAGATGGAGAAGATTTTAAATGCACAGAAGTAATTTTTGATGTAGATTCTGAATTGGTCGAAGTTGTTTACTGAAATAAAGGAATTTCATGACTTTCTTTTTCCTTCTATTATTAGCAATTAACAAAATACTTAGTTCAATATAAAAAAAATAATTATTACTTAAAACTATTTTTAAATTAATTTAAATTTCAAGTAATTTAACATTTATATTATACAAATTGTTTATTTTTAGACTGTTTGAAAAATATAATGGCTTGCTTTTATTTAACTACTCTTCAAATCGATTAAAAGCTATTAATTTTTTATTTTACAGTTTATAATGTAGTAATAGTATAGTATAGTGTGTTGTTGTGTTGTGTTCTTTCAATTTTGTTTCCTTTTCTGTATTTAAAATAAATTAAAAAGAGTAAATTATATTTAATAAAATATCAAGGTAGAAATAAAAAATTGTGTAATTGATTTTTAAATTAAATACATTCTAACAGCTAAAATTATTTCATAAAAGATCAATATAATTTACGAATACTATTTATTTCATTAATATCTTTACTAACAAGATGATGCCTATAAATTTCAAGTATAAAAAATTAAGCGAAAAAGAGCTTTTAGAGTTATCAAACAGTAAGTATACCAACGAATCTCCAAAAAGTAGATATAGTGATAGTTTATACTACAAAAGAAATTAGTTTTAGCAAAGATAGTAAAATGAATATGACACGTTAGGGAGTGTAAGAAGAGTAACAGAGGAAGCAAAAGACAAGTGTGAGCAAATGAAAAAAAAAGTGAAAAAAATACTTATAGAAGAAGAATTGCAGCAAGGCAAATAAAAATTGCTCAACGATAAAATAAAATTTATGGAAACAATAAAAGCTAGAAAAAATAAAGACTAAGAGTTGGTATAAATAATTTTTCTTTTAAACAAACGTTTTAAATTTAATTAGCTTCAAGCCTTGCCATTTTAATTTTGAATAAGCTTTTATTTTGTGCATTTTTACAAAATATTTGCCAAGTAGAAGTTAATTTTTTATGAAAATGTAAAGCGAGCTGAATTTTAATAGAATAATTTTTCGTTTTTGATAATTTCATTCAATATAAAATTATTTTAATTTTAGCTATAAAAGCTTAAATAATAATACTATGAGAGATAGTAATAAATGACTTAATCAGTAAAAACTTTGAGAGACCAGTTATCTTTGGAGATCAAAAGATCAAAAGAAAATCTTCTTTAATCTAAAAAGCAAGATTAAGAAGAAATTATGAAATAAAGGAAAGAAAATGAATAAATGATAAAATAATTTTCAGGGACAGTAATAGAAAAAAAGAAGGAATAAATTAATAGAGTCAAAAACGATAAAGAGATATCTTACTAAACAAAATGCAAGTTTTTTGAGTAAAAGAAATTAAATTGGCAGAGAATTAATTAAGAAAAAAGAAGAGAATACTAAACTGAGTAGACTTGGATTTTAGAAGAAATCAATGAACTAGAGAAGGAAGAATAAAAGGCACTTTCACGCTATAACAGCCTTCAGTAAAGTAGACTCGAAAAGTAAAGTTTCCTTTCCACATTTATGGGTGCCAAAAAATCTTTCTAACAAGAAGGGTTTTCTAGCAGAAACAGTATAGAAAATTCACCCATAAGAACTATCCATGACAGTGGTGAAAAATAAAAATTTGTTAACGCTTGATTATTTATAATTATTTTACAATTTGTCTTTTACTAATTATATTAAGATAATTATTTATAAATAAATATCTAAGCTGTTAAAAATTTTTATATTAAAATGTATTTACTATAATTAGATTGTATTTATTTATTTATTATTTTCTTTATTCAAATCTTTACTCAATTATTTAATATTAAATATTTATTACACCAGGGTTTCATTTTCATCTTTTAAAAAATAAATATTTCTAACCAATCATTTAAATTTAAGAAAAATAATATTAATTGATTTTTTTAACTTTATTACCTACCTAAATTTAAAATTTTTTGTATTAAATTGATAGGATTGAGGATAGATAGATAATTTGTCTTAAATATCTTAAAATAAGTTAATTTATTTGAGATATTTAAATTATTAGTATATTTGGAATTTTAATTATTTTATTACATTTTAGCATAAATAAATAGGAGATAACATATGTATTTATATAAAAATTAACTTATAAATTAAATTTAAGTTTTATAATACATGGCTTATATTTATTTTTTTATTTTGGTTTCTAAGAATTGAATGTGTTTAGGAATTGAATATATTATAACATGAAGAAAATACCTATGACAAACAAATAATTTTAACATAAATTTAGAAATGTACTCAATAAATAATCAAAAAAAATCTTATTTTATTCCTCTTTATTTAAATATTGATAGAAACAATTTATTTTGGTTGAGAATTGAAATTTTTTACTATTTTTGGTATTCAATTGATAGGAAGCAAAAATAATAATTGAAAAGTGGGAAAAAAATAAAAAAGCAATACTTAATCATGAGTTAATTAAATAACTTTTAACACTTTACTTTGGTTAAACTTGAAATATATTAATTTTGCAAAAAAATACGAAGCAATCAAACAATCCACAAAGAAAGAATAAGAAATAGAGGTTTAATTATTATTAGATTATTGTTTTTTTTAAAGAATCTGAAAATTTAGTTTAACAAAGGGATTTAGCCTAAATGTTTAATATAAAAGAGAATATCCAAACTGATTTTTTGGATGAGCAACAGGGCTCTTAAATATTTAAAGAAAAGAAGATTTTTAAGACATTAGCCTAAAGACTTCTATTGCAATTTAATTCAAAGATTTTAAATAAAATGTATTAGTTGAGATGCTATTCTAAAGAGCAGTTGTTGTATTATCGTTTCTTATTTTTTTTAAACACCATAATTTACTTATTTATTATATTGCGCTTTTTTATAATGACTAATAAATCTGATTGCTCTGATTCTTAAATATAATAACAATATGAATAGTGTAGTTAGAATATAGGCCCTACTTAGATTTAAATTATAGTGGTTCTTGCTATTTTGATTATTTTGAATATTTTAACAATAATATATGCTCCTAGATTAAGTCCTTTTTAATTGAATGTCTACATATTTATTTAGCAGCTCTATAATTGTTGCTTTTTAGTTTTTAAAGTTGATAACTACACAAGCAAGTGCTTGACGACTAGTTAATCTGGAATATGCATTAACTTATATTTGTTGATCTTAGTTTTCTTAAATATATTTGCATTAACCTATTGGATATTTAAGTGTGCTTTGTTTTCATCTTTATTTTGTAGCTTAATGATAAATTAATACCAAAAATTCTAAATAGTGGATATATCAATTAGTTCAGTATTGATTTTAATCTCTCTTACTTCAATTTATTATCATGAATCATTAAAAAAAAAGGATTTCTATAAAAATTTTAGCACCCAAAAAAAATGGTAAAGGTGGTTGTAGATATTCTAGTAGAGATTACCGTTTCCAACTATTGTGCTTACAGCAGATTAAGATATATAGGATGATTTTAAAGTTACTTTTGTAAATGATTAATTTAAATCATGCTTTAATATTCCTCAAGACAATGTGTGTCCAATTAATTTGAATAGAAGTTAATATAAGTCTAGTAGCTTTTTAAATTTACAATAATCAATATAAAGCATTTTATAATCTGTGTTTGTACCATTAAACACTGAACAAATAAATGATTCTTTTACATATTAATAGAAAAGTTAATAATAAGGAGGAGAAACATATATTTAAAAATTCAAGGCTTCACTTATTGAAAAGATATATCGTAAAGTAGAATTAGCAAAGCCTGTGTCAAAAAGTAATGAAGCGATTAATTAAAAATCAATGACTTCATAGGCATACAGCTTAAAAAAAGATAGCTCAAGAAAAAATAAAAAAGAAATACATGTAATATAAACAAATTAACAGACTCCTTCAATTTTTGAAAAAAATCCTTAAAGCATGGTATTTAGTTAAAATATTTTACCTCTGTCTTCTAAAGCTAACTAATTTGAAAATAAATTTCTGCAAATATCTCTGATGGAGCTTATAGTCTTATTTATGAATGATTGCTAAAAAAGAATTTCACTTTTTTAATAGATTAGCGATGTAATTTATTTGATTAAAATTTACTTTTATTATTAATTGGATTAATTCAAGCAAGCAACAACGAAATAACTAAATTTTTATCAAATTAATGTAAAATAATCCTTTTTTTACTAGTTCAATTATTTTAATTTATTTTCAGAGCTGTTCTTTCAGATTAAATGCACCAAAATAACCCAATTTTAAGATTACAGCAAATTAACAAAAATACATTTTCGGAATTCACCCTTTTTGTTTTGGATGAATTAAATCCAAAAATATTATTTGCATTTTAAAGAATTTAAAAAATTCATTAAGTATAATCAAGTAAAGCCAAAAAATTAAAAAAAATCTAGATCCAAGATTTATAGGAAAAAAAAATTAAAAATAAAATTTAAATATTTATAAAATTCTACATAATTAAAGTAGCAAGATGATCTGGTGTATTCTAATTGTATTTACTCCCCTATGCAAAAAGAAGCTTAAAATAGATAAAATACATAGAAAGGCTAAAATAGCGAGCCAGAAGAAAAACATTTGGATGTGCATATAGTTGATTGCTATGAAGATAATCAAGTTAATATAATGATAGTCTTAAATGACATATCTATGAAAGTAATTAGTTAATTAGCTTTTAAAAATACTTGAAGCAATTTTAATTTTAATTAACTAAAAATAGTATGACAATAAAAGACTCTATGAAATGAATAACTATAAGGATAAACTATTAGCTACTGTTTCTCATGACTTAAAAACTCCACTCAGTGCCATGATTTCTTTGGTCGAAAGCTGCTTTATTAGTATGTAATAAACTTAAATAATGATATTGGATAAGACTAATTTAATTAAATTTGTTTGTTTTTTACACTCATTTCTTTAATTAATTTACACTTGTTTCCAAATGTAAATTATCTCTTATATTAAAAATAACAGAAAAGACGAGGAAATAAAGAAAATATTGTAAGACACACTTAAAGTATCTGATTTATTGTCTCATCTTATTAATGACATACAAGATTATGGATAAATTTATAATTGCTCTTTAAAGCTTTAACTAAACAAATTTAACATCAAAGATTGTTTGAAAGAAATTTTGGTAAAAATACACTGTTTTAGATTTTTAATTATTTTGATTTATTGTTCATACTAACCACTTATTTTTATGTGTTTATTTAATAGAAGTTAATTTAATTGATTTCAATTGATTAAAATACTTCAATCATATTTTGAGCTATTTATTAGCTATCACACATTTTAAATTTAATTTTATCTAATAATTCAGGATATATTTGAAGTGAAAAAGCGGAAAGGAATTGAATTAGTTCTTGATTTTGAGCCTAGAGTAAATGTAGGAAATGCTGATATTTACTAAATACACAGTGACTCATAGAGATTAAAGCAAATTCTTCTCAATTTAATTGGAAATGCAATAAAATTTACAATGAAAGGATCTATAAAAGTTTTCTTTGAAATTAGCTCTGATTAAGAAACTATAGAAATTACTGTCACTGACACAGGCATAGGCATACCTTAAGAAATATAGCAAAAATTATTTAAAGAATACAACACATTCGATACACCTTCAGTAAAATAATAAAAAAATATTTTCTAGTTTTAAGATTTTTTTTTTGAAAGGGTTTAAATAGAAATGGAGTTGGACTGGGATTATATATGAGCAAGAAATTAGCAGGATTATTAGGTCCTTCTGAAAATATAAAACTTGTTAGTAAGGAAGGCGAGGGTTCTTCTTTTTCTTTTGTGATTTTCAAAAATTTGCAAGAGAAACTTAAAGAGAGAGCAAAACTGGAGCAAGCTTAGCAGGCTATAAATTGCAACAACTAAATCGTAAGCGAAAACAAAGAACAAATATTTGGTGAAGAAGATATTTCAGATGAGCAGAACCAATAATAATCTATGATATCTGAATTTAATTAATATAATTTCCAACATTTATTCTAAAAAAGTAAGTTCAGCTTAACAAATCTGAGTAAATCTCCTACATTCATCTAGCTTTCTTAAACAGAGAACTGGTAAAATAGCTAAAAGTATTTTAAAAATCAGAGATACTTTTAGACATCAACAAACAATACATTTATTAAATCCTATCTTAACACCAGTAGTGAGGTTGTTAAAGGCATAAAAAATTCCCCTAATTTCAATTTATCTGAAAAAAATAATCCCTAAGATTGCGAATAACTGATAAATCTTAGCCCTTAAAATACTACCATAAAGAATTTAAATTAATCAAGTTCTTTTGATAATTCTCGTTTAAACGTAAAATAAATATATTTGCAAATTATTTTTATCTCAAAAATATGATTTGACTTATTAAAAAATTATCATTAATCTTAAATTATTTATTTATTTATTAGCTGAATTCAAATTTAAAAAATATGGTTTACTCACAACTCAAGTTCAACAATAGCAATAATGCTATGAATTTATCTTCGCTTTAATTTTCTCCTTAATATCATTCATAATATAAATTAAAAACAAAGAATATTCTATTTTCTAACATTGATAGAGATATTGAGAATTCTTTTGTTGAAAGTTAAAATATTCTTATAAAGACTCCAGAATAAAGTGGAATGTAATATTTAAACAAAGAAAATAACAACATGACTGATAACTTAAGAGATAGGTTTGTAGGAGGATTAGAAGCCATTCAGTCATAGCATTCATAGTCTCCCACAATTATCCTTGATAAGTCACAATTTTAAAAAGAATCTTAAGTTAATCAAGACTATTTAAATAAGGAAGAAGATAATGATTTAGATAAATAAAAATACTTTGCTCATAGAATCACCTTTGAGTGCTTAAATCCAGTCAACAATAGAAATAATTTTAGAGAATAATAATAATCTTCGTCATCTTTGAATACTTAGATGCTAAAAGACCTTAAACAAACTAACTTAGAAGTCTCTGATATGTCTTATATTCATACAAATGAGTATTCGAATTCTGTATTAAATTAAATTTTTTCTAAAGAAACTCATATACTTGTTGTTGATGATGAAGAAATAAGTCACAAAGTCTTTTAGCATTAATTTAAACAATTTTCTACTGTAAAAATACACAGTGCTTATAATGGTGAAGAAGCTATTAGTAAAATATTACATAACGAAAAACTAATAAGCTAATATAATTAGCAGAGAAATAATGAAGGGAGTGATAGCTTTTTGTACTAAAGCTAAAATGTTGACAATTTTGATTAAATTGAATCAGTTTAAAACAAGAAATCTCAATTTTACTAAAGTAATTTTGAAGAAGAAAAAAAAAATAAAGAGAACTATAATATCAACTTGAGCTCATTAGATAGCAGTATTAATAACAGTATAAACTCTACAGAAAAAGAATGTAAATACATTCCTGATGAAAAAATGAATGAAAATCTAAACATAAACTAAATTGCAAATAGAAAATACGAATTGAACTTCAACAACATTGCATAAATAAATTAAACTAGCCTTGATAAAAGTTATAATATTTTTTAGTAAACAGATTCTCCCATAAATATTTCAGAGCAAGCATAAAAAACTTAAGAATAAGAAATCTAGAAATTTTAGACAAATAAAAATAACTAATAAAAAATAATTAAAAACGAAAGTAAAAAATTATTAGTAAATTAAGAGCTAAAGCTATAGTAGCCATAACAATTTAGTTATATATTTATGGATTATAGTATGCCATTAATGGATGGACTGTAAACAATATAAAAAATAAGGTAATTGCAGTCTGATAAGTTAATTACCTAACAAATATTTATCTTCATGGTTTCAGGATATGACTAAAAATCAGATGCAAATGAATTTTTATCAAATGGAGCTGATGGAATTATATCAAAACCCGTTAGTCAACTCAAAATAGCATAAGCCTTTAATTAAACTCATAGTTCTATATGAAGAAAATCCAAAATAAATTTATTTTTAATTTCAAAAATACTAATATAATTCTAACCTTAAAATAGATTAGAAATTAACCAAAATTTTCAAATAATATTTGATAAAATCTCAAACCTCCCTAGGCAAATAATAAATAAATAAATAATAATTTAATAGATATTTTTAATTTAATCTTCATTTTATAACCTATTTGGTGAATTAATTGTAGATTGTAAATAAATCTATATTTACTAGAGGAATTATCACTATTCTTTTCTTTGAAAACATTAATTTATTATTCTTAATTGACCTTAAATTACTTATATAAGATATTTATTAGAGTAATTAATATACATTAATCTTTTGAAAAATTTTATATTTATTCTTAGTTTACCTTAGATAACATACAATAATAAAGAACTTATTGCTTAAATAGAATTTTAATTAATTTATAATTAGATTCATTTTAAAGTAAAATGTATTATTAAATATTTCTCATTTTTTAATTAAATTAAAATCATTTTCTTTTAGAAGGCTTTTTAGTGGCTAGAATGTTTACTTATTTATTTTTAATTAACTAATTTTCAATTTCTAAAATAACTTGATATTTATTTTAAATTTACACAAAATTAATTTATATTAAAAATGATAATTAAAATAATTTGTTTAACGATTTATTTGAAGTAAAACTCATTTGAAAATAATAGTTTTAATAATGAAATATGTAATATTTTTAAGAACAAATAATTATTGTATAAAATATTTAACGAATATATTATCAGAGTTTTAATAAATCAGATAATTATTACTTACAAAAAGAAATATCTTAATCACATTCATTGACTATCAGAAACACTTATTTATTAAATAAGCAAAATTTAATAATAAATTTATTATTATTATTGTATTTTTTTGCTTTTTGGGATTTAGATTAAAAATCAAAAATAATTAAACTTAATATTAGAATATAATATTGATATAAAGGAGAGATAAAAATACTTTGTTGCTTTGGAAAAATATAAATCTTAAATCAGCACTAAGGAGTGATCTGAATAAAATTAACTTATTTACTCAATATTCTGTTAGTAAATCTTTATATTCCAAGATTAATAAATAACTTAGAATTTCATATAACAATTATCTTAATGAATGATGTTAAATTTAATAAATTTAATGTAAATAATTAAGAAATGAGCGATGCTAGCCCTACTTAAAACACTTAAATAGATGAAATTTTAGAAAAAAATGATTAAAAGTAAGCTTCAAAGCCTAAAAAAATAATTAATTCCTCAGAGGTCTTGTTGCTGAATAAATACTTGAGGCAAAATAAAGATATAATAACTTAACAAAATTATTAAGAAGTGGCATACATTCTGACTAAACTTCCTATCTTTGAATATGTTTATTCGATTAAAGGAATCTAATTTATTACTGAGTTTCTTAAAACTGGAAAGCTATTAGAAATAAATGAAAATGATTATACCATATTTGAAAATAAACCAAATTATAAGCAGCGTTTCTTTTTACTTATTAAAGGTTCAGTTGCGTTTGAAGGTACTATTAAGAAAAATAATAAACAAGATATTTTAAGTAAATATTCTCTTAAACAATTTGAAATGTAATCTTAGGTTTTCTTAACTTCTAACTATAATGATAACAATTAAAATAAGATTGAATAAAAAAATGATGTTAAGAGATTGAATAGTTAAGAGTCTGAATATGATATAGATTTCGATGACACTAAAAGTGCTTTATTTAGATTAGATACTAAAAATTCTGATACAGATTATGATGATGATTGCATATCGATTTCAAGTTTTGGTACTGCTTCCAAAAAATCTTTGTCTCCTCGTTAGCAATAAAATCATGAAGCCTTTTTGCCTAGCAAATTTAATGGTTAAAAATTATAAGTCAATAAAAACTCTACATTTAATCAAAAAAGAAGAAAATCAAATTATTTACACAGTAGCGAAATTAAAGTAAGGGAATAAGTTATTGAAAATTAAAGTAATCATTTTTCAAATTAGGAAAATTAAATAAGTGAAAATGATTAAGATTTTAAAAACCAAATAGGTAATAATTATGTTATTTAAGTAAACAAACCCAACGATAGCACTCCTTAAAACTTTAGTGAAAGAAATGATTAAAGTCATATTTCTAGAAAAAGCAGTTAAAATAATTTAGATTTTTAATAAAATGAGTAATAAGTTTCTAGCCTTTAACAATTCTTAAATTTAAATTCTGATAAGAAAATTTAGAGTTAAAGAGTAATTTAGATACCTAGTTCTGAAAGGTAAAATAAGATAAGAAGTATTTCTTAAGCTTCAAAAAGAAGAGACTCAAATGTTACCAGTTTTAGTTAAAATCAGAGCAAGTTTAGTAACAGTGGATCAAATGATATATAATCTAGTTAAATCGATAGTCAAAGGTCGTAGAATTAAAAATATGGAAATCACTTATTCGTTCAAAATAAATAAAAATCTTGTTAATCATCTATTATGAAAAAAAGGTCTAGTTTGATTAACTCACTTAAACAATCAAATAATAATAGCATCAATTCTTCTTAAGTATTAAACGAGCATTAAAATTCATAAAAATCATTATTTAAAGGACCAAACAGATCAAAAAGCTCTTAAAAAAAGTAAAAAAAAACTCAGTAAATACAATTAATTGAGAAATTTAAAACATTAAATGCAGTGGGCACTTTTGGTCACAAACTTAAATATGGGAGATTCAAAATACATAGAATAGTGACATCATCGGACAAATGTGCTTTAATTAGTTTTGATATGAAAGATTTCTAAGATCTCATTTATGGACTAGATGAGTCAGACCCAAAGATCAAGCAAATTTAATCCATAATTAATAAGCAACACTTATTTAAAGGATGCTCCTTTAGATAAATTAATAATTTAACTTTGAAATCAAGAAAAATATAACCATTTAAAAACGAAATTATATATAATTAAAATGATAAATCAAAAGGACTTTACTTCATACTAAAAGGGGAAGTAAAGATATTAATAGATGCTATTGAGGATTTTATTGATAATTAATAAACTCTGCTTAAAAACCAACCAAATAGCAAGAAGACACTAGTTTCATTTTATAAACAAGATAGGGCTAGCAATAAGTCTATTTCAATTCCGATATCAGGTTTCTAGCAATAAGAAGAAAGTTAACCCCATGAGCTGTTTATACATAAAAATAAGAATAAATTTTAAAGTTCATAATTGAAATTTAATGAGTAGCATAGAAAAGAAGTAGGAATTTTAAACGAAGGTAACTTCTTTGGGTTAGAAGATTTAGTACTTGGCTAAGCTAGATCTTGTACAATTTAGGTCAATGGTAAAGAGGCAGAAATACTATACATACCGTTAGACTCCACGGATATTTTTACATACTTAGATGATGAAGAAAAAAACAACATAATATTGAATGCAGAGGAAACTATTGTTTAAAGAAAAGCTAGGGCAATATGTAACACATCTTACTTATCAAACAATCAATTGTCAAATTCTTAAGTTGTAGGAGTAAATCAGATACCGAACGACTTAAATTGCAGTAAGTATGCCCAAACTTAACAGAACTTTAATCGATAAGTAAAATAAGAAAATACCAGCTTTGCCAATAATTGTAATAAAACTAATAGAAGTTTATCCCCAGCAACTTAATAATCACCATATAAATAGAATCAAAATATGTGTATTTCTGAAGAAGCATTGCAATTCAATTCAAAATCAAATGCTGCTTTCAAAGAAAATAACAATTCAAATATACAAATACCAGCTAGATTTTCAAAAGCCGCTAAGATAGATGATATGATTTAAAGGTATCCAAATCAACAATCTAGAGTAACACCAAAAAAATAATAAATAGAAGTTATGATTAACAATATGTTTTTAGCAAACGACTAAACCACTAGTGATTAAAATAAATCAATTTAGACTATGAATTCATAAAAGCAAAACACTGTAAAAAATTTACAAATAAATCAGCTTTTAAAAACAAACATTAGTTTAATAGTAGCTGGAAATACCCTAAACAATTTACAAAGCACGTAGTAGGAATATAATGAATAAGTAACTCAGTAAACTCAATACCTAGATAAAGATCAGATTTATGACTTACAAAATAAAAAAGTTTCAAATAAATAAGATTAAGATGATTAAACAGCAGAAGAACTTATTGATAATTAAGACAAAATGAATGATTTAATTTAATACTACAATCAGAAATAAATTTAGGATGCTAAATCTTTAAAAATGAAGAGGAGATCTCTGTCCTGCTTTTTCGAAGGCGAAAATGCTAATGATAGCACCAATTAAAATGATAAAATTGATAAATAAGATTGCAACAAATTAAAACAAGCTACTACTTTAGATCCTAATGATATAAAGAATGAAAATATTATTTGGAAAAAGGACATAATTATGTCTAACACAGAGTATAATCATTTAAAAATCTAATTACCTTCTTAAACAAGCATTAATTAATAAAAAACCCACACAGAATAATCATCTAAATTCTCTGGTAATTTAATTACTAATATGAATTAGAGAGACATTTAAATTAATTAGTAAGACAACAATGAAACTGTATCTTTTTCAAACAATTTAATTAACAGTAATCTCAGTGTAAAATATTCAAATCCTGTTTCAATATAAAAAAAACTAGATGACTCATTAAAATATCCAAACAAAAAGATAGATCTTGTAAGTAACCTTTAGCTTAATACAAAATAAAAAAGTGGTATTCCTTTAGCTGATGAAAAACTAAATTCAATAACTAATTAATATATTTAATTAAAACTACCTATCAAAAATAGTAAACAAAAGTCTCGATAAGACTTGGAATAAACTCCCTCAGTAAATTATATAAGCTAAAAGAGCAATTATAGGTACTAATAAAAAGATAAAGCTAAATCTTTATAAAGCTAATCAAATCCTATTACAGTAAAGAGCTAAGACTAAGGATTGTCATAAAAAATACCACAATATGGAAACCAAGTAAATGAAAATGTTTGTTAAATTAGAACAGCTCTTTCTACAGCTTAGAAAGCATAGAGAAATTTAAATACATCTGGTTCAAATAGAATGTCAGCTCCTAATGAGCGATCATTTAGGATTTAGTAGAATAAGCTAAAAAATTAAGAATCTTAAATAAAGCAAAACTAAGAGAATATAAATAATTAAAGCATGTTTGAGTAAAATTCTTTAGAATTCCGAAATAAGCAGGAAAGGTCATACTCTAGTTAAGGACATGCTAGAGTAAAGGTATTAAGTAGAAGCTAAAATAGACAGATAGAAAATCAGTAACTTAATTAAATGAATTAATCCTAAACGGTAAAGGCAATAAATTTAAATGAAACTCAAATAATTAATCATAGTAGAAATTAATCTAGATTATCTCCTAATTAAAGAGAATCTAGCTTTGAAAAGAAATACAATACTGAGAATTTCAGAAATTTAAAGCAAATGAATACCACTGTATAATCATATCTTACAATGAAAAATATAGATTCATACAATATGAATATTTCTTAGATGAGTACAAGCTTAAGTAAAAGACCAAACACAAAAGGAAGCTCAACTAGAAAAAAATAGCAAGGATTTTCAACAAATAATAATTAGCATATATCTGTAAATGACAAGTCTTTAAGTGAAATGAAAATGAAGTAAGAATTAGAAAATATTATTATCAATCCATCATTCAAAATAAGCAACAATTTTCATTTCATAAATTCTTATCTTTAAGAAGAGGAAGGAATCTTGGAAGGACATGAGAACATTTAAAATTAAATAGATGCTAAAAAGAATATCTTGAGTCATTTATAATAATTTTCTAATAAAGCTAGCTCAGGTAAAGATATTTAATAGTCAGAGTTTCGAAAATCTTATGTTTAAAAGTATATTTACCCTGAAGATGAATTTGCAAGGGAAGCTGACTAAAAAATTAAATTGTAATTAAGTAAATTAGAAGAAGGAAAAGATTAAAATCCTTATCTTTAAAATACAAAATTTGAAAATAATTCTTAAACATCTTTAATGCTCTTTTATAACTATATAAGAAGAAAATTAAAGCATGTCCATAAGAATGAAATTCTTTATAGCAGAGATACAACAAAAGCTAATTCTTAAGACCAAAAAAGGTCATTTTAAGTGCAGAATTCTACTGCTGTAAAAAATAATTTGAGAAAACATAAAAAATTTTTTAAAAGGAAAAATTAGATTTAAGAATTAGAATAATATGCTAACCAAAGTCTTTTGTATAATTATAATACTGAATAATAATATTTCCTAGAATAAAACATTAATTAAGAATAGTTAATCAACAAAACTATTTCTGAACTTCCATTTGATATTTATATTGAAAAAAACAACGAATTAGGCTAAATCAATGAAAAGTTTTCAAAAAATCAAAATGAAGGCTAGCAAAAAACATAATCTGAAATTAAATAAAGACAAAAAGAAATTTTAACTTAAATTAAAACATAAAATTAAACTATTAAAAAAAATGGGTCTTTACCTATAACTCCTATACCTTAATATTCATGATTGATAGATAAATCTTTATCTAAATAAATAATTTAATATTACTAATTAAGAATCTTATTATTTGTAAACACATTTCTTTATTTATTTAATCACATAAAATTTTATTTTTTAAAAAAGAAAATAACATTCAAGAATTTTTATTTCAAAATTTTACAAATAAGAAAGGCTAATTTTTCTTTTTATTATATAATATAAAAAATAAACAAAATTTAATTATAATATGTAATAAATAATACTCGTATCAACTTTGTTAAATAATATTTTTCTACTTATTTTTTTAAAAATAAAATGAAGGAATAAAATTTAATTGAATATATATATAATATAAAAATAATACATTATATTATTAAATAATTAAATGTATGACAAAAATTTTAGATATTTGGTGTTTAACAAAGCAGTGTAAAATGAATTATATATATATATAATTTATTGGAATATTAACTATTTTAACAATTTGTTTATTTATTAGTATTAGTATTCTGTAATGATTAAAGATATTTTATATTTTTTATATATTTTAGAATTGAGGTTTATAAAATTTTAACTAAGAATCAATCTTACCTTATAAAAGATCCATTAATTAGATGTGAAGGTAAAATATGGTGAAAATTATGAGGATATTCAAAATGTTTGTTGTTATTTATATTAATACCTCTACGGGTGATTCCGCGTTCATCTCTAACAACTTATTATTAAGAGCTTATTTATCTTAATATACTATTGTTAAAATACTTCTACCTAAGCCCGGTTGCAAGGTAAGCAAGCTTTTTACTCAAATTTTAATATATAAAACTTTGTTTCTCAAAGAAAATTGCTTGATTTAAGTATTCATTTTCATTTACTTACTCTTATAAAGCTTAGGGTTATTGTGAGATGGTATTTTTGTTTAACATTTTAATTTAGTTATTTAAAAATGATAGATTTATACCTAGGGGAAATGCTTCTAAGTTATCGCTAAAGGGATATTATTATTAGAAATGTACATATTGTTGATATTAATTTTAGTTCTTTTTAGTTAGTTTTTTTTTGAGCTTCTTCTTTTAATTCTGAAGCTTCTTAATGACTTTAGATGAGTTGATTTTTTTGGAGAGCTTTGTAGAATGTAGGTATTTTTTGTTTAAATTCTTCAAGGATGAGCTTTGAATGATTGAATTTAAAGTTGTGCTTCTGTTTGCGAATTCATCATTTTGATTAGAATTACTTTACTTTGAATTTAATTGTTATTATTTTGGGGATTCTTTTCTATCTGTTATTGTTATGGTTTCTTCTTAAGCTATACTTGTATTAATTTTTTCTTCAAGATCTGCTTCGACATCTATTTCAGAGTGATTAACTTATTCTTCTTTCTTTTATTTCTGGTCTTATTATTTCTCTGATTCAGATTATTTTTTTTAGTTGCTTTCTTGCAAATTCGATTAATTAGTATTTTGCTAATCTTAGTTATTGCTATTTTCTGATGATTACTATTTTTTATGATTATTCTAACTTGGTTGATTTTATTGTGTAATTTCAGAAGAACTTACAATATCCTAAATCATTATTAAGTTATTATTTTATTTTTGAGTTATATCTTATTTATTTTGAGATATTTTTTGTTGTTTTTTTTGCAAATTATTTTGAGTGAGTATTTTAGGGAAAAAATTTAAATTATCTTCAGCAAGATTAGAAAAAATTTACTTATTTCTTTGTATGTATTTATCGCAGATTTATTTTACACTTCCTACTGGTTATCCAGATTGTCTTTAACTCTAAATTAGCAAATTTATAATTTATTGTTCATTTTATGTTCCTTAAGAACTACCTCTCATTTAAGAAGAGCTATCCATCAGAGGTTATCTTTATTCAAAGCTTCGAAGTACTCTTTCATTAGATTCCAGTCTTTACTTACTATTGATATCTTTACTAGCTCTTTCATTATTTTCATCTTTATTATTTTTTGTGATTGATTTCTATATTTATCTAGATTTACTTGATTTTCTTGTAGCAATTTGATAATAGTTTTGCTGATCTTGTGGCTTAAATTATTCACTCGAAGAAAGAGACTCCTCCTCAGCCTTCATAGAATCTATTGAATTTTTTTATTTTTCAGAGTTTTTTTAATCACTGGTTTGCTGTATTTCCTTTAAATACTCTTTTTCGATTTCATCATCAATATCTGAGGAGCTGCTTACATTCTATTTTTTCTTTTTTGCTATTTAACCATTATTTTTTTGCTTTTTTTAAATTACAGGTGCTTAAGGATTTTTTTTAGGGCGACCTCTTCCTCGTGTTTTCTTTTGTGGCTACTGCCCAACAGGAGTGAGATTAATTTCATTTTAGTTGAAATTATGGTTGAAATTAATTTTATCGTTAATTAAGTTTTATGATTTATTTATGTTATTGCTTATATTTGACATAAAGTTACTGTTATTATTATATGCGATATTGTTGTTATTGTTATTTAAAATGGCATTCTTATTATTGTATTGAAAATCATTATTATATTCGTTATTACTTTTCTTACTAAAAGGAGTAGGAATGTTCTGATATGAATAGCCAAAGTTATTTTCATTCATATATCTATCTTAATCATCATATAATGTGTCAAAATTTGAAATAGGTTTGTTATTGTCATCAAACTTACTATCTTTGTGATAGTATTATGAAAAGTTACTTCCGTTGTTATTAGGGTAAAGATATTAATTAGACTGAAAGTTTTAGTGTAGAACGTTGACATTATTGCTACCATGACTTTTCTTGAAGCGATTGGATGTAGGAGGATTATTTTAATGATAGAGAGGACTTCTAGGATTGTAATTGAGTTTTGCAAATGGTGACGCATTAAAATAACCTAATCCATTACCTGTAAGGTGATAGTTGGGGAAGGGTTATTGATCTGCAAGATCAAACTGAGTGTTCATTTTTAGTTATTTTTATATTTTTTTTTCTCTTTTATTAATAACTAAGGTTTTAGTAAAATTTAAAATTTTTGATTTTATTTTTATAATAATTATTATTTAACTAAGTGTCATTAGCTCATCAGATTTCTTTAATATTTATCAGAAAACAAATTAATTATTTATAATCCAAAGAGAGATACAGTATCTTAAAATTTATAATAATTTGATATAAATTTACAGCTATTTTCTAAATTCCCTTTATAAATTAAGTTTGGTATCTTTGATGTATCTTTTTTAAATTTTTTTCATAAGTTAAAATACAAAAGATTCATAAAATATACAGATTATTACACAAAAGCCTAAGATTTCTCCCTCTAATATGATAAATACAAATTGAATAATAGCATTAATATTATTTTATATTAATAAGTAACTATCTGTGTTTAAATCTGATACCATTTATGTATTTTAAAAGAGCTTCTTCAAGATCAAAAAAACTCTTTTCTTAATAAAGGGAAAAAAAAACTTCAAAAAGCACAATTTGAAAAAATGAATAATAAATTACTCTGAGTCATAGTAAACCTTGTAAATTATTCAAGAAAAAATAGCGAATATATAAAAAAGAGAGTAGAAATTGAAAGACATTAAATTTTATTTTGAATTTTTGCTACGACTTATTCTGCATTTTTTGCTGATTTAAATTATAATTATGTTAAAGATCATAAATAAAAATTTTGATTTAGAAATTCATAATTTGAAGTAAATTGATAGATTTTACTTCATCAATTAATTTTGTTAGAATAAAAGCCTTCAATCTCTGCAGTTTTCAACTGAAATTAAAAAAGTAATTTTTTAAAACTAGAAAATGATAAGAAAGGGTTAAATAAAATGAAGACAGCCAGATAGATATAATAATTACTAATAAATAAATAATTGCTTAATTGAAATACTTGAATTAAAAATAATCCTTAAATAATAATATAACCACCATTCATTCATATATTCCTACTTCTTAGAAGACTTTTCTATATTAATAGTCTCTAATATTTATGTTATCAGTGGTCGGTCTCTCAAATTAATGATCAAACCTGATTTTCTAAGCTCTTTTACTTTTGTGCCCCACTTGAATTATTCTAATTAGATATTTATGTTTTCAAATTTTTTTAAGATCCTTTTTGTTCTGAAAATTATTGATTAGTCCTTGTAGACTAAGAATGCTTGAATGATGAAAGAGACTGTGCTTTAGATATTTTATTCATCATTTTAGGACTTCCATTAATAGGAGGAAAATCTGTATCGCCAAATTCTGAAAGAACTCTGTATGCACCAGGTCCAGGGCCTATAAACGAATTATAATTTAATTAAATTTTAGGAATGATAATTTAAATAATACTACAATAATATAAAGATATTTTTAAAAATTAGAAACTATCTATTCACCAAAAATTTTTGTTTTCATAATTCATATTGCTAAAATAAATTCTTTTTAGAAAATTTAGTTTTATTTTTATTAATGATTTTGCTTTCAAATTGCATATTTAGATTTAACAAGTATTAAAATTGAATATAAATTTTGCAAATTTTACTCAGTACTGCATCTTTATTTACATAGTTACTTCTTCCTTCTTAAGAAAACTTGCCTCCAGCAACAGAGCGTAATTTAGAATTATGATATTTTCCAATTTAAGTAAAAGTTTCATAATTATATGCACCAGGTCCTGGAATGTATTTATCTTTAACATCAAAAAGTAAAAGAGTTTGTATTTAATTTTTTTTAAATAAATAGCAAATATTTACTTCTACCCATATAAGAAAATCTAGTGCTTGTTGGAGGAGCAAAAACAGAAGCTTTACTTCCAGAATATTTAGAAACGAAATAACTTCCTGTTTTGTTCATTCCTTCAATATCGTAAGCATCTGGCCCAGGTACACTTTTCGAAGTCGAAATAGAAACTATCAAATAAGAAATTGATTAAAATCCAATTTATTTAAAATTTATATAAATTTTACAAGGATAAACTGTCCTTTGTCCCATTGAATATAAATATTTTCTTGATTTTTTCGAATCATCTACTTCATATTGTCCAGGTCCAGGAGTGACTCTACTAGGTAATATTTATCTAAACTTTATTTACTATATATTAAAATAAAATGAAACATAATCCACTATTGAAAATTATTTTAATTCTTTCCTATGATAAAAATTTAGTTCTTTCAATAAATAAATGCAAAAAACATAATTAAATAATTAAAAAAATTATTTCAAAACAAATCTTTAAATTTATTTTCTTAAATAAAGTTTGAATATGCTTTCTTTACTGTTATTTAATGAGCGAAAAATCTTATTTTTAAATTATATTAAATGGACATGCTTATTTTTATATTTGAGTTAACATTTTATTTCCTCCTAAATAAACTAAAACTAATTGTATTAATTCACCAAATTTCTTAATAAACCATTACTTCTCTACCAAGACTAAATGTGAATCCTTTTTTTTTAGAATTCTCCACTTCAAAAATGCTTATCACTGAGTACCTATCAGGACCTGGTTTATCCAAATCACCTTTTGTAAAATCGCTTTTATAACCAAATCCTAGTCCGGTTGATCGTTTATTTAATTAGCTTCCTAACTAATAAGATGCAGTTTGACAGTAGCTTTTTTTGCTATTTAAAAATCTTTCCTATTTTGGGAAACTGAATTACTATTTTGAGTGAGAAGAATTAATCTAATCATGCACAATTCTTTAAGATTAAACAGAGTCTACGGTATGAACTGATGAATGCATTTGAACAAACTAACGATTTAATTAATGTAATTTAAAATTCTGTATTTACTTAAAACTATTTTTAAATTGATTAATGATAGTTAGCCTAATTCACTTATTATTTAAAATTATTATCTTTTTTATTGATAGTCTACTGCTTTTGGTTATACTTTATTTTTTATTTAATTCAAGCTTAAACAGTATTATTCACTCTTTTTGATGTAATTTGATCAATAATAGTGTTTCAAATCCTATTCATCTATTTAATATTCATTCATATATATTTATTGCATTTTTAATTAATATAAGAAAACCATTTATATTTAAAGAATATAACTTTTTAAATAAGATTATTAAGGCCATAACCAATCCAAAATATTTATATCTTAGCTCCTTGTTTGATTTAATAATTATTAACAAGTTTTTTATTATAAAGGGTAAAATTTAATAAACAATTAGTTTTAATTTAAAAATAATTGCATATTTAAAAGGTAATGAATATTCAAAAATTAGCTAGCTATTTTAATTATCAATATTCCTATTTCATTATCAGCTCTAATAGAAAAAAATATATATAAAAAGGAATTAACTAAGCTATAAAAACCTTAATTCAAATAAACCTAACTAGGTAACACTTAAATGATATAATTAATTTTATTTTTTAAAAATATTTTAATTTTCAACAAATTATTAGATTTCTTTCAAAATATTTAGCTAAGCAAAAAATAAATAATTTAAAAACGGTATTAATGAATAAAAGTAAAAAAAATAATTATTTAAATTATAAATTTAACAAGTTTTTACAACCCATAATTTTAACCTAAAAATCTCAAATTAAATAAGTTGAATTTGCTGAGAAAAAAAGTTATTTTAACTATTTTTTAAACAAAAACAATCAAATAGAAATTCTAAATAAATTTTCAGACATTTTATGTTTATTTTAACGTATGATCGTATGCTGAGATTAGTCTTAACTTTAAAATTAAAATTTCTATTGGGTAATTAATAAAAAATGGGAGAAAATATATTTAAGTTAAAAATTTGTTAGTAAATAAAGCAAAATAATATGAATACATGTTTATGAGCATAATAATAATTACTATATTAATCTTACTTTTCTTATTAGTAATCAATTTTATTTTGTTAACAAACAAAACTTATTTATAAAGGAAAAAGGAACGAAGAAATATTTGTAAAAATCTTTTTGGTATATTAAGTACTTCCACTTAATATTTCGTCACTTTAGTATATTGTATCTACAAATACTGAATATATTTATCCTTAATTTCCTACCTCAAAAAATAAGAAAGATTCACCAAATTTTTTAAGTAGTTAAGCAACGCATAGAGCTAATAAATAATAAATTATGAAAAACAAGTTAAATACTGAACTAAATAGATAGTTTTATGCATAAAAGTGCTTAATTGTATATTATATAAGTTGGAATACTTACATTTTATAAATGAGAATTGAGATCTGTTTATAAAATGTAAATAAATTAATATTACCAGGCTCAATTTGTAAAAATAAATAAGTAAGCTAGCAAGGCAAAATATGAATGGAAAGAAAAAAGAAAATCTCCAAAGAGAATTTTGTTAATTTTTTATGATTAAGGTAGGTCTATTAATCAACTAGAAATCAAAATTAAAGTAATGATACAACTTTTTTTATCCTAAATCAAAATCTTAATGATTTTCATCATTTTTGTTTTATTTTTGTGAGGTGGTGATGAGAAATATAAATTTTTAAATTAAAAACTTAAAGATATTGATAATTTGTGTATAATCATAAATTATTAAAAAATATATCAAATTTCAAAAGGAAAAAAAAGTAAAAAAAGATATTCTTATATTCACCACATTAATATAAAATGTTTATGTCTCATCTCTACAGAAACTAGAAGGTTAGTCATTTATAATAAAATACTTCTAAAACATAACTAATTTCTTATTCTTTATTATTAGGCTGTTAGCGCTCTCTACAACAAGAACATGTTCCACTTCTCCAAGGTATTTTTCAACTTTTCATTTTGTTTGTTTGTTTGTATTGTTATTTCTGGTCAGTTTATTAAGAGAGAAAAATGATCAGAATTGCAAAAATAAACATCAATTCTCTTTGAAAAAACATTTACTAACCTTTATCACATACTAAATAATACAAATTATTTAAAATAGGTTCTTCCTAACTTTATCAATGGTGAATTCGTTCAATCCAAGGCTACCTAATTCTTCGAAGTTAGAAATCCTGCCACTTAAGAACTTATTACTAAGGTTCCTTAAACTACTGAAGCTGAATTCAACGAGGCTGTTGCAGTAGCTGCTGAACAATACAAATCCTGGTCTTAAGTAAGAAAAGCTTTTATATCTTTCAAGATAAATAAAATATTTCTTTGATCAGCAATAATTTAAATTAGCTATTTATTTATTTCATTAACATTTAAATCACGTTTTTTCATTGCTATTAAAAAGACTCCTCTTTTGGAAAGACAAAGATATATGTTCGCTTATCAAGATAAAATTAGAAAAAATATGGACAAAATTGCTGCTCTTATCACTGCTGAAAACGGTAAGACTCTTGCCGATGCTAAGGGTGATGTTATCAGAGGTCTTGAAGTCGTTGAACACGCTTGCGGTAAATATTTTATTTACAATAAACTTGAAATTGTCTTGCAATAACTTAATAAAAAGTAGCATATTAATAAAATAATTTTAAAATCAAGGTATTTCTCACATTATTCAAGGTGAAACTATCGAAAATGTTGCCAGAGGTGTTGATACTTATTCTTATAGAGTTCCTTTGGGTGTTTGCGCTGGTATTGCTCCCTTCAACTTCCCTGCTATGATTCCTTTATGGATGTTCCCCTATGCTATTACCTGCGGTAATACTTTCATCTTGAAGCCCTCTGAAAGAGTTCCTAACACTTCCTAATATCTCATGGAACTCCTTAATGAAATTAGTAAGAACCTTAAAGTTTTGAATTATCTAATAATGTATAAACCTAAAAGCAACACATTAATATTTTAGCTGAATATAGCAACAACAATAATTATTGTTTATTATTTTAGAATAGCAAAATATCAAAATATAATACAGCTCTTAGATTTTAACTATAATTAAAGCAATTAAAATTTAGCAAAAGGTCTTTGACAATTAATATTTTTACTAGTTAATAGATTTATAATCAAGAATTTCAAATAGATATCAATCAATCAAATAATAAACTGGAGAATATCATTTAATTGAACAAATTAAGATTTTAATAAGTTGTTTGCATTAAAATAGTGTTGATTTTTTTTTTTTACAAAGATTCAAATAATAGCAAGCGAATAATAAATAATAAAATTAAATTTTTTAAATGAAATATAGATCTTCCTAAGGGTGTTGTTAATGTCGTTCACGGTGGTTTTGACACTGTCAAGCAAATTTGCGAAGACAAGACCATTAGAGCTATTTCTTTTGTCGGTGGTAACAAGGCTGGTGACTACATTTATGAAAGTGGTGCCAAACATCACAAGAGAGTTTAGGTCAATATGGGAGCTAAGAACCACGGTGTTTTCTTGCCTGATTGTGATAAGGAAGATGCCATCAATGCTTTGGTTTCAGCTGCTTTTGGTGCTGCCGGTCAAAGATGTATGGCTCTCACTACTGCCGTCATGGTTGGAGAAACCAAAAACTGGGTCCCTGAAATCGTTGAAAAAGTTAAGGAATTGAAGCTCGGTAACGGTGCTGAAAGTGGTGTTGATGTTGCTCCTCTTTGCTATGCTGATGTAATAAAATATACAATTTATTTCTATATATTTTATAATATTTATATAAAAACAGCTTAAAAAGAACGTCTTAAGATTGCTCGACAGTGCAGTCGCTGAAGGTGCTACTCTTCCTTTAGATGGTAGATCATTCGTTCATCCTAAATATCCTCAAGGTAACTTCGTTGGACCCACTGTTATTGATAATGTCAAGCCTCACATGACTTGCTACTAAGAAGAAATCTTTGGACCTGCTCTTTGCGTCGTCCACGTTGATACTCTTGAAGAAGCTATTGAACTTATCAACAAGTAATTATAAAATATTTAATTTATTTTTTCATTTGAAAAAATGATTTTTAAAAAACTATTTTATCAAAACAGGAATCAATACGGTAACGGTACTGCTATCTTCACTAAATCTGGTTCTGCTGCTAGATACTTCTAAAACAATATTGAATGTGGTCAAATCGGTATTAATCTTCCCATTCCTGTTCCTCTTCCTATGTTCTCTTTCACTGGTAGCAAGCGTTCCTTCGGTGGTGATTTGAACTTCTACGGTAAGAATGGTGTTAAGTTCTTCACTCAATTCAAGACTATTACCGCTAGATGGAAAAAAGATTAAGATGCTGGTTACAAGGTTTCTACCTCTTTCCCCGTCATGAAATGAAATGATTAATGAAATTCCTTACACTTGATATATTTTAAATCCCTAAATAAATACTAAGATTCCTTCTCAACAAAAAGAAATAATAAAAATATTTTAATTTTTAAGTTTTATTTATCAATAATTTATCCAAGTAAATGTATGTCATCGAACTTCATATGAGTATTAGCACATAATTAAAATATTTCTTTTTAAAGAGAAACATATCAATTTCAATTTTCAATAAAACCAAACTAATCTTAAAAAAACAGAACTATAAATAGTATAACACTCTATGTACCAGCGAGTCTTAAAAAAGCAGAAATAAAGTGCTTAATTTATTAAAGATTTATAAGAAAATATTTTTTAATATATTTTATGTTTGAAGTAAAATAAATGCTTAAATAGGTTTAGAAATTATATATTTGAAATAATTTATACCAAATATAATATTGAATGTATAAAATTTACAAATAATAATAAATTAACAAATAAAATTTGCATAAAATAAAGAGCTTGCTTTTACAGAATAATAAATAAGTAGTAATTAATTAATTCTAACAAAAATATAAAAGTACAAAATAAATAATTTGAAATTTGAGTAGTTTATTAAGATTTAATTTAATTGGATATTAATATTATATATGTAATTCATTAATTAATTAATTAATTCATTTATTAAACAATCAATTATTTAATTAGCTTTCTTAGTTAGTAGTCGTTTATTTTTTATTCATTCAAATTTTCTATTAAAATTTCTTAATTTATTTCTTTTTACAATAAATAAAATTTGCTTTACTCACACAGAATTAGATTTCTTTCTTTATTAATCATTATTATTATCCTAGTTTAACTCTTGCTAAATATCATTTCTGCTTTATACAGTAATATGATTATTTTTATTTTTACGAATAATATTTTAGACATTCATTTCTTTTATTTTTTAGTCAAGCGATGTATTTGAGCAAAATTCTTCATTTTATCTAATTAAGACAGGCTCACTTGTGGTTCTTAGATTTTAAAACGTGATTTATTCCAAATTTGTATCTCCTTCAACCTATTTTTCTTTTGTTATAGATATTTATTTAATCAAACGAACAATAGGATTGAATTATTTATTTATATTTTTTTTCTAGTTTTTCTTTTTGTTAGCATCTTAGTCTTCGCTACTAAGTACTCTTGGTCTGTTTGTGTTAAAGTTTTATTTTTAAATTATTTATACAGGCTATACTAACTTATTTTCATCACTATTCATATCAAATAGATTAGTGTTACCAGGATTTTCACCTGCAATACTTTAAAGTGGATTATTATTATTATTATTATTATTATTGTTATTTATTTCAGATTCGTCTTCTTACATGGAATTTTATCCTTAATATTCATTAAATTAATCTTCATCAGCAGCTTCATATTCATCTTCTTCTTAATCAATTTAATCATCTGAATCGTAATAATTTTCACTCATAGTGTATTCTTATTCCATATTTTAAGCATAAAGATCTTCATCGTCATCATGATCATCGAATTCTGCATCTTCCAATGAAAATTCTTCTTCTTCTTACTCCTCCTCTTCATCAATTTTCCCATTTAACTACAATTTAAGTTTCTTTTTTTTATCTTTACTCTTTTATAAAGCAATCTTGAGCTTTCTTATTTTGTCAGACTTTTTATTGAGCTTTTAGACTAATGCCTAAACTATCTTCTTAAGAGACTGTGTATCACTACAACCATTTGCATCAAGCAATTAAGCAACTTTCTTGTTATAAATTTCCTTTTTTTTCTCATCGTTTTCTAAAATAGAATCTAATTTTATTTTTTAAGATAAATAAATAAAAAACATAATAAAAAAATATTACCTAACATAGAGAAATTATTTGATTATGCTGGAAAAGTTTCTTCGTTAATATCGATGCTAGGATTAGCAGTAAGCTCATTATTATTATTATTATTTTAATTTTCATCTGCTTTTTTGAAATCTACAGAACAGTTTTCTTCAAAATTAGAGTCGCTTAACTTTTTTTGTCTATTTTCTTCTATTTACTGAATAGATTTACTCATTTCTTTAAAATCATTCATTTAATTATTCATAAGCGCTTGTGTTGTAATTTTGGGTGTAGCTTATGATTTATTCATTTTTTATTTCAATTTTTTATATTTCTTATATTATTTTATGATAAATTCCTTTGAATAATTTATTTCTTTTACTCCTCTTTGCTTTTTTATAATTTTTTTAGTTTTTTCATGTGCTTTTTACTTTGGGTACTTACTATTTTATGTAAAAGTAGGCTAATTTTATTAAAACTATTCTTGCATATATTAATTCTGACTAGAAATATCTGGCTGCTGCTGTAACTATTACAACATATTTAATTTCTATTTTTTTTTCTTTTTCTTAGAATTTGTTTAGAGATTATTTTAATTATTGTTATTATTATTATTGCAAAAATGAAAAGAATCACTTCTGTTTTTCCTATAGCCTTGATGCTGTTAAGGAACAGGATTAGCTTAATAGACTTATTACTCTAAATTATTGATAGGTTACAAATTATTATTATTATTTTATATTATTGCAGGTTGTTACTGCTGTTAGAAAGAATAAAAATTATTCTAAAAGCTATTTCTTGGATTCGGTTGCTAGTTTGATGGTTAGTTCTATTAATTAATGTGATTATTAGAAGAGATTCCTGTATTATTTGCATTATTTATATTCTTGTAATTTTAATTATTCCCTTAATTAAAACTATTATTTTCTTGAAAGAATCCCATATTTTATTGATTGCCACTTGCAATTTACTGATTTGATTTGTTATTATTTCGATTTTATTGAGAAAAATTTTTATTTTTTTTGCTATGATCTCTATAAGCTTACTATTATTGAATTGGTTAGTTCAAATCTGATTGTATTACCTATTAATTTTACTATTCAGATGTATTGGGAGAATTAGAAATGTTATTTAAATTCTTAAAGTTATTATTGCTTTTACTGTATCTTTGATTAGAATTATTTGTACTTTATCCACCTTGATAATATTAATTTTAATAATTATTAATATTTTATGGCTTAAATCCTTTTTTATTAGATTATTAATTTTTACTATGATTGCCTTAAGTAAATTGTTGGCTTCCTTGAGAGTATCCATTTTAATTGTTATTCATCATTCCATTTTAAGTATTTTGCAAATTCATTTGTTACTGATTCTGCTGCTGCTTCTGCTACTGCTGCTACTACTAATGATATACATTTACAGATCCATTTTTCTAAATCTAACCTTGTTGTATCTATTGCTAATACTATTACGGTATTTGTGGGTTTGACTATTACTGATTTCCTGATTGAATCTGCTGTTATGCCTACTACTAAGGAGTTTGCTGAGGAGAAGATGCTTGTTGTGGCGACGTATTTTGATGCTAGTTGTGATATTGAAATTAGTTCCAATTTTAGGGTTATTAAATCTACATTTATTATGGCTGCTGATGTTGCTGAGACTACTGTTATTGTAACTGTGACTACGACTGCAACTACGACGGCGTATGATGAAGATTGTTATTGGTATTCTTCTGATTGTGTTTTAATGACGGATTTTATTGTTGAGTCTATTAGTTAATGTTTTAATATACCTCAAAATTATTTCCAAATGTATTGCTTTTTTACATAAGGAAGCTTTCTTTCTTTTAGCTACGATTAATTCTTCTTTGTTTGCTTTAATATTTTATTTTTTTGTTTATAATTGTTAATTTTAGTGAAGAAAAGTATTGATATATATAAAGACAGACAGATAGACCCCTCCCAACAAAAACATTCAAAATAGAATGTTTTATTTTATTCTATAATAAATACAAATGAATTTCATGTATAAATCACTAACAATATTTTATGAATTCCTTTTAAATCAGCACTCTAATCAAGTTTATTATTTCTCAAAAATTACAGTAGTATTTTTTGAATTTAGTTTTAAATAATTTTTTTTAGGCTAAGATAAAATATAGAGTTAGGGTAAGCTCAATTCCGTTATTAATTTCTATTAATCTAATTAATTAATAATTCATTCCTTGAAAGAAAAAGTAATTTAAAAAAGGCAAATCCACACCAATGCATAGTATTTTTTAAAAATCCTAATAAAAATATAAATTCAAATAGATAACTTTTTTGCTATTTTCCTTCTATAGTTTAAGTTTTTAAATATTGATAATACTTGAAATTATTCATTAAAATCCAATTAAGAATCTGTTAAAATATGCCATAAATTTATAGCTTAATTACAGCACACACCAAAATATAGATTTTAATTAATTTTTCACCTAAATATAAATTAAAAGTTTTTTTTACCATTTTAAAAAATATTAAAAGGTTGTCGACACTGGGACTTCCCAAGCGGTCCCCCACCTTAGTACTAACCCAGCCTTAAGGCGCTTAACTTCGGAGTTCGAATGGGATCCGGTGTTTTCACCTTAGTATGGCCGACAACAAAATTATGTGTTAATATTTATTAATTAAATATGAAATAACATAAAATTAACTCTAATTTAATAATTTAAGATATTTTTTTAAAAATTTAACTCTAAAAGCATTGATTATTTTTTAAAAATTTTAAATAAAATTTTCTTAAGTATTTAATTAAATAATAATATCATATCACTTTTTATAAAAAATTTTCTTTAAATTGAACTGTTTAAATTTAAAGCTATTTTAATTTTGAATAAAATTGATTTAAATTTTAAAAAAATAAAAATTGAATAGAAAAACAGATAATATTATTTATTTATTTAAATAATTAATAATTTATTAATATTTAATTTGATCAACTATTGTTTAATTAGTTTACCTTAATTTAGCACTAATAATAAAAGTATTATATATTTTCTTTGACTTGTTCAATAACTCTTTTCATAATGATAGAAACCTTCTTCAATCTCATTGCATCATTTGATATAAGCTCAATAGTTTTTTCATGAATTCGATTATTTAAATTGACCATAGCATCTATTTAACGACTATTGCTCAGATGATTTATATAAATTTTATCAAAATTCTTTATTAAATTATTCTTCATTACTTTAAACTTTAACTTATCAGATGATATATCAATATTTCCTCTTAAGTTAACTTATCCATGCTTTCTATATAGCGCTTTAGGAGTTATTGGCCCATAAGGAATTGACATTTTATTTTTTATGGTAGCTATAGCTTTCATTCCCTCTAATGAAGAAATGTTATTATTGAATTTATACTTATTAAGCCTTGTATTTTTAATTGACTCATTCATTTAATTTTGTAAAATGGACTATTCATTAAGGCCAATACTAGGGCTTCTTTAAAGAATTTCCTGTGATTAGTTTTTTTTTAGGCTGTCTGTATCAAATTTTGCTTCTTTTATGCTCTGACTTTGAAGCTGATTTTAGGATAAACCAGCAGTTTTAAATTATTCTAGTTCAAATTCATCCTCAGAGAATGAGTTGTCCTAGAGTGTTTTCATTTTTTACTCTTACTCATATTTGACTAATTAAATTCCTAATTACCTATAAAATGAGTTTAAATTATTTTCCTAATCTCTCTAATAAAAATAACTTACTTTAATCTTGAGTTGTTTGTTTCTAAATTATAATCAATCATTCTTTTGTGGAAGAAAATAGCTAATTCTAAGTTATTTTTATAAAAATAAGCTTTTGATATTTACTCATAAGCATAGTTTTCAAAATCTTTTTTATTATAAAACCATGAATATTTCAACAATTTTTTTAGATATGCTAATTGACGATCATATTCTCCCTTTTTTCTATAAATTTCTGCCATGTTCTTGTATCCTATGATTTTATATAGGAAAGTTTATGAGCAATTACAAACTTTTAAAAATTCTTTCCAGCTTTTTAAAGATATGTCTAAATCACTGCATAAAGAAGCAAGCAAACACTATATAAAGTTATTTATTTATTAATGTAAAAAGCTAGTAAAATAATTTAATTAAAAACAATAAAATATAAACTTTGATGTATTTGATCTACAGAGATACTGAGATATTGATGCAATTAAATGCTCTGTCTTCAATATCAGTCAATATTTTATACAGCTCACCCATGCTTGTCTTGTAATTGTTCAATTTTTAAATAAATAAGTCAAAATCTTGATAAAGTTATTAACATAGATTTGTCTGTTGTGATAATTTGCTGTTTTCATTTTAATTATTTGAAGTTTCTTTAAGTTTATTTTTTCTTTTTCTTTAAAGAGGGGAAAGTTCTATATCTATTTTCAACTATTCCTATTTTTGAATTAAAAATTATTGAAAAATAAAATTATTTGCTGAAATTCTTATGTTTACTGCTTGTTTTATATTAATAAATTCTATCTCTTAAATGTATGAGCTTGTTTCATGAAGGAAACTCTACTTTTGTTATATATATGTTTTTAACTTTTTTTTGCTATTTAATTTTGAAAGAGATTAAGAACCAATTAGCAGCTTATCACTCCTTTTATTAGGCTGAATGATATTCTATTATTTTTGTTACTAGAAGTAATAACTTTATTAATCAACAAATGATTTCTATAAAATTTCTTTGCTTCCATTTAAATCTAATTTAGAAAAAGCTCTGCTTTTAAATATATCAGACGCTTTGTGCGAAAAACTACTTTCTTCTTCTTTATTTAAGGATTAAATTGAAAATTCTCTTGCTGTTTCTTCTGTTAAAATAAATTTCTGAATTGATTCTTTCATTAAATTCTTAGTTGAGTGGAAAGATGAAGACTTTGGTTAATAGTTTGGTAGATATTTTTACTATTAATTTTATGTAGAATTTAATACTGTTTGAGAAGCATTCATTTATAATAAATTTGATTAAGTTTACTGCACTATTTTTTATACAAATTAAGCATCACTATTCTTTCTCTGGCCTCTAACTAATATTGAAGTATTTTAATTAGTGAATAATTCAGAATTAAGTGTGTTAGGGTATGATGCTGTTTAAATATTATTTGAAATATCGCTTTATTGGGTTAAATTAGTTTGGTGCAACTTATCATAAGTTTCATTGGTCTCTGCAAAAAAAGAGTTTAAAAAGTTGGTCGAAGTTTAATTAGTTTTTAAATTTTTAATACTTTAAAAGGGATTAAACTAGTCTTTTAAGTAGTGCATTTATTTGATGTTATCTTTCTTAGATATGTGGAAAGGCTGAGAGTTAATTGTTGTTTAAAAGTTTGAATTGCTTTAATCTTAATAATATGAAGTGTTTGGACTTTTTAAAGATATGTGTTTGGAGGTGTTTAAAGACTTCAATCTAATTTACTAAATATTTTTGAAAATATTTTAGCTTTTAAATTCTTGGTTTTATTAGATGTTATTTTTATTAAGAGTGCTCTGCATGCTTTAGTTGTTGCTCTCGTTTAATAAGTTAAATAATTCATTTTTTCTAGCAACTATTTCTCCATTAAATTCATTTTATTAGACTATATTTAACAAAGCATTCCTCATTTATAATAAATATATTGCACTGAATTTAGTTATGAATCTTTCCTAATAACTTAATAATTATCTCTTTTTATGTTAATAGAATTATTTTTTTATTTTATGTCCTAAAAAATTCTTAGTTTAATTGTTTATTTTATAAAATAAATGAATGTTTTTATTAACTTCTACTTAAAAAGAAATATGTTCTATCTAAAAACTACAAATCAGTTTATAATTGAATTTATTTTTTATAGATGTAATTTGCTTTAATGAAAACTAATTCAAACTATATACTTTAAAGACATATAAACTCTTAATTATCATTTTTAAATTAATTTATTAAGTAATAATATTATAAAAAATAGGCCATTACTAATATGACTAAAACAAATAATTAAAGCTCATTTATTTTAAATTATATTATTACTTAGCTTATTTTATTATTTAATAATAAATTGCTTTAATGCAAGGAAGTCATAAAAAATAAATATAATTCAAGATATAAATAACATAAATATTATAAATAATTATTAATTAATTAAGATCATATAAGAAGAACTTACTTATATTTTTTTATTACTTTGTGTGTTGTTAATAAGGGAATCAGTATCAAGTTTTCTTTTATTAAAAGAAAATCAAACTATATTTTAAAGGAAAATTGATTTGAAAAATGGAACACCTACTAGACAAATCAAGTGCTCAAACAGTGACCTACATCTCTTAATTGAAAGTTCATAATCATCGTTTTTATTGTCTTAATTTTGACTACTTTAATCTATGCCATTTTAAATTTGGTTGATAGAAAATTTCTGGTCTTTATTTTGGTTGCTTTAATTTGGAAGAAAAGGCTATTTTTAAAACTTAAATGTTTTTTTCTTCATACTTTTATCATTGTTTTCATCGTCATCTTCTTTTTAAATTGGTATAACTTTTTTCTATTGATCTTCAGCTAAAGTTATGAAAGTTCTTTCAATAAAATTAATAGGATTATTTAAGTTTCCATTGAATAAAATCTCCTTCATTATTATTAATTTACTTTTTTACTAAACTTCCTCTATTAAAAAAGAATCTAAAATCTTCTTATTTATAAGGCCATTTAAGATTAATTCAAATTACAAACTCAAGAAAACTTTAACTTAATCAGTCAGAGTTTTCAGATAATACTATACGTACTCCTTCAATATATCTACTATATGATCTAGATTAGTATAATCTCTTTAATACATGTATAGCCAGATCTCGTTAAGAATGTTAGATAAGTCTTAATTTGTTTCTTGTTGTATTTTTAGTATTTTAAATTGGATGATTTTCAATTCAACAATTTTATTTAGATAAATATTTTCCTTTCCCTCAAAAAATTGAAGACAGTAAGTACTATATTTTCCACACTTTTCTAATTCCCTCAATGTAAAACTCTCGAGTGCTATTTTATATGCAATATCAGCACTATTTTTATTTTAATCTCCTTTTATCGAAGTGTATATGTAAAAGGCTGTTTCATATTGGCCTATTGCTTAACTAGTCATTCCATTTTGAGATAAAATAGTTGCCAATTCAAAAATACCTTAAAAAAGAAAAAAATTTTAATACATTCATCTCTTTAACCATCAAATAAAAAGATAATTTACTCTAAGCAGTCCTTTTGTGATTGGTGCCTACAATTTTCTACACTAAATTGCAACTAGCTTTCATTAAAATTATTTACTCTTAGTATTAACCTATAAACTCGTAATAAAGAGCCATGTTATTTAACAGTCTGCAGTGTAGAGGATGCATCTTACCTAGATTAAAGTTAATAATTTCTTCTGTTTTCCAAAAAAGGTATTGAACTTTTTGATTTTATTTCAATATAATGTAGCACTGTATTAACAGGCATAGTGGATCAACAAGCAAAATAGATGGATAATACTTTTTTATAGATTATAAATCAATATAAAATATTTTATTGTAATGAAATTACATCTAAGCAAGATATGCACTTGTTTAAGGTTTCTATACATTCTTTATAATATCCAATAGAGAAATAAGATTTAGATAGGCCATATAAAGTAAAAAATCTTTCTTTATGCTCTTAATTGATAGCCTTAATAATAATTAAAACATTTTAAAATCAGAATAGTTAAAAATGATTAATTAAATTTCAACCTGTGAGATTTTATCCTAAATCAAGATAGTTTAAACTTGCTTCTGAGGATCACTAGGATACTACAAATTCGCATAGATCTAAATTGGAATATCTTTATAGTCAAACATTTTAGATTCGTATTAGAAGTCAAGAAAATTTTCTAAAGTCAAGATTTCTACAGGTTCTTCAACTTCCTCAGAAATGTTTGATGCATCCACAATTTTAGCAGGCTGAAATTCAAAATTAGATTAATCCTGCCATGGCATTTGCACATCGCTTTTTTCTTCATAATTCGTTTCTTAATCTACCATTTCTAATTACTGTAATATCTACTAGGCAAAGGCATTGCTATATTTATTTCTATCTCTCTTTTAGGTATCAAATATATCAGTACCATATGAGAGTATAAATTGAGAATGATAATGAATAGCATTAAGAAGTCCGCCTTTTTCAAACTAGTCAAGAGATACTTTTTAACGATAACCATATTCCATTAAAATCTATGTATTTATCTATTCCCAATATTGCTGAGACTCAGCTGAATTCTCAAAAATTAAATTTAAAGTTTCAATTATAGCTTTTTTTTAATTTGTATTTGTATTGAACTTTATGTCATTAGCTTTCTATTGCTAGTTATTCATTTCAAGAATATTTCTTTTATTAAATTTTTGTTTAAATGAAATTAATTTATTCCAGGAAATTTTATTTTATTTTACCCTCTTCTTAAAATTGATGAGGAAGTTTTTCTGCTTTGAAATGTAAACTAAGTTAAATAACACCTAATCATTCTTTTGACAGTCCTTGCTACCATTTCTTATTCAAATAAAAGTTTGACATAAGGCGTGTTACTGTGTTCAGCAATATAAGATATATACCTAGTTATATTAATTTTTTTCTCCAGTAAATAAATTCAAAAAAAACCAAAAAATTAATTTACTTAATATTTAAACCATTGCTATGTAAAGCTTCTTTGATAGTGTGACTATCATAAGGTATTATATCAAGACTATCAAATTATTTTATTAGCTTAAAAAGTTTCGTTGTTGATAGATAAAGTGAATATTATTCTACTTCTTCAATATCAAGCTAATCTTATTTTTCTATTTTTATTAATTGAAAATAGTTCATCTAATCCTACTTTTCTCTAATATTAGTATTATCTGGATTTTTTCCTAACTTTATCTAAGAAAAATAAGCTTCAGGATTTAGAGATTTCTTCTTTTTCAGAAGAATTTCAGGCCTTATTTTTCTAGGGTAACGCATTTGATTTTTATTAAATTAGCAATCTAAAAATGAGTTAATAGGATAGAAATCATTATAATTTTCAATATAAAACTAGTCTTCTTCTTTATCTTGATCAATTAAAATTGTGTCTTTTTAATACTTAACTAAATTACTCTTTGTAGCTCTGTCTCCTGCTGATTTGTGAATCTAAATTTTTTTATTAAAATACAAAAAAAAGATATTTTTTTAACTAACTATCAAAGCAAAATATAAAAAATTTTCAATATATTTATATATTTAACACTCAAATTACCTCTGTTTCAAATGTTAAAATACATTGTATAGGCTCGTCATGCTTCCAACCAAAATAATGAGACTTAATTCTCAATCTTTATCTCAGTTTTTCTGCATCTTCTTCTATTTTTTATTCATATTTTTAAACTTTTTTATAGCCAACAAAAGTCCCATCTTTTTCAATGTCTGGTCCATAAACTATATTCTTTTCATATTAAGGCCTTGCATAAACTAGTATCTTAAATCCAAGGTAGTCTACTATAACAGACAAAGGAACTCTTAAGGAGTAAGTAGGATCATACTTTCTAATCTTTATGTAACTACTGCTTATACTGTTTAATATTCTAAATTAATCCCCTCCAAACTTAATACTTGATGAATCAAAATAATCAACACCTTCTTCTTAATTATAGCTAATATCTTACAAATAATCAGGTACCAAGTTAATTTGCTTTGTAAAAAAAACTTTAGCTATAACATTCTCTTCTGGAATATAAAACATATCATCTATATCAATTTCTTTGTTTGGATCTAATTGGAATAAATCCTTAGTGCCTTGATTTTTCTTTGTGGGACTTTAACTTTTTAAATTTTAGCTACTATTTAACTCTCGAATTTTCTCTAGTTCAGGAATAGCAACCATACTTTTAAATCTAGGTTCATAAATTGGTTTTGGCTACATTAAATCCTCAACAAGAGATTTAGCAGCTCTTATCGCCTTTTCTCTAAATTATCCTAGATATAAAAATAGTTTAATTCCTTCCTTTAGCTAATCCTCAAGTGTTGATGCTTTTAAACTACTCTCTAAAAAACTATGGTATCTAAATTAATTTATAAAATATTTAACATAAATATTATTTTATTCAATAAACTTTGTCTAAAATATTTATTATATTTAAACATCAAAAATATTTTGTATTAACTTTCTGATATGAAACATACAATTTTGTAAGCTATTAATAATTATTTAAAATGCATTCAAATATTTACTCCTTTCAAAATCAATTAACTAATCAATCAATAAGACAATCTCTTAAAATTCATTCATTTTTAATACAACCAATTAATTACATATTCTAAAAAATTTAAGAGGAGTAATAATAATGTATTTTAATTGTGTTAAATACTCTTTATTAAAGTCTAAATTTGATTAAAATTAACTTTACCTAAACTCATGACTGTTTTCAGCATTTCTTCTGACAATAGCTTTTTCAATACTATCTTTGAGTGAATTGTCAGAAGACATAGGAAAATATCCTATAGTTGTATGCTATTTACCTAATCTTAATCTTTAATAGGGAGAACCTCCATACTAGCTGTTTAAATTTGAATCACTACCTATATAGGTTAGAGTTTTTTATTTTTACACTATTCTATTTGCAGTAGTCATACTCCCTCCATCAGAGATATTTTATTAAATAGCTGATTATGTGTTTCTTAAAGCTGGAGTTGATGGCACATTTTTTAATTCTTAATCACTGTTTTGATCTGAAAGCACTTGCTATGACTGTGTTTTTTGAAGTTAGCTACTTTAAACTGTTGGTTGAGGTAATAAATTGCTAAAATTAGGTATACTAGAATTACCATTTCTTTAAAAATTTCTTTTAGTTTCTAACATAGGAGATGCCACATCTTTTTCTTCTTCAGGATCTTAATTCGAAGAAGAAGATGATGACTATGATTACTACACTTTTTCCATATTTATCTTAAATGTTTCGTTTGTAGTTTTTTAATAGGATTCTGTGAGGTAAGGAATGTTTGAGAGTGTATCTTTTAATAATTAAAAATAATTTCAAAAACACAAATCTCAAATAAAATAATTAAGTCACTGACTGCTATAAAATATAAAACAATTTATTTATTTATTTATACCTTTATCGTTTTTTATTTCTAAAATGCTTTGTCTCTTTCCTTTAAAGTTTGCTAAGCGTTAAACTGTATGAGCTATATTATTTTCTTTTCTGGGTGAAGATGAAACTTACTCAAAAGAGGGGAGCTAATTAAAAGATCCTTTTAAGCTAGGCTAAGAATTTAGCTTCATTTAAGATGTATTTTTTAATGGGGATTAATCATTTCCTTTTTTAATAGGACTTGCCTTATCATCTTGATTTTTCTTTTCTTAATTCATTTTTTTCTTTAAATTATTTAAGTCTTCTTATTCATCATAACGACTAGCTTCTTCATCTTCCTCATCTTCTTCATTTAATTACTCATTAAAATTTTTAATAAATAAGTTTTCTTTTTGGTTCCCATTAAAATTTAGAGAAGATTGAGACTCCTTTTTCTAAATTGAGTTGTATTAATTTGTATTATGATTTGTTTAATCTTCTTTTTTGCTACTTTTCGCTTCAAATATCTTCTATTTTATAAACTCTGCTTGCTCAGATTTTTTACAAATGAACTCCCAAGTTTCAATGTCATTTTCCTTTTTGCTTATAATTGATTTTCTTTTCATATCAAAAAGACCCTTTTTAAGGAACTCAATTACAATTCTATTTTTCTTTTCTGAAGTTAAGTTAATAGCCTAAATATATTCTATGTTAATGCCTTTTTTAAATTTGCCACTAACTGGCTTATCTTCAACAAAATTCTTTACAGGCTTGAAATACTTCAATTATGCATCTTCAAGTTATAAAATTCTCTTAGTTTTTTTATATTATACTAAATTTAATGTGGTTCTAAATTGGAATCATCAAATAAATGTACTTCGTTGCTAAATAGCTTGCTTGATGATATTTTATGAACTTTCTTACTAAAAAAAATTCCTTATGGCAGTGCTGGCTCTGATCTATTTTCTCCATTTGTATTTGTCCTAATTGAAGGAGTTGTCATATTAGATGAAGCTTACAAAATATAATAAATATATCAAATTTAATGATAAACTTTGTATACAGCTTTTTTTGTTAAAGCTTAATTGTTTAATTAAACATCCTGTTTTTGATTACGCTAAATAATAATACTATAATAAGTAAATAGATAGATTAACAATTCAAGACCAATTCAAATCAATATTTTAAAAATGAGAAACTAAAGTATTTAGCTTAAATCAAAATAAGAGATTTTTCTGTTAAATAATATTTTTTAGAAAAGTTTTTATCATGCATATGGTCAATATATTTGAGTTTAAAATATTAAATGCAGATGCTTCTCAATTGTCCTAAAAAAAAAGTGAATTTATTTTTATTGTTTTTATGCTACAATCTTTTACCAATATTTCCCTGAAATATTAATTTTCAAACATCCTAAATATAAAGTTTTCTCTCACATATTTAATAAAAAAGTAAGAATCCTTTGAGTGGTTAAAAAAATGAATTAAAAAATAATTAAAAATCTAAAATTATTATCAAAAATCTGATTAAAATTTTGAGTTTAAATTTTCTAAAAACTTGGATGAATTTCTGGATAAGCAAAATTATTTGATTAATATAAGTGAATTAATTCTAAAATAATCTACAAATATATAATATAAACTACTTAAAAATTAAAAATAAGCATTAATTTATTTGTATACTTCATAAAAATGTTAATAATAAGATTTTGTAGAGTAAGCAATTTCAAAATAGAAGTTTATAGAGAAATTTTATTCTTTTACACTATTTTCATTCATAGGCAGGTATTTTTTGGCAAAAAGAGTCGTAAATACTTGCTTCAAGAGTGTTAAGGCAAATAAGAGATGTTTTCTAGTTTTCAGACTATTCAGGTAATTCGACATATTCTAAATCAGGAAAAATTTATTTCACATGCATCAGATTGATTGTAGCATGGTTGGTGTAGTTATAACCTGCTACCATATTTTTATCAAGCAAATATTTAGCGAGCTTGTTGAGCTCAACATGCTAGTTTGGTAATGAAGACTCAACCCAGCAAGGGAAAATAGTTCTTCTCTCTTTAGTTTCTTGTATTTAAATCTATTAAAAAAATTATTTATAAAATAAATTAGGTTTTTAAATAATTACATTTTTGATAGATTCAATAGCAGTTTCATAGTCTAAAAATCCAAGCTCCTATTAAGAAGTTCTGTTACGTGTTGATATCAATGGTAAATGTCTATATTACTCATATGGCATGAATGTATTAAACTAGCATAGAATGTTATAGCGCTTGGGCTCATCAGGTATTACGTATACTAGTCTATCATGAAATAGCTTTTAAGTAAAATATTAAATTAAATAATTAAGTAAGTAAATCAAATAATACATTGTAAGCTGTGTTTTCACAGGGTTCGCAAAGAATTGACTACTTTTCAGGGACAAGATATTTCTTATATACTTAGAAAAATCCGGAGTATGTTTAATACTTTTTAAGTTGACTTTCCAACAATTTTTATGGATTAATAATTATAGCCATTTCTAGATCATCATCATCTCCATCCTCTTGATCTATAGTGTCTTTATTTGAAATTAGTTAATTTATTGATCCTTCGTAAATCTACTCATCGAGAGGTATACCTGTAGGATTATACTCCTTGTCAGTATCCCTATCAACAATCAAAGGAGAAAATCTAGCAAAGCATCCTTCTTCCTCTTTTTCTAAATCTATGAATTATGGAATTTTAGACTTAGCTTAAAGAATGGAATCTTCACCTTCTTCATTTTTTTTAACTCTTTTAGTACCAAATATTCTCTCCTAAACTTCTGTTTCTGACATATCATTAATACTAAGTACTTGAGTTTATTTTTTTTCTTACAGTCTAGGGTCTTTCGAGGGTCTTTTAGTGAGTAATTTGCTATCATTATTTAAAGAATCTTAATTATTACCTCCCCAGCTTGATGTTGTTGTTGCTTAAGTACTTGCTGCTTCTTTTACTTAAGATGAACCCCATCCACCCCCACAACCTCCTTATACTGTAGTGTTATCTTCAGTAGTAGATCCCCATCCACCTCCTCCACTTTAAACTGAAGGTGCATTGTCTGAAGAGTTATTCCAACCACCTTCCCCAGAGTTACTTTTTTATTTATTGTTATTTACAAAAGAAGAATTATTATTATTATTATTTCTATTATTATTTCCCCTAAAATTTTATCTCTCTCCTCCTTAATTTTAATTTGAGTTGTTTCTATTATTTCCATTTCCCCATGAGCCTTATCTTTTATTCTCACCCTAATTCTAATTGTCAGATGCTCCCCATTTTTTACCATTGTTGCCTCCTCCATTATTTTCACTAGAGCTGTTGTTATTATTAGAGAAAGATGAGCCCCATCCACCAGTTCCAGACTAAGTTGAATTTTCTATTTTTGAGGATTCTTAATTCCCCCATCCTCCTGATGTTGTAGAATTTTCATTATTAGAACTATTATTACCCCACCCATCTTAAGAATCACTCTTATTAGCTTATTATTCGTTATTTTGTTTTGAGTTTCCCCAACTTCCGTTTCCTTGCTTTCCTCCTTACTAATCTTTATTTTAGCCCCATGCTCTATTTCCTCCCTATCTATTATTATTGTTATTCTAGTTGTTGTTCCCATTATTTCTAAATCTGTTGTTATTATTAGTATTGCTATTATTGTTATTATTTGTAGATGTTGAACCCCAGGAATCTCCTCCTCCTTGAGTTTAATCAGAAGTGTTTCCCCAACCTCCACTACTTGATTGAGATTCTTATTTATTTTCAGTTTATTAAGATCCCCATCCTCCACTAGATTCACTGGTTTAGTTTGTATTTGCTGTTGTATTAGTATTCGAAGAACCCCAACCTGAAGAAGCTTCAGAACTGTTTTTATTTTCATTTGTAGAAGATCCCCATCCACTAGAAGAAGTGGTTGTATTATTTTAATTAGCATCGTTTGAGGAAGCTCCCCAGCCACTTCCTCCTGTAGATTAAGAGTTATCATTAGATTAGCTATTCCAACCACCAGAGTTGTTACTTTAACCTTCGTTTGAATTGGTCTTTTTGAATGAATTATTTCTATTTTGGTTTTAAAACCCTCCACCATTATTATTGCGTTCTCCGCCATTTCTGTTGTTGTTATTCTTATTCCAGCCTCCTCCGTTATTTCCATTTTTATTCTCTCCTCCTTCTTTGTTAAAGTTCCTATTATTATTGTTGTTGTTGAATCTCCTTTATCCTCCATTGTTATCATTTCCAGATTCTCCATTATTGTTATTTCTATCGAATCTTCTTCCACCTCCATTATTTCCATTGTTATTGTTATTATTTCTATTAAATCTACCTCCGCCTGAGTTATTATTATTATTATTATTATTACTTCCATTGCCATTTGAAGAACCCCATCCTCCGCTATCAGTAGATTAGTTACCCCATCCACCTTCTGAGTTATTTTTATTGGAATTATCTTCATTTCCAGAAGTAGAACTTCCCCATACTGCTGTTGATGATGATGGATTGTTATTGGTAGATGATCCCCATCCACCTCCATTTCCTTCATTATTTTAGCTTGATGTATTATCATTGCTTTGTGCTCCCCATCCTCCTGTACTAGAAGATTGAACGGATTCATTATTAACTTTATCTTTATTACTAGAACCCCATCCTGAAGAAGATGATTTACTTTCTGTTTAAGCTCCCATAGAGTTTTAACTGCCTCCCCATATATTAGAGGAAGAATCTGACTTAGGAACTAACTCATTTTAAGATTATCCTCCCCATCCGCTTCCGCTAGTGTTTGAAATCGATTAATTTTATGTAATTGAAGTTTCATCTTTAGTATTAGATTCCCATGTAGTAGAACAATTACTCATTTTAGCAAAATCTACCTATGTATTAGCACTTTCTCTCAAAGGTTTAGAGTCATCTGTTCTCATATCACTTTATAATTATCTAAGAGGTTGATCTTCATTTCCATTTTAATGCATAGAATCTTTCTCTCCTGATGATTGCTTTTTAGGCTTTTCATTTTATTTTTCTTGTAGAATTTGCTGCACTCTATCTGTATTTATTTCTTCAAAAACAAAGCTTTTAGGTTCTTCATCTTCTGCTTCTTTATCGTCTAAAGCAGGTTACTTATTCTAAATCATGTGATTGATGTCCTTAGCTGCATCCAATTACTCACAACTTAGCTAACCACTTTCAATTGAAATATCATCTTTTTGTTCCATTTCTTAATTAACTAGAGAAACTTCCATTCTAAATTTTTGTATAAAATAGGATATCAAAATCAATTATTTTTGCTGAGATAAAAATCATGTGAATCTTCATCTCTAATCAAAATTACCTTCTTCTTAAAAGTTGCACGTCAGGTATAGCCTCTTTATCTATCTTAAAGCTCTACTTTCTTGTTTGAGATTATGTTTATTATCTTTTATGTTTTTTTTTAATTTATTCTAATTAATTTATTAATTTTAATAATCCGCAAAATCTTTCTAGCTATTAAATTAAAATTTGAATATAAACAGACACATTTTTAGTGAGAATCCAAAAGCAAATGAAATTACTTTTTTTTAGCTAAAACTCTAATAATTCAAACCAGTATTTATTAAATTCTAACAAATAACTTTTGATACTCATCTAAACAAATTTTAAAAGCTAATAAACTTAGCTAAACTCTATGATGAAATGAATGATTAGCTAAGATTATTATCCATTTTAGTTAGCATCTAATAAGTGTTATTATTTCACGATAAATAATTTTATTAGTAGTAGTGAGTTTTTATGAAAACAAATTTAATTTATTATCTTCAATTTAATATTAAAATTTTGGAGAGATTTTTGTAGAATAAAAAAATAAATATTTTATTGCAATTATTGGAAGATGGAAGGAAGAGACAAAAATAATTTTAAAATAAGTTTATTAGTAAAAATGAGTTTATATTTTTTAAAAATGTACAAATAATATTTTTTATAAAAATTAAAATAAATTATTTAATTGCAATTAAAATTAAGTTTAATATGTATTTAAATAAAAATTTAATATGATTTTCCTCCATTTTTAAATAATCTGAAATTAAAATAAAGAAAATGTCCAAATTATCGTTTATATAAATTTCAAAAAAAATTATATTTATAAAATTTCTTTTAAAAATTATATTTATTTAAAGATATATTTTAAATGAAAATTTTTGATTAAACAAACTCATTTTATATTTCACTATTTTTTAGTGTGTTAAGAAAAATAGCTTTTACCTAATCTCAATATTTAAAAATTTTGTTTATTTTTTTTATAATAAACACTTTTTCATTTTTAGAAAATGCGTTTAAAATTAATTCAACATAATAAATAAATTGGTGTAACATAAGTTTTATTAATTTATGTAAATGAGTGAATGATTTTAAAAATTTATTTATGATCATTGTAAAGTTTTTTAGTTTAGTAATAAATTTTGTAATGTTTTAACATCATAATTAACTATTTTTTATTTTTTTTGATTTATTTAAAATTCAAGCTCTTATATTTGACTTTTCCTTTTTCAAGCTTTGATTTTAGATATGAATATAAAATTAAAAAAATTAAGCAAATATTCTTAAATTGAGTTTCTTTTAACTTACAGTTATTAGTGATAATATACTTTAAGTTGATGATTAATTACAAATTTATTTCAATGGCTTAACTTTATTTTCACCAATACTCTTCTCATTATGAATAGCAAAAAATTAATACGTATACAAACTTTAGCTGATATAAAATCAAATTTACTAAAATTATAGATTGTTTAGCTTGATTGATTGAGAAGTAAATTAATTAAAAATCTTTTAATAGTTAGCTAGTGTTTCTTAAGAAAAAAATAATATTTTTTGCAGCTATCTAAATTAGATTTTTAACAGATTGTCATAGGGTGGGTAATTAGTTAGTTGTCTATAAATTTCTAAACTTATAGTATTTACAAAAATTCTTACTCTTATTTCATAAATAATGAAAAATATACTTATTTATAATAACAAGATAAATATATTGCAAGTTTTAAAGCAGTATCTAATCGAATTTTGTATAATCAAAATTTAATTTTTATTAAAATAATAAATATATTTTTTTATTTATTACTTAGATTATTTGTGGTGATACTTGAATTCTCAAAAAAAGTCAATTATAGTTACTATTAGTTTTTTTATTTTTTGCATAATCTTGAATTGTAATTTATCTGATTAATTAAATCGCTTTCTTATCTATTTCATTAGTCTGATTTTACATAATCTAAATGAATCCACAATTTATAATTCAGAGAATTGTTTGTGAGCTTTCTTTTTCTCAATTTTCTGAGAAATTGAAAGCAAATAATAAAAAAAATAAAGATTAATTAAAGTATATGTGGATGATATCTAAATTAATTTATAAAAAAAATAATATTTATTATAGCTTTTTAAAACAAACATATTTTATTACATATCCCTCTTATTTATTTATAACTATTTTTAATGTAAGTAACCTCAATTTAATTTTTTAATCATCTAGGAATAGTTAATTTTATGTTAATAAAAGTACCCAGTACTTTTTATAAAAATTAGCTAGTCAAAATCCAATTTTAATTCTTATGATTTGCTCTTATATTAAATGTAATAAACAAAATACAAGTAAATAACTACGAATATATATTAAAATATACTCTAAATCTTTAATTTAACAAAATTTACTACTTAAAAAATACCAACTATGTTGCTTATCTTTTTTTAATTTCTAAGGGCTAAGCTAAATTATTTGTTTATGAAGCTGTATTTAATTTATTTAGAAATTGAAATCTAAAATTACATTTTATCATTTAAAAAAGAAAATTCAGAATTTTTTCATATGGATATTTCTTAACTAAATCTTTTCTTCATATAAAATATGAGTTTATTTAAGTATGTATCTATGTAAGAATTATCAATTAAGTTTTTTCAAAAGCTAATCATTAAGAATTAAGATTTTTATTATTGAAAATTACAGATAAATTAACACAACTAATTAAAAAAGCTCAACTTGATTATTGTCGATGGAAGCACCTTCATTTAATTAAAATATTCTATCAAATTGATTTTATTGTGAATTATTTTTTTAATATCTTGTGTTCTATTTGTAATAAGTTTTATATAATCGAAATATAAAGAAAGTACAAGACTTTACAAGAAAAGTTATGTAGATAATGTAAAATAGCTTAGCTTTTATAAAAATTTTTAATTTCTTATTTTTTTCTACTTATTGTTTATTATTATTATACTTGTTTTAGATAAAAAAATAAATAAATAATTCAAAATGCCAATTTTAATCTATTGGAATTATTAATATATTTACAAAGAAAATTAATAATATTGCAAATAAATGCTAATATTTTTTATTTACACTTTCAAAAAAACAAGTAAATACTAAAATTTAATTAAATTTAAATTTTCTAACAATATTTATTAAGTATCTATCATCTATCTTAAAAGAATTTTAAGTTTTTAAAATTGTGAAAGAATATAAAACATCCACACACTTATTTAATTATTTTGCTTCATAATATGTAGCTGTATGATATTTTTACTGATTAAGTGTTCCAAAATTAAAAGTTAAAAAAATCCATAATAGCTTATTTTACCAATTAGAAGAATAAAAAATAGATTGCTTTACATTTAAAAAAGTAGAATATAAGACAGTGACGCACATATCGATTATAGTGTAAGATTATGTTTTAGATTATAAAATATTGAATAAATAATGATTTAAATGTCTTGTTTTTTTTTTTGTGATACTTTGAAAATGCGAGTTTCTAAAATTAATTTTTTTGTCTTCATCTCAATAAATTTCAACACAAATTTTTTAAATTAAAAATCTCTGATTATTTTTATGTAATATTTTTATGGTAAATGAGTTTTATTTAAAAATAAATTATTGTCGACAATATTTCAATATTTTCATCAAAATAAAACGAAGTATATTAAAATTGATCTTATAATTGAAGTTACTATTATAGAAGTAACTTATGATAGAAAGGAGACGTTTATAAAGAATTTGTTTTCAGTCTATCAAAAGACTTTAAACATTATCCTTTTGAATTATTTGTTTGGATATTCACCTAAATTTAATTAAAAGTTTGTCTTTTTTTATTACATAAAAACTTATATTATTTTAAATGGTAATAAATACGCATATCCAATCTATAGAAACATAACAAGTTAATAACTTTTAATTATTGTTTTTGTTTTTCTACCTTCACCTAAATATTAAAATAAATACAATTGATTTCAAAATATTTACCAGTACTATTGAATCTATTTTTTTTAGTACGCAACATATACCATTTTGTTTATCTAAATTAGTTTGAACAAAATTAGTGGGATCAACTAATTTTTTACTTTAATACGAGTAAAAACAAGAGAATTTGATCTTCATAAAAAATATTATTAGATTTTCTTATATAATTTATTGTAATGAGGCCTTTTGTAAAAAGTATAAACCCTAATTTCTGATTTAATCCTGCAACTAAATTGATACCTAGCTATTATTTAAATCACTAATACTTATAGTAAACGAATGATTGAAATTTGTATTTTATTAATTTTTTATGAATATTATAAAATCTGATAAGTGCCTAAATGCTTTCTGTAATTATTTATATAAATCATGTGATTTAAAAGCTTTTTCAATTCACTAATATATGCCTTACAATCTTCCTGACTAATTATGGGAAAATAATAGTGTAAAGTAAGATTATTTTATCTTAGTTTCAAGCGCTAGCTTATATTTTAGAAAATAAAAATTAACTTAAATATTGTATGATCTGCAATAGTTTGCTTTTTGTGGTTATATATATTTTTTTTAGTTTATTTGAACCCCTTTGAAATACCGCCTATTTCTCTCAATAACAAAGATCTGTAATCAAAATTTTTAATTAACTCAGCTTCTATTGTTAGTCACTAATTATTAGCTGGTAATTAACTTTTTAATTTACATAATCATTTAATTTACTGTTATCATTTTATTTAATATGATAAATTTTTGATTTTGTTTTTTCAAGAATAGAATTAAATAAATTAAATCAATCAATTTAAGACTTAATTATTTTTTATCCATATCTTCTTTATTATTGTATTTAAATTCAAAATACTTAAAATATTTACTTATAGCTTAATGGTGAGCATAAATTAAAAAAAAATTACTTTAGCATTTTTAAATATTGAGTTAGTAATTATTATTAGATATATATCCAGTACTGCAATCTGAAGTAAAAAAATAGTATGCTATTCATTTATCTACAGATAAACAATTTGAAGAGGAAATAAGATCTATAAAAGTTGATAAATAAAATTTAAATATTAGTTCATTAACTTAAATTCCAAATATAAGCATTTTAATCAGCATTTGCTTAATAAAATATAAGTCTTCTCAAAATTATCATCAAACAATTGATTATTTGTTTAGTATAAACCATTTCTATAGTAGCGTCTCAAAATAATCTTGAGATCTTGATAGCATGTTCATTTAAGGAGTTTTGATAAAACAAGTAAACATTTTTATCGAGAAGTTATCCAAAAGATTAAAAATGCAAGTTTATTGTGTTGGTTGAATACTTTTGTAAAAAAAACTGAAAATAGAAAATAAAATATAAAATAACAGAAAATACAGTTAATACTTATTTTAAGATTTGATATCAAAGATTAATAAATTAAACAAACTGACACAAAATGTTTAAATAAAGAATATTTTGTATGTTTGGTATTTTCTTATATAATTTTTTTGAAATAGCTTTTAGCTTTTGGAATATGATTCAATTCTGTAAAATGCATACAACGCATCTATTTCATTAAATTATTCTTCTAAAATTGTAAATAATTTTAGACCATGTTAAAAAAAATTAGGCGGTCTATTTCTTTCTTTTTTTAACAAATCTAACTCAGTAATTTAATCAAATTAAATGTTTGAGAAGCTGCACTAAAAAACAAAGAAACTCATTAAAAAAAAAACCTTTAAAAACAATTAACAAACATTTAATTAAAAAATTTAATTTCCTTCTTCTTGAATATATCTATTTACTTAATTTCCTCTTCTTTTTCCTTTGAGCAGACACCAATTTAACTTTTATTTTTCACTATTTTAAAAAAAAGGTCAGTAGGAATTGAGTTAAACAGAAGTAAAATTTATATCTGAATTTTATGGTTACATTTAGATATTTACTAGGAATAATCTAATAATAAGATGTTAAATATGTAAAATAAATGATAGTAATATTATTTCTGATTCTTTGTTTTTATTTTACAAATAATTTTGTAGCAAATTTTACAAACTTTTAACTTTCATGTCCTAAAATTTATTTTTGTTGATAAATTTTTCATCAAAAATATAGTTTTAAAAAATAACAAAATTTTACTTGAAATCAAATTGAAATGCGATAACAATTACAATGTCTGCATGTTCTGATGAACGTTCAAAAATTGAATTTTTTTAGTTTATAGAAAATAAATCCTCCTAAATTAATTTGGCTTCCAAAAGAAAGATCAGAATAAAAAATTTCCTCTTTATTATCGTGCAAAATAAAAATGTGTTTATTCAAGCAATAAATTAATTATTTAATTTTATTATTAATAAATTTTAGGTATTCTTGAGTATTCAACTATTATTTCTATTCATATATATTTAAAAATCAATAATTTTATTATAAAAACAGATAGAAATGTTTTCTTATTCTATAAAAAATGATAATATCTTCTCAAAGTAAAAATAGAATTGGAATTAGTAATTATAATTTAGGGTATAAAGAAAATCAAATAGATAATCATTGTAAACATAGAGTTAAGGATTAAAATTTTTTAAATTTATTTCTATTGTAATTCATAAGAAGTGTTGTTTGTAAGTCTTTGCAAATATTAAAGTCTCTAAAAATATTTGAAGAATAACAAATTATAAAAAAATTTTATAAAAGGTTAAAAGATTTTGTAAGACTTATTGTTTTTAATGGAATTGTTTGTTTGACTTTAATTTTATTAGATTATCTAATGGTTTATAATCATAAATTGATATAATTTTACTGGTTTTTTAATAAAATTATTTATTTTGAAAGAATTTATTTATTAATTACTATCAATTAGCTTAAATATTTGACTGCTTTATAAATATTTAAATTAACATGATAAATTCATCAGTTTTTAAATAAAAAGGAAAAAATGTAATATTTGTTTTTAATTGTAAAAATTTGTGGTATTAGTGTCAGTCAAGTAGTCTACACTTTAAGTTTAAATATGTTGATCATTGATATGTAAAAATATCCGAATGAATTGATTTCAGAATAGATAGGAATAAAAAGAGAAAGGGTGCGAATAATTTTTTCAAATTTTGCTAAGAAAATGAATGGGAACCAGCTGGCCGCTCTGTGGTATATTATTTATTAGTAATGAATTATATATCTTTCCTTACAAAATTAATTTTGAAAATAGAAAAAAATTATGCCAACAAAACTTAATCTAAATTGGTTATTCCCCAGTAGATGAAAAGAGTAAATCAAAACAATAAAAATAATAGAAGAACGGGTAATACCAAAATTACGTTTGCCAAAAATTATTTAATCTGTCTTTTTTACATATTTTTTTTTCAATTTCATTTTTATTAAGACTTGTATTCTTATTTTTTTTACAAGTGCCATTTACTTCAATATTTTTCTAAATAACAAAAAAGCTTTTCTACTAAGTAAATTTTCAGTAAAATTTTCAGAAACTGTAAAATTATTTCATATTACAGCCTAGTTGATTTATATAAACGTTTTCTCTCCTCATTTATGATTTGTTAAAGACATATTAACTTATTTTTATCAATGTATTACTTTTAACTAACTAACTAATAATTTTTCTGATTAAATAATAATTTCCTTTACACTGTTTTGCATTAGAAATCTTATTTGTTAATTAATAAAATTAGCTAAAATTTAATACACAAAGAAGGGAAGGGGTATTGTTAATTAAAGAAATAAATTATTAATTTATTTATTTACAAAGTAATTCTTCAATTTGATTACATAGAGAATTTTAATTTGCAATTTTCTTTCTTAGCGATTTGATTTCGTCAAAAATAATAATAAATTCAAATTAATTTTTGTGATGGAGATTGTATTTGATTAAATACAACAAAGATTCACAACAATTAATTAATAATTTAATTAAAACGAAAACAAATCAAAAAAAAAATTATCAAACAAAAACACAATCACTTATCCAAATCAATTAAATAATCTCTCAATAAAAAATAGAGATTAGAAGAAAAAAGTGATTTGAAACATCCTGCTTCATATTTTTTAAAAACTACTATCACACATCAATATAACCTATCATGGGCTGTGTTAATGATAAATAAGGCCAAAGGTCTCCCAAACACGCTAATCCTCTTGATTCTAAGCCATTCTTACAAGAATCAAGCCAATTATTAAAAGAATATTTAAGAATTGAATAGGAACTCTTCAAACAAAGAGTCCATCTCAACAATTTAATTTCCAGTTAAAGAAAATAAGAAATGACACTAAACAACATGTCTTTACCTAGAGGTAGCTCCTTGAATGAAAAATAAGGTGAATGGGCTGAATAAACTTATTTTTAAGAAATGCAACTATTAAGCGAACTTGAAAAGAAAGCTTTAGCTTAGCCTGCCCACTATTAAATTTTGATTGAGAAAATCAATCGTGTCCGTTCTAATTTCTCTCGCTTAGTCAAGTAATTAAACTAAATAAAGACTGCCCATATGAAGTTAATGTCTATGGGATAGAAATATGGTGTTTAAAATCAAGGAGATTTTGAAATTGCCTACAATGAATTGAAGAAATAAGAAGAAAAATTCTCTGCTTATTTTGATAGAAATCAAACCCGCAATAAAATTTCTCTTTCCGAAACAACTCAAGCTACTAATTTTAATAATTGAAATTGTTGAAATAACAATCATAATAAATACTTCAAAAATACCATGAATTTTCCATAGATTTTTTATAAATTTAATCAAATCAAATTCAATGCTGATAATTAGAAATTTTGTTTTTCTTAATAGTTAATAAATGAATGAATGCTCGAAAATTGTTTTTAATGAAAACGAAGAAAATCCTAAACTAAAATTAAAATAGATAGATAAAATTTATTTGCTAATAAAATATCCCTAAAATAAACAAATAAGAGATCTATCTATTTAGCAAATAACAAAAGCAAAAAATAACTAAAAATTTGCCTATTTCTCTTTTAATTAAAATAATTATCTCCAAAAATTTATTCAACTAACTTAATGAAGGCCAATAAAATTCTGATTAAAGCTCCTTTATTTATAATATAGAACTTCTCTAATGTATAAAAGTTACTCATGTAAATAAATAAATAAATAAACAAACAAATAAGTATAATGAATGACCCTTTTAGAGTATTTAAACCAAATACTTAGTTAATAAACTGATTTAGCCAATATTAATATATAATTAAATAAAAAAACTTACTAAATTATTTTAAATCTTACTAGATATTTATTTATCTATCTATATTACTTATATTTTTCTCTGTATCTTTATTCTTTACTGCTACTGTTTATCAATTATTAATTCAAGTAATTGTTTTCTAAAAAATCAAATCTTTCGAATATTAATTTTTTTCTATCACATCTTTTTTATTCAAATTTAGTGATCTTTTTAAATTTAAAATATATAACTCGCTTTAATCACTTTCGTTTTATAAGTTCGTTCACTCACTTGATTTATTCATTCATTTACTCTATACAGTTATTTATTTATTCTATTTGCTCATTCATTTATTTATTGATAGATTCATTCTATATATTCAACTTTAAATACTTCATAAATTTTAAAAGTTTATCACATATTTTCCCTAAGAAAACAGAGATGAACATAACAAATATATAATTATAATTTCATCAATTGAAGAATAATTTAAGATGTTTAAACGCTATTAGTACTTTTTTTAACTGAAATAACAACCAAATTATTAAATTAGATTGTAAGCTAGCTCTTACATAACTCTATTCAAAATAGATAAAATTCAAATTTAATAAAAAAAAACAACTCTAAAAAAACGTAAAAATACGCAAAGTAGTGATTCAACCGAGTTATAATTTATCTGTGTTTTTTTTTAGGAGGTATTTATCAACTTTATAAAATAGTAAATAAACAAATAAATTTAAATAAGTAGCCAGTATATAAGTCCATACTGATAATTTATTTAATTTCCTAGTAAATAATAATGCAAAGAAAATTTAACAATTTCTAATAAACATGAAGTCACTAAGAGAAGAAATAAATATTTAAAATTCATTCTTTTATTTCTTTTTTATTACTCTAAAGTATTTAAACATATAAATTTTCATTCTCAAATACTAAACCGGGGAAAAGACTTATAATTTTTTTAATTTTTTTGTAAGGGAAAAAAATAATTGGTCATTAAATTAATAGCAAAAAGTGAAAATCAGTTAATATAATTTACAAATATATTGATCTTAAAATGAAAACCATGTAATCCAACAAATATATTACTTTAAAAATAAAATTATGTCTTTATACAAACAAAAAAATTATCAAAAACTTAAAATATCTTAATTTATCGTTTTTAGCTTTGTAATTTTTTACATAATCTAATAGATCTATGATAAAAGTTAAATTTTACGCTAATTACTTTTTTAATGAGTATTTAAGTTGCTTATTTTCAACCATAACCTCCTGCTTACTTTCTTTAAAAAAACATTATTATTATTGATTGGAATTTAAATATATTTTTTTCTTATTGCTGAAACCTTTCTTCCTAAATAAAATAAGGATATACAATAAATAAAAATTTATAATGATTGATTTTATTAGAAATGAGGAATTAAAGCAGGATTCATAAATGAATTGAGGATAAAAATATTTACAAATTAGATTTTTTAACTTTTTTAATTTTTTATTCTTTTATTGCTTAACTTTAATTGTGTAAATTTAAAATGAATGGATGAATTCTTGCTAAATTAGGAAGGGATATAAATCAAATATTTTAGTTTAAAAATATAGAAAAGAGTATAAAAATATACTGAAAATCCTCTGTAATCTTAGTTGCAAATATTCTTTTTGATTCTTAACTCTAATTGCAAAAAAAAAAAATTCGTAGGCGCTTTAACATAATTTTAAATTTAACTAGCAAAATATTTGTTTAGATTCAATAGACTTTTAAATTAAGAAAATTCGTTTGATAAAGATACTTCTTTTCAGCTTATTAAATATTCCTTTTTGGATGAAATCAATGACAAAAATTTATTAGGAAATAGAAAAATAATATTTATTCTTTTGAAATTTAAAAAAATTGAAAAAAGATATTGTCATGTAAATTTTATGTATTTTATATTAAAATTAGATAATTTAGTAAGTTAAAGTTGTCTATTTCCTTTCAATTAATTGTATTCCTCCCAAAAACACTTAATAAAGTTAATATAAAGAAGCCCCATAATACTAAAATTGAAGGAGGACCTTACATAATCTTATTTTTTAATCTATTTATGTGTAACATACCTTATTAATATTAAGATTGCTTATAAATTTTTAGATTAGAAACTTTTTTTATCTTCAATCCCTAAAAAAGATAAATAGAATAATTTATTTAATTTTATAATTCAAGTAAAATTGCTAGATTTTATTCATTGATTTTACTATAAATAACTTATTAAACCATTATTGTGTTAATAAAAATTGATACTTTTATAAATTTAAATTAAAACATGTAATCTAAAAAAGTGTTCATCGAAATCAAAATTCCAAATTTTATTCATTTAATTTAATAAATAAAAGATAAATTAATTTGCTTAATTAACATTATTCTTTATTTTTTATGTTTAAAAGTCATGCCAAAAATATTTAGCTTGATAAATTAAGAGGAGAAAATATGAGTTTTATGTTTATCAAATTTAAATTTTCTTTATAGTAAGAAAACATAATCGTTTTTTATACCTAATAAATACTTACTTAAAGACTTTTAAATATAAAATAGAAAAACCTCAAAGTTTTTTGAATTAAAAGAAGCAAATTAAATTTTCTATTTTGTAAATACATCAAAATTAATATTATTAATGAGAATATTTTTTAACTATACATTTATTACTATTCAACTTTCATATGTAAATATACTAATTTTAGTTATTTTTCAGAATAGTTAATTTACTTTAGATTTGATTATAATATATTATATTTAAATACTATTCTTTTTACCAATCATATTTAGACACTATGTAATCAGAATATTTAGATAATTTTAAAACTAAATTTCCTAAATTATCAAACTTTCTATTCTTATAGGTAAAACCAAATAAATCAAAAAAATAAATTGATGTATATTTTTCATTATTTTGAATTGGAAAACTTATCTATATTCGAATTTTATGTAGCTTTCACAACTCGAAATTAGATTAAATTAAATTACAAAATAAGTATAAATGTTAAGAAATATTCCTAAAATATATAATAACATCATCATCATTTATCTCTAGCTTTTAAGAATTCTTTTAATAAGTGTATATGAATTAATCATTTTAAGTCGTTCATAACTAAGTTATTAACTTATTTTTGTTCTTTTAATTAAATTTGAAAGATTACAGGAAGTTTAACTAATTTTTGTTACCTTATTTTTAAGCATAAATTACAAACAATCAGAATATAAAAATAAAAAGTATTTATTTACAACTATTTTTTCTTTCTTTCTTCCTTAAATTTAAATAATATCAAATTATCTCAAAAGTAAACATTCATTCAAAACAAAAAATAAAACTATTAGAAAGAAGTAGTTGTCAAGAAACAATTATCTTCGCTTGTATAATTTTGAAAAAAAATAATTTTTATGATTACTTAACAAATTTAAAGTTCATTTATTTTGACATTTTTTAATTTTTTTTATCTAATTTTTTTTACTTAACTATTTTTATTTTGTAAAAATTTGATTCATTCCTAGTACTATTATCTTATTCTGCATATATTGTTTATCCTCTGTCAATAATATTATATTTATGATTATTATTTAATACAAACAAATAAATAATTTACCACATATTTTTTTTAAAATTTGTAAAATATATTTGAAGAAGTAAACAAAAAGTGCCCATAATATTGATTGGTTACAATAACAAACAAATAATCCTAGCTAAACAATATTAATACAAAAAATTTTTATATGTATTATTTATTAATTTTGATATTAGTTTACCTTTTAATACTTTAGATCCAATAACAAATAAAAGCTGGCTGACTTATCCAATTATTACAAATATTTTAAAGAAATTTTTCTTTCATTTTTTATTAGTTAAAAATTAATATTTATAACTTTATATCTTAAATTAATTTCAATTCATTCATGCTTACAAATTAATCAAAATTCTTAGTTTACTTTTCTAAAAATTTACATTTTAATACAAGCGAAATTTATCTTTTAAATTAGAAATAATACTTTAAATGCTTCAATATCTAACTAATTTGTTTCTAAAATAGTTTTTTATTTTAATAGAAACTATTTGAAAAATATATATCAGCAGATCTAATTATCTATCTATCTATCTATCTATCTATCTATCTATCTATCTATCTATCTATCTATCTATCTATATATTAAATTTAATTGTTCCCAAATAAAAAATTTATGTATTATTTTTAGAAATAGATAAGTGATTTTATGTTATTAAACTATTTAAAATGAAATCTTATTACAAATTTAAAAAAAAATAAATACCAACTTACAATTTAATCATGTCTATAAATTTAGTAAGTAAATAAAACTAAATATTACGCTTTGTATAGTCAATAGATGTGATTATGTTTAAATAAATTTAGAACTTTTTATTGGATTTAAAATAAATTATTAAATAAATAATATTTCAAATTCTGAATGTAAGCTTATACAAAAACAAATCACTTAACAGTGTATATTTTGTTAGATTAGATCATTTTTTAATAAATATAAGAATAAAAAGTTGATCATAAAGATTTTATCTAAATCTAAAATTGATAATTTTTTTGAGATAAAATCTGTCTATTAGTCATAATAAAAGAAAATTGCAGCTCAGTATATTTTATCAAAATTAATTTTGAGAATTGAAAATGGTTTTGGTTATAACTTATTTGTTTAATGGTAAACAAATTAACAGATTTAATAAAATAACAACATATTTTCCATAAAATAACTGCAACTTTGATGCAATTTATGATAATATTTGTAGTTTTATTTAATTCTACCTATAGAACAAATAAAAATAAATTAGATTCATGCATTATTTTTAATTAAACTAGACAAATAATATTCAATTTGCTTGAACAGTGTAGTGTATTCAGAATATATAATGCTTATTTTTTTAAATAGTTTATTCATACGTTATTGGTGAGATTACTTGAACAAATAATAAATAAATAAATATTTGTGTGTCTTTAAAATGTAACTTATGGCAACTATTATTCTTTAGAAATTTATATCAATAATTAGTATTTGAAGGGGAAACTGTTTGACTAATATTTCATATTCATTTTAGGTACATTGAAGCTAGAACAGAACCACATAAGGAGATTATGAAAAGTATTAATTTTGCTAAGAGGTTATTTGATACTGGAATACCCATCATTTTAAAAGGTTTATATTTTTCATAGAATTCAATTTATTCTATTCCTCCTTCTAGTGAGTTTAGAATTGGTCTTAAATGATGAACGACATTTGCCATAATACTAAAATCTACATCTTTGTGAGTTTCTTTAAAATATTTGACAAGTTCTCGGTACATAAAATTTTCACATTAAGCATTTTGATCAAAGTATAAAAAGTAATTAGAACAGATATCTTCAATAATACTCAAGTTTTTCATAAGAAAGAGCTTGTGTATTTTAAAGTGTTTATTTATTTCAGCACCAAGGCGTATATCCCACATTAATAGAATTAACCAAAAAGAGCAGTAAATAGAGTATAGCTTAAAGTAAAGGTTTACATTCATCCCAGGATTTGGTATAATGTTAAAATTTATCTATTTAATTATAAATCATGTTTTCAACAACATTTTAAAAAACATTTTCTAAAATAAACTTAAAAATAATAGTCAAAATTTAAAATAAATATTTGAGTAGAAGCTTAAAAGTAGTTATAAGTTATTAATTAATGAATTAGATTACCAAAAAAATGATTGCCATGAAAATAAAATTAAAGAGAAAGAAAAATGAAATGATATATTCAATTCTTTTGTAAAATTTTTAGCCAAAATCCAGAGTAAGGTTTCTGAGATGAAACCAACTTCTAATTGAGAGATCTGATGTGAGATTAAGAGTAGGATAAAGCTTCTTCTCTTCATATTCTTCTACTTTTTTTGCTGAAATCATATGTGAAAGCTGATTCATGACATAAATTATTCTATTTTAAAAATAAAATAGAAAAATAATTTAGAAGAAAATTCAATCATTGTAATGGGAAAGAATAAATAAATCATTGAAAGTTTTATATAAAAATAAAAAGTTATTTTCAAATATATTTTGGATCTTACCTAGATTTTATATTTCAAGGAAATAATATAAAATAATGAAGGGGTAGGTCGGTTCTTGATTATTTTAGAGTATAAAAGAAAAGAAAATATAATAAATACCTTTTGAGATGGCGTTAAGAAATAGCTGTAAACATGATAAAAGTCTAAGTTAAATAATAATCAGATAGTGCATTTGAGAAAAGGATAAAATATTCAAAAACACAATTCGATATGCATTGATCAGTAAACTGTGGAGTAAGAAGTTTCAAGCTCAGGAAAATAACTTGCTTAACTAAGGATACAAAGATACTGAAATATTCATATTTTTTAAAACTATTATTTTCATTAAAGTGTTTTATAAGTACTTTTATTAGTTTTGGTCCATATGGGTTATTTTAAAAGTCAAGATCACCGATCCCGTATGATTATGAATTAGGGTTTAAAAGTTCTTTTAATTTATCATCAGAGGGTTAGACGATAAAGCACAAATAAAAAGACGACTTTTCAATTTCAAGTCTACTCATAGCTAAATTTAATTCTTTATCTATTACCTTATCCTTTTCTTCTGTCCACTCTCCAAGTAAGAACTCAGTCATAATTTGATCTCTCGTTAAAATTTTTGTTTTGTAAATTTGAAATTTTTGAGGAAGCATAAATCCTTTTTCATAAAATGTTCAATAAAATTTGTTTATTTCTAAATGAATTCAGATATTTATTTCTAAATAAATGAACTCAATATTCTTTCTTCTATTTAGAATTGTTCAAAATAAATATTCAAAAATTATTAATAAAAAATATTTAAAAAATGTTTTAATAATAATCTTAAAAGCAAATATAAGAATTTGATATTTATTTACCATATTTGACTGTAATAATTATGGCCCTTTGTATTAAAACTATAAATAGAAGAACTATTTCTACAATGTAAACTTTACTTAAGGTTTTTATGTAGTAAATCATGAGTACAAATGTTGAAAAAAATAAATTAGAGAAAACCAATTCCCATTTTTAGATTTATTTTATACCATAAAATCCTAGATTTCGAAGAGTTCTTATATTCTTTCGTTTAAGAATAATCGCTAATATAAGTAATCCTATGATGCTGCCAAACATATAATAAATAATATGATAAAACAAGAATTCAAGAAATTAATTCCATCTAAAAATCAAATCTCTAGGTGGATCTTTAATCTCTTTATCTGTCACAAAAGGAGTGCTTTCCTTTTTTTTTTCTTAATCATTTTATGAGTTTTTTTTTCTTTTCCCAGGACTCATTTCATATTCTGGAGGTTGTTCAGGTATTACACCATCTTTACTTTATAGTATTTAACCAAGATCAACTTATCCCAACTCTGATGATTTTTGCTAGCTATTTTTCATTGAGTCTTTATCTTCTTTAAAATATTCATCAGATTCATTCGATATTGTTGTGTTAAAATATTTCATTGACTATGAACGCGGTTTTCTTCTAACAGCTGCTTCTGCCTCTCTTTCTTCATCCAGTAATCTTTAAAATTGTTGATTATTTTATTATTGAGATACATTATCGTTTGGAATAATAATCGTTTAAGTAAAATTAAGAGCATTTGCATGAGCTCCTTTTGTGCTGGAATCTGTAATATAATTTGGGAGACTTGGATATAAAGGGTCTTTTTATAAATCAATCATTTATGATTCCTTTCTAAATTTATTATTATTTGCAATCAGTATAGTAGAAGCTCTTTGCTTTTTTCCAATTCCTTTCTATTGTTGTCGATCTAAGTCTAATCCTCTTTTATAAGAATTGTTAGTATCTTAAATATGAGAAATATCATTAATAGTATTTTGCATCTGAATTTCCATTATATATTCTCAAAAATTAGTATTCAATTTCAACTTTTTTTGATAGATTCTAAAACTTTAAAGAGTTGCTCAAAGGATTTCTAATTAGAAACTAAATTATTAAATATTTTGTTAATTATGAAAATAAATAATTTTTTAATTACATTCTAAGTTTACTATTGAGGTAGATATTATAATTTTTAAAAATGAAAATATCTCTCTCTTAATAAATTAGCAAACTTTAAATAAAATCAACAAATATTTATTTTAGTAATTCATAATTCCTATTTTATTCTTTAATCATTTCAATTTTAATAAAATTATAATTTTTTAAAATTCTATTTAAAAATTACATCTTAAATGAAATAAAACATTATTTTCATTCTAATATAAAATTTAAGAAATTTATAAATTAATTGAATTAAAATATTATAAAATATTATTTTAATTATTATTTAAAAAGTTTTTTAAATTTATTTTTTAGTCTTAATTGCAGAATTTATATTTTGATGGTAAATAATATTGATTTTTAATGTTTTAGAATGATAAATTAATATTGCAAACATACTTATAGTAAATAAAACAGTTGCTGTATTTATTATAATTTGTTAATACTAACTTAATATAAATTAGTATATTAAATTATTGAAGATTCTTAACAATAAATTTAAGTGTAAAGCTTCATTTAAAATCTAAAACAATTTATTTAGTTTGTGTAAGATAATTTGATATCAATAAAAAATATGTCGAGATACGGTGTTGAAACAGTAATCGATTTTTCATCTAGCTTATATAGACCTTATAAGACTACTGAGGCTGTTTCATAGCGAGAATAGTTGAAGAATATGGTATTAAAAAAATATATGGATTTATATGGCAAAAAGTCTTCCAAACTAGCTGATGAAATTCAAAAAGAAGTAAACTATTACTTCTACAATTAGCATGTCAATGAGGCAGGAATTAGAATTCTTAAATAGAGAATAGAGAATTTAGCTAGTAACCCAGCTTTTGGAGCAACATAAATAAAAAAATAAGCAAATACAGCACTTCCTCCAGTTAGATAATCAACTGCAGAAGCCAATAAATAAACTGCACCAAATAAATAAGATTAGAGTTAAAATGATGACAATTTATCAAGAAGATCAAACGCAAGATCTAGCCATAGCTAGCAACTTGCTAATGCTGGTTTAAAAATATTAGGTTAGAGATCATAAGGAAATTAAAATTATGAATTTGATTAAGTTAGTATGTCGAGCTCGAGTAGCAGAAAGCCTAAGAGTGTTTATTATTTAGAAGGAAGGGAAGAAGATGAATGGGCTTAACTAGTTAAATTTGATGCTTCTATGTTTTAAAAGGAATAGGAAATGCTTAGGTAGAGACAATAATTAATAAAATAAAGGCTGAAAGAAGAACTTGATAAATAATTATAAGAAAAATAAAATAAAGTTGAAAAGGAAAAATAAGATCATTATGAATACATAAGATTTTAAGATGAATTAATAAAATTACAAGATGAAGCTGAAAAGAAGAAAGAAATTGAAAAATAAAACAGATTGCAAAATGAAAAAGCAATGAGAGAAAAATAAGTAAATATTTTATTTCAAAACCTAATAAATAATATCTAGAATTTAAATACTTTAAAATATACATTTTAATTGCTAATTTAAATAAAAATAAGAAATATGAGATTAAAATAAAGAGAAGATAAGAGAGAATTAGAGAGAAGGAGTTGGATGATGCAATGATAAACAGGATCATTAAAGAGTAGTAAGATGAGGAAATCAACCGTCAAAAGAGAAAGGAAAAGGAAAGAGAAAGATAAAACCAAATGCTTATTGAAAACCAAATCAACAAGTAAAAGCAAGAAGAAGAACTTGTTAAAGAGAAGAAGGAAGATATATTCTTGTAAAATTAATATGCTAAACTTCTGGATGATCAAGGTAAGTAGATTAAATGCATATGCAGCCATTTTCATGCATACTAATTATTTAATTATAACAGAGGAATTCCGAGAAAGAGAGAAGAAAGAAAGATTTGATAAAATTTAAAAATTAACTAAGAAATTCGAAAACACCATTTAAAAGGATATAAAAGAGTAAATTAGATAAGAAGATGAAAAGATGCTCTAACATATCTTAGACACCAACAAAAAAATCGAATAGGAAGATAATGAAAGAAAGCAAAAGGTTAAAGATTAAAAAGTGTTTATCAAATAGTTCCTTGATTAGCAAATACAAGAAAAGCATAATAGGTAAATAGAAGAGGAGAAGCTCAATAAATAGCAAGCAGAAATTTGGTAGAAAGACAGAGAGCACTTTTTAGACCACGAAGATAAAAAGAAAAAATATATTTAAGATGTTAACAAACAACACCAAAAGATACTCGTAGATCAAATCAAACAAAAGGATGATTTAACATTTAAAGGAAAGATGTCAATCGAAGAACTCAAACAAAATAAAGATAGAATTTAAAGAATTTTGGATTAATCTCCAGACTAAGCTTCATATAAACATGCTAAAGAAAATTCTTTAAAGCGTTCTATGTGAGTTATTGTTTATTTATACTTTATATATCAAATACCATTATCTATCTACAAATAAATTAATGAATAATCTTTTCTTTTTAATATTTTTAATAATTATCTATGTTTATTTCTTATTATTAATCTAATTAAGTTGAGAGACAAACAAACAAATAAATACTCAAAATTATACTTTGAAATATTTTTATCTTAAAAATACTTCAAATAAATAATTAATTACCTTTTACTTTAGATAAGTTTACTAAATTTTTTCTTTATAAAATTATAATTATAAGTTATTTTTAATTTTATATGTTAATAATATTTCAATAATTTGTTTAAGGTTATGCATCTAATTTTGAATTATTATTGATATACATACCATTTATTAATTCTAATATTTTTTTATTGTTTCAGTTTCTTTAAACATAATAACATATCAGGTACTTTACAATATTATATATTTATTTACTTACAAAATCTTCAAAATTAAAAATATTTATTTATTTATATTGTTCTAATAAAATTTAATATTATTTATTTCTTAAATTTATATGAATTAAAATGTATTTAAATGAAATAGTATTAAATTCATTAATATTTGAATAAATATTAAAAAATAGAATTTTATATTTTATTTACATTTTTTTTATAAAATTATACATACAACCTAAAAGAAAATTGCTTATTTGATCTAAACAAAAAATATTATTGGCATCTAGAAATTTCTAATTCAAATAGAATTACATCTATAAAAAATTATGTCTAATCTAATATAATTGCCTTCTAAAGTAAATGTTGTATTGAGATTATTAGTTATTTAACAGGCTAATTAATTATTTTATATAATGAATTACGAAATAAATAAAATATTTTGATTTTAGTCATTTAATTAAAATCATAAAATATTATTATATATATAAAGTAGTCCCTTTTTAATACGTTGCTTAATATTTTAGTAAACAGAAGCTACTTTTTGCTTGTGGGTTAGAGTATAATATATTAATCCACTTAATGCTAAACCATAAATTGCCATTTTCAGCTTTCCTTAGTAAAACTTTATATTATAATTAAGATATTCAATTATGGCTTATTTAGACCTAGCTATAAATTAAGGATTTTCCATTCTAAATGATTATGATTTTGAATCAAAAACTAAGTCTCCAAGAAGACAAAATATTCCTCTTGCTTTTATACCAAGTTCACTATCTTGAACTCCTATTTAAATTCCATTATAAAAAGGAAAGGGAGATAAAAGCAATGAACAAGCAAATAATATTCCGAGCTCTTTTTCTAATTTCATAATATCTTTTAAATTATAAATATGGTCTAAGCAATCTTCTGTTATGACAGTTTAACTTGAAAAGTTATTAACTAAAACTTTCATATCTTTTTATGTATCGTATAACTAGAACGAATTAACCCACTATTCCTTTACATCATGAATCGGATTTTATCTACTTTGGAGCATGTTATTAATAAAGAGTTTTTCTTTAAAATTCTTTTTGTATATCAGATACTCTGATTAATCAGCATTTAACAAAAATTCTTGGCTATTTTCTGGCTATCCAAGTCTACCCATAACTAAAATACTATTAATTCTAACAGTAGTTTAGCCATTCTCCTTTATAAAAGTTATAGGGATATGCTCCTTTTCTGATTGGGTGTCTAACTAATAATATTTCTATATAGAATCATCTATAGTTTTCATAGATTTTTACAATCCTGCATCTAAGACCTACAACTTTTCTTTAATTTTGCTATAAATTTGATAGCTATCTAGTGAATTTTACTCTTCTGTATAAGAAAGAAAGTCTTTAATTTAAGAAGTGAGATTATTTAAGTACTCATTCAGCTTCTTGTTTGATTATTATATTATTGATGGCGAATACACCAACTATTTTTAAAGGTGAGATCTTTTAAAGCTAGTATCATATATCTTATAGCTATACCAGATTATACTAACACTGCATCCTAAAGCAAAATATTTATTGAGTTTTAATCCGAATTATTTTGAAGTTATTTATTCTTCTTTTTTATCCTATTTTTCAGCCTCTAACTACTAGATAGATTGATTGGACTCTTAGATTTCTTAATTTTGATCTATCATAAATATATATTACTCTTAATATTCTTCAATATATCTTTAAAAAATTGTTTACTCAAAATATTATTATTACATTAATAATAAATAATATTGAATGATATATTAGCATAAAAACAATTGTATTTCTTTTTTTTACACTCAAAGTGTAATACCTTAAAAAATTAGCTTTTTAACTAAACAAAGTAAAATAGCATTATAAAAAAAAAAATTATTTTAAAGAATAAATTTCATATTTTATTTTTTAATTATAAAAATATCAAATATATTAATAAATAAATAAATTTCAAAAATAGTTTTAAATGTTTAAAATAAATAAATAAATAAATAAATAAATAAATAAATAGCTTCTTTTTGAACATATTTTTAAGATAATACAATTTATAAAATAAATAAGTAAATGAAATTCATTTTTGATTGCTGTAAAATTTTTCTAAAAAAAATTGAGCATTTGCATTATATTCCCAATCTTGCTCATTATCAAATACTCTCAAGTCAAATTTTTACTTAAATGCTTTCCTGTAAGAAAGAAGAAAGTCTATTTGATTTTAGCTTATCTCAAAGATTTACAAAATCATAAAATGCTGCATTTTAGTGTTAAATATATTTTTTAAAAGGGGATCATCGTTTTAGAAAATTAAAAACTTTGTTTTTGCATAGACATCTATACCATCAAATGTTTTAATTATAAAATCTTGTGGTTTTTATTAATCCCAAAAATTATTCTTCAACTATAAAAATATACCAGTAATCCCAAATATTGTAGAGTGATATAAAACCTCTAAAATTCCTTTTCTCATCATGAACTGCTAAGCTTATTAAGGGTCAAGACCAATAAGTGCAAGCAACAGTTCACTAGTTGAGCAATGAGTCATCTAATAATCAGCATTTTCATAATCAACTTTAAAAATATTGTATTTAAAAAAGCTCATCTACCCTTCTTTGTACATTGTTTTAATTTATGTGTGCATTTTCTATACAAATTACTAGAAGCTTTCTTCGATAAGATTTCTAACCATATCAATTTACTTATATTGTTATAGCATTTTTTATATGTTTTATAGTTCTTAAATTCTCTTTTTATGGTAAATAAGATGATTAGAGATAGTTCTTTATTCCTAGTTTGGTTACTGAGATAAAAGATCTATGATATGATCAAAATTTCCTATACCATAGCTTAAAGTTTCAAAAACCATTTCTAATGTTGCTATTTCTTAATCATAATTAATGCAAACTATTTTTTTAAATTTATTATAATTTGAGAGTCTACTAAATTGACCATCTCCCCTTAAAGGAAGGATTACATCTCCTTTTATCAAAATAACACCATCATTTAAATCATTTAAAAGCGAGCTACCAAAGTGATAAATATGCTTCACTTAATAATTTTATTACTTCAGCTCAAGACTATCTTTAACTTTTTTATCTTTTTTTATATGGTTTTACTTTTTTTATATACTTTTAAGAGTTGAAACTTAAATCTTTTGCTCTTATTCAGTTTCTATGAACTCATTTTATTCGATTGTTGCTTCATTAGTTGACATTTTAAGCTATTAAAGATAATGACTTATCTATTAATACTTTTAATTATAAATAATAAAATTGCAATTATATCCAATAATTAGATGATCTCAAATTAATTAAATTCTATCCAAACATTATTATAAACTATAAAAAAATTCCTAATTTTCTTTAAGATCACAAATATTATTAAATGTTTGAAAGGGCACATTTGCGAATCATTATTAAACCATTAGAAATTTAATACATTACTTCTTATAATTAGAAAATTTTTTAAAAGCTAAATAAGTTGTGCATGAATAAAATATAAATAAATTCATTAAAATATTATTTTAATTTATTATGAAAATTATTTTATGCATTAGCATTGCTTATTCTTGGATCTTTAAAATTGACGATAGTCTTTTCATTAAAATTGAAAAGAAAGAATCATTTTTTGAATATTTTGTGTTGTCAAAGTCATAAAATTGCAAACAAATAAATGTAGTCCAAAACTTATATTCAGAGAAGATTTATCAAAAAAATTGTTTATAAATCTTTCTTTAGCAATATTCTATTGTTAAAAATAACCAAATTAAAAATGATTTATATTGAGAGAGAAATTTAGCATTCTAAAATTTTATATTAAAACCTTTAAAATTTCATAATTATTTTAATATTAAATTTGCAAAAATGGGAAATTCCAATCAATATTTTTAATAAAACAAATTGTATAAAAGACAATTTATAAATGAATAAATAAAGAAAGAAAGAAAATATGGTATAATTGCTTATATTAATACCAAATTAGTTAATAAATCTAGATAAAAGATATAAAATTTTATATTTATTTCTCATAATTTATTTGGATAGAATTATTAAATGAATTATTTAGATTATGCAGCATAATCCCAATCTGATTCATTTTCCAATTAGGTAAGATATTCAAAATTAGGTTCTTTTTTACGAATATCAACTAATTATCTAAGCATATTCGGAGTAATGTCATAGTCTACAACAATGAAAAATTCTGTTAATAATATTCCTCCTTTACGGGCTATCGTATTATCCATATTATAAAAGATATGAAAGTTGGTATTCACCTATAAATCAATTCCATCAAAAGTTTTTATCATGCAGTATGATGAAAATTTTGTGATATTTTCATTATATAAGCTGAGGCAGTGCAATTCTATTCCAAATTCCTCCAGTGAAAAAACAAATTCAAACATACCCTTACGCATTATAAATTATTAGGCTTACTCTTAGCTTACCCCTAAAATTGCTAGCAATAATTAGCTCATAGACATCTATTCAATCTCATAAGTTCCTTCTTAGTAATTAATTTTAATAAATTTTGTCTTGTAGAATTTAATAGTGTAGTCTTTTATCATTTAAAGCAACTAAGCTTAGCATTTTTATTTAAAATTCTGATAAACTATCTCACTAGCCTATACAAATTCCTAAAAATTAGGCATTTTCGATATAGATTACACGAATTATTTTAATCTATCTACTCTTTCTTGATGTCTAACAAGCTACTAAGCAATTTAGTACATTGTTTAATTGGGCTGACTGCTGCAGAATTATATCAATTCTCCAAAATGGTCAACGCCTTTTTAAAAAGTCGTCATGTGTATATTTAGTTAGTCAATATTTTTATCTATTACTAACTTAGCCATCTTCTTATATTTGTTAAAAGTTCCTATCCTTTAGAAGTCTTCGTGATTGAAGTTCATAAGGATATCACCATTTAACAAAAACTCTCTATTACAAAAAAGATACTTTTAAAGAGGTATATTAACAATTTAGAGTTTATGCATTTAATTAGGCTAATCTTCTACTACATTTACACTATTATTATTCACTAGTACTAATGTGCTATTTTCACATTTATTTTATGAAGGGCTTTCTTTCTCTCTTTCTTCTAAAGATGAGCTTTGCTATGTATTTTCATCTTCATATATTGATTGAGGGTGGCTTTAACATGAGGAATATGAATTTTATGAAGATGCTGATGGAGAGCTAAAATTTATAACTAATTCATGATTTTGTAAATTTATTCCATATTCATCTACTGGCAGTTGTTAATTATAACTCATGTTGCTATATTGATGAAAATCTTCATGAAAAATAACTTCTTCTTCCATTTATATTCTATTTTTTATTTTTGAGAAAACCCTTTTGTATACTTGTAATACTTATTTTATTTACTAATTAATGTATTTATTGATAAAAGCTTATGAATAATTAATTATATAAATCCAAATATATGGCTAGTACTAATAGGATTTAATTATCAGGAAACTTATAATATCACCAATACCAAAATAATTATGGTAAAAAAAATGATACAAACTCAATTAAATTATACAATTAAACATATTTAATATAGAATTAATCTAATTTAAATTATTTAGTATATTAATAAAGAAAATTGAATTCTTTATTTTCTTTCTATCAATCGAAATATTTTTAAAACAGATTATTTACTTTTGGTAATTTTAGCCATTAGTTTCTATTAAATGAATTAAATTAAATTTATTTTCAATTAAAATTTCAGTTTAAAATGATTTAATTTAAAATTAAAAAAAGATTTTAAATATTTTTAAGTTATTTAAAGATTCATGTTTAAAAATAGCATTTTTAAAATTTAAATTGATAACAGTTTACATTTTATTTTGAAAGATTTTATAATTGATAATTATACAGAATTCTATCTAAGAATGGAAGCAATCATATAGAAAAGAGCACAATATAAATGGGATATTCATAAAATATAAGAACTTATTTAAATAGACATCTAGAATTTTTTAGATTATATTTATATTATTTTGTATTTTTACTCATTTTTTGATAATTTTGATAAAATTTTGATAAAATTTTTTGAACAAAATACTAATTAGCTTAATTAAATAGTAAGTTGTAATCTAACATTCTAGAAGAAAAAAAGAAAAAGTAAAAGCCTCTATGATAAGATATGATTAGGTATTATAAACAAACAAATTAAAAATTACACAATAAAATAGATAACAAAATTTTTATTTTATTGTTTCAATTTAAAATAATTTTTTTCTTATAATTAAATATTTTTTATTAAAAAATTATTTAATGGTTGCATTCATACTTTTTATCAAATATAATTATTTTATTTAACTGAATCTATTAAAATTACATTAAAGAGCAATAATGAAAGAAAATTACTGATACATTTTAAATATAAAATTCTATAAATATATTTTTGTTTTTTTGGATAACTTTAATAGGTTAATTTTTATTTACAACAATTTATTAGTAAAATTGTATTTTCATTTAACTCATAAGAAAAATCCTGATGTTTCTGAAAATGCAGTACTCAGCTAAGTTGGTACATCGTTAAAATATGCTATCTAACTTTATGTTTGTACCTTCTTTCTAGTAGAATCATAATATCTAGAAATAAATTTTTCAACTTCCTCAGAGTAATCCCAGTCTTATTCATTTTCAAAGAGTTCAAAATTAAAAGCAGAGTTTTTTCTTATCTCCATCACTTGCTAAACCATAGTGTCGCTAACTTCAAAATCAGCTATCATGCAAAACTCAGTTCTGTCTAAAAGAGTGCTCGAGCCAGTAAGTAATTCATCATTAAAAAATATACGATAGTTAATTTTTGCTTAAATAACTATTCCATCAAAAGTTCGAAGGGCTGTTTCAAAGCTAGTCTGCTATATTCTTTCACAAGCAATTTTTAAAAAAAATTTCACATGTTGACACATTTTTTAAACATTCGCTGAGTCAAATATACCCTTTCTCATAATAAACTATTATGCTTATTCTAAGTTAAGCCCCATCAAAGCAAGAAATAGCTCACTTATGTAATACTTTTTTATTTCATACATGAAATTTTCAGTGTTTATTTTTACTATTTTGAATGAATAAAATTTTAACTCTCCTTTTTCTTCCATTAACCTCACTTTTTATCTCATTTTTTCTTCAAAAGACTAAGAATTTTTCATAATTGTTTCTTTAAAAACCTCAAAATTTTCATTTGTCTTCATGCAGTCTGCTATCTAGATTTACTTATTGACAAATTATTAGTGTTTTTCTAAAATTAAACCAAATTCATGCATGTACTAGCAAGGATAATCCTTTAACATTTAGACAACATGTCTAAAATCAGAAATCCCGTCCACTGTATTAGTCATTTCTATTTCTAATTGTCTATTGCATTTTGAAAAATTGCAATAACTAATCTTTTTAAAAATGTTTAATTTTGAGAATCTGTCTGACTCTATATTATCAAAAGTGACTATCGCATCACCTTTCATTATAAAAACTAAGTTTTAATTGAGACACTTTTTTACTATTGGTTGAATTTACAATTCTTTTTTTACATATTTCTTTTCTTGTTCATCCTTTAATTCTCTTAACTTTCTTTTTAGATTCATGGTTCTTTTTTAACTTTTTCAATTTAATGTTTTTTTGCTTGATTATTTTTATTGATAGATTTTGATTTCTTTACCACATATCAAATAAAATCATCTATCTAATTTCTTCAATAAAATAGATGATTACACTAATGTTAAATATCGAGAAAAAAAAATAACATATTTTAATAAAAAGGGAAATTCAAATTTCTCAAAGTATAAATTGAGCAATTTTCTAAGACTTAAATTATTAATGAGAAAAATAAAATATCTTCAGCTTTCTTCAAAGCTTATTTAGCATTATTTACTTATTTAATTTAATCAAATATTTAAGTAATGTAACAAAAATATAATTTATTAAATGCATTTTTTATTAAAGGTACAAAAAGAGTTGGAAAATTTTATTAAAATGGGAAAAAAGATTTATTTTGCCTTTTTCTAAAAATTTTGATTGGGTCTAGCCTTAATGTTAGATAAATTATATTAATATATTATTGAATAGCTTATAATTAATTATGTAGTTTAATATATGTTAAAATAGATGGATAATTAAAATAATAAATGAATATTGTGATAAATGCAAAATATTAAATACTATATATAATACAAGGAGAAAAAATAGTATAAGACAAAATAAATCAATAATAAAAAATAAAATTAATTTGTAGCTTCTTTTTAAATAATAAATTACTTAAAAAAAAATATTTTAATTGTAAAAAATTCATTTCAATATAATATAAATAAATATATACAGTTTTTTTTATCATTGTTATATTTGATGAGGCTTTTGGCTTGTACTACGTACTATCCTGCTTTGAATAGTTATATTTCCTACCTTACTTGCTATTACTTTTTCTGATATTTAATCTGAAAATTGGTTTAATTTTTCTTACTTCGGAAGTTGTTTGTTTATTATTTGCTAATTACTTTCAAAGCTTTGGATCTAATTTAATTATTTCTTACTTTATTAGTTTTCCTTAGAAATGTATGAAAAAATAGTTTCATAATTCTCTTTAGATAGTTAAGTATCAAGAATATTTTAATTGGATTAAAATTAGATATTTTTATTTGTTTCAAAAGGCTATTTTGAATTCATATTTTCTATATCTGAAGCTGTTTAAAGTATTTACTATAGAGATGGTGGCTGAGGATCATTAACAATTTTAATTAAATCCTCTCTACTTTAAGTACAAACTTGAGTTGGCTGAGGTATTTTAATTACTATTTAACCATTTGTTTTAGACATAGGTGAAAATTAAGATTTAATTGGTGAAATTTATGTATTTGCAGTTTGATTGATAATTGATGTGTTATTTTATAGAATTGGCTTTTAAATACTTTCAAACGTACTTAAGCTTTTTTCTTTTATGTCAGGAGTAGCATTCTTACTATGAATTATTCTAAATGTAGAATTCTCTTAATTAATATTAGTAGAGGTTTATGAATTCTAAAGATAAGTACTAGGCTTAGAATATGATTTCGATCTTATCACTCCTTAGCTATTCTTGGAAATGTTATTATTTAATTTATAGCTCAATGACTCGTATATATCTTATTAATCAAACTCTGTGCTAGTTAGTTTGATTGAATTTGTTAGGTTATTATCAGTCTTCAAATGTTTATCAAATTAATCTTTCTTTATTGGAGTATTTAGAATTAGATTAGTTTACAATATTTTCTCAGTCATATTTGAGTTATTTGAGTTTGTAATACTCTTTTCTATTTAAGATTATTCTAATATTTTATCAACTTGGTTAAGATTACCTTTTTATGGGTATTAGGCATTTTTTAACAGTTTTGTGCTGTTCACTATTGTAGGTATTTTTGGCTCAGAAGTTGTTTGGTGATTTTCTGAGCTTTAAAATTTACTTTAATTTCTGTATGAGTATATTACCTTGTCAGTCAAAAAAGAAGATGAATTCTCTTTCTCTATTTAACTATCTTTCCTTGACTATTAATTAAATTATTATATTTTTAGAGGAGTTTCTTTGGATGGAGTAGTTATTTTTGTTATTGTTTTACCAGACATCCTATTTTGTAGCCCATTTATTAATTACATAAGTTCCTTAATTCTATCTTGTGAATCCAGTATCATATTATCTTTTTCATTTATTTATTTTGAGAGCAGGTCAATATATGCATTTTTTTTTAAAGAATCCTCCACTTAAGATTCAATAATCATTTTTTAATTATCAAATGATTTCTAAAGTTCTTCTAATTAAATTTATTTATTTTGAAGAGCATCCTGTATTGTTTTCATTTATATTTATTATTCTTTATCTTTATTCTGCATTATGCTTTCTAAATTCTTAACTTGCTTGATGTAAATTAAATCCATATTAGTAAAGTATTTTCTTAAGTCTTAATTTATAGATTCAAAATCTTTCTTTAAATGCTACAAAACTAATTTGTTTGCTTCGTAGTTCTCTAAAATGATAAATATTTACTCAAATAGCTTTGCATACTTTTAATGAACCTTTTTGAGTTATTCATCCCTATCTTCTAATTTAAGTCTAAAAACATTTTATTCATTAATAAGCGTTTATCTATTTTCATTAATTTCACATTGCTAGTCTTAGAGTTATTATGTTATGAAATTATTATTAGAGGAACCCTACAATGTAAAATTGCTGCTTAACTATCCAAAGTTACTATTTAAAGGATTTTCTTAGATACTCTACTTATTGTTTTCATTTCGACTTGTTGTTAATTGGCTGCTTTGATTCACAAATTAATCTTTTAAATTCTAGCTAATTGTCTAATACTTCTTGAATTAATTTGAAAGAGTTTCGCTCTTTTTTAAATTTGATCTGTTGCTTAACAACAAATTCAAATCATTGTTTGCATTTTGATTATTTACTTATACTAATAGAGAAGAATCCTGATTTTAATTTGATGGAGGCTATGACTGTTTTGTATTATCTAAAATTTTACATTAATAATATTTTAATTATTTTTAGCTTAAATTTTTAATTTAAGAATTAATTGAATACAGATTCACTAAAAATGTAATGTAATTTTGGTGATATTTAAATAAAAACTAAACAATTTTACACTCTAATGGAGAAGCCAGAGAGGAAATAGGATGGCTTTCTGTTTAATATTAGCTTTTAATTCCACTTTTTTCATTCTAATTTTTTATTAATTAAATTATTTTAGAAATACTATATCAATCATAATAAAAAGAATTATTATTCAATTCTATTTACTTAACAAAATGTTTCTGCAACATTTTTGGAAGGTGATCTGCTAATTGTGTTTTCTTCTTTGTTAGATGATTGTGAATTAAAAGCATTTGGATTGAACTAATAGCACTCATTTATACTCTAATTGAAAGAGTATTTAAAAAGTAGTATTTATCCATCAGTATCTCCTACTGCCAGACAGTTAGGATTTAATTTTATTATTGAATTTACTCTTGATGTGGTTGAGTAAATTACTGTAGAAATATTCATATTGATGTCATAAATAATAACATCTTAACCATCTCCTACACATAGATACCTAGAAGTTATTAACTCAACTGTATAAAGAGGATTTTTAAAACTAAATTCTTTGAATTGATTATTCTTTAAGTCCCAAATTCTTATTGATTTGTCGGAACCTCCACTAATTAAAGTATCTCTGTCTGCTAAATATTTCATGAAATAAACACTTTTGTTTGGCAGATGAGCTTGCAATTCTTTAACAAATTCACCACTCTACCAATTCCATATTTTAATTTAACCATTAGTTCCTGCACTTGCCATTTCATAATTATTAAGTCCAACAATACTGTTAACAAATGACTCATGGCCGTGTTCTTCATGCTAATTATTTTTTATCACCTATATAGCCTACCATTGACTCTTTCTTTTTGAAAATTTCAAAATATGAATGTAACCATTTTAGTGTCCCTATAAAATATTATAGTAATTTAAAAGTTAAAAAATTAATGATTAAATAAATAATCTTTAAAATTACTGTGGCAATCACATCTTTATGTAGCTCAAATTAACCCAAACATTAGATCTTATCTTTAAATGTCAATTTTTATATGATTTATCCAGTTTCCCAATTAAAAATTTATAAAACATTATCGCAGGCACATATTAGAATATCATTAAAACAGACTAAATCTCTACAAATATTATTTCCCAAATCCAATACTCTAACTAAAGTATTAGTTGTAGTATCCCATATTTTCAATTTAAAATCTCCTGAGCTACTGCACATAACCCTATGATTGAGTCTTTATAATTTCCAAACACATCCTTATTTATACAAGTTCTATTTTAGTTCTACATTCAACTTTTTATCTCTTTCTTCAATAGATTTTTGTAGAGTCTCCTTTGTCAGATATTTATCATTCTAATAAGGGTATTAGGTCTCTAAATTAAATTATTGTAAATATATTTTATTTATATCTAATATATAAAAAAATTATTGAAAATAAATATTTTGTTTTGCTTTGTGTTGTTTTGTTTTGGCTTTTTTAATACTAAATAAGATATATTTATTTTACTTTTAATTGTAACTTTTTTTACAAATATTTTTGTTTTTATTTATTTTTAAGTTAAGGAAGATTAAAATTATTTTGATTAAATTAAATTGTTTTATGTATTGTATTTACCTTGAGTGTATTTTGATGTATAAGCAATGGACTAGTATCCTTAAACCCAAGAAAGTATTTACAAAAAAGTATTTGAGTCAAAAAGTTGAATGATTCCTTACTTAAATTTGTTAACATTTTTGTAAAAGCCAATAAGAAGTGGGGATGAAGTTTGATTAGAATCCATGTGAATATAAACAGGGCATATTTATTCTAATTGATTAATTTATTCTATATAAACTGTATTTTGCTAAATGTCTTGTACATATCTTTCAAGTAAAAAAGTATTACTGAGAACATATAAACACTTATTTTCATTATATTAGTCATAATCCTATAAGAAATAAAAGCTATTCTCTATTTGAAGAACTCCTACATATTCTTAAATTTCTCTTTCTATAATTAAAACAGCATAATCACAAGAAAAGATTTTATCCTCAGTTTTTTATTCCAAAATATCTGCATCAGTATTACTTACATACTCTTCTTATTGATATAAGATTTGCTTAACCCTGTATTCTCTATTTTAGCACCTAAATAGGAGTCTATCTTCTTAAACTATTTAATCATTGATTAAGATGTTATCTATGTTGCAGAGCAAATATTAAGGACCTATAGCAATAGCTAGTCCTATTTCTTTGTACTCATTGTAAATTTAATCATTTTCATTTAGGTCGAAATCCTATATTTAATAGGGTATTTGCTTATTTTATGATAGCTTCTTTTCATTTTCACTTTAATTATAATTATCTTATTCATTTGATCTTTACTAGTAGTAGAGAACTCCTAGAGTATTGTGTATATCTTTTAAAAGGGCGGAAGATAAATATCCTTAAAAAAATGTTTTTTATTAGAATAAATTAGGTTTGAATTATTGATTTGTGCTCATTAGATAGGCTATTAATCTTTATGAACAATCTTTTAAAAGTGTAAAAATATTTCTCTTAAAATAGTAATACTAGATAGTTATTAATAAATCTGATTGCTATTCAATTTAATATAGCAAATATTTCTTCTTCTTATTTATGTTTAATTTAATTTTAAATACCTCAACGATATTAAATTAGAAACAATAACACTTTCTATTTAACAAATAGTTTTTAATCATTAAATTAATTTAATTATTAAACGAAAAATTAAAAGGAACAAAATGTTATTGGCTTATAAATTTGTTATTTTTTGAAAATGAAAATTTATCTGTTAGAAATGAATGAATACCTTACATTATTTATGATATAAAAATACACGCACTTCTTTAATATTTTCTTTCTAAAATACATAAAAGGCAATTTATTTATCCATTAATGCATATATTCGAAACAAACAAGTAATTAATTTTATATGTGTAAAAATGGAAATATCTGTTTTAAATTATTGAGGAAATAAGCTAAAAAAAATAAATTCATTAAAAAAAAATATTTATTATTTATTTTATTTAAATTTAAAAAATTTGAAAATAATTTTACAAATAAAAAAAGAAATAAATCTGAAGAAATGATTTAGTTGGAAAAATGGATTATTTCTTAACAAATTAAATTTTTATATTCAATTTGTTATTACAGTCAAAAATAAAATATTAAATAATTAAAATTTAGTTTTTCGAATTGTTTCAAAAAGATAACAGAAATGTCTACCAATAAATATATTATTTTATTTTTAAATATTTATAATTTATTAAAAATATTGCTTTATCTAGATGAAAACCTTAATTCAAGAGAATCTAAGGGTATTAGTTATCTAACTAGCTTTTGGTTTTATTCTTAATAAAAGCAGAATTCAATGAAAATTTTCTTTTTCGATTTCATGAAATTTGTTTTGACTTTATAAAATTTATTTGTAATTTGAAGATTTTAGGAATAGAATAAATAATTATTTGAATAGATTTAGAAATTTTATTTTTTATTAGATTCTTTATTATAAATTGTATTTATAATCAAATAAAAAGCTTTTTTTTAATTTGAAAGATATAATCTATTTTTATTTTAAATATTTTAACTTTAGTTTATTAGGCAATTACAAAATTATATTTACAAGAAAGAAAGTAAAGAAAAGTATTAATTGATAAGTATTTTTGTTTGAAATAAAATTAATAATTTATCAAATGCTAAAGATGAAAGATAACTATTTTTTTTTCAATAAAATTCATTTAGTTAAATGATAGAAGCTATTACATATAGTATATTTACAAATAAAGCATGAAATTATAATAAATTTGAAGCTATTGCTACTTAATTTATTGGTTATTTTTTTAAAGTTGAATATAAATGAAGTTATAGTTATTAAATTGATTAAATAGTAAATTCTTCTAGTTATTTTTGGTATAATATACATTCTTTCTTTCAATTATTTTAAATCATTAAGAGACTTTGAAGTTAATGAGTCTTATATTTTTTCTTAAAACAACTTTCTTATGTACCTTTGGCTACTCGTATTTGACGTTGATATACTTTAATTATTTGAAAGAGTTAAGAGAAACACTTAGCGCGTCTGAACCTACCTCAGTAATGTCATTTGTGGTATCGAATTAAAGATCCAAAGCTTACAATTTTTATAAGAAAATTAAACTGTTAGCAATTGCAATTGATCCTTTAGCTAATATATTGTTTTACCAACTTATTAACAATTTTAAATTAACTAAATTTGCTAAAGATTTAATTCCATCTCCTAATCCCACAGCACCATGCTCACCAATATTATTTCTTGAATCTATGTTTAAGCTGAAATGAGTTAAATTATTCAGTTTTTTTAAAGTGTTGCCAAGGCTTACAGCTCCACTTGATTATATTTAATTAGCATAGCATATTTTTAAATCCAGATTTGTTAAATTAACTAACTTAGCTATGCTATTACAAACGTCTTGAAAACCTTAAGACTAAATGTCATTCTTTCCAATTGTCAATTATAATTCTTTTAAATTAATCAAACAGGATAATCCTTCAGATAGACGTGTACATCCAATTACATTTAAGTTGTTATCGTGATCTATTGTTAATTTCAGAGTTTTTAGATTTTGTAGGTTTTGAAAGGATCTTGCTATAGAATGAATTCCGTGTGTTTCTAAAAATTTAAAAAACACTTTACAATTTAATTAATTTAGAAAATTTTAAATTACTTGATGGATCGCTATGATCTTTTTATAGTCTTAGGTTTACTCTGGTCTTTTTAAGATATTGAGAAAAAACTTCTGAAATATTGTCACCTATTTTGATATTATTAAATAGTAAAAATCACATAGAAAATATTAAAACAAAATTTAAGTTCATCAAAAAAGATTTTTTTTAATTGGTAGATCTAACTAAAAAAAATAATAATGAATATGAACATATTTTTTGATTTAAAAAATCTTCTACTAAACGATTTTGTAAATATTTTTTTTTTATATAAAACAATAAATTATAAAATTTTGAAGGAAATTTACAAATATTATCCAAGCTAATGTTTTTGTCAAGCCCATATCCTATGTTGTTTTTGCTGCCTATGACAAGGTGGAGTTTCTCTAAGTTCAATTTTTTATATAGAGTGATTCCAATAGCTTGAGCGCCACTTTTTTCAATATTGTTAGAATGGATGACTAAGCTCAAATCATTTAAATTTGGTATTCTTGATATGCATTCAGTTATTTCCTAAATTACTTAAAATCCTGCTTCATTTTATTGTAAGGTAAGGCTGAATGATTTTAATTTAGGCAACCATTCTAAACAACTCAACATCTATTTTGCATTCTTAATGCTGCTCCAGTTGTCTTGATGTATGGTTATTAAAAGTTTCTATAAGAAAACTATCTAGGTTAGTACCTATCCTAAATATTTTAAATGTTCCTCCTTTAAATTAGATGATTTCATTATTTCTAGAGATAATGATGTTATATTTTTAAATATCTTTATTTGGTCAACATAAAATTTGAATTCTTCAAAGCCCCATTATTGCTTTCCTTAAACTTTGAAGTGCAAGTCGTCCTGATCTTAAGAATCCTCGTATAAGGCTGATTAAATTTAAAAGTTTTGATGACTATGAATATGAATGAATTATCTGGCTATCGGGCTATCGCAGCTGCTTGAATTAAGCTCTGAGTACATTGCAAATTATATCTATTAGTTAATATTATTTAAAGATTAATTTCAATTTTTTTTTTAATTATTGTTTATATGATTAAATCTTTTTTTTCGGTCTATCAAATATTATTTCTTTGGCCAATTACTATTCGTTTACTTATTAATAAAATCCAAAAAAATACAAAAGATCGCCAAAATCAATTATTATTTAAACAAACAAACAAAATCAAGTGGTATCTACAAAATCAACAAAAGGAGTAACTTAAAAACTCCACAAATCTTTAATTTCTGAAAGAGAATAATTTATTTTGCCAAAGTTATATGCTTAACAAATAAATCAAATTTATACATTTTTTAATAAATACTTACAATAAACTAAGTGCATTTTCATTTGTTTAATAAAATCAAACAAAAAAATTTATTACTTTATTAAATTCAATATATTAGTCAAAGCTATTGAGTTACTAGTCTAACTTACTATTTCGCCAGTGTTTTCTTCAACACTTAGGATTAAAAAAATTTAGCTTACACACTTCTTAGATTGTTTAACTATAGAATAGAAGAACCTAAGAAATAAGACCCTTCAAAATTTATGTCATTACTACTTTCATCTATCAATATTATTAATTACTTTAGTTTTTACAGCTTAAAGATAGCATCTGAAATAGCTTTAGCACCTTGAACGCTAATAAAATTCCCCCATTTTATTTGTAATTTAAGATATGTAAGAGAATTGAGCTCACCTATTGCTTCAAACAAAGTGCAAATACCTTCAGACTTAATATTGCATTTTATACCAATTTCAAAAGAAAGATGTGTCAAATTGGGGAAATTCAGTATTGTATTTTTTAATAAAAAAATTCCTTATTAACAAATTTAGCAATTATTTTAGATTGAAATAGATAAATTTGTTAAGTTGCTTAGTTTCTTAAAGTTTATAGGATAGGCAAGCATATTATTAAAGCAAAAATATTAACCGATGACTAAATTTAATTTCTTTAAGTTTGACAAATTCCATAAAACTTAAATAAAATTCTTATCAGTTTGAATATTTTGCTATTAAACTTGGTCATTATCTATGTTTAAGTCTAATTCTTACAAATATTAGTGATTTTCTAGCATATTTACTATCGCGTGAATTCCATCTATTTCTATAAAAAGTTAATTTGTAGAAAAAATATTTAAAATTATGTTTACCTTAATCAATCAACTTTTCAAAATACTAGTACTCTTCATTATCCCAGCAGTTAAGAATGTGTAAATTCAAAAAGCTACTAATAGAATTTTACTCTATTTATTATTAATAAAAATAAGTAATAGAGCAAATATAATCAAAAATAGATGAACTAATTTATTAATTAGTGATTGAAAATTTTCTACATTAAATAATTTCTAACTAAAATAGATATTTTTTGTAGAATTAATTTTTTTTTTTTAAATGAATTCTTTTGTCATCTTTTTAAATTAAAATAAAATATTTTTTACATGCTTTAGTAGGAGCAGATATATTATTTTCTTTATCAATTTTTAGACTTAGAGTTTTGAGATTTTTAAGCTGTGAGATTGAATAAGCTAAGGCTTATGCTCCTTTGGATTTTATATTGTTGCTTTAAATCTCTAATTTTAAATTTTGTAAATTCTTTAGCTTCAAAATTTAATAAGCAATTAGATAAGCTCCTTTGCTCCCTATTTAATTATCTTCTATTTTCAAAGATAAATTTATTAGATCGTAACTATTTTCACAACAGGCATTTAAAAGCTATCTCAACTGTTGAAATGTGATATGGGTATTTTTTGAAATGAAGATGCTTAGTGTTGAGATTACATTTACATTTTATTATTTAACAAAGATATTTAAAATATTAGATTCAAAATATTCCATATTAATATATTAATTTGTATTTTATTTCACTAGTTAAGCTCTGCTAAAATTCTTTTTTATATTTTTTAGCTGTTATTAAAGTTCTTTCTAACTACATTTCTCTAAAGATATTTATAGAATTTTTTCTTATGGATTATAGTTGTAATTCATTTTATTTTTAATGCTTTGTTTATTCAATATTTGGATAATTTATAATTAGTTAAATTTTTAAAAATTATTAATTTATAAAAGATAAATCGCTTTAAACATTTGAAATAGTAATTATTTGTCTATCTCATCAAATTATTAAATATTTAAGTTCATAGATAAATAAATATTGTTTATATAATTTCCACAAGTAAATTTTACTCAATCTGAAATGTTTAATTTTTAAGATGCATGGTCAAAAATTAAATAAAATATAAATTAAGCTGTTCCTCCATTTGAAATTATTAAATAATGATTTGTGATAATTCAAATCATTAATAATTATGAATATTTTTTAGTTACAAATCTTAATTATTCTCTTTATATTTGATTTTAAAATGCATACGAAAATTAATCAAAATACAGAAAACTTTTTTCTCTATTTTTTTCTATTGAATACTTTAATTTAATTTTAAGAATTTATAGCAAAAAATTAAAATATCCTGCTTAGTTTTTAAGCAAAGGTATATCTTATAAATACTGATTTAAAAATTAAAAAAAATATGTAAACTGCAATTTAGTCATTTATATATTAATATTTTAAAACCCAGAGTGGCTATTTTTGATTATAAATTAGTAATAATACCGTTTCACAATTCTGATAAATTTGGAAATATTTAAAATCAAAATAATTAAATTGAAATTTGTATTATCTTAAAAAATTTTGACATCAAAATACAGAGATACAAAGAGTAACTTAATAATCTTGATTTTATTACTTTTAGATATAAAGTAAATTAAAAACAGAAAAGTACATTTTTATTTATTTCTTTATAAAAATGTATTTAGAATTACCTTAAAATATATATCTGTACTATATTTTTTTATAAGAAATTGTTAATTTTAATAATTTAAGTATTAAATTATGTTAAAAAAGTTTATTTTTTAGATTTTATTGGCAAATAAAAATTATTTAGAGGTTTATTATTGTTAATTTGTTATCAAATATAACTTTATAGTAAAAAAAGAACTTTTTTGTTAAAAATAACATACTAAATCTATAACTAAAATATAAATAAAATGAACCATATTGCTTAATTTTTAAAAGAATAGAAAAATTGCCTGAAATTACTCTATGCTTTACTATTACTATCTAGTCGTAACATTAAATTTAATAAAATTAAAATAGAAGTATAAAGTAGAAGAAAAACTAATTAAGTCTGAATTAAATTTGAAAAATAAGATTAGTAATAGTTTGTCTATATTATATAAAAAAATGTAAGAAATCAGCAAATGTAAATACATAAAAAAACTAAATATTTTTATGTAGAAACAGTCAAATTTTATAAAAACTCAAACATCATTTTACACTTAATTATTTATTACCTTATAAATTCAATTCAAGTATTTTAAAATATTAAATTTGCTTTTGATTTTTTCATAAAATTTATTAATACTTTTTTAGAAAGAAAATAAAATAACTCATTAAATCTCACAATAATACAAAAAAATAGATAAAGAAAACTGTTTCAATAATTTTGAATACCTTCTAATATCTATTAAAAAAATAAAATTTAATAAATTCAAGAATCACATTTCAGTAATAATTTATTACTTTATAAATCAAATTCAATTATTTTAAGCTTTGAGTTTGATTAAATTTTATCAAAAAATTTATTTACATATTTTAGAAAGAAATTAATTTCCTTTAAAAAAAGTTTAATATTTTGGTGTTTTTATAACAATTGATTAAATTTACATTAATTAATAATTGAGTATAATTTAATTGTTCGATAAACAATTAGACTCTAAAAATTAAGAAGTATTAATCTACTATGAAAATAGTAACTTTCAAAGTTACACTTAATTGATTAAAAAAATTGTATTTTTTGACTTCTATATTAAATATTATATAAATCTTCTATTGTTTTTAAATCCAAAAAGAAAAGAAAAAAATTAAAAATAAACTTAATTAAATAAATTTATTTTTATTTAAATAAAATAATTCTTTTAAAAATATTTAATTAACTAGTGTATTCATTAAAAAAAACTAATAAATAATTAAAAAAATAAAATATTTTTAAACTTCAATATAAAGTATTAATTAAATCCTCTATAAATTTTTATTCTAACTGTGAAATAAGAAAAGATATTGTTAAAGAATAATCTCAATAAAATCTATTTGCTTTTATCTATTAAGATAATTATTATTAAAAATATTAAATTGACTGAATAGATTTGAAAAATATTGATAATTTGTGAACAATAATTAATTAAAAAAATTACTTAAATTTACTGTAATTTTTATGCAAAAAGAAAAGATATCATAAAATAATAACCAAAAATAAATATGTTTGTATTTTATCTAGTTAAATAATTCTTTTAAAAATATTTAATTGACAAACCTATTTGTTTGAAAAATTCTAATAACTAATTTAAATCAAGAATAAATTAAAAAAAATATTTTTTTGACTTAAATATCAAAAATTATTTAAATTTTCTTTAATTTTTAATGTTAATTTTTCAAAAAGAAAGTTAGCATCAAATAATGTCAGCAAAAACTGTGTTTATTTTTATTTAATTAAATAATCTTTTAAGTAAAGTAAATTGTCTAAAGTATTCATTCAAAAATTATTATACAACTAATTTTAATTTATAGACTATTTTTTTAGAACATATACTTAATTATTAACTAACTATTTTATTAAAATTTTAATAAATATTTTTAAAAGGTTCTTTAAAAACTCAGCTTGACAATTTTAAGTTCTTTCTCATAATTATATATTTACTTATTTATTTCAATTTACTTTATTATTCTAGTTGATAGCAATATTTCATACTTCAGTTTCTTATTTTTAAAATTATTTTTATTTAAGTTATTTTTATAAGAAATAATATTTACTTGATTATCTTGCTAATTAGAAAAACTCTAAAGCTTTATTTTTTGTGATAGGGTTTTCCCTTTCATAATCCTAAATTAATTATATTTTGTAAATTTATAATTAATACAAATAAACTTTAATTTTACTGTATCAAACTAGTCTTTTACTTACTTGTAAGGCTTGACTTCTTAGATACTTACAATTTCAAAAATCCATTCATTAATTAATTAGAGTGGCAATATAATAAATATAATTGATATGCAAAATAATCCTAAACTAAAATAGTCTATATATTAGCCAAGGATCCATCTGAAAATAAAGTTACCCATCTAATTTAAATTTAATAAAATATCATTTAATAATTAGTATTTTTATATTACACAATGCAAGAAGACATTAAATTCAATTAATTCAAGCATTTCAAATGATAAATCATATCCAATAGATTCTTTGACTGTTCTTCTATATATTAGATTATATTTATCAAGCAAGTAATAAAAAATCATCCCTAAAAGAGAGATAAAAGTGCATATAGGTACTAAGGGAGAGAAAAAAAAAGTTAACCACATCGTTTTTGTAGTATCTGCATACCTCCAACCAATCGAATAACTTGGAAGTTCCATCAACCTGAATAAAATATTTTTTTATTTTTAATATTGATAAATCTAAATTAAAAAAATACTCATTAGCTTCTCTCTAAGTAAGAACCGAATTTTCTTTGTTTTGTAGTTCTTTTTCTCTTTTTTTGTTCTTAATAATGGACCAAGGATCAATAACCCATAAGATATTTGGTAAAGTTGCATTTAAAATTAAATTAAGAGTAACGCTATATACCATGTTACCTCCGTAGCCATAGTAATTTTAGAAAAAAAAAATGTCTGTAAAAAAGCTAGATAAAGCAGTATTTAAAAAAAGAGGTATTGCTAACTTAAAAGCAAAAGAAGTATTCATTTTAGTTTTAGTACTTTATTTCTCCATTTTAACTATAAGCCCAACTAAATAGGGAAGAGCGAGTTAATTGAATAAAGCTATAGATATAGACAGTAGAAAACAAAATATTTAGTCCCAATAAAAGCTATTTTAAATTTCCTATAAAATTTTTTCTATTTTAATTTTATTTTTAGCTTCATCTAAAGCATGAATTTCATGTAATCTACTATAGGCCTTTTATACTTACAAAGACTAAATGTATTTTAATAGTAAAACCAATCCCAAGCTCAAAAGCATCAAAAGTATCCACATAAATGTTGAATAAATATTTGAGATTTATCTATCACGATTAGAGCAGTGAGCAAATTCCCAGTCTATATCATTAGGTTCAGGAGCTTCTATGATTAAAATTTTTTCTTTGCCTATTTTTTAAGTATCATTATACCTTTCTAGCCTTCCATTATATAAATAATTAAGTAACTTTGTAAAAAATCCTGGTACATGCTCATCTAATACTTAATCTTTTTCTATGTATTAAAATTTATATTATAAAACCATTTGCTTTCAATTTTAATTACCTTGCTCTGTGGAAAAACTTACAAATGCTTGTCCAGTAAACTTCTCTGGCTATAAGGGAATGAGAGTTTATTTTTCTAAGATCTCATTATTTACATTGTTTATTTCTACTTATATCTAAAATAGCTCTTCATCTTTGGAATTTATTCCATTTTTTTTAAGATATTCTTACTTTTTCTTTATAAGATTTTTATATTTAAGTTCCAGTTCTTAAATTTCATCAATATTATAGATCAGGTTTACTTTTTCTACTGTTTTATTTTATAATGCAAAGTGATCTTTGATTGTTTGTTATATATTTTTCAAATTTTTTGGAATTAGTTTAATCCAAACTGAGTAGTCAGTAGGAGTTGTAAACTTTTGATCTACATCAACTTCAGTTTATCTCAAATTTTTTCTAAATTCAAAACATGCTATTACTTAGAATAGCATGGCAACAATCGAAAATTATAACGAACCACCTTCTTTAATTTAATCAATTGTATTTGCCAAAGATAATTCATTTACTAAAAGATTTGGGCATGGCTAAACTCTTTTTACACTATTAATATTAGCCTATATTTTTGAATATTGTGTTAATTTTGAAAACTTTTAAGCTTAATAATAATAAATAATAAGATTTTATTTACTTGCTAATACTTCATCCAATCATATACTTCAAGTTATGATTTTTAACAAAAAGAATCTAAACTATAGAATGCAGCAGTAGGAAGGCCTTAAATAAGACTTAAGAATAATAACATAAGGATACAGATATTTAAATAGCTAAAATAGAGAGGAAAACCAGAACCTAAAAATCCAAGTTTTATATTTGCAACAAATAAATTTATAGGAATTCTATTCTTTTTATTTTAGATGATTGTTGGTTGACAAAAATATTTATGTCAAAATAAATTTTACAATTTCATAGCCACAACATTCACAAATATCTTCATAATCATTGTCTGATGTTTTGCTTCTCTCAGGTTTTGTTTCTCTAGATTGCTATTCAATTGAAATTGTTAAAATAAAAATGGAGTTTTAAATTTTACTGCATGTTTTTTTGCCTTCTCCCAATCAGGTGGAATCAAGTCCATAAAATTGCCTCCTTTTAAAAAGATAAAATAACATACTATTACCAAAATTCAGACAAAAAGATTTGAAATACTATTGTTGCTAAAGCTATGAAGATAAGTTTGATCATTAAATGAATTGTTAATAAGCGAAGCCATTCTTTAAAAGTAGAACTATTTATTAGTCTGTTATTCAAAAATAAAATATTGTTTTAATTAAATTTTAGAAGATTATTTTCACTTAAATAACAAAATTAATCTAAATTTTCTTATATAAAAATGAAATAGAAAACAAATTGTAAATAACATTTAAAAGAAGTAACAAAAAAGAAAGAAAATACCAGTTTAATTAAAATTATTTTTACTTTTTGTCCATTTTGACAAATTTATTTTTATTTTTAGTTAAATACTTTATTGATTTTAAATTTTAAATTTCTTATTGAAGCTATTATTATTTGATAATTTTAATAATATTTTTAATATCTAAATAACATTTTTAATTATAATAAAAGATAGAATTAATTGAAGCAATAAAATTTTTAAATCTAAAGAACTTTCAAAAAGTTCTAAATTACTGAATTAATTATACAATTTTGGAAATTTAATTTTTCTTTATATATATTAAAATAGATTATTCATTATCACAAAGTTATAAAAATATTTATTGTATTTATCATACATTAATTTATAAAACGCTAAAAAAAATAATTCCTGCTGGATAAATTTTAAAATTAATCAACTACGTCTAGTACAAACAACCAAAGACTTATCAGGGAAACTTGTTAAGAATAAGTATTTTTAAGATTCATCTATTAGAGCTCCTGATATGCCAGCTACAGCTTTAGAGGAAGAAAACAATAATTAGCTCTCAAACTATTTAGTGGTAGGATTTAGCTTTATTGTGTGAACTTTAGCTTATAAATCAACTATTGATTTTTTTGTAGGATTTTATTAAATCTTTTCAATCTTAGGGCTTAAAGTTAAATATTAATAGACACTATTTAACCCGGCTGAAATAAATTACTTATTGACTGGGTCATAAGTAATATTATCAGGTAATTAATCGACATTGAGATTCTATATTAACTCTATTTCTTGATTAGAATTGTTTAATCTGAAAATTTTTATTTACCTATCAGCTGTATCTGTAGCTGCAATTGTATCTTTTCCATCAAAAGCAATACCGTTTATCATAACTCCTGCAGAATTACGCAATTTACTGCAAGTAGCAAGTCCTCCTTAAACATACTTACAATCCCAAACATTAGTTGTTTTAATTTTAAAAATTTAAATGACTAAAGTGAGAACCTTTTACCATATTGGTTAATCTTTTGGTCCTGATAATGGAGCTGAAAAGACCATCCAGTCGCTGATTAAAAATCTTTCGGGAGTTAAAAAGACAAGATCATTAGTAATTCCATTGAATTTTTCAGCCATTTAAGTAAAATGAAGATATTCTAATACTATTTATCCCTATTCGTCAAGCAAGATCTTGAAAGTATCTACTCTTTCTCCGCCAGTGTAGAAAGAATGATTAATAACATGGAGATAGTTAGAATCACGAAGATAAATTCCATGAGGAATCAGGAAGACATTATCTGGGTAATTCTTTACTTGTACTTTCTTTGCTTCTAATTTGCCTGTAGATATACCATAGACTGCATAAAATCCTCCTTTCTAAGCAATTTCAATGCTATCTAAACCTTAAAAGATTTTATGCAAATTAACATGCATAGTAATAAGGATGTCCTTGTTATAAAAAACAGAATCTTCAGGTCCAATAGAATCAAATCCTTAAGTTTGAATGTATTCACAATCAGAATACTTTTCTTAATACTCAGCAGATGTTGAGAATATTCCAACAAAATGAATTACATGAGCAATCAGTAAAATGGGCACTAAACTGCAAATAGTTTTACCTATCATTTTAAGCCTATTTATTTATTTACTTACTTATTTATTAATTGAGTATTTTTAAATAATCAATATCTTTATTTTATATTTATATTCAGAATAAATAATTATAAAAAATCAAACAAGAATTTAAAGATACAAAATCGATAATATTATTATCAAATTTCAAATTATTATTTATTGTTTTGATAGTTAATTTTGATACAATAAGTAAGATTCTGCATATTTTTATTAAACGCTCAATTAATTCTGGTATATTTCAGTAAATTTTTCTAAATTTCTAAGTAAAATCTGAAGGAAGAAAGAAAGAAAGTGCATTTTGATTATTTTTAAAGAGTCATAAAATAATCAAAATCATCTGATTATTAAATAGAAAATCATCAAAAAATAATTTTCAATTAATTTTGACTTTTATTTTTCTAATTTATATTGTGAGTTTTATTTAGTTGCAGCACATCGAAAAATTAAATTCTGCTTTTTTAAATTAGCTGAAGAGTATTTAAAGAAGATAATATTAATTTTTTAAATAAACATACATTAAATGATTTTTTAATTTTAATTCATCAGGTCTAATCAGTGATTTCTTAATATTTTACAGTCATAATATAAATTTTAAGCCCTTTTAAATTTTAATTGATCTTTGAATGAATCGAAAAATCCTTCTATTTTTAAAAATAAAAATATAAATGAAGTATTTCAAATCAGATTTTTAGAATAACTTTAATATAAAATAAAAAAATTTTTAATCATAATTTTAATAAATGAAACCTTATAAAAATTAGCATTAAATCAAAATGAAAATTATATATTTTACTACTTAATCTATAATTAAAGTGAAAGAAGATATGCATCATTTAAATATAATTTTATGTACAGAAATCAAAGTGAATTCAAAAATAATTTGTAAAAAAAAGTATCTTGAATAAACAATATATTTATTTAAAAATAAATAACGATATTAGGTTTTCATTTATTATTTTAGATTAATTAAATAGCAAGCTACACTAATAGATAGTGGTATTGATGTATTAGCTATTTTTTAATTTAAATTCAAATTTCTGAAGTGTTTTTCTTTTTGAGAAATAGACTTTTTTTATCTAGGAAAAACAATCAAATGTACTATGCAAAAAAATTAATTAAAAGAAAGTATCAAATTCTTTTACAAATTTAAAATTCAAAATTTTCAGAATTAATTTATTTTTATGTTAATTTTTTTAATGTAATATATATATATTAAGACCCTCTATTTTTAGCACAACCCATCAATATTTTAGCCTATTTTGAAAACACTTTTTTAAAGATTCAACCTTTCAAAAAATTCTTAAATCGAAGATTTTACATTATTTTCTAAGAAAATTAATAATAAATGTTATGTAAAAGTTTTAAATTAAAGTAGCGCCAAATTTTTAATAGAAAATTCTATCTAAATAAATTGGTCTTATTACTTATTTTATTTATGATATTTTTAATAAAAAATTAAATACAAAAAACTTTAATTTCATATTTAAAATGATGTATGAAATTAGTTATTTTCATCAATGTATTATTTATAATCAAGTTAAATTAAATGATAATATTTTAAAGTAAATTTGGTAATCTTGAAGTATTTACTTTTTTCTATTAAAATGAGTTATTTTTTTTAATGAATATCAAATAATAAAAAGTATTCTAATAAGATTTTAAATTAATATAACTTCTTTATATTGATTGAGTGCTACTTAAAAATGAATGATAAAACATTGAATAAATTGAAGAGAACGTATAATTTAAATAGTTGATATTAATATTTTAAACTAAAATGCTAGAAATTTTAAGAGTAATTAAAGTTCTTATCAAATAGAAAGCTCGTTATAATACTAAAAGTATTAAATTTATAATAGAATGTAGTAATATTATATTTGAATTCAAAACTTGCCTTAAAAAATTTTATTCTTATAGAATATCTATTTATAGTTATAAATAGTTATATTGGTAGTTTTTACTGATTCTGCATATAAAAACGAGTATTATTTCTAATTAATAAAAAATGCAGAATAAAAAATAGATTATCTATTCATTTTTAATCATAAATTTCCTTGATCAAAAAAAATGTATCATCTGTGAAAATATCTAAATTTTGCTTTTACAGACTGTAAGATTATTCGATAATTAATAATGAAAAATGAGAATAATCTAAATAAATTTGATAACAAAAATTAAAATGCCAATTTATGATAAATTAAACAATATTTTTTCAAAAGAATTATTTACTTATATAACAAAATACCTTCTATATAGTTGGTTAAATCATATTTCAGTAACAATAAAATTTTTCAGTAATAAATAATCTATCATTTTTTTATATAAAAATTTGTTATCTTGCTAAGTTTTACAACTAAAATAGCTCTGCTAAAATAATTGAAAAATAAAAAATTCGGATGCAGTTTTTGAATTCGTTTGTAATATTTAACCATTATCGAAGTTTCCTTGATTTTGAAATCTGAAGAAAAACTTGTACGAAAACGATAGTAAATGTTTTTAATTTTTTAATTAATAATGAATTACACCTTTGCATAATTTATAGTTAGTTTTTTTATTAATTTGAATTTTTCTAAAAGTAAATTAATATTAATTAACTCATTTATATTTTCCCCTTAAAAGTTAACATTTTTTTTTTAATGAACAAATCTTATTAATAAATAAGCTTAAACCTTAATTTAAAAATGATTACAGCTAATCAATAAATTAAGTAAATAGCAAATTAATTTTTGTTTTATTGCATAAAAGGTATAATTTTGATTAACTTATTTACAATAGATAATACATTTATTTGCTTGATACTTGTAAATAAATTTTTTAAAGGCTAATCTTTTATGGTTTTAAGAATATTAAATTATGCTTAACTAATTTTTAATATGATTTAAGAGCACAAAGGAAGAAGTTAGATACATATTAAAAATTGTAAATTTCAAAGAATAGTAAAACTAGAGGAATCAGTCTTAAAATTAATAAGTAAGAATAAATCTAAATTTGAACTCAAATTAATATTTCATAATTTATTTATTTATTTTTACCAAAATTTTCCTTCAGTATTAAAATCAGTGAATAATATACATGTATTATATTTATATAACAAAAGACAATCGATAATTAGTAGTGTATAAATATTTCTGAAAAACTATTCTTATTAATATTACATAATTTAAATTGTATTTTATGAGTAGTACAATAGCTTTTATAAATGAATTTTTAGCATTTGCTTAAGCTAATCTATTTATTTTTTACAGTTTTGAAATATTTTTGAAAATTTAGCAAACTGAACTAATTTAAGAACTGATGGAAGATCCTATTTTAATATTAATGTTTTTAAGATACAGTCTTAAAAATTACTCTCAGTTTGATTTTTTCTGATGTAATCATGAAACCTTAAAAAATTATATATTTGAGAGTATCAATCGAATTTAATTATATATATATAATGTGTTTATTACTTTGTTTGTTTGTCAGGTTAAAATGATCTAAAAAAAGGATAAGATCTTTCTTCTTCAATCAAATAGAAAAATAAAGGATGCATGTATTTAAATATATATATTTAAATTGCTTGCTATTTAAAAAGAAAAATTATTGATTGTCAAAAACTAGTCTGTCTTGTCTGTAAATTTATGAATCCCCAAAAGAAAGAAAGAATTAAATTAATTAAAAAGCAAAAAGAAAAATTATAATAAAATAAACATAAATTAATCTGAAAAAAAAAAGAAAAGAAATACCGAAAAAAGAATCTTTAAATTAGTAAAATTTGGATTGAAATAATATTCAAAAATAAACTTGCTAATTATTATAAAAAATAAACAATAAATATAAACTTAAAACAAGATATACATTTATTTATTCTAAAAAAAAAAAAATGGGAAACTGCGCTACTATGAAATAAACTACTAATTTATGCTCAGCAGCTCAGCTTTTAAAATCATAATACGAGTAGATGATTAACTAAATAAAAGCTTCTAGAAATATTTTGATTAAATAATTTGTGAAAGACTTAGAAGACCAAAAGGAGAGAGAAGAAGACTTTTCTTTCATGCAAGATCTAAAGCTAGTTAAGGAAAATTGCAGAGGCATTGAATTAAAATATTAATTCAGCACTGTTATACATTAATTATAAGAAATCGAATCGAAATTTTAGCTTTTAGAAAACATTTAAAAAAATGAATTAGAGAGAAGGGTCGCTAAAGGCATTGACATTAACTAAAAGACTAAAAAGATATTAAATGATGCTTCTAAATTAAGAGTAATTATTTATGACTATTTCTATTCAGATTTAGAAGTAACTGATGTTCCCAATGAGCTGATTTGATTGATATTTAGAGCTTTACACATTAGAATAATAAAATACATCACAATTACTTCCCATAGTGTAAATAAATGATAATTTTTCTCTCATTTTAAATTAAAGTCAAATCTAAAATTTCATAGCTACCTCTTTTGTATAAAACTACTGGATATATATATATTAGATTAAAAAATATCTTGGTACTAGTGTCATTTATAGATAAGCTTTTCTAACAAAATAAATTCGAATTAAAACTATACTAGCTTTGGATCTTTTTCAAACAGACAAGTAAACAAACTTATAAAAACTTTTATAAAATAAAAAAAACAAATCCACTTAAACTTCCTTCCTATATTAGCATATAATAAATTCAATATTAATTAAATAAACTAGAATTAATCACTTTCATTACTTTGTAAATATTGTTTATACTCCTAAATTTAATTATGTCTTAACTATTATTAATTAATTATATAAAATGATAATTATTATTATTAATTTTATATATTTTTCATTTCAAAAATGCATAGATTATTCATATAAATATCACGCTAACCTCCTTTTCTCGAATTCACTCACTTATTCAATGAATCAATCAATCATTATTTAACAAATTAATTAATTCATTCATTCATTTATATGTATTTATTTATTTTGCATATGCTTTTTGAAGTAATTAAAATGAGATATAAAAAATACTCTGAATATGTATGAAATAAAAGAAGTTAATTTAATTCTTAAAAATCATGGCTGAGAAGTTCCCTTCTTGAACAGTCGAAACATACTTGTGTATATTCTAATATAAAAAGTAATACTCTTTAATTAGGAAACTTATTATTAGTGATAATTAATTTAGCAACTGTATTACTTAAATTTTTAGCTACTTTGAGCAAAAATAGCTTTTTTATTAGTCAGATTGTTTTATGTGTAAGCAGATATCTGTTTTTTTAATATTCACGATTAATTAAGATTACTTATATTTATTTAATTGCCCTGCGTTTTTAATTCATGAAGTTTTTAAATACAAATGTTATTCATATTTTGTAAGCTATTTTTTTAATATAAAATTTTTGAATGGTTATCCAGTAGTAAACTAATAAGGAGCGAATGATAGATAATTAGATCTATAGATAGATAGTTACGTTTAAATAGCGCTAAAAAATAAAAGCAATTCTTATGAAGCTAATGTATCCTTTATTAAAAAAATTTTAATTAAGTATATGCCATAAGATACATTCTTACATATATATATAGATAGAAACATTCATAAATATTATTTTGATTTATAAACATACATACATACATATATACGTGCATAAATCATATCATATTATTCGAATAATTAAATTAATTATGTCCAGTACTTAAAGAGATTTTTATAATTTTAAGAAAGAAAAAGTATGACTCTATCTTATTTCATAAATAATTTGTCTAAAATAAATTTTAAATAGATATATTTTTCTTAAGCATTTCATTTTATTTTTATGTAAAAGTAATCTCAATTATAATTTTTTACAAATTAAGGTAGCTTGAAAGCTAGCTAGCTCTATTTTTATTTATATCTCTATCTAAAAGACATCCTATAATAAACCTCTTTATTTATTACGCTGGTCTCTTTTTAATTTACATTGCTAGCTTTGCTTTTACTTTTTAAAGAGATTTTTGATAGAACCAAGGGATGATAAAATCATAGCTAGCCATCAAAACTACACAAGAATGGCTAATTTAAGGAATCATTTTGAAGAGGTTATTCATTTTCTTAAATTGCTGTAAGGTATAAAAAAATCATAAATAACTAAAAATTAAGCTTTGAATAGTAAGAATCATTGTGCATTAAGAATCAATATAAAGTCAATAAACAAAGTTCAAATAAAAATATATTACCATTTATGTTTAAACTTATAGGTTAAGCACATGGTACATTGTCTAACTCATCTTTTTCGAAATAAATTTAATTTGAAAGTTGCCATAAATTTTATTTAATTTACCTAAATTATCAAATATTGGAAGGTAGTCAAATGAAGCGCTTTTCATTTATTTTTACTAAGATTTATATCGAAGTACTTTTTTTCGTAATTCATTCCATAATTTTAGTGTTTTCCATGACAAATTATTATGAAATTTTTGCCTCATCCTTTTTATATTCATTATTTCCATGCTTTGAACAATAAATATGATTAGGACTATATTTAGTAAGTCTGTTAATATTTCGCAGATTTTGAAAAGACTTTTTTCTTTTTCTTCTATGTCATATCCAAAAGTAGTCAAGAATGCAGTAACTATGGATGAGCATGAAAGGGCTATATCGATTGAATTATGGCTTCTCTTCTTGTAAGGCATGAATGCAATCAGACTCCAAATATATAGAATAAGCGTTACTATGATTAGAATTCCATCTTCTGTAAGCTATTCTTATCCACTCAGGTTGACAAAAAAGAAGATGAAATTTCTTACCAAAAGCTTTACAAAATCCCAGAAATAATATTTAATCCTACATAATTTTAGTTTTAAATAAAGAATATATAAAATTTAGAAGACAAATTTGGCTTTGTATATTTAAAACTAATGATTGGTTTGATCCAATCATACATAGATATTTTCTATTTATGATCATTTGTATTTACTTTACTTTGCATATCAAAAATTATAGACAAATATTTTTTGATTTGATGTAAAGAAACAAACTAGTGGCTACTAAAAAATTGAATTTCATAATTTTTAGTAAAATTAATGAATATTAATAATGCTAATTAAAGTAATAAGCTAGTCAGCTTTTTTTAAAATATCTTGATTTTTTCAAGTAAAAGAGTACCGTAAATTAAAAAATTTACTTATATTCTTAAAAGAGAAACCCATACTACCAGTTCATTTTTATCATATCTAGAGAATTTCTCATACTGAAAAGCTTTAACGCCAATAAACTAGGTACAAGCAGTGTCCAGAAAATTATGAATATTGAGATGTAGTATGAAAGAAACATTTAATAACTTTCGTTATTTGCATCTATAGAAGTATCGGCTAGTGAAAAGTTCTTATCTTCAATCTATATATAGTGAAGGCATTCAAGTAAATTATTTATTGCTATGCAAGAATAGAAAAGTCCTATTATAAGAATCAATTGCGTATTGATAGAGTCTTTTAATTGATCTTTAATCAATTTTTTTTTATGTAAAATGCAAGTGATTAAAATAACAGTTAGCAAAACAATCATAGGCCCTACTGAAGTTACTACTATCCTAGAGGGGTAGAAGGCACCTATTTTAAAAAATACTTTTGCTATGATACATTCAAGAGAATATGAAAGCTATGAGAATATCATAGATATCTTGTTCCAGACATTAAATACATGAGTGTCTAAATAAGAGCCGTATTTGCGGTATAACTAAATCATCTATTAGATTTTTATTATTTAATTTACATTAAAAAACAGAGAAATTGCATCATTTCGAATTGATAAAATAAAATAAAAGTAAACATAGTTAATAATTTATCGGAAATATTTTGAACCAACATTTTGATTCTTTATTTTGTTACTTAATCCAATTAATATCAATCTTAAGTAAGTTTTGCCAAAAAATACTTTTTTGTAATGGTTTTTGCTTTTTAGAAGTGTAAACTAATTAATTTGTTTTAAAACATAAAAAAATTTACAGGTAAATATCCCAATAGAAGTTTGGCAAAGTACACAGATTAAAAAAAATTAGCTGAGTTTCCTGCTGAGAGCAAGCCCATTTTAATCAAATATTAAACTAATTTTTAAAAATTAATATTTTAAAAAATATTTTTATAGTTGATTGTAAAATAACTTAAATTATCAAAATAAGAAAATCTAAATGAATTATTTACTATAATTTAATCAACCAATATAAAACTCAGTTAAAAAAAATCCATATTTTCAAATTTCAAGAAATTGGTTGTAATTTAAAAAATCATGATATTGTGCTTTTAGATAAATTAAAGAGATATGAGATAATAGTAATGATCAGACTTAATTGTAAAATTTTTTTATTATTCAAGGTTTACTCTAAAATAAGAAATCTTTGATTGATTGATTAATTCGTTGATCGAATAATTGATTAGTTATTTGATGCGTAATCAAATGAAAAAATAATAAAAAATAAAATTTTTACTCTGAATTTTCTTAATCCCTTTTTGATAGCTGGAATAAGCAATACCAATTAATAAAAGTAAAAATAGAATTGACAAAAGGGAAAGATTTAATATTTTATCAACAACAGAGTCACATTCTATGCATCTATCAAACCCGTATCTAACAAATTGTTTAGAGGATCTTGTGAAATTAGAATCACAAGACTAGCATAAAGCTCCTTTGTAGCCTTCTTAGCAAAGCTTTTCATTACATAAAATTCAAAATTTATTTAAATATTTTTTAAGTTTTAATGGAAAAAATAATAATTGCATCATTTATTTATTTAATTATAAAATAAAAATAATTACGTCATCTCCTTAACCATTTCCACCAATACAACTTTCTGAATATGGGCAAGTAAAAATGGACTCCTTATATCTCCAATACCTTGAGATAAACATTTAATTTAAATATTTTATGAGTAAAATTAATTTATTCAATAAGAATTAATTACCCCTTTTTAGTAAATAAGTAGTTTTTGAAGCATTCTGAATTTTAGGGATCACATTTCTTACAAACTGTATCTTAATTTGGATTTACAGTTTTTGAAAAAGTTCCTCTCAAGCACTCCTAGCAAATAAAATATTTAGTTTCTCTCGATTGCAAGATAATTTGTGTTTCTCCTTGCTAACAGGGACGAATTTCTAAAATTAAATAAACTTCAAGAGGAAACATAAAAATATTCTCTCCTCCTTAATTAGAGGTTATTTCTTCTTAGCTAATTATCTCTTTTTAAATATAAGATTGAGTTAATTTAGGGTATATTTTATTAAATTTTCTAACTTGATCTTTTAACTTCATTTTTAGGAATAAGGACATCAGGAAATTTTATTTTAACTAATATTTAGCCTTACTCTTCCCCAACTAAGTTAATATCTATCTGGAGTATATCTATTAGTTTTTTTTAATCAATAATAGATTAAATTAATAATTATAGTTTTTAATTGGTTACTATCTTCGATGGCTTTTTAATAACTCAATATCTTAGCAGCTTTATTGCTGATTCTAAATATTTATTCAAAATAATTAAAATGTTTAACATTTATCAATCAAATTTTACTTTAAATCATATTTTTTTATAATTTCATATTCCTTTTCGTTAATGTCTTATTCTTCAATAATTTTTAAATTTAAATCGATTATTTCTGATTATATAAGACGTCTTCTTTCCTCATCAGCCATGTCCCAATTAATCTACAAGTGTCTTCCACTAATATTTTTAATTTAAATGTTGTAAATAAAATCATTAATATAATTTTATCATAATTAATAAAATTTAGAATCTGTTTTCTTATTAATAATTAAAAATTCTATTGAATGCAATTAATAATTTAGTAATCTTAGATAAAATTTACCTTGTAAAATTAAATATTTTGATGATATTTTAATCTTGAACTAAAAAATCTTTTTTAATTATGCTCATTTGATCATCAAAATCAACATATTATTCCTAATAAAATAAATTTTTATTAATAAATTTAATAGTTAATTTATTTTACAAAAACTTCTTTCACTTAAATTAACCTTATATATGATCCAATATTTTATCCATAAAAATAAGCTTCGTTGTTATATATCTTATTATCATAAATATCATAGTTATTTAAAAAATTATAAGGGTAGGTCTATAAATATCGAATAGCTCCACCTATCATTGCCTCGTTTTATATAAATGTGCTTTTTTTAATCTGTATTTAAGAACACTACTCTAATAAAAGCGCTCCTCCATAAAATTGAGCCTTATTCATCTGAAACAAACAGCCACTGATTTTTAATAATTAATAAATTCAAATTAAATTAAAAAAAAAATGCTTTTACTTAATTTTAATATCTCCAATACACTTATAAAACTTTCCAGCGGACCCACTTACTGATAAATTCTCTATAAAAATAGAATGAATCAAATTTAGTGAAGACTCTTAAGTGCTTAAGCAACAACCCATATTTGAATTTCTGCAAAAATTACTTACAAATTTACATTAATCTACTTAAATTTATGAATTTTCAGCAAGAATTAACATAAAAAATATAACATTATCTTAGAATTATGATTAATAGATCGTGATTGCAGATGATTTAAATAATATAATAGGGAACTGAGGAGCATTTTGCTCATATTGAAGAGTGTAATGATGGTTCTAAACAGCATTTTATAAATTTTTAAACAACTTCAGCTTCTCTAAAAGAATTTTACCATTTTAAATATCAATTAAATTAGTTTAAATAAGCACATTTCCATCAAAAATAGTATCTATTATTTTTATTTTATCTGGGTTAAAAGAAAACAAATATGGATTTTAAAAGGTGTTGTTGTTTATTTAAATATTCTTATGGATAATGTTTCCTCCATATTTAAAGTTTACATTTGTAAGGCTAAACTCGTTGCTCTCTATAAACTTTAATTGATAAATTATTTAAATTAAAAAATTAGCAAATAAATAAAAAATAAAATTTACTGAATTAGAAAAAAAAAAATTATATAAGTAGACATAAGTTGTTTCAGTACTTTGTTCTTCAGCATTATCTACATCTAGAATGGAAATTTATTTATTTTATTTGAAAATTAAGTGATTTATTTAAGCTGATATGATAAAATTCAATCTTATTAAATAACCTCTAAACTTATTATTTTCTACATCAAATTTCTCTATTTAAACATCCCTTATACTTTCTAGAATAAAAAAGCTGCTAATTGAACTCCATTTAAAATTTTTCATCTAAAAATTAAATATCTTAACTTTCTTGCAATTAATGAACTTAAAAATATAGCCTATACCTTGGTTGTATTATTCTTAATTTTAATTGCTTTAATCTGTTGTTCCTTTTAGACGGAAATTCCTATCAAAATTAAATAAAATATGAGTTTTAAATTTAGCAGAAAAAGAATTTACGATATTTAAACATAGTTAACATTTTTAATTGTAATAAAACCATAATAAACCATATTATTATCTAATTTTATTTCAAAATTATCTAGTACTACAGATTTATAATCATTAAACTGTATTTAATATTGATCTTCATTTGTTATATAATAAAAAAATAATTAAAAATTTTTCTTTTTAAAATAATGCAGTTTCTCATTAATTAGACTAATTTAAACATTTAAAAAGGTGAAATAATTTTAAAAAAGTTATTAATGATCCCTTTAATTTTATATTTTAGACTAAAATAATGAATGAGATTTGGCAGTATTAAAAATATATAATTACTTATACTAAGCTCAAAAGATTCAAAATGGATTGCAAATATCTCTTAGTTGTTTATTTTTTCAAAGTCTATATAAGTCATTTAATATTTTTAAAGTGATTGATAGTAGAGATATATATTTTTTAAAGTGCTAATATAAGATAAATCTAAAATTTAGTTAGTATTTTGTAAGCCATGATTTAGATAGAAATATTATGGAAATTTTAAATGGTTGAACAAGTAATTAATTCTTGATCTTTCTACAATATCATTTTTATTTTTTAAATACTATCCTTGTTTAGAGCTTGACCAATCAACAGAACAAATTTACTGTCTTTTTCTAACATGAAACTTATACGTGTATAGATTATTTTAACTGCGAGCTAAAGAAAAATATTTAAAAATAAGTTTTAAAAATTAATTTAAAATTAATTACCAACTAAAACAATTATCTGTTTTCCAATTTCTGATAATTCAATAATTTCATTTATATGCTAGTCAAAGGTTGCATAGGCAATTAATTCTGGGTGATTATCTTGATCCAACTAGTATAAAGTAATTCGATTTGTAAAAACTATTGCCATTACTAAAAGAGTATCATCTTCTTGAAGGTCTTTATTGTCTTATATATCAGACCAATAGTAACTCTCAATGGACGTTTCAAATATTTTTAAATCTAAAAAATTTCTATAAGGTTTAACAGTGCTCTCTTCTTGGTTTTCAGGTAGGATACAATATAAAAGCTATTTTTATTTTAAAAATTATGAAAATTTTAATTTTTTGTGTTCAATTGTTATGGAATATTACCCTAAGAACGATTTTAAGATACTTAGATATTTAATAAATTTGAATTGAATCATAATAGATATTTACAATATAGTTTTTTTCTTCAAATATAAAACTCTTTATAAAATATCTTTCATAAGATTAGGTTTTTTGTGAGCACTCGTTTGTGTATTTAATTCGTTCTAAGAAACTTGCTTAATTGTATTTAGGTAGGTACTGTTTGTTAAGTATATGGGTATAGCTATAGACATACTAGTTTTCTAAATCCGTGCAAATGAAGCTAATAAGATTATCACTCATTGTGTATCCAATAATTATCATTCGTACAGATCTTATAATTCCTGGATTTAGTTTTTCAATCTTCATTTCAGTAGATTTCTCATGCACGTAATCATAAATTATTCCAAAATTTTTTAAATCATTTATTTCTCCTTTTTAAACTATAAAAAGAAGCACATGCTATTAATAATTAAATTCAATGCTAATTTTCTAATTGATAGCAATTTCTTTTTTTATGTTTCCCAAATCTATTTTTGTTAAGAAAAGTTGAAAAATTTTTAATTAATTTAATTTAAGATATTTTATTTACTGTTAAAAATGCATAGTTTGTATCTTCCATAGGCAATTATATATCTAGTATAGAAATCTATAAAATAATTTTACTCATCATTTTAGTCAGATATGCAGCCCATGCTTTTTTTTATTTATATTTCTAAAGGAAAGTCTATAATACCTTGTTAAATATCTGATAAATCAATCACACTTAAAATATTTTCATTTTTGGAAAAAGTCAAAGCTATTGCCCAAAAATTTCCATATTTATCGTTTTTAAAGTCAATTTTTTTTGATTTACATAAGTTGTAAGGGATCTTATGCGAGGATTTCAAACTCAAAGTTTACTATTATTATATGTTATCATTATCCTATCTATAACTATAAACTAAAATATCCTGCTAATAGAATAGAATAATGAAGTCTTCTATTTGAGTACATATCTACATATATTTAAGATAAGTTATTCATCATCTAATTTATATTTGAATTAAATAAATTTACTTCGATCAATTAATTTATCAATTAATTGTTTAAAAAGTTGCTATGTGGAGGAGATATTTAATTTGTTAGAACTTAGTTATTTATAACTAATTTTATTGAAGAATGACTATGAGTAAATATATCTCCTTTTCCTTAGGTATAGTAAAATAAAATTAGGTTTTTTTAAGAAATAGTTTTAACTATTAGTTTTTAATGATCTTAAAAGTTATGATATACTTCTTCGCTTATTTATTTTTTGTATTAAACAATTAAATGTGAACAAGAAGTTATAAGGAAATATTATTGATTAGCAGCATCAAAATGCTAAACTTCTATCAAATTTTATGCATCAAAACATCTATAGTCGCTTCTTAAATAAAATTTTTTTTCTAGAGTATTTCTGTCAATACCTATAGTGAAAGTTTAAAACAATTAGTATCCTCGTTCTTATTAAATCTTTATCTTTTGCTTTAATTATTAAATATCTTCCTCTATTTCATCATCAACTATTTTACTATCTTAGCTGATTGAATCTTAATCTTAATATTATTTCTTATTCTCTTCTTTATGATAGCGTTATTTAAGTTATTTAAAATAATTGTCAATATTTATTTATATCTTCCCTACAAAAATAATAGAATTATCTAATTCGTCTTTAAATGAACTGACATATTCAACAATTTCCATATCATCAAATTTATCTAAATTCCACACCTCAATATATCCATTAAGCCATATCCTTTATTATAAAATTTAAATAAAAAAACCTAAAAAAAAATAATTAAAAATAACAAAACCTTTGATAAATATTTTTGTTATATGTAAGAATAGTTTATTGGTCTGAGTCTATAAATATAATCTCTCCATCTACTTATTGAATTATAGGTTTTATTTTTGTATCTTATTTGCTTGAAACAATTGCATCTGTGTTATAAACATTGATAGTATGATTAATTGACACAAGTACACTGTTTTTAAAGAAGAAAAATTTGTAGTCCTAGATGTACTCTTATACTTAAAAGGATCTCAAAAGCTTGTAAGATAGAAGTTGATTATCCTAATTTAGTTTTGGCTTAGGTAGAAAAGAATAGATATTTATTATTTAATTATCAATGCTAATACAAATAAAGAAAGATTCAATCCTATTTATTATAAAATTATTGCTTTCTCTAATCATGCAATCAATTTCCATATAAAATTTCCTTCCTTTTATACCATTGTGTAATAATAAAAAATCTTTTGATGATACAAAGAATTCCTCAGAAGATTTTTATGTTTAATTTGTTGCTTTCTAAAAAATATTGAGTACCTAATCTTAATACTAATCTTCAATAAAAATAGATTATTTAAAGATTGAAATAATTTTATAAATTTTTTTATATTTACTTATTTCACTTGTGAGAGGATAGTCAAGAGTTATTATTTATTTAGACAAGTTTACTTTGTAATATTCATCGCAAATAAAAAAGCTGTTAATGAAATCAATCCTGCATATTAAAGGTTGATTGAAGATAGTAAAATGATGCATATTGTCTATGTCTTCTAATATAGTATCTGCTTTATTATTTTTACTTTAGCCTTTAGGTGGAATGAGCTTAAATTCAAAATAATTATAAATGAAAACTAATGAAAATTGATTATTTTCAGACATTTTTTTATCTGATTCATAGAGTGCTAAGACATGAGCATCTGGATCATAATATAGAATATTGAAAGTTTTTCCAAAATTTAAATCGCTTTAAACTAAAAGGTTCCCATTAAAATAATCGTATATTTATAGTTAATGCTAAAAGCTAATGGTTTGAATTGAATATCTCTTAAGATACATTATTATTTAATTTTATACATCAATAATTATCTGACTTCTCTGTTTATATTCGTAAGATTATAATTAGGACTTTTCTAATAGATGACATTCTAAATAAGGAAGTTTAGAAGGATTTTTTAATCCTGCTAACTATTCTAAAGTTTCCACACTAACTTCCTGTTCACAAAATATAAATTGAATAAAAAATAGGATTATAAAAGCTAAAGATTTCCATATAAATGGTAGTTTTCCCTACATAACCATTTCTGATATTATATTCTTTTAAAGTTGTATTTAATTTATAATGTTAAGCAAAAATAATACAAATAACAAAACATTTAATATCTATTTATTAATTTTAATACCTTAAACATTCTCATTCAAGGAGAAAGATAAAATAATTTTTTTTCTCCTTATAATTCTCCTAAAAGGATTAGTGAAAATTATTTTTTTTTACTAATTATATGATAAAATAAGAACTTTTACGGTATTTCACATTTTATTTTTATCATATTCATAAGATTAATTATAATTCAATTAAATTATATAATAAATAAAAAATCTAATATTGAATTCTACTAATTATCTATAATGTGATTAAAATCTTTTTTTAATCATACTTTTTTAAATTGAAATTTTTATTTTTAATAAATACTACAGTCTGTTTCATCTGTTATCTAAATTATAACATACTTCTCGTTTAGTTAATAATATTTTATTTCTCTTAAATAAATTCTAGATAGAGAGATAGATAAAAAAATTGTTATTACTTTTTGCACGCAAAATAAATTTAGTTATATTTAAATAAACAATAGATTTACAATTTATATTAAAAAATCATTGATTAGTTTATTACATTTTACTATCATAATTATGTAGCTTGAAATCAAAAGTAGATAAATAATAATTATTTTTGCATATTTTAGAATTTGATAAATATAAACATAAGAAAGATATAAAATTAGCTATTTACATTGAAATATATAGTTGATTGAATAAATATTTTACAAGTAGTAATTAATATATTAAATAAATGAAGTAATCTAAAATTAATAATTGAATTTTCCAGAATGATTGATTAAGCTTACAATATTATGAATCCCTTATGTGATGAAAACTTATAAATGACCTACGCTTATTAATGTTTAATTAAACTTTTGTCTATATTAATTGTAAAAATACATTAAAGAAAAATAAGCAATTATTTCTTTTCTTATTTAGATTTCGAATTATCGAAATTTGTAAATTTTTTTAAGTTAAAAAAGTATTTTCTTTACCCTTTTTGATTAATATTTTTTGTTTTATAACAAAAGCTGATTAAATAATTATAATAAATTTATTTTATATTTACATATTAATATATCTCTCTCTTTTTCGCTTTTAGCAAACCCATTAAGAATATGCAAATTATTTAACCACTTTTTATTTAAAAATTGTTATTTGTTCTCCTTATATTAATAATGATTTATTTAAATAAATTGTCTATTTAGGACTTATTCTTCGAAATTAGTTTTGATAAATTCTTACTATAATTTGCCTCTCTTTATTGGTACAAATTTATTTGTCTATGCCATAAAGTAAATATAGCAAACGAAGACAGATGAAAGCAAATTTTTTATTTTTACACTCTTATATGTGTTGGCATAGAGTTGGTTATGTCTGTAACCACTAAAAATATAATTTAAATCAGCAACCATCAATTTCTATCATCTTGATAATTATTTTAGATCATATATATATTTGTATTATAAAAATAAAGAATCTACTATTATTTGTGAGACCAAATAATTAAATAATTAAATAAATTTTTTACTAACCTTGAAAAGAAATTCCAATTTTCAAAGACCTGATAATTAATTTTTATACAATACTAAAAAATAAATAGGAAAATTAATAAAAAGTTTGCTAGAAATAAATAAATTTCCTCATTAAAAAATAATTACCAATAAACTTTAACAAAAAACTTAAAAATGTCAATAGAACAAAAATAATAACAGAATCAGAATTTCATAATACGTAGATCTAAACCCTCTAAATCTATTGTTATATAAGAAAATAACAACTCATAAATCAGCTAACGCGATTCTAAAACACCTTTGAGATAATTTACTCCTTAAACCCGTATTAGCTCCTTTAGAAAAAAATTATTAATTTAATAACAATTTTAAGAAATAAGTCAAAAATAACCTGTGAAAACTTTCGTCAATAAACTAAAAAGATCAATAACCATTTCTACTGACTCTTCTAGACACTCAAGCCCTTAGAATATCCACATTTCTTAAAATTAACAATCTGTATATAATTATACTTCCACTCACTAATCTAATAAATCAACTTTAAGGGATTAAGAACAAATAAAGAAAAGAGCCTAAAAGAAAATTTATGATTAATAAATTTAATCTGAAATTGAAAAACACAAAGTCGTCATAGAAAGAGGATTTTCAAGTAGACCAAATAATCTTAAAAATTTGAAGCAGTTCTAATTATCTAATTTTGAATTTGAAAACTTGCAAAATCCTGAATTTAGAGTTACTTGTAAAACAAATGGAATATATCTTCACTAAATTAATTAGGAAATAAAGCATGGCCGCGCCTATGAATTCTTTTGTAATGGAGATAGCTTTGTAGGTTACTACTAAAATAACAAACGTACAGGAGTTGGTAGATATATTTTTAGTAATGGTGATTACTATGAAGGAGACTTCTACAATAATCAAATAAATGGAAATGGCATTATGTTTTATTCAAATAGTGAGAGATACATTGGATAATTTAAGAATGATAAGAAGTGGGGTTATGGATAATACTACTACAAAAATGGTGATATTTATTCAGGAATGTGGAAAGATGATATGAAACATGGACAAGGATCTATGAAGTATGCCTCTCTATAATACTTAGAAGTTAAGTGCGTGTATAAAGATAATATCAAAGTAAAAACAGAAACAAATCTAAGCCAAATTCAACAGAATCAATAATGATTTCAAAAGCATTTCTTTTTAATTAAAATAATTAACAAAAAAATATTTATTAAATTAAAATTTTACTTTTTACTTTCAAATAAACAAATTACTATTAACTTTATATCAATTAAATTAAATGTATTGTAAATATTCATTTTAGTACTTATGAATTGTATTTTAAATTCAAATTCTTATTATAAATTAATAAAATGCGCATAAACTTTGGGTACAAATTGATTAACACAAATAAAAAGGATCTATGATAAATATTTATTCATATTTTTTATTTAACATATACTTATTATTTAAATTTAATTCATCATTTCAATAAAAATTTTTTATATGGAAAAATAAAGAAGAAAAATTTTTATGGGCTTCTTTTATCTTATTTATGTATAATTAACTTCAAGTAGATTTATAATAAAATAGTTATGAAATAAGTGTAAAAAGATAATTAGAGTTATTCTCTGCATAAGATTAGTGTAATTAACTTAAAACATTATAGCTTTACTTTGGTGAAAACTAAATAAGAATTTATGGTTCTTGGCTTTATGTTCTATATTATAAAAATTCACTGGGATCTAAAATTTAGCTCTTGAACTATATAACTGTAAAATTGGAGATTAAGGTACCTCAGACTTAAGCTTTACTTTATAAGAATACAACTACCCTGATATTTATTAATATTTTAAAATATTCTTTATTATCTACCTTTAATATCTTAATTAAAAAAATAAAAATTCACAATTTGTAATATGATCATATACAGATTATTTATTATGAAATATTCAAATAAAATAAAAAAATTTCTAGTAGATTCATTTCAATAGCTTTCTACCTCCAGCTATAATGGTTAACTGAATCTTATTTATATTGAAAATTTTTTCTAAAATAACTCTAAATAATTAATCTTATTATAAAACAAAATTTTGAATGATTAATTTTTAATACTCAAGTAAAAAAAATGATCATTGTAAAGCACCATATTCATAGAAGCCTTAAAGTATTTAATTATGCTTCAAAAGATTTACTTTTTTTGAAAATTTCTGATGAGAAAGATTTTATTTTTGTTTTTGTTTTTTTGTCAAAAATTAATTAATAATCTATTTTTAGTTTTTAAACTCAATAATTAATTTAAAGATTCACTTTAATCCCATAAGCATCTGTATTTTAATTATAATTTATTTGTTTAATTAGAAAGTTAGATAAATTTATTCTATATAACAACTAAAAAATATAGAATACCAAATTTATAAGCATATCTACCTTTTAGATAGATGGCTTTTAAGTTGGTTTAAATAATTTATTTGTTATAATGATATAATATTGTTTAATTGATTAATAAATAATTAATTTATACTTTTTACTGTTCCATTAGCAATAAATAGACTAAGATTAAAGTTCAGCGATAATGGAGTTAATCTAAAAAAAATATTACTAAAATTTGATTTTCAATCAAATTATTACTTTTGATACCGATTAAACTAAAGATAATACAAGAGAAGAATATTTATTATAGATCTCAAAATAGAAAAGAAAATAATTAGAGTGATTTAAGGAGATTTAAAGAAAAAAAATCAAATAGGATGTGAATTTTAACAAAACAATCGATAATAGTGAGAGATATAAATAACAATTAAATAAAAAATACAAGTAATTTGATTTGCCTCGTCATTAATTTTTTTGTCATAAAGGCAATTAATTATAGATAAACATAAAGTAAGTATTCTTAAAATCTAAGAAGAAAAAAAAAATATAGCACGAACAATTATAATAATAGAATTATTTAAGGGTAGAGCGAAAGCATTTTAAAACAAAACAGAATATAAAAAACAAATCACATTTTCTGAAGACATAGTTAAATTTTCAAACTCAAACACCCAAACTTTTATACTCATAAAAAAATCTGCCAAAACTAAATCATAAAGTTTTGTTTCAGGAAATCAATTATAAAGGGAATAATTAAGTAGTGAGTATGGAGCAGGTGTTTCAGCAGCAGCAGAGCAAATAGAGTGAAAGGAAATCAGGATAAACTAATGAAATTTATACTTAATAAAAGTCAAACTTCAATTTAAGTTAAGAGATTAATTCAGTAGAAAATATTAACAATTAGTATGAAATAATAATTAACTAAAATTAAGATAGATGTATTTCATAGCCTTTTGGCGAGTGGCCAATCTCTGCAAACAAAATTATCTCTTCTTCTTCTTCCTTTCATATGACAAACAAAATTGTCAAGTAGCATCATAACCAGCTCCCTCTTTTGTCCTGCTGCCGCCACACCAATAACTCCAAATTAAGATAGTGTTTACCAAACACTGAGTGCTTTGAAGAGAACACAACTCATCACAACTCCTCACAATCTTCTCTCAACACTTCTTCAGTTAGCTGCTCCTCTAATTAAAATATCTTTGAGAGTATTTACTTCTCAAGGCCACCTGCACCTTCTTCTTCATCAAGTACCCAAAGAAAGTAAAAATAACTTATGATGAAACCAAAAATTTTGTATGAAGAATAAGATGAAGACATTGACGAAGTTCATACGAACAATGAAGTAGAAAATAATTCAGATAATTAATTAGATATAAAGGACTAATAAATGATTCATGATTTCACATCAAAAGAAAGTAGCTTTGATGAAGAGCAGGAGGAAGAAAGAGATAATGACGATGAAGATAATGACGACAATGATATGGACTCTGAAAATGAATTTGATGAAAATTAAGAAAAACAACAAAGAGGGAGTGACCAAGAAGAAGGTAATATAGATGAAGATTTAAAATAATCTTTTGAGGATATTAATTCATATATGTATTCATTAACAAATGAAATAAGATAAAATTCTCACAATGCTAAATTAATAGCTAAGGGTTCATAAAGCCACATTTATTCTTTAGCAGTTGATATACCTTCAAACAGTCACTGCGAGTTTTAGCCTGAAATAAAAAATGTTGTTTTAAAGACTTATTTTCACTAAAATAATGTTGAACAATGCAATTAAGAGTGCGATAAACTTGGAAAGGAGTTTTATATCCTTCAAAAGTTTAGTGGTCATCCTTACATTATTTAAGCTTACTCATTAGAACATGATTTAAATCTCCCTAAAGTTAATGCAAAAAGGATAAATTAAAATTAATATTCAGATAACCCTTACAATTGCAGTTTAGTGATGGAATAAGCTACATGTGATTTAATTACTTATTTTACATAAGATGTTTACAAGACTCATCCCCACCATTATTACAAGTTTCTCCAAAATAAGCATCAATACTCAATCTTATGCTCAAACGACTTTTCTACTTAAGTCAAAAATTCCTTTTATAACTGCTTTCCTGGCATATTTTATGATATTTTAACTGGCCTTGATGTAATTCATTCTTCAAAATTAGCTCACAATGATATTAAACCAGACAATATGCTGTTTTTCTCAAGCTCCTCAAGCGCAAAATTATGTGACTTTGAGCGTTGTAACAGCTAAAGTTTTGATTTGAAACGTACTGACTTTGTTTACTAATCTCCTGAAATAGTATAAATATATAAGGAATATAAAAGGACAAATGAAATAAATACAAAACTCTTCCACTTAGATTTATTGAAAAACGATATTTTCTCATTTGGAGTTACTCTTTTTTCTACTATGTTTGGATTTTATCCCTTTGCAGATTAGTTTGAAAAAAACAATCAGGACGAGCTTTACTCTCTCCTCATTTCTGCAGATAGAGATTAATTTTGGCAAGAAAAAGAAATTTCAAGTATTTGCTAAACAATCGAACACAACACAAACTTTTCCTACCTCTACAATTTCAAAAAGTTCATAGAAGATACTTTGGAAGAAAATCCAAGTAATAGGATTGACACATCCTCATTAATGAACCATGATTTTTTTGAAGAACAAAGACATTATAGGACAGAAAAAGATCTCTATGACTAAGCAGCTAGATAATACCATTAAAACACTAATAATTCATCTAAAGCTCCAGCAAGTCAAAAAAATAAAATTAATCCAAGTGTTTAAATGGATAAATCTTTATACTCTGCCAACAAGATTAACGATTAAGAAGAGTATTAGACTATTCAGACGAATTGCATACAGCCGATTTACTATCTGACTCCTTAAACAAAAGCTAATTCTATAATTAGTAGGTCTCGTCAAGTTTCAATAGATTGCGAATTTACCTTAAAAAGAAGTTGTAGTGTAGGTGACAAGCAAAGAGAATTTTTCTTTTCGCCTTCAGGTCCGTTTTCAAATGAATAAATGTAATTTTTCTAAAATTAATTTTACAATTTACATATTATGAATCTATCTTAAATTATGAATAATTAAAAATGTTATAATATCAGAATGCTTTCTAAAGAATTGGAAAAAGAAACACAGCTAATTAAAGCCCAATAAGCAAAATTTGTTAAAAATAACAAGACATAAATAACAGAAAAAAATTAAATTTCCAAATAAAGCGATGACTATTTTGAAGATGAAATAGATGAAAGTGATTATGATGATGATGAACTTCATATTTGAAAATTTTTAAAAACAAAATATAAAATTGAAATTTGCATTGCAAATACATCATTTTTTAAGAAATTGAAACAAAAAATATTGTAAAAATCAAAGTAAATTATTTGGATTTCAAAAAAAAAAACATAAAATCAAAAAATGTTTATAAAAAATTATTTTAATTTTATAAAAAATAAATAAGCTAATAACTTAAAGTTAAATGAATCAAATATAATTAAATACCTTTGTTTAATGGAGTAAGGATATAAAAGTTATTTTAGCTTTGTTCATCTAATTTTATTCAGCCCTAAAAAAACTATTTAAAAAAAAAATTTTAGATAATTTAAACTAGGTTTTAAATTGAATTTTGCTTGTTATAAAAAAAGCGCTTGTCAAAAAGAAGCTTTGAAAAAACATTTAAGCTGAATAAACAAACTCAAAATAAAAACGATTCTTTATATTAATTAAAACTAACTTAACACGTCTCAAATATTATTTATAAGATTAATTTAATTTATAAAATACAAAATAATTTGTTAATTTAATGTAAATAAAATTATCTTTAAAACATAAAAAAATCATTAGTAAAAATAATCTTAAAGCTAGCATCAAAGCTGAAACAAAATAAATAAATATATAGTTTACAAGATTTATAAATCTATATTTCTCAATTGTTAATAAAAAAATCAAATATTAGACTACGGATTATCTAATTGAACAATGAAAGATAAATAAATAGACTACTTAATATAGGAAATAGATAAAAAAAGTCTATCGATAGATAAATAAGCATTCAAAATTTGTTTTTTATTTATATTTTAATGTTGTTTTTATATAATTATATTTTTTGTGAACTTTATTATTTAATTTACTATTTAAAATTTCTAAAATTATATTTATATTAACTAACTCATTTATTTATTGTATATCTACTTCAGTTACTTTTAACATTACAATTTTTCTTTGAATTTCAAAATTCTACTTTAAATTTTTATTTCTTTAATTAATTTTTTATTTTATTTCATAAAAAGTGTTAATTTATTTAAATCTCAAAAATTAAGATTTGAAAGTATTTGTAACATAACTTTTATCTAGTCTAACCAAATATTAAAGATTCATTTTCTTTTTTTTATTAACAAATATTAGAAATAAAAATGATAGCATGTAAATATTTATGATAGATAAACATATGAAAAAAACTAATGAAATAGTAAAATATCTAAGTTGAATCTTACAAATTTGATATTTAAATTAACTTTACTTCATAATTTAAAGCTTAGCCATTAGCTAAGTAATACTTAAATTAATAAGGAGTACTAATAACATAATCACAATAATTAAAATAATAATCAATATCTGCATTTTTATGATATTTATTAAATTTCTAGCTGATAGTTAATATTTCGAAAAAATTAAAGTTAAAAAGTAAAAAAGGTTCTTATTTTGATTATAAAAAAACTATAGCGAATAGCATATTATTATAAATAGGTACTTCTGAAACATAAAAATACATTTAAAAATGCAAAAAACAAATAGTGGAAATATTCTTTAGCCACCAAGTGCTTCGAAAAGCTTTATTTATTCTGTATGTTTTATCACAAATATTTTAGTAAATTTTGATCATGGTATTGTTCCTGCAGCTTCCAAAGAAATCAAATAGGATTTGAAAATTACTGATTTTGAATTAGGAATTTTGGGGTCAGTTGTATATGCAGGTCTCCTTCTAGGTTCAGTTGCCGCATCGCAAGCATTTATGATGATAAAAACCAAAAAACTGATTATTGGTGTCATTGTTTCTTACATCTTTAGTCTGCTACTTTTCTTAGTGTCAGATAGGATTATTTTACTTGGATTTTCTAGAACTTTAGTTGGCTTCTTTCAAGTTTTTTTAGTTGTATTTTTCCCTGTCTGGGTAGATGTAATTAGGCATTTTTATTTCATCCAAAAACATCCAATTTTTTATTCAAAATTTGCTTCTTTTTTACTTATTAAAAATAATTCTTAAATTTAAACACAGTTACACGGAGGTTCTAAGTAGACTTTATGGCTAACTATATTATAGCTAGGTGTTCCTTTGGGAGTGTTTTTAGGTTATTTAGCTACATCTTTCTTTGTCAAAATATTCTCAAATGTAAAATGATATTTAATTGATTTCAAAGCATTAAAATCTCAACTTAATTATTTACAATAGTGGCAATATTCTTTTATCACATAAATCGTTTTGCTTACACCATGTGTTTTAAGCCTTATGCTCTTTCATTCATCAGAGTTAGATGTGTAGATGAAAGAAGAGGAAGTTATAAATGGTAAAAAAATAGAATAGGCGAATATTTAAAATTTATAGGGTCGCTCTTCTATCCATCGTTTATCTATCGAGCCAGTTCTCAAACTTTATAAAAATCATACTTACACTTCTAAATTAAAAGAGCTTTTTACAAATAAAATATTTATTTTCACAATGCTTACACTAGCCTCTCTCTATTTTGTTGTGACAGGAATTCAGTTTTGGATATCTGATTATATGAGAACAATACTATTTGTAGATTAGAAGACAGTTTACACGGCTTTTTCATTAATCTCTATAACTGCTCCTATATTTGGAGTACTTATAGGTAAAAAATTATTAAAGCATATAGCTAAAGAGTTATTTATTTAAAATATCAAAGACTAAAATATATCTTGATATATTTCAAGATATATTTTAAATAAGATATTATTTTATAGACAAGCTAAAGTTTATCAAGATAATTGAATTTAGCCAAAATTTAAATTTTATATTAACAAATTAAAGATTTCCTTTTTTTTAAATAGGTGGAATAGCTTTAGAAAAGGTAGGAGGGTATGCTGGTAAAAATGCTATAAATTTATGTTTGTTGAATGGAGTGCTAGCTTCTTGTTGTGCTATACCCATACCTTTTACAAATAGATATGAAGTAGTACTTATTTTGTTATGGTTTTTATTTTTTTTTGGAGGTTCACTCATGCCAGCTGTAACGGGACTAATGCTTCATTCGATACCAAAAAACTATCGTGCTTTTGGAAATTCTTAAGCCTAGCTATTTCACAATTTGCTAGGATATTTACCTGCCCCTGTTGTTTATGGTATTGTAAATTAAATGTCACAAAGTGTAGAAAAAAGAAGTGGTATGAAGGTACTGATGCTATGGAGTTTATGGGGAATTATTTTTTTGGTATTTGCTAAGATTGAGTAATAAAGATTAGAAAAAACCTAGTAGGATCAAGAGAAAGAAATGCTTTAATATCTATAAAGTTAAAATTAAAATACAAATAAAGTCAAACACCATGATTAACTTTCAGACAAAATACGTAAATTAGTTTTTTGAGTTAATAGTTTTTAAATATACAATAAAAAATTAAAAAGCAATGTCTAAAATTACAGAAAAAGAATCTGAGTAATCTTAATCTTTCTTGGAAAACAACGAGAATTAATCTCCTTTCGATTAAGCATTTGAGCAAAAATAATAAAAAGAATGGCATGAATAGCAATAAAAGGCAGATGAAGAAGCAAGTAGATAAAGTCGCCCATATGCATATTAAGTAAATAAAAAAAAAGAAATGGAGTAGCCTCTAATAAATAAAGATTATAGATAAAGCAGATCATTAGGAAACGAAAAAAATTTATTATTAAAATCGAATGGTCCTTTGGGGAATTCCATAAATTTTTCCTAAATTAAGCCATAGTTTTATAAATATAACCAAACACCAAAATAAACCATGAGCATCAATCGCAAGAGTTCTGTTGCCTTTTAGACTATTGGAATGATGCTTGGTAGAACTAGTATATTGTATATTGATGATCCAGAAGATAACGATGATGATTAAATATTAGATAATTTATAAGATGAAGAATTAAAAAACTTAAGAGAAGATTATAATAAAGAATATGATTAATACTATAAGAAATGACGAATAAATATAAAGTTTATTTAAAAACCAAATTTATAGTAAAAAAAATTGATATTTTTAAGAAAAATATTTAAAATAAAACGATCTATTTAATGCACTCTAAGCATCTTTTTATTTTATGTATTTTATTTAAGTTCATTTTTTACATTACTAGATAGATGTAAATAATAAAATTCTATTTCGTTTTGACAATTTTAAAAAGTATCAATAACTACTAATTACTATAGCTTAATAAGTTTTATCAGTCATCCTTAAATCTATTTTTAAATAGTTTTAAGTAGGCAAATTTATAGCTTCATATAATTATAGTATGAGTTATTTATTTCCTTTAACAAAATTTTGTAATAAATTAATAAATTAAATTGTCTTAGGTTATAAATATTAAGTATGAATTTTATAGTTAGAATATTTTAAAGAGATTCAGTAACATAAAAATTTAAATTTTGATAAAACGACAAAAATTAATAAAATTTGGATAGAGATGATTTGATTTTAATAAAACAGAAATTATATACAATTATGAATAATAATTATAATAATTAATAATTAATTGAAATTTATCCACAAACAAAAAATTTAGTAAATTCATGTGAATATTTACCTATTTTCTCACTTTAAATAAGTTAATTTATTTAAAAAAATTACTTTAAAATCAAATATTATTTGTTATCATAAAAAAAATGAAATCAAAAAGGATTTGAAAAAAGCAAAAGTAGGAACATTCCTACTAATTAATATGGAGTTAAAGCTTGAAGAAAAGTGTAATATGACATCAAAGATGTATCAGTATAAAGATAGACTCAATTTTTAATATATGAAGGTTTTTTATTGATTTCTATTGACTATCTACGTATTTTAATTTTGCGTAAAAAAAAGAGTTTTAGATTAAAATCAGTAGAAACAAGCATCAAAAATAAGTATATAATAATTATTATAACATTAAAAAAGATTTAAGCAAAAAATATAAACATTGATCGCTACTTAGAATTCATAAAAAATGATAGAAGTTAATGCTGGTAGTAACTTAACTGCTGCCCAAGCAAGAAAGAGTACTTTATTTGAGAGAAAGATGACCTTGAGAAGATCTAACTCAGGCTTTCATAAACCAGTTGAAATTACATTAATTGACCACTCTATTTTATACAACTCACTGCTGAGAGGTGTAAGCAATAAGACAAAAAATAGTTTTATCATTTATGACTTTACTTCAAAGGAGAATGAGTTATCTTTCAAAGGAGATAATGTGATCAAAATTTAAGACTATCCTGATATTGTAGAAATGCTTTAAAAAAGTCCTGATAGTATTAAGATATAAGAGCTCTAAAAATTGCTACCAAAGCAGAAAGAAGATCTTTTCTCTAAGCGTATGCGTTTTTATAACTTTATTATTTTAAATACCTGCAAAAGCAGTGAGTTTACTAAAATCTTCGACAATCAAGTTCAACAGTTCTTCTAAGATAATCCAGAAGTTAAAATGGATTTGCTTTTAAATGGAGGATATTAAAAGGTCAATGAGAAGTTTTTCGTTCAATCTATTAACAATTCTCTTTTCGAAAATCCATAGCTTCAAGAAACTCCAGATGCAAAGGCATGGAAACTGGCTGCTAATTTCCACAGTGTAATGAAATAAAATAAAATCAAAGAACTTCTATTTTTTAAAGCAGATACCTCTACTTTCTTTAAAAAGTACCCATTTATGAGTCATTACTTAGAATCTCTAAATAATACTTCTACTCTTGTTTATCCAAATGAAGTATTTTATGGACGCTTCTTTTATGGAAATTGGAAACATGCTTAGTCAGAAGAAGTATTCACAAACACCAAAATCACTCATGTGTTAAATGCCACTTAAGAAGTTGAGAATTATTTTGAGAAGTCATAAAAATTGGATGTTAAGTATTGCAAAATTTCGATTGAAGATCTTGATGGAGTTAACATTTATACTCACTTTGAAAAAGGATTTAAATTCCTCAAGGAAGCTCTTGAAAACCCTTCAAACAAAGTTTTTGTGCACTGCGCTTAAGGAAAATCGAGATCAGCAACCTTTGTCTGTGTGTTTTTCATGAGAATGTATGAATGGACTTTTGATTAGACAATCAAATATGTATCAGATAGAAGAGAAATAGCTTGTCCCAACCCTGGGTTTACAGAATAATTGAAAGAATTTGAGAAAAAGGGATTCTTATTTGAAGGTGAAGATGCAACTTTAAAAAAGGATCAAGGGGAAAGCTTTTTACATATTCTATCAGAATTATCAATTTAAGAACATGTAATTCATGAATAAGATGAGGAATCTTGCTCTGATTGTTCAAATGAGGAAGAATATTTTGAAGAAGGAAGCAAAGAAGACTAGCTCTACAAAGAAATATAGATTAGATTCTCTACTCATTCGATTTAAGAAAGCACACCTATCTAATAATTACAAGAAAAGAAAAGTTTCAGCAACTTTTAATTATAAAAATAGGATCAGCTTAAGATTAATTAGGAAGAAATAGTTAATTAAACAGAAATTGAAATTAAATGATTTATTTATTGACCACAAATTAAATTAATTGCAATTAATTGTTACGAACTTATAAATTATTTATTATATTAAAGATAACAAACTTAAAGCTCAAAAATAGAAAGCCTAAATTATAACAATTGTATTTTCGAAATGATACAATTGGAATTCTGATAATTAACAAGTGAACTAAGTGCGATTATTAAATAATTCAATAATAGTTTCCTTTAAACTCAACTAAACAAATTTCTAAATTTTTTAAACATCTAAACTTTTAATTATTTCTAAAAAAAACATCTAAATATTAATTATATTTTACTTATGAGAATTTTTTGTTTTATTCCATTAACTAGTATTTATCTCTTCAATTTAATTTCTTAAAATTTAACAAATAATATTCATCAATCTATCGATTTCTTTTCAATAAAAACCCTTTTAGTTTATATTGAGACAAAGTTTTTAAAAAATAAAAACTAAATCAAAAAAATTCCTTTTTCTAAAATTTTAAGAAAGATAAGTAAAAAAAGAATAATTTATTATTTTATTTAAATAAATAAATTTAATTAATTTGCTTTTAAAAACAAAATATTTTTTATTTTTTTTAGATATTTCAAAAACAAATGGTTAAAAAATATTCTTATTTCATTTTATCTATTTTAATTATTTTCAAAAAAATTAATATTTACAGAATTATATAATTCTTTTGAATTTATTCATCTATTTCAATTTTATTAAAAGTTAGATAATATTTCTTTTTCTTTTAATAAAGCTTTTTTGATCAGAAATTTATTTAATAATATATTCTCTTGGAAATTAATAATAATTCTTGGTAAGGTTTTAACCTTTTTAAAAAAGGCAATAAAAAATTTATAGAATGATATAATTAAATAAATAAAAATAAAAAATCAACAGCAAACAAAATATTTCAAAGTTTCTCCATCAATGAGTAATTTCGAAACATCAAAAGAATTAAGTATTAGAACTAATTAATAAAAAATATCCTTTTTAAGGAAAAGAAGAATTTAAGCTATTAAGATAGTTGATCATATAGCTTTGAAAGAAAACAAGCAAATCTCCTTTAAATAATAAAGTTTTACTGAGAGATTTTAAACAGTTGCTCTTAAAAATACTAAGTTAGCTAAAGTATTTATCTGCAAGAGAAATCCTATGCTTCTTTTGAAATAAAATTCATCAGAAGTCAAGAAAGAAAACTTCAAAAAATAAATTAAAATTGACCTTAAGTCAATTGAATGAATTAGCTTATGAGCTTGTCTAAATTCCTTATTTATTTCTTTCTTTCTTAATCTAAAATCTAAATAAATTGTTTGTATTTTCATATACTTATATTGTGTATCAATTTTATGAATTGATATGATTTAAATACATTTATATTTACTTTTTCAACAAAATATTTATATATATTCATAAATATAAGATAAGTAAAATAAGATTAATTAAGATAAAGAAAAATATATCCAAAAATGTTTAATTAAAAAGCTAATATTTTGATTTGTAAATTTTAAATTAACTTTTCTAATTAATTAATTCTCAATTTTGTAAACAAAACATTTGTAATAGTTTTTTGAAGCAAGTTTTCATAGCTAAGCAAATGAGTAAAAAGAATTTTAAAAGCAGCAGTAATAAATATGAAAAATAGTAATAGGTTATTCAATAGTAAGGTAATTAACTATAAACAATTTAAACAAAAATTTAATTTCTAGTTTATTTTACGCAAATAGTTGACATTGATTAAACACCAATTATTAGCAAAGTAGACTATTTGAGCAGCCCATCATTAGAAATGGTAGCAAAAAGTATTCCATTAATAAGTATTATTTTTGATAAGAAGATAAAATATTAATTAAACTAATAATAAATTGAAAAGGCCCAAAGTAATTCTTAATTATCATTAATTTAAGAATTTATAGTTAGTTGAATCTAAAATAAATGAAATTTTTAATTCTTAACAAGAAATGCTAGTATCATTTAGAATGATTAAACACAAAATCAAATATTTAGCTAAAATAACGATTTAAATGAGATTGAAATCATTAAAAACTTGACTGGAAGGCATAATGAAGTTTAATCATTAGGTGCATTAGAATAAGATAACTTAGAGTAAAATCTTCAAAAACTCTAAAAATAAAGCTCTTATGAAACTTTTAATAACTAAATAAAGACTCAGTAAAACAAATTAAGGAAAGAATATGGAATAAGAAATGATATAGACTAAGATACTGCTAATTAAAATAAAAGCCCAAAAAGCTTATAACATAAAAATAGTTAAGACCAAGAATATTTAGTTGCTGATCCAGATTTAGAAGACAAAGAAGAAGATGATACAGATAAATTGGAGTTAGATTAAGCTAATTATTAACAAGTTAGCTAAAAAATAAGAGATATTGATATAGACTAAGAAGTAAAAAATATATATAAAAACCTTGATAAAAGCTAAAAAATAAAAATGAAAATTTATTTAACCATGTTTGATGCAGAATATTCCTATTTTGTAAATATTTATTAACAATAAATCCAAATTTAATAAATTTGTTACAAAAAATAGTCAAAAGCAATTTTAATTTTTATGCTATGTGTTTCTATTACAGATGTCACTTTAATGATATTATCTACAGAGAAGTCTCTTCCAGTTGGTGATAATTTTTATTGGTAAATTTTTATATTCAGATAAAAAAATCTTTTAAACATATTTATTTTTTAAAAGGGAATACTTTAATTCATACAGTTTTATAGTATTTTTAATTGAGAAAATATTACAAATTTACAGTTGCAATTCATTTATAAAAGGAAGTTAAGCATACAAAAATTATTTTCTATGTAATAGCATTTATAATTAAATTAAATATAAATTAAATTGGTATTTTTTATAGAATTTAATACAATAGTAGAATTTATGGCACTGTTTTACAGCATTTATGAAGCTATTGCTTTTAATTTGAGCTTTGATTTTTCAGATTAAATTAAAATTCTAAGAGCACTTTTTACTTTAAGATTAATAAGGGTTTTCAAATTTTAGTCAATAAACAGAGGGATAAATGTGAATCATTTATTTATTTAGAGGCTTTTTAAAATATTTAATATAATTTTCTTTTATAAAATCAAAGATTCTAATTGCTGGTGTAAAGTAAAGTGTGCAAGCCTTGTCAATATTACTTTTTATAACTATTATTTGTATAATATTGATTTCCAGCTTAATGTACTTTTTAGAAAAAGGTGATAACAGTTCGTAATAAACATTTCTTATTATTGTTTTTGAAATTTATATTTAAAAATAAGGAAAATACAAAATATCCCTGAAGCAGTTTGGTGGGCAGTCATAACTATTACTACAGTAGGATATGGAGATGTAATTCCTGATACCTTAGCAGGAAAAATATTAGCATCAGTTTCATTAATATTTGGAGTTTTGGTATTTTATTTAAATAATTACTGAGCAAAATGGTTTAAACCATTTTAATATAAAATTTTAGCTTTTGTCTTTACCTGTGGCTATTATAGGAAATAATTTTCAAGAGATATATTTACAAAACCAAAAAGATGATAAAAACACGAGTAAAAAATCAATGAAGAGATAGTATCAAGAGACTAAAAATGAAGAAGAAAAAGAAATATTAAGAATTTGGTTAAAGATTAATGAATTAGAAGAAGTAAATGAAACCATTGAAAAATGCTTATAAGAAAATCAATTTCTTTATAGAAGTATAGCAAGAGAAGCTCAATCATTAATAAACAGAATTGAATTCTCAGATAAGAAATCTTACCTTTCTAAATTTAGTGATTCTTATGTTGAAGGCTATGACAAGCAAGACCCAATTGTAAAAAAAATAAAACAACAATAGTAAAATTTTTATTTTTATTTATCAAAACTAAAGAAATTTTACTTTTAAGGAAGTTTATTTATTTTTTTATCAACAAGAATATATTATATTTTAAATCTATTTCATTATTTTCAAATCTTTTAACAATTTATAATAAGCATACATATTTTATCATTAAAGTTAAAAGAAAAATAAATTATATCAATAACTATAATTTATCACCATTTTAACTGAAAAAATTTGTTTGAACGAAAATTTGAAGTTATAATAATGCATAACTTTTGGAATAAAATACTAATTGATTATGCACCTTAATTAAAGCAACTACAGTATTTATTTTTTATGAATTAAATAATTTTTATATTTAAATAGTTTGGAAGATAATTAAATTTAAAGTTTTATAACTTATAGAGCTAAATCAGACAGCTAATAGTGATGAAATTTATCTTAATTAAAATATTTAATTATTATAGCAAAATATATGTTTAAATGTAATGCTATTAAAATAAATTTTGCTATCAAAAATTTAAGTATATTTTTATACATATGCTTTAGTAAATCCTGAAAATTTTTTTGTATTTTGGTTTTTAATTATATTGTTTCTATTTTATTGGTTGATATTTTTTAGTTAGTATTTATTGATTTGTTATTTGATATTTATATGTAATCAAAAAGTGTTAGTCCTAGAAATTTTTTAACAAATTCTTTTATCAGCAAGAAAAAGTACAATTAATTTCTTTTAATTAAATAATTAATTTGTAAAATATATTTAGATTATGGAAGATAATAATATACCTGCAGATAGGCTTGAGAATATCAACGAAGGGTATTAGCCCTTTTAATATGAGACGGTAGAAGAAAAGAACAAGAAAAAGACAAGGAAGAAAAAAGTATTCTTAGGGATAATGATTTTGTGTTTGCCTCTTTTATTTTCTTTTATTTATTTAACTCTTAACAAAAGACATTCTATCCATTATCCATAATTAAATTAAGTGGAAGTTAATCCTTTTATTTATCAATATTTGAATGGAACTCTAGCCTTCTTGAATAGTTATGGCAATATTAAAGTTTTTGATAATAGAATGAATAAGCTCCAATAAATAACTGAGTATACACTAAATTTGAAAAACTCTAAGTTTTTGATGGACAACTGGAATAATTAAATAATTATAAACTCTTAAGATGCTGCTTAAGTAAAATGGACATATACTAATGAAGTTCTAAATTTATATTAAATTTAGGATGTTGAATATTTAGATGATAATAGTATATTTAATTGTTCATCTGAATAATCTTTTGCTCTCACTTAAGATGTCTATTTACTAACTTGTGATGAATGTCTTTTTCTCTATTTTTAAGAACTTAAAGTTTAAGGCATGGAATTTTAGAATTTTAATAGCCTTGCTACTGTCCTTGCAAAGTAAACACCCATAATTAACGTTTTTAATATAATATATACAAGTAAGCCATAGATTGGCAATGATGAAATTTTATATATTTATGAATATGATCTCCGTGATAAAGACACATTATAAAGACCTTAACTTATTTATCAAGGATAATTGCAATAGTTATAAATAACATAATCTCTCAAAGATATGATTATTTCAGCAGATTAAATAGTAATGATTTTTTCACAGTCAATTGTAAATTATAAGAAGGTTGGTCCTGTTACATAAGATTTAAAGTTTAATCTAGAAATAGTAGACAATTAATCGTTAAATATACCAAACTCTAATTTAAAATAATGCTTTTAAATAGAATCTGACATTATTTGTTATGACATTAATTCAAATAGTCTAATCTCAATTAATCAATGGTAAATAAAAGATAAGCTATAACTCAACAATGATCTTACAATAAATAGAATAGAATTAGGATAAAACAATGATTTATTCATTTTAACATAAATTCAACTAATGAGAGTAACTATCTCACCATTAAATATTACTGAAACTTACAATTTTAAAGCAAATGGTTTGAGTGATGAAATTAATGATTTGATTGTAATAAAAAATTGAAAATATAAATACACCTCCAACAATTTTTATTAAATTGAATTTTAGTTATAAATAAATAAATAAAAAATAGCTTTTAGTTTGATAATAGAAATAAGCAAGCTAATATCAAAAAAATAAATAAATTAAATTATTTTTAACTTATTAATAAAATAATATCAATATTTACTTTATTTCATCGTAATCTATAATTTTAATTTAATTTTAAAAGAATATAGTATTTTATTATTGATAATCTTTATTTATAAATTATGAATTTATTTATTACCACAGTTTAAATAATTTAAATTTAAAATAATTAAACTTACATAATATTTTAATTTTATAGAAATAATATGACTTAATTTAAAATATAATAAAGCAGCATTAAAGATTAAAAGTATTACTTATTAAATTATTTTAGATATTTATTTTTGATATTCATAATAGATGAAATATAAACTATTTTGAAACATAATTTTTAGCAAATTTATAATTCTAATGTTGCTTAGTTATTTTAAGCAATCATGTTTATTTTCAACAATAATTTAAGATTATTTAAGGATAATAAAAATATTAATTTAATTTTACTTATTTCTAATTTTTATAATTATAAATAAACTTTAGTATATATATATCTTAATTTATTAACTTATTAGCTAGTTTAAAGTACATTTTAAAGTCATGATAAACTATTTTTCTTCAAAAAAGTATAAACTGCTAAGATAAGAATGAAATACTTGCTTAACTTTAATTTTATTATTTATTTAGTTTTTACTATACTCTAATATTTCATATTTTTCTCTATTAATTTATTTATTAATTATGATATGATAGAAATATCCGTCTCTATTTATCTTACAAGTCTAATTTATTTCAAAAATTATTTGGGTTAGCACCAGCTAAGAATTTTATAGCTAAAGCTTCTAAATCTTATAATGTAACTCTTCCATCATTATTAAAATCCATAACATTAAAAAATGTATCAGTGTCTGCTTTTGTTGGATTAAATCCTTTTCCCATATCTTTATAAGCATCTTACATCATACCTGTTATTTCTGAAGAGGTAATTTCACCACTTCCATTTTTGTCATACTATTCAAATAATCTTCTTGCTACTAATCTAGCTCCTTCAATATCTGTAATTCCTCCTATTGGTACTCTATTAATAGTTGAGTTTTCTAAATCTTAATTTTCCTAGTTTGACTACATTTTAATAATCTTTAAATTTTGAACTTTTCTTTAATTATTTTTTTCAAATTTTTTACTTTTTTAAAAATTCAATTGAATGCTTATTTAGTAATAAATTAAAAACGAAATTTTCTTAAAACAAATTGGCAAAAATAAATTATGATGAGGCTTTATAGATCAATCTATTTATCTATTGACAATTAAAGATTAATAGTATTATGCTTGTAATTCTAAATTCACTATTTATTATCTAGATTTTAGAAATATTGGATCTAGTTAAGGCCAAATTATTTAAATTGCTTCTAAATATAACTAGATTGTAAGATAAGTAAATGAAATTTAAATTTTATCAATATGAGATTAAAAAATACTTGTTACAATACGTAAATATATAAATTTGATACTAGAATAGAGTATTTTTTTAATAAGATTTAAAGAATTTTTTCAGAAATAAGTAAATGATATGTATGCGTATCCAAGAGTAGTTAATATATCAACCATTTAAATAATGAGGTAAATACCAGATAAGATCATTAGTTCCCTACCATCACCTTTAGCAAGTTAAAGACTCATACCAATGCTAACAAATGAGCAGGTAGAGAACCACTCAGAGACACAGAAAATAAAGTCTTTACCTTCCTTTTACTTATCACTAACTACAGCAAGATTAAATACTAAAATTGAAACAATAAAACCTAAAACAAACTTAGGGAATCTTTCCCAAATAAGACCAAGATATGAAATTTGCTTTGGTTTTTCAACTAATGGCTATTCTATGTCATTTCTTTTACTGTTAATTCTTCCTTCTCTTTTGCTGTTAATTCTTCCTTCTCTTTTGCTAACAGATCTCTCTTCTCTATTTTCTTTACAATCATTTATACTTACTTTCCTATCTGCTAAATTATTTGAAACATCTTCTTAATTTCTAGAAGGCTGACGAGAAGTTCTTCCTTTCTTAGATTCTAATCTTTATGCTCTTTATGCTTCACCCTATTATGATGCAGTTCTTGACTTAACTCTTGTACGCTTAAGTTCTACTTCATCTATTCTATCTTAGTATTTAATGTAAAAGGCAACAACAAAAACTGATATTGGTGCTATTAATATATTTTAGACCATCTTAACAACAGCGCTAGAAGCTGCAGATCCGCTACCATATTAGTTAGATGTGGCAAGCACTGCACCAGTACTATCTACACTTCCTCCAAACCATGCTCCTGAGATATCGTCGCTAAAACCTGCAGATTATGCAATAATTGGTAAAATAGCTATACAAGGAATAGTTAAGAGAGAACTGATAAGGATAGCGTCTTTTTAGTCCTTTTCTTTACCTTTAAGAGAATTTCTAATTGCAGTGGCTGCAGAAGAACCACAAATTACAGTACAGCCAGTGAGAATCATAGATTACTTAGGACGTAATTTGAAAACAGTTACACCGATATATGAGAAGAGTACAAACAGAATAGGAGTATCAATCCATGCTACAAAGACGGAATTTCCAATAATTGTCTTAAGATCACTGTAATTGATAACTAGAAGTACAAGTGATGTAGCGATGTATAGTTCTGTCTGCTTGGCTAAATCTAAACAATGTAAAAGCTATTTGTTTAATCTTTTAACTATGTGATACAAGGAGCATCCGAAAAAGATAGCCCAAATAGAATCACCTAATTTAGCACTTTTTACATTTTTTTAAGCAGCTAACCATTTTGATAACATTGTAAAGCCCCAGACTAGAGTAAAGCCTACTAAGAATTTTTTCCAGTCATAAGCTTTTTTATCTCTTGGCTAGGCTATAACCATTGAAAGAGTGCATCCAATAGCCATGAGAACATAAACAACTGGGATACCTGCTGAACCAATAAAATTCCATGCAGAAAAAGGGTTACTTGTCCATTCTACAAATTTAGGACTCTATACATCAGCATAGATTAAACCAATCAATAAGGCTAAGAAACTAAATCCCATCCAGTTGATCATCCAATCAATATGGGTGAACCATAACTATTTAGCTGCCATTTTCTATCAATTTTTATTTCTTTGAGTTTTTAAACTTTTGTTGCTATTTTGATTTTTTCAAGTTATCCCTTTAACTCTCTTTTTTATGCTTTATTTCGATGATGATTGCTTCGAAAACTTTTTATTAATTCAATTTGGATTATTTTTTTTATAAAAATTAAGGCTAATATATTTCTGCTTATAGTCTATCACTTGGTCAATAAGGATGTAAAATATTGCATTTTTTAATTTTGTTTACAAGCTATGAATTCTGAGTAGCAAGCATAATAATATCAGAATGATTAAGATAATTGATTACCAAACTTTAAAAAAAATACAAACAACAAAAAATATACTTATTTCAATAAATTCCATATATTTATTGTAAATTCAAAGTGAGTATCTTGAAGGATTTATTACCACCAATTTAGATTAAAGATAAATTTTATCAAAGATAGGTCTATTTTACTAAAGATAAAACAAAGAAAGACTATACAAATAATTTAAATGATAAATGCTAAATTAAATAAGAAATGATAACAACTATGTTTTTGTCTCTTAAGCACTAAAAACTTAAAAATATTTAACAATTTTTATCTTTCTAGAAATTCTTTTTTTTATTGCTAGATTCACAATTTTTCTATCTAAAGTGTAAACGAATTCTTTCGTTATAAATTAAAAAATTTATTATATATTCTTATTATTATTTTTATATGAGAATTATACATTGATTATATTATTAAAATATAAAAAAATACTCTTATTTGATTACAAAATAACCTAAGTGATTTCGTATTTTCAGTGAAAACTTTTTTATATCAACCACTTTATTCCTCATTCAAAAAATCTTTTAAGCTTTATTTAAGGTATATGTAATGTTAACCTAATGTTAAAGACCAAATACAATAAATATATTAAAATTTGGTTTATATAATTACAAATTTACCACTTCTTTAAATCTTTATAAATCTTGAACAGAAAATTCAAAGAATCTGTTTACAGAAATTAATTAAATTTATGGATTTTCATTTAAGTATCATGAGCAAGTAAAGAAAACTCCCTAATCTAATAGATCTGATGAATAAAAAATAATTCATTTATTAAGTTTTTCTCTTAACACATTTTAAACAATTTTCTAAATAGAACTAAACCAAATTTAAGAAATTAAATAAAACATACATCACATATTTCTAATTTTGTACTTTTACCCACAGTAAAGATATATTTCTTCATCATAGAAAAACCATTTATTTTTAAGTAACCTAACATTAACTTTCTTATTAAAACTTCTAGTTAAAATTTCAAATATGTATCTTACAGCCTTGATGCTAAAAATCAAATATTTCTATTTTATTTCTTTCTATAAGTAAAATTAAATATTAATACAATAAAAGAAAAAAATATATGATCCTCAAAAATTAGAATTAATAGGAGCATAATTAGATTTAAATATATTTAATTGGCGATAAATAATTTATATTATAAAAAATAACCAAATAATGAATTATTCATAAAATAGAACCTTTAATAAAGATGCAGCACGTAATAATGAGTGTCTATATTTAAATTTATTCTTTTATATATAAGATATTTGATGTAAACTTCCTTTTTCTTACTTAGATTTGTTAATACTTACTCATCAAAAATCATAGTATATTTTTTCATTTATTTTGCAAAAAGAAGTTTGACTCTTTTTTATACCACAAATTTTTGATATCAAATCACTTTTTGTATAAATAACTAAAATTTTTCTTTTAGTTGATATCTCAACACAATTGTCTTTTTGTTAAATAATTTAATCCATAAAAGAAAATATCTAAATTTAAATTGATATTTTAATTTTATCTAAAAAGGAAATTACAAATATTTATTTGTATTTTTGGAAAATAAAAAATTATTGGATTTATGTGTGCAAATAAAAATGCTTGTATTTTTTAACCTTTCTTCTGACATAATTCTTCGATCATAAATGAATCATGCAACTATTATGATTCTATAAATTATATAACACTAATAAGTTAGATAAATAAGTTATTTAGATAACTAATTGTAGCCTTATCCATAAAAATATTAGAGATTATATTTAATATTTTAGACTAAATTAGTTTTCTATATAATTTGATTGATTGCTTAGACAACCAAATATCTGTGGCAAAACTTTAAAATCTATGTATTTAATTTTTTTTCCTTTTTAAATTTCTTAAAACTAAATTACATAGTTACAGTACTACATTTATGCGTAATACTAACCATCAATGTTCCATAAAATATTATGTACATTTAAATTATAAAAATCAAGCTAAATATAAAATTAAGTAATCTAAAATATTGAATTTGACACTTTTATAATTAGATTTTTATAATTTCATTGAATATTACACTTTTATAATTAGATTTTTATAATTTCAGCTCATTAGAAAAATATAAGCAAGGTTAAATATTTATATTTATATCCTTTATAATTTTAAATATAATTGAATATACTTTTAAATATATGACTAATATATTTATTAAAATATTATTTTACTTTTCATTCTTAATTTTTTATATTAATAAATTCTAAATTAGTATTATATGTAAAACTAAAATTTTTATATATTTCAATTAATTTTTGTTTCTAAAATACAAATTGTTGATTAGAATCCTTTTTTAATTATTGATTCCCTCAATTAATTGAAAAAGTATTACTGATTTTAGATTTTAAGTTAATGAACTAATTTTTAAGAAACTATCAAATTATTTATCAGATAATTTATTTTTTGCAATAAGATTACATAAAAAATTTCAAAATATTTAAAATTATATATTTTATTATTTAAAAATAACCAATATTTCCTAAAATTGCTTCATATTTCAGTAGCAAATCAAAATTATTTATGAGTATGGTTTTTGAAAGAGTCATCTAAATAATCAAAATTGGTTTGGTTATGAATTTTACACTATTCTTTTATTAGAATTTTAACATTTAAATAATAGAAAATATCCAAAAATTAATTTTTTGTCTGTAATAATTTTTCACTATCGATAAGTATCTATTACCAATTTTAAAAGCCCAATAAATAATCCCTGCTTATGAATGATTTTATTATGTGCACAAAAAGCTTTATATTTTAAAATGAATAAACAAAATCATGCTTTTTAATTGATTATATCTCATATTTAATGGAATCTAAATCTATTTTAACAATTCTTATATGATCAGCTAATTTTTTAGCATAATTTTTAAAAAATATAAATAATTTAACAAAATGATGAACTAAAATAAAATATTTATTCAAGCAAATAAACATTTTTAGTTTAATTAGAATTTTAATTTGGTTTAAGTTCTAGTATTAATATTGATATGAAAAAAGATTGATAAAATTTAACAATAAAAATAAATTGATTGATTTTTTGATTGAAAGATAGATAGATAGATACTAACGAAATTTGTTTGATAAACTATGATAATCAAATAATAGTGGTATTCATTGAAAATCTAAAACTAAATAGTAATCCAAAAAATTAATATTTATAATATTAAAATTTTATCTATGAAATTAAATCTAGTTTAATAATAATTATTTTTATTTATTAATTTATTGTTTGTTGTCAGTCAGTAGTAAAAAAATTTTAGGTGATTTCATAAAAATATTAATTTACATTACAACAAATAAATCGATTGAACTAATTATACATAAAAAATGAAAGATATTATTATAATTATTTTGCCAATATTATATAAGAAAGATGTATTATCAACTTTAAGAAATATTAAATGAAAAAAAAAGAAAAAATAGTAGTTTGAAATTAAATAACTACTGAATAATAAATATTAATTATATTGCTAATAAATTTAATATTAAAAAAGTATTAATTAATTTTTACTTTTTCATTAATCTATTTAGTAGTATTCATTCATTCATAATAGTAGATTACAAAATTAAAGCTAACTAGCTTAGTCAGTTTTAGCTAACAACTTTATAGCATCTTTATAAAAAATTACACAACTTAGTCTTTTTATATTTAGAAATGATAAGTGTCCATATCTCAAATAAAGAAAAAAGTAAAAGAAGGAGTGGTAGTAGTTGTGGAAATAATAGATTACTTGGCAATTAAGGGGTTTCATCAGAGAGGAATTAGGATGATATTAATGAAGAATGCTTATACTTAAACTATTTATCCATATTTAAGATTGATAAAATTCCAACTAACTATTCTTATATCTCTGAGTTATACCTCTCTCACAACATGCTTCGCTCTTTGAAAGGCATAGAGCAATTTAAAAGTTTGCGGATTTTGCACTTGAAATTTAATTTTATTGCTGAATTTGAAGAAATTGATCGTGTTGTAAATAAGTTCTACCTTAAAAACTTGAACCTAAAAGGGAACCCAATCATGAAAATTGAAAAAAACAGATTAACTTTAAATTATTTAAAACAAAACTTATTTGAAAACTTAGTTTTATTTAATTCAGATGAGCCAGATCCTCAAAACAATGAAAATCATTAGCAGTATATCAAAGATCATTATGAGCTTCAGAGATAAGCTTTGAAAAAAGGTAGCGAAACAGGAAGAAACGACTAATAAATGGAAAAATAAAGGCTATTAAGTGGCTTTTAAAATGGGTCAAACAACTGCTTGTCATCAAGAAGTATTTCTAATTAGTTGTAAAATGATTAATTTTAAATTGTCAAATGTCTTCCATAAAAGCTCAAGCACACTCGCCATTAATCATCCTGTTCTACTATTTCTTTGAATTCTAAATAAAATATTGATAACTATTTGAGGTAAGCTAATTAAAATGAAGCCCGAATTCCCTTAAATTGCACAAATTTATCAAATTAAGGTGTAGGATAGTTCGAACCTGGATAGCTGAATATTTATAAAATAACTCCTTTAAAAAGAGGTGCAAGCATTCACAGTATTAACAGCCTAAATAAAACTAATTAAAATTTGATTGACTAATCAATTAATAATAGGAGTTCTTCAAGATTAACTAATTAAGATTTTAGTAATAATACTTTAAGAGGTAATAACAGTTAAACTAAATTTTAAATTCAAATCCAATAAAATGAAAGCTCATAATTTGAAGATCAATAGGATTGTGACTAAATGCAATAAAACCAAGATTCTGAAATTAATCAAAACGAAGAATCTGAAGATTAAAATATTTTAATATAAGATGTAAGAAGTTGTGACGAATCAAACAACGCGAAATCAATACTATGTGAGCAATATGTAGAACTGTCTGAAGTTATTTAAAAGGAAAGAGAGAAATCACTGGAAAATATTAGATAACTTAAATAAGATGTTAAATAAGTCTAAAAAAATCTTTAATGCCTCTAAAAAAATATTGAGTAGCAAAAAAATATAGAATAAATTGTTTTGAATATAAGCCAAATTCAACCTCAATTATAAAATAGCCATAAATTGCCAAGTAGCGCATTAAAATCTGCCAGGAATTCAAACTATTAACAATAAATTTCCTTAAATTAATTTTTAAATTCTAGTATCAATGGCAATTCAACAAGCAGGACTCACAGGTATTAAAATTCTGCTCAATTCTTACAACAGCAACAACCTTAAATACCAATACTTTAATCTTCAAATTATAATAATATGATAAGTATTGATCTAAAAGGAGCAAACAAGAGCTAAAGCAGTCAATAAAACAATTTGAAGCTATTAATAAGTAACTAACAAAATAACTTAGCACCTAGTAGCAATAGTAAATTTATTTAAAAAGTTATTCATTAGTAGCAAAAATAATTCATTGATGAAAATATCTCTTACCCAAATGAAGAAAATTATCAAGAATTAAGTTAATAAAAGGTCAAACTCAATAATTATGCTAACCATGAATTTTAAGTTTAAAGTACAAATTAAAAATAAATACATTAAAATTACTAACATGATTAATAATAACCAAGTTCATAGAATTTGATAAATGGAGATTTTTAAATGGATTAGAATCAAAATAGTAATAGATGTAAGTTATAATATGATGGTAATTTCAATCAAATTAACAATTTTTAAAAAGTATAAAATCATAATATAATTGATGTAATTCACTAAGCATAGTAAGAATAGCCTAAAATATAGAACGTCTAAATACAAAACTATCTAATGAATTATAACCAAGATAATTAGGATTGCTCAAAGAATAAAAGACTCACTTAAAATAACAAAATCCTCAAAGACCAAATGCATCTTTAAAAGATAAATTAACAAACCAATAACTAGCCTTCCAGATGTAAAAATTTACAAAATTAGTTATCTTAAGATATCAAAAGTATTTAAGCAAATATAGTTTTGGATAATTAAACATAACGTGAGCGTAATTTCTATAACAATTAAAGATAAAATTGTATTTAAGACAAAGAAAATTTATTAAATCTTCAATCATAATCTCCGAGAATAGTGTCTTCACCTTTGAATGCCATTTAACATAGTAACAATACTCCTTTGTAATCTTCTTAAAATATAAATTTGAATTATTTACAAAGCAGACAAAATGAGCTAAATAAAAGTCCAAATAATATTCAGAAAAATTATTAAAATTAACAAATAAATTAATAACAATAAAGCTAGCAAAACCTTTAAACAAATAATTTTAGCGATTATTATAAGCAACAGTTAAATAGGATAGATGCAGGTAGTAATTAAAGAACAGGCTAATCTACCAATAAGATGAGCAGCTCAAAATCATAATATATTCAAAGTAAGAGGAATATAGGTGAAAATAATACTTATAAAGATTAAAGCTCATCTCTTGTAAATATTAAATATAGCAACTAAAAAAAATAATTTCATTAAAAGTCTTTAACGAACGTCTAGGATCTTTTGCATTCATCTAATTTTTATTAGTAAATGAGTTAATTCCAGAATTAGCAAGCAATTAATGACTCATAATCTTTTATAACTCCTAGAGGAGTTATTTCTAACACATCACTAACAAACTAATACAATTTAAATGTAAAGGGATCTGATGATAATATACTCGTTAATTCCCAGTAAGCTTTATCTACTCCTTTAAAACATTCTTATTCAAATATCTTATTGAATTAAGACCTTAATTCTTCAACTTATAAAAATTCTTAACTTATGAGTAACTAAAATTTGATAAATCCTCAATAAAATTTTATTTAAAATCCTCCCTCTGCTTTTTCCACTCCTCTCATTGATTCAAATAAAAAATAATCCAATAGCTATTAGATCCAATTACAGTAATAGCAATAATAATAAAAGTAAGGTTAACACTTTTCTTAACAATATATCAATCTTAAGCTTAATAAAGCTCTTAGCCAAGATTTGCAAAGTCAGAATTTACAATCTTTTGGTTCTATTTAACCAGAGATATTTGTAGAAAATTTTCCATTAAATTTTCAAGATTAGAATAACAAATAGCTAGCAAGGAATGATGCTTTAAAAATAGCAAGTAGTACATAAGCATCTAATTATGGAGATCAGACTTAAATTTTGACTGACAGATAAAGCCAAGCACAAAATAACTTCTCCCTGTTATCGAAAAACATGCTAAATTCTGGTAACAATAATTTCACTATGACTTCTGGGGCTAAGACATACGGAGAGACTTTTAACACTGAAATGTAAAGCCCTTCTTCTGCATAATATCAGAATTAAGTTATTTAAGTAAATTAACTTCTTAGCAGTACTGCTAGTCAAAGCTGCAATAGCTAGTATTTTAATGCAGCTATCTCAAATAAGTAAGCTTTAAATAAAATTGACAATTAAAATAAAGAAAAACTCCCCCAAATTTAATATAACTTAAATAATCCTGCAATTTCAACGCTATCTTCCCCCTTAAAATAACCATCTTAAGTAAATGGCTCTCCTCTTTTACTCACTTTAAATGGTTTTTCAAACACAATGTAGTCATCTGGAAAAATTTCATTCTAAAATTCTTAAAGAGGTTTTAGTAATATCCAAGAACCTATTCATGTATAAGACACTTTTACATTCGAAGATAGTTTAAGAAATTATGCTTAACAAAGGACTGAAGCAGAAGAAGAAAGTTTGTAAAACACTTAAAACAATTTGCAAGAGAAAACTTTAGCTTGTGATAAAAATAAACTTATTGTAAATGATGAAAGCACCGAATATGATAAAGAAGAAGAGGAAGACATATACAGTTCAAAATTTTTAATAAATTAAAGAACTAATGTATAAACTACCTAAAGAAATCCTCTGTCTTACTCCCGCTTAAATACATTCAGTTAGAACGAATAAGAATCTGAATAGACTGCTTAATCAAACAATAACTTACAATATTTCACAAAAAACTCTAATTATGATGTCTATTAGAGTTATGCTGCATAATAGAACTAGTTGCAAACCTACTCTTAAACATCTACACCTTTGAAATCTAGCTATGTGATATAAACTCCATAGTAATAAAGTAATTAAAAGTAAGCGATTTAGAGTAGCAGGATACATGCAGAGGAACCTATTGAATAAACAAGCTAGAAAAATTAATAGTTTTTAAGTGGGTCTTCATAAACATTAGTTGAGAAACATATTGATGATATTGACTGTGATATAACAAATCTAGCAATCAAATATTACAATAGAAACCTTTAAGCTAAAATATTTAAAAATTTTAAAATCTAAATTAAATCTTCATTAATAGAAAAGAGAGATAATGAAAACATTTAAAAATCACTTATGTTCTACTACAGAGCACTTAAAGCTAAAGCCTTCTATTCATGGAGGTCGTTCTAAACTACTAAACTAAACTATAAAAAAGCAATTTAAAAAATAAACTATGTTAAGGAGTTACACCAAGATCACAAAGAGTAGTCAAATATCTTAGAATGATCTAATAAATAAATAAAAAAGTAAATGAGTTATAAAAATTAATATGCTTAGAATTTAAATTAATAAATATATTAAAAAAACTAAAATATAAATTAAAACAATCCTATATTAAATTCATATAATTCAAACAAAACCTCTCCCACCCACTCTGTTTATAACCCAAAATTATACATAATTTTATTATTTGTTACACAAAATATTATTTTGTTTAAATTGTTAATTAAATTTATCTTCCAATATTTTATATAGTATTTCATTAAATAAATTTTTGTAATTAATCTTTTAAAACTAAAAAAATTTTTTCCTTTATTTATTTTTAATTAAAAAAAATACTTTGTTTAAATTATAAATTAAACATAAAATCAACTTTTTTTAAATATTAAATTTTTTAAAAATAAATTATGCTTTTAAATATTAATAACAAAGTAATAAAAATACTTATTAAATTTTATATAAAATAATTAAGATTATTTTAAAGTAAAATAAGTCTTGCAAAGCTTTTATTGATAAATTTGTATTTAAACATATAGAGAACTTATTAAAATTATTTAATTAATATTTAAGACTATATTATTTAAAAATAAAATAAAATTTTGAAAATTCTTTTTGATAAGAAATACACATTTTAGAAATTATAATTAATAGTGCAAAAGGACTAATAAACTTAATTATGTAATATAAATCTACCCTAAACATATATCAAAAATGTTATCTTTATAAGTAAGTTTTATTTATTTCCCTTTACTAAATATTTGATCTATAAAAAAATAAGCAAATCTTAGTATTTTATTGAATAATATCTAAACAGATTTTAATTTCTCTGAAAACTTTTTGGCAAATTATTAAATTAAAATAGTTAAAAATATAAATTTATATTTCTAATATGAAAATTTGTTTCTTACAACTTTATTCCATTTTTTAATTATTTTCATTATTTTTAAAGAAAAAATTTATAAAGCATTCCAATCATACAAACAAATAAAATGAATTTTATATTTCGAATTTTTTTAACATTTATAGAAATAAGCTTATTTAATAAAAAAATCACTTAACATATGATTATTATGAAGGAGAGTAAGGAGGTGATTAACTCCTTAACTGACTATAAGTAAGATTAGATGCATTCCTTATAACTTGTTCAGCTTTTTCTATCAATTTTTAATTTTTTTAGATTAAATTAGAATTTCTATTAGGACTTAATTCGCTAACTTAAAACTTTTATCTTTTAATTGTATCTTCAAAATTCATAAATTTTTCTAGTCTTTGTTGCATGGGAGATTAATTTCCACATTTTAATATTTGTTTTTTTACTTAAAAATCTAAATTTGAAATTTAGCTTTTATACAAATCATTTTCTTTTACTTTAATTAGTGAATACTATTTTTCCTCATCTAATTCTCTATTTAATAGCTTGACTCTTCCTTCTATCGATTATAAATGCTCTATTTCCAATTTGAGTTCTTACTTGTTTTTAATTAAAGTCTCTATATTATAATTAAGATCCTTTATCATGGTTTCCTAATTAGTTATTTTAGCAGCAAATGACTCATTTTTATCACAAAGTTTTTAAATTTCTTCAATTTGATCTTTTATTACTTTTGATTAGTTAAATATTAATTTTTCTGAGTTTGCTATTGAATCTTATAGATCTTCGATAGTAAGTTAAAGTGTGTTAATAATTTTTGCCTATTCATCAGTTTATATGATCAGTTATTGAATTTTTTCATCTTTTCTTTAATTTTCAGAAATAAGTTTAATTCTATCAGCTTCTTACTCTTATATTTGCTTGCCTTTGGTATGTATAGTCTTCTCTAAAATTTCAGTAGAGACCTTTAATTCACTCTGTTTAGATTAATAACTCTCAATTTATTTGGATTTTTCATTAATTTCATCGTTCAACTAATTTTTATGGTATATAGTTCATAAAATAATTTAATAATATTTGATTTATGTGATTACTTGATTTTTTTCTTTAATTTAATTTTGAATAACATTAGATTAACTCTTAATGTATTCTTCAGATTTATTAAGATTATCTTGCATGAGCAAAATTGTTTGTTAGTTTGTGTCTAGGGTTTAGTTTAGTTGGCTTAATTGCATCTTCAGTTCATCTATTTCCTTTATTTTTCTTACAGTTTCAGCTTCTAACTATTTCTAATAGCTTTCTTAATCTCCAATTTTTTTATTTTTTACTCTTATAACTTTATTTAAATTATCAATTTCTTACTTGCTGTTATTCAATTAGACTGCCTTTAACTCGCATTCACTTACTTTCTGATCATATCTCTCTATTAACTTTATTTAAAAAATAAAATATAAATTTATATCATAAAATTCAATAAAAATACATCATTGTATTCTTAATTTTTTTTAGAAATTAAACTATTTTAAGAATCAATCAAAATTTCTTATTTCTAAATATCTTATTGAAGAAGCAGGATAGTCTATTACAAAGAATTAAGACTCTCAGTTAACTCTTCCATTTTTTTGCCTTACTCTATTAATTCTTTTTCCTTCTAAAGGTTCTCCAAAATAGCAGAATTCTTTTGATTATCTAAATCTTTTATGACTAAATTCTTTTGTTTTAGAAGAAGTTCTTAATTTTATAATTCTATTTGTAGATCATGCATTTTCAATAATTAAGTCTCTAAAGTGGCTGTTTTCTGGCTATGCTCATAAAGTAGCTATTTTTAATTATCAAATTAATTTAAATGTCAAATATTTGATTTTACTTGGTTTCTATCATCGATTTGCTATTTTATCATATTTGATTGGTTTTGTATGAAATCTTCAGCTTTATTGAGAGCTCTTTAAACTTCAGATAAATTAAACTGCAATTCATTTATTATATTTTTTTAATCTTCTATCCTATATACCAATTCATTTATTTTATTCTCCTTCTCTGCCCCTTCTAAAGTAAGTAGATATTTAATATTTTCAAGTTCATTTAACTTTGAACTCTTAGCCTAATTTGACGTTTCCATTATGCTAAGATTTAATTTAAGATTTTTCATTTCTGTTAGTTATTATTCCATCTGTGATATTTTAATATTACTAAAATCAAGCACCTGTAAGAATTAATTAAAAATTCTAATTACTTACTTACTTATTTAATAAATTTATTTGTAAAAAGAAAAATTGAATAAGAGGAATTTGTTAATTTATTTCTTTAGAATTAATTTAATGACTTATTAACTAATTAAATTTATTTATTTATTTATAAATGATCAATCTATTTATTTATTTATTATTTCTATATTAAAATTTTGAGGAATCTTTACGATATTTTTTTAATGTATAACCACAAAGTAAAAAATATTATCTAAAATATGTTCATTAAAAATGCCAATTAAAATAAAAAATGATACCTAATTTTTTTTCCTTATTTCATCTAAGTATTAATTAATATTTGTTTAAAGCTACTCTATTTATGAAGTTGATGATTGATTTTACTGTATAAGGATTTTGTTTGTTTGTCTTACTTAATCTAGCTCCTAGCTTATATCTTTAACCCTAGAGTTTAATAAATTATTTTAAGCTTCAGATTGCTTATGAAGAGAGCTTAACTAGTTAATTTAGTTTTTTAGGAAAACATTTTCTTCTTCTTTATTGAGGTTTTTAGTATGAATATTCCTCATATCCTCTAATAAATTTGTAAATTATCTGTTTAGCTAATCTATTTTTGAAGTGTCTTCAACTACATGTATTTTTTCTTAAATAATTGGTGGTTTATTGCGAGCTATTTCTAATTATCTTTAAAAAAAATTGTTTTATTCAATTAAAGAATTCATCTATTATTGGAGGTTATTTATTTTAGAAGTATCTTCAACTAATTATAGCTCTTTTTATACAATAACTGGTACCTAATTTTATGCTTCCTTAGTGACATAAGTAAAACCTTAGCTAGAAAGTGGCGAATTTATCTGCTTTACTGGGATTCCTCTAGGAGATGAGGCTGAAATCATTTAATATGGTAGTGGTTTTGTCTCTACTACGCTTATCGGGATATATGTAGAATTTCTCATTTACCTAGTTTGAAAATTAAACCTTAAAATTTATTTATTTATTAGATTAATTAATAATATTTTTGGGCTGATTTCTACTTAAAATTAGTTATTAATCTTCTATCAATAGTTCTACTTTAAAGAGGTATCAAGTTAAAATTAATTTGCACTAATTGTAATAAAATCAATAAAAATTGAATCCAGCAAGTTTGCCATCAGGAAGTGAATAATTTCATTATTCCAATAAATTTTATAAATTTGTTAATTTTATTTACATTTAATATTTATTGAGTATGTTATTGTTAATATAAATTTTATTATTTTGAATAAAATTAAATATTTTATAAATATAATACAAAATTTTAATTTCTTAATGATTTACAATTTACTATAAATACTTTTGAAAATAATTATTCAAACCCTTTTTTTTAAATATTATTGAAGCAAATAAATTTAAGTGTTTCTATAACATTAAAAACGAAATATTTGATTTAAAAATAGTAAATTTATACTAATTAGCAAATTATAAAATAAATTAAAAGATAGGATGGAGTATTTAAGGTAAAATAGACCTAAAAATTCTTCATTGATTAATTTAAATTGTTTTATTGATTGATCACAAAGACTTTTCAATAGTCTTTAACTCTTTTAACAATGGATAAATATCTTTTCCAGTGTCTTTCCATTCACCAATTGCTGATTCAGCCCATGATTTGAAGATTCTTTTATCAATTTCAATTGAATTACGGAGGTCCATATCTTCTTCTAATTCTTTATCAAATCTATCTTAGACCTTTTGTTTCTTTTCATCCTTTAAAATAAAATATTTAAATAATTTCTATTTTAGAAAAATAACATAAAAATTTACAATCTAAGATTGTTAAAATTGGCGGATATTTAACTCTCTCCTTTTATGGAATAACTTTTCTTCTTTTTCTCCATTTTCCTTTATTTAAATTGCTACTATTAAATACTTGCTAATTAAAAACAAATTTTACAATGATCTTAGATTACTGAAGTAACTACTAAGCAAATTCATTTTCTTTTCTTTTTCTCTCTTCTTCTAATTTCTTTTTGATCTCAATACTTTCTTTGATGCTTTATTTTATTTCCTATATAACAATTAAAAAATTGTGTAAAAAAATGAAATGAAACATTACTTCTCTTCTTTTTTTGAGCTCATTTTCTTTTTCTTGCTTTTATTTCTCTTCTTTTTCTTACTGTTGTTTTACCTTTCAATATAAAAATGTCGAAAAATCTTTCTTTTAGTGAAAAATTTACTTAAGCCTAAATTCTTTATTCTTCATTGTCTTTCTTTTGCTTCATCTACGATACCTAAAAGTCATATAATTTTTATCTTATTTCTATTTTTTCTCTTATTTTTTGCTCTTCCCTAAGCTTTCTCATTTCAACAAGCTAACTCTTATTCTAAATGTATTCCTACATTTTACTATCTTCTTGCTATTCTTTTTGTCTCATTTAATCCATGTAAATCTATTTAAATTAAAAATATATTAAACATCATTAGCTATTTTTCTCTTTTACTTCTTTTTTCTTCTACTCCTCATTTAATTGATTTTATAAATCCTAAAACATTTACTTTTATTTCCTTCTTTTTTCTATATTTTCTTAATTTTCTTCATTTGCCCTTTCCTTTATAAGTGCACCTTCTTTCTGGTCATCCATAATTTATTAAATTTTTTTTTCTTTCATTTCTTAAAGCTATTTAGCAAGGTCTTATTTCATTTATTAAAGCTATGCTAGTTTTTTTTCCTTTAATTTTTATTTTTCCTCTTCTTCATGCTTTTAATTCATTGAAAAAAAGTATTATAGTGCTTTGATTAATATTATTTACCATTTTTATTGTTTCCATTTGTTGGGTCTGCTCATTATTGTAATTATTGTTTATATCATCAACATATTTTTTGAGTTCCATTTATTCTTTTCTTTCTTGCATTATAGCAGAAAATAGCATAGATTTTTTGAATTATCTCACTCTAGGATCTTAGGCAAATATTTTCTCATTTGAGTCTTTTATGATTTTTCTATATTGTTCCCTTTAATAAGCTTCTTCTTGTTCATCAATTAATCTTTTTTCTTTCTCTATTTTCTCAAATTTTTCATATCTCTCTTTTTCCTTTTTCTAAGTGATGTTAAGTAGATTATCTGGCCAATTTTCTATTCTTTTCATAGATAACTCATGCAGTTTCTTTTTCTAAATTAATCAACAATATAAATTAATAAATTGTTCTTAATTTTATCAGTATTCAAAGTAAATTTATTTATTTATTAATTTTTTTATCTACTACTTATTATCAAAATAAAACATTTTTCTCTGATAATTTATTATTTTAAAGATTTTTCAATCAATTGAATATTATTGACATGTTATTTAATATCAGCTGTTGCTGTTTCCAATTTTATATAAATATCATTTTTAATCTCAGTGAACTCATATTTTATAATAAATTTAGATAAAAAAGTAGAAAAATTTACTTCTGCTTATCTGTCATAGGTTGGTAAATCATCCTCCATTTTAATCCTCTATTTTATTTTATTTAGTTCATCTTATGAAATTATGCAAAGAGACTTAGCTAAGCTACTTTTATCTAAAGATTCGCTCTTAATGCCTTCAGTTCTTAATCTGTTTAGTAATTATGATAAGATTACAATTTTAAATTATTTACAACAACCAAAGTCTTAAATAATAGAAATAAAATTACGATCTTAAATTATTTGTGGATTTAGTAGATAGGTCCTTTTAAGTTTATTTATTGTAATAAATCTATGGTAATCCAGATTAATAAATTCCACTGCTACTATTATTATTGTACCTTTAATTTAAAGTGCTTTAACCAACTGATTTAAGTAAATGATTAGGTGATTGCATAGCTAATTTGTTGTTAGTCTAAATACTGTAAAATAATAATAATGTAAGAATAAGCTTTAATTCTATTTTATTTTGAATATTTTATTTTACGAAAGTAGATTAGACTATTATAAATTTTTAGTTGCCATTTTATCTTGGATAAAATTTAGAGATTTTTTATCAACTTTTTTGTTTAATAACTTAATTTAAACGTTTTATATAAATATATATACTCTGAATGAGTAATTTGCCAATTACTTTTATTTATTTATTTAATTGTTTATTTGCAATCGCGGAGTGTTAATTATTATTAATGATTCTTACTAATTAATTCATATGTGTTTTGCTATTTAAATACATTTCTATTGAAATAAAAGTAATAACTTATTAAAATCCTAGTATAAATCTTTATTAACTATTGTTTTTCAAAAAAAATAACTAAAATAATTTTGAATAAAATTTCAAGATTTTAAACATTGTTTTTTTTCTTCAAAATTTATCAATATTGATTTATTTTAAAGATGTTTAATGTGAATATTAAAAAAGTACAACAAAATTTAAATAATTATAAAATAAATTTTTTTTACTATCTAATTTATTGAAAGTATTTGTTAATTTTTTCTTTTAAAAAAACTAAAAATAAAGTTAGTCTCTCTTTAAGGTGTATTTTATGAGATAAAAATTATTAAATTTATAGAATATTTATTTAATATTTGTTAGTGATAAATATTGTTGAGTAATTTTTTCATATTGATATTTATTTAAGATAAAAAGCTAGATTTATTTTATAATTCATTTTATTAATTTGGAAATGATAAAATCCTTTTAAATACAAAAATAAATAATAAGCTTTTGTTTGTTTTTAAAACTTACTTCTAAAATTAAATTATTTTTGGTTAATTTGTGAAAGTTTAATTAATTTTTCTCATTATTCAAACTTAAAAATGTTGGAATCTTTAATATAAAATAGAGAGTTTTTAAATAAAAATACACCTAATTGCTAAAAAAATAGGATAAGTTGATAAAACATTATTAAATTTTTTACTCTTTTTAGAATTTATAAAGAATTTTTATATATTTACAATAAATTAATTAACATAGTTAGAATTATATTCAATCTAATCCGAGACATTTACTTATACATCCGTTTCTTTGTACTAAGCAACAGCATACTTCTCTATGATTCCTTAAAATCTTATTGTATTCTTATTCATCTTTTTGAGTTTAACTAACTATTTCTTCGTTTCTAATAAACACTCTCTCTAAATCCTCTTGTTTACTCATTTTAAGAGGCCAACTCCACCATTTTATAGTTGTATATGCTTAAATTACTGAAAGAGAAAGACTTACAATTACATATTCAAATATGTTACCATCAGATTCGTCATTTGATAGGATATAAATTAAGTAAATTATATTAAGGACAATCATTAAATAGTCTTGCAAAACAAATTTTAAAAAGCTAGTCATAAGATTATCAGGTATCTTTAATCTAGTGATTCTTCTTTCTGGTAAATAAGGATACACCAATTTAGGAAGTAGCATCATACTATAAAAATAAATAAAGTTAATATTTAATCTTTAATTAAATAATTAAATAAAATACGAGCATAAATCGGCAAGGATTGTAAAACGAGTTATCACTGGGAATAAAGTGTCAGTTTATAAAGGTTTAAATAGATATCTCAACTGTTTAAAAGCTCTCAAGAAGAAAACTATACAAACAGAAATAAAAATTAAATCAAAAACTAAACTTTGATCAAAGCATTTTTTGCCATAAATTAATACAACAAAATCAACCATAAAAAGAGATTTTAAGATCATGCTAAAAAATAGTTTAACAACCCAAGCAAAAGGGAACGAGTTAAATTCCTTTCTGGGGATTTCATACATGTTTCTAACCAGATTTTTAATCAAATTATACTCAAGGATCGTAATGAAAAACGAAACACCAATAAATATATAAAATATTTTATGTGAAACTCCATTTTCACAGTTATCATAGAAGTAGAATGGCAAAACTTTTTATTAAAAAAATATCTCTTTAACTTTTCTTTTCAATAAATTTAATTATCAAAAGTTAAAAAAAAAATAACTTTTCATTTAAAAATAATTTATTTATTTTTATTGATAAAAATTTAACAAACAATTTTTTTAATTTTATTTGCAGGTTAGGCAATTTGATATTTTTTTTAAATTAAGATATATTTTACTGAAAGAAAGAGAGTAGAATCCAACTGATGCGATCCATAAGTAAAATTTATAAATAGAAATTCTAAATCTAATGCTAATGTCTAAATCTTAAATAGCTTTCTCATAGAAAAATGTAATATCTTTAATCTTAATTTTAAATAAATTTTTAAGGAATCTTATTAAACATTATGGAATACAACAACAACAAAAGCTAAGACAAGAACAGCATCCAGTATCAGCTTAAATTTCTTTAGGATTTTAATTTTATGGGACAATAGGTTTATTTAAATCTTGCTATTGCATCTTTCCTTTGCTTTGTTCTTAAACAGGATTTTTTTATTCGACTTTTTCATTTTAGCTTTGTTAATTATTTTCATTTTATTCTTGCTTCAGTGGTTGATCTTCTTAAATTTTATCACTTTATATACTCTTTTAATCTTCATCTTAATTATTTTTTTTATCAGCTTCTTTATTACTTTTTTTATCTTCCTCTTAATTACTTTTTATTTCTTCTTCCTCTTATATCTTTTTTGAATCTTAATCTCCTTCCTTTTCATTTTTTTTTTAATCACCATTTTTTTAATTTGTATCCTCTTCAATTATCGATTTATCAAGTTCTTCTTGGTTTTCTTCATCTTTCTATTTAATCATTAGCTTTGGCTTACCCAAAAATTCCTCTAAATCTTGTCTTTCATAATTTATACAACAAAATGACCCTTTAGGCTTAAGTGAATATCTAAACTCTTCAAATTTTTTTACTAGTATTAAACCAAATATAACGGCATTAATTACACTCGAAATAGCTGAAATAATAATGCTCGTTTATTATAAATTATCGCTGACTTTTTTATCCATCAAAAAGATTATTTTAAGTACTAGCATAGGGAAGTTATCAAAGATTAATTTTAGTAGAGTGAAGCACATATTAACAGGAACTATCCAAGAGCTAGAAAATAATAAAGAAACATTAACTTCCTTAAAATCCATAATATAACTTATGCCAAACATATTTAAAAAATTAGTTAATTAACTAAAAACATCAGCAAGCAAATAAGGTTTTTTCTATTATTTAAAATTTTTATTTAATATATTTTAAAAAAAATTTTTTTACATCTTTTATATTGTCAGAAAAGTTTGTAACATACCTCATCAAACCAATTATTTATGAAAAATTGAATAAAAAGTTAGTTCCTATAAAGCAAAGCGAAATTATGAATAATGTCCAATAGTTACAGGTATGTGTAATTGTGATAAATAAAAAGTTGGCATATAAATCAAATTTTCCTATTAATGAAACTAAAAGCAAAGCATATAAATCTCCCTGATTTTTAAGATGTTCAGTGAGTCTTCTTCTCCAACTTTATTTTAAAATATTTTTTGCAGTAAATTTACAATTAAAACTTTTTTTTTTTACGATTTATCTCTTCCAGAAAGAAGTTTTGGTCTTTGGTTTGGAATAATTGAATATTTTATGATAGAAAATTCTATTAAAATGCTAACAAGACAGAATCCAGCAAAAATAATATGAGACACATACTTTTTGATTAAAATTCATTTTTAATTGATGCTTAGCTTTTAAATTTTAATTAATATTTGAATTATAAATCTTACACTATGTCCCTTTCCACAGTCGTTTGTGAAGAAGAAAGGAATTATAACAGAAGCAGTTAAAACAATTAGCCAAAAAACAGTAAAATAAAACAAATACCAACCTTTGTTTTCAATTAATTCTTTCTCAATAGGATCCTAAAAATAAAATTTGTAAATAATTAATTAATTAATTAATATTTTAAATTTAATTTCTACTTTATCGATTTCATCTTCATAGTCTTTTTGTTGTTCATGAGAGATAATGATACCATTTTTTAGTTATTTTCTTTAATTTTGTAGTAATTTAATTGATAAAGATTTGAGGCAGTTTGTTAATTAATTAGGACTAGGTGCAAAAACTACTTCTAATCTTTCTAAAAAAGGGAAATTTTTCTTTAAGTCGCATCTCATGAAAGAAGAGAATTGTTAATCATTTAAGTGATTAATTTAATTTAGATGTAAAACTTACCCTCCTTCTTTAACTAACTAATTTCTTACGACTATTGTTCTAACATCATTCATTTATAAACCTTTTAAACCAAGGGGAGAATATATTAGATAATGTAAATAAAAAAAATAAATACCCTGTAGTAAATCAAAAAGTCTGAATTCCATTATATTTTCCTAGTCGAAACTTTTTATTTCAACATACTTTTAGTCTCTGTAGTAGCTGAGAGTAACCAAATTTCTTACAGTAAGAGTTTCTGTTGCTTATGCTATTTCTGGAAGAAAATTCTAAATTTGAATCAAGTTCTGTTCTTCTTAAGCTCTAAAAACTTCTTCTTTAAAATCGCAAAAGGTGTTAAAGAAATCTTTGCAGAAAAGTAAAAATCTGTCACAAACTATTGGTTAATTTTTATAATTTTAATTATATTTTGTTTTTTAAATAAATATGAATTTACTTGAAAAACTAGGCTTAGAAGCATTAAACTCATTATATAAATTAAAATGAGAGTATTCTAAGTATGCAAGAGGTTTGCCTCTTTATCTTACTATCTTATGAAGAGCCCTTGATAAGCTTTGTAATTGCTACTCCTGGAATTATATACCTCCTATGTACAATCTTTCAAGAGATTGTTCATTTTTGTTGATTAAATTTAAGAAGTCATTAAAATTTTCTGGCAATTCAAGCTGAGTGCAGTCAGAATAATCAATAACGATAATAGGATTAAAGTATTTTAGATTTAGACTTGTTTTTAAAACCTTTAAATTAAACAAATTTTAGAGTAGGTAGAAGATTTTATTTGTAATTTTACTTGATAATCATAAAGAAATTGCAGATGAATTTCATCGAGAGTCTAAGAATTGCAAAATAGAGATATTATTGTATCTATATCGTCCTCCTCATTGAAGATATATTTAATAGGAATTTAGTAGTTTTAAATATAATTTGAATTGGGATTATAGTATTTATTCATATTCATTCTTCTGGCCCTTAAATACATTTACTTTATTGCAGGAAATTTATTACTTATTATACTATTTTAGTTTGATCTTCCATTTATTCCACCCAACCCTGATATTTCGATGTTCTCTATTTAAGGCATGCTAGCAATAGATTTCAGAATTTTATTTTCATAATATTTTTGGCTTTTGTAGTCTATAGTATCATTCAATATTTCCATTTAAGAGTTTTTCATATTACTTTGACCCATGAAATTGCTATTATTATTATTTGGGTCTACTTTCTATAAATAAAAGCTATATGAATATTATGTTGAAATAACAATTTTAAATTTACACTATTTTATAAAGAATTCAATTAAGAATTAGGTCCACTCCTTATCTAACTTTATTTATTATTTTCAGTTGATACCTTACTTGAAGACTATTAATTAATCAATTCTTTATTCTTGTTACCTTCCATTGTAATCGATAAATTTTTAATGTTTCTCAAGCTATAGAGTGATGGAGCTATTTTTGAAAGACCTTCTTCTGCAATATAATTATATCTGTTAAAATTTAAAAATCTATTAAATTTAAATTTAATAGCATATTATTTACCTTAAATCTACTTTAAAAGATGAAATACCTAGGGTAGAAATAGATTTTATTGTTTTTTTGACTAGTCTATTCCTCTTAAAATTAAGAATTAAAGTTGTAAGGTTTGGTCTTGTATAAAGAGCCTTACCAAATTTGTATTCAAAATGACGCATAAGACGATCGCCTAAGCTATTTTATGCCACATTTAAATTAAGATATTAAAGCTTATCCATACACGAAATAGCATCAGCTACATGCTCAAGAGCTGTATAAAAATTTATCATCCACATGCAGCACGAGCCAATTAGAGGTAAAAACTATAAACAAACTCTTAAATAGTACCCGCAATAGCAGCTCAAGCAAAATTCCTTCATTTCTTTAATATTTAATAGTATATTTTTAAGCGATAAGATATAAAATTAAAAAAAAATTAAGCAAATATTCAATAGATCCTACCTATTTTTTCTAAATCGAGCTTAAGGCATGTTAGATTTGTTAGGTATTTTAAAGAACTAGCTAAGCGCTCAACAAAATTAGGTCCAAGAGGATTTAATGAAACATTCAGGTTCAAATTTTATAGTAAAGTTAAAAAAGAAAGACATGTTGCAAAATCTTTACCCATATCATAGCTCATATTTGTATTTTCTAAATTGAGATTTAGGCTTTGATTTTAAAAATTATAAATTAAAATTTAAGTAAATCAATTACTTACTTTTATAGGCAGGAGCTTTGAGATCTGAGAAAAGCAATTAACTTATAGCAAGCATTATCTACTGATAGATCGTTATAGTCCAAGTGCAAATATAAAGATTTCAGACGAACTTCTGTTGTAGAAAGAGTTGTTAAAAGAGGAGCTATTTTAATTTTTTCTACTTCATCATCGTAAGAAGAAAGAGATAGCTTTAAATACAAGCTTTTTAGATGCCTGTTTAGTTTCATCGCTTTGGCTATTTACTCAATCTCAGCTAAACTGTATTTTCCTCTTGAAATTTACTCTCGAAAATCAATTAAAAGGATCCTTGTTTAGCTTACTTGTTAGAATACCTGCTAATTAATATCTTCTGTGGTGAATAAAAATAAATAGTCTTCTCCTGTTATGCTTTCCTAATTTAAGAGATATTTTTTTAATGTCTAAAATACATAAAAGTATTTTTTAATTTACTTTATATTCTTCCATCTCTTCATCCTCTTGCTTTGGCTTTTTTTATTGTAAATTAATTGTTTTTGCCCTTACTAAATCATCATTATCTAATAATTAGTCATCTTCATCTTCTAAATCATCAGGAGGCTCAAATTCACCTCCTCTTTTTCCAACTGGGAATTTTATTGATTCTTTCTCCTTTAACTATAGTCTTTATAAGAGGTCATTAATATAATAATCAAACAAGCTCTTTCTCATTATTTGTAATTCAGGATCATTAAAAGAGCATTTTGTCGGGTCGTTTGGTCTAAATCCAAATTATTTATTTGAAATCAATCCAGACAAAGAATGTAACAACTAACTCATAAATTAAACTTCTTTTTTTACGTCATTTGCAATATTTGGCCTATTAAAAACATTTTAAGGATTTTGAAATTAATATAATAAAAAACTTTGTTACAGAAAGTATTTGTCCCATATTTCAGCAATCTATTTTTCTGTATCAGGACAATTAAGCACAGCCAAGAAAGATTTTACTTTTAAATCCTCCTTTAAAGTAATAGGATCTAAAAACTAAGTTGAGAAATTTTCAGCTAAGTACTCTCTAAAAGCTTTAAATAAATGAAGGAATTTTCTGTTCATTAATAAAATTCCAGGTAAAATCAAAGTTATATCTTCATCATGGATCTTTGTTGATACAAACAATTTAAGGCATGGTTCCTATATAAAAAAGTGATATTTTATAAGAAGATGATTAGTATTCAAATAAAATTTTAGAAAAAATAACAGTAAATTTTTTATTTTTGTAAGTATTTAAATATTTTATTTCAGAATATTTTTATGTATAATAAAAATATAAAGTTATTGTTTGTACTTTGAGGATATTTTTAAATAATTTAAAAAAATTGAATAAATTAAAAACAAAATAAACAATTTTTGAAAATATAAAAGATAAATGTGATAATTTGTTTACAGCTCTGATATCTGATAAGGTTTTGATGCTTTACATCTAATCTGGAGGAAATAAGTAAAGCCAATCAATATTTATTTACTTAAATGGATCTCCTCCATTAATTAAAATTAATTTTTTTCCTGTCTCCTTTAAATCAGAAAGATTGATTTCAGTGAAACCTATCGAGATTGTAACCATTTTATTTTCTAACTAGATAAATAAAAGCAAATTCAATAAATGAAAATTAATTAATTAATTAATTATTTAATTATTTATTTAAATTAATTACTTAGTAGTGCAAGACAAATTCAAAGCAAATTACTAACTCAGAATCTCTTTTTTCATTATAGTTTGTATATCTTACCAGAAATGAATTTTGCTCATCATCATTTTTAAAATTCCAACAATTGCCTTAAACCTTTGATTCTTAATATTAAGCTTCCATCCTGCAGCAATTACCTACAAATTTCTTTCTTTGTCTATCAAACATGCAAACCACAACTTCCCTAAATAAATTTATAATCATAAAACTAACTTTAAAAAATTGTAAATTTTTACATAAATTTAATGTTTTCAATTTATTATTTGTCTTTAGGAAATGGTAAGCACATTGCTTATGATAAAGTTATTTCGGCTAATATTTCATTTGGTTATTTCTTTCCTTTCAGAAGAGTATTTTTAACGTTCGAATCACTGATCAAAAACAAATCTTTAATTGTTCCAGTAGTACCATGTATTTTAGGTTTGATTCCTAACGAAGGAAGATTGTATCCATTTTTTATTTTTTAGTACAAAAAACTGAATATATAATTTTGAGGGAAGTTTATAAATAAGTTTGAAAGTTCATGGATGGTGGGCTTTGTGCATGATCTAATCTAAATTTTTTAAATTAAAAAAAAAAGATTTAAAAACTCGCTAATTAATAAACAAAAAAAAAATTATTAATTAATTTATTTAGTTAATTATTTATCACAAATCATCCTACCTTTATTATGGTACAAGCTTGCAAACCTTAAATTTTTTTAAGGTCTCTCTTAATAAAACTAATAAATTCATTTAATTGAACTCCTCCACTTTTATCTTGATCGATTTCATTAAAAATAGACTAAACTTCTTCTTCACTGAGAATAATACCAAGTGAAGCCAATACATGACTTTATATTGAAGTTAAAATATGGATTGGTTAAATTGTAAATTTAATTAAAATTACCTTAATTAATCTTTGCTTAACGTATTTGTGTTGTTAATGTCTACCCTCTTAAATAAAGTTTTGATGTCATCAATTATATCTGAAACGTTTAGCATATTATTATATATCTATTGTGTCATTATAATCTAAAATTCCTTATAAGATATTGTTTTGTCTCCATCCTAAAAAATAAATTTTATTTTTAACTGCTTTATATTTTAAATAAGGTTTTATTACCTTATCATATTTTTTAAAGAACTGATCAAGCTCTTCATCCTTTGCATTTATGCCTAACCACTTAAGCAAATTTTCTATTTCATATTTCTCAATTGAACCACTTCCATCTCGATCAGCAAGTTAAAAGAGTTCTTTGATATCATTTATCATACTATCAGGTAGAACTAAGTCATCGTCTTTTGTGTCAGGCTTTTTTGAAAAAAAATTATAAGAAATGAGATTAATAATGAAATCATACAATTAACATATCTGGAGTTAATTTTAGTTTTTCTCTTATTTTAGAAATGTTTATTTTCCTGTTTGGTGATAAACTATCAACAAACTCTCTTAATTCTAAACAATCTGTGAATTCATAATCCTCTACAAGTGCTCTATAAAAGTCTTTAGCATAAATAATATTATCTTATCTCCTAGACATAATAGGGTCAAAACTTTATTGTGCAACTGCTTGTCCTAAAGTCTTCCAAAACATTTATTTATTAACCTAAACTTTTTCTATTTAATTCATAGAGATTGAAGGTAAGAATCTTTTACTTTATTCATATTCTTATTCTTATTTTAATAAAAGTTCTTACTATTTTTTATAATTTAGCTCTTTTTCTTGTCTTTCCTGCATTTGCTATAGAATTTTCTCTCTTTTTTATCTTTCTATTTCAAGCTATCTTTCAAGTTCTTACTCTCTTTGCTTCTGTATTAGATCTTAAAGTTAAATCTCAGTTAATCTTTTAATTTAACTGTGCATCCTTTAATTTATAGATCTAACAATCATTTCATTTGGAGTTTAGATTCTAAACCCAATAATCTAAGCTAGCTCTTTTGCATTTAAAGTTTAATCTTAAGAATCTACATATTCTAGGAACTCTTTCATGATATTATTTAAAGTAATTTCATCAAAATTAAACTAATTTTCATAGTTTATTTGAATTAATTCTTACAATCCCCAACAATTACTGTTTTAATTTTAATATCTTTCAAAAAGCTGCAAAATAGACCATCTATTAATTTTAAGGAGATTAATTAACAAACTAACAAAAAGCTATTTAGGTGAAACCAATTATTGAAGCAATCCTATTTATTACATTAAAATTCATAAAATAAATTTAAATCTGAGTATTTATTTTACCTAAAAATTGCATTTTTTAAGGAGAATAGCTGTAATTTTCATATAGCATTAAAGATTGCTATTCAGTAATTTGATTGTTTAGTAATCCAATAATAGTGAGTATTTTATTTAGAGTTTCAGGATCTGATAAGGTATAGTCATAATCCTAATCATAATAAACAAATACATCTAAAATATCTATCTACTTAAGATCAATACATTTTTAAATAATTTTAATAATTTGGGATAACTCTTCTTATGAAAATATATTGTTTTGTTTACTTGGAGAGTAACCATTAGTAAAATTTAACTACTATTAATAGGTTTATTGTTATAATTATTCTTTGAAAATTTAATCTTGCTAGCTTTATTAATAGTTTTAAAAAGCATTGCTAATTTCTTATGGCTGTGTAACTAATTGAACTTAGCTTCCTTAATTACTTGAACTTTAAGAAAATCTAACACCTTAAATTTTTTTATTGCTGCCTTTGTTTTGAAATATTTAATTATTTTAGTTTTATTCTTCATCACTGTCTGGCACGTCAAACGGGTTTTATTCATTGTTATTTGCAGATTGCTAAACTTAAAATTAATTCTAAAATGTATTTTCAATTTGCATATAATTTTAATTAGAAAAACCTTAAATTGATTGCAAATTATTTTATTTATTAGAATGCTACATTTTATTGCTGTTTTACCATGAATTTGTTTAAATAATTTCAGATTCTAATAAATTTTATTTTGGTTTTTCTTAATTTCTGATATCTTAGTTTTAATCTTATTGTTTATTTTAAGAAGATTATATTGATTGTTGTGCCTATCCTATTCTCTCACTATCTACTAATTTAATATTTCCTTATGGATTAGGTGCTTAAACTTAGTGATTAATAGGTTCTTCATCTAAATTCTCTTCTTAAAGAGTTTGAGACTCAAGTAATTTAATACTTGGTTTAGTTATTTTCTTAAAGTTATCATCAGTAAAATTATCTTACTTTTAATTTTATGAAGATACACTATTAATTTGCTATATTTATTCTATATTTTGCTGTTAAATATTAGGTTATATTTTTTTCTCTTCTTTCTTTTAACTTAATTATTTATTTTCTGCTATATCCTCTAAATCTTATAAGCTCTTAATATCTGATTATTTTTATTCTTGATTATTTTATTGTTGTTTCTTCTCTTCATTTATTTCTTATTTAGATTCATATTCTCCTATATCTGCATTAGTAATTCTAGGTAATGTCCCTATTTCTTTATAAATAAATGCATTTTAATAAATTACCTTTAAATCATTGTTAAATTTTTATTATTTAAGTTTTTTTTGTACCTCTTCCAGATTCGATGTTTTTAGCTTTTAAATAGAAATCTTCATCAAATTGCAATATTTTTTTTCTTTTGATTGGCTATACAACTAACAGTTCTTAAATAATATTAAATAGTTCATCAGATATAATGGCAGATATCTCTTTAAGAAGTTCTTCTCTTTTTTTCCCCATCTCTCCATAGTCATATTTGAGACACTCCAAGTCCTTTCTGGCTTTTAGAGAGACCAGTTCTACTAAAATCATGCCAAATTGAAAACTATCCATCTTAATATTACCAATTAATTAATTAATTCCTTACTTACTGAATTCAGTTATTTTTTTTTATAGAAATTAAAGCTAAAAATTATTAATATTTTACTTGTTAGTAATCTAAATCTTCAGGATCTTCTGTGAAATACTCATGGTCAGGTATTTCTTCTGGTGTTAAAAACCACTCTTTATGTTTTTCTATCATAATAAATTCATTTTATTAGAAAAGAGTGAATAGATTTTGTTTAAATAAAGTCATTTAGTAAAAATTTAATGTAAAAATAAGAAAATACCTTTTTATGAAAGATACCCAGCCTCGCTTAAATATACTTGCTGAGAACCCTCTAAATAAAATATGTTAGTTAACTTAATGTTTGAGTGATATAAAGCCTTTTTATGCAAGTTTCTGAGACTTAGTAGAACACAATTTATAACACTTTATATTTCATCTTTGGTAAAAAACTTCTCTTCTTTAATCTTTTTAGCTTTCAATTCAGCATAGCTTCCTGAATACTTTTTATATATTAAAAATAATTCTTTCTGATTAGAATTCGGGTTTTTATAGTATCCTAATGGAGGGACCAAACCACATCTTTTACTGCTATCAACTATTAATGGAATTTTTGCTAAAATCTACTAAAAGTCTTTTTTATATTTCATCTTTTTGATAGCTACCTAATCTAATTATGGATCTAATTTATTGAGTCCTATTTAAAAATCATCCTGATCATTTGGCCTTGAAAGGTCATATAATTATTCAATTTGTATGAAGTTCATATTATTTTGGTTAATTAGTACCTTTCTTAATTAAATTTAATAACTATAACTCTATTATTAACCTAAAATAACTTTTCCTAATATACTCTTTTAATCTTTAAAATAGATAATATATCTTTGGTCAACAACAATTATCTAAGATTTTGTTAATATTTTTATAGATCAGCTTTAAAAATTAATTAATAAATTAAAATTAATTTTCAGTGAAAGTGTTAAAAGTGTGGAAACATTTAGAGTTAATATTAAAATTTGAAATTGCTAATAAAAATAAAGTCAATTTCAAAATAATGGGTATCATTCATTTTTTAAGTTATAAAATGGGTAATCATTTTGTAGTTTTATTTATTTATTTATATTTATTTACAATTCATATTAAAATTTTAAAATAAAGACTTGTTAAAAAAATTAAAGTATTCTAAAAATCAATAATTACTTAATATAAAGCAAATCATCTAAAATATTCATTAAATTAATTTATTATTTTTGTTAAAAATAAAAACCTATTTTAATTTAAGAATTTAAGATAGAACATCTTTAAAAAATTAATTAACATAAAATTTCAAAAGCAATTTTAATATTCAAACTAAATTTAAATTTTGAAAAATTAACAAATAATATAACCCTTTTTTATTTAATTACTTTATTATTTCTATATAAGAATGTTAAAGGAGATTCAAGAAAATAAAATAATTTTTTTTAAAACCTCCATACTACCTTGTTCATCTTTTGAATAAAATAATTCCTAATAGATGGAAGAAATATGGTAATTACCAATACAAATAGAATTAAACTGTATATTTTCTGAATATATAGGAAACGATTGCTTTGTGTTACTTATAAATAATTTAACAAAAAAATATTCTTATATTTCTAATAATTAAGATTCTTTCATTTAATAAGTATCTATTACATATTGTTCTCTGTTAAAATCTTGGCGGAAAATATTAAATATTCATTTATAAAATATTGTATGTGAATTTTAAATTAAATTTTTGATAATTTTGAAAAAGTTAAAAGAATGCAACAAGAAGACCCAGATCAATAATTTAGTATAAAAGATGCTATATCTTTTAAAAAAGACAAGCATAGGGTTGAAATTAGAAAAAAGAATATCTAAGCAACTTTAAAAAATAAGAGGTTAAACAATTTTATCATGAATATGCAACCTAATGTTGATAATGGCTAACAAAATAACTCAATTATGTAAGATTTTAATAATTAAGATCCCGCTTAAGAATAAGGAAATGAAATCACTCTCTAGTTTTATATTTAGACAATAAATCAGGAATGCGATAGCAATTAATTTTTGAACCAAAGCGATAAAATAAGTAGATGCTTAAAAATCCTTAATTCCCATCTTTTGTGCACAATAAAAACTACAGATCTTGAGTATTAATAGTAATAATTAATTTAATTTATGAGATCAGGAGGATGTGAATGCATTCTTTAGTTTTTTGCAGAAAAATATGATTAAGTACCTCTACTTTAAGCATAATCTATAGGAATGATAGGAAATATCTTTTCTCTAAGCAACTGTTCAATTCTTTCCTTTTTAATTTAAAGTGGTATTGTTAGTTATTTGATAAAGCTTCTTATTAGAGTAAGTGAGTTTATATTAGCAGAACAACAATTAAAATAAACATTCTAAGATGTTAAAAATGAGCTTTTAAGTGAAATATTTAGAACAATTGCAAATATGGCAGGTGAGAGTTATGAGTATAGAATAGAATTATCCTAAAATGGACTAATTAGATATCTTACTAGTGATTTATTTGGAAAAATATGCATTAATATTAATAAGTCTATTGTTGCAAATATTGTATTTTTAATTAAGAATATGCTATGCTCAACACCATCTCTTAAAGAGGAAATTACTGAATAATTCATTCCTTTAGTTTCTGCCTTTTTTTTAAGCAGTGATTTATCATTAGAATCATTGTAAGACTGTGTACTTTCGATAAGAAGCTATGCAAAATTTGGTAACACTATTGCTAGGGCTAAGATGCTTTCATAAGGAGGTGTATTTGAAAAGATTCATGATCTGATTAATCCCAATATTAATACTGACTTTTCAATAGTGTATTATGCAATGTCTACACTTAAAGATTATATGAAATATTAAAATAGACAAGCTGAATATGTTTTTAACATCAAAGGAGAACAGATTTTCGACTTTTTAGAATATTACTTGAATGGAGAAATTAAAATTCAAAATTTAAATAAACAAGATTAATAAAGTGCTGTTACAGACTTATAAATGTAAGCCATAGATATTCTTCACCTTTATGTTCTATGTGATGATCCTCTGTTTTTCTCATTTATATACGATCAAGGAATAAAGCTAATATAATTAATTATGAAAATAGCAATATATTCAGCAAATAATAAAATAAATTATAAAGCAAAAGAATTTTTATTCACTTCTATATAAAGATCTACTTATGAGTAGTAAAAGCAACTTGTATCTTTAAATATTCTTCAAGTTATTTTAGATGCTATATAAGAAGATGAAATATCTTTGATGTACAAAGGTTTAAGATCCCTAGTATAGCTTTTATAAGTTGCAGAATCCCAAATTGGCTAAAGCCCTGAATATGCATAAATTAATTATGTTAAGGATATTATGGAAAGATCATATTAATTTAGGTAAGTAATTGAATCTGTCCAAAGCCATCCTAACAACGATATATACGAATTAGCTAACGAGATATTAGAAATTTACTTTAAAAATTGAGACTAATTGATTATTATCAATATGTATATATTATTCAATTCTCAAATTAATATCTTTACTTATTTAAAATAAGAAATAGTCTCTAATATATTATTCCAATACATAATTTATATAATTTGTTTTATTTTTATCATTTAATTTTTAGTAAAAATTTGAAAAGAATTTAATGACCATCTTTTTTTTAAAATTAAGCCTTTGTGATTGATTAAATAATAAAATCCTCAAAGAATGGTTTTTTTAAGAAATGAAAAAGATATTTAATTTTATATTATGTAAAATTAATTTAATTTCTTTAAAATATTTAGAACAATATATAACTTAATAACTTATAGATTATATTATCAAGCATATAATAAATAAATAGTTAAGACACTAATAAAAAAGGTGAAATATTAATTTTATTTAATATATATAATAAATCAAAATAAATAAAAATTATTGGCAATTTAAAAGATTCAGTATTATCTTGTTTAAAATGTCTTTCTAGTTTTTGATTGTCATTCATAGACACTGAAAATAGCATTAGCACTTGTAAATTTGTAGATAAAATGAGTAATTTAAAATGTTTGTAGCAATTTAAGAGTAACTAAATACTTTAAAAAAGATGAAATAGTACTCCAAATTAATAAATCTATTGCTAAAGTAATCAAATAATTTTCTATCCAAATATTAGAGTCTGATGGAGACTAATTAGACATAGCAACAAGTATGGAATAGTAGCAGAAAATCAAGAAGCAAAATATCAAAAAGTAACCAATAAATTTAAACACTTTCTTATTTAATGCAAATTTCAAAATTACTTTGAATATTCCAAATAATGTAGAAGCTATTATTGATAAGACAAACAATTTATCCATTGATAAATCCTATTCAAACACAGAGTTTATAGTCAAGAGCCATATTAATTAGTTATAAAATATACTTAATCTACATAAGCGAGATTGACTTTTATCAAAAATGATGAATATTTAAATTATGTCATGGAAAATACAAATTCCTCTAATCACTGAAATAGTTGACAAATAATTATAGGATTTTTGTTGGATTTCTGAATTTTTTAATTATTTTAGCTGTTTATTCATTTATTTTGTTTATTATTTTGTTAATTTAGCTTGATTTTTTTATTGTTCCTCATCACTTTATGGACTAACTTTTTGATTTAAGAAATCTTCGAATATTGCAAAGTTGTGTTGATCATGATTTTAGCATTCTTAATAATTTATTCTGTACTAATCATAAGGATTATTTTCACTACTTTTATTTGTTTCTACTTCAGATCCTAAAAAAATTTACACATTTGTCTCAGCTTCCGTCTTAGTTAATGTGTTTTGATTTTATTAGTTAAAATGTTCTCTCATATCTATTTTAATCTATAAAGAATGATCTAATCTTTAAAAATTATTCCCTTCTGTTTACGTTTCATTATATTAATTATCTTATTTATGTTTATTATTTAGAAGATTGGAGGACTAGAGCATATGAGTAGCTTGAGGTGTCTATTAATCTTTTGAATAAATTTATTTATAAAATTTTAGACATAAATAAAAAAAAATATCTAAAGATAAATTACTTGATGTTGGACTGAATTAATTATTATTCTAATTTATATTTAATTAAGTATGATCATCTTATTTGGGTGTGTTGTTTTTTTGATTTAAATTCACTTCTTATTTTTAACTATTTGTAAGCTTCTTCTAACTGTCCTCTTAGATAGTAGTACTTTTTCCAATAGTAGAAATTCCAATAAAAACATTATTTAAGTCTGCTTTATCTAATCTGCAGCCAAAAATTAAGCTACCAATCATCAAAATGTTTATTAAAATTAATATATAAATGCAAGCATATTTATACCAGTCCTTTAGACTACTAATTTACTTCACTCCTTGTTGACTAAAAATATTTTACAAATTTTAATTGTCAAATAAAGAGTCAACATCAGCGATTAAAGTTGTATAATTAGGTTTAGAACAAGTGCAAGTAGTTGAAAATGTATCTCCTTATTTAACTGTTTTAGATGTACAAAAAGATTTTACCCAGCTGCCATCTTCTTACCTTTAAGTGCAAACTACTCTATTATTTCCTTTCATGTTTTAGAACTATAAATTTATGGGTGCAGGTAAATCTATATCGTTATCTTATTATTGTAACCTTCTAGATGAAGAAGCAATTCCAAGTTTAGGATAGATAGCTGGAAAAGTTTGTTATAGCTGGTCTTTGAGGTTTTAAGAATTAGTAAGTAAAAGATATTTTTAGTACTATTCAATAAATGCCTACTCAAAGCTATAAATGTTAGTCTTCCAGTATTAAATTTATAAATTATAAATATTATTTGAATCAGGCTATGTATTTTCTTGACTTTGACTGTCTAAATTTAAATAATTTTAAAATAGATTCACTTCATCTATTTTTTGTACAAAAACTTTAACTTGAGGAGTATCCCATAAAATATTTGGTTAATTAGCATAGAAAGTCAAAGCTATATTAGCCTAAATTAAAAAAATATCATCCATTCTACGTTTATTCCATTCTATTGATGTTTTATTATAAACTGTAGAAGTTAAAGTATCCATTGTTGTTCCTACCATATTAAGCATAATCAACATCGATCTTCTATAAGTCTCTCTTAAATCTTAGGTAAAGGGTTTAAGTTAATTCATTATTTAAGTATTCTGGTTAAGTAAACTTTCAAGATTATTTAGCCTGTTTACTTAGTTTTCAGAATCAGGACTGTTTTTTGTATTATATAAATTTTGTAAGCATCTAACATCAAATTCTTAAAGCGATTAAGACATAGAATCATTACTTATCTAATTTGGTAAATTGAGTAATTATTTTTTCATATTTTCTTTTACTTCAGAAACAAACTTTGAAGGTTATTCATTAGAGTTTGTATTTTCAAAGTTTTATATGCATTAAATCATCATTCCATAAGAGCAAAGTTGCTCCTCAAATTCCGAATTAGATTGAAAATTTTAAGCTTGCTAGTTCTAACTAGTCAAAAATGATTCATATTGTTGCTAATTAAAAGAATTTTATTTGATTGTTATGGGATTTGAATACCTTATTTATATATCATTGGAGTCTTTGACAAGAACTATAAAAACAATTTACCCAGGTGGTAGGAATGTAGTAATTGAATTAACAGTACTAAATTTACTTAAATATTATCTATAATAAATGTTAGGGAATTATTGCTCTTTGTTCAATTATTCCGCTTGATTATAATATAAAAATTAATAATATAATTAGGAATTATTATTGCTTTGGCAGTTATTAACTTGTAAAGATATTTAATCCACAAAAGCAACTTCATTTCCACCTATTTAATATTAAATTAATTTAAATTTATATAAATTATGATAAATTAATTACTTATTTAAGTGCTAAAAATTATTTAGCAATTATATGGTGGAGGAGCTGTTGTAAAGTAATATCTCTTACTAAAAGCCACCTGTTTATTACTTTAGTTGATAGCATAGAATCTATAGTAAAGCTTGAATGATGAGGATAATAAAGAATCTGGTAATTGTTCATTAATTTAAGAGAATATTGTTGTTTCTCTCTGAGATTAAAAAGTTAATGTTGAAGATTAATATGTTTTACTATAAGTGTAATTTAAGCTTTATTACAGATTAGAGTTTCTAGCATTATAATTTAAAGCAAATTATAGTAGCTAATTAGGATTTAATTGCTTTTAGTCATAACTTGCATCATAATTTGCTCCAATAGTGGCTGGTAAAGTTTAATAAATCACAATATCAGTAGCACTATCTATTGTTCCTGAATAACTTCCTATTAATGTTATTTGATAAGATCCACCAAAATCAAAAACTTCAGGCATAATAGTAATAGACTAAGTTTAAGAAAAATTAATTTAATTAAACCAGACACCTTAACAATTTTGATTCAAAACAAGATCAAAACAACTCCAGGTATAAATATATTATGTTGGGTCTTGATTTTAAATTGCAGGATCACTAATTTATGCATATATTGTTATAGCTTGTCTAGGATCTATTTAATTCTTTGCCCCTCCAACTATTTAAACTACCATATTCTTTCTTTTAATAATTAAAGGTAGATTAAACCCATAACCTTAGACAGAACTATATTTAGGTACTCCCTTTTTATATTTAAATTAAAAAATTAAATTTAGTAATTAAAAAATAAAAAAATTATTTTACAAAAAAATTATACTCTCCTTCATTGAAAAGAAATGAATCTAAAGTTAGTGTGTAAGGAAATTGCTAAATTTATAGGGAACTCTATTTTATAAGATTCCCATTTGTTTTATTTGTAATTACGTAGGAAAATGTAATACTAGTTAAAGGATTAGCTTAGAAATCATTAAAATTGCAATTGACAGATAACTAAACTTAATCAGCATTTGTAAGAGGAGTTGTATTCAAAATTGAACCTGTGCAATTAGTGAAAATAGATTATTCTGTTGTATATGAAGCTGTAGAAGAAGATATCATGTTGTAGGGATAAGGACTTACAACTGAAATAGTAAGAGAAGCTCCAATTTCTCCAAAACTACTACTGGGAAGTTCAATACTTTGGCTAGGAAATAAATGTAAATTTTGCTAAATCGAATAAATATCAGTATCTGAAAGTCCTGAAGATTTAACTATCTGTACAGTAGGTTGAGAATTAGTGAAGTAATTATTCTTTTGCACAAACTATAAAGATGGATTTATGATGTAATTGTCATCATGAGGATAAAAATAATAATTAGAGTTTGTAAAATAAGATTGTGGAGTTGTAAAATTGTTGATTCCATGATAAACATATTAAGATTATCCAGTCAATTACAGATTTTAGTATGTGATTGAAGAAGCTGGAATTTTTTTATTTAGATTATCAATAACAAAAATTTATTAATAATTAAATTCAGGTATTATTTTATAGACTCCTTATGTTAAGTCAGTCTGTTCTATTTTATATTAAATATTATTCAATTAACAAAAAAATCAAATTAAAATCTTTACAAACATTGATATGAAATAGATTATTAAATTGTGAATCGAGGGAGCATTCTATAATTTGATTATTTTAATAATCAGTAGAAAAATTTGTTAAATAATTTAAGCAATTTGAATTAGAGGGAGTAAAATCTGATTAGCCCCCAAAAGTGATATTTGCGCTGAAGGTGACAGTCACTTACCCTTAAGAATATTCAGCTTAGTAAATGACATTAGTAAGTTATGTACACCACTCTTTTTTAAATATAAAAAGTAAGTATAATATATTTTATAAATACGTTAATTTACTATTATAGAGTGAATTTGGACTTTTACACGCACAATCTGTTCCTATTTTAGTAAAGCCTTGATAGCAATAATCATTCTAGTTTTCTGACCCACAGAATAATTAGTTTGAACCACATTATACGCATAGATTATTGATAGTTTGATAACCAACAGGACAGCTTGTACAATCTGGAAGTATAAATTTATCAAAACATTTCAAGCATACATCTGTCTAAATTGTATCAAATATTTAGCAATTTTAAGAAGCGCCTTATCTTATTTGGAGTTATCTATTTTCTTTCTAAAATTCAAGCAAATCCACTATTTCTTAAATCCTTGATTAACCTTAAGCTATTATGCAAAACAAAATTGAAAGTAATAATTTATTTATTTGTTGGGTCATTTGCCAATAAATGAAATTATTTATTATAATTTTTTTCTCTTTTTAAAGATTATATTAAATTTATGGATATTTTTTCTGCTTTTCTCTCACAAATTTAAGTTAATTAAGATTAAAAAAATTGAATAGTTTTCTATTTAATTAATTTCAAAAGTATATGTTAATGAAATAAATAAATAATTGCTACAATTTATTTAAATTTATAGATATTAATATGCATCTACAGTTAGCTTATAGATTTTATTTAAAATATACATCTATGATGAAACTAAAATTTATTATAATAATTTTTTTGATAAAGTATGACCAAAACATATATCTTCTTCTAGTATCATATATAGCATTTAAATCTTTATACATATGATATCTTAATATATAATAAAATTTAAAAGCTATTTGTGTATATCCTATCAATAAATAAATCATGTGTGGCATTTTTTTTTTTGTTACATAAAAATATTATCTAGAAAAAAGAAAATCAGAATTAATAATATTTTATAAAATTTTTGAAATGAAACACATAATCTTAATAAAATACAAGCAAGAATATATTTCTGTTTGTTATAATAATTTCTGATAATAAGGTATATTTTAAAAATTCAATTTATTAATCTATCTTTCTATTCTAAATATTTTTGTTTCTATAATCAACAACTTTATAAACATTAAATTTGAAGAATTCTGTTTAATTTTACTGCATCTACTATAAATATTTATACAAAATACTTTCAAAAAAAAAAAACAAATAATTTTAAAAAACAATGACTGAGTTAAATCTAGTAAAGTAACAAAGAAAATCAGCCATGATTTAAATAAATATGCAACAATTATAGCAAGTAATTATTTGAAGAAGATTTTGCTTTATTTATGATTTATTGTTTCTTTCATAAGAATTTTTAACTTAATAATCTTAAAATTTGTATTTTTTAAATTTATATTTCAGTTAAAATATTTTAATTCATCAATAAAAATATAAATGAATGCTCTTAGTTTAATTTCAGAATAAATTAAAATATATAAAAATTATTATAAAAAAACAAATTTAAGTTAAAAAAATAATAATTTTTTGATCAACAGTATAATTCAGTTTTAGTTATCGGAATTTCGGTAGGGTATTTTTTAAATAAAATATTCTAAAAATTAATTGGTAACAATTATTTTACTTAATTTTACTGAGCCAAAAAAAATATATGAAAAGAAAATCTTCCAAATAAATAAATTTATAAATGTTTTTAATTTTAAACTTACAATTAAAAAAACAAAAAGTCATTCATATTAATAAAATATTATATTAGCAGTTGTTAATTTAAATATAAAATGAGAAATTTTATACTTTTGTAATAATTACAATGTTATATAGTATTTCATAGCTGAAGAAATAATGCTCAGAATGAATATATCAATAAGTAAAGTAGCAATGTAATTTACTATCCAGTTATTAGATTCTTATGGCGATTCATTAGACATCACAACAAGAAATGAGTAATAGCAAAAAATTAAGAAACAAAAAATAATAAAATATCCAATTATTTTTAAAGCTCGATTGTTTAAAACTAATTTTAGAATAACTTTAAAAGCCCCAAAGACTATAGAAGAAATTATAGACAGTGCTATCACTTGTGGAATTGTTAAATCTCCTCCAAATACTGAATTGATTGTGAGTAGCCAAATAATTTAATTATAGAATAAGCTTATCCTGCTCAAACGAGAGTCTGTAATATTATATACCATGAAAATCTAAATCAGATCATGGAAAACACATATTCCTTTTATTATTGTAAGACTAGCTAAGTACTCTTAAATTTTTTTTTAAGAATACTCTTCTCTTTTTTACTAAAATTTTAATTATAAATCTTTTTTTATTTTAGATTTACTTTAATTTTCTGTGCCACTTTTATCATATAAAATACTTTATTATTTTTTTATCGATTCTAAAATGTTAAATATATGAGTTTCGTGATTTTAGCACTCTTAATAGTTTATCCTATACTGAGTATTTGGATTGTATTCACTACTAGTAACTATTTAATTACAATTATCATTCTTTTCTTTCTCTTACAGCTTGATTTATGGATATTAATAAAATCCTAGATTTTAATTTTGCTATTAATCTGTTTCTTGTTACAACTCTTGTTTTTAAATTTACTGGTATTATACCTATTACTGAACTTGTGTATCTGCTTAAATCGTTGGATAATCTTTACATATTTAAGATTCACCAACATAATTTACTTCTTAAATTTAATTTTCTAGTTTTTATTAAATTTAGTTATTATTGTCTGAACTTTCTGGTTTAGTAGCAGCATTTTCAAGCTATTGATTTTCTAATATAACAAAAAAATTAATTTAAAATTTATATTAAAATAATTTATACCTAAAGTTAGTTAAGCATTTAAGTAAGCTATGTATTTACTGACTTATATCTTAGTACTTTAATCAAATATTGCTCTACTTCTTCCTAATGTACATACTTAGCTTTTATAAATATTGATTTTATCTAGCTTTATTCCAATAATGATACTTACTACCATTAATATATTCAAAACTATGAGAATATAAATACAAGCATATTTATACCAATTACTCATGTTGATAATTGATTTGAATCCTTACTCACTAAAAATAGCCTACAAATTTTAGTTATTAAATAGAGCTTCAACATCAGCTACTAGCGATGTGTAGTGCACCTGAGAACAAGAACATGTCACAGAAAAGGAGTCTCCTTGATTAGTGGTTTGAGTAGTGCAAGTAGATTTACTCCATCTACTGTCTTCACTTCTCTAAACGCAAGCAACTTTTTTATTCCCTTACAGATTTGAGAATTTCATTTTAATAAGGGTTGTTTAATTTAAAGTTAGCTGCTGTTGTAAGTGCCTTCTATTAGAAGAAACTAAGGTAATGTTTGGATATATAGCTGGATATACTTATTAAAGTGCATACTTCAAGTTTTGAGAGTTCGTTAAAGAAAGGAAGCTGTTGTATTAGTCAATAAATTGTTAATCAAATGAGTAAATATTCGTTTTCCAGTATTGCATTTAAACGTAATATATTTTATTTAGATTAAAATCTTTTTCATCATAGAGTTGTTGATCATAATTTAAATAATTTTTAAATAGATTAAATTCATCAACTCTTTGAGCTTAGATTAGCGTTTCAGGCATATCCCAAGAGATCATTTTCTAGTTATCTTAAAGGACAAATGACATAGCATCTTATATATAGATAAAATTATTGATTCTATCTTGGCTCCACTACAAAGAGGGAGAATAACTAAAAGATTGCATTTCAATTATCTAACCAGTTATGTTGCATAAAATTAACATTGACCTTTTATAGGTTTCTCTTAAATCTTGAGTTAGATTGAGATGTTAAATAACCTAAGTTATCTGCTAAACTACATTTTAAACATCTTAAATTCTCTATGTTAAATTTTAATAATCAGGACTATTTCTTGTAAGATAGAGATTTAACAAGCATCTAAAATTGAATTCCTAAAGAGATTGAGAAAATATATCATTAGGTATCAAGTTTGGGAGAATTAGAAGTTAATTTTTCATATTATATTTGAAATTATTAATAAGAGTAGTCGGTACAATATCTGGATTAGAACTTTCAAAATTGTGAATACATTCTACCACAATACCAAATGTGCAAAGCTCATTTTCATATTCTTGTTAATCCATATAATTCTACGCTTGGTTGCTCATTTTAGTAATAAAAGCTTCATGTTATTATTCACCAAAGTCATTTTGTAGAATTGTAATTCCTTATTAAAATTGAGCTTGAACTCCACTTTAGTCTTACACTAGTACCACAAAAACAATATTACCAGGAGGTAAATAAGTGGAAATAGTATTGTTTGAGCTAAATTTATTTAAGTATTATCTATATAAAGTATCAGGTAGAACTCCTTCTTAGTTTATCAGTTAAGCTGAGTTGTAGTATAAAAATTAGTAAATGAGTTGAGAATTATCGGAGCTCTGGCAATTATCTATCGATAATGAAATCAAATCTACGAATGCAACTTCCTTTCCAGCTTTAAAATAAATTTAAAATGAATAAATTCTAGTTTGAATAAATTTAAAAAAAAGGAATACTTATTGGAGTTTTAAAATTAATTTAGCAACCTTGTGGAGGACTAGCAGTCTAGAAGTAATATCTTTTGCTATATCCAACTGTTTAATTCTTTTAATTAAAAGCATAAAATCTATAGTAGAAAACAAAAGAAGAAGCAAGAATTTAATCAGGTATAAGGTAGTTAATTTAAGAATATATAGTCGTTTCTCTTTGCTAGGGAAAAAATATTGTTTAGTCTTAATATGTTTTAGTGTATGAATTAGTAATATTAGAAGACAATAGTATATTGGAATCTGAATATGAAAGTAGAAATTTTTAAGTTAGGCTTGGATTTAAATTTCCAAGATCATAGCTTTGATCGTACTATACAGATATTATTGCAGGCTTAGTTTTAAAAATTACAACATCAGTACCTGATTCTTAAGTACTTTAGTAACCTCCTGTTAAGGTAATTTAATAAGACCCTCCAAAATCAAAAACTTCTGAGTTTATGGTAATAAATTAAGTTGAAGGAAAATTTACAACATTTGACTAGCTATCTAAGCATTGTTTATTTAAGTTTAAATCAATACAACTCCAATTATAAGTATACTAAGAAGGATCTTAAGATTGAATAGCAGGATTGTTTACATATCCTTAAATTTATAGAGGTATTCTTGGATCAAGACCAACTTAAGTCCCACCAATAATTTACACAATAAGAGGCGCCTTTGAAATATTCAAGGTAATTAAATTGCTCACTCCTTAGACAGATGAGTAAATAGGGACTCCCTTTATTTTATTAAATTTTTTTATTTGAAATTAATATAAATAAAATTTAGTATAGTTCGAAATAAAAACCAAAAAAGCTTTTGAATTATTAAATTAAAGCATACCTAAAAATAATATTTGCCAGGTTAAAAAGTATAAGGAGGTATTGTGATTGTGTAAGGAAACTAGCTTATCTATAAATCAAAAGATTAGCTATATACGATTTAAGGTGATAAATTATATGATTAATAGGATGTTTAGTAAGCTTAATATGCATTTTAACTTGCTACTTATGAGTTTGCATAATTTTATTATGTAATATTGTATTGAAACGATATTGGTGTTTATTGGTTAGCTGTGAAATCATTAAAGCTGCAATCAACTGATATCAAAATTTAGTCTGAATTTACAAGATTTTTCTTATTAATAATATAAGTCTTGCATTTTGTATTAACAGAATTCTCTGTTGTGAATGTAACAACTGAAGAAGAGATTAGGTTATAAGGAAATAAGCAGGTCACATCAATTGTGATTGAAGTACCTGTATTAGCAAACTATATAGGTAGCTAAACATCATATGAAGGAAAGGTGGAAAAACCTTAATTTATTTACTATAAGTCGTTTGATTATAATAAGTTAGATGATGAAATAGAAAATTAAGGATTAGCATTAGTAAAATAGTTGTTTTCTTATATAAATTAGCTTGATTTAACAGAGTAATTATCATTAATTGATTAGTAATAATAAGCTGGATATTCAAAATAGCATTATGGGTTTGAAAAATCATTTATTTAGTAATATACAAATTACTTTAAAGAGCTTAATTGCTAATTTTAATATGTTATTGAAGTAGCCTAGTACTAATTTAAATTATTATCTACAGCGTAGATCTAAGAATAGTTAAATTAAGGTATTATCTCATAAATCTTTTAGTCTAAGCTGGTATTATCTTTTTACAAATAAAAATAAATAATTAAATAAATAAATAGGAACGAATTTGTATTAAAAAAGGCTAAAAGTCAAAAAATTAATTTAATTTTTTTTATCTTTTGAAATAATTTCAATATTTCCAAGGTAAAAAATTCATAAAAACAAATTAAAAAAAATATTTTGATCTTCACTTGAAGATTGACTATTTAAAGTAAAGCTAAAAATTCAAAATTAATTTTAATAAAATATTTTTTTAATAAAAATGGGAAAATAATTATTAAAAAAAATTTTGCTTTGTTTTCATCAATAATTTCAATTTTAAAAAGTAAATAAGACTATCTTTTTAATTAATTTAGTTAAAATTTTCATTACTCAAGCTTATATGGAACTGATTTCTATTTTAAGAGTTTAATGCGCACTAAATTATTGACTATCCACCATAGTCCGTTAAAAAATTTGTTAGAAATCCACAGTTTGAGTTAGAATAAATTGTTATTCCGCTATCACCTAATGTTATATTTACACTAAAAGAAGCAATTATTTCTCCATTTTAGTAACTTGCCTCATATACCAAATCTGTGAGTTGTGTACACCATTCTTTGAAAATTTTTATTAAGATTTAAAATTTATTTATTTAATTTATTTATTATTTTACTGTTATAAATTTATTTTGGAAGTTCGCAGATGCAATCAGAACCAATTTAAGTAAAACCCACGTAACAATAATCTTAAGGATTAGATGATCCACAAAATAATTAATGAGGACCACATTAAATGCACGAATTTTTGACATTTTTATATTCTACTGGGCAACTTTAGCAGTCAGGAAGTAAGAATAAGTCGATGCATTTTATACAATATTAAGGAAGTACTTAATCTTAAACTTAACAATTTTAATTTGAATTTGTCTAACTACTTTATAGATTTCTTTACTCTTTTTAAGGAATTACTGAACGAAGACTATATTCTAGGGCAAATACGCTTGGATTGATAATTTGGCAAAGCAAGCAAAATATTAAGCAAATATTTTTCATTATTTTGAGTTTACAATTTAATTTTTAGAAGGAAATTTATTATATCAATTTGCAATCAATTCTTTTATATGACAATTAGTTATAAAATACTTACTAACTATATTACATTCTTACACTTATAAATATTAGCTTTTGTTTTTAATTGTTATTGATAAATTTTTTTAATTTAAAAAACATGAAAAAAATAATGGCTATCATGTAATAAAGAATTTAGAATAATGCCTTTAGCTAATCTAAAATCATTTAAAGCTTTCATTTATATTTTTTAATCATAAAAATACATTTAAGTTTTTTATATAAAATACAATAACATATATTTAAAATAATATCATAGAGCTTGCTACTTATATTTGTTTTCACTTTCGTTATGATAATATATATTATGAAGGATATTTATATATTTGCAATATGAAAAATAATTAATTTAACTTATTTATGTAAGATATAAAATGTTATTTTAGATATACAACAGCTTTTTATTTATTAATTATAATGAAAATATATCCATTTAACAAAATATATTTTACCGTTTTTGCTAAAATTTGTATATTACGTACTTAAAATATATAGATTTTTTTCTAATGATATAATTAAAAATTGTCATCATTCTAAAATAATTACATTTAAATAATCTTTGCTTAAGATTTTTCATTAAATCAAGTAAATGTCAACTATATTCAAGATTTATTTTGAAGAATTTTTTATTTATGAAAAAATATGAAAAATGGCATTTGTTAAAGATATTTAATTTAAGTAAAAATAATTTTAAATACAGAATATAACTCATAAACTATTAGATTTTTTATTTTATTTAAATTATTTGTAAATCAATAATCTTTCAGCTCTTACAGTAGTAAGCTTGCTCCTATATATTTCATAAATATGTTTTTCCTATTCAAGAAACCTACTAATTTATATGCCAAGCATAATTTTAATGCAGAGGATATTATACTAAAAAAGAAGGTGCACATTATAACAGAGTAAACAAAAGCCATTATCCAAGTATTCGACTAACTTACAGATGAATTAGCTAAAGACACTAATATTAAATAGTAACTAAATAGAGAAAATAAGAAGCAAAAGATATAACTTAGACATCTGATCTTCTTTTATTTATGAATCAATATAAATATTATTTGATATAAAGCAAAAGAGGAAGAAGAAATAATTGTTAATATCATAATCTAAGATAGGGTTAGATCTTTTCCAAATACAAAGTTTATCGCTAATTTCCAAATTAGCTAGCAATAGTAGTTACAAATTCTTATAAGGCTCGATTATTTTTTGTTGTAGAGTAGAAATATAGAGAACAAAGCATGAAACAATCCTATTGCTCTAAAAATTGATATTGATTTGATATATTGTTAGAATACTATTTTAATTTCTTATTCATTTTAGGTTTTTTTGGGACTCTGCTCATTTTATTTATCTTATGATATATTATCTTATTTTTCTTAAGAATTTTCTTCATCTTATTTAATATCTTTAACATTTAATTCCTATTTTTTTTCTTTTTATAAAATTAATATTAAAATCCACATTTTGACAAAATAAATTATTTTTTCTTAAATTTTAAAAATAACTTGAAATGATTACCTTCATATTAACTTTGTATTTCCAAAGAAACAGAATTTTATTTCTCGTTTTGTTTTACTTAAACGCTTTGCTATGATCTAATATGCTCCAAATTTATTAAAAAACTAGATGTCATATATAAAGTACACTTTTAATCTGTTTTATTTGCTGCAATTATTGACAAAACAAAAATAATATTTATAGCTAGAATAACGTAAATGGTTGCATGTTAGTGCCAATTTTAACGTGAAAAAATTTATAAAATCCCTTCTCCATTTATAGAATTCTATAAGTTATCTATAGAAATGAGATAATCTAAATCATTTATTAGAGTTGTAAAAGAAAGTTGTTCACATTCACATGAAATTATCTTTTTATTATTTCTTTATTTTGAAACTTTAGAACAATATTATGTAGTCCATATTGAGTCAACTTTTTAAACACATTAAATTTTATCATCATAGTCAACTTCTTCAAAATTGTAACAAACAGTTAAATTCATCTTTTAAGTTATTTATTTTTCTTATTAAAAAAGAAGCCTATTTAAATCAATTTCTTAGTTTTTCATAGATTCACGAATATTTATAGTCATAGAAGGATATTTTTACATTTTACTCTTCACATAATCCATTCCCATTTTTTAAATATGACTAGAGTATATTTCTAAAAACTAATTATCCTCAAAGAAAATATTTTCCTTCCAATAAATTTATTTAGTTTCAAAATATTTACATTCAAGATTTTAAAAAACTGTTTCTTGATATTAAGTAAGAGACAAGTAATTACTTGCAACTTCTGTTTTATTAAATAAGTTCACTTTTACTACAAAATCTTAGAAGTCATGTTAAATGTTCTTTTAGTTAGGTTTTAGTGTTAGAGCTAACTCATCTGCTATATCGCACATGAGTTTAACGTATGAAGTTTACCAGTTTAATAAATTCTAATCAATTTGATTGTTTTTGCAATAAACAACTTTATGAATTAAGTCTAGAGAAGAATAAAGCTACTTTTAAAAATATTCTTTTAGCTCGTTACTGACTTGATTTAATGCATTACTTTACTCTTATATACTTTCAAAAATATTTTATACATTTAAAAAAATATTTTTTTATTAATCCTTGCTTGAAAATTAGCTGTAAAGTTTATAATAAATTCTAATAATGAATTCTTGAAGATAATTATCATAGCTTAATTTAGATGATAAGATATTTAATCTTTATTCAATCAAGTCTTTCATTTTGATAAGTGAGTCATCATTTTAGAATAGTATCGAATTTTTATTTTCAATATCCACAATACATTCAGCTATCATATTTAATAGAAACAATATTTCTTCATTTTAGTTATTCATAGAGTGATATTCAACCTTTCTGAATTGCTCATCAAAAAATTATTTATATTACATTTTATCTAAAGTTGCATTCTACACGTCAACTCGTGTAATGTAGCTTGATTTTGCATTATATTTATCTTAAACAATGACTAAAACAAAAATCTATCCTGCTGGTAAAACAGTTTTAACAGAGCTAGAAGAAGAGAGTCTTGTTAAATAATTTCTTTCATATTATTAACCATAATATAATTCTTACTAATATTCTTCAAAAGAATGATAAAACATAAATTAGAAATACAAGCTACCTTCACTTTAGCTAATACAATTTTAAACATCTATTTGAATCTCATCTTAAAATGCCTTTATATTTTAATCTAAAAAAATATTATGAAAAAGTTAATCAAAATGCAAAAACTCTAAATTAAATTTATCTAAAAAATTAATTTACAAATAAAGATTATCAAAAAAAATACCATAAGTTCTTATTAATTTAGGGATCTTTAACAATAAATTTTCTAAAAATATTAATTATTTTAAGTATTAAAAGAAAGGAAAAAATGTTTTTTCAAAAACTTTAATTCAGCAGAATTTATGGTATTTTAATATGATAATAATAAATAAATAATTAAATAAGCATGTAAATAAAATAGTACCTTAATTCTAAATGTTTATTAAACAATTTTTGGGAGGCTGTCTTAATATGAATTAATATTATTGAGTTTTTATAAAATTTTTTGTGACAGAATGAATAACATAAAATGTTATATCTATCTTTTGAGTATTTTCCAAAATAGTTGGTAGAATGTATTCTTCTAGTTTAAATTGAATTCGATTTTATAAGTAAATATTAGAGAAAACACTTTAAAATCCATTAGTATTAAATTCTAATTAATATAGCAGATTTTAATTTTCCATATTTTAATTTTTAACTTTTATTTCAAATTATAAAATTTAATTTGATGCGATAGCTTAAGTTTTATAAGATTCACCATACTTAATGCAAACTTCCTTCTCAATAATATCACATTAGCTTTCAATGAATTTAACATCACCAGAATCTGATTAGTTGTCAGTTGGTATTGGAATTGCTTTAATTTTTATATTATCATAAAGATAATTATTTTGAATATGGTTCAAATGAAATATTTTTACTTTTGGTTTAGGAGATAAGGTGAAAAATTGTAAATAAAAGTAAAAGCTTCTTCATTATCAGAGATTATTTTTGTATTAATATTTTTAATTAATTAAATTTATATAGATTTAATAGTCTTCTCTTTTTAATTCACAATAATTTAATTTATTTACTGACTAAATTTAGTGTTATTAAATACCTAAATATAGAATTTATCTTTTAAACAGACACTAAAATTTAAATATTGATTAAATTTATTTACCTATTTCAAATAAATTAAATAAATTTATCAATTATATTCATAAAAAAAATATTTAGCAAATAAATAGGTATCTAAAAATTTATAATTTGATGAATTAATCTTCATTAACAAAAATCAAATAATTTTATTCAAATCACATTAATACTGCATTATTAAAACTGGTTAATTTAACAAGTTTTTAAACTTAATCAAATTGAATAAAAATAAATACTTAAAAAAAATATGAATTATTATTTGCAAAATAGCTAAACTCTTTGTATTTTAAGGAAAGAAAAGGTTTCTAAATTTAGTTAATTATGAACAATTTATAATACTAAATATTGGTTCTAAAATATATGTAATAGTTTATTATTTGATACCGCAACATTTTTAGTCTCGTTCTCACAATTACCAAAAAAAAGAGAGGCTACAAGAAAAATGTAAATAATTAGAATAATTTGGAATTTTCCGCAAGAGTTGAAGGATTGTGAACCTAATGATAGATTTAAACAAAATAAAAATTTACATTTTTTAGATTCATCACAACTCCACTCCTTACACGATTCAAAGAGAAGTCTTAAGATATTACTAAAAACAAATTAATTAAGTATCTCTAATTCGAATCAAAACATAAATTCATAAAAATAATACTTAAAATAGCAAAATATCCATTCAAATTTAAATAATAAATTTATGCAATTTTAAAATAGATATTTATTTTATTTCAAATTTATAGAACTAGTTTAGTTTACAAAAATTTAAAGGATCAATTTAATAATTGCATTTAGTTGTAATTTACTATAACTAATTTTCCTATTAAAATTAAGCAGTAAAAGCCTTTGTATTTTTTTAAATATTTATTACTTTTTACTTGCTTTAATTTTTAGGAATACTAATACAAAAAGGTATGTGATACCTAGTAATTTGAAAACTATGCAGTAGATTACTTTAAATCTTTTACAAGAGGAGGATTTTATATGACATTATGAATTATTATTCATTATAGTCTTTAATATTTTAGATATTACTTTTTTTGAATTTAACATTTGTTAGACTCTTTTACACTTTATGTTCTAGTCTATTAAAATCTATATTACTAATACCTTTAATAGAAAATAAAAGGTCTAATTTAAAGTTTCTATTATTAAAATATTTGAAATTAATATGGTAGTAACTTGATAAATACTAACTACACTTGCTTTTTTAATCATTTATATAAATCCCTGTAATTTTTTATAATTTAGTTTTATTGAAATGCAATTTTAATGTCAAAAGATGTTTATTATAAGCTTTTTATTTTTATTTTTATTAAAATTGGAATGGCTTGCATTTTTTAATTATCTTAATATTTAGTCTTTTCACTTATAGATTTCATGAGAGTTTGATTTTTATTTGAATATTATAGTTCTATTTGTAGTTGATAAAGTTTGAATAGTACGAAATTTAAACTTACTTAATTTAAATTTTAAAATTTACAATAGCTGTTTCTTTTAACATATTTTATTTATGCAAAAATGTAATTGAATATCTATTATTTAATAGTTTTTAAGAGCATTCAGAAGAAGAACTTTTAAAAATCAAAAGCTTATTATTTTTCTATCAATTATTCTGAAGGTATGAATTTTTCTTTATTTGCAAGCTATTTCTTATTTTTTATTAAAGCAAATTCTTATTTTGCTACAAAAAGAAAATCTATAATTTAAGCTGTTTATTTTTCATTTGGATATCCTTTTATTATGTTTAAAAAAGTTATTGAATTTAAAAATAATTAATAAGTTACCTATTATTTGCACTTAACAATTTGTAAGATTATCTTTATTTATATTGTTTTTAAAATATTCATTTTTGAATAATCTACATTTTTCATTAAATAAATTGCTTAATTATTTAAATTTCTCTTTAAGTTGAATTCTTGTTATATTTTTCTTATTAATTTAATTAATTTTTTATATAGATCAGTAATCAATAGTAAAAAATTTTATGAAAATCTACTTCACATTAAATAACTAATTTATCATATTTTATTTATGTTTAAATTATCTAAATCCTAAAAGAAAGTAATTAATTTACTTATATAATGAACTGAATTAAGAAAAATAATCTTAAATTTTGCTAATCTTTGAATCATTAATTAAAAAAGCTTTTATTCAAATTTAAACAAAACTGACTCCATAAAATTTGAGTTTATCTTAATTTGTGAATAGCAACAAAAAAAAATCGTTAATTTAACAACAATTTTGTTTACTTTAATATTATTTCTGAATGATTGATTTAACATAAATACTAAATAATTAAATTATTAATTTTTATTTTTAATTTATGTCTACATTTTTTATTAATGTTAAAATAGTTAAAAAGGATATGTTCATTTAAAAATTAAATTACAAAAATTTTAGCTTAATCCAAATTTTTTGGTAAAGTTTTTAAAACAATGGGTCTTACTTAATTAAGAAGAATATACAGTATATACTTAAAATATACAGATTTTTTTCAATAGTATTACTAAAAATTATCATCAATCTAATATAAATAATACATTTAAACATTCTTCTATTTAATTTTTTTTATAAATCAAATAAATGTTAATCAAGTACTAGATTTATTTTGTAGAATTTTTTATATTTGAAAACATATAAAAAAAGACATTTTTTAAAGATATTTAATTTAGTAAAAGTAATTTTAAACACAAGAAAAACTCATAAACAATTAGATTTTTTATGATATTTAAACTTTCATTTTGTATTTATATTATTATAATATATTAGCAAATCAAAAATCATTGAGCTATTACAGTATTAAACTTGCTCCTATAAACTTCAGAAATATGTTTTTCCTATTCAAACAGCCTACTAATTGATATGCCAAACCTAATTTTAATGCTGATGATAGTATACTTAAAAATAAGATGCACACAATTAGAGAACAAACATATGTTAATATCCAAGTATTCGACTAACTTACAGACGAATTAGCTAAAGACACTAGTATCAAATAGTAGCTAAAGAGAGAAAACAAAAAGCAAAACAAATAACCTAGACATCTGATCTTCTTTTATTTATGAATCAATATAAATATTATTTGATATAAAGCAAAAGATAATGAAGACATAATTGACATTATCATAATCTAAGATAGGGTTAGATTATTCCCAAACACAACATTTATTGCTAATTTCCAAATCAATTTACAATAGTAGTTACAGATTCTAATAAGGCTTGACTATTTTTTGTTGTAGAGTAAGAATATTGAAAACAAAGAGTGAAATAATCCTATTGCTCTAAAAAATGATATTGATTTAATATATTGTTAGAATACTATTTTTATTTCTAATTTATTTTAGGTTTTTTTGTGGTTCTGCTCATTTTATTTATTTTATGATAAATAATTTTATTTTTCTGTAGAATTTTCTTCATCCGATTAAATATCAACAACTTTTAATCCCTTAATTTTTTCTTTTTAAGAAAGTTAATATTAAAATTGACATTTTTACACAATTATTTCAAAATAAATTAAAAATTTTATCATTTAATAAAAAAATAATTTTTAATTTTTCTTAAATATTAAAATCTTTTGATTTTTTGTAAATTTTAAAACAATTTATTTTCACTGAATAAATTAACATAAAATTATTACCTTCTTCTTATTTTTGTACTTCCTAGCAAACTTAATTTTATTTCGAGTTTATTTTTACCAAGGGATTTTGTTGCGTATTAATAGATTCCAAACTTACTAAAAAATCAGATGTTATGAATAATTTGCACTTTTTATCTGTTTTTTTTGCTACAAATATTGATAAAGCAAACATAATATTTATCCCAAATATAACATAAATAGTAGCATATTAGTGCCAATTTGAAAATGACAAAATTTTGGAAATTCCTTCACCATCAATAGAGTTTTAAAAGTTATCTTAAGAAATAAGATAATCTAAATCAGTAATAAGAGTTGTAAAAGAAAGGCTTTTACATTCACATGACACTATTATTTTATTATTTATTTATTTTTAAACTTTAGAACAATATTATGTAGTCCATATCGAATCTATTTTTTAAATACACTTAATTTTATTATTGTATTCAACTTCTTCAAAGTTGTAACGAATTGTTAAATTCATTTTTTAAGTTATTTGTTTTTCTTTTTAAAAAAGAAGCCTATTTAAATCAATTTCTTAATTTTTCATAGATTCACAAATAGTTATAAGTATAGAAGGATATTTTTACATTTAACTCCTTACAAAATCCATTCCCTTTTTTTAAATAGGAGCAGAGTATATTTCTAAAAACTAACTATCATCAAAGTAAATATTTTCCTTCCAATAAATTTATTTAGTTTCAAAATATTAAGATTCTAGTTTTTAAAAAGCTTTTTCTTGATATTAAGTAAGAGACAAGTAATTAGTTGCTACTTCTGTTTTATTAACTAAGCTCACTTTTACTACAAAATCTTAGAAGTCATACTAAATGTTCTTTTAGTTAGGTTTTAATGTTAGAGCTAACTCATCTACTATGTCACACATTAGATTAATGTATTAATTTTACCAGTTTGATAAATTCTAATCAATTTGATTGTTTTTGCAATATACTACTTTATGAATTAAGTCTAGAGAAGAGTAAAGTTACTTTTAAAATTATTCATTTTGCTCATTATTCACTTGATTTAATCCCTTGCTTTACTCTTTTATACTTTCAAAAATATTTTAAATATCTTAAAACACATTTTTTTATTAATCCTTGTTTGCAAATTAGTTGTAAAGCTTTTAATAAATTCTAATAATGAATTCTTGAAGGTAATTATCATAGCTAAATTTAGAAGATAAAATATTTAACTTTTATTCAATCAAGTCTTTCATTTTAGTAAGTGAGTCATCATTTTGGAATAGTATCGAATTTTTATTTTCTATATCCACAATGCACTCAGCTATCATATTTAATAGAAACAATATTTCTTCATTTTAGTTAATCATAGAGTGATATTCAATCTTTCTGAATTGCTCATCTAAAAATTATTAATATTAAATTTTATCTAAAGTTGCATTCTCCACATCAACTAATTTACTATAGCTTGATTTTGTATTATATTTATCTTAAGCAATCACTAAAATAAAAATTTATCCCACTGGTAAAACAGTTTTAACATAGTCAGAAGGAGAAAGTTTAGTTAAATAATTTCTTTCATATTATTTACCATAATTTAATTCTTTCTAGTATTCTTCAAAAGAGTGATAAAACATAAATTAGAAATACAAACTACCCTCACTTGAGCTTGTGCAATTATAAACTTCTATTTGAATCTCATCTTAAAATGCCTTTAAGTTTTAATCTAAAAAAATAGTTATTAGTTTTATTTAATAAGTTAAAATGAAGAGTTAATCTAATTACAAAAAGCTCTAAAATAAATTTATTTAAAAAAAGAACTTTTCAAATAAAAAATATTCTCGATAAAATACTGTAAATTTTCATTAAATAAAATATGAAACTCTTTAAAAATTAATTATTTTCTGAAAATATTTAAGGAATTAAAATAAAGTAAAATATTTTTCAAATTTATTAATTAATGAGGAGATTATACTGTATTTTAATAGGATTCTTATAAATAATTAAATAAGCAAATAAAAGAATACCTTTATTCTAAATGTTTATTAGACAGTTTTAGGGAGGTTATCCTATCTTAAATAAATATTGTTAGGTTTTTGTGAATTCTTGAGTAATAGAATCAATAACATAAAATGTTATATTTATATGTTGAATTTTTTCTAAAATTGTTGATGAAAAATATTCTTCTCGCTTAAATTAAATGAGATTTTATGAGTAAAATTTAGAAAGAACACTATTAAATCCTTAAGCATTGAATTCTAATTAAAATAACAGATCTTAATTTTCCAAAGTTTAATTTTACATTTTTATCTCAAATTCTATAATTTAATTTTAAATGAAAGGTTATTTTTTGTAAGATTCATCATAATCTATATCAAAAACAAATTATCCTGTTTTAAATTTAATCTCATCAAACAAATTTTATTGAAACTTATTAAATTATGTATGAACTCTTATAATATATTCATTATTGTTTTTCAAATACCTAGAAGGTATTTACAGTTAAAGGTTTTATGCCATACTAAAAATATTTAATTTATCCTGACATTTCTATTTTGTTGACACATCATAGCAACTCCAATTATATAAAATATCTTGATTGGTTTATGGATACATAACCTAGCTTTAAATCATAATAGACTCATTAGTATTCATATGAGATATGTTGTTTGTTGTGATTTTCAATTACATTTAGTTTTAGTTGTTTATTTTGAAATATTTTACTTATTTATTTTGAGTTTCTTAATCTAGAAAATATTTTATTCCTACCTTTATAAATTAATTTATAAGAAAATTTTAAACAAATTCAATAAAATTTACTTCAAATAAATATTCTCCGTTTAAAAATTCATTAGCTTTTACTTCTTATTAATAATAATCACCATGAAATGATAAATTTTAATCAAAAATTTTTAACATATCTTCTATAAAGTAAATTGTAAGATATCCTACAATTTAATCTTTTTTTAATACTTTAAACTTTGAAATTTCATTTTTGATAAAAATTTAAAAGAATTAAGAATCTCCTTCTTTAAAAGTATCTACTTCAAAAGCTATTTCATACGACTGTACAACTTCGAACTCAACATATGAATTTTTAGACATAGGTATGACAGCATATTAACACTCAATAAATATTGTGTAAATGTTATAATTTTCTACAGGTATAAGCTATTCTATTAATAAATCTTAAGGGTATCTTTCTAAACTATCTATGATACTTTCAAAATTTTTTTTCCTCTAAGGATCAATATTTTCTATTTCTCCCTCCTACTCAATATTAATACCAGACTGATTCTAATTAAGAGGTAACGACTAACCAAAATAATTATAATTAAAGTTAATTTAATTTGCTTGTATTGCATTAAAATGGTCTTTAGGGATAGTGACTTCTCCAAATATTTTATAGTGAGTGTATTTGAATGAACACTCTTTAGATAAATCATTTATTTCATGATATATTTTTTCATTATCTGAAATGACAGGATCTTCTTTGATATTATCTGGTAAGTATTGTATTGATGATAAATAATAATTTATAAATCTTAAATTATCTTTTATTTATTATTTAAAAAATTATTTAATTCTTTTTTTTAAAGCTCAAAATAATTTATTTTTGAAAAAAAATACTTTTTTGTTTAAATAAATAAAAATTTTAACAATTATTTTTACAAAATTTTACATTTAACTCGCTTGTATTAAGAAATACTCATCTTAATCTCAAAAATATTGTTGAATTCAGGATTAATTCGGCATTAATTGGTATCTTAAATTACAACAGTATCTTTTATGGGATCACAATTCATTTAGCTGAATTGATATTAAGCATCCTAGTTGATAGTAAGTAATTAAATATCGTCACTAAATTTTGCTTTGATAATGCCTTGATCATAGAAAAAGTAGTAGTAAAGGTTTTATCCATCTTCATACCATTCTTAATTTTGAATTAAATAGTTTATTTTGTTGATAAAATTTTAATAATTAAGATTACCATCAAGATTATCGTCATCTTTAGATGAGCATTTATTATTAATAAGCTAATACTCTGCAAAACATGAAATAACTTAATCTTTATTACAATATTTTTCCCCTTTCTTACATTTTTAGCAAGTATTATTGTTGTCTCTATAGTAACCAATAGGACAAGATTAGCAGTCTTCAAGTATGAACAAATCTTTGCACTTAACACAAACTTCTTTCTCAATTATATCACATTAGCTTTCAAAGGATTACTCTTCATCAAAATCTGATAATTCGTGATTTAGATCAGCTAAAATTTTTTAATATTACAAAGAAAAATATTATAAATTAATCCAAATTAAATTTTATTTTTACTTTTAATTTTGGAAATCAGATGAAAAACTGTAAAATAAAATAAGAGCTTCTTCATGGTAAAAATTTTATTTGGATTAATATTTCTAAATTATTTAATTTATATTAATTTAAATAAAATCCCTTTTTAATTAACAATAATTTCATTTATTTTTCTGACTATATTTAGTTTTTTTAAATACCTAAATTTAGTATTTGCTTTTTATTTATTGAATTTGTTTATTTAATAAAAATAAGTTAAATAAACTGAGTTAATTACCTTTATTAAAAAAGATATTTAGTAAATAAATAGTTGTATCTAATGACTAAATGAATCTTGTAAAGTAAAAATGAAATAATTTTAGAATAAAGTTTTTATTCATACCAATTATACATACTAATTGAATGAGTATTTAAACTTAACTAAATAATATAAAAATAAAATCTTAAAAAAAGTGCATTAGCATATTTAAAATAATTAATTTGAATTCTGAAGCGAAAGGAGGTTACTAGATTTAATTAATTGTTAATGATTTTTATCTAAATTAATTAAATATTGGTTCTAAAAATATATGTAATAGTTTTGTTTTTTAACAGTAAAACCTTTATCTTCGCTTTTCTCAGCTTGCATAAAAAAGAGATTCGAGTTCGTAGCCCTTCAATTTTTTCTCGAAAAGTTTAAAATTTTTTAATTTATTTTTCATATTTCTAGCGGTCTGCTTGTGATAAACAAAATAAAAATTTTAATTTTGTGATATACTTTGCAAATCGTAACACAAACAGTCCAAATAGAGGTTTTACTGTATTACTAAATAACAATTAAATTAACAATGCTATTTCGAATCAATGAATAAATTTATTAGAATTCTACTTAAAATAACCAAGTTTCCAAACGAAAAATATAATAATTAATAAACTTATTAAATTTATATAAATAAATATTTATAGAAATCAGATTAATAGAACGATTTAAGTAAATAAATTTATAAAAAATTAATTAAATAATTGCATTTAGTTGTAATTTACTATTACTAATTTTCCTTTTAAATATAAGCAGATATACCCATTGTATTTTTAATTAATTATTACTTGCTAATATTATTAGGAATAGTAATATGGAAGGTTACTTGAAACCTATTCTTTGAAAATATGAAGCTTACTTCAGCCTATTTTACAAGAGGAGGATTTTACATAATATCAAGAATTATTATTTTTATTAAAAAGTTTGGATAATTTGGATAACTATTTTTTATAAATTTAATCTTTTTTAGACTCTTTTATGCTTTCTGGTCTAGTTTACTCTAAATCTATATTACTAATAGCTTTAATAGATTATTGAAGGTCTAATTTCAAGTTTCTATTATTAAAATAGTTATAATTAGTAAATTTTATTAAAATAATAAATAATACACTTACTTTTTTGATTATTTCAGTAAATCAGTGTGATTTTTTATTATCTAGTTTTATTGAAATGCCACTTAAATATCAGAAGAAGATTTATTTTAAGCTTTTTGTTCTTATTTTTATTGATATTATTATTAATGCTATTCTTTTAGTTGCATTTGCTGGTATTAATTATTTTAGTTTAATATTTGATTCAATTTACTTGTTTGTATTTCTTGGGAATACTATTTTTATTTGAATATTTTAGTTCTATTTGTAGTTGATTAAGGAGTGGATGGTATTAAATTTTAATTTACCTAACTAAAATTTAACAATTTACAAGAGCTACTTCTTTTTACCTATTTTATTTATAAAGATTTAGGCAAACAAGTATTATTGAATATTTATTCTTTAACGCTCTTTTAAGAGTTTTAAGAAGTTGATCTTTTAAAATCAAAAGCTTATTATATTTCTATCTATTATTCTGAAGGTATAAATTTTTCTTTATTTGCAAGCTATTTTTTGCTTTCTTATTGAGTCAAGTTGCTATTTTGGTATAAAAAGAGAAGCTCTGACTTAAGCTATTTATTTTCTTTTTTGACATCTTTTGATTAGGTTTAAAATAGTTATTAAATTTAAAAATAATTAATAAATTACCTATAATTAGCCCTTAGTAATTAGTAAGGTCGTCTTTAAGTATATTGTTTTTAAATTTTAATTCATTGTTCTCATTTTCGAGAACTCTACATTTTTCATCTAAAAAAACTGCTTGCTTATAAAAGTAGTTTTTTTCTTCAGTCAATACTTAAATTTTTAAATTTCTTTTTAAATTGAAGTCTTCATCTTCTATTCTTCTTTTTAATTTCATTAATTCTTTATATACCTCAGTCATTTATTATTTGTAAATTTTAAGAAAATCTGCTTCACTTTATATAACTATTTCTGCTATTTTTTTATTTAAATCCTATTTTATGAATGTTTAAATTTTTAAATCCTAAAAGAAAACAACTAATTTACTTAAATAAATGAACTCAATTAGGAAAACTCATCTTAAACTTTGCTAGGAACCTTTTAATCACTATAGAAAAAGCTTTGATCGAAATTTAAACTATTTGGACTCCCTAAAATTTAAATTTATTATAATATATGAATAGCAACAAGCAAAATCATTCATTAAAAATGTTTACGCTAGCCTAATGATCTAATGGTATTAACATCAATACTGAATTATTATTTTATTAATCTTTAACTCTTAAGTATATCTTCATTTAGAATAGAATCTTCTTGCTAAAGTTAAAGATGTAAATTCTTATTTAAATTATTTTCCTACTAAATAGAAGACTCCTCTTTAGTTTTGTTTTTGGTAAATGAAGCTTCAAAATCAGAGCCTTCTGTTACTTCTTTAATTGCTTCTCTAATAGTTTATTTCATTGAAAATTAGTAGATATGAATATGTATTTATTTATTTGCGATATTTGCAGTTAAATTAACAATATAGATAAATAAGTTGATTATTTTTTACGTATTTTTAATAAAATTTAAATGAATAACTAATATTTTTTTTAATTTTGTAAAAATTAGTTCAAATCTGATTAAATACTTTAAACCTATATTGTATAACATTTTAAATTAATTCATTATCATGCTTTATGCAAGAACATAAAAAATAACTATGAAATTTAACAAATTTAACTCTTAAAAATATGCATTTTACTTAAAAATATTTTTTTTTGCAATAAAAGTTTTGTAAAATTAAAAACTAAGTGAAGGTTATGAAAAATAATGAATATTTGATTTAACTTCCATCTTATTTACTAACTAACGTTGTAAGATTAAGTACATTTAAAATGAATATTAATATTTGTGCATTAATTAATTAGGTTGGTCATATAATTAACTAGTATTATAAAAACCAAATTCATTTCTTTTATGAAAGAGTCAGTTATAGTAAGGTTTTACTACTTGTAGAATTTTTAATCTATTTTTTAGGTTTAAATAAGTTGTTTTTTTAGTTAGAAGTAAAAAAAGAAGAAGGCATTAATCAAATTAGTCCATTAAATCACTCTTTCTTTTCTGGTTTATTTTTTGGTATTATTTAGATGATTCATGTTTTTTTAGTTCATTTTTTATATTGTAGTAGAGTTTATTTTGTATATTCTTCTGAACTTAAACGTCCCCTTTTTCTACCTTTGTTAGGATTTAATTTTTCTTGAATAATCTTTTCAATGTGCATATTGAGTACATTTTCAAAATAGTAAAAAAATATATCCTCATTTTATTTTTTTAACTTAGCAGCATCAGCTTTTTTACCTAAAAATCCTACTTTAGATAGATTTTCGCTCTAAATACCAATTTTTAAAGCAGAACCATGCTCGTTTTAATCACTAAATTTAACATTTACTTACTTTTTATCGCTTTTACCTGAATTATCAGGTTCCGACTGATCTAATTGCTCACCGTTTTGATTTTTTATTTTTGCAGATTAAAGGTCAGGCAGAGAAAAAGATCTTTTTAATTTAACTATGTGAACTTTATTTTATGACATATTTTTTTCAGCTTTTAATGAATTAATCGGGCTAAGGTAGTAACTATCATCAACGTTATCAATATTACTTACACAAGATTCAACTTTCTATAAGATAGTAGGTTAATTTATAAATATATCATCAAAACACTCTTTTCCGTTTCCATTTTTTACAGGTGATCTTTAAGGGGAATCTTCTCCATTTTTTATAGGGGTAGATTCAAGCTTTATTTTAAATTTGGAAGTTTCTACACTTTCTTCCATGTTATATTATTCTTTTATGCTAGTCATATCTGCCTAACGTTTTAAATTATTTTTTGCCATATCTTTTTGAATTTTTTTCTTAATCAAATCAGAGTTTCCTCCATTTATGCATATATTTGCATAATGCTGTGCATCTTAAATTAATTTTTCAACTGTTGACTCTATTTCGCTATCCTCTCGATATAAAATATTTCCTATTTCTTTTATAGTTAATCCAGATTAGGCACCTTTTTTCAGAACTATGTTAGCTATACGGAAACACTTCAAGCACTCTTCTCGAAGATTAAATTAATTTTATAATATTTTTAAATCTTATTCAATTTGTATCTATTCAATGTATTAAAGAGATTTCTCAGAAAACTGTTACTCTGACTATTCCCACCACATCCAATTTAAGTCATCTTGACAAATATCAAATGAATCTGAAAGAGATAACCCATGATCAATAGGAATCAGTTAAAAGTCATATTCTAGTAGCTAAGCTTTATAATTAGGAAGCTTTTTTAACTCCTATGGATTGATATTCACTTTTTAAAATATAATTTTTTATTAATTTTTAAGATAAAAATAGCAGTAATTAAAAAATTGTAAGAGAATAAAATTTATCTTATTTTTGAGGAAATGCGATTATTTTAGTGATATTTAAAAAATTATCATGCATTTTTTTTATTTTATTTAATGTAAACTTTTTTTTGCACATAAATTGATGGCTCATTGATTTGAATATGTACAGTAAAACCTGTCAAACTAGGAACCCTTAAAAATTGAGCACTGATAAATAATAGGTAAAAGTTTTTTCCCTAATAACCTTTCATTTTAAAACTCATCTATAAAATTAGCACCTTTTTTTATGGGCAAAAATTTTATGTCCTCTATGTAGGTAATAAGTTTAAGTTTAGACAGGCTTCACATTATTAGAAATTGTTTATTGATATATTACCTTTCTTTTTTTTCTTCTTCTTCACAAGAATGTTTTGATCGTTTCTATCACAATTTAGGATTCTTATATCTAAAATAGCAATTTTGTGAACTTCATCAATTGAAAATATTGAATTTCCATAGTTTCCACATTCTTCTGTATTCTTGACAAATACTTAGAGAGACCCTCTCTTAATTTGGTCTTAATTAAAATCACTTAAAATTTGTTAAAAATTGGCTTTATCAACATCTATGAAAGATGGTCTTTTTATGTTATGATCTTCTTTCTATTAATTAGTTAGCTAGCTTTAGTTATATTTGAAAGAGGGATGATAAAACTCTACAAATGTTGTTGCAGGCACTCCATGAAATCCTTCTGGATCCAGTATATATGCAACAACTTCTCTGTAACCTTGCTCTCCACTTCGTATACCAGATCTAATTCCTCTCTATCCTAATTTTCCTATTATTATAATATATTTTATTATTAAATTAGCCAATTTATGAAAGTTTATTTATATTAATAAAATTTATTTTTTATTTGACTGTATAATAAGATCAAGTAAGATAATTTTTATCTATCTCGCTTTCAAAACATACATATTTCATTAAGCTAGCTGAATTTTTATAATTTATAAATTGAGTAAATAAGTAAGTATTCTTTCTTAAAAATATTAAGAATGAAAAGATATTTTTGCTTATTGATTCCCTAATTCATATGCTAATTTATAAATCGCTTATGAGAAGCTAAGTTTATTTTCTCTTAAAAAAACTTTATGCAAAATATTTTAATATATGTATATGTCTTCACTTTATCAAATTCCCTTTATCTAAATTATTTGATTACCTACATAGCCTTTGGGATTATTAGGTGCATAAGGCTCTTCATCTAAAGGTTTAAAAATAGCTACATTATTCCTATCTACATTTTCAAGAAAATAACTTCCGGAAATTCCTGATTCTGTTAATTTTGGAATAATTTTGCAATTTAGCGCCTTTTTTATTTCTGCTAAAGTGGAGTTAATCGACTTATTCATTCTATTATCAAAGAAGTATGGATGAATCATTCCAAAATTATCTATAGATTATACTGGAGAGTAGTAGAGGGTTGACTCATTTTTGATATTGTAATCTGCTATGCTTGCATTGTTGTTTTGGAGAAGCTACTACTTGTATCTGAGTCTTATTTTTCCAATACCGCCATTAACACCTCCAATTTTTTACTAAATTTTCTACTTGATTGTGCTTATTGACATACATTGATGAACAGGTATACGAACTATAAGCTCTTCAGTGTACTAATCTTTTATGTTTACATGTTTCTTTTTAGGAGTTTGCTTATTTTTGCTATGAGAATCGGTAGCTGTATAAAACATCTCCCTCTAATTTTAATCGACTTCAACTTCTATTAACCCTAGGCGATCTTTTATTTCTTAATTATTTTAGGTAATTAAATTCTTCTCTCACTTAATATTGATATGTATGAGATTGATTATTCCACTTCTATATATTTATTTATTGTAAATAGATTAATTATTAATGTTTATATGTGTCTTATGTTATATTATTTTCCTTTAGAATCTTTAATTAAATAAGGGTTATAACACATATTTTTTCAACTACATCTTGCTCTTATCTTTGATATTAAAATAACCTCACAATTAATTGCTAATACTTTATAATAAAAATTATAATTATTATTTGAATATTCTGTCACTGAACGGGATAAGCTTGGAATTCATTATCTTAGTTAGATTTAGTTTATTTTGAAATGATTGAGTTCTTAAATTTTAATCGTTAAGAAGAGATATATTATCATAAATTTAATTAACTATTTGTAAACCGAAAGCATTCTAAATATTGATAATTATTCTAATTACTTAAAATTACTTATTGGTATAAAATAGTGAATTTTCTAAATTTAGAAACTCCTTTAATCTAACCAATAAGTAAATGAACTCCATAAGCCATCTATGTTAAAAAGAATTTAATTTATTTCTTATAAAAAAAGTCTTATCTACCTTGTATTCATAAATAAGATTATATATAAATAAATGGCATTTTAAGCATCATTTATTATTAACTTTTAAACAAAACTTACTTAATAAACGAATTAATTTGTTTTTAAAATCACATTTTGTTGAAATCGTCAATTAACTTAGAAACAAACATTTAAGTATTGTTTGTAGATCATAAAACATTCATAAAATAACATATTAAAGTTAAGAAAAAGATTAAAAAGTGTTTATAAAATAAACAAATTTGGTCTTTTGCTTGTTTAAAATAGTTATCTACTATAAAAATAAGAATAGTAATTTAATTAATGTTGAAATATATCCGATGACAAAATAAAATAAATCACTTATAAATAAAAATATTTATATAGTCAGAAAGATTTAATTGAAAAAAATAATTTGAATATTTATGAAAAAAGAGTTTTATTTACGAAAAATATTTTTATTTTAGCTTTCAAAATATTTAATTGAAAAAAAAAAATCTGAAAATAGCTTTCTTTTTTTATGTTAAATTAAAAAAATTATATTTTTAATTTTTAAATTGTTTGTTTTTAAAAGATGAAATTTATTATTTAATTAATTAAAGAATTAATAAAAAAAGCACCCATAAAGAAAATCTTTTAAGGCAAGTCGGAGTTAATAAGGTTTATACAAACTATAATATTAACTTATGACATGCCATGAAGGTCTTGTACTTAATGATACATTCCTTCGCCAGCTCATAATAAGAAAAAACAGAAGGATCTCTATAGGAAGCAAATCGGAAAACAATGATGAGTTTGCGCCAAATGAAATCTACAAAATTACAAGAATTTTAAATCATTTTTGTTTTTTTTTTTTATTTATTTATTTAGTTCGCTTTGTGTAACTAAATTGGATGTTTTTAATATAGTTAATGAAAAAAATAAATAATAAAATTATATTGTGACACAATTTAGTTAAAGAATCTTTTTAAATTTTGATTATATAATATAGGAACTCGAATTAAGCTAGCTAAAGTAAATTAAATAATGCTATTTCAATCAAAAATTGTAATGATTTCCTAATATTACTTTGCTACAGTTTTTAATTCATTCATTAGTATTTATTTTAAAGGCATCTTAAATTATTGTTTATCTGAACTTGGAATTTAAGAGCTATTCTTGTTTGAATAAGTTTTAAACTTCACACAATAGTCGTATAGCAGATAAATTATATGCTCTACTGATTAATTTTTCATTTAATCAAAGTACTTTATCAACAAAGCACATTTGGATGGAAGCACATCTCTCTGTAATTTAAAAAAAAAAAAATTAGTTACAAATTACAAAAAAAGTTAAATACTTTAATCAGAGTTTTAATTGTCTTCCTTAAAGTCCAGTGAGGTTTCTTTTCAAATTAAGTGTTATGGAACATGGCTGCCAGATTAAGCATTACACTCATAAAAAATTCATTAAAAGAATTGCTATCTAAATAATATTAATTTAATTGAATAAATATAATAATCAAAAATGAATGATTATTTATACCTGCTTTAAGACAAGTCAAATAAATTATTGAGTAGAAAAATTTATTTTCGATGATATATTCTCTAATAAATTCATCGAATGGGTGATTAGAATAAAACGGTTTTTGATAGTTAGCAAAATTAGAGACATTTCTTTCATATTTAAATCCGAATAAATAAACTTCAGTTATTTTTCTACTAAGACTGCAATTATTCTTGATGTCTTCATCCTTAAGCTTAGGATAAATAGATTCTTTGATCAATTACGAATGCTCTGATCTGTTAATATTTTAAATAGTTATTTAGATTTTATATAACATAAACCAAAATAAAAAATAAATAAATAAATACAAATATTTGCATTTAGGATTTTATTTTAAGTAAAATTTAAATAAGAAGAGTGCAAGAGATTCTTTTTCAGTAAGATCTAGTCTGCTTCTTTTATTTTTTTTACTTAAGTCTATACCTAAATTAAGCTCTCTAAAAAAATCTAATGAAGTTTAAGTAAATTCATTCCTATCGTATTCTAATATTATTTCTTTATCTATGTTCTTACTGTTTTATATAGAAAACCCCACAATTTATTCTTGCAATTCTAAAAATAAAGTCATAACTCTCTTTTAAGAAAATAAGCAAGTGCTTGTTACTTTTATATTTAATTTAATTTAATTAATAAATTTATTTTTTTATTTTAATGATTTACTTATAATAAGTATATACTGAACAATCGAATCATCAAATGGAAGATTATTTAACAAAAATTTAGTTATTAATCTTATAAAATCACAAGATATTTAAATGTCTGATCTTACATATTGATAACTATCTATGTCCTCCAAGCAATATTCTTATAGTATATCTAATATTTAAACGATAAAAGTCAAAAGTTCATGCTTTCGATCTTTTACAAGCTCATATTGTTAAATCAATACATTGCAAGTCATCATGAGTAAATCTTTGAATTAAATAAAAAGCAAAAGCTCTTTATTTTATTAATTTTCTTCCAGTATTTATCTGAGGTAACTATTCAGATTTTAAATGTTGTCCATAAAATAATTAATTTCTTGTTCATTTCTTAGTGTTTTTGCAACTTTAATTGCTATTTTTAAGCTAAAAAATAGATTTAAGGATTTTATTTTTAAGATGAAAGCAAATGATATACAATGTAGGAGAAAGCAATTTAATATTGTTTAAAGTGCCAATAATACTCGAGCTTAATGATTCTTTGGGATGAAGAAGAATCTATCTAACAAACTCAAAAATATCATTTTTATTTCTCAGTTACTGTAAATAGTAAATTGAGTAGCAACTGTTTACAGAAATCTTTCTTCTAATCATTTCATTAAAAAATTCTTGAGTCTTCTTGACTGCTTGCCTAACATTTTAAATTTGTTAAAATTAACTTAAATTTTAATGAGAATTTAATTTATACGATTAACTAGAAATAGAATTGACTGGAAAGTTATCAATTAAAGATTAAAATAAAAATTTATTTTAAATATTTGTATAAAACTGCTGGACAGCATCATTCTCTTGGCTTTTTATTTCTAGAAATTCAAGTATTTTAAAGAATATTTCATTATTATTTACAAGGCTGTTAGAAATAAGATTTTGAACTATTTATTCCAAAGCATCTAGCAAAGATGTTTTTTCTGCAATACACTTCTTATAATTTTTTAGCATCATATTTTCTGAATTAAAATACACTTAGAATTAGCCTAATGACTTAAAAAGAATAATTTGATTAAAACATTTTTATTGTATGAGTTAAAAGTCTGTTTTACTGGAAATATAAACTAAGCATTTTCTTTACTCAGAAATGTATTAAGGAGATTTAAGAATGTAGGATTTTCCATTTATGAATTTAAGATGTTCTTAAACTTGCACAGCATATACAAAATGAAAAGAATCATTCCTTAGAATACAATTTCTTTTTTGTGTGGGTTTTTCAACTCACTAAGCAAATATGAGTACATTTTTTCAAGTACTATTGGAAGCTACTTTTTATATTAACCCATTAATTGCTTTAAAGTTTCATATTCAGATTTTAAGCTTTTTCCTTTTTCTATTAAAAAAAATAAATTTGATTTTTTCAAGCTGTTTGTTGCTTTAACTTTAAAATTATTGCTAATATAAAAATACAGCTTTTATAGATGCAATTTTAATGCAATAAAACAATATATAAACATTTTAAAATTTAAATTTTTACCTTCAACAGTAGAATAGCTAGATGTAATCATCCACCACAATTTAGAAATAAAAAGAATCACTTATATATCTAAGCAATTTGCAGTAAAAGCTTGTTTCTCTGAAATTTTCTTAGCCAAGTAAATAATATTTAATCCATCATCTTCAATATCTTATTATCCTCTGCATAATTTCTGAAATAAAATTTAAAACTTAAGTCTTTATGCTGTTAAAAAAATAAGAAAATACCCTAAAGAATATGAGATGCTTCAAGCAATTTTTCTCATTTTAAGGCTGAAGTACTTCAAAAAATTAATCATAAATACTCTCATGTGTTTAATCATAAAAAATTTTTCCTTTAACTTTTTTATCTACGAAACAATTAGAGTTGTTTAGATCATAGAAGCATGAATAAAACTAGCCTTCTATTTCTTTATTATCTATTTTAATAGAAATAAATAAATATAATTGCTTAGATTGTTGCTATTATTACTGATTGTATCATGCATAGTCAGCTATGTCAGCGATTTTATTAATATCTTTTATCGTATTATTATGCAAATTAATAAAAATGTAGAAAGTTAAATAAATTACTTCAAGAAGAATGTCATAATGAATTTTATTTGTTTTAATGGTTTTATTGAGTAATGTGAAGAAATAGCTAATATCTCTTTCATTTTACTTACCCATAAAAGACTCTTAATCAATAAGTTTGTAAATATCTCTTTTAAACTGCTTTTGGTGAGAAAATTCTAATCTATTATTATTACCTAAAGCAATATCAAATGCTAGTGTAACTTCATCCTTCTTTTTATTTTTTTTACTTTTACTGTTGATATTATTGCTACTTGAATTATTATTTGAACCATTATTTTAGTTTGATAAATTATTTGAGGAACCACTGTTATTTCCTTACTAATTTTGAATACCATTATTGCTAGAATTTATTAAAATCTATTAATTCTACAAACTATTTCCTAAACCAAGATTGTTTATTGATTAATTACTAGAAATGTTTTAACTTTAGTTTGAATTATTCAAATTGTTACTATTCTCTCTATTTGAATTCAACCCACTCTAACTTCCTTGCTAATTGCTATTACCTGAATTATTATAATACATTTTTGAAATTGCAGACAAGAGTTTAATTAATTAATATTATATCCTATTATTTTACAATAATGTTTTGGTTTCAAAAGATACTTTAATTAACTATTTATAATTATTAGTGTGCATCTACTAAAAACTTTAAAAATATGTTTGTTAATACATTTTTAAAAATCATCTAAAATTAAAATGAAAAAAATAATTTCAAAATGATTAACCTTAAAAAAATCTCAAAGATAAATTCATAAATCAGTATTTTGATTTAAAGTCTGCCACTAAAAATGTTTATTTGTAATTTTTATATTTTCAAAAATATTTTTCAAAATGCAACTAAATAAATTAATTAAATCAATAAATAAAACAAATTAAAATAAATTTTTATATCCACTTATTCTGTATTAAAATATAAGAAAACTTTTAAAAAAAGTAATTGACTTTCTTATAAAAAAGTTTGCTGTTGCTAACTCAAACAAAATTAATCGTAAGCAATATGTCAAAATAATTGAAAAAATTCTACAACTTTTTTAAAATAAATAAATAAACAAAATTTAACTTAATTTATTTGAAAGTTATAACATTTACTTTATATTCAAAATTGAAAAAATGTATATTTCGATATAATTTTAGTGTATTTATAAAATCAGTGAATCACTTTCAACTTTTTTGATTGATTTTTGATTTTCATATAATTTTAATACCCGTTTTTAAGTTTTTTTTTTATTACTTTGACTAAATGATAGTAAATAATTTTTGAAAATAATTAAAATGAACTAATGGTAAGATGAGAGGTTTTGATTAATTGGTTTTAGAATAAAGATAAAATATGTGTGTTACGTAAATTGCAAAATTGTTAAATCATTAATGTTTAGTTTTTAAGAAGTTGAAATCACCTTTGATAGTAACTCAGATTTATTAATCAAAAGAAAAAAAATGCAGAATAATATGCATTATTAATATCTAAAAAACTAATTGTCCATTCACTTTCAATCAAAATATTCGTCAATTTTACTTTTTCCTTTGCAAATTTTTCATTTCTTAGTGAAGATAATTTATATTAATTCAAAAATTAGTTTATTCCTTTTGCTTTTATAAAAGAAATTTTGAATTATCTTGAGAAACAAAACAAATTAAAGCAAAAACTAGTTTACATAAGTTATAGATGCTTATAGGGTTTAATGTTTTTTTTTTCAACAACCTATCAATAATTATTCCTAAAAAGTATTTTGTTCAGCTAAAATTATTTAATTAAACTGAAACAAATTGTTGATTTTTTATTTTATTAAATAAAGTTAAGTCTATTCTTTATTTTCAATTTGGATTTATTCATCAATAAAAAAGGCTTATCTCAAGATATATTTTGGAGGGGTCCCTACCTAATAACAGATAAATAGAAGAAAATAGAATTCAATATTTTTAATACCTATTTTAATTTGAAATTATAAAGGAGGGGGACTTAATTCAAACCATCAGTTAATGAATTTTATTTATTTGAATTCAGAAAATAGACCCCCTTTAAAAGATTATGAGAGCATTGACTTAAGCTATTAACTAATAACTATACATATTAATTGCTTGCTTGCTTTTATATTTTATATGAAAGTGATAGATCTTCAAATTTATTAATAATATAAAATAACTTTTTTACAAATCAATAAATCAATGGAGGAACTTTTCAAATCTATTCAATATATATAGCGGGAAAGTTTATTTAAATAATTTAAATTGTGTCTCTAAATACATTTTTTAGTGTGCTTTATAAAAATTTACATGAAATAACTTGTAAAAAATGAAATGCTTCATCAAATATGAAGAAAAATAATCGAAAAAAAACATATTTAATTTTTTTTAATTTTCAAATTATATTTTTTGCTGGTAAAAAATGAATGAAAATCAAAGTATTATTCCATTTGTTTCTATTTTTATTAAAAAAAAGCAGCGAGTAGCAAGAAATCGAGAAAAAGCTTCTTCTTTTTTATGAACACTGATTATAAACTAAATCAATTATAAAATAATTAGTTTAATATTGATTGAGATTAGCATTATATTAAAGCGAACTCTTTGTTATTGATCAAAATAATAAAAAATAATTAAAAGAAAACAATCATAAAAAAAAGAAAAACAAAGTAAACCTGATAAAAAATCAACAAAAATCATTACTAAAAATAAAATCTATTATCTGTCGTATGATTTCGATCGCTCCCAATTATCAGCCATAAATTCTTTTCTATCAGTCTGATATTATATACTAGTTACATACTATCTAATAAATAAAGAGATAAAAGGCTAAATAACAAGAGATTTATCTCAAAAGTATTACTAATAAGGATAGTATTTCAGCAAATTCATCCTTTGATTCCAACAATTCTGAAAAAGTAGAATAACAATCTCCTCTAATAAATAACTAAACTTCTTAATTGAATGAAGTACTTTAATCACCTACTACTGCTTCAACAAGCTATATCAGTTGTGTGATTTAACCTACTTCAGAGTTGGGAGGAGTCTATATCAGTGACTATGACTATGCTTCGGATCTGTAAAATTTAGAAAAAGACAATATAAAGTCAGTGCTTTCTATTGATAGAAACCACAACTTTAAGCTTCCCGATAGTTACAACCATAAAACAATAATTGTTTTTGATAATGAAATGGAATCTATTAAAGCTCATTTCGATAAAAGCTACTAGTTCATTTTCAACTCAATATAAAACAAACAAAACATTCTCATTCATTGCAGAAGAGGTATTTCTCGTAGTGCAACTATTTTAATAGCTTTTTTGATGAAATTTTAAAACAAATCGTATGAGGATTGCTATAATTTCTTAAAGTAAAAGAGACCAGTAATCAATCCTAATAGCGGATTTGTTAAGCAGCTTAAAAGCTATGAAAAAGTTCTCAAAGAATACCTCCTTTACACAAATCAATTAAAATGAAAAACAAACAAAAAAATTAAAGATACTAAAAACATTTAAACATTTTCCTCAAAACAAAAAACAACCAAAACACAAACAAACAAAGAATCAATTTATCATAAATATATTTATTTTATTACGTAATAAAAAACAAAACACTATTCCCCTATATCAAAATCTTGTATAAATTCAAAACTAAACAATCATAAACATAAACTATTTGTATATATCTTGTATCTATGCCTCCTAAATATTTATTATTTATAAACAAATTCTCTAAATAATCTATTTATTAATCTTATTTATCTATCCATCTATATATTTCTTATTCTTTGTCTTTATTAATACTTATTCTCACTTCCATAAAATATTTAGTTTATGTGATTTTATTATATTTGCCTTCAACTAAAGCGTCTAGTATGTGATTTTATCAAATACTTTTATCTCTTTTTATAGAATATGAACTTAAAGCAAACTGTAAAGTATTTTAATTAAGTAAATATCAAATCAAAAAACATTAATCTATTATGTAAATGAGTACTTATAAAATATAATTTTTATGACTTTTTTCCATCACTAATCGACGCACTTTATCTATTTCTTAACTGCGTAACTTTTACTCTTTAATTTAATCTGATGATGTATTAAAATTTTTAATACAAAAACACTAAATTTAACAAATCAGTCTATTTTATTTAAAATGTTTGTATTCAAATCTGTTACCACCAGATAAAATAACAAATATTTTCTGATGAATGAATTTAATTCAATATGTTTATTTTGATTATAATTTCATTCAATAAATGCATTTTGTTGAGTTTTAAATAATTTTTTTGTTTAAATTTAAAAAATATCAAGTCAACAAGTATAAATAACTAAATAAAATATATGTCTTTACATAAATATTAATCTACATAAAAAAATACTGATCTAAAAATTTTATATTTTAACTAACAAAATTAAAGTCAGTATTTATAATTTAATCTAATAGTCATCAAAAATAAGAAATTGCAAGCAGCTTCATATAATATTAAAATTTTAATAATAATTTTAAGTATTTTATCTTTTTTTAAATTAAAAATTAAATTAAATTTTTTAATTTATTGAAGATTAGTATTAAATAAATATTATTAAAAGGTATTTTAAAAAATAATAATTATGTAAAATAAACATAAAACTAGTTGAATTCAATTAAAATTAATTACTTATTTTGCCATTAAAACTGGTTTAATTAATTTTTTTATATTCTCTACATTTGGTAATATTTTAAGAAAATGAAGAAAATAAACTCATTTAGTCTTACCCATTTTAAAATAGAAAAGAGAGTTTTTAAAATAAATTAGAAATTTAAAAATAATAAGTTATATCTCAGCAACGAGTATAATAGTTAAATAGGTAATATTTAAATTATGTTATAATTATTAATTATTATCACTTAGATTATCTCTAAAATTTTACAAAACTTTTATACTTAAAGTATGTCTAATGAAGAAATAATAAATAGACTTTATCATTTTAAAAGACTTCTCAATTAATAAATAAAACTTAATTATATTTAAATGAGATTAAATAAAAACCCTTTTATTAATGCTCCCATTTTGTTTTGTTTTTGATTAAGATCGACTAAAAAGTTTAGTACTAAAAAATCAAAAAATAAGAAGAAAGGATTGAAAAAAAATAAAAAATATTGAGAAGTTTATAATTTTATAATATTTTAAGGTTATTTTTTCAATTAAATATTTAGAGAGAAAAAATTAACCTCGAAATTTTCATGAAATTGAATTCTAAAATAATAAAATAAATGAAAATTATGAAAATATCAAGAAAAAGACATACAAATGTGATTAAATTTTTAAGATACTTGTTTTTTATTATTCTTAAAATACTATTAATAGTTATAGTTAAGTTGATTTAATTTCTCAATATTTATTAATGTATTGATTGGTAGTTACTATTAATTAAATCAATAGCAAATTAGTATATTTCAACTTTTTGAGAAAATTACTTTTCCCATTTCATCAATTGAGCTAAATAAAGCTTAATAATTTTATGTTGCATAAACATTAGTGACTTTCGAAGGAAGGTCTTCTGTGCTATTTGAACAAGAGTGAAGCCATAAAAGTACTAAACATCCATACAATATTCCCATTCCGATTTTAAGAAGTTTATACTAAATGTATCTTGTGTAAGGTTAAGAAAATAACTTTACATTAAAAGCTATCATGATAGCGAGATAAGGATAATTAAGCCATGTGTAGTCTGGAAATACAATTAACATTGCATGCATAACGCCTGGTCCTATTTGCCATGCAGGGATGTGCTTTGTTAAAAATATGAAAGGTAAAAATGTAGCACTAACAATATGATGATAAAGCATATCCATTTTGCATTACTGTTCAAAAGCAAGATTGGTCACAATCAAGCAAACACCATCAATGAAATAATAAATAGGGGCATAAGCAATAAACGGGATAACCCAGGTATCATGCCATTATCTCTTGATTTCAGATTAATTTTTTACTTTTGTATTGTCTACAGGCTTAAATATCTTGATTAAAAAGATAATGAAGATTATTGGGAAGGTGTATTTAGAGTATTCAACCCAAAAGATATCATTATACTTTTTGATGATCAAAAAATCATATTGTATTTAACTAACTTCAAACATTTTATAGTTTAAATGTGAGAAAAGCCTTATCTACCTTCAAAAATAGCTATTTAATTTGTTTCTTTTTATAAATTATTTTTTTGAAATTAGTTTATTAATTTTTTATACTTTCAAAGATTTCATAATAAAAAATATATAAATAAATATATATATATATAAATAGATCTTGACCAACATTATATAATTAGCTGTATAAGTTAAAATGATATGAAAGCAATTCAATTTATATATTTGCTTTTCATTCATGTATGCTTTTGATAAGTTAAATAGAGTTATCTCTTTTCTAATAGAAAGAAGGCAGAAAGACTACAGACTACATTCTTTTTAATTTTAATTTTTTGTTGATAATTTTGCCTTCACTTATTTTAATTGGTTAGCAATTACTTAACATTAGAGTGTTTTAATCAATTAAATTATAAAGATGTCATGACTGGACATGGACCTTCAAGATAAAAATCTACCAATTCGTTGTTGCATGCTTAACAACGTGAAGGATAGACTTCAAAGCAAGGATTCAAATTACATTTAGTGTTCAAATTATAAAATCCACATACTTTCTTATTTCTATCTAAAATAATAAAAACATAAAATATTTATTTATTTTTAGCATTATTTATCTAAATTGATAACTTAAACTAACAAAAAAAATTCATATTCATTATTAATAGAAAAAAGAAAATATATATACTTTTTTTTCTTGTATTTAAACTATCACAAGTCTACTCGTTCCTATGTAGGCTACAAAAAACTGCCTACTTAGGATAATCTTCGCATGGACCTTCGATAACAAAGTCTAATATTTTACTATTTTTACAGGCCTCGCACTTATTTTAGTAAGTCAATCTGCACTGCTCTTAATCACATTTGAGTACATCTTTTTTAATTACAGCACATACTGGCTCATTAATTAAAGGACATTCTTAGACTTCATCTTCATTTAGAATTTAACATGAAAAAGTGTTTGAATAGCCATACTTTATTATGCTAATCAAAACTACATAAACATAAAAACCTTTAATTTATTTCATATCTTTGACTTTTATTATTATATTGTTTTGTATGAAAATCTAATACAATGAAAGCTATAAAGAATCTACTAACCTTCTTAATTTTATAATTTGTTTTTTAATGTTTTGAATCTAATAATTATTATCAAACCAATATTTCAAAATTTGTCTAATCTTAATTTGTGATTATAAATTATTAATATTATAATTATTATCTTTTTTGTCAATCTAATTTATCATTATATCATAAAAGTACTTAATTGTATTTCTGATATCATTCAATAATTTAGTAATATCTATTAAGTTTTTATGTTTTTTTATAATAGAGTATTTTTTTTTATTTATTTTTTCAAATGTATTTTTTATAAGACACAACAAGAACAAAAAGAATGATTAATTTATTTTTACTAGTTAAATTATTATTACGATATTATAAGAGGCTAACCAACTTATGAATTAAATCTTCTTATCAAATTATTTTTAAAAATTAAAATATGTCAAAATAAATATTATTAGCAAATCTAATTTCTAAATATTTAATAAAATTGCTATGAAAGTAATCGATGTTCGTTAATATACAAAATTTAATCTTACATTTTATTATTAACAAATATGTTCATCTTTTTTTGATATTTATTTATGGATATACCTTATTTGATTGCAGAAAATTGAATATATTAATTATTAAAAGTTGCTATTTAATTTATGATATTTCTTATACATACAATCATATTTAGCAAAACTTAACTTCATACTTAAAAAAATAAATACTAGTATATAAATAAATAGCTTGAAAAATTTAATTATTTAAGTTGAAAAAATCATCTTTGATACAAGTATTTGTAAGCGATATCTACTTTCAAGCACAAAAAAGAATTTTAGGCAGCTTTTATATTTATAAATTGACAGTTTTTAGACATAGCAAAATAATTATCAATGAATTTTAACACTAATGGAATAAACTACTCATAAAAAACTTATAGCAACGATAATTCTAGAGAACCTAGTGCTGTATTTGGATAAACAGATTCTTAAAGGCCAAGCTCAAAAAGAAGTAAAATTAGTATGACTAGCTCAAACTAAAGAAAAAGTAATAGTTTTCAGTTTAATAGAGCAGAAAAAGATGAATATGAAGATGAAATAAAGGATAAATACTAAGATTCCTTTATAAATGATAGAAGAAGTGACAGTGTGAATCATCAACAAAGCTTAAATAATTTTTTAAATAGTAAATAGAACTCTGAAATAGTACAAGATTCCCAGAATCAAAAAAAACACTAAACCACATAAAATTAACAATCTCATTTTGGAACAAAAAGTGCAAATTAAATTAGTAATCACTTTAGAGATGTTAATGGTTATTCTTAAATATCAAGGAATTAATCTTAGTTTATATAGAATCCAGGTAATAATAATCATAATAACTATTATAATAACTCTAAATTAAAGCAGAGGCCATAAACTTAAAAACCTATTTAAGATTTGGCTACACTTGAAGAAGATAAGGAGCTCCATGCTTCCTTTTTATCTGATGAAAACGGTCGAATTATATAAGAAATTAATGACACAAATAAATTCTTTTATAAAAGCGGCCTCAAGGGGGTTATATACTTAGTAAGTGAATGCTCCAACTCAGCCATAGGCATGCTCCCTTACCTTTTCAGCTAATTTGGTATTGTTCTTTCAATAGTCCTTATTCTTACACTGATAACTATTAGCAATTTTTCTTTTCATTATCTCCTAAAAGCTAAAAATTTAAGTCGTAGAAGCAACTATCACAGTATTGCTCAATACCTTTCAGGCATAAGTGGCTATAGATTTATTTTCATAATTTAATTTTTTACTAAATTTGCAAATTGCACTATGCTAATGTATTTTGCTTCAAAATAACTCCAATAATTTATTCTAAACGTGAAGGGCAAATAAAACTTAAGCGACTCATAGCTTAATTTTGTAGAAAGTTACTAATTCTATTTAATAGTAATGCTAATAATACTGTTCGTTTTAAGCTTATTGATAATAGATAGCCATTAGACAACTTTCACACAATTAGTAAATATGACTTTTCTCTGTAGTATGATAATATTAAGCCTAATTTCATTTATATCGACTATATAAACTGAAGAAATGAAGGGAGACTATTTATTCGCACCTGATGACTTTAAGTTTGGTTATGCTTTCAGCTCATTATCTATTTTGTTATTTTTGTTAGATGTCCACATTAATTTCTTCAATTTGTATAAATATTTACGTAAACCTAGCGACAGAAAAATGTTAAGAACATCTCTTTATGCTAATATGGTTCTAGGATTATGCTTTATATTTATAGGTTCTTTTGGCTACATTTCGACAACTGGCCTTGAGAGGAATGCTAATTATTTGATTTAATTTAGTTAACTTGACTTACATATTACATTTTCATCTTTTGCCCTTATGATATATGTTTTATATTGTGTAGTTAACTTTCCTTTGCAATTTTCTATAGTTAGGTCTCATATTCTTAAAGTTTTTAAGACTCTTAAGGTTGAGGAAAAATAATCTACTTTGGACTATCCAAACGATTAAGATAGAGAACCTAATGATCAGCCTTAGTTTTTTAAATCCTCTACATAGGATGTAATTTATGGAAATCCAAGCAATCCGTATATTATTCCAGCTCCAGTTTACGGATATAATAACGAAACACTCAAAGATTCTAATCTCCAATAAAGCCATATTTATATGAGACAAATTAGATTTTATGCTTCATCAGTAGTGCTGTAATTGGCTATGTTTGGTATTAACTTTTTCCTTACAGGTCCTTTATTGATAGCTCTATTATCAGGAGTATTTTTTTCATCTGTTAATGCCTTCATAATACCTACTATCTTTTATATTAAACTAAGTAACTATGAGTCAACATTAAATGTAATAATTTCTGTCTTATTACTCTTTACTATTTTAGGTTTGGATTTTACTACATTACTAGGATAAGTCTTTACATTAGTAGAGTGATATTTAAAAAGTAATAAAATAAATTTATAAAATATAATTAAGTATTAAATTTCACAGTTAAAAAAATATTTATAAATTAACTTGATAAAAAATATTTTAATTACTGTAAATAAAATGTAAGTTAAAACTAATAAGCAAAAAAGGAAATAAATAAATTTATGTTTATATTTAATGAATAATTAAATTGTATGTATAAGATTTTTTTTATGTGTGTGTAAACTAGTTTTATAAAAGCATTTATTTATATATGAAAATACTATAAATTACAAAAATAATAAATACTTAACCAAAATGTCTAAACTTAATTATTAGAGTAAAATCATTTTTATACAGTTAAAATTTAATATTTATACTATAAAATCAATAAAGTGGCTAAAATCTATATATAAATCGAGCAAATAAAAATATTCTTTTGGAATTATCGATTATTTTTTATTAATTATTTTTTATATAGTTACTAGCATTTTTCTATATATTGACCAAAAATATAGGTCATATCAGTCGGTGGCTTATCTATATAATTGAATGATATTTTTTATATTGTTTAAAAATATTGAGAAATTATCATATTAAGAATATAAAGAGAAAAGGAAAACTTTGTTTACTATAGATTGATTATTAATTAATTATTTCATTTCATAAATTTACATTTAAACTCTGTAGGCTAGTTTACTATTATTTATTAATCTCCATTTAAGTCATGCATCATCTCTTGAATAGATTGTTGACTTTAGTCTTAGAAGTTGTTGTCTAAAATTTAAAAAACGTTTGTTTAAGAAAATAAAAATTGGTTTTATTAATTCACAGGTGTGTTTAAAATTGTGTCATTTTTCAAGAAATGAGCATTTAAGCTATGGTTAGAGTTTATCTAAGATATTATTTTTTCTAAATTATTGTTGTTATTAATATTGTTGACAGGAGTTCTATAAATATGAGAATCTGTTTTTGTTTTAAATTAGAGGTTTGCTTCTGCATCAAATTAATTATTAGAAATATCTTTTTAATTTTATTTGGAATCTTATTTATACTCAGTGTTTAATTATTACTTGGGGTTAACTTCTTTTAAATAAAATAAATATTTTCTCTAAAGACAGTCTTTTTATGTTTAGAATTCAATTTAAGTTGAGCCAAGCCACTATCCAATTTTTTGTATAGTTTTAAAAAGCTTGTCTTTGTCTTTTAAATTTTGTTTTTGTATTATGTTTTCAAAGTTACAGTGTCCTTTTAAAATTAGTTCAATAACAAAGCAATTGCTTGTGCTATATAAATTACTAATTTATTTTAGTGTTGACTTGCGATGCTAAACTATACTGTTTCTGAATTGCTCACTATGCGCATTGCTAGCTCTTGATTCCATGAAAGCAAGAGTTGGTGGATTTTATAAGCTTTCTGTCCTTTTTTTCAGGTAGCTTACTTTCATAACAAACTTTGGATTAGTACAATCATGATCTGTAACTAGTTTTTTGAATAAAAAATGCAATATTTATTTTATTCTTCCCGGGTCTTGTTTGTATTTTTGTGGAAACGTTGTAGAATCCATTTCAAGACTATAATCAATGTTTTTATATCTAGAATCCTGTATGTTCTTAAAAAAATCAAGGAAAAGAATTTGCATATTTATTTCTTCTACTCTTAGCTTTGTTTTTTTATTCAGGTGAATTCTAACATGATCTATAAGAGTATTTATTTAACATTGAATGTACTCAAGGTGGTAAGGAAAAGAGTTATTTTCAATAACATCCATTTACTATTAAATTTATTTGGCTTGATATTCGTAATTTGAAGCGTATAAAGTTTGTAGTTGCTGAATTTACATGTTCATAAAATTTGAATTATAGCAGTACTACTAACTAGTCATTAGCTCTACTAATTATCTGTAAGGATTAACAATTTATTAAAAATGCTAATTAATATCTTTGAGGAGATTTTTAGATATTTTCAACAATCCTGATTTATCAGATTACTTAGAATTCTAATTAAATTTATTGTTTAAATAATCTCCTTTCTTAATTTTTTCATATTCATCCAATGATTTAATTTCAATAAATAGGTATTTTTATCTTTTTTCATTGATCAAGTAACTATTAATAGCTGAAAGGCTTCGTAATTAGCTTTTCGCCTTATCTTCGTTTTTACTGTAGTAATATATTTTTATAGATAGCGATTTATACTTTTAAGGATCCTCGAGCGAAGAGAAGTACTTGCCAAAATACTTATCTACTTTTTTATAAGAAAAACCATCTTCATAATCTGTTTGTGTATTTTTTAATTAAAATGCATTGTCACTCCATAAATTAGTACTCTTTCTCTTGTTTGGATCAAACTCTCCTTCTTTATAATTTGTTACACCCTCAAAAGTTATATTCTTAGAAAGAGATGAATGGTGTCTCTTTTTAGGTGTAATAGAACTTACTTATGGAATCAATTTAGTACTTCTATTATGAGTATTCTTAGAACTTGAAATTCTTTTATTTTAATCTAAATAATTAGCTGATGGGTTGAAGACAGCTGCAGTATTATTGCTTTTTTATGATTAGATTGGATTTATTATTTATAAATTTATATTGCTACCTGCTTATTCATCAAATTTTCTCAACTTTGTCATTATTAATTTTAAAAGATTGTCTTTTTTTGAGTAGGTTCCTAATGACATATCAGAAACTTCATCTTTTAGTTAATAAAACTTTATTTTTTCAAAGTAATCATATATAGACTTTTCTGAAGCTGATTCTTCCTTTGCTTTTCGATTATGAAATTCTAATTAAATTTAGTTTTAGTTATCAAGACTTGTAACAAAAAGTGAGTGAGGCCAGAGATCATGAAAAATCTATTAAATGTGATTACTCTCTTTATTTAGCGAATAATATTTCTAAATCCACAGATTAAATTAAATTTTTTTTCCAAACAAATATAATGGGAATAGCAGTAAGCACCAAAAGTAAAAAGATTAATAATTTCTATCAAATAAATAAATAATGCCTACTATTTACATTAGTGCTACAATTATATCTATTTCCCACAAACCGAACTAGTCATTAAGAATAATAAAAATATGGCCTAAAAGAAAAATTTTCATGTAAAAGCTAAGTTCTTAATTAAATGATAAATTGGATGGATTTGCGTTCTCTTTAAAACAGTCTTATTTCAATTTTTGAACTAGAGAAATCAATAATAGAGACGTAAAAACTAATCTTAAAATTAACTTAATGGATAGCATATTCTTAGCATAATGAAACAGAATTCCTGCAAAAGAGATAGCAATTAAGCAAATCGCATACCAACTAAATTCCTCTAAAATAGTGTAAAATACGCCAATTACTATATAAAAAAGATAAGAAAGAGGAAATATTTTAATTGTTTCCTTTCCATATTTTAATCTCTTCTCTAAAAATTCTTAAATTTTCTTTTTCAATGATTTAGATTTTTCAATAAATTCTTTACATTTCCCTTCTTTCCTCTATTTTAGTTCTTATAGGTGATTGTAATTTTATTTTATTCCTTTTTCCAACTCACCTTCATCTTACTATTATTACATAACCTGGTTTTTAAATGTTTTATCAGATTAAATCTAAAATTGGTTAAATCTCTTTTAAAATATCTGGTACCTCTAACTATTTGTTCTTTTATATTTATAAATAAAAGTGGTGCTCCCAAAGTTAAAAAGAACAGTAGAAAATATTATGATTATTTAAAGTTTGATCTTTATAAGCCTCCTTAGTTTATGAGTTCTTCAGAATTTTAACTAAGAGCTGTTTGTATGAATTGCTTTATTTAGAGTAAGTTCTTGCTAGTATTTAATATTGTTATTAATTATATTAATTCAATAATTGTTTTGAAGATTATAGTTAATAGTTTGATTCTGCTGAAAAAATTAATAATCAAAATCTCTAAAACTAACAAGCTATATTCCAACCAATAAATAAAAATTAAATATCTCAATTTAAATTAACTTTTCTGCATACAAAAAGTATATCCTCATATTATCGTTTGTTTATACGGTTATAATTATGATTAAATATGACCAATATTTCGAATTTTCATTTTTTAGAGCAAGTAAAATCATTCATAAAACATAGTAATTTAATAAAAATATCTTTTAAGGATTATTTTTTTAATATCAAAAATATAAAATTATATTTAAATTCATATTTGTCTAAAAAGACATGCTTTACCTAGATTTAAACTACATTAATAATAGAAATTATAATTACTTTAAAAATTTAAATATTAAATAAATTTATTAAAAAAGTATTATTGTATAATTATACTAGTTTTAATACTTTTATAAGCTTCTAATATATATTAATAAATATTTAAGGATATTTTTTAAAATAAAAAAGTAAATTTAAATCATAAAATTAAATATTTGTTAAATTCTATTTATAAAAATATGCTAAAAAAAGTATTAAATTTATATTTGATATTGAAGCAAAGCTAATCATTCTAAATTAATATTTTAGTATCAATTTTAATAATTTTAAGAGTTTATTAAATATTTAATTAATTTGGTATAGAATATTGAAGTAATCATAGTTAATATTTCTAAATATATTTTGAAATGATCTTTGACAATTTCAAGAGCATTTTAAGGATCAAAAAAATTTAATTCTAATTAATTTTGATAAATAAAATAGAAAGTTTTAAATAATAAATTTTAATTTAATAGTATATTTATTATCATTTTTAAAATAATTGTTTCAAATGTGTTTATTTTAATTAGAATAAATAAAGATATAAAAGTTAATCTGATCACATTTCAGATGAAAACCTTGATATCTTAATGGATGCCTACGTTTTAAGTAAAATAATATATAGTACCTTTAAGATCAAGGTTTTGGCATGAATATTTATATTATTTGATTATATTAATAAAATAAATTTGAAGAGTATTTCAAGAATCAAAAAGAAATATTAAATTGTTATTAATTTTTTTAATATACTAAAAGACAAAGAAAGTTTTTTCATAATACATTTTAATTTTAGATTATTTTTATTATCTGCTTATAATTTTACAAAATAATTGTTTCAAATATTTTTATATTATTTAGATTAAATAAAGATATAAAAGTTAATCTGATTGCAATTCAGATGAAAACCTTTATATCTTAATGGATGCCTACGTGTTAAGTAAAATGAATTAAGATTAGCATTGAAATCAAAGTTTTGATATTAATTTTAATACTATTTGAAAATATTAATAAAATAATAAATTATAACTTAGATCTAATTAGTAGAAATATAAATAATGGCTAACTAAAGCGAAAAGAAAAATTCAGTTTAGAGACAATAAACAATAAAATATTTCTAGACTGTTATTTTGATTGTTACAGGTTTTTATACAGTTAATTATCTCTTTAGAGGTGATCTCTTTAAGCTTGATACCTTATTAGCATTAGGATTTTTCACATTAATTAATTATGCATGCTACTCTTCAATTGAACACAGAATTCGCAAAGGTCTTGAAGCTGAATCTTATGATAGTCAATTAGATCTTTTAATTGTAAACTCTGCAATTGAATTTGGTACTTGCTTCTGGTCTGGATTCTGGTATTTTTATATAATAGTTCCTATTTACGCATTCTGGAAATGGGTTTTACCATATATTAAACTTTTCTTCATGGCCAGATCTATGGGTGATTAAGAAATAGATGAATCTTAGCTTTCAAACACATAAAGAAAAAAAAGAGAAAGAGAAAAAGAAGGAAAAGAAAAAGTAGTTTACAAAAAAGTAAAATGATTAAAAATAATTATTTATATGTCACTTGTATTGTATTTCATAAGTGTAATATTGGCTTAACTAATTTTTTCTAATATACTAACTCGAACCTTTACTAATACTCTAGATTTTTTTTTCAATATTAATATATACAATTGATGATTTATTAAATTAATTTAAATGTTTGATTTTACAATTAAAGATTTAAATAAAATGTTTGATTTTTGAAAATATTTTGAAGTATTTTATATAAATGCTCTTTCTAAAAATATAAAGTATGAATTATTTTACATTTTTAAATATTGGTGCTTTTGCTTTATTATAATTTAGTAAAAGTATTAATTATTTGATAATTTATTTAATTAGTATTTTGCATTCATTAGTATTTTTTTAAAGTATTTTAGACTACTTTCTTCTATCTTAGTAAACTAATTTTAATTAAATAATTACTATTTGTTTATTATTAATATTATTATGACATAAGAAATTATTTCTGTTTTTTAACTAACTGTTGACATATTTAGCATTCATTATTTTCATTCCATAGAGAAGTCTATTACTTATTCATATTACAATTATGCGTTATTTTTGAGCTGCAAATCTTTCTCTAAAGAAAAATGTCCTTTATTTATATTTAAGAAATAATTTTAATTTAATTTTGAAATCAAATTTATACCTGGTAAGTAACTAGAAGATGCTGTTTCTTCCTTTAAAATTCCAAGTTTTTTATAACATGCAGCTATTAATTCTGAGCAGAAAAATGTTCTATCTTCGTTTTAATCGCTCTCTTCTTTATGACTGGTTTTCTTTCTCATTATTTTTCCCAAAGTAAATTTATATTTTTTGTTTAGAGCATACTATTTTAAATAACATTTATTCAAATTAAAATAAAATAATTTGCAAGATTAAATTACTTAAATAAACTTTTCTAAGTTTGTCAAAACTTAATTTGTTCTATTCATATTTAATTTTCTATATACAATCTTATCATAAAATTCATACCACTTATTTTTTTGAAATAGATTCCATCTAAATAAAATCACTTTACCCTTTATTTTAAAAAATATTTAATTAAATCTACAATAAAGTTAGTTAGTAAAAATTTATTACAATTTTCCCTCCTAATGCTTCCATAATAAATATATCAGAAGTTGAGTATTTTAAGACAAGTGCAACATGATCAAAATCACTTCCAGTAAAGGCTCTCTACAGTCTAGCTTCTATAGATTTACCTCTAAATAAAATTAAATCACCAGTATCTGCTTATTCAATAAACTCCTTTTAACTTATTCTTTCATCCTTTTATTTAAAATATTAAAATTAATTACTTTGTATAAAATAAGAGCTAAATAAAATCTACTCTCCAAAATCTTTTGGCTTCTAATCTTAAGTTTTTTTTATAGCCTTGTGATTACACAATATGGTTGACTATTTGATTATACCACATCTCTATGGGTTGATCTGGATCGTCTGATTTAAAAGTAAATGTTTTTTCATGGTTTGGAAATCTTAAACTTTATTCAAATTAATAAATAAATAATCAGTAAAACTGATTCACGAACAAATTAGCATAAAAATTTTACATTATTTTTTTTGTCTTTGATTTTTTTCCTACGATAAGCTTTTTTTATAAAATAAAATATTAAGCCCTAAATTTAAATCTTTTTATTGAATTTAATTAAAAAAATATATGTTTAATTTATTACCTCAGCTCTACAACTTATGATATTAAAGCAAATAACTCCATACTATCTGAATGATTTTTCATTTTTATAATAAAACAACTTTTAGTCTTTAAGCACACACCATCTTTTCTTTTATAAAATATTTAGTGGTTATTAAGATTTTATTTTTAATTTTAAAAGTATCCAAAAATAAATAAATCTACTTGCCAGCCTACTATGTATTAAGGGCTTCTCTTTTTTAAGTATCCTTTCATTTCACGAAGTGGTCCAATTTAAACTTAACAACTTGATGTTTCGTTTGGCTTATAGACAACAATATTTTTTTCTGCAACATTCATAACTGGAATTTTTTAAATCTTATTCTCTTCGCTAACGTGCTCTGTTTTTTAATTTATATTTATGATGGTAAATCAATAGTATTTTTTGAATTTTTATTTACCATCATCAACAATTTAGTTATCTTCATCACTATCTTATTCGATATCACTGCTAAGTGAAGATGATTGTTTACCGTTATTTGATTAGTCCTACATCTCAATTTATTTGCATTTTTCTTGAGTTTCACAAGCTAATTCTTCGCTTTACTCTTAAATTGTAGATATATCTGGAACCTTATTATTACGGAACTGAGTAGTCGATTTCATAGAATGTTATTCTTGCAATGTAATTTAATCCATTTATTTATAAGTAGTATCTAAAGCAATTAGTGAATCTTACTTGTTAATTCCTTTTATAGCTGAATACAAAAAAAATATAAATTTAGCTTTCTTTATAACATTAATAGATCATATATTCTAGTATTAATTGTAGTATTCATGCTTGCTTATTATTTTTCTTATGAATTAATCAATAAACTCAATTAAATTGTCAACGTAAAATTAGATAACTCAAACATAATAAGAATAATACTATTTATTTTGACTAAATATGACAAAACATTTTTACATGATCGAGGAATTCGAGATGACTCAATCAGTCTACTTGATAATCTCTTATGTACTTGCTCATCAGCTATCAGTGAAACAAATTTTTTATCATCTACATTTCCAATTTCTTAATCTATAATCTAGCTCTATTTAAATAAGATTGAGTTAAATTTAGATATTGCTAACTTAAAAAAAATAATAGTACTTCTTTTTTAATGTCTTTCATATTTGTAATTTTCAGCTATTCCAAATCTCCCAATGTTACACCTGAATCAAATAATATGACTGATTTTTATAACTTGCTCGCACGCTATGGCAGGTTTGTCATAGAGTTTCTATCATATAGGGTAGTTGATGCAAACATTCTGTTTTAGGATTAATATGAAAATGGATTTTGGCTATTATCTTAATTGCCGTTATTAAAATCCTTTAGGCTGTACTATTAAGCTATGGATTTCCTAGTTGCATCTAATTACATACCATTTATTTAACTTTTTTCAGCTTAAAGCTGCTTATATTACAAATCTAAACCACTCATTTTATTTTCTTAGTTGTTATTATAATCCATAATATATATATATATGTATACTTATTCTTTATATATTTATTTATTTCTTTCTTACTTGTTAAGAGAGGAATTTTATAAATATTAATTTATGCAATTTTTGATAATAGAAATTGATTTTGTTTTGATTGATTGATTTAATCTCCTTTAATTATTTGCTGATACATCAATCAATAATATTCTTTTATGACATTTAATCAAGTATTATTTATTTCTTTAACCATAATTTAGACAAGTTTTGCTGATTTTTCATCCATTAAGAAACAAAGGTTTTTTTTAAAACAGCTTTCATTTAAGATTTAATTAAATCTTTGATGAAAATGTTAATTTTTTTCAAAGACTATTCTTTACATTAAGAGTTAAAATATAGCTTCAATATTAAGGAAATTTACCCTGAAACTTTCAAATTTAATAGGGTTATAGCTAGATAAAATTAATATAAATTATAATTCATATAAAACATAAATATAAAATTATTAATATTTTATTTGTTTGACAGTAATTATAGACTTGATTTTAAGTATATTTATTTTGAAAAACTTAGTAATATAAAGTTTTTAACATCACTCAAAATGAATTAATTATTTAATGCTATTAAATTTTATGTCATCTATTTCTTAAAATTTAATAAATAAAAATTTTTTGAAAAAAAATTAATAGCTTTTATTATCTTTTAATTCTAGTGAATTTCTTCAAAAAATTAAGCATTAATATTTTATATTTATATTATTTTTTTTGAAATTTATAATTTTTTTCATCATATTAATAGATTTTTGATTTTTTGAATTTTGTTGAGTAATCTATTTGGTTAAATAATTTACTTCTTTTTAATAAATTTTTGATTATTGATTGATTATAAGTATTTTAGTAAAGAAAATGTTTGAATAGTCAAATAATAATTTATCAGCAGAACTAGCTGTAAATTAGCAATATGAGAATTTTAGCTAAAATAATAACGATTAATTTTAGACTAAATTGCTGGAATTATAGTAGATATAAATAGTTAAAATTAAAAGTTTAGAGAAGAGGCTTGCTGAAAAGGAAACATAAATTTAATTTTATGAGCAAAAGCAATATCAGTTAGAAAAAGATTTTGAATTCAATCTGCAAGTTATTGAAGAGAGAGATTAAGATATTCAGGAATTATCATAAAAAATGCTAAATTTGAAGTAGATTGTTGAAGAAAAAAATAGTTATATAAGTAATTATCTATTAATATTTAACTTTTTGATAACTATTTATAATATATGAAATTAACTTGAAGAATTATAATAGATAGTCTTTTACAGGAGATAGAGAACTAAAAATTCAACTAACATCAATCTGTGTAGAATTTTGAAGATCAAAAAGGAAATTTCTATGAAAAGATTGATCAATTTAAGTTTGAAAATAAAAATATTAAAGCAAGGCTAGGAGAGAAAATTGAAGAAAATGAAAAATTGAAAAATTAGGTATCTGAAATGAAAAAATGTATTGATGATAAAGTTAAAGAAGCTCTTAATCGCGCTAATTAAGTAGCTCAGGAGAAAATATAGTTACTTACTAACTAAATTTAAATGTTAAAAAAAGAAAATGAAGACTCATTAAAGCAATAAACTGAGGCAAGAAGAAGTCATGATTATAATATATAAAAATAATAGGATAAACTTTTACTTGAAAATGAAAATTATTTAAGAATGCTTAACGACGAAAAGCTTAAAAATATAGAAACTTCAAAGAAGTTAAATGAGGAAATTTCAAATTTAAAATAAAAAATATAAGACCAATAGATAACTGTTAGCACTTAATAAAAGGAAATAGAGGGTTTTAAGGCTTCTTAAAATACTTGGAATGCTCTTTTAAAAGAAAAAATGGAAATTATAAATAACGAAAAAGAAAAGCTTTAAGAAAAGTTAAGCACCAAAAAGCATAAATATTAGTAAAAGTTAAAAGAGCAAAAAGATAATATGGACAGAAAGTTTTAAATATTAAACGAAGATTAAAATTCTTAAATAAGGTAATTCGATCAAATAATTAGAGAGTTAAAAATTGAAAATGAAAAACTTAACTTGCAATGCAATAACTAGACAATTTTATTACAAGATAGAGAAAGAAAATACCAAAAAGATGTTGAAGAAATTGAGGATAAATTTAGAACCTTTAGAAAGAATTAAGAATAATAATTTAAATAACAAATTAATGATAAAAATGTCACAGATTTTCATTTAAAGTAAAAAAATGAAGAGCTTTAAAAATACCAAAAAGATAATTCTGAATTAAAATAAAAACTTGATTAAGTTTTAAAGCAGATTAAAGAAATAGAAAATGAAAACGAGCTCTTAATTTAAGAAATTGTTAAATATAGAAAGTCATCTCCTAATTAAAATTAACAATAATAAAACTAAAATAATTAAATAGAATAAAATGGAATTAGCTTAGATTCATAGAGATAAAGAAAACCATAATAGTAATAGCTTTAAAAGGGTAAAAAGAAAATTAACTTAAATTCATCCATGCAATTTGAAGAAGATGTTCTAATAAATTAAAAGAATACAATTTAAAATGATTCTAACATCCTCCAAAATTAGATCGAAGACGAGTCTATTGAAAAAATATTTACAGGAGATGAAGGTACTTAAACATTTTATTAAATTATATTAGAATAATTTGTTTACTTTTTTTCCATTTAATAGGCCCAGTTAGTCCATTGAGATCTAAAAACTTTAACTTAGATTTTCTTAGCAACAATAAATCTGCAAGCTTGTTAGTCAACAGCATTTTACTTAAAAATAAACTCAATCCTCATAATCCAACACCAAATTATTAGAAATATAATGAGAGCTTATAAAGAAAGTCTAATCAGCAAGTAGGAAACAATTCCAAATTATAGGAAAAAATAGCTTCTTTAGAAAGTGAAATAGAGGCTTACAGGCACTTAATTGAAACTTTAGCTCTTGAGATGGAGAATGTTAACAAAGTATTAATTTAAAAATTTCACAATGAGAAATGAACTTTTATTATTTTACATACTAGGAAAGCTAAAGAATTAAAAATGAAAATTCAGAATTAAAGTAGAGAATAGGCGAACTTTAAATGGATATCATGAATTACAGAGAGAAACTATTGAAAAGCGATTTAATCTAAAGATCTGCTTTTGAAAAAGACCAAGAAATTGAAGAAAAAGATAAAGAATTATAAAAGGTTTAAAAAAGAGTTGAGAAACATAAGAGCGAAATAGAGAAGTTAAAAAGAGAAAGGGAACAGCTAATCAGTATTTCAAGTGACTTAAGAGAAAAGCTATAAGAGTAAGAGGACATCATAGAGCAAAAAGATGAAATAATTACTTAATATAAAGACAATTACATTTTTATTAACAAATTCGACATGAGAAAACCTACTTAGCTACATCTGTCTTAGCTTGAGTTACTTACTGAATAAGGTTCAAAATAATTATCTAACAATAATAATAATGAAATGAATCAACCGATCAAAGAAGAAGATGAGAAAGACATGTCTTTTAATATTAATAAAAATTTCAATTAAAAAAGTAATAACCACTCATAAAGTCCAAACCGAAATAAAAATTTATAAAATAAAAATACCTCAAAAAATTAAAATGCAATAAACAATTAAAGAAGTGATTCTAAAAATAGTAAAAAGAACACTTCCTTAGAAAAAAAGTCTGTCAAAAAAGATGGAACTAGTTAAAAATTGTTTAAAAAAAACCTTCCTAAATACGATCAATTCTAAGAAATAGATGAATTCATTAATAAAAATACTGCAACTAAATCATAGAGGGTCAATAACTTTTTTAACTCAATAAACAATGAAGATAACTAATATTATGATGATGAAGAGCATGAAAAAAAATAACTATATGTCCAGTCTCTATCTAAGCCTCTTGTAGATAGATAAGAAGATGAAAAACAAGCTTAGTATATTCCAAATAGTTTAAAGGCTACACCATCACAATTAGAAAAGCTTGAAAAAATTTAAGATTAAAAGAGGATTTTAAGCAATAACAATTCATATTTAAAAAACGAAAACAGTATTGAGGTTCCGCCATAAAATAATAGATTGAAAGTGAGAAACTATAGCATAAAAGACGATAGTTTAAATTGATTTTAATTTATAAATTATTTTTATAAAAATTGGTATTGATTTATAAAATTTTTTGTACATTTTTATTAAATGTTAATCAATCAATCTATTTTATTTGTAAGTACTCTTTATAAAGTTTTAAAAGCTATAAATAAATTAAGAGCTTCTATATTATATTTTATAAAGAATATTTTGATAAACAAGTTGAAAACCAAATAAGAAAACAAATCAATTTTTTAACTAAAATTGATAATTATTTTATTAATGAGTGTATGCTGACTATTTTATTGATATGTAGAACTCAGAATATTTGATTAATAATTTTGATTGAAAACAAAAATAAAATTATATCAATTTAAATTTAATTCTAATTGACAATACAGATGAAGCTTTCTTAAATATAATAGGCATTAAATACAAAAAAGCTGATTCATTTAAATTTATTGATAGTTTCTAATGATAGACAAATATTTTCAATAGTATTTTTAATTGCTGATCTTATCTTTTTGGCATCTTTTGATCTATATATTAATGTTACTACATCACTATCATTATTAAAAATTTATTTTTCTACTACAGTATCGTTCAATTCCTTATCGACTTCTATAGTTTAGCAAACAATTTATGCAAGCCTTTTCTCAGGTAATCTAAATTATAACCTAAAAACATATCTTCCTTAATCATCAATGATAATATCTTGGTTCATTTGAAAAATATATTTATTTGCTTGATATATTTATAACTTTAAGAGGTAAATAGATAAGAATTAATTAATTATCAAAGATATGCAAACATAAAATCAGCTTTTATTTCTTAAATAAACAATTGAAAAAACCATCTAAAAATAAAATCAAGTACTAAAAAATTGATTTTATTATAAAATTAAAATGAATTATTCATATATTATAAAGGAATATAAATGGTAAGTATTTATAGCTTTTCTTAAACTAAAGGAAATAAACGATACCCTAAAGAACTATTTTTAAATTTTGGTATATTATGATAATCTTATTTAGGTATTTGAAAATCCAAAATATTTCTAATGATTAATTTTTTATTAAGTTAATATCAAGCTTATTTCAATATTTCCTGAATTTTTAGTAGATAGATTATGAGTAAATATTTTTTATTTTAATACTCTTTTAAATTTTTAAAGAAATTTTTAAAAATAAGATTTTTGGAAAAAATAATCTAAAACAAAATAAATTATTGTCAAAAAATGAATGATAAATAAAATTTTATTTTGATTTTAAAATCTATCAGTTTTTTAAATTACAAATATACATTTTTGAAGAAAAAAAGAATAATGTCAAAATTATTTCAAAGTGAAAAGATAACAAAAAAATAATATCAAGAATCTTATTTAGATTATTGTGATTGAATGTTATTAAGATTTAGTTCTTTAAATTTAACTTCTATTTTTTCTTCATCAATAAAAACATCAATTTGTTTATTACTATTATTATTGCTTTTTTTATTCAAAGGGGTTTAATCTAATTAATGGAAACTCTGCTATCTTTAGTTTTGTTGATAAGAGTACTCAGAATACTCTTCTCTTTACTCTATTAATGTATCTAGCTTATGATTAGTTCTACTCTTTATATTTCTTATTTACATTTGAATATCTGCTTGATTATTTTGTTAATTTTCATTATTATTACTATTAAAATTGTTTTCAAGGTTATGACAGTGAATTTATTTTTTAGGTGTATAAACAAACTCTCCTTCATCCTAATCAAATTATAAGTCTTGATTTTATATTTCTTCTTTTTCTAACTCATTAAATGTTTTTATTGGGCTATCTACTAATATTTTATCTTAGTCTTTTGATTAGTTTTTACTTTCCAATAAACTAAACAATAGTAATTATTCTTTCTAATTATTCTATATATTTTCATTTTCATAGTTTACTTAATTATTTTAATATTAAAATGCTGTATTTTGAGGGAAATCTGAGGAAATTTTCATTTTTTAATCTTTTTCCTTTTCTTCAGAGAGATAAAATGTTTTTATATCACTACAATTATTTTTTTACTATTTATCTTGGTCTTCTGTTAAATTGTCATCCTATACAGATTATTCTTCTTAACCTTATCCGAAAGAGATTAATTTATCTTCTTATTAATTTTATTTATTATTTACTTAAGGCGAAACTGATTACATAGTTGATTGTTTTAAGTTTGGTTAAATATTTGAAGATTATAAAAAATAAGTTTGTAAAATATTTTGATTATCATCGCTCTCTTCTAGAGCCATTATACTAGTTTTTGATCCAGCTTAAGTTTTTTTAACATTATTAATACTTAATGATTTTTGTCTACCACCATCTTATATATTTTAAGCATTCAAGTATGCTCCACCGTGAAAATTATTTTCTATCATTGTTTTATTTTTTGGCTTTAAAACATAATTTTATATGTCTAAAATCTGTACTTTTTTAAAATAAAAGTTGCTTTTTTCAGATTTATTATCTTATTTAAAAGAATTATTTTTGCTTAATTCCTTAACTTAAGTAGAATGATCATGATTTAAATCAATATTTTGTTTACAAGTATTTCCTTAACAACTCTTTAACTCACTAACATCATCTTCTTCAATTATTAATTCTTCTTGGTTTGGATTACTTCTTTGCTTATTATCATTTTATTCATTCTTAGCATAATCACATGTAGCTAAAACTTGTTTGTTATGGTAACCATCCTTTATTACTAATATCTTTTCTTCGTCATTTTCAGTGTAGATAGTTGTTGGGTTTACATCGTTTTTTGAGTTTAACGGTTCAATTTGAATTTCATCACAATCCTTTTTCATAATTTAAAAAGAATAAAATTAAGAAATTAAATTTCACACATTTAAAACAACATTTTGCTAAATTAAATATTATCAAATAATTAATTATTTTATATTAAAATTACTTAAAAGGCATCTTAGTTTTAAAGGTTATTCTATGTATGATTAGTTTTATTTTGTTCACTTATAGGATTGCATTTTATTTTAAAATCTTTTATCTAATTTTTGTTATTTTTGAAAATAGTAATAAAGAAAAATAATTATTGATATTAATAAATGTTACTATTTGCTCTAAAGATTTATTTCGATAAGATAAATTTACTAAGCCTTAAATTAAAAGAGGAATATACTTTATTTATGATAGAATCCATACTATATCTAAATCACTTTCTATTTAATCTAAATTAGATTGGGCTTTCTTATAATCATCTTTACAATACATTTTGTTGCAGAAAATATAATTCAAAATATATTTTAAAGAAAACGAGAGAGATTTAATGCTAAACTTCTTAAAGCAGCAGAAATATTCATCAACTTAATCTTCATTCTAAATTTTTTATCCACCATTAGAGTCTTATTTATTATTTAAAAAACTTAAATTATTTTAACAAACGAATAAAAATTACTTTTAAATTAATTTTTTAATTCGTTATCTATTACGAATCCCTTGTGAAAAATATTACCTGTTGGTCTAATTCTTTATCTTTGTGTGAAAGTGTTTTTTCTTTTCCAATTCTAATTAGAGTCATTTAGAACAATTATTTCAAAACTATTTTACTTTTTAGATTGTTTTTCTTAACTTTAACTTTGATTTTCTGCATTTTTATTTTAACCTATTAACTATTAACTACAATCAAACGCAATCATTTCTAATTCATTTAAAATTTTGTTTTCCTAATTTTTTCTAAAATATAAATTCATTTTTTATTAAAAAAATCACTTTTTTTGATTTACTCTAAATCTTTGCATTTGATCTGTTCTTATAAAGACTTATGGATAAGCATTTTCATTTGTATTTGATAAAAAAAGGAGACTTTTCAAATATTAAAAACATTTAACTTAAACTTTTTTTACAAAACTTACATAAAATTGCAACTAGCACAGCCCCAAAATAAATAAAACCTCCAGTGAAGGCTAAGATATCATAAAATTTTGTATACTTTGCTTGGTACTAAAGATCATAGAAATTTCTCCTGATATAAAATTTACTTAATTCAGGTTGGTTGCTACTTTATAATGTTTTAAAGTTGAAGTCTCCTGGCTAATGCTGAGCAAAAATATTTTTTTCAAAATTATTTTAGAAAAATGAGCTTTAATCAGAAGAGACAGAGACTTATTAAAAGTAAATATCTGACTCAAAATATGTCTTTTAATATTTTTATATAGTTATTTATTAAAATCTAAAACAGAAATAGATCTTACTATAGTTGGAATGAATTCAAAGAAGATTTCTGAGTTTAAGTAGAACTAATTTTGGGATTAATCTGCATTTACTATTAAATTAGAATGGTAAAATTGCACCTTAAAATTTCCATCTCTATTTAATTAATTCGCTATTGTTTACTTTAAAAATAATTTTTTAGTCAATAAAATTTATTAATTTTCATTCAGTATTAATTACTTAATCAGCACATTAAGGATTCCAAGAATAATCTTAAACTAACTGCTAAGAGCACATGTAGATAGAAAATTTTAAGAAATTAAAAATTTAAGAAGTATAATCCCCTTGCAAATGTAAAACCTAATTTTTACTTTTACAAAAAAAAATAAAAAAGAATTGGCTTTATTTCGTTAAATATGTTTGTTACACAGGGCAAAGCCATTGACCTAAACCAAGGTTGTTAAAGATAGAACTCCAGTCATAATTTTATCCAATATTTTGCCAATGACCAATAGTGCAGGGTTCCAATTAGATTTAGTACTAATTTTAAAAAATACAATAGGCTTTTATAAACAATTATATTCAAATATCAAATACTGCGCCCTGTCCATTTTTATTTCTGACTCCTTAATCAAATAAATAATTTCTTTTTTATTGAAAATAATTTTAATAAAATACATAATATTTCTAACTATTTTACTTTTATTCAGCTTTAATTATGAAATATGGATTTGTAGAGAATGAATTATCATCTTACTAAATGCTTACAGCAAACATAAAATTTTAAGCACTAAGATCAATAGCCAAATCTCCAGAGCTTTTAGAATTAATAATATTGGCCTAAATGTCACCTAAATTATAACAAAAGCATTCACTTTTTAAAATTTATAAGCATTATATGTATAATTTTACTATTATTTACAAGAATTTGCACCTAATTCAAAAAATAATTGTTAATCTCTACTGAAAACAATATTTTAAAGTATTTACTTTATTTTAAACTATTAGAATCAGAAGCGAAATAAAGCAAATAGAAAATATTCCACCTAAAATTGTTTGATAGTTTTACTTCTTATTTATATTCAAGCTCATTTTTTGACTAATTAAGTCAAATGATAAAAAGCAATTTTTTAAATTCATTTTTTCCTTTCTTTTTGATTAAATCTTTGTAAATTAGGTCTACTAATTAACTAACTAATATAATTTATTATAAAACAATCATAATTACATTCAAAAATTTTTTACTATAGTTTATTTAATAATTTGAATAGTTAGTTTGTTATCTTAAAAATACAAAAAAAGTAGTCAGTCTGTCTTTTAGTATATCTTAAGAATCAACTATTATATAAATAATAAGTGGAAAATTAAATTAATAGCAGTAAATATATCATTAAATTAATGAATAAATAAATATATTTTATGCGTAATTTACTAGATAAATAAATAAATTAATTTTAGATTTATTTTTCACAATAAATTAGTAAAGCATTCATCTCCATAGTTAAAATGCTAAAAAATGCATGTAACTAGTTTTTATTGGTTTTATTTTGAAATTCTAAATCTTGATAATAAGTAATATATTTATTTCTTTATATTTTCAATATAATAACCTTTATTAAGTAATTAAAAAATTTAATTAATATTTTTTAAAAATAAATGAAAGTGTAAAAAATATTTTTTCATAAAAATTTAAAATTTATTTAGAACTTAAGCATAAATTAAATTAAGTCAAATTTTGGCATTTTAGTATTTATTTTAAAATGATTTTTAATCATTAAACTAAATAAATAATTCAATTATTTTTTTGAATAAAATCCAATGTTTCTTAAAAGCTTCAGCAATATTTGCTAATTAATTAATAAATAAATTTTTCAACTGCAAAAATTAAATGTGGCTACTAGATAGTTAAATATAATTAATAACTTAGCGGTAAATTAATATGTAAATGATATTTTATCAGATTAATATTTTTACTATTTCTGATTTACTTAATATACATTATCATTAGCGCGGAATTCAAGACCTATCAATTGTATTAGGTTATAAGTACCAAACGATTATTAGTAGATAATTAATTAATTAATTCATAAAAAAAAATAAAAAGAAATAAAATACAACAAATATATTTCACTATTTAATTTAGAGAAACTCAAGTATTTATTAGTTATGGGAAAGAGTATTAAAAAGGATTCAGACAAATCTAAAAAAATTTAAAGATAGAACACTATGGAATAAACTGCTGATGAAGCAAAAGAATTCCTTGCAAATTATGATAAAATCCTAAAGAGACAGCAAAGAGAAAGGTAGCTAATGAAATAAAAAATTGAAAAACTTGAAAATTCTAAAAGAGTTAAAAAGTCTACTAAAAAGGTTGCAAGTCTTAAGAAAGCTAAAGATACCAAAGCACTACCAGCTTCACCAAAAAAAACAACTACAAATAAAAAAAAAGTGACTCCTACTAAAATAGCAGCAAGCACCCCAAAAACTACTAAAGCTGCAAAAGCACCAAAGACCAAAATTGCTTCTTCAACTTCTGTTTTATCTCATTCATATCCATACGCAATACAAAATGATTGTAATTCTTGCAGTACTATTGCCTCCACTGAAGTGTTGATAAATAAGGACTTAGGAAACTAAATAATCAAGAAGTCTCTAAAGGGTTAAGCTAAAGCAGAGGATGTTGCATAGAAAAAGGCTAAGCCATTGCGCACAAAAACAGGTGAAAAACTTGCTGCAGGTATGGTAGATGTTGTGTTTTGTTGTGATACTACTTCATCTATGTCCTCTTATATAAACAAATGCAAGGATACGGTCAACTAAATCATAAAAAATATTCTGGATAAGACATAGGGAGAAGGAATTTCTGTAAAATTTGGATTTGTAGCTTATAGAGATCATCCTCCTTAAGATAATAGCTACTTAACATGTAGCTACGATTTAACCTCTGAAGATGAAATAAAACAGTTTATTTAGACGCTATCTGCATTTGGAGGAGGAGACTACCCTGAAGCTGTTATGGATGGGTTATATGTTTCTGCAAAGCATATGAGCTGGAGAGATAGTACCCACATTCCAAGTCTTAGATACATATTCCACATTACAGATGCTCCTCCTCATGGTAGCGAATATGGTAGCTGGTCAAGTGGTAAAGGTTGCAAATGTGGTATTGATATAAATAAATTATCACATATTATTAACATGAGACAAATACATTATAGATTAGTAAGTACTGAAACTACAAATCTATAAAAAATGGCAGAAATATTCAAAAGTAAAATAATAGATTACGAAGAGTGTACTCTTAATAATGCTTCTGAAATGGATATTAAAATATCTGATATGATTATTAGAGAACTCTTACCTGATATGGTAGAAGAAGATTTTTGATTAAATTAAATTTATTTCTAAGCAAAATCAATTTAATCTTTATCTTTTCTAATAATTTACAGCAAACTATTCAAAACAAAATTAATTTATATTGGTAGATCTTACAGATATAAATAATGACTAAATAACTAATATATAAAGAATTGTATAAACTAAATTTTAAATCTATTAAATAATATGAATATATTTACTATAAAAATTACATTTTTGTTTTATTTTAAGTTTAATCTTTTAAGCTCTTCTTATAATTTTATTACTAATTTTCAATATTATTTAGTAAAAAAATATTTGTCTAAAAAGACATTTATTTAAACGAAATCATCTTTATATTAATTTTAAAAATAGATATCTTACGTTTTTTAAATTATCACTAAAATAATTAAGATTGGCAAATTAAATGAAATTTGAATTATTCATCATCTAGAAAAAAATCATTTATTTTAAATATCTATAATAAATATTGAAAAAAACAACAAATATATGCTAAAATAAAATATAAGAAGAGTTAAAATGAAGGAAGTTCTTTAAAATTTAAGAATTTAATTCTATTTTTGAAAAATAAATGTATTTTTTACTAATTTTAATTAACTTGCTGATGTTTGATAAAGTCAAATATATTATTTAGAGGAATATCAAATTTGTTTCTTTAAAAAAAATTAATTTTTTTTGAATTATTTAATATTTAGAGGCAAGGAAAGTTTCTATAATTATGTTTCCAAAATAAATATTACAAATAGTATTTATACTTTACAATTCTGAGAGAATTTGAATATTTTTATTGAAACAAATTAGAGGTAAATTATATTTTAAATTAGTGTTTCATGATTATTTTTTAATTAGAATGATATAAAACAAATATAAGAAAAAAATTAAAAGTGATAAAAGAAAATTAAAAAAAAAATACATGGGAAAAAAAACAAATTAAACAGAGAAAACTTAACAAAAATCTGTTTAAAAGTAATAACCAAAGAAGTAAAAAAAGATTTCTAAATAAAAATAATATTCTTAAAAATAAACAGTTAAATCATCTAAAAATAAATAAAAACAATAAATTAAGATTATAAAAGTTTAAAAATCAGCAAAGAACTCTATTAAAAAAACATCACCAAAAGTTTCAAAAAAATCATAAACAAAAAATAAAACATAAAGCATAGTCTCTCGTCTTTCCATAAATGAAGGTAATATACCTAAACAATATGCTCTCATAAAATAAGAATTATTGTCTTGCAGGGAAATAGTGGATACCGAATTAATTAATACAAAACACGGCTATCATATAATTAAGAAATCATTGAAAGGATAATGTAGGGCTGAGGATATTTAAAAGGAAATTAAACAAAGGACTATAAAGTAAGATAAAATAATGAAAAAGAATAAATTAGAATAAGGTATGATTGATATAGTATTTTGCTGCAATACTATTGGAATATCGCAATTTTAAAAATAAATTAAAAATTCAATTTATTAAATGATGTAGGTTATCACTAAAAAATACTACAATTAACCAATTTCTGTTAGATTTGGATTCGTTGCTTATAGAGATCATTGGGATATTACTTAGACCTATGTCACTTGCACATATGATTTAGATTAAAAAGCAAATATTAAAAAATTTGTATAGTCAATAAAAGAATTAAATTGGGGTCTTGGTGCATTAGATGGTTTATACATGGCATCCAAATATATTAGCTGGAGAGATAATACAATAATTCCTAGTTTAAGATACATTTTTCATTTAGTAAATTCTAATCCTAATTGTAAATAAAATGGATTTGATAATGAAAAACCTTGTAAGTGTGGTTTAGATGTAGATTAAGTAGCTGAGATAATAAACAATAGATAGATACACTATCGTTATATTGACTGCCATTATTTTCATTAAAAGAGTAAAATTGACGAAATGAAAACAATTCTAAAGAATAAACTTAATGATTATGAAGAGTGTAAATTATTTGAAGCATCATAAATGGATTTGAGGTTTTAAGATATTACACTAGGCCCCTAACTATTTTAGCCTGCACCAAATTACTTGTGAATCACTTTTTAACACTTCTTTAAATATATCATGCACTCAAAAATTAAGAATTGATTACTAAAAAGATTCAGATCAATTCCATATCTAAAACCAATTTATGTTTTTTATTGCCATGTTAAATAACTTTTTACCTGAAAAAATTTCAATTTTTATAAGTTTAAATTAAAATATATCAATTTATTTTTTCCTTATATTATTTAAAATTAATTTCCTTTTTGAATTAGGAATTATTTTAATCTAATAATTTGAAAGTTTTTAAAGATTTGATTTCATTTCATAAAAATTTTTTTATTTTTGATAAATTTGAAATGAAATTTTTTTTTTTAATGAGATAAAATAAGGAGATTTTGTTGATATACAGTAAGGATCAAATTCTTTTCTTTTGGAAAAAATAAAACATATTTGATATACTGTAAAGGTTCATATATTAAGGCCTGTTTTTAAAAATTTGAAATTGTGGTCTAATTAAGGCCGTTAGATAAAATTTTGGAGAATAGTAAGGTTGAAAAGCTACCTTAATTAATTAATGAGGATAGATAGTAAATATGAAATTTATAGAATAATGTTTTATTTTATATAAATAGCTTACAGATGATATAAAATAAAAACAACATCACCAAAAATTAATTTTAGCATTATCTTTAAGAAAATTATTATGATTTACTTTTACTTAGAAAATTCCTGCTTATTCTTATGGAACATCTATACATGAAAATTAAGATTATTTATCTAATTTACTCTTTTGATTCAATTTATCAAGGTAAAATTATAGCTATCCTTTTTAAATATCGTTTTCAGAGAAAAATTATTCTTGATAATTATCAAAAATTATCACATCTTTAAATGTTTCGCCACTTAAACACTTGCGTTTAAGTGTAGGGTAGCCTTTTTCTTTTAATTCATCAAATTCCATTTCACTTTGAATATCCTCTTCGTTTGTTAATCTATTTTATTTGATTAAAAAAACATATTCAAGTATTAAATAAAATAAATAAAAAAAATACAATTTTGATGTTTGAAAAATGTCTGCCATTTCAGATCCAAGCATATTAATTAACTTTTGATTAATTCTTTAAAAAAGAAAATTTAATAAATTTTCTAGAATAAAAACGTTTGTTTATTACTCATGTTTATGTAAAGATGAATTTTATTTAGAAATATAGCAATAAGCTTCATATAGTTTTTTGTAGGCTTCTAAATTTTTGAAATTGTCTCTTTTCATTATAGCTCCTTAGATTTTAACAGAGTTTTTTTAATTTTAAGTTAAATGAGCTGATTTTTAAGATGTTTCTTTACTTTAATTATTTGTTTGTAATGTAGACCTAGAGCTTTTCTTAAATTCTTAATAAAGATATTCTCTTTGATAATTTATCTTTTTAATTATAAAAATTAATTATTAAAAATAAATATGATTTTTTGTTTAAACTACTTCATTTTCGTTATCATCATCTACTGTTATATCAATTTTAGGGAAAAACCCAAACATAATTTATTGTTACTTATCAAAAATGATTTATTTAATCTTATCAATCTCCTACAGTTTCTGAATTATCATATAGACATCTAAATCCTTTTATTAAATATATTTTTATTTTTTATTTTTTTGAAAGTAAAATTACTGATTAAATCAATTTATGAGCTTTATTGATTAATTTATTATCAATTGATTTAAACAAACATCCGCAAAATATTTTGTTCAAGAAAAACTTAATTCCAATTATTAATCTTTTATTTTTACTGATTATCTATTCAAATTAATTTATCAAAAAGGATCTTTTTTAATAAAATAAATAAACAAATAAATAAATAAATAAATTTGTTATTTTGTTACTTTTTATTGCTAATATTTAGTCCTTCAAAAATTCCATCTTTAAAGTATTAGTTTGAGTTTTTTTCTAAGGTTTAATTTTCTTTCAAGCTAGATTTTAATGGTTCTTATAATTTATTATTTGGAGTTAAGATGTCTTGGTTATCTTCGATTTTAAAATTTTGAATAGACTTTAAACTTCCTTACTGATTTTATTGAATTTCATCCAATATGATAATATTATTTTTTTACCTTTAGCTGCTTGCTAGATTATTATCTTCATTTAATGCTATTGAATTATAAGAAGCCAATAAGTTAAAATTTTCATTTTGTTATTGAATAATACTTTATTGATATTTATATTCCTTTTTTTAGATTTTCCTGTTTTTGTTAAATTATGGTGTTTTGATATTTAAATTTTGTTGATTAACTTCGCTTAAGCCTTTTAAATCTATTACATCGAAACTAGTTGATTTATTATTAATTATTTAGTTATTAAGAAAATTCTTCTATCCTAATTCTGAGGAATTATCCTTCTTAAAGTCAAATTATGATTTATTCTGCTTCTCTAGCTCTATAATTTACTCTTCATTTTAGAGAGCAAGGGTTTTAGATTTAAAATAAGTAACTTTCTTTTTGGTTTTTTTAGAATTTAATTTTATATTCGTATCATTCTTACATTAAGATTTTTGCCTTTCCTTGATTAGTAGTCTTATGTCTTCTGCGCTTAACTCATATTTTTTTAAACTTGATTTCATTTTACCTAATTTCAGTTCATTTTATTTATCCTATACCTTCAATCCTTTATTATTTTACTAATGTAAATTATTTCCAATATTTTAATTATTTTCATTCTATTTGAGTAGACTATTTAGCTATTCTTATCTTTATTGAATAGTTTGTTTATCTTCTTTTTTCTTAAAATTATATAATCTATTTGCTATATCAACCACAAATATCCAATAATTAAAATATCCAACAATAAATGTCATGACAAAAATAACAAACTATTTTTAGTTAAAAATTAATTAATTATTAGAACTTATTTACTATTTATGAAGAAATATTTACTTGTAAAAAACCACCAATATATGATAGTAAAGAGTCTATTTTTTGATATTATCTATTATGTTTTTCTATAATATGTCCTCTCCTAAGGAAATAAGATCCAAAGCGAGTAGGATTGACTGCCTCAAAGGCTTCTCTATAATCATTTTATTCAAAATAGGGAAATACTTAGTTTTAATAGTTTTAGTTTGGCCAAATGCTCTAATCTGTGAGAATATTAGCTTCTTGTAAATAAATATTGGCAGAACTCAAAAACTTTTTAATAAAAAACATCATAGTTTATTAAAATACATAATTTCTATTTGTTTTGGTCATTTGAGAAATAAAAAATACTCTCAATAAGTTAAAATACTAAAACCATTTTCAAAAAATTTTATTAGAGACCCATTAATTTTTAAAGAAAAAAATTTTTTTTTTCTCCATACTAAATTAAATGTGATTTGTTTGTAATTTTTATGAAATGAATTTAAATTAAAAAAAAACACTAAGTAAATGCTTCACTTATTTACACCAAAAATATATATAAATTTATTCAAAAAATTTTGTTTTTAAAAATAAGGAAAAATATTAAAATAAATTTATCTAATTCAACTTACTCTGTTTGGATGGATATAAAAGAATAAATCATCAGATAAGTATGGCTAATTAGGTGGTTCTTGCTATGGGTTAATTATATTATTACTTTGATAGATCTGCAAAACTGCAGTCCCTTTTTTTTTCTTTAAAAAATCACTAAATTCTTATTCTGAGGCACAAGAAATATCCCATTTATAAAGTTATTGAAGGACTTTATTTTCACACTTTAATATAGATATTTTCATAAACTGGAATAAAGAGCTAGCATAATTTCCTTCAAGAGTAATTTTTTAATCTTTTCTTTGTTTAATATATAGTTATTATTTTAAATATTTAAATAATATTAAATAGTTTACTTTGGACACAGCCACTAGTCTAAGCCTAACTTGTTAAAGGCAAATTCCCAGTTAAATCCATCATTTAATTACTTCCAGTGATCTAGCCTGCAAGGTTCCATTTAAATGGTTTGCTAAATAATTTTAGATTGCTTAAATAATAAATTTTTGGTTTTTTAAAATTACAGCATAGCTTTTATCTAAGTTCCCATCTTTTCTTTAATACTTTCTTTATTAAAATAAAAACACTATAAATCTAAGCAAAATATTTAATTTAACTATTTACTTCTACTCTACCTATACCAAAAAGTAAGGCTTGTTTAGAAAATTTTCTTACTAGATTTATACAGCGAACATATAGGATGTAAAGTTTAGCTCTAATAGTGGAGGATCTTTTAAGTAAGTTGTTTCGCTAAGCACTTGTATGTTCTCTTTGTAAAATTTAAAAAATAATTTGCTTAAATGCTATCAATAAGTTCAAATTATACTTTTTTGAATGAAATCTTAGACCTATTTAGTATAAGATATGATAAAATAAATTAAAATGATCATTTTTGTTTATAAATTATGCTATTATTTTACATTCTTTGAAAAAAATATTAAAATTAGAGTAAACGTGATAATTGTCATAACTCCTCCAAAGCAAGTTGTGTAAACAGGTGTTTTTCTGTAATTCATTTTTACCTCTTATCCAAACAAATCCATATGCTTAATAACTGCATTGAATCTTTCGAATAGTGATTTATTAGAATTCTTAAATGTATTTGTAGACATTTTTCAAATTAAAAAAGATGAGATTCTTTAAAGGTATGAGTAAATCTTTTTTTTTTTTTTAATTTAAAGTTTTAAGAAATTTTTTAGATTAAAATTTTACTTAGATTTTACTGATCTTATAATTATACTTATTATTCAAACACAAAGAGGTTGAAAATATTAATTATAAATTTGCTTTGTTAGCTTTAATAATATCTTTAACAATATAGTAATAGCTACGATTTGATACATAATTAAAAAGCTTCAGTAAAATTTTTAAAATTCTGAAATAAATATACAATTTAAAGGTGTAATTTTTATGTAAAATAGGTGTAACAGGTTTTCTATCTTTTGACAGCTTGCATTTTTTAATAAGAAAAATAAATATGTATGTAAAATGAATTGATTGGTTGTTCTAGTAAAATAATTAATAATAAAAATAGATAGTTTAAATAATACATATGAAAATTTTTCTTTTATACTTTTAAAAATTAAAAATTTGTTATATCTATCTTATCTATTACATTATTTTAATAATTTTTTGTAATTCTAGAAATAAATATGTATATAAAAAGAATTATCAGTTTGACAAAGAAAATTTCTAGTATGAATAAAAAACTTTAATAATATTTTGATAATTATTTAAAATAAAATATTTGATGGAAAAAAAAAATAATTAATTCATAATTGAAAAATAAAAAAGACATTAATTGGATCTATTTATTTTTATTAAATAAAAGGTTCATAAAAATGTGTTTTTAAATTTATTTTATATACATATTGGTATTTAGGATTGAATTAATAGATTTGTATACATTTATGTTTTATTTTTATATTTAACTATTTTTTTATGTTACTAAATATTAGCTTGTTTGTATTTTCTGCTTTTAAAAATTTGACATTTAAATGGAAATAATGATTTTTTTTATTATATCAAATAATAGATTTATCATATCTAGAGTTTTAATAAAAATAATTTTTATTTTAGTTATATAAAAATATTTGAATGGAAATTTAAGAAACAATGCTTATTTATTTAATGAGTTTTGATAAAATAAATTAAAAAATAAAATGTAATTTATAATAAAGATTAATTTATTATTTAAAATGAGATTTTATAATCTAAAAATTAGATTTTAAAATTATATTCTATTAACATATCTTTTTATATTTTCGCCAAAAATCAAATTTAAAAATTATTTATTCATCTCCCAAATTCATTAAAAAATTATCTTATTTAAAGTTTGTAAAATTTCTAGTTTGCCCGCCTTATTTTGTATATAAATGATTGAAGAATTAAAAGAATAAGCAAGCACATGTCAATAAAATAAGCCATTGTAAGAAGCTGATGAATTAAATTAGAAATTAGATTCAGTAGAACATCTTTCTGCTGATACAAGCAAATATGTAGATTTTATGAAATGCGATAAAGAATAGTAGAAAAAGATCATTATTTAAACTTTGGAATTCACAATTAAGTATATAGAAATGAATTTCAAAAACTTAATCTGTCATGTAAATAAATTAATTAATTATAAAAGCTGTAGTTTGATATTATTTTTAAATGCTTATTTATATAATAAAGATAGTATAAAAAGCCATTATATACAATAAGCAAAGATAAGAGCTAATTGATAATGACCCATTCAAAAAATACAAAAGAGATATGAAGCAATAAGTTGTTAAGAATTTTTTTAAAAATCGAATTCAACAAAGCAAATAAGAACAAAAAGTATTGATTAAATATGACTTTGAAAAAAATTTAAAAGAATCCTGCTTGATTAACCATAATATTTACTCAAATTACATTCCTATAAGAAAGAATTTAGTGGTAAAAATCATTCTATTTTTAATATTATTTACTTTATAATTTAATTTGTTTAGCAAAAATATACTGTTTACTAAATATAATCAATTTTTTATAGCTATTAAAAATGATTTTTAAAGTTTTTTATTTGTCCTTTTTTCAATAGTTTGTCTATTTTAGCTGAGTTATAAATAAAATTATTATTATTTTTGATAAATATTATCTTTATGCATTTATTTGTAATCTATCTAGGTTGGAGAAATTATGCCTAATCTATTTCCATGTTTAAAAATAATTAACAATGATGGTGAAGATGAAAATAACTAGTTGATATAAGAATTTTAAATTAAAAATAGTAAGAATAAAACAAGAGAAGATCTATTCAATGAATGGCTCTTAAAAAAGAATGCCCATGTGCTTTTCGTAGACATAAGTTGATTTATTTATTAATTGTTTTGAAAAATAATTGATTTAATATTTTTAAAACTAAATTTAAAGGGGAAACTCTTCTTATTGATTTTTTGCTTAATCTATTTCCTTAGCTCAAGCTAGAAGTAATAGATATATTAAGAATATATATTTAATAAGAAAAAGTTAAACAAGAGGCTTTTGATGAAAAGTAAAATAAATTAAAAAATTTTAATTTACATTTTTTATTTTGATAAAATAACTTATATTTATGCTTAATAAAAAATAGAATATAATATGTTTTACAAAATTATTGTGATCCAATTTAATATCCCTATGGTATTACTATTGATGATAAAATAATCACTGACTAATCTGTAACATCAACTTTTAAATCTTTCTTTTGCCATAGATGTTATTTATACGACTGTAGAAATCATGAAAATAAAAAAGTATTTATGAATTTATTTGTTAATTTACTCATTTAATTCAAATTTTTGTTAAAAATAATCATATTAGGAATTAAATTTTAAGCATCCTGCTACTCAGCTTAGTGATGCCAGTAATAATAAAGAAATAAAGTGGTTGTAGCTTTTTTATAAAGAAATACTTTTGACAAATTAAAAATATAAATATGTAGCAGATGTGGAGCAAAGGACAGAATCTTATTATTAAGATTATGATATGAAATAAATCAATAAATAACCTTGTAGTAAAAATTGCTATTTGAATATGAATCTTGAAACTTTCGAAAAAGTAAAATTAAATATTAAATCAAAATTAAAATAAAAATATAAATTTAAAAAATGAAAAATTTTATTTTAAGAAATTTATAAATCAAATTAAACTCTTAAATTAAAATAAATTAATAGATTAAAGCTCAAAAAACATATAATGAATTCGAATTAGCTTACATTAAGGCAGCGATAAAGCGTTTATCTTACAACCCTTGCTATCTCAATTTAATTGACAGAAAATTTAATTGTGCTGAAATTTTTGTGTTTTTAGTTAAATATGAGAATGTTTTATCAATGCTTTCAGAAACAAAAGCTATTACAAAAAAAATTAAGCCATACGCCAGAAGAACAAATAATTGTTTTTTTAACAAAGAAATGTACTATGAGCCTTGCTGTCATTATTATTATGACGAAGAACCAAAAGATATAAACTGCTAAGATTGTGGGTAAAATCTCTTTTCTTAATATCAATTAGCGAATTATATAAAATAAAATAGTTGCTCAACAAGAGGTTTTTGTGATATTTATTGTGGTTGTGATCCATAAAAGTGTAAGAGAAGAAGATAAGGTTGCAAATGCATAAAAGGTTAATGCAAAACAAAAAAATGTGCATGCTTCTTGATGGGTATGGAATGTGATCCAGAGGTATCATGCAATTTTAATTATTTTATAAATTTTTTATGCAAATTGTAATATTTAAATAGCATTGTAAGGACTGCTTTGATTCTAGAAAAGATAGATGCAAAAATAATGAGTACTTGTACTAAAAATAAGAAGTAATTTATTTAAATAAAAATCCAAATTTATTTTATTTTATGCTATCAAAGAGAACCGTCATAGGTATGTCATTTGTGTGCTAAGGACTAGGCCTTTATAATGTTTTTCCGATTTAATAACATTCTTTAGTCTTATCTTATTTAGGAGAATACATCAGCGAAGATGAATAAGTTATCAGAGAAAGCTGGCTGAAGTCAGATATTTTTTACACTTTTACTAAAAATGATTTCGAGAAGTTAGTTGATTCAAAATATTTTGGAAATAAGGTAAAACAATCAATCAATCTATTCTTTTAACTTTTAGATATTATGGATGTTTCAAATTTTTATAACATTTATTTCAACAGAGTCGTTTTATGAATCATCATATTTCTTTAGAAAATTGTTTTGCTCGTAGCGTTTATAGTAGAGGAGATTATCACTTAGGATTATATGCTAAGCAAGATATTCCTCCTGGCAACGAACTTCTTTTTGACTATGACGCGGATAAAACATTGGCAGTGGAAAAGGAGTGGATTACACGTAATAATTATTCGAATTACAAGATAAGAATGGATAACATAAGAATAACTATTCCAAGAAATAAAGATCTTACAAGATTTAATTCAACCTTGATTATAATAGATGATGAAAATGATAATCAGTAAAAGAATTAAAAAAATGATCTTCAGGTTGATGAACATAAAAAATTCAATAATAATAAATTAGAAAAAGTATCTTTTAAAAAACAATGTAAGAAGTAACATCCAGAATCTATAGTAGGATAAAAAAAAACAAATAAAATTTTATCAGATTAAAGTTTAAATTATTTAAAAAAATAAAATAAAAACTTTGAAAAGTAATGATGGAGTAAATAAAAAGAGAGTATTAAATATTTCTAAAATAAAACCTTTAATAAAAAACAGAATAGATTTATTTCTTTAAAATACTATCTTTATTTTAGCTAATTTTTTGATAGAAGTATTATTGATAATACCAGGGAATTTTCTCGAATACGAATAGTATCACCTATAAGTTAATTTAATAAAAAAATTATAATTATTTTAAATATTTTACAATATCAATAAATACAAATTTATAAAACCTTCAACAAAAATATATTAAATAAAAAATTTAGAATATATTTAAATTTTTTATGATGTAATTTTATAAGCACTTAAAATATAAATATCAATGTATCTATGTATGAATATTTATCAAGTTTCCAACAAAAATAATATTCAAAATATAATTTTAATTAATTGAAAAAAGCAAATATTTATTATTATGATTTTATTTTTATTGAATAACATTATATTAGGAAATATATTTTTTAAATTAATCTATACAGTTGATTAAAAAAACAAAAAAATTTAAATTTAATATTTAACATAAGTTTTAATTTTATTTAATTATTTTATGAATATTTATTATACACAACAAATAATATAAATCCAATAAGATAACTTTTATTAATAATTTAATTCAATATTTAAAACCAAAATTCTTAGATATTGCTTTATTTCTTTTTAGTTTATTTTTTATTTTTCAGCAGAATTCTAAAATAATTAGACATTTCATTAATTCTTTCAATTTTTTTCTGTACTATTATCAGGCTATTCTTAATTTTTAGCATTTTATTAACCTATTTAGAATATGTTACCTTGAGCTTTGTTTTTTTAAAAAGGATGATCTTCATCTTACTTAGGTGAAAATATAGTATTTATGTGTTCATTATGAGAATAGTAATCTTTATATTAGTTAAATGAAGCCTCTGAATTTTATGTTTGTATTTATGGTTCTTCTGTAACTAAAATTTAAGCATTATCAAAATTATTGTTATTATTATCTTCATTTTTTATTCCTTGTATAGAAACTCTGTTCGTAAATAATTCATCTATCTTATCTTGTTAATTCTAAGGTGGCTTTTTGTTATCAATTGAATAAACAGAAAGTGTATCAGACGAGAATCTAATTAACTCTTTTTTATTTTAATTTTCCATTTCTGATTTGTGTTCTTCTTAATTATCATCATCTTCTTCTTCTTAATCACTAACTCCTTCCTCAATACAATTTTATTTTTAATTAAAATCTTTATCTACTTCATCTAAGCTATCATTTAACTCTATTTCATTAAAAGTTTTCTATTTTTTTAATCTTCTTCCAAACCCCTTTTTTTGATCTAAGTTATTTTATTGATTAATCTCTTAGATTTGATTTTAAAAAGGTTGCTCAAATTGATTTTTTTAAGACTAATTATCCTCGTTTTCTTGATAATAGTTATCTATATCTCTTTAAAGAGATCTCGTATTTGTTTTTAAAGGTGATTTATTTTCAAAATTAACCCTTATTTTTAATTAGAATAAATATAAAATTAATTAATTAATTATTTATTTTTTTTTACAGTTTTGATGTTTTAAATATGTCTCTCATTTCTTCTCCAAGTTAGTTAATCAAGCTTTTATTTTTTCTAAATTTGATTTTTTTAAAATTTATTTACCTTTATTGTTAAACAAATTACCTTTTTAGTAGCTTAGGATCTAATTACATTATTGTGTCGTATGCTTCGAACAAATACTTATACATATTCATTTCTACAAATTCATTTTTTTTAAGTCCTTTTTTGAACTAGTTAACTGCTTGTATAGTATTTTAGAGAAGTTTCCCAGAAGTAAATAATGATCTCTTTCTTTTTGGCATACTTTATTATTTATGAAGTTATGTACTTGATTACACTTTATTTTGCAACTATGCTCTAGTCATCAACTAAAGCAAAACATAATTGTTTAATTAATTAATGCATTTATAGTAATAAAATTAAAATTTACTGTGTTGTCATCTTTAAGTTTTATAATTGGTTTCGGGCAAAAATTAAAGAGAATTTATTATTCTTTGTCAAATAATACCTTTTTCATTTTTTCAACTTCTTTTATCCTTTCAATCATATAGAACACATCCAAATCCTTTAAATTATTTGAAACAATATCAATACTACTTTACAATTTAATTTATATAAATTACTTTATTTATTTCCTGCTATGCCCTATCTATAAGTGCATTCTCTTCTGACTTAAAGTATTTGCCACATAGTAACTTATTTAAATAGTATTTTATATCAATCTATATTTTATTCTATCTTGAAATCAACTCCTAAAATTAGTTAACTAAGAATGATCTTTTATTTTTAAAAATGGTTTAAAAAATAATTTTATTCATTTTATTACCTTCTAGATTTAAAGTTAAATTTGCCACCAATATTTTCACTGTTACTTTATGTTTCTTTATTATCTTAATCCTAATTTTCTAAATTTCCCTAATTATTGTAATTATTATTCTTTTCTTATTTTTGTTTTTTTTTCCATATAAAATTTGAAATAGTTTTAATTGCTTGTTTTTTTTCTAACTAATCCTAATTGTATGCAACCTAATCCAACTCTTTAGATTACCTAAATTTAATAGCATCTTAATTATTAAAACCTTATTATTAATCTACTTCCATTAATTCTATTTAGTTATGTGATAGCTTGTTTGAATTTGGTTAATCAAAAAGTATTTTTTTCGAGCTAAATTAAAAATTATCATTATCACTTGTAACTGCTTATGAATTGATAACTGTATTGGTTTATAATTATAGAGATTTTATTAATTTGTTATTTTAAGCAGAAAAATCTTATTTAATATTAAATTAATCTGATAGTTATTCCTAGATAGAATCCTCTTCAATAATAATTTTTAATTTTTATTTTTTTTTAGTATTATTGTCAAACATAATCAAACTTGGAACATTTTCGTTTGTTTGATTCTCAATTTTGCTATCTTATTACTGCTCTTAATCTTCTTATTTAATTTAATTAATTTCATTTTTCAATTAATTTTAGTTTTGCAATTCTAAAGGGGTTTCTTATTCAGAAGGTGTAGACTGGTCTGGATGAATGTGCTTGAGTTAATCGATAATTGGATCATCTTCATTTAAAATGACTGCATTTCTTCTTTTCCTGGATGCAGTATTTTTTATATACTCTCTAATCTATTTACCCTCTATCTATGTTCCATTACGACTACTAGATCTTAAATTTTACTAAATAAGCTAATTTCTATTATTTTATTCATTATCATGCTTATTTTTCATTTCAAAATCGTATAATTTATTAGCAAGTTCTATTTAAAATTCACGCTCATTAAAAAATCCTATTATAAATGAACCTAAAATAACTACAGCCTTTGTTAATAATTAAAAGAAAACTTTAATTTTATTTAATAAAGGGATTAAAAATAAATACCTATGCAAATCCACCAATATAAGAAATCAATGCATCAACTTACTGATACTACCTATTTACAGTATTTTAAAACATACTTTTTCTCAAAAAAAAGCTGGCATAAGCTGATGTTTCTGCTGGAATATATTAAGTAACAGTTTCATCTTAAGCAAAATAAGGAATTAGTGTTGTTTTAATATTTGAACCTACCCATATATTTTCATTTATATTGAGTGTTGTCTGAGAATAAAACAGATTGCATGTAACATATAGCTTATTAATAATTAAAACATAATTTAAATATTACATCAAATACAATTATTTGTTTACTTGCTTAGGTGAAAAGAGAAATTAAGTCACATCACTCAAATATGATTTAACTGGATTTTACTAATCAGGATTAACTATATTATTTGATTGGTACAATTAAAATCTAATTGCACCATCATTATATTTCAAAAAACTATCTATTTCTTAAGTTGATCTACATTTTTTATTTATAGCAGGATTATCCACACAATCTACCACTTAAATTTTATAATAACTAAATATATTACTAGTATAAACTCCACCCAATACCATCTCATAATCAATCCTTTTAAAAAAAAAAACATATTAATTAACTATTATCTATAGTGTAATATGATAATATTTTAGTTGAAGATACTTACTTTGGACAAAGCCAATTAGTAAAATTCATTTAAGTGAATTTTGTTTCCCAATCATAATCTTTTGGAAGTTACATCCAATGATCTAATGTGCAAGGTTCTAATGGAAATGATTTCTTTTTTATTTAAAGTGTTATTATTATTTTTTTATATTTTAGATTACTTTATTTGGTTTAACATTTCCTTAGTGGTCTCTGCTATTATTGCTTTTTTAATAAAAAAAGATATGAAAAATGAGTTAAGAAAGATTTATTATTTATTTATTATATTTTATTAACAATATTTGCTTTATAAAATATTTATTTGAATGTATAAAATACTAGTATGTTATTTGAATGTCATAATAGGGATTAGTGATAAAGTTATCTTGCTAAATAGATACTGCAAACATCATATTTTAACTATTCAAATTTATAAAAGGTGGATCATCGTTAAAGAAAGTGCTTGATGTGTTAGTCATATTCTCTAGTTTATTATATTATGAGAATGAAAAATCGATACCAAATAATATAATCTACAAATTTTAATGTACATTTGTTAGCGAACTCGTTTATCTAATATTATTCATTTTAAATATTTATGAATCAATTACTTTGCAATTTATTAAATTTACTGTATTGTAGAAGAAAACAATCAAAAGGACTGAAACAAAAACTGTAGAAATGCCTCCTAAAAAAGTTTTATAAACAGTATTTCCATTAATATTTAATGTAATTGGCTTGCAAAATAAGTCTATTTGCTTCACCCAGTTTATCATTTTTGTTTCTGGACTCATGAAATGAAATTTCTGTATATAATCTTTGAAAATAATTAGTGTTTGTTGTTAGAAAAAAGGTTATTTCTTTTGTTTATCCTAAATTTGTTTGTAAAAAATACTAATAACAAACACAAAGATTATTATAAAATAACTATTTATCTATCTATAAGTATAATAATAAAGGTAAATAACATTATACAATCCAACTAAAAATCATTATCAACTATATTTTTTCTCTTAAAGATACTTGAATATCCAAAATACTCATCATTAAACACCATTAATTTGTTCTGATTAAATTTATAAATATATTTTCTAGCAATTGATTAAATTTCAAAAAAAAATTCATTGATAGGATTTTTTTTCAATTCTAAACTAACTTCCTCTATCTATCGATCGATCTTAAAAATAATTAAATCATTTATTTTCTCAATTAAAAATTTCAATTTATTTTAGAAACAATTTTAAATTTAAAAAAGTCAATTTTATTTTTTATTATTTAAAAGACGATTTTATTTTTTACATAAAACATAAATTTTTAAAGCAAATTAGTTTCAATTTATTCAAAGACGAGGCTATGGAGGAGGAATTGTTACAAATTCGCCATTTTTGTAAGTTCTAAGATCTTAACCTTCAGGATCATATATCTTTTTAAATTTATGGTAGACCTCATTTACATATTCAAAGTATCTTTTATGCTCTTAATCAATCTCTTCATTGGTTGGGTTGGCAATCTATTTCACTTCGAAGGGATTAGCAACTACAATTTCAATGTTTATATCTGGGTTAGGGAAAGGGAGTAAATATTTTGTATAAAATAGTACTCCTCCCATTTTAAATTTATTTAAGAATAACCTGAATTTATAAAATCTGTCTATTGTTGTGTAAGCTTTATTCTCATTAAAAACAAATACTGGTCTAATTTTGTAATCAGTTTGCATGGCATACTTTATAAAACCTTTATGTTCCAAATACAAAGTGTAAAATCTATCAGAAGTCAAAGTTGCCTAATTGATATTAATTATTTTTTTTTGATAAACTATTATTCTTTAGTAAACAATACCTCTTCAAATCCTCCTGGGACGAAGCAAATTCTTTTCTTCTCATGCATTAGCTATTTAAATTATTAAGGATTGGCTCCTACAAAACCTTACCAGCGATAAAAGTAGCCAGTTAAAGGAACAGAAAGTGCCATTCTTGAGGCACAATAGTATGCTTTGCTCAACTCTTCGTCTTTGCGGTACATGTTAAAATGAATGGCCATAGTAAATATGCTATGAGGATGGAACTAATTAATTAGAAGGAACATAAATGTCTTGTAAAAGGTTGAAATGTTTTTATAATTACTGGTAAAAGGATCTTTTCGTTTTCTAATGGACTCTCATAATGTACTCTAAAACCTTTGAAATACTTATGTGGTTCTAGCCAATTAAAGACACTGCGGTAAATATCTGATTTGTTTGTGTATTGCTATATAATCTAACTTATCACTAAGAAACCAGCTATGCCTTTACTTCTAAGCTTTTAATAAAATATAATTAAGATTATTTTAATCCTTCATCTTTGGCTCATTAATATTTTAGAACAAATGCAAATTAATTACCTTAAATGCTAATGCAACAATGGCAGTTGATAAGAATATTGTTAGCTATGGCTAGATAAAATACAAGTACATGCCAATAAAATGCTTAAGCTTTTGGAAAAAAGATTTTTTTTCCTCAACTTACTAAACCTAATCACTAGTTTAACCTTATTCCATGACTTACTTTTAATTATTTTTGCCTAATTAAATCAATCTTAAATTTTATATTTAACAACATAACAATTAATTTTAAAGATTTTTTAAGTAAGTTTTAAATAGTAAGAGCAAACAGACAAACAAATCAAATTCAATTGAAGAGTCATTTGCGTCATTTTAAATCAATAATTTAGTTAATGCTTCCAGCTAATTCTACTTATACAAAAAAGGTACGTAATTAGCTTAAGTTAATCCCATAAATTTTTTGTTTAAGCTTTTAGTCAAAGATATTTATTTATTTTTCTTTAAAATTTTTGAATGTAATAAATATGCAAATATTTTATTTTTATCAAAAATCTTATCAATAAAAATAGAAATATGTTGATTTTTTCATTATCAAAAGCAAGCTATCTTTATATAAGCTTAAATAAAAATATATAAATTTATTATAGATTAAATGTCTTCAATAACAGCAAATTTTTTATCAAAATTTTAACAATAAATTTTTTTTGTAAAATGGAATTTATTTATTTTTATAAAAATATACTTTTATGACTTAGATTCTAATAATCAAAGCTCTACTTTACATTTTAAAATACATTTGATTTCGGTAATTCTAAGAAAAATTTAAAGAATTTAATTGATTGATGTTATAAAAGAATTGATCATTAATTTTTTAATAAAGATTGGTTCTAAAATTAAATATTTAATAATTATTTGGCTGGCTAATTTAAGCATTTTATAGAAAGGAAAAGTTTTTTGAAAATAAAATTTAATTATCAAACATTTTGTAATAAAATTTGTGTAAACTACAAAAATAACAAGCAAATCATCAAATTACAGGTAAAAATTAATTTTTGATAATACGTATTAAATAAGGCACATATGAAAAGCCACCATAATAAATTGATTGATAATGTTTAAAGTAACATATTTATTTAATTTTATATTTTATATAATTACATTTTTTTTTTATTTTTTATTATGATCTAATACTTAATACTGTATAGTTTCATATATTAAGGTACTCCAATCCGATTTTTTACCCCATCATAAAAGCCTTAATGCCCCAAAATTTATATCTAACTTGGCAATATATTAATGCCTTAAAATATGAACCTTTGAGGTATAAATATTTTTGCAAAATAAAATTAAAAGCAAAAAAATAAAATTAATTAAAATGCAAGTTTTAAAAAACTGAGAAACTAAATAAATTTCATACAAAATATTTAAAAAAGAAAAATATTTTTTAATTATTTTTAAAAAAGAAAGAAAGAAAGAACGACTAAATTGTTAGATTTAAATGAGACAAAAATAAATTTTTTATTTATTTTAAAACAATTAAATAAGTTAGAATAGAATTAATTTTCAGTAATATTTAAATTTGTGTTTGGGTTGGTTAATCTTAAACTATTCAATACTTTCAATAAATAATTGATTAGATTCTTCATCCATATCTTCGGATGGCTTAAGTTTTTCATTTTCTTCTCTATGTACTTTACTTACCAAGTGAATTTGTATGTTTGCTCTGTTATCTCTAAATATAGATGTGAAAGCTTCTTTGAATTATTCAAGAGTAATTTTTTATAATTCTTCAATTTGCTTTTCTCCTATTAAAAAAATGAGTTATTTTAAATTAATAAATGAAACTTTATTTACTGCTATCGAAAACTAGTCTTCTTCCCTATATTTCTTGCCAAAAACGAAGAGCTTCTTATGAAATACTATGAGGCTATTCTCTTAAATCATTTTCAACTGATTCTTTAATAATATCTAAATCTTCATCCTTCATTTCGCTCACTTCTTCTAACATTTCATCTTTTAATATATAAAACAAAAATAAGATAAACAAAGCTTAAATTTATTTTTTTACCAACAAAAGCCTCAATTTATTAAGAAAGATATTAAGGAGGCTTAACATCTGATTGAATTTAGAAATAAACATAAATAACAGTTCTTTCAGCACATGTCATTGACCATACAATATAGCCTAATTGTTACTCAGTTCTCAAAGAAGTGTAAAAAGGTTCTTCTAAGAAATTGTCAATTAATTTCATTAAGACATCATTCTTTATAGATGAATTTTCGAATTAGAAAATAGAGCTAATGTAAGAGTTAGTTTCACTATCATCTAAATTAATTTCCCATACATAATCTAAGCCATCTTCGTTTGTAATATCAATAGCTTAAGGTACATCAATTTTATTCTATGAAAAGAAGAAAAATTATTAATTACAATTTTTTTTAATTAAAAATTTTACTTTTGGGAGTGGTGTACGATTAGTGTAAAGTATCTTTTCTACTGAATTTATTACATTTAATGCACTATTTGAAGTTAAATTACCAGTAATAAACCAGGTTAAATAAATATTTTTGAATAGAACATTATGGAATTAGCAGATTTTTTCATATGTAACACCTTTAATAGCTTCTAAAAGCTCTTATGGTCCAAATAATCCTTTATGGCGAATCGCAAACTAGTTGTAATATTTACCTTGTTTGTAAGGATTTTTACAGAAGAAATTTTAAAGCTTTTTGCTAAGTTTTTCATATTCAACTAAGAAATCTTATTTGTAAGGAGTAGGATCAAATTTACTAAGTCTCTCAAAGAAAGCATTTAAATAAGAAGGAAGAGTTTCAGAAAAACCTTCAAACTCAATCTCAGCAGTTCCTTTTATGTACATCTTAGTGTATATCTTTGCCATCTCAGCTTAATACATAAATTCTCTGTTTTCTTCTTAAAATAGCTTCATCCAAATTTGATATAAAAGATAATTTTCAACATTCTCTTTTACATTACCACTAATAAAAAAAATAATTAATTCAATTTTATTTAATATAATTTCTCCTAAATTAAGTTGAAAGAAAACTAAAACATTTTTTAGCTGCAATTTTATTAATTAAAACTTTTTGCTTAAAAATAATTTAATGAAGGATTCTTAATTTTTGAGAAATAATAGTATTTTTAAAAATTTACTCATTTGAATATATGATAACCTTGGCTAGTGTTTTTGGTACTTTGAATTTGTGGTCTTATTTGAAATAAGCAATAGACTTTTCATCTTGCTTAATGACACTTGGATACTTAGGAAGGTTTTCATAGTCTTATGTGATCAAGCTTAAATCTTTAGCTATGAAGTCATTTTTAGGAGGTAATCCTAATTACTTACCTCCACAAGTTGTGTGATTATATGTTGGGTTAATGAAAAGATCAATGATATTTTAAGGTAAAGGAGATTACTAATACTTACAAAAGTAGTATGGATCTACTTAAGTGCATTCAGATTCGAGAGTTTAAGAAGAAAAAAATATCCTCATATTTTCGTGTTTAAAACTATTAATAACTTAATTTATTAATTAGGGATCGTATTCTTCAAAATAACATTATGCTTTAATGATGTCTTTTGGTTTATATATTTGCATATTTGCAGTCAAGGAATGAGCGAAATCCATTGATTCTTCTTATTCTGCAGAGTTAAATTCTTGTATGCCAGTTATACGATCTTCTTCGTAAATATAATCTTATACACCTATTTTTTTCATGATTTATAGGTAGGTAAAAACTATATTAAGAACTTCTGTATAACGAGACAATCCTTATTAAGTAAGTTCAACATCAACATAGAAAATAGACATATTATTCATTATATCTTCATATCCACTAGCCAAACCTTCTGCTAAACCTAAATGCTTTAAGGCAGAGAGTAGAGAATTTTCTCCCTCAAAGCCAAAAACATGTGACCAATATTTCAAAGGATGCTTTTAGTAGCTTTCTTTTGTGAAAAACTCTGAAGTCCACATGACTTTAATCTAAATAAAATGATTAAATTTAGTATAATTTTATCTTAATTCTACTAAAAATTTTATTGGAATAACTTAGTTAATTATTTTTTAATTTAATTATTTAAAATAAAAATATAATTAATTTACATTGTGGTGATTCTTAGCTGGAACGTATTTCCAAAAAGACTGGAAGATTTAGTTAGGAAAAGGTTTTTCTAAGTATGTGGGAGCAGGTTTGTCGAAATTTGGAATCTATTCAAAAAGATCAACAACATAAGATTCAATGTCTTCTATGTTCTCATGAGTGTAAATGCACATTTTTATCAAATTAGCACTGTAATTTTCTTTGTAGAAAGCAATTAAATCATCCCTAATAGAGTCATGCTTTAAGGTTTCAAGATTACCTGTGCCAAATTTATTAAGAGGACTGTGCTTAAGAGCAGAAGAATCGAGTAACTAAAGCTTTCTAAATTCATCATCTTACAAATTTTTAGAGTGCTCAGAGTTAACTGCATTCATTTCTCTATCGACTAAATCCTAATTGAATAAAGGATTAATAAAGAAATGACCAAATCTATCTAATGCCTCTCTAAAAGCATTATCAGAACACTCAAAATAGTAATTGGTTTGCATGTAATCAGTGTAGGCATTTGATGTACCTGAGTTCTCATTAAGGAACTAATCAAAGTCAGCTTATGGATACTTTTCGGTACCTAAAAATAGCATATGTTCTAAAAAGTGTGCCAAACCTATTCATTAAATAAAAATATATTTAACTCTAATTAACTCAACTGGCAAATAAATATTAATATTTGCATATAGAAACATCCATACTTCAAGTCTATTTTAATATGAACATGTTTATTAATAGTGAATCTTAAAATACCTTATCTATGGAGAGGATCCTAAAGGCAGCCAGCATTAACATTAGCAGCAGCTGCGCTTTTACCTTCATGGAAATCTTAAACAAAAACAATTTCTAATTTATTTTTTTTGAGGCGGATATACTTATATTTCTTTTCATCATTTTGAGGCTTGACTATAGTATCAGTAACTACCTCGTACTTGCATTCTTCGATATTCATTTTACCTACCTGTTAGCTTATTTATACTTTACCTTCCTTTCTAAAATAAATTTTAGTATTTTTTTGATGAATAATGTAAAATATTAATCCACGAATATATCTTTTTAATTTAAATATTTTTTGATGAGTAGGTAGTATAAGTTGTTCATATAACAAAGAAAACAATAATTATATAAAAAATCTTATTAAAAGATACAAAAGTAAATATGACATATGTATGATAAGAATCTCTATATTTAATAAATTTTAAATAACTAGACACCATTAAAACTCTTAAAATTGATAAATGTTCTTCTAAAGAGCATATCCTTCAAGCATTTTCTTTTCAAACTAAAAATGGATTCAAATAAATATTAAATTGATATAAATTAAGAGTCTTCTATTTTCAAAAAATGTTTTATATCTAAATTTAAGTGTTTATTTAAGGATAACATTTTTCCAAAACTGCAATATCAATTCATGAATTCTATAAATGAAAAAAAAAAATAATAATAATAATAATAAATATTTATGGGATTTAAACTCTCAAAATTATTGAAATTTTTTTAATTTTCATTTTATAATAAATAGTCTTAAAATTATAATTTTTAAAAAAATATAATTAAGAAATAAGTCAGTAAACAAAATAATTAGTAAAAATGTTTTAAAATTCTTTACAAATTAAAAAAAAAGTAAAATTAATTTATATTTATAAAAATGAACTAACTTTTATAATAAATATTTTAATTATTTATTCATTCTAATTTAGAAAGTAATTTTAAATGATTATTATATAAAGATAATTAAAAATAATTATTTTTTAGATTAATTTTATATTTTAATAAGATACTAAGTATTATATAAAAAGTTAAGCATTTTTGTGAAAAATATTATTATCTATTTTTTTTAATTTTTTTCAAACTAATAATCTTATGTAAAGATGAATAGATTTCAAGCTTTGAGAACAGAAAATATTAATAGAAATAAAAAAGTTCTTTAAAAAAATTCTTGGCTTGATAAAAAATATTATTTTGTTAATTTGAAATGAGTATAAACTAAGCTGTTTAAAAAAGTATTTGAATAAAATTTGGAAAATACTTCATTTCAGTTATATTAATTACATGATCTTTGCTTAATAATGATTATATTTTATTTTTATTAATTTTAGACGGTTAACGTTATTTGTTAGTTTTATATAAATAATTAATAAAAGTATGATAAACATAATTATTGATTAATCAAAAGTGAGGAAAAGCAAACAATTTAAAGTAAATTAATTTTCAAAAATAAAAATTGTAAATTTATTCTAAGCTGCAATAGATAAAATATTTATGAATAATAAAAATTTAGATTGAAAATAAAATAATACAAAATTTCTTTTGAGAATAAATTGTTTTAAAAATTTAAAAATGAAAATATAATAAATAAAAATACTCAAAAGCATATCTCATTTGATTTTATATCAATAATTTGAAAGATTTTTTTGAAATTTAATTTAATTTCATCGAGTAAGCAAAGTTCTTTCTAGTTGATGTATTCTTTATCTTTTGTATATTTTATAAAGATATTTAAGTATGAGATAAAATTTATTTAGTTTTAAGCATTTAATTTACGTCAAAAGTATATTAATTTATTTAAGTTACAACCTTTTTTTAAATTACATTAATTATTAAGTTGAGCTTTTTTCAAGCTTTGAATTGATCAAAATTTATGGAAATAAAAAAATTTTATAAATTAATATATTAATTATTGCATGGTTTGGTAAATTAGATTACTGTATTTACCTTTACTACAGAAATAAACATTGAAATTTTTTTTATTTATTTAATAAAGGAAGAAAACAATTAAAAAAAATTAAAGTGTAAATTAAAAATAAATAAAAAAAGGAATAATGAGGGTTTTCAAGATAGTTTATATTTTAGCTATTATAATTCATTTTTTTCAAAAAGTTAAGTGCTCGCAAAACTTTACTTATCCACTTTCAGATAAAATTTATATTTAAAATTATGATATGTCTAATAATTCAAAACGTACTTAAGAAAATATAACCATACCTTTTCAGCTAAATTGCTCAAACTCAAATAGAAAGCTGTTGATTAGTAATCTCATTTTAGATTTACATTATAATTAGACTGGGTTTACTGTTGACGTAGCATATTAAAATGAAACAACAGCAACATTTTTTTTATTCAAACCTAGCTATTAGATACAATTTACTTTAGCAGAGATATGTATAGATTCTTTTTATGTTGAAAAGATTAATATTACTGATATAAGCTTTGATTAGTAAGGTTATTCTTAAAAAAAACTAAATCCTGCTAATTTTAATAAGAATATGAGAGTTTTTCCATATATAATAGGTGTTATTTCTAATACAAATTATTATCAATTTTTATTTATTTAAGAAGTTTAAATATAAGACGATGGATTTACAATAGCTTTTTAGTCAAAAGAAAATGCAAATATTGATTAAATAACCATAAACTACATCTATTATGATCAAAGCAATAATCCTTATTATTAAATATTTTAATATAATGATACAACATATTAAAATATAAATAGTCCTTAACCTAAATTTAATTAATAATCAAATATTCCTGTTGATTAAATATATAATTGCTCAGTACTAAATTGCTCACAATATTCTATGATAGGACTTACAGGTTATAAATAAAATTCATAACATAATTTAAGATAAACAATTTCAACTTAAATTTAGAAATAAAATTTAGTTTCAATAAATTATTCTACATGGGCTGATTCTATCTTAGATGGAATATAAAGTTAGTTTTTGTTATTTTAAATGATTAAATGCGAAAATGGATTAGCCAATTATTAAGATAAGTGTTAGGAATGTCCAAGTGGATTTTATTTATGGTATGATGAAAGCAGAAGTGTTAATCTTTGTCTTAAATGTGATTAAAATTGCTTAACTTGCTAATAAAATTCTAAAAACTGCACTTCATGCTCAGCAAATTATCCTTATTTACAAAAGAATTAAAATATCTGCTTATAAATATACCCTGAATAGTACTATTGTGAATAAAACTAACTTAATTCTACTTATTAAAATTGCACCTTTTGTCTGAATTGCCCTAAATAATGCAATACATAAGATTCATGTTGTAATAAAGATCAATTTATATTTAACACATAGAATTAAAAATGTGAATGTCTACCATAAATGATATATAATGAGACATTAAAATTGTGCGTTTGTCGAGACTCTTCTCACTACTATGACTAAACCTAAAAAGCCTGCTTATTTAACCCATCCACATAAAATTGTGATATTTTAGAATCATTTCTTCCTTCTTGTAAGAAATGTTTAAGTGGATTTTAAAATAAACAAGGGCGTTGCTTATACTGCGGGAGGTACAATTTTATGATAAAATTTTTTATTTCTTACATTAAATACAATCTTAAACTTATTTTTTTATTAAATATTTATTATTGACCAATGTTTGAGCTATTTTATTTTAGATTTTATAAATATTTTTAGATTAATAGTGATATTATCATTCATTCGTTTTATTAAAAATAAAGTGGAAAATATACCGATGATAATACAAATTAATGCTCTTAAAATTGTCAGGATTATTGTTTTTTATGCTCAAATTAATAAGAATGTAAGTAATTTGATGATTAATTTCCATGTCACTTTAGCTGTTAATTGTGTTCGAAGCCTAATTCATCAAAAAGCTGCAGCCTGTGTAGCTCAATAACTAGAGAATTTAATTATACAGATAGTACTTGCAACTGTAAATATGGGTATGAGGAAGTCAATAAAACTGACTGTACTGAGATTTAATAGTCTTATAGCTAGTAGTTTTTAACATTTAAGAAAGCTATTGAAAACATTTCTTATTACATGCAATTAATTTAAGTTTTGATACCAGTTTATCCTCATCTTTAATATTCGTTTATGCTTTAACAATAGATTGGAATTATCTCAAAATATTTGCCCAGCAACTCCACCAATTTGAGAATAGAATTTTTATAAGGATATTAAAATTATAATTTTTAATTTTTTGAAGATATAAAATTAATTTAATCTGATAACTAAAACACAAAGAATTAAGTAAATTATTTAATTTTTACAACAATAATGCTTATTTCACTAATATTACTCAAATTAATAAGTTTAGTTTCTAAATTTATGCAATAAAAATTATGGTTTAAACTTTTATAAGATTAATCATTTATAGTAGCCGCTAAATTAGTTTCATTATAAACATTTTTTTCAATAGTATCTATTCTATATCAATTGAATAGAAATGATAACTAATCTAAATAGTTGGTTTTAGTCTCAATAAATTTAATAATCATAGCCTTTTTTATGATAATTTAAATTAATAATTTAATTAAAATTTTAAAGAAATAACAGTAGGACAATTTAGTTAATAACATCTCTTAATAAACAGCTGAAATTCTTAATAATGATGATATTTAAATTTAGAACAGATAAATTAAAATTATGATGTAAGATATTGATATTAAAAAAGGTCATAAATATTTTATTTGGGTGTTTTGTGAGATAAGAAAAATACTTACAATAATTTTATTGTAATTAATAACGAGCAAAAATTGTTTTTTTGTTGTTGGAGGCATTTAAATTATATTTGGAAGCGTCTTGATATTTTAAATTTTTGATACATAGCAGAAACAATTGTATTGCCTAATTTCTGAAATTTTTATAATTTCTATTTATTTTTTAACAGCTGGAAGCGATAATTCTTATCCTCAAAAGATTTAAGTAGGGCTAGATTATTTAAAACCTTCAACTCTAGACGTAGTATCAATAATAGTTATTTAGTTATTCCAGATAATTTCATCTTTGAACTGTGCGTATTACTACTATCAAATAATAAAATAAATTCTATTCAAAAAAAGGAATAATCATAAAAAATAAGATCAAATTGAAAACTTTTTTTGCCAATAATTCCCTCAAGAATTCGATGCGAGTAAAATTTTAGATTAAATTTTTTAATAAAAATAATTTATGTTAAAAATAGGTACAATTGAATAAATTTTAAGTATGAATAAAACATAGTTTAGTCTCAAAAAAAAACATATTTCTAAAATATTTTGATTATTTATCACATTACTCAATTATAATATTTAAAAAATGTAAAGTAATTTAAACAAATATTTCTACTAATTCATAACACTAAATAAAAAATTTTTCTATTACATTGTTAAATTATTAAATGAATATTTTAATTTATATATAATCTTTTTTATATAACAAACTTTAATGAAAAAAAAAATTATTGAATGTGAGAATAAAATTTAAAAGGCACAAAACATTTTAATTTATATTAATTTTTTAATTTTAAAAATTAAATTATTTTATAATTAAAAATAATATTTTCTATTTCAAACAGTGTTAAGTTTTAAAAATTAAATAGATTAAATTTTTTAAATGAAGAAAAGCACTGAAAATAAATTTAGTTTAATTAAAATTAAAATTAAATTTGCCAGAAAATTTTATAATTTAATATACTAGGATTTAGTTAAGATTTAGTTTAGATGAAGAAATGTATGAAAGTTAAATATTTTTTAGTATTATTATTAAATTAATAAACTTACACATAAATCTATATAAATTTATACTTTCGAATTTAGTTAAGATTTAATTTAAGAGGGGATAAATTTATATATATGCAATAATATGCTTTGAGTTTTTAGAAATGTACTAAAAATAGATAAAAAAATGTTAAAATAGACTTTTCTCTAGATGAAAAAATTTCAATTTATACTTTATATCTACTTTAAGGTTTTTAAAAATTGAGAGTTCATCAGTAAAAGAATTTTTATAAAATGTTTATTAAAATTTTAAAGCATTACCAACTAATGAAATTTATTTATTTATTTATTTTTGCTTTGATTTTAATTTATATTCAAAAATATTTTCTCAAATCTTTCATGAATTTAAAAAAAGAAAAATATTTTATTTTTATTAATTAATATGATATTAAAAATAAAATATAAAAATTTAAGAGGAAAATACTATAAATTTATAAACTTTTTTGAATTAAGTGTTTAAAATGTATATTAGATAGATAGATAAATAGATAGTTAATAGTTTATCAGAAAAGAATTTATTACAAAAATGAATTACAATCACAAAAATATGCTTTTTAGTTACTAAGATTTTTTATATTTAGTTAATTAAACAAAAAATATATCAAACTGATGTTTTTATTATTTTTATAATTATTTATTTACTAATGTTTGATGGTTATTATCAGAATATCTAAACTTTTACACTCTATAATTAATTCTTCTAATTAAATATTCATATAATACCAATATAATTTATCAAAATTTTTAGTTAAAAAATTTAATTAAAAACTGAAGGTACTATAAATTCTAAATCTAAGGCTTACCCAAAAATTATAATCAAATTAAAAATAAATATATTAACATAGACAAGATACTCGAGATTTGTAAAAAGTATTTTTGGCTTAAATCATAGATTGTAGAAAGCAAATAACAAACTCATCAATTTTATAAATCAAGGTAATGAAAAATTAATCTTAATAAAAACAAGAGTATGCTCGCAAATAAGTTGAAAAAGAAGAAGATAACTTTAGAATGGATAATCATACATTCTGGATGGGTTGCTCTTGGTTTGCTAGGCAGTTTTACTTAAACTATTCGAAGCTATTATTTATCTTGAGAAAGAATGTTATATCTAAGAATAAACTATTACAGCTAATACACCTACCTAATTTAGAAGAAAACTTAACTGTATAGAGCACACTCAGCATTTATGAGTCCTTTCTTTATAGGTTGGGATAAAAAGAAGAATTCTCTGCTTCTGATATATACTCAATGATTAAAAAGACTTTTAGGAGAGATTTTATTCTGGTTCATACTTTTTGTATCTTAGAAATTGTTTGCAAAATCTTTAATTCAGTTTTAATTCAAAAAATTATAACTTCATTTTAGGATGAGTATTTAGAAGAAAGTAGTACTTATACAATGACTGTTATTTACACTTTGATTCTTTTTATACTAATATTTTTAGCTTTAAACTTTAGAAACAAATTTTAGTACCTTATTGAATTAAATAGTACTTAAGCAAGATAAGGATTGATTGCTCTTATTTACAAAAAGATAATTTAAATGTCATAGCATTAAATTTCTAAAGCAAATGTTGGCAAACTTTTTAACATGATCTCTGCTGACTTGATGAATATTGAAATTTTAATGCCTTATGTGTTTTAGGCAATATGGGCACCTTTACTAATAATAGCTACAACTGTAATTATTTGTATTAGATTAGGTGCTTATGGGCTTATCGCAATAGGCTTTATTTTGATAGTCTATCCAAGTTAATAAATTTTAGGTAAGCTTCAATAAAAATATTTTGCTTAAAAGATCACAAGATCTGATGAAAGAGTTAAACTAATTAATGAAAGCATAGAAGGTATACGTTTGATAAAAATGTATGCTTGGGAAAATACAATTGGTAAGTAGGTAGATCAGATCAGAGAAAAGGAATAAAATAGCATCTTCAACATTGTTTTGAATAGAGCTGCAGATAGAGCCTTTTCTAATGCTATGATTTTAATTGCTGTCTTTTTGCCTATTTTAGCTATTTATTACAACGGTGATTCATAGAGTATAAATCTTAACTCTGCTAAAATATTTGCCACTTTAGAATAGATAAATGGACTCAAATTTATGCTCATTCTCTCAGGCGTGGGCATAGGTTTTATATATCAATGGAGAGAAATTTCAAAGAGATTTGCAACTTTTGTTAGCTTGAAAGACTAATAAACTTAGAAAGTAATAAAGAATCCAAAATACTCAGAATATTTGTCATAGCTTAAAAATGAAAATTAAACAAGGTAAGCAAATAATTAGGAGACAAAGTTAGAAGATACTATTAAAATAGATCCTTTTGTAATAGATACAACTTAGGAGCATTCAAATAAAAATGAATACCCAAAAACAACTAATTAAAATAATTCTATTGAAATTTCAGCAGATTTCGAATGTTTTTGGGAAAAAAATGAAAAAAAATAAGAGCCATGTGTAAAATTTGGAAAGGATGTTAATTTTGAAAAGGGTAAATTTTATGGTATAATAGGTAAAGTTGGATCTGGAAAGTCATCTTTATTTCAAATACTAATTAGAGAGATGCCTTTCTATTAAGGTGATATTAGAGTAAATGGAAGTATTGCGTATGTTGAATAAGAACCTTATATATTTTCTGGCAAAGTTGTTGATAATATATTATTTGGTAAAGAAATGGACAAAGAATTCTATAACAAAGTTATTGAAGCTTGCTGTCTGAAGGAAGATTTAGCTTCTTTTAAGCAAGGAGATTAAACAGAGATAGGTGAAAGAGGTATTACATTGAGTGGAGGATAAAAGGCTCGTCTTTCTCTGGCAAGAGCTGTATATTCTAATAGTGATATTTTGCTGTTAGACGATCCTCTAAGCGCAGTGGATGCCAAAGTAGCCAAATAAATTAATGAAATGTGCTTGATGGGCATTCTTAAAGAAAAAACAATTTTATTAGTTACTCATCAAGTTCATTTCACAAAATAATGTGATAAAATTTTTATTTTAGATCAAGGATTATTAATTGGATAAGGCACATTTGATGAAATTAAGGATCAAGTTTATCAAATAGAAAAAAATAATCATATCTCATCAAAAGATTTAAAATAGAGCAGCGAAGTCTAAAATGAGAATGAAAGATACATTTATGAAGAGGATAAAAGCGAATTAGAAAAACATAGTTAAGCTGGTATTGAAGATATTAATTTGGATAAATAGTAAGTTGAAGAAGAAAAGAACAATAATGATGATAATGATTTATTTACTAAAGACTAAGATGAATAAGTCAAAGTTTCAATTAAAACTTTGTTGAAGTATTTTAGCCAATCTAAAGGAGGGCTCTTACTGGCATGTCTTTCTTTTATATTCTTTGCATCTGCTGAAATTTTATTTACTTTCTTTTACAGAATTGTCGGGAGCTTTGATACAGAAAATGATAAAGACAAATTATTTAAAAACGCAGGGATAATATTAATATTTTATACTCTTGCCACTTACTTGAAGTATTTTTCTATAGCTGCTGTTACTTATGTTTCGAACAAAAAAATTCATAGACAAATGTTTAGTCACCTTACTCGTGCTCCAGTTTTTTATTTTGATTCTAACCCAACTGGCAGGATAGTCAATAAATTTTCAAGCGATATAGGTACTATGGATTTTGTTTTATTCTTTCACCTTATTGATTGTACTGAGAATCCTTTGACCTTTTTAAATTTGATGCTAACTGTGTCGCTTTATAACAATTATTTCTTTATATTGGCTGGATTTTATGCACTCTGCTTATATCTTTGGTTAATATACTCAAAGGAATTAATTGTTTAAAGCAAATCTCTAGATACAGTATATAAAGGTCCAGTGATGTCTCTTTTTTCTACAACTATCCAAGGAGTAGTTAGCATTAAAGTATATAAATAGATGAGTTAATTTTTAAATAGATTCTATTCAGTTAACAACGATTCAATAAGAACTAATCACTGGTTTTATTAAGCTGGAAGAGCATTCTCATATAATGGTTAAGCATTATCTTCATTTGTAACATTCTTTGGTATTTTGATAGCCATTTACACTTCTTCAAACAGCGATTTACTAGGATAGGTTGTAGTTTACTTAACTATAATTATTGAGTTGAGTAATTATCTCATCAGATAAATGATTTAACTTGAGGGTTCTCTAACTTCTGTAGAAAGAGTTTTAAAAATAATTAATATCGTCCCTGAAGGTCCTTTAAAATTGCCATCTGACTAATTATTAGTTAAAATTAATGAATAAACCCCAAGCACAAAGACTTAGTAGGATCATATTAAGTGGGTATAAAAAGGTTCATTAGAATTTAAGAATGTCTACATGAAATACAGAGAAAACCTTGATTATGTTTTGAAAGGTGTAAATTTAAAAATTGAAAGTGGTGAGCGCATTGGATGTATTGGAAGAACTGGAGCAGGTAAATCAAGTCTTCTTTAAGTACTTTTTAGAATGATAAATATTGAAAAATCTGCTCTAAATGATTCTAAGACAGGATCGATACTCATTGATGGAGTTGATATTAGTAGTATAGGACTTAATACTCTTCGATACAATATCAGTATTATCCCTTAAACTTCCTTTGTTTTCTCAGGAACTGTGAGAAAAAATATAGACCCTTTAGGATTATATGAAGACAGTAAAATTTTGGAAGCACTAAAATTAACTGGATTATATGAAGTAGTCAATAATTTAGAAAAAAAGCTAGATACAGATATGTCTAACTCATAAAGCATTTTTTCAGTAGGTTAGAGATAATTAATATGTCTTGCAAGAGCTATTTTAAATAGGAGTAAGCTTGTTGTATTAGACGAAGCTACTGCAAACTTAGATTTATCAACAGATAAATTAATTTAGAGTGCTATTAAAAACTAGTTTAGTGGTTCAACAATATTTACTATAGCTCATAGACTTAACACAATAGCAGATTATGATAAAGTTTTGGTGATGAGTGAAGGTTGTGTAGCTGAATTCGATTCTCCTTACAAATTATTAGTTAGAGATATTAATGATAACGATATTACGTCTACATCTCTTTTTGCTTAGATGGTCAAACTCACAGGAAAATAAAACTCTCAAATAATTTTTAAAATTGCAAAAGAAAAATTCTTTAAATAATAAAACAGTAACAAAAATCAAATTTGATCCAATAATTTTTAATTTATTTAATTTGTTTGTTTGTTTAGTTAAATATTTTTTAAACAATGAAATATCAATAAGCAATTTATTCTTTTAAAAAATAAAATACTTTTTTTCTCACATACAATATATATAAAACCTTATTAATTATATTATATTAAGGTTAAATTCTGATTTTTTTTGCTTTTATTTTTCTTTCAGATTGATTTCTTTTACTCCTATCTAGCTATGGGTTTAAAAAGGCCTAGAATAAAATTAATTAAAATAAAAAGAAACAAAATTAATTTTATGAGGCTAAAATCATTTATTAATTCTACTATTTATTAATAAGCTTCTTGAATTAATTTTGTTAAAGTAGGCTATTCGCGATATTTTTTCAATAAATCTAAAACATTCTTAGCATCATGTTAATTAAGCTATAAATCTTCGAAGCTTAACTTCTTGACTATCTATTAGAATATTTAATTTCTTGTTAATTAAAAAAATTTATCTATTTTTTCGAAATCATTCTCTTCTATTGCGCACTAAATTAAGCAAAAATATAAATATCTTTTTGAATCGTCATCGTTAATTATCACCTTTTCAATTTATTAAATAAATTAAGTATCTTAAATCACGTTACAACATAATATGTGATGCAATAATACAATTGCCTTATACTCATCACTACGTAAATCATTTGAAAAATTTTTAAAATACTTTTCAATTGATTTTATATCTACAAACTATTTTTCATTATTTTGTTAAAATTCCCTATATTAGGTCTCATTTATAGGATCGTTTTATATGCATTCTATGATTAATTTTTAAAGGAAATTATCTTAGATAGTTCTTTCTTATCTAAAATCATTGTCTTATTAAGTTTAATTTTGATTTAATGTTTAGAAACTTGTATTTGTTAGTGTGAAGTTTGATTAATCATATCTTTAATCTCCATTTTATTAATTGATAATTTAATTTTAATCTTGATCTATGTGCTCATTATTTTTAATTTTACTATATAGCTCATCTAATCTATTTAGTATATCTTGTATAGTTGGTCTATATGAGGCATCTAGAGATAAGCAGCTTTAAATAATCTAATTTAGATCTGTAAGGAAAGGTCTCTAATCTATTTATTAGTATAATTTAAAATTTCTTATCTTACTTACTACCTACTATGTTGTATTGCCATTAAATAGCTGTTCATTGTAAATTATTTCGTGCATTATGCAACCAAGGCTCCATATATCTACTGCTTTGTCATAGCTTTAATTAAATTTCAAAATTTCTGGAGCCATATAATTTATAGTTCCAACAGTTGATTTCATATTTTAAAAAGATGATACTCCGAAATCTGTAATAACTAACTAGAGACCTTTATTGTATCTAATAAGTATATTTTCAGGTTTTAAATCTCTGTGTCCTAAATTGATATTATGTAGGTATTAAATTCCTTTAGCTATTTAAATGATAATATCAAGATAATTTTAGGTGGATAAATTCTAATGATTTCGATATAAGTATTAGTATAAATCGCCAAGCTAGCAAAATTCACTTACGATGTAATATTATTACTATTCTTAAAATATTTCATAGCATTGTAAAACATGATCACATTTATTTCCATTATTCATTTGATCTATTAACATTTAGATAGTATTAAGTTCTTAAGCAAGATATTTATTTTGCTACCCTAATATAGTCTGATCTGATATTTGCTTAACAGCAACTTAAATCTAATTACCTTAAGTGTCATCAAATTAGCAAAGGAATACCTTTCCTATTGATCCATTTCCTATTTCTTGAATAACCTTGTATTTATTATTTAATAATTAAGTCATGTTTTTTGATATTTCTTTTGTGTTTTAACTTTAGATGCAATTTAATTTATTGAAATATTTTGATATAATAAATCATCTGATTAATATTTAAGTAGTGAGTCTATTTAGTTTTTAATTGATTTTATATTTATTGAAATAAGATTTAATATCTCCTAATAAACTTATTCATTAATGTATATTTATTTATATAAAAGAATTATTTTCATAAATAATTATTTCAAATTATTTTTAATCTAAAAAAATATTTTAATTTTGAATATTTCTATTTATATTTTTAAATACTTCAAAAATTATAATTAAATTATATTTTTAAAAATAAACATTAAAAGAAGTTTTATTTTTTTAATATAAATTTTCATTATTTTATTTTGAAAATATCCTCCTGAAAAATTATAAAAATAAATCTACTTTAAATAATATTAAGACTATTTTTTCTAAAACATTTAATTTAGAGTTTTTTTTACATTCAATAAATTTAGATTTATCCATTAGAGTAGTTGAATATAGTATATCTAAATAAAAATTAATATCCATTTAATTACTGCCAAATGAACTTTAATTCCTCTAATAAAATGGAATCTGCTGGTATAATAGTTAAGATTAATTAATTATTTCTATTACTAAAGAATCAAACAGCTTTTATTGGCTTTAAATTTTATTTTTATAAAATATGGCTAAAATGGGATAGATTAAATTTTATAGTATATTTATATTTTTTTATGAATTTAAATAAAAATTTTAATTTTATATAAAAAAATAATTGCTTATTTAAAGTTTAATATTAAAATAAAAACAACATGGAATTATAAATAATTTACCACATACTTTTATTTTTTATTAATTTATTTGCAAAAACTATTTATTTATTTATTATTTATAATATTGCATTCATAAAACTTTAATTTCTTCAAATCAAACAAAAGAGAGTCATGAAAATAATAGCAGCTAAGTTAAGTAATTAAGCTGAAGAAGTTGAACTAACCATAGAAGATGACAATTTAACAGTTGAATAAAAAGCGGCTGTGTGTTGAGCTCCCCAAGTTTGTGTACCAAATCTAGCTACAGCAACTTACATTTGTGCTCCATCTGTAACAGCATTGTCGTACTTATCTCCAGTAGTCAATTTTCTACTAATTGATGCTACCCAATTACCTGTAGCTTGGTCATAAGTTGAACCTTAATCAGTAAAGTCACTAGTACCACCTCTTGCTGTATCAAGATCAACTACACCAGGAGTAGAATTAATATAGTTTCTATCTGCGAGATTAACTTTTGAACCATCCCACCAAAGATGTGCAACATCAATTCCAGCCATAACTGATCCACCTAATCCAATACCAATAGCACCTGGGCTATTAACCATGACTTGAATGTTAATCATATCATTCACAATACTATACTTAAATGTGACATCACTATTGAGCATAACAGTATTAACATTTCCTGTAAGAGCAGCAGGAGCAGCGAGGCAAACAGCAAGAATGGTAGCTAAGATAAAAATTTTATTCATTTTTTTTTACAATTATTACTTTTTTTAATTTTATAAATATTATTTTTTTGAATTAATTTCTACCAATATATAAAGCGTACTCAAACAATCTACTTTAATGTTTTGGCAATTAGTAAAGAATATGTTTGTTTATTTTCTAAAAATATATATGCAACTTTAAAGTAAATTCTAAATTAAAAAAGTTTTTCGTCATCCAAAATCAATTATTTAAATAGTTTATTTATTTTTATGTTTAAACCTACTTGGCTCATTGCTTAATCCTTAGTACTTTTTAACCTTTTGCCCATTTCAGTTGTAAAATTCTTTTCAATTAATTCAACTTCTAAGCATGAATTTTTTTAATGCTCACTTTATCATAACTTTAATTACACATTTATAGAAGAAAATTTTATGTGTCCTAAATTTTTATAAATTCGAGTAACATTTCATTTCTAAAAAGCAATCAGTAATAAATAAATTTCATTTAGATTTGAAATTGGAGATTTTACTTTTTAAATCTTGAAATTAACTTTACAATTTAATTCAAACAAACATACCTTCCAGAAATTATCAATTGCTTTATCTGATATTATTAAATCAGATTATATAAGAAAAAATTCACTTCTATTTCTTTGCTTAGTAATCAATTTTGTAGATTATGAATACTTGTAATAAAAGCAAATATTTACATTTAAGAGTAGTTAATTGAAAAGAAAATATTTTATTGATTCACCAAAAAATAAAAATAGATAAATATTTTAAATAAATTATGCTAGTTTTCTATCAAATGCTTATTTTATTAAAAAATAATAATAATTAATTGAGTTTTCTTCCTTTTAAATAGATTTAGCTAAATAAAAATTTTTTGAAAAAAAGTAATATTTTAGGTTCAGAAAAAAGTAAATTTTTACTGTTTCATCTTATATTTAAAAAATATGTTTGGAAAGCGAAGACAAATATTAATATAAAAGCTCAAGTTTCATTAAACTAAGGAGGTTTTTTGTTTTTTTAAGTGAACCAAAATACAACTTTTAGTAGAACGCAATATTTTATTCAAAGTAGTTTATTTTAGAAATAATTTGTCTCATCGTTAGCAGATATTTTATTATTTCAATTTTTCTATTATCATTTCAAAATTTTTTTTCTAAGAAAACTTCCATTTTATTCAATTTTCACAAATATTAAAATAGAAAAAGCGGAGAGTTTTATAAATTTTGTTTTCAATTTTGATTTTTATTAAAGCAAGAAAATAAAAATATATATTACTATGATAGTTAGAATAGTGAAGTTTTAAAAGTAATGATTAACAGCAATTTTCTTTTTTTAAAAATACTTGATCACTGGTAATATGTTTTCAAGTCGATATCTTTTTTACCATGAAAATAAATATGTCTATAATTTACAATAGGCTATTAAATAATAATTATTACTTACTTAAATTTTAAATTGAGTATGCATTCAAAAAAATAATAAAAATCACAAAAACTTGGGTTAGATATAAAATTTGGAAGCCCTTACAATATTTAAAAAGAAAAATTTAAAAAAACATTAATTATTTAAATAAAAAATTTTGGAAAACATCCAATCTATGAACAATTTTATTTAACTTTTACACAAAATTTTTTCATGTTTTGATGACATACTATTTTTCTTTTAATAATATATCAAAATATAACAGAAAATTAATTTTTGATTTTGCATAATCTTTAATTTAAAAACTTTTTTTTATTTAAATCGTCGCTTAGAAAGCTTATAAATAGTGATGATTATTTTTTATTATTGCAAAGTTCAAAAAATAAATTTTTATTTAATAAAACAAACAGAAGATGATTAAAAATGATCTTTATTTTCATTTCTAAAATTTTATGGAATGATGCTCAGAAATTTAGTATAAAAGTAGTAGGTAAAATTATCAATTTAAAATATCTTTTTAATTAGATTTGATATAAAATAAATAATAGTTACAATTTTTATTTATCGAAGTAATATAATTTTTAGATTATTTAATTAGATTAAATTGCTATTTATTTAAAAAAAATTTGTTTTTCACTCAAAAGCTTCATAAGTGATTAATTGTTGCAAAATTAATTATTATTTAAATAATATTTTTTAGATAAAAAGTCTTTTACTTTTGAATATATTTTTCATAATTCTATTAAATTTATTTCTAAATAGAGTATCGAATTAAAACATATTTAAATATATATAATACAACACAATTCAACTCAAACAGTTATAATTGTCTTTATTCAAATTGGTAATATTAAATTTTAGGTCATTAATGATTTTCTTGTATTTCAAGTGATCAATTTTGATTTTTAAGTCTTAATCAAATTTTATTTATTGATACTCATTCTGTTATATATTAACTGCTGTGACGTAATACAATGATTATTTTAATTTTTTATTAAGAGCTCTTTATCATTCATAACTCTAACAAAAGATAAGAAAGCAGTAAGTATAAATTCTTAGCCAAATTTTAATTCAATAAAATATATTCTAAATTGACTATCGAATTAAAGCATATTTAAATATATATAACACAATACAATTCAACTCAAATAGTTATAATTATTTTTATCCAAATTGGCAAAATTAAATTTTAGGTCATTAATGATTTTCTTGTATTTCAATTGATCAATTTTGGTTTTTGGATCTTAATCAAATTTTATTTATTGATTTTATTTGTGTTATATATTAACTGTTGTGACGTAATACAATGATTATTTTAATTTTTAATTAAGAGATTTTTATTGTTCATAAATCTAACAAAAGTTAAGAAAACAGTATAAACTCTTAACCCATATAATTAAATTTAATAAAATATATTTTTGTTGATAATTAAAATAATATTAATTTTTTTTTAATGTACCTATCATTTATTTGTTAATTTTCAAATATATTATTATGAACAATATATTAATATAAAATTAGCTCAAAAATATTTAATTCATTAATTAATTTTTTTTTTAATTTGAAAATAATTTTTTAAGATATTATTAATATTTGGGAGGAAGAGCTTTGCTTTAAATAAAAAAAATTCTATCAGAAATAAGCTAAAATAAAAGTAAAAATATAAAACTCACATTTGAGCTAATAACTTTTGTATTAATCAATTAATCTCCACTACTTTTGAAGCTCAATCTATCATATATCAATATTTAATAAAATAGCAATTTTGATTTTTGTTTATGAAAGATATTTTAAAAAAGTTAAAGTAAGAATTGATAGATTGACTTGATAAAATTATATATTTTTTTCAAATTTTCAATCAAATTAATAAATTTATGGATGCTAATGGTTCTATAAATTAAAAATATATCCAAACTAAATTATCTTTTTTTATAAATATTTAATTTTCTCTTAAAATTAATTTCAAAATACAGTGAGCAGTGAGATATAAATTTTTAAGAGGCTTTAAGTTTGTTTGGTAGAAAATATAATTTTGAAGAATTTTATGTGATAAAAATATGAGTTAAAATCACAAATTATTCATATTTTAAGTTCACTAAATGCTAAATTTACTATCAAAAATTAATTAATTATTAATACAAATAAAACAAAAGTAAGAAATAAAGTTATCTCCTTAGTAACCATCTCTCTCTGATGTATTATATTCCTAATTCTCAGACAACAAATGCTCCTCCTGGTGAGCTACCTTAAGGCTAAATACCTTAGACATAATAAAAAATAATTAGAAAAATCTATTATATCTAGTAACCTACATAGAATCAACCTCCTTAGCAGTAATTCTATGCTCAGCCTGCTAATCCTCAAATTTTAGCATAACCTTCTCTTAACTATAACTAGTCATCTGCCCCATCTAATTACCCTCTAATGTAGCAATAAATTTCTTTAAAAACTGAGCCTGTAACTTAAACCCATTTAAATACGGTTTAAAATTTAAATTAGTAGGAAAAACCTTTAGAGTTTGATGATGGATCATTCTCATATTTAATTTCAAAAGTTTAAGTTTCAAAGTATCTAAATGGTATATTTTCTTATTAGGTTTCAAGTTATTGCTATAAGTGATGATCTGGTTATATATTATAATTTCCTTAGGGTTTTATTCACGTAGACCTGAATATGAAGTTGAAAAAGATGGAGGAGATTACTATTTTAAAGCAAAATCATCACCAGTTTCTCATACTAATTACCCATGCACAGCAGTTTAAAATGAAGATGTAATATCTATTATTAATGAAAAAGATAAGTTCGTATTTCTTTGTGGAATAATAATGCTATTATTCAAATCAATATATATCTATAAATTATCACAAACATTTATAGCGGTATACAAACAAGGATTCATTTCTAGCTCATAAAAATTTGATAGTTCCTTTTTAGACTATCTTAATTTGGTGTGTGATTATTCTTTTGTGATTCCATTATCACCGATCACAGCTGTTGTTTATGAGGAGTGTGCAAATTTGAGATTTGGAATCTATTTATTTGGCGCAGATATAATTTACACTGCTGCTCTTTTTTATGCTCTTTTTAACTTTTTTTTCATTGTTTTTTTGATAGAATTTTGCAAAGGCTCAAGCTACGATAAATTAATGCTTTATCCCTACTTAATACTCATTACTATGCCAGGTGCTATTTTAATTAGTTTGCAACAATGTGGAATTAAGATTTTATCATAAGAAGTTAACTACTACAAAGTAACAACTACTTATTCTAGTGGTAGAAAAGAAGTAACATATGAAAGTGATGATGTTAGATGCTTAGTAATTATTCCAATTATTTTGTTTATAATAGCTGTTTTATTTTTTGCTGTCATGATTTTAGTTTCGTTTGCTCTCATACTTGTTTATTGTTTTCCTGGTATCATAGCATACTATGTTTTAACAACCCTGCTTTCAGGTTATTTTTTGAGAACCAACAGAGGTGGAGCTGACTATAGACAATAGCTTGTAGGCATGTTCGCCTTAAATCTTATTTAAACTTAATACCCATAAAAGTTTAATTAACACTTTAGTTCAGACAAGCTTGATGAAGAAAAGAGTAAAAAAAATAATGATTTTTAAAGATTTTAAGGTTATTCAATGAGTTTTTTTTAAAAACCATAACATGTTTTATATCAATACAATTAAAGAAATACTATTAAATTAATCAAAAGTTATGAAACATATTACAAAGGAGTTATATTGGAAGCCTAAAATAGATAAATCTGAAAAAAAAAAACTAACCAACTAAATAAAGATTCATAAAATTGAAATAAATTATGTATTTCTTATTTTTTAATTATTATTAGTAAATAAAATATAAAATTAAATATTTTTTAGATAATTAGATCAATTTTAAATTAATTAATTTCTATATAAACAGATTTTATATACCAAATTAATAGTTTTTGATGTGGTATATTATTCTTGCTTTTATTTTATCTTAATCAAATTTATTTAATAAAATACTTCATTTATTTAAAATTCTCATTGCTTTTTTTAAATTGTAAAATTAAGCTTATTAAAACTAAATTATTTAATTATATGCTTTTACTTGTAAAATTATCAATAAAATGCTTAAGATTGTTAAATTAATTTTAATGATTTTCAGAATATTGTTTATTTGCTAAAATTTTAAAAAATAAATAAACAAATTTCATAGATGCGGACAGTTAATTCTAAAATCATTTTTATAGGAAATCAAACAAAAATAAATCTATTTATTTAATGTTTCAATTCTAATCTAAATGAATTGATTTTAATATAAAATCATAAAAGCAATGCTCATTGAAATTTTTAATAATTTTTAAATAAAATCTTAAAGGGTTTTTCTAATTTATTTAGTGCAAATAGCAAAAATAATCATCAATATTATTATTTGCAGTAATTATAAAAAACATGTATCTATACTATTAAGATTTATGTATTTATTTATGTATAGCTATTAAATAGATATTTAATAATATATATTTGCTTTAATTATGTTTTATATCTGCTATCACTTTTTCTTACCATCCTTGGAAACATTGAATTTGAAGAAAATAATATCACCATCTTGAACAACATATTCTTTTCCCTTTTAGTAGTATTTACCTTCAGCCTTAACTGCATTTTCAGAGCCAGCAGCAATGAAATCATCGTATTTCATGATTTCAGCACAAATGAAACCCTTTTCGAAATCAGTGTGGATAACACCAGCAGCTTAAGGAGCTCTAGATTCAGCACGGACAGTCCAAGCTCTAACCTCATCGGGACCAGCTGTAAAGAAGTAAATCAAGTCTAAAACTTTGTAACCAGTTTTAATAATTCTGCTCATCATAGAAGTCTTAGCTTTTTTTTTTATTTTTAAAAAAGTATTAAATCAGTCGTTTCCAATTTATTATCAAAAATATATTATGGTCATTAATTTAAATATAACTCATCTAACCTATAAATAAATGTAAAACTTAATTTTGAAATAATTTATTTACAATCTTGCTTTCCTTCGAGAATTTGCTTTTCGTGGTCAGCAGAGTAAGGAATAATTTCACCAGGGCAGTTAGTAGTAATCCATTCCTTGATCTTAACGAGCCATTTGTTTTTCTTTCTCATGTAATCTTCAGAAGAAAGATTGACAAGATAGACAACAGGCTTGGAAGTTAAGAACATATATTTATTAAGAATATCAACTTCAGTAGCATTCCAATCAGCAGTACGAACCCATTTCTTAGCCTTTAATAAGGCATCAACTTTATCTAAAATTTCTTTTTCTTCTTTAGCATCCTTATCATTGAATCTATTAATTTTATGGTTTACTTCTTCTAATCTCTTACCCAAGATTTCTTAATCTTTGTAAACTAATTCATCACTAATAATTTGCATATCTCTAACAGGATTAACTTCGTTTTCAGTGTGAGTAATTTCAGGATCATCGAAAGCTCTAACTACGTGGTAGATAGCATCAGTTTCTCTAATGTGACTTAAGAAAGCATTACCTAAACCTTCACCCTTAGAGGCACCAGGAACTAAACCAGCAATATCCATAATACTCAAAGTAGCGGGAACCTTAGACTTGGGCTTATGACTATATGTTAATTGAAAAAATAAATTATCTAATAGCTGATTTTACAGCAAAAGATTTCTCACTTAAGAGTTATTTTTTTTTTTTTTTTTTTCATTTTTAACAAAAAATCAAAATAGTGATTATAAGTATATTTTAAGTAATAAAATCCACCAATTTATAAAATAATTTCATAACAATGCTTTATTGCTATTTTATATTTTTTTAAATAAACTGATAAAGTAATGATCAAACTTACATTTCGCAAAGCTTGTCAAATCTTTCATCATCTACAAAGACCTTAGCAAGATTAGGATCAATTGTGCAGAAAGGATAGTTTTCAGCGGGGATGTTAAGGTTGGATAACAAGTTGAAAGTGGTAGATTTACCAACGTTGGGAAGACCTACAATACCCATTTTTAAGGTATTACCGGGACGACCTAACTTAACTTTCTTGACGGGTTCTTCTTTTTTGGGAGGCATCTCTTTTCCTTTTTTTTCTATATTTTTTGGATATACTAATTAATTTATGTATCTTTTTAAGTTTTTAATTATAATTTTTACTAAAAAATTTTTATTTTTTTTTGATTTAATCAACCTCTAAATTTATACTGCACGCCTTATTTCATTACAAAAATATAAAGAGAAAAACAAAACATTAAATTATATAAAGAGATAGATAGATATAGATATATATTTCATTTTTAATTAAAGATTCTACTCTTCTAACTTTTCTAAATTAATTTTGCTTTTTAATTTTCTAAAATTTATAACAAATTCTTATAAATTTATAAATTAATTCATTTATTCATTCAATATTTATATTTAATTCCATTAATTGCTTCTATCTAATTAAATTGAATATATTTATTTTAATCATTTCTACTTGCCTTTCTAAATATCTAATTTGATTGTATCTATTAAATTCTATCATTTTTAATTTCATTAATTTTTAATATACACTAATATTTTTATTAATTAATTAACTATTATTTTAGTAATAGCAAATTTTTAAAGGTAGTTTAATTTTGTACTAAATTTAGGTTTATTTTATTATAATATTTTTTTCATTTTAGGATTACAAATTCAGTTTTAATAAGGTAGACCTTTTCTTTATTCATAAATCAAGCAATTCCTTTGTTTATCTTATTTGAAGAAAACATTCTATTCTTTTGCAGTAAATTAATGTAAACTAAGTAGCTATGATTCCTAAAATAATACTAAATGTGTTGAAACTAAAAATAGCAATTTAGTGATTTTAAGCAGAATTGGATAATCTCCAATTTTATGGGCGCCTCTTTTAGAAAAGAGATAATGTTAAACAGAATGCCAGAATATTAAAAAAAAAACTAATTGCAAAGAAAACCAAAGTTAGTCTAATATATTTCTTAATATAAAACAAAAGACCCTTTATACTAAAAGCTAATAATAAAGTGATAGAAACTAAATAAAGAACCTAAATAGCTATGCAAGATTTATCCAAACCAGTATAGGGATACTTAAGATTCCCGTCATTAAATTCCTAAAAATCACTGTAATTAAATATTAAAATAGCAATTCTGTATATATAGAAAAATATAAGTAGAAAGATAACTAAAGAATTATAAATTAGTATTCGCCATTGCAATTCTTTGCACATCCTAATTAAAATGTGGTCATTAACAATATTATATTATTATTTGAAATCAACATTTTTATTATAACAATATTATCTGTATTTATACTAATTAATCTTATCCATTATAGGAAGTAGTTTATTAGTTTCATAGTGATTAAGAATTAAAATATAAGGAATAATTACTCCCTTCATAAAATCACTAAGTAAATTAATATTTCCTTCCAACTATATTTTTCCCATTTCAAAGGGAAGAAAGCTAATACAAAAATCAACAAATTTTTTAATTTTTATATTTTTAACCGAAATATTTTTCTTTGTAATCAATTAAATTATCTCTTTCTATCGCTAGAACATTTCATAATCAAAAGCTACAAAATTTTAATTCTAATTTGGATTTTCTTCTTCTTATTTTATTTTTTTTTCATTTGTAGACTATTCTAATTAAGAATGATTGAATTCAAAATCTAGCTTAGTAAGATCCTCAAAATTAGGATCAGAAAGGACCTCATGTCTTTTTCTTTTCTTTTGAAGTTTTTTAGTTCTATTATTTTCCTCTAAATCATTGTTTTACTCTCTTTTATCTTCTTAATGTTCTACTTACAAAGGCTAATTATTATTTTCATACAAGGAATCAAATTTTTTTTAGATATTAAATGAATTATTTAATTCTGAAACTGATTCCATTTATTTATAATTTGTCTTCAGTTCATCATTAAGGTAGTTATTTTCCTTATGATCCTGAGCTAATTCTAAGTCCTTTAATATCATTTATGTATCTAAATTATTTTTTTAATCTTCTTTTAAATTAATTTATTAAAATTCTAAATTATCATTTTTCAAGTCAAGTTAGTCATCTTACCGTTAAACAAAATTCTATCTATTGCTATTGAGCTCACTATATTCATCATTATTCCCCATTAAAAAGCTATTTTCTTTTATTAAAGGAATAAAAGAGATGTTATTATTGCTTAAGTTATTATCATCATCATCTTTATCATCAATATTAAGATTTTATTTAGATTTTTTAAATGTTTGCAAAGAGAGCTTTTTAAGGGGATGTTAATTTTTTTAATTAATAGATTTTATGGATAATGAATCATCCATATTTAAGGCAGTAAAAGTAATTCTTAATTTACACTCTTCACCAAATAGGTTTCTAGTTTATAAATAAATAAATAAGAATTTATTTATGTTACTTCTTAAATAAATAAATATCTTATTTTCAAATTTTAAAAGCAAAATAATTCAATGACTTATTCTAAAAAATTATTAATAATATCCTAATTAATTATCACAAAAATTATAAATACAAAATCAATTTATGGTGGATATTGATTGCTTTGTGTCAATAATAATTTTTTCCATTAATTTATCAAATACTAAATAAATGCTAAGCAGAGTAATTACATATTTTTTACTTATAAATAATTCTTAAAATATAATAAAAATTAATTTTAACTTTACACACAATTTAAAATAATATCTTAAACCATATTTTATTGTTTTTAAAATCCGATTTATTGATTGGGATATTTTCAAAATGATTTTATAAGAACTAGCTAACTATTATATATATATGAATCATTTTAAATTAATAAAATAAAGAAGATAAATAATTTAATTAGTATGTTTGTTTGTTAAGTTTTTATATGTTTTTAAAGCAGTTTATTCAACTGTCTAAAGTTTTTTAATTTAAATAACTCTAAATAATTAATTTTATTAATATATTAATTAATTCTTTTGTTTCATATTATTTTGTTAAGACTTTTTCTTTTGATAGTATTTTTATTTTAATTCATAACTTTTATAGGGCTATGTAAGTAAGAATTCTGAGTTACTAAGACACTTGGTGTATTTAAATCTAATTAAGATTAAGTTAATGTAAACACACTCTTTTTGATTTCATTTATATCGTATGCTGTTTTTTTAGGGAAAAAGTTAACTCTGTTCGTTGCATTACTTTTGGAAGTTAGTGAAGAAACGGCAGTTGAAGGGGAGTTCGATTATATTTTACTTCTTGAATTAAAATTTACTTTTATTATTGGTTCCTATACAGGTTTTTTCTGGATACTTTCATTTATTTGAGTACTATTTAATGATATAGTTTTGCTGATAGGTGTTTCAAATTCTATATGTTTTACTTATTACTTTGTCTCTAAATTATTATTGGAACCACTTCTTCTACTCGATTTTATATCACTTAAATCTCTTGCACTAAACTTAATACTGCTATTATTTTCTAATTTTTGATTTCCACTATATGCAGGTGAAGGAGGTTATCTGCTGCTCCCTAAACTTGTTTCTCTTTTTAAGTTTTTAGTTTAAATATATATTAAGCTTCTTTTTTTTTAAGGAGGATGTTCTTTTATTTATTCTACTTCGATATTTTAACGAGAACTAAATATTGAAGCATCTTCTGAATTACGTTTATGTTAATTATCTTATTTTGATTCATCTTAAACACTTTTTTCTTAATTATCTTATTCATTTGTATTTAACCTTTGTGAGCTGCTATCTTAATTTATTCCTTGAGAAATATTTTTAAGCTTGATGTTAAAAAATGAACCACTTTATTATTGGTTGATTATTTAATCTTTAGAATTTTATTACCCTGCTCCTATGTTAAATGAAGAGGGAACCTAATTAGTTAGACTGTAGGTTTTTTCTTTATCCTTTTTTCCTTTCATCATTAAGATAGTTGATATTGTTCCTACTACTTTTTTTTGTATCATTTTTCTAGTTTTTTCTAATATTTATTTTCCATGTTTAATAGATTCAAAATCCTCTAAAAACATGCTATTATCTTAATAATCAAATTCATTTTAGAAGCTAATATTGTTAGAATTTTTTATCAATTTTTATATGAAAGATTCAAATTTAATATGTAATGGATTTTCCTAGCATTTCTCTTTCGTCCAAAAATTATCTTACTCTTATTTATAAGGTAAAAAGCTATATTAATCAGCAATTCTTGCCTAAATTTTAAATTTAAAAAAATTGTTTTAAATAAATCAATTTTGAATAATTAAAGAATACTCAAATCAAATTGTAAAATTTTTAATATTTACTTTTTATTTTCAGCATTTAAATTTTAGCTAAATTCCACAATAAAATAGTTTAGATAAATGAAAAATATATTGAAGTAGTTTTTTTATTAGGTTTAAATTTAAAATAAAAATATATTTTTCTTTATTAAATTATCATTTCTTGTAAGTAAAGCTTTTTAAAAATTTGTTAATTTCTCTAAATAATTTTGTTAAATTATAATTATTGTAAACATTTAATAATTATATAATAAATAAAATTAAGAATTATAAAAAATATTTATTTTTTTTTTTAGACTTTCTGTCTAAATATTTTATTAATTTATCAAAATTAATTTTACAAAGTTGAATTTTATTTTTAATTTTCTAATTAAAACTTAAATTTTTTTAAATCAAATTTAATATTGAAGAAAGATGATGAAATTAATTACCAATGCTTCTATAAAGGACATTAGATCCATTTGCATATGAGTTTATTTGTTTAATTCATCTATTTAAATAGGCAGACTTGAGTTAAATATAATGTTAATAGATTTTTCATCAAGCTATTAATTAAATTAACAATAAAATTATTTTTATTTGAGCAAACCAATAAACAGAATTAAATTACATCTATGAATTTGTAGTCTGATAAAAATTATTTAAAATCAAAGAGTCCCATCACATCTTTAGGATCTCTTCTTTTACTGTATTTGTTGAATAACTGCTGGAAGAGCTAGTAATATAATTTTATTATACTATCTACTTTTTCAGTATATAATTTATTATCTCTCCACTCCTAGCTGTCTGGAATATTATCTATTATACTTCCAAGTCCATGCTTAAACAATGTTTCTACTGCATCAACTAGAGTTTTACACAACCCTGGTTTTATATATTTATCAATACTTATTAAAGTAAATATTTCCATCATCTAATATCTAATCAAACAATTTTCTGGATTTAACATAAGCTGATATTCATTAAATAATTGAGGATGAGTTTTAGTTTCTGCTAAGTTGTTTGACATAATGAAACATAAGAGACTATCTTTTATTTTAAAATATCTTCCATCAACAATACCAGCTTCAACAACAAAATCTTAATAAATCTATTAGTTCCAACACCACAACTCACCATTTGGCTAATATGATGCATAATATTTATAAAGTTTAATAAGTTTTTAGTAATGAGGTTTAAGATAAACTCTTAGTTTTTCCAATTAATCCACCTCCTTAACAACTCTGGCTAGCCTAACACCCCATTTCCAATCAAAATCAAAGCATTAATTATAGAAATTATCATCTCGTACTTTTTAAAAAATAATTTTAAATAATATTTCGGAATCAAACAAATATTTTTACTATTCTTGACTCGATCTTCGAAAACTGAATTCTATATGTCCCATTAGAAATTAAGTAATTACTACTTAGGCATAAAAGCTTCTAGTTCTTATTTTCTTGGGATACAATCTATAGACATGGTATATTCGCTATCGTAAAGCTATAAAAATAGGTTTTTTAAAAAATTAATATTTAAGAAGGTTCTTTCAATAATAAAGATTATTTTTTTCATGGTAAATTAAGAAAATTAAATATTTTAATTTTTGTAAATATGTGATTAGAATATTTAAAATCTTACTTAGTTGCTCACAGATGACCTTAAAATATTTAATTTATTTAAGAAGCATTCTTTGGATTTATCAGCAAATTGTATAGTAATTGTTGCCTCTTAAATAGTCCACTATTAATCTTTGGCATGAAGTTAGTTGCCTGCTGCAGTAAAGAAATATAAAATTTTAGTATTAGGAGGAACCATCTAAAAAAGAGAAAAATACTTCCTTCCGTTAAAATTAATATATTTCATTTAATGTGGTTTGTAACCATCAAAATTAAAGTGAATAAAAACAGGAGGAAGCTCAACAGGACCAGAAAAAATTGGATTCCAAAGAAACTCTTTTTCTTGCCATCCTTCACATATCCAGCAATTCTCCATCACTCCAAACTTACCTTTTATCTCATTAGACTTAAAATTATAATATTAAACCAATGAAAAAATCTAATATTTTAATTACTGTTTTCATCCTTCTAAAAGTTGACTGAATCTCTTATTCCTGCTTTAATGAATTTTATTCGCAAGAGTTAATATTCACTAGGAAGCCTTGACAATCTATTTCTCCACTATTACCTTTGTAATGTAACCCATAAATTGTGTTATTATTTCTTAGCTCATTTGATATAATTTTAGAAGACACCTCATCAAATCTTAGAAGTAAAATTGTATTAGTTATAAAAAAAAATAAAAATAAATAGCTACCTGTTATAAGACAAATCTAAATGTATCAAACCACATTTTGAGTCCTTACTAAGCATTTTTGCCCAATAGACAGAGCATTCTGGATCACCTATTCCCATGGAATTATATGAAATATCTAAGACCTTAAGATAGTCATTGTGGTAAAGTGCCTCAGCAATTAATTTACCTCCAATGCCATTTATTCTATTCCAATGTAGCTTGAGTTCTCTTAGTCTGGTTTAGCCTTTCTGCTCATAGAATATAAATTATAAATCTCAAAACAATTAAATAAACAAATTTACGAGCATTCTATTTAAGTATATAGCACCTTAATTAGTAATCGAATTATTAGCTACATTTAAAATTTCTAAATGTAAGGCATACTTAGAGATTTTTTCAATAGCAGCATCTCCTAACTTTAAAAAAAATTTTAAAATAAAATCAGTAACCATTAATTCAAGGAGAATTTCTCATTAAAAAATATTAATCTTTATAGCTTTATTCAATTTTAAAACAAGCATTTTGTGATTTTAAAATTTCTTATTTTATGTTAAATTTAATCTATTTTGGCAATTAATTTTTTATTACCTTAAAATACCTAAATGAAAGATAGTAAGTAAGTAAATAAATAAATAAAGAAACAAATATTCCTTAATTTAAAAATCTATTTCAACCAATTTAAAAAATTGGTAATTTTTTCAAATACTTGGGATTTGGGATTGATTTTGATTATAATTTTATTTATTGATATTTATCAATTAATAATTATAAGTAGTTTTTTTTATTCACCTTGTTTCCTTCTAAATTTAGATCTTTGAGAGAATACTCTTAAGATAGCACATTCTAAAACGAATCCATGATTCTAAAAGTAAAGGTATTAAAAGACAAATCTAAAGACTAGGTCTCATAATTAATCAATTCAGATAAAATCATCTCTATGCCTTTGTCCTATTTATAAATTTTACTTTGCATCTAGCTTAAAATATATAAAATAAGGTTTAGAAAGTTAAAATTTCTACCTTGAAATTGTTATTACCAATTTCTACTGATTTTACTGGCTTGTGTTTTAATGTTTTTACTAAAAAAGGAGCATGCATATCACTTAATCCGTAGCCATTTATGTTAATCTATAAATTCTAGCTGCGGAAAGATTTTTATTTATCCTTTTAAAGCTAGTCTACCAGACTTATTGGTTTAGGCAAAACTGGTAATTCATTAGAGTAATTTCTAATTGCAAACTCTGTTTATTTTTATTTGAGCAAATAGGGCTAATCTTCAGCAGATCCAACAATATAATCTTTAAAGTTTCCTTAAATAAAGTTATTTTAAAGCATCATATCTAAGAACATATATGAGTCTTATTTCTTAAGAGACTTCTTTTCTTATTAATCTTCTTTTAACAAGTCTTTCAAAATATTTGCTTCAGATTTAGCCCTTTTTCCAGTAAATTTAGATTCGAACTGCTTAGCCTAAAATTTAACTTTAGAGAAGTTCTAGGTCATAAAAAATCTCTTTTCCTTTAAATTTTGCTTCATAGCATCATTGAGATTTTCATCATCATTAAAGTTAAAATAATTTATTTCTTTGTTTTGAAGAGCATCTTGTATCACTGATTTTTTTGTAGGAGAAGAAGTAGGAGTGAGACTGATCTTAGTAAATTTATTATTATGATTATTATTATGAGTGTTTTGGTTTTTAATTAAGGAATACATTTTATATAGGGTATTTAAGTTTGTTTGCAATAAAATTCTAGTATAAGTTTAATAAGGTATGTGTTTATTTATAATATGAATTAGTATGAGTTATTTATTAAAAACTTATTTAAGATTAAATTTTTTTTATTATATTGAAAACAAATAGATTTTAGATTAATATTTTTACTTAACTTTTTTAATATTCAACCAACCAACATACTTAAAATAGCTGCAACCTCATGTTAAAATATCAATTTTAAGGCTTAGCAAATTATTCTCAAATTGATAGTATAGTATCTAAATATGAATCTCAATAAATCTCTTTTCCAACCATTTAATAAATGTTAATAAAAATATACCTTTGACTTATACTGGATTTTTTAAAAAACAAATCAGTTCTTCAAATAAATGCCTTCTTACGACTGACTAAACTTAACATTTCTAATGACTCCATAAATTTGAATTTTTAATATGTCTTTTCTAATATTAAAATAAACTCTGAGCCAGTAGTGTTATTAAGACTTAAATTTATAAATATTAAATACACAATTTTATATTTTTTGAAATCCAAATTTTCCGTTTTAATAGAATTTAGAAAAACTATTTATGAAATACATAGATTTGTTTTATATAAATATTTGTAAAATTAGATGAGTATAATCAAAGAAATATTTTATGAAGCAATAAAATATTTATATTAGAATTCTAAGCATTTTCTTTAAAGAATTCAATATTTCTAATTTAAAATTTTTTTAACCAGTAAGTAAAAAGTAAAAATTTGGATTTTTTGTCCTTATAAAATAATAAATGAGATCATTTTATTAAATTATTAGATATTTTTAAAATAGAAAATAAGATTTTATTTATTTTATTTTATCATAATTTTAAGCTTTGAAAAAAAACATTTAATTTTTTAAGAATTGAAAATAAAATTATATTGAATATGTTTTTAAATCCCTAGACTATACATTTTAATTTTGTTAATAAATAAATAATATGGATTAGTATTTTTATACTTCTTTAAAGAGTTACATTCAAAAAATTTAAAAGTATAGATTTCTAAATAATGATTAATTCATTTTCGAGATATTAGTTGAACACTTATATATCTTCTATTTGTTAACACAAAAATGGATGCTTTTTTTGGATTAACTATTATATTAAGTTTTATTATGGTATAGTTTAAAAATGAAAGATATTATCTTTTATTTTAAAAGCTTATTTGATTGTAATTTATCTATAAAGTTATATTTATGAATGTCTTATTATCTTTGAGTGTTTTAGATGAGACATACTTTTATTTTTTTTCTAAGACTCACTAATTCATACTGGAATATGAAATTTACCATTCCCAACTCCTGTAGCAGAAAGAATAATGAGTACAACTATTACTACAACAATAGTACATAGGAGACACATGAGAATTTTATCTGTGGAGACTTATTTAGCAAAATAAGTAATTAGTTTTCCTGTTCTTTTTAACATACTTTGTGTGTCCATTACATTTTAATTAATTGAATCTAGCTTATCTATTTATCTATCTAATTCGATAGTGATTTAATTAGCTATTTCAATGTCTTCAACCAAAACTCCTTCTATTTCCCTTAGTCTTTTTTCACCTATTTATATTTAACAAATATTAAGGCAAAATAAACAATTTAAAATGATTTACCATCCATTTATACATCGTTTGCATACTAAATCATCTAGTCCTCTATTTTAATTAAAATAAAAATATTAGATATTTATCCATATGTTGTTCTTAATTTTTTCTAAAATTACAATCCATCTTTTTAATATCAACTTTTTCTAAATCTTCTTGATATTTTTATTTTCTATCTCCAAATAGCTTTTCGGCGGCTTCATTGCCTTCATTCTTCTTTAATTCAAACTCATTTTTTAGCAATTTAAGCTTTTTAATGTACTTTTCATGCTTTACTCTATATTTATCTTCTTCATGTCTATCTAAATTACTTATTTCGAAGTCAAAGGTTTCCAAATCAGTAGAAATATTTCTCAGCTTAAGTTCACAATTTTTAATTCTATTTTATCTTTATTATCCCTCAACATTATTTATTTTTTCAATTAACTTTTCTAGCTCGACAAATTAGCTTTCTATGTTTTCATCTTATTCTTCAATAGAACTCATATTAATATTTTACAAGTTATTAATAACTAATAGTTGTTTATTTGATTATAATTTTTAGCATGAAATTGTTAAGATCTCTTAAATCAATAAGATAATAATAATAGCATGAAAAAATTGAATAATTCTGAAATGCCAAGCATTTAAACTGTTCATTAGAAATAGATAAAATTAAAGCAAAACCTATCAGATATAATAACATTATATTTAAATAGATTTATTATACTCTAAATATTTACACAAACCTCTCAAATAATTTTGAAAAAACTTCATAAAATATTTGATAATTTCGAATTAAAATTTTAGAAAATAAATAAACTTAAATCTTTTTATTTTACACTTAAAAATTATTTTAATGAGTGTAGGAGGACCTTTTAATTTAGAATATTTTTTAAAAAGTGAATTATAATTTTAAAAACTACTATTTAACTGTTCCATATTTATGATAAATATTTTATTTTTGAAGATCTTATTAAGATTTAACTATGTAAATTATGGCCTTTAATTTATCAAAACTTTGAATTCAGTTTATTTTATTTTATTTACAATCATCAAGTATCTTTAGCTATGATGAAAATTCGAAGCTTTATTTTTTTAAGTATAGCAATCAATCTATGTAAATTTTTTAATTATAGTGAGAAGCAAGAAATGATAATAGTAAAAATCACTAAGAATATAAAATCAAATTATAATATTAAAGATTTACAGTTTTTGCTCTAGTCAATTCGATGCAGAATGTGATTTTGTCTAAATATTAGTTGAAAAGCTAGAAAATTAATTAGATAAGAATCAAGATTTGTACAAAAAATCTATTACAATGAATGCAAAATAATATAAAACATTTAATAAAATTGAATGTATGTACCAAATCAACTTTATTCTTTAGTTTTTTCAAAAAAATAAGTTAAAAAAAGTAAGAGAAGAAGTCATGATAAGATAAAAAATAGATACTTTTAATCTAAATAGTCAAGATTTAGAAGTATATTACAATTATTATGCAATAATTAAAAGGATATGCCAAATAAGAAAAGAAAAACAATCTAGTAATTGAAAAGATATTATAGAAGAGAAGACGGAGTGGAGTGTACATGATGAATACGGTTTAGATATGTAGTTGTTAGCAAACTATTGTTAATATGTCTTAAGCAAGTAAGCAATCAAACATGCAAGCTGAGGAGAAAAATTAGATAATTTTGAAATTTATTAGACTAAATACAATTTATAAGGGGAAATGGAAAATTAAATAATATGAAGGAAAAAATATAAATAAATAAATAATTAATTAATTAAAAAAAAAAAGAAAAAGAAAAATTTCTTTTTAGTTTATTAACAATAATAATATAAATAAAATTAAAACAAAACATTTGAAATTAATAATTATAACAAAATACAACAAAGTGATTATTCCTAAGAAAGGGGGAAAAAAGAATAGAAGAGATTGCAAATAAATTGATAAGTTTATATTGATAGAAAACAATATAATATAAATCTCACGATACACTATCGATCGATATACAGTAAATAACGTAGAATTAATATAAATCTGAAGTGGGAAAACAAAAAACACTGAAACAATAAACTTTTATTCATCTAAGAACTGAAAAAAACCTTGTTGGACATTTTTATTTAAGTTTTAACTTCATTCTTCTCCTGATTGTTTGATAGACATCAAAACAACATTAGCAACATTATTACTTATAAATAAAATATAAACGATTTATAAACAATGGCTGACGAGCAAGAGATTGATGTGGACGTCTCGATGGATTCTGAAGAATAAAATAGCAGTTATACTGTTTCTAACGCTGCCAATAAGAAAAATATGCAAGATGAGCAGAGCTTCGATTTAAAAAATTCTGAAACTGGAGTAGGTAAAGTGAGAAACACAGCTAAATAAAATATTCAGAATCCTACTAACCAAGATAATATTTCCAAAAGAGAAATGAAAAAAATTTTATAACAAATAAGCCTGAGTGAGAGTTAACCCTTTAAGTAAAGTACTAAAGGTCGTAAAAAGGTAACATATCAATTGAAAATTAGAGATTATCTCATTATTTTAACTTTCAAATATCATATCTGTAAATTTGCATTATATCGAATCCTCAATCAACCTCCATAATTAGCCAAAAGTAGGAGGAAAAGTAGTTAATTATGGCATTCAAATTAGTGTAAAGGGATTTTCGATGCAGTATTCGCGGTTGAATCAACAACTTTGTTTGATTTTTAGTGATGAATTACTTCTTTTTCTGCTAGATGGATGTCTGATTTTAAATATCCAAGTGTTATTTCAAGATTTGTTTGTTAAACAATACAATCCATTTTATTAGCAATAGAAATAAGTTTATTATGACACAAATGGAACTAAACGAATAGCTAGCTATCCATAAAAATCTTATATTTTATTTAGTACATGCTGATTGATTTTAAGATTTTTCTATTAGCACACATAAAAAAGTTAACTCTTTTTTACTAAAAATCTGTAGAGAAAATGCAAGAAAATAAATTTCGATTAAATGTAATGCAAGTAAATTCAGCAAGAAGCACTATCTTAAGATAAAAAATGAGATTATACTTAAATAAATATGAAAGAAATAATTATTTCAGCATAACTAAGATTAAATTAGAAAGCACTTAAGTATGAAAGAAAGAAAGAAATAAATATATATATATATCAGCATAAACAAACAAGTTTAAAGTGTTATAGATAAAAAAAGAAAAATCTAATTAAAAAAATCTCTGATTTAATAAGAAAATTGTTATTTTTTTTCTAGAGAAAATTTAGTGAAAGTATTATTTGCTTTATTTATAAAATAAACGAAATGGGAATACGAATATATTTTATAAATAAAATATAATTATTTGCAATTTGTTTAAAATTTCACCAATCAATCCTGACTTAACATGATTTTTTTTCTATATTTTATAGTAACGAGAGGCTTTCGATATAATCAAATTAGAATAGATTATATATATTCTTAATAAGGCATGTCTTAATTTATAATTAATGTTTTTATATTTCTTATTTTCAATAGGTAAAAAAGCAAGAAGAAAAAAAAACGCCTCAATCTGACTCATCGATAGAGCATGAATAAAACCATAAGCCTACCCTCAAAGAAACTAGTAATTAATAACCTTCAACTTCCACTAATTCTTCCTCAGCGAAATTAAATGGATAAGTATAAATTTCGGTATTTCAATAATAATCATAATAGCAACTTTAGCAGTAATAGTTATAGTAACAATAGTAATAGCTAGCTCAGGTTTAGTAATAATATTAAACTAATGGATCAATTGGTGGTCTCGAAAGAATAGTAAATGCTATATAAATTGACTAATAAAATAATCTAAATGTAGTTCTAAGCAACTAATCAGAAAACTATACCATGAATTTACCTTTATCAACTTAATAAAATGGTGCACTCTTAAATTAATAGTAGTAATAATTGTATTACTAATAATATGCTCAAAAAGCAAATATGGTTTAATACTCTAGTTAGTAATAAAACAATATTATAGTCACAAACGATGATTCTGATTCATGCTCGTATGATAACTAGGATGATAGAAGCAATGCTATAAGTAATTCAAATATGAGTAATATTAATTCTCAGTAAGGAATGAATGGAATTTCTTAAAATAACATGAATGGCCCTAACAGCAATACAACAAACAATCCCTTACTAATGGGTAATCAAGCTGGCAAGAGAAAAAAGACATAAAAGAAATAAAAGGAATATAGTATGTAAAATCTACCTAATCCTCAAGAAAGCGGTCTTATCAGTAACATACAAGTGATATCTTCAGAAGGTAAAATGTCCAAATAAAATTCATCAAGAAGCAACTAAGTTTCTAGTTAGAATTAAAATATTTAAAGCAACCAGACTCCTATTGTAGCTTCATTTACCCCAAGAAAATAGTCAAGCTAAACAAATTAAATTCTTCCATAATCATCACTTGATATGAGTAATTTTTAAAAACCAGCACAACAAGAGTTAAATGGAAATAATGGGAAAACAATTCTAATTACAAATAATAGCAATATAATTTAACTTTAAAGAAAGAATCCTGAAGAAGTTAGTTTAGTAAATCAAAATGTTCAATAATAATAAAATCTTGAGGAGACTACGAATCGCTCAATAGAGTAGTAATAATTCTAAACACAAAATAATATATCTGCACAGTAGGCAGCAGCAGCAGCAGCTTAAGCTCTGGGAATTCAATCTATTCATATAAAAAATCCAGCTTTTTAAATTCAAGGATTAAATTTACAGTCCAATTAAGCAGCTAATAATTTTTAAAATATCGCTCATTAAGTTCCTCCTCAATAACCGTAGCATCATTACCATCCTACAGTTAATCCATCAGCCTTACCCCAAGTGCTTAATTCCGTTCATAATATGATAAATATTCCTAGTTAACAGATATAATAAATTTAAGAACCTATTTAAAATATTTCAAATATCAATAATAACAACAACAATAATAATAATAATAATACAAATAATATAAATAATGCAAACAGTATCAACGGTAACACCACATTAAATTTATTAACTCATTCTACTTCTGTATAAGTCAACAGTAGTACTTATGCTGAATAACCTACAATCAACAGCTAAACAAATTTATAAAATGATCCAAGCAAAACAAAGAAAAAGAAAAGATCAAAATTAAATGGAAAAGCTGAAACACATATATAATAATAGTAGCAAGCAATAGGATAATCTTAATAGCAATAACAAGCTACAAATCAAACATTATAGCCCCCACAAAAGGTACCTAATAATATGACTACCTTATACTCTAAGATACAAGATGAGGTAATCACTTCTAACTAGAACAGTAATATGATAGGTTAGCTATAGGCTCAGACAAATGTAGGCGAAAATCAATAGCATGGTTTAATTTCACCTGTATCAAATAGTAACACCTTCAACTAAAATATGATTAATAATTACAATAGCAATAATGGTTCTGCGGTTGTTGCTAAACCAGATAATAATGCCGATTAAGAAAATGAAAATGAATTCACACTTCAAGATATGCAAAAGTTAGCCTAATAACCACCAATTTTAGGTATTTAGCCTTCATAGTAATTAATAAGAGAGTAGTCAAATTAAAAATAGCAAATTTAAGCAAAAAAAGCAAGCAGAAAAAATGAGTAAGAATATAAATAAAAAATGAAAAAAGGTCCTTTGAATTAAAGCGCTTTTGAAGATCAAACTGCCCTATTTCTTAGGCTAAGCAATTACTAAGATAAATAAAAGAAGGAAAGAGAAGAAGAAATAGAAAAGCACTTAGAGGAATTGAATGAATCTACTCATAGCTAGAATGGATAAACTGCAATTCAATAATTCAACACTTCTTCTCTTTTTTAGCAACCAGCTTAATCAAACTCTTTCCTGGGAAATGTATTTAGCTTATAAAACTCTACCAGTATTAAACCTATGCTATAATTTAAAATTGGTAGTGCATTTAAGCAAGAAAATGAAAAACTTGAAATAAACAGCTAAGACAATGATTCTTAAACTAATGGTAACAGCAAAACACCTGTTGTTGGTTCAAATAGTAATCAAAACTCTTTAAAAAGCAGGATAAAAAAATTAGATAATTCTTAAATTTTAGATAAAACTCTCATAATTTAAGATAAAATAACTAAAAAATTTAAAAACTAACATTTTCCAGAGAGTTTTAAGGAAGCCTTTTCAAGTTTACATTCTGATTTCTCAACTACCTACTTAGATCCAAATTATTTTACTAGAGTAGTAACCTTTTTCAATCGCCAATAAGAGTTTAGTAAGGTTGGTGAAAAGGACGAAACTGAAATAATTGATTACTGAAATAACATGAATATGTCATACCAACTTGATAATGATAATTATTGTTTTTTAATAATGTATATGTGATCAAAGATATTATTTCAAAGACAGAGAGTACCTTATCATAAATAAAATTCAATAAATAACATTAATAATTCTAAAATAAATAATAAATTAATTTAATAATTATCAGATAGATAACTTGGCTACCATCTGATAATTTCACAGCGAAATTGCTTTTACTTTTCTTTATCCTTTCTTCAATTAAGCAACTAACTTACTTACTTATTAACTGACTGGTTAACTCACTCACTAAGCACATAATTATTAATTAATTTTATTAAAAATTTTAAAATACTAACTAAGAAAGAAAAATAAATAGTTAAAGTCTCATGAGAGTCATACACCACTTAATAAAAAACACAACTATCTAAACTATCTAGTTTAAAAACATAAATAAATAAAACTTTTCAAAATAAAAAACAATTTATAAACAGAAAAAAAAACTAGAAAATTAATGTAGTGAACAAGGTGCCTTGCTGATACACATTTTAAATAATATTCTTTTAATCATACAAAAAATTTTACATAAAATAAATTAAAAAATAAAAAAAACAAATAAGCATGAGTAATAAGCACTTCACACAAAGCAAGCTAATATTTAAAATGATAAAGTCTGCTCTTGTGATGAGCAGAGTTATTTGTATATTAATTAATTGAATGATTCGATTTATGAATAGAGAGATAATATTTATTAGTTAAGATCTCTCAAATAATTACCTTTATTTCTATACATTTTCAAAAACAACTAAAGTCTATTTATATATAATATACCTTTTTAATTTATTCTCCTTATTTTTAATTTAGCGACATATTTATCAAATTATAGAAATTAATTAAGATATATTATAAAATAATCTATCTATTTATCTATCAAATTAAATATTCCTGCCATTTATCTTCTTCATTCATTCAATCAAACATTAAATTTTAATAAAATTTCATATTTTACTATTTAAATTTAATATTATGTTAATTAATTAATTAAACAATCAATTAATTAGTTAATCTTTAAGAATGATGAAAAATCTATTAATTTTAAACATTTAAATTAGTTTTATATTAAATGGTCAATCGATGATAACTAATTCATTTTTATTGCATGATAAGTTTTATTTTTTTCAATCTATGATAAGCAATTTATTTTTATTGCTTGATAAGTTTTATTAATCTTTATTAACTTATTAAAATTTAGTTCATTTTTATGTACTGAAAAAATAAAATTTAATTAGCTTAAATTTATAAAATTAAAATCCATAAATTTTTTAGTGCTATTAATTAAGAGTGTATATACCTGTAATTATCACACTTATTAACAGAAGAAAAAATAATTTAACCAAAATTTGAACTTAATTAAAAATTTATGAACAAAACATACCATTTTATACAGTTGAATCTTAAAAAATAAAAAATAAGGTAAGATCAATAAAATTTACATACAATATATCCCTAAAAAATAACTTTAACTTAAAGTAAGAAAAACCTAATTTAAAAATAATTATTAGTTATGAAACTACTTAAAATTATATTTCATTTTTTTGAAATCTTAAATTTGATTTCACCTAACCTAGAGGGTTATTATAGTTATGCATCTAATTAATTTGACGTAATAAGTAGTTTACAATTCTTGAAAAATTAAAGAAGTTTGTAAAATAAATAGTTTATTTAATGTCTTGCCTTATAAATAAACACAGAGAGAGAGAAAAATCTTAATTTATTACTTTTGTATAAAAAAAATACAAAATACATTAATTATTACATTTTCTAAAATAATAAAAATTAAAAATTCACTTCAAATCAGAAAAGCAATATTCTGAAAATAATAAATAAACATGAAAGTTTTATTTTAAAGAAAAAATAAATAAAATATTTTAATACTAAGATTGGTTTTCAAAGTAATTTTTACTCAATCAATCAATAAATAAATAAATTAAAATTTAAAAAATAAATACACAATAATTTGAAAAATGTTAAATAAACAATGTAAATAGACTTAAATATCATTCATTTTACTTCAATTAAGTAGTAATTTTTCTTTCCAAACCTAGCAACTAAAAATCTGTTAGCAAGCAGATTTTCAGATAATAAGGTTTGCAAGTTATCAGAATCTACTAAGCTTATTCTCTTATTATTAATATAAGCACCTCCATTTTCAATATTTCTTTTAATTTCAGCTTTATTTTTTAAAAGCTTTAAATCTCCTATCATATCAATATAATTTTTGTATTTTTAAAGATCCTTTCTTTCAACAGTATGTTTTTCATTAAATGAGCTAAAGAATTCTATTATCTCTGACTCAGATTTCTCATTCTTTTTATACAAATAGAAAAAGTTTTTAATTTATTCTCTTTTATGTTTATTGGTTTTATTTTTTAAATTCATGATTCAAATGAATTATTTACAAATTTAGAAAAATCTGTTGTGAAAAATTTTTAAGCAGTTGTTTATGCCCCTTATTCTGCTGATTAACTATCTCCTTATACCATTCCGATAATCTATTCTGCTAATGTATTCTAGGCTAATCTCTTTCCTGCATCTTCCATATGCTTTTTCTCAATCTAATAAAAATCAAAATTTAAATAGTGATAAAAAAAATAAAAAATATACCTCTTCTATTTAGTGTAAAGGTAAGAAACTAAACATTTTCAAATAATTTATAGATAGCTAATCTGGTACATTTATCAAATATTAAAATATATCATAAGATTTAGTTTTAGCAGGATCTAACCAGAGAGCATTCCCTTCACTTTTTCCAAACTTCTTTCCTTAAGCAGTTAAAACTAAATTTGTAGTAATACCATAAACTTCAGCTCTATGCTTTCTTCTAATCAATTCGATTCCACTAGTTATATTACCCCACTAATCACTACCACCAACTTAAATTATACAGTTCTATTTAAATTAAACATTTATTGATATGAAAATACTATTTTGAAAATAATTATATTGGTCAATAATTATTTAATAAATACCTTATCTAAAAACAATTTTTCAAAGTCGTAGCCTTAAAGTAGTGTGTAAGTGAATTCTGTGTATGAAAGTCCATCTTCAGTGTTAAGTCTATTAGCTATAGTCTCCTTATTCAAAAGATTTCCCATTCTAAAGTGCTTTCCTATAAAAGAAATAGGTAAAAAATTTAAAAAATAAAATTAAGAAATAGTAAGTAGAAGTTTAAACAAACAAACAAATAAATAAACATAATAATTTTTAAGAATATTTAATTTTACCAATATCTCTAATAAAATCAAGTATGTTCATATCTTTATAGAAATCGTAGTTATTTATTATCTATAAGTCTTCCTTTTAAATTAATAAAAGAAACATTAATACTTTGCTTATTATGTTTGTATCAGTATCTATTGAATTTAGTTTTTGAGGACATTAAACTTTCAAAAATTTCTATTTCTTAAATTAAGATTCAATAACAAATTACTTTTGCAGGGATATAATCTATTTCTAATTTTTGTTTATTTTTTTCAAGAAAACTGTATATGTTGCTAGTGCATTTTCTTAAGGTATTTTCTATGCCCTATACATTACTTAAAACTTCTTCTTTTGTAAGCATATTTCTCTCTTATGTTTTTCCAGAAGGATCTCCAATTAAACCAGTTGCTCCTCCTACAAGAAGAATTGGCTTTATTCCTAATAAACTAAGGCGGATCATTGTAAGAATAGAAATCAAATTTCCCATGTGGAGGGAATCAGCAGTTGGATCAAATCCTGCATATGCGCTGAATTATTTTTAATTATTTACTTATTTATCACCTTATGCATTATATTGTTAGATTAAATGTTAGTAGAAAGTATCCTTTGTAAGAATATCATTTGTACACTAAAATAAAAGCTCTCTATTTTATAATTCTTTAGCAGGACCAACTTTAGAGTGGAGTTAGTTGCTTGAAAAATAAAAAGCTACTTTGTTTTAAAATAAAAATCTAGATTGCTTCTATAAATTGTTTTAAAGTATCCTTTACATCTTACTAAAATTTTTAATTATGTTTTATTATTCAAAATTAATGATTAATATCCGAAAAAAAGATTATTTATTAATTAAAATTTTGATTTTATTAAATTAAAACAAACAAATCTTTTACTGATATCTTTTTAAATAAATGATAAATAGGATTATTAAAATAATTTATATTATCTAATTCAAATAGATACTTTATTTAACATCAGTAGTAATGCTTTTTATTAAAATAATTTTTTTCACTAATTTTATCAATTAAAAATAAATTTTATATTTTTGTAACTCTAAAACCTTTTAATTTCAAATTAATAAACCATAAATAATACAATTTATTTTTTTAACTTGATTAAAATAATAAATATTACAAATTAGTTAGATTTTTTCTAATTTTATTTTTGAAAAATAAATTTAATTTTAGATTGTTTTAGTTTGTTATAGTGAATTAAATAAAAATATTACATAACTATTTAATTTTACTTACTCTAAATAAGATATTTTCAGCCATACAATATTTCTTGATATACCAAGTAATTTTTATAAAAACTGTCTGATAAGGCAAGCAGCAGAATAAAAAAAACTTGATGAACAGAAAAATAAATAAACAAAAAACAATACTTCTTTACCATCAAGTACAAAATTAAAGTCAAGGAAAAAAAAAAGAGCATGCCAATTGATTGATAATTAACACTATTTCAAATTTTAGTTTTGTAAACAAAGGAAAATCAAAAAAAATTACTTCTTTTTAACTCATACATACTAAATCTATATATATATTTATATACTTGTATTATTTTCATTTTTTATGAATGTTTTATTTAATTTCTTTTATATAAAATTTGTTTTGCCTTCATTGCTATTTAACTTTTATCATCGGAGCTAGTCCCCTGAATTCACTTTCTTATAATTAAACTCCATTTTAAACATATTTGTAATACATCATCTATTAGAATAAAATTTTACCAACTCTAACAACATTGTAAAATTAATTATTTTCATCAATTATATCGACAAAAGAAATTCTTGGAGTAAATTATCCTTTTTGATTTTTGGTGTTAAAAGCTTAAGCATCAAAGTTAACATTTAAATATTTAGAAATAGCATCTGGGTCATCAAGCTAAAATTAAATTTAAAAGCTTGGAGCTGTTTTCAAACTAGACCATATGCCTGGCTAGCTAGGTAGGAACTGAGAAATGTCAGCAACCTTTCTTTAAGTTAAAAGTATATTACTCATTTAACCAAATAATTTAAGAGGTAAAATTATTCCATCTATAGTTGGGTCTAATAAAATTTGAGCATCTTTCAAAATATTTTATTCGTTAAAATATAAATCAGCAAGAACTAAATCATCAGCTATCTTATAAGGGAGATTTCTCATTACCGATACTGACTTGAGATTATAAAATTCCTAAGTTAATAAGCTTTGATTATATCCTCCTATAGTTAAGTTATATGAATTAGCTGCATAATAAAGTGAGTAAGAGAAATTTTCAATCTTGGCTTAGTTATAAAGAGAACTCCAAAAAGAACTTTAGACAACACGAGTTAATGCTAAACCAATTCCTTGGTATTAGTATGTTTGATTATACTATAATTAGCTTATCCACTTTACATACATTCCGTATGATAAGTAAAACTCAATGCTATCTAAAATAAGATTCATGTCAATGATTGACCCTCTAGCCTTGAAATTTTAGTCAACAACTCCTTCAGTTGAGGTGTGTTCACTACAATATTCTTCTTTATTACAAATAAATGGTTTTCCATTTTTAGTACCATATATTTGACAATTAACACAGTCTGGTGAAGTGAAATATGTTTCCGACGAAAACAAAGTCATTTGCATTTAAACTTATCCAAGTATATTTAGCGTAGCGTTAGTTTTAAAGTTGTCATCTAGCTTAAAAGTAATTAGATTCTATGATGAATTGGGATATTAAGTCAATAATAGATTACTTTTACAAAAAATTATAGCTAAAATCAGACTAAAAATAATAATTTTTTTCATTTTTTTAAATCTGTATTTTTATGACTAAATTATTTTTTTTGATAAATGTATCAATTAATTAATTTTCTTCTTTTAATTTAGAAAACCCAAATAGATAACTATATAAACAAATTTCTTTTATTAAATAGATTCATATATCTATAAAGATTTATAGATTTTTTATCATAAAATGATACATTTTAAAATTTACAAATTTAATAATACTTATTTTGACGAATTGGTGATTAATTTAGAATTAAAAATTTATTAAATTGATAAAATTAATATTATTTCATAATTAAAAAAGCAAATTAATTCAAATAATAAGTATTGCTTTTCCTTGATTATTTAATAATAAAAAAAACAAGAAACTTCACATTTAATTAAATTTATCTATTTCTATTTCAAGTTAATTAATCAAATTAAAATTACTTCAATTGAAAGCAAATACAATGAATTTAAAAATAAAATATCAATAAAATTATAGATTTCATAATTTATTTATATATAAATTAATTAATACTTTATTAAATAAAATAAAAAAAGGAAAAAAAAACAGTAAACAATTATGATCAAATTTATAGATTATTTTTTATATTATAAAATTAAAATTAAAAATATTCATTTAGAATTTAAGAGTAAACAAATAAACATATTAAAATAAATTAAAAACAATAAATTAATTAATTAATTAATTTTTTTATAAGTAGCTTCTTAGCTACAGAAAAATAAGCCACTAATAGCAAAAATACGGTTAACAGGTTAAGCTTTTTGTGACATTATAAAATCTATACTTATAATAAATTTTAAAATGTTTTTTATTGATAATGAGTATAATATACTGATTGGTCTATTGACATAAAATTAGGTGCAACTCTGATTGTCTATTAATGGATACAAATTAATTTTTGTTAAATTTTCTGATAAGGTAATCAGACAAATAAAAAGAAATCTGATGATCTAAATAAATAAAAAATTAAAAATTAATCCTCTTTATTTTTAAGTATAAAACTAAATTAAATAAAATAAAAAGTGCATGGCAATTTATTGAGAATTAACATTTTTTTCAATTTTTTTTGTTAACTACAGAAAAACAAAAAAATTAATGTTTCCTATTTAAAAAATTCATTAATTACAAATTTATATTTATTTGTATTATTTTTTATTTTATCAATGCTTTTTTTAATTAATTTTATATGAATTTAGTTTTTTTTTCATTTTTATTGAATTTTAATCATCGGAGCTAATCCTCTGAACTCAGTTTTTTATGTTTAATCTTCAATTTGTATGAACTTGAAATACATCATCTATTAGAATAAAATTTTACCAACTCTAACAACATTGTAAAACTAATTATTTTCATCTATTATATTGACAAAAGAAATTCTTGGTGTAAATTATCCTCTTTGATTTTTGGTGTTAAATGTTAGAGCATCAAAGTTGACTTTTAGATATTTAGAATAAGCATCGGGGTCATCAAGCTTGAATTAAATTTAAAAGCTTGGAACTGCATTCAAACTTGACCATATGCCTGGTTATTCGGGTAGGAACGCAGAAATATCAGGAACTTTTCTTTAAGTTAATAGTATATTATTCATTTAATCAAATAATTTACGAGGTAAAATTATTCCATCAATAGTTGGGTCTAATAAAACTTGAGCATCTTTCAAAATATTTTATTCGTTAAAATATAAATCAGCAAAAACTAAATCATCAGCTATCCTATAAGGGTCACTTCTTCTTTCAGATACAGACTTGAGATTATAAAATTCCTAAGCTAATAAGCTTTGATTATATCCTCCTACAATTAAATTATATGAATCAACTTCATAATAAAGTGAGTAAGAAAAATTCTCAATCTTGGCTTAGTTATAAAGAGAGCGCAAAAAAGTACTTTAGACACAGTTAGTTAATGCTAAACCTATTCCTTGATATTGGTATGTTTTACCCTACTATTATTAACTTATCCACTTTACATAGATTCCCCTTGATAAATAAAACTCAATGCTATCTAATATAAGATTCATGTCAATTACTGATCCATTAGCCTTGAAGTATTAGTCAACATCTCCTATTGCTTATAAATGTTCAACACAGTATTCTTCTTTATTACAAATAAATGGTCTATCTTCTTTAGTACCATATATTTGACAATTAACACAGTCAGGTGAAGTGAAATATGTTTCCTACGAAAACAAATTCATTTGCATTTAAACTTATCCAAGTTAACTTAGCGTAGCGTTAGTTTTAAAGTTGTCATTTAGCTTAAAAGTAATTAGGTTCTTAGAAGGATTAGGATATTCTGTTTTTAATAGATTACATTTACAGAAAATAATAGCTAAAATCAGGCAGAAAATAATAATTTTTTTCATTTTTTTAAATCTATATTTTTTTTATTAAATTATTATTTTTTAATTTGTTCTTTTAATTTAGAAAATCCAAATAGATATATATATTTAAACAAACAAATTTCTTTTATTTAATAGATTCTGATTATAAAAATCTTTATTACTTTTTTAAAAAAAAAAATGTATTTTAAAATGTATATATTTAATAACAGATCTCCGAGTTTCTGATTTAATTTACAAGAATCACATCTAAATAAAAAGATAACATTTACATTATTTCAGTATTAAAAAATAAATTAATCCAAATAATCAGTAAATTATATATTTTATTATTTTATAAAAAATGATATAAACTTAAAACTATAATTACATTTTTATTTTACAAAGTATAAATTTAATAAGGCAAATATTATAATGATAAATAATTTTTATTAAAATTAAATTAAAAATCAAATTTTAAGTTTTCAGTGTAAAAAAATATTTTAAAGTAAATAAATACTCTCTAATATTTTCAAAAATAATTATTCTTAGCTAAATAAGAAGGTTTTTCAGCTCATATAGATTTGAATAAAAAATGATATAAATTCTTAATTATTTAAAAGAATAAGCTTTAAAATTTAACAAAAATTCCTAAAATAAATAAATAAAATATATTCTACAAAATTTTAATTTATTTTGAAAAGCATGTTTAATATAGATAGATCTGATTAAAGTATATTTAGATAAAATTTTAATATTTTTATCTTCATATTCTATTACATTTTAATAAATATAAATATATTTTATCATATTTTTTTTTACATTGTTTAAAATTTGAGAGTTTTTATCTTTGCTTAGTGATTGAAGCTTGCAGTGATTTATGATTATTCAAAATTTACTTATAAATTAGATTGTTACTGCTCACTTATATCTTAAATATCTGAGTTAAATGAACTTAATTCATTATCTTTTTGATTTTCAGTTTTATTTTTTAAGTTACTATCCGCCTCATTGGTACCACTTTTAATATCATTTTTTTTGTAGGCATCATCTAATTCCACAATCTCTTTATTTGGATATTCATCAATTGAATTGACATTTATTGTTATGTCTTCGTTTTAAATAATATTTTAATCAGCTTTTTTGAAATTATTAAGCTTTTAATATTCTGTGGGTGAGTAATAAACTGTTTCAAATATTTATTTTGCATCACTTTATTAGTTATTTATAGATTGATTAGGATCGTTATTTATATGAGTTGAATTCTTCTTGTACCTTTAAAATAGACTAGTTTGTTTTTTCCTTTGATAATTTACATCTAAAAATATGTCAAGGCTAACTGTAAATTTTTGATCTTTTACCTCACATTTTAATTTATCAGGTTAACCGATGGATTTAAGTAAAAATTTTGAGAGCTTTAAGCCATAGCTTTCTCCTTTTTTCCTTGCTAAAAATGCTATGTGTATGCTATTATTACTGCTATTTCCATTTTCTGCTTACTAGTCAGAACCTTGTTAAAAATTTTATGAAAACTAATTTAATGTGTCTAAGTTGACGCTAGGGAGAAGATTTTTAGAGTCTTATAAAAGTTAATTTTATAGAAAGAAAGCAATCTGGTTTTCTTCATCTTGATGAATCTCATTTATAATTTATATGTTTGCACAATTTTAGTTATCAGAGATAGTGATCTGGATTGAAGATTGGTATTTGCAATATAAAAAAGCATTATGCAAGACATTATATAGAATTATATGTACCTTTTTTGAATTCTGAGTAATTTATATGCTCTAAACTTTTATTTATTTTATGATTTTTATTTATTTTTCTATTATCAATACCTCAAATATAGAAATTATTTTTGTTATAACCTTATCTAAATCAATCTGCTCTGCAGCTTGTCTTTGATTTATAAGGACATTCTAACCAAATTCTAAATCATATAAAGCATTCCAATTCTAATAATCATACATCAGCCTGTGATTATTGTAATTAACCCTAAAAATTAAATTTTTGATTCTGTTATTTTAAAAGTTAACGGATTTCGGAGATTAAATATTTAAAGGTATACTAAGTGTATTATTTTAATTTAAAAATAGATTGTTTCCAGCTTTTGGAGAAAAATTATTATTAATAACAGGAGTTGACTCAATGTTATTTACAAAGTTTTATATTTAATTATAAAATGGCTGAATGTTATTCATGCTTTCTTGTGTTAAGTTGAAATAATCAAAGTTCATGCTTCCTTATTGATAATTATTGTCTTAGGTTTGAAAAAATTACTATTATTTTGTTTCTTTAAGAGGGGAACATAAAATACTATATTAAGACCCTTTTAAGTTATTTAAAATATTTTCTGCATTTTCCTCTAGCGTATTATTTATCTATTTATGAGAAATATTGTTATTAAAGCTTTAATTATTTCCTATATCGCTAATTTGTAAATTCTTTTAGAATGGCTTCACATGCTTTTGTTCTGCTTATGGTAAATTTAAGGTTTTTTTTGTTTATGCCTGTCTTCCAAAATGCTATTATTAGCAATTTTGCTAATTATTTATTAAATTTGTTTAAATATATGAGTTTGATGGAGATATAATAGAGTGAGCAAACACTGATAAAAAATCAGAGTACAGACATTTCCAGTCTTTGATTTGTGAAATTAAGCTTTTTTCAAATGAAGAGCAGAAATTAGAAAAAAAGTTTTAATACTTTTAGTTCTTATTTTTTAAAGTGTAATAGTCTCTTTTGTATGGTTCTGGATTTATACAGAATATTGCATATTTATCTTATCCCATCATAGTGTAGGTTGAAATTTACAAATTTAAGTACATACTATTATAGAATCCGTTAAATTACTTGACTTCAGCTATGACAGAATGAGTGTTAATATTATTTTTGGCTGTCACATCAGTTTCCTTATCCGCAAAGCCGCTAATTAAATTACTTTTCCCATTTGAATTGTTTCTCTTTTTAAATCTTTAAGATAGGTCTCTTGGATATGCTGGTTGCATTTTCATCATTTAGAATTTGCATTGCATCAAAAGAGACATCTCATTTTCTTACTTTTTTTTCTAATTATTAAGCTACTCTTTTGAGTGAGTTTATTTATTTGAAAGATCACTCCTATTAAAAAAACTCTATTCTGAATCAATTTCAAATTGCTTTAAAAAATTATCCAGTGAATTTTAATTTGATTCCAAATGTAGAAGTTACTAGGCCTTAGCATTCATAGAAATAAGCTCAAATTTCATTTAAGAATCATCAAATTTGGTTGCTAATATTCCTACAGGAGTATGGGCAATAATCTAATCTCCAACATAATTATTTTACTTACTGCAAGTATACAACCTAACTCTATGCTTTTCCTATAAATACTCTTTGCAACTGCTGATAAAAATGAAGAATGCTGTAAAAGTAAAGAAAAACATATCTTAGTATTTATTTTCCTCAGTTGTAAATTGGTAAATAGTTATTGAAAAAATTGTATAGAGATTCATGATAATTTTATTCATAAAGCTAAATCCAATGATAACATTAAACATACTGCCTCCTATTACCATGCCATCAAACAAATTATTGTTATTTCCCATCTCTTTTATGAATATTTTAGCAAGATATAAAATCACTTAAACATATACAATTTCGTAAACCTATTAAATTTGCTTGAGCTAATTGGTAAAGTAAAAGTATGAAATAAAAATTATGATGTTGAGGATTAGTAGAAGAGCTAAAATTATTAAGCCTATCAAATTTTCCTTTTCATTAACTTTATATTTAGAGCCTATGTATCCAAGAAGTACTAAATTTACTAATAAATTAAAAACTCCATTAATTTATATTTACTTATTTATGTGTTTTTTATTTTGTTCCTCATATCCATTGCTCAGAGTCTATTCTCCTATAGATAATGATAGAGGTATAACAAGATCTCTCTACATTCTTTTAGATTTTAATATTTGTTTTAAGAAAATTATAAAATATATTTATTGCTTGCTTGTTCTTAATATTATCTACTATTAAATAATAATGTTTCCTATTTATAAAATGCAAATTTTAATTATTAAATTGCTCTATTTTTCAATAATTTATTTATTTCTTTACAGTTTAATTTAAAAGTTTGATTGGTAGCTATTATAAATATGGTAATAACAAGAATAATAATCGACTCACCCTTCATATAGTTAAAAGTTCTCATTTTAAACGTTTAATTTAAAGTTTATGAATGTGCTAAAAAAAGTTATTGAAAAATTAAATTTCATTTCTTATAACTAATAAATATTAGAATGAATGCATTTTTATCATCTAATATACTAAGTAAAATGCATTGTTTTAAAAAAAATGTATGTAAAAATATAATTTTTATAAAACAATATTACTAGATTAAATTAATTAATTAATTGAAAGAAATAAAGCATCCTTTTTCTTAATTTGGGTATTTTCTGAAAAACAAGAGCTTTAAGAAAACTTTTTGATGCAATTGATTGTTTTAATATATTAAAAATATTTAGAAAATGTTAATTTTGTTAAAGCATTCAAACTTTAATTGAAATTATTTTTAGGTTTTGTTATTTTTGATAAAATTATTATTTGCTTTTAAATTTGTGGGAACAAAATAATACTTACAATTATACTTATCAATAAGTCCTTATTATCAATTCAAATACTTATTAAATAAAAAAATTTCAGGTTATTTATTCTAATAAATTCCTTAAATTAATCACATTTTCATTGTCTTACAAATTTGATAAGTTAAATAATTAGCAAATGGTTGGTGAATATTGGACAAATTAATCAATATATCTATTGAGTTTTTATCAATCAATAAGTGTTATTTTAATAAATATTAACAAGTATTAATTATCCTAATAAAAGCTAAAATATAATAAATTAGGAATCAATAAAATAAGTCTTTTAAAATTAACACTTATTTATTCCAAAAAAGCTGAATTGAAAATAAATCAAATACAGATATTTATTTTTATAGATAGACTTAGGTTATAAATAATATCATGAATAACTCCCCGTAGTCGGTAGTCTTGGATAAAGACCATCAACAGTTTTTAGAAGAAATGAAAACGGGCTAAAATAATATAATGGTTGACTAATTTTAGATATTTTTTAATAAACTAAGCCATAATCAGGTTTTATATCTTTTACTTATTATAGGTAGTTGTAAGGACAAGACCTTTAAACTAAAGAGAGTTAACAAAAAGTGATTATGAGACATTAAAAATTTTAGATAATAGAGTAGTTGTTTTACTTGATCCTGGCTATGAAATGAATTAAGATGATGTAATTTAAAAAAATTTTTTCAGTTGCCACTTATTTACTTCAATTTCATATTGCTATACTTTGGTATTTACTCAATTTTATGTCTTTAGGTATTAAGAAAAAATAGGAATAAAGAAATGCAATTCGCCTTTGATTTTGCATTTGATAAGGAAACTGACTAAGTAGAAGTGTATAAAAACTCTGCTTAACTATTAATAAAAGGTATTTTCGATGGTTATAATGCTACAGTATTTGCATATGGGGCTACAGGAGCTGGTAAAACTTATACGTAATTAACATTTATTTAGTTAATATTAGAAACTTGATGTTGAAAATATTTTTGTTTAAACCTTACTTAAAAGTATTAATTGTTTAAGTTAAAATATTGTATTTATTATATGGAATAGAATGATAGGGACACCAGATAGCATTGGGATAATGGAGAGGAGCATGGATGATTTATTTTAAGAATACCAACAGTTATCTTTAACAAAAGATATTATTGTTAGAGTAAGCTACATTGAGATATATAATGAATAAATCAAAGATCTTTTAACAGCAAGAGATAAAAACCTTGATTTAAGAGAAGACCCCTCTCAAGGAGTTGTTGTTAATGGTATAACTGAAATAGAAGTCAAAAACACTCACGAGATACTCCATTTATTGAAGGTTTATTTACTACTCTCAGTAGACTCAAATAGATTAAATAAATTTGTATAAAAATAGATAGGCAATAAGCATAGGACTATAGAAAGTACAGGTGCAAATGAAGTTTCAAGCAGATCTCATGCAGTTCTATAAGTTTAATTGCAAATTAAGGATAAAGCATCTGGAATTTAATCAGAGATATAATACTCTAAACTTAGTTTAGTCGATTTAGCAGGCAGTGAACGAGCTGCAAATACTTAGAATAGAGGAATAAGACTAATAGAGGGAGCAAAAATAAATTAAAGTCTCTTAGTTCTAGGAAATTGCATATAAGCCTTAAGTGAAGCTGCTGAAAAAGGTGTAAAGCATCCATTTATCCAGTATAGAGGAAGTAAACTAACTCGTTTACTTAAGGTATTTATTTAAGATTATTAATCTCATGCTTTATATTTAATGATTTTGCTTATGTTTCAAAGGATTCACTAGGTGGAAATTGTAGAACTGTAATGATTGCTAATGTAAGTCCTTTCATAAATAGCTTTGAAGATACGTACAATACTTTAAATTATGCAAATAGAGCTAAAAATATAAAAACACAAGTTTAAAGAAACTATTTGAATGTAGATAACCATATTTCTAACTACACACACTTAATAGACAGTTTAAAGAGAGAAAATGAAAATTTAAAAAAACTGCTTTAAAACAGATGTATTTTTCCTTTAATTATAGATAAAAAATCAATTATTTTTTATTTGGTTTCAAGCTATGAATTTGCCTTCTGAAGCTTTAGATGCCATTTCTAATTTAGATCAAAAATCTTAAGAAAACATGAAACAAATTGAGCTTCAAATTGCTGAACACTTCAAAGAAGAATTAGAATTAAAGAGGAAGATTTTTAAATTAGATGAGAAGCTTTAAGAAGCTTAGTTTGAGCAGTTTAAACTTTTAACAGAGCAAAGAAAATTGAAAGAAGGATCAAGCGATAGTTTTTAACATAAAGAAAGATTACAAGATAACTAGCAGCTGATAAACACCTTGCAAAAGTCAAAAACGGATGTAGAAAAGAAGCATCAAACTACATACGAAAATAGACAAAAATTTAATAAGGTTTTGAAAATTAATAGATATATTTATATGTTTTATTAATACAATTCATATTATATAATAGATTATCTAGTAAGAATAGCTGACTTCGAGTGATTAGAATTATTTGAACAGTATTTTTAAATAAAATATCCTAATCATTGTAATTATTATTATTATTACTATTTTTGGTCAAAGTTTTAAAAATCATTTTTAAAAAAGGAAAATACTGAAATTTAATATAAAGAAAAGAAACAAGAAGCAATCAGCCTCCACAAGCAATTACAGATTTAATTTTTGAAAGACTAGTTGAAGTTAAGGGATGAAATTATAAATGACCAAAAAAATATAATTAATAAAAACTAAATAGTTCACCGTATTTCTTACGAACCTTTAGTCGAATTAGATGATATAGAAGCTTCTGTATCTCCTTAAAATAATGATTACTCTTTCCATTCCGTTAGATAAGGACCTTCTAATTAATTAAATAATCGGGAATATGAAAGAAAGAAAAATGTTCAGTCTGAAAAAGTAAGGATAAGATCACATTCTAAAAATGTGGTCAGTATAAATTAAAGTCCCTAACGCTCAACTGAAAAGATTCTGCACAACGCTGTAAAGCTTCCATAAATAGGGAACTAAAACGCTTCTATTCACAATAGTAATAACAACAATTATAATAGCAAAAGCAGAAGTATTTAAAGATATATTACTCACGGAGATTCAACCGAACCTTCATTATATGGAGCTCCTAACTTTTAATCTAATTAAGGTCATCATAATTAATTATAATCTGAAAGAAAGAAAAATGATAAATAAGAAAACTCTAAATATGAAAATTACACTTATATCAGAAATAATAATGAGCAAAGCAGCTAAAAAGTAATACAGAAAAAGGTACTAAACCCAAGCAAACCGTTCTTTGGTAAATTTTTATTTTGTTTGTTTAAGTAAGTTTTTCGATAAAATGCAATTTCAAATTATTGGAATTTCTTAAAAAATATTTTTTTGTTAAAATAGAGAGAAGCAACTCTAAAAAAAAGATTAATTATTATGACAATTTCAAAAAAGCAGATTTATTTTAAAGACAGAGGTCTATTACCAAAAATATAAACTAGTCATTTAATGATGAAATTATTGGAGATTAATACGATTAAGTTCCTAAAGTAGATTAAAGTGAAGCTATGCCTTAAATTAACAAATATTATTATAAGAATGAAAAAGCCAGCTTTTAAATTTAAACTAGCAGCAATAGCAATTAAAGCAAAATTGAAGGAAATTAAACTGAAATGATTGGTTAAATTTATAATCAGGGAGATATTTTTTAAAAATACTAAAGATAAAGTGAAGACGTTTAAAACAGAAGTTTTAGAAGTACAAGTAGTTCCATATTCTCTAATTCTAGTCATTTAAACAATAATAACAACAATTTATCCATTTAGTAAAAAAATAAATAAATGAAAAGTAACCAGAACACAGTATAAAATAATAAAATCCTAAGTTTTTTGAATAATGATTTAAAAATTCAAAATATTTCTAAAACGGAAGTTTCAAGATCACAAATAAGTAACATGAATGTTGTATACCCAACAAATAAGAACTAGGAAAATTAAAATAATTAAGAAATTCACTCAAGCAGAAGGAATCATATTGGTAATAGTGATGAACCTAAAAGCCATGCTTTGTAAAGGCTTGAAGAAAAATAAGAATCGAGAGCTGAAAGACTGAGACAGTTAAATATAAATATCAAATATTTAAAAAAATTAGAATCTGAATAACAGTAAAACCAATAACATTAAGATGATAATTAAAAGCAATTAACAAAATAAAAAACTATTGTTTATTCTTAATAGAAAGTAGTGGCTTATCCAAATTATGGAAAAATAAACAAATAACCCACCACAGAATTTATTCGACAATAAATATAATCACATGACTAAAGACCTGAAAAAAGGGTACCTTCGAAGATAATGTCTGCCTAAAGGCATGATAACTCAAACTAAAATAATAAAAAATGATAATTTAAATAACAAATGAAAAAGATTTTAATTAAATAATTATTGAAAACACTTAAATAAAAATTAAAAAAAATACTAATTTTTAACTTTAATAAACTTTCAAATATAAAATTTGTATAAATTACTTATAATAATTAAAATTATTATGTATATAAGAGTCTTTATATAAAATTTAAGAAATTTATATTACATCTTAAAATATCAAAATTAGTCACATATATCTTTAATTAGTTACTCTATTTTCATTATTGATGTAAATTTTTTTTTAGTTTATTTACAATAAAATTTGACATTAAAGAAAGTTTTAAAGATTAAATTGATGCATATTTTTACTTATAATATTTATCATATCACATATAAATTAATTTCATAATTTTACATAAAGTTTTAAATACTTTATTTACAGTGATTAATACAAATCAGATCATCAAATAATGACGAATTTTATAAAAATTTTATTAACAAAAAAATATTTTTCGATAAAATTAAATAGAGTCTTAATTAATTAATGAGGATTTAAAGTACCTACCTATCTCTAATTAGACTATATTTTCTATTATACATTTTAATTAGTACTATTAAGATATAATAATGAATGATATACTTTCGATTTTATCATACCTTTTGATACAAGCAAACTTTATAAATTCATATTTCATCTATCTTATAATTATTTCTTAATTTAATTTAAAGACTCTCTAAATAAAACTAAATTAATCTTTAATATATTTATAATTAATTGAATATAAATTTTCGAAAAAAAATGATGTAATAGAAAAAATATTTCGATAATCTTGAAGATGTAATTTTTTACTTTTTATCTTTAAATTTATTTTTATTTATAAAAAAAGTTTTTAAAATCTTCTCTTGAATAACATTCAATCCTCCATATTAATCTTAAGTATGTTTAATTTATTAATTTATTATTATTCTTTTTTATATAATTTTTTAAGTTTTTTACAATTATTTTTTTATTAGATATTCTCATATTTATTTCCTTCAAATTTCATAAAACAAATATTTTTTTTATTTTAACTTTTTGTTTTGATTAATAATCAATCCATTTCATATTATTTCATATTTTTTCTTCATTTTTACCTTCAAACAACCTAATTAATTATATATTTTCTTCAATATATAAAAAGTAAAAATTATATTGATGATGCAGGTGCATCTAACTTAGGTTTTGCTTTATCAAAGTGCACTAATCTCTCAAATCTGGTACTTTATCTCGAGTAAGAACAGTTTATATATTTTGAATTTTGATTTTTTTTGAATATTCTCTTTATTAATCAGTTTTGGATTTTTACATCATTAAATAAAAAATGAATTTAAAACAATAAAAATATATTAGAAATTTATATTAGCTTATTACTTAATTTATTTTTTTATTTGATTTCACTTGTATTTTTTTCAACTTAATTTAACTCATTCATTTTTTTTTCTTTCAACTTTTGCAGAACTTATTAATTAAACATATTATCTTCATTATTTAAAAAGCGGAAATTAAATTTGTGACCAAGGTGTATTAAACATAGGTTCTGCTTTAGGAAAGTGCACTAATCTCTCAAATTTGGAACTTTGTTTTGAGTAAAAACAGTTTAGATTTTGAAATATTTATATATAAAAATGAATTTAAAACAACAAAACTCTTTTATCTAATTTATTAATTAGCTTTTTATTTGACTTATTTTTATTTTTTCTTTTGGATTAGATTTTCTTTCTTTATTATACTCACTCATTTTTTTTATTTTCAGCTTTTGATTTAATTATTAATTAATTCATTTTTATTATTTCTTTTTTTCTCCTTCTAAATAACTTATAAATTTTATGTATTTTCTTTAATATTTAAAAAGCGAAAATTATATTGGTGATTAAGGTACATCAGGATTAGGTTATGCTTTAGCAAGCTGCACTAGTCTATTAAATTTGACCCTTTGCCTTAAGTAAAAATAGTTTATGTTTGTTTTGGATTTTAATATTTTTTAATTTAAAACAATTAAATTAATTTAAATTAATTTTATCAATTAACCCTAATTTGGTTTATTTTTCTTTTTTATTCTGCTTGTGTTTTTTTATTTCTCTAAATTTAAATCATTAATTTTTACAATATTAACATTTGATAGATTATGAATTAATTCTTTTCTAATATTTCATTTTTTTTAATTTTTCCTAATAACAAACTAATTTATAAAAAAATATTATCTTCAATACTTAAAAAGTTACAATTAAATTGGTAATGAAGGTTCATCAGGTTTATTTTCTGCTTTAGTAAAATACACTAATCTCTCAAATTTGACACTTCACCTCAAGTAAAAAGAGTTAATTTGTGTTGGATTTTGATATAATTTAATATATAAACTAATTTAAAGCAATGAAACTCTTTTAATTAATTTATTTGCTTTTTATTTGATTTAGTTTTCCTATTTATCCTACCTATGTTTTTTTTTCTTTATAATTTAACTATTTCATTTATTATTTCATATTTTACTTCTATTCTTCCTTCTAACTAACAAATTAATTATATATCTTTTCTTCAATATTTAAAAAGTGGAAATTATATTGGTCATGATAGTACGTAAGATTTATTTTCTGTTTTAGCAAAATGCATTAATCTCTCAAATTTGACACTTAATTTTGGGTATAAACAGTATATTTGTTTTGGATTTTGATATTCTTTAGTATAAAAATGAATTTTAAAAAAAACAAACTCTTTTAGTTAAAATGTTTATTAAACTTTTATTTAATTTATTTTTCTTTTTTATTCTGCTTGTTTTTTACCTCTTTTAAACGCATTAATAAATTAATTTCTTATTATTTCATATTATATTTCATTTTTCCTTCTAACTAAATAATAAATTACAATTACTTTCCTCCATATTTAAAAAGTTACAATTATATTTGTAATGAAGATGTATCAGGCTTAGGTTCTGCTTTAGCAAACTGCATTAATCTATCAAATTTGACACTTTATCTTCAGTAAAAATAGTTTATTTTTGATATTTTTAAAAAAATGAAATTAAAAAAATAAAATTCTTTAATTTATTTATTAGCTTTTTATTCTGCTTAGATATTATTTTTTTAGCTTAATTTAGCACATCCATTTGTTAATTTTTAACTTTTGCTTTGATTTTTATTAATCCTTTTCTAAATATATCATATTATTTCTTTATTTCTACCTTCTACCTAACAAATTAACAATATAAATTTTATTCAACATTTAAAAAGTTATAATTAAATTAGCGATGTAGGTGTATCACGTTTAGGTTTTGCTTTAGCATAATGCACAAATCTCTAAAATTTGATACTTTAACTTGAGTAAAAATAGTTTATTTGTTTTGGATTTTGGAATTTTTAAAAATAAAAATTAATTTAATATTCATTTATTTAATTTATTATTCTATTTTTCTTTTAGTTGTGTTTTTTTATTTACTAATTCAAAATATTTATTTTAAATTAAACATATTATTCAAGTTAATTTTATTAGTGATTTACTCTAATTTATTATAAAAGATGTAACAGATTCAACAAATCAGAAGAATTGAAAATAAAGAGTAAGTATCTTAAATCAAAAAGATTAGTTGCTTTTAAAATAAATTTTTGACAATAAATAAATAATGAAATTAAGATGAATAAATATAAAAATATTTGAATAATAGAATATGATATGTCGTCTTATTTTATAATATTATGTAATAGAATAGTTTAACCTCAAAAATATATAGATAGATTTATGATTATTTTTAAATACTAAGCTCATAATTAAGTAATTCCCCTTTAATCAGCAGCCTGTTTTCACCCGCTATTCAGGAATATGAAACTTTTAGTTTATTAGGGTTCTCCTTCAGAAATTTATTTTAGATATTCAAATAATTCTGATATTTTTTAATTTTAACTTTTTATTAATTAAATTAAAAATACAACAAATCAAATCACATTTAGAATCAGTATTTCATTTGAAATAAATCATTTCTGCAAATATTTTAAAATGAAGAAGGTTTAAGTAAAATAGATAGGATTTTTTTTCTCTCTAAGCATTTCTTTAACTGGTTGGCTTATGAGAAAACTAATATTAAATTTATTACATCTTTATTTCAATTTATTTTGAATTATTCTTAATAAATTTAATATTTTAATTTATTTTTTAACAGAAAATTAAATTATTTACTAATTGAATACTTTTTAATGTTATTAAACATTTTGTTTGTCTATTAAAATTTAAAATATTAGGACCGTACTTTACCAAATCTACAATTATTTAATGCGAAAAGATATTTAAAAAAAATTAAAAGCAGAATTTAATAGAACTAATTAACTATTTGAGAAAATTCAAATAAAATTACTGTCAGGAATAAAAAGTTATTTATCATTTAAAATTAGAAGAAGGGAGAAAAAAAATATTAATAAATAAATTGATTAAACTTTTGAAAAGAATTTGCACAATATATCTAAATTAATTTAAGCTTTAAATCAAGGTATAAAATGAAAAAATTAGAGTACACAATAGATTAGAAAGAGTATGATACATTAGTCTTAGGTACAGGAATGACTGAAGCTTTATTTTCAGCTTCTTTAGCCAAGATCGATAGAAAAAAAGTAAAATTTTAAATATATTCGCATTTAAATTAAATATATTTAATAAATAAAGATATTAGTAGTTGATGCCGATTAAGGATACAGCTCTTCTTAAAAAACTTTTAACTTTAAGGAATTGGTTTAAGATATGCAAGATAAAATGAAACATGTTGAGGAAAACAAGTTAAAAAAGGAGTTTTTCACCAACTTAGAATTGAATGAAGAATGGAATAAGAGAAATTAAGAGTTTGTAGAAGAAATAGTGAACAAAACTCAGCAATACAAATATTTTAATATAGATTTATAACCTAAGCTCTTATATTCAAATAGTTTAGTTGTTGATTGTATGAGATAAGCAAATATGGATTAGTACATGGATTTTAGAGCAATCGATTCAATTTACTTTTTTGAGCCTAGTTCTAAGAAATTCATTTAAACCCCTTGCTCTAAGAGTGACATATTTAAGTCAAAAGAATTCGGTTTAATGGAAAAGAAGCAGTTATTTTAATTCCTTCACAAGTGCGTGTCTCTTTACAATAAATAATTTTAGAAGTAAGTGAATTAGAATTCAATTGAAGAGTTTGACAAAGAATTTGAAGTTGATGAGGAAACTTATAAGCTCTACAACTAGCTAAAAGAATAGCCTTGCATAAATTTTTTACGTGAAAGAATTTCAAGCAAAAAAGTTTAAGATATTTTCCTTTATAATTTGTGCAATTATGAATTTAATCCAAATGAGCCTATACCTGAGTTTTTAAAGTAAGATTATACAACAAAAAGCTTCTTACATAGACTTAATAAGTATATAAAGAGTTGTGGAGTTCACACTGCACTTCCATATCTATATACAAATTACGGAACAGGAGATATTCCTCAAGGTTTTGCCAGAATTAGTGCTATTTTTGGGTCTATCTACTGCTTAAACAAAGACTTAGATATTTAATATATCAAAAAAGACAACGAAACAGGATTATTTAAAATTAAATCTAATCTTTAAAGCTAACCTGACGAGATAGTATCAGAAAACGCATAAACTGATGGTTATATCTACCCTAAGAACGAAGAAAAGCCAACAGAAATACCATAAGCTGAAAAATAAGATTAAGAGGTATCACTTGAAAAAGCAATAGATTAAAAATAAGAGGATAACTAAATTGAATAAGCAGATTAAAACACAAAAATTGCAGAAGAAAATTATTTCACTGTTTAAAATATAATAGCTGGTCCAGAGTATAGATAAAAAATAAAGAAGATTTTAGGGCTAGAAGAAAAATAGGTCAAAGAGGATATTTATTTGTTAAGAGTTACAATAATATCTAAAAAATCAGATGAATAGGTTAAGTTAGAAAAGGAAATATAAGATTTAGAAGATGAAGAAAAAACTAAAAGAGAAATAAGATATACATGCCCTATTATGTATTCAATCCCTCCTAATGATTTACTTGCTTTTAAATAACCTCTTTCTATATTGCATTTAGATCATAATTCAATGAGCACCCCAACTACTCATTAAGTTTTCTATTGCAAAAAAGTATTAGAAAATAAAGACAATTACAATAAAGAAGTTGAGCAAATCATATAATTCGTCGAAAATATAGATTAATATATTAAAGGTTAGCCATTTAAATACAAGGCAGATTATGTTTGGGCATATCTTTAAAATAGAAATGACTAAGGAGTTTTTGAGTAAATATAAGACGAAGACAAGAAATTCCAAGTAAGTTTTATTGGTTAAGATTATTTTGAAATCGATATGGACAAGAATTTTGAAGAATTCAGAGACACTATCACATCTATTAGTTCTCAGGTTAATACTTAAGATGAAAATTATTTCTAAACAATTCAAGAGCTTAATGGAGAAGTTGATTTCTATTAAAACAAAATTGAAGAAGAGGAGGACTTCAAAGGAATCGATAACATCATTAATAAATTTGAGTAATTAGTTCAAGGAAATAATAAATAAGAAAGCGAAGTTAAAGAAGGTGAAGTTGAATAATAAAAAGAATAAGTCTATGCTGAGTAGAAAGAAATACCTTAATCCGAAAATAGTAAAAATCAAGAAGAAAACAATGATTAATAAAGCGAATAGGGATAAAATATTGTTTAATAATCATAAAATGTAGCAGAAAATGTTCCATAAGATGAGCAATCTAATTGAATTATAAACTAAAATCATTACCATTATATAAAAAACGCTTAATAAATTTATATTTAAATTTTGTTTGAATTTCAAGCCTTAAAAATGTCTTAATTTATATCAACTTTGCTATTATTTTTAAAGATTTTTTTACTTTTTTCTATTTTATTTTTGGACATAACTTTCAAATCATAAAAATAAACAAATCAATACTCAATTTATTAGCTTGCAATAAATATATTTTCTAAAATAATTAATTGATTAACTCAAAAAATAAAATATGGATTAATCTTAGTCAAGTAAAACTTGTGAACATATAGACAAGTAATAGGAATATTTTATAAATATTTAAGGAAATGCTGAAAAAGTAATAGTCTGCCCTCAATGCGTGATAGAGTTTAACTACTAGGGATAATACCTACTTTACTCTTAGCAAATTAAAAGTTCAAATGATGAAACAATATTTATAAATTGGCCACCATTAAATAATATGAATTTATGTAAAAAGGTTTAAGATCATTTAAAACAATAACAGAAAGCAGATTATTCATCAATGAGAAGCAATACCATCTAATTTTTTTAAGATTTTAAGAAAGATTTAGTCACTTTGATAGATTCTTACCAAAAAAACATCATGATAAAAATAGATTAAATGGAAAACTACAGAAACGAATTAGTTTGTTTATATAACAATATTTCTTAAAAGGAAGAAATAAAAAATATTATTAAAATGGATATCGAAATGCAATCTGTAAAGTTTGGTGAAATTCTAAATTCCCTTATGGAAAAAAAGGAACAAAATACTAAATAACTAGAGGAGTTTATTAATGGTCAAGAAAAGGCTTAACATGTTACAAATTTAGAGAATGCTAAAAAAATCAGAAAAAATTTTTTAGCTATTGCAGAATAGTATATATGCTAAGGTATTTATGAAATTAAAGAATCTTTCTAAAATATTGAATAAAACAGCTCTAAGTGTAAGTCTTAGCTTTTTTAATTGCTCAGTATTCCATCAAATTACATTACTTAAGAATACTAACAAAGTATATTAAATAAGTTGGATATTTTACCAATTACCTTTTTTGATGTTAACAATATTAATGCTTTTGTTAATAACTCAAATCCATTAAAAGTGAGTAATATCAAAATATTTGAAGAATTAGATAAAGCAATTTCTCAAAATTAAGAAAAACTTTTCTACTCTATCAATTTAGCTATGGAAAAAGATAAATTACAATCATTAAAAGTTGAAGAAATTAAAATTTTTGAGTTTATAAGAGCCTAGTGCTATAATGATCCTAATAATTCATTAATAAAACATAATTAAGTGACACGCTTAACTAGAAACGACTATATTATGTTACTTAGCAAATTAATTTTATAAAAAAATTATAAATATAAATTAGTATTTTCAGTTTCATCAAATTTTCTATTAGTTATTGGAATTATTCCAAAAGCAAATTAATCTTCACAAACATCCTTTTTCACATAAAATTTCTCATATTCGACATAAAAATCATGGTTTAAACTTAACTAAATCAAAAAAGGAGAAAATTTGGTTGATAAATATACAAATCCCTCTTAATAATAATTCTTGTTAGAAATATGTTTAGATTAAAAGCTATTTTAAGTTTCTGATTACCCTGATAAGAATAGCATAAATTGCTTAAGCCAGGATCAAGTGCATTTTTTTGAGTAAAATATATAAGAAGAGCCAAGAATTTCTTTTCACATCTGTCATGCAAATGGAGGTAAAGTTGGAGATACTCTTAGGATACACGATTTTTAAATAGAAATTTTATGATGAATGCTTTAATAATTGTATGTATATTTATTTCTTTTTTTGTATGATTTTCTACATTATTTTAATAATTTATGTAAATCTCCATATATTGTAGTCTTCATTATATAATAGGAAAAGTAATATTGTAGTTTTTATTATATAATAGGAAAAGTGTGGTTTAAATTGTCAAAAAGATTTTTTTTAGATTTTGAAAAAAAAAAATTTTTTTCCCAATTTCAACCAGTGCTCAGTTTATAAGGGTACCAAATATACATATCGAGAATTTGCTATAATTATGTCTATTTAAATCTAATAAATAATTTTATAACCATTTTAAATACAACAAATTATCTTTGATTAAATTGATAAAAAATTACATACATACAATAAAAAATTTATTTTTTTTTAATTTCTAATAAAATTAATAAAATAATGTATCCTTATTTGATTAAATATGAGATAAAACTTATTCTAATTTAATTAATATATATTGAGCAATTAACATTTTTTAATTTATATTTATAGTATAGAGTATGCAATTTAAAGTATTTTATAAGTGATTAAATTAATTTGATATTGTAAAATTAAATTTAAATTAACTTCATGGTTATTTTTACTTTTCATTTTCACTAAATCTCTTTTTGCTAACATTATCTTTTAAATTAAAAATCTTTTGAATAACTTAAATATCATCTTCATCGTCATCATCTTCATCTTCACTTTGATTCCCCTATTTAGCATGAAATTAAGTATCAACTGGCTAATTATCATCTTTATTGTACATTGTTTACATAAGTTCGATTGGGCAATATTTGTTTTCAGATTCATCCTCTTCAATTTAGTCTAATAATTGTAAGAATGATCTTTTTTTCTTTGTATTTATGTTGTCAGATAGAGATTAATTGCTGGATATATTATTGTTTGATAATGATTAAGTTGAAGATAATTTTTATTATTATTCAAATTATTTTATTAATTAAATAGGATTTAAGCTATTTAATTAATTATTGATTAATTATTAGTTTTCATGCATTTATTATTTTAATTACTTTTTTTCTGAATTTTAATTTTGTAGTTGAATATTTGGCTATTTTTGATTTAAATTACTCTCTAAAATTTATTTTAAATTTTAACCTTTATTTTACTATTGGAGTAATTATGTGTTTTCTTGTAATTAATCTTATTTTGAATTGTTAAAAATTGCGAATTATGCTGATTAATTTTAGTTTAAAAGATGATTATCGTTTGAAAAATTAAAATTAAGTTATTTTTAGACACTTTCTTTTTCACTAAAATTATTTATTTATTTATTGCTTTTTAGTTAATTTTGTTCTTAGTTGCAACTATTTTGATAGCTCGCTGGTTGAGAAGCCTTTTGTGAAAATGCTTCAACTTTGCTAAAGGAGCTATAAGCAGAGAAGAACTCACTCGATTCACTGACATTTCCTTACTTTATTACATTTAAATTATTACTCTGCTATTTATCTGATTATTGATTGTTTTAATCCATATTAATTTTCTTGGCATACAAAGGTGAATTTTATAATTCCCAAATCTTTTCACTATTTATTTCAGAATTAGATTGATTCTTGTCATTAGTATTTTTATGAGCTGGTGAAACTGTTTAAAATTTTTGATTTAAATTTTGCTTGACAGATTAATTACTAAATTATCTTCCAATCTAACAATTACAATTATTCTTATTAGACTGCTAAGATGATTGAAGATATATTATTTTTTAATTAGATTCTATCAATTTAGACTAAGCATTAGACAATTCTTTTTGTAGATCTTATATCTATTTTTTATTTGAGTTTAAAACAGTATATTGCTCTTAAATTTACTACTTCTATTCATCATTTTCTGCTTAAATACTTATCAACCTATCTTAGAACTTTTTGCTTTAAAGTTCATAAAAAAAACTAGAATCCTCAACTTAATCTTTTTCCTTTGTAAGCTCCTCCAACCTTTATGTGTTATCAGCTAAAACTTATTTTATATATTCATTTTCTTCTTTAAGATTATTAATTTCTTCTTCAAGGTTTTGCTTAATTATATCAAACGAAATGATTTAAGAAAGCTACTAGTTGAGTTGATTCTAATTTTACTAAAATTTTTCTTAGTACTTTTAAATGTTGTTTTCATAATCTTGCTTTATTTTGAAAATTTCTTCTTTTGCAGTTTTTACTTCTTACTTAAGTCTATCAGCTTCATCTAACTTTAAAATAAGTCCTTCACATAATACTTTGTTATCTTAGATTAGCTGTTAGATAGCATCAATCTTTTATTTTTCGCCTAAGTTGAACTCCTTTTGTTATTTTAACTGTGGGTTATTATGTGATTACTAAAATTATTTTTAACTGCTCCCATAGCGTATTTCACTTTAAGATTTATTTTTAGGCATTTCTTTAGAATTATATTTATTATTTCTGCTTTTATTAGGTTCTTCTTGCTTGCTTACTTGAGGACTTACAATAAAATTTGTATTGTTTTCTTTTACAGTCTAATCACTTACCTGCTTTCCTATAATATTCCAAGTAATAAGCTATTAACTTTAAATTTAAATGTACTCCTAGAGGTACTCTTTATTAAGTACTGTTTATACATTTATTTTTACTTAATTATTGTTTATATGAATATTTTCGAACAAGTTATCTATGGGCATCTTTTTTTATTCTTGCTTTTACTATTCGATTTAGCTTTCATGTATTTACATTAAGCTGCTTTATTAAATTTTAGCTTCTTCTCTCTTTATTTAACTTTCTTGATTTAATTTGAGAATCTATTCACTTTTTGCTCTGAGCAAGGAAGATTCATGCAAGCACATTCCTTGTATTTCTTCTATTAAACTATTTTTTTGATCCTTTTCACAACAAAGATCAGTGACTGTATTTTATATATACTTCCATAAATTGCTATATGGTGGAACTCCTGGTATCTCTTTTTCTATAGAAAAATTTTTATAAATAAGGTTTATTTATTTATTTTCCTCAGCAATCTGCTTTTGTAAATCTTCAATCAACTTAAGTTAATAAGAAATAGTTTAGTGCAAGGTAGAAGTTTTCTCTTATTTACTTTCATACTCCTCCTTTTACAAAAAATATTTGTGTTATTCTGATTCGAGCTCTTCTTAAAGTGAAACGTTTTACATTTACAAGTTATCGATTTCATTTTAAAGTTATTTTAATTTAATTTCATTTTATTCATTAATTTTTAGCAAATTTTCATTTATCTCCTTCTATTCCAGATCAACATAGCTATTTTTCTTTTTAATTTTTTATATTTCGCTAAGTAAATTAGTTATTTTTTAGTGTAAATTACTAATTGACTCATCTTTTCTTTAAATTTCTTCTTCCATTTAAGCAATAGAGTTTAGGTGTTAATTATTCTCTGCCTGATATTAATCTAACATAGACTTTAACTCTGCAATTGTCTAATCTTTCTAATCTGACCCTATTTGCGACTAAGCTTTCATTTCATTTATAATTGAATTTCTACAGTCAACCATTTACAAATCCTTTTTTATTAATTCTTCTTTTATTTAATGTATCTAACTGTTTAGCTACTCATTCTTATTCTTTAAATCTATATCATATTATCCTGTTATCATTCCTGTGTACTTGTTAAATTCCATTATTGTTTTAATATATTCTTTTAGATTTTCTACAGGAACTTAGAATAGAGAAGACCATTGTTAAGAATCCACATCCCTTGCACTCTCCACACACATCATATCATTAATGTTAATACCCATTCTTTATCTTAATTCTTAAATAAAATCTAAAAATCCACTTTCTTTTAAGAACTCTCTCAGCCAGTTCTAGAATTCATCGACACTTTTAATTAGCATTTACTTTTCCTCTTCAGTCAAAGAAGGACTAGCCTAGGCTTCTTAACTTATTAGAGGGCTATTCTTTAATATTCAAAAAAAAAAAATAAAAAAAATAAAACAAAACAATTTTATATATTTATTTTACAGATATTTCATTTTTTTTAATATTGTAGCTAGATATCAGTTCTTGCTGAAGTTTATTATTTTTAAAAGCAAGTTCAAGTTCTTCTTTAAGTGATAGGATTTCTTTTTTCAAATTTTCAAGATTTTCACTTGGCTTCTCATTAATTAATGCTCTATTCTTAATGTACTTAGCTCTTTCAGCAAATTTTAGTGTACTTAAAGTCTCTCCATAGGAATCCTACGATGGACTAACATTTGCTATCATCAAAGTTTTAGAATTACCTCCCAAGCTATCCTTTAAGATATGGGTAAGCTTCGAATTTCTATAACATATCTTCTTCTACCCTTATTTTAAGAACAAAAATTTTTGAAATAGTTTTTGAAGATTTAAAAATGCTGATAAATTCTGATACTTTATCATTTTTACCCTCCTTTAAACTAAATTTTTAAATTAATTTTGAAAAATCGTTTATCCGTTTAAATTTAGTGACTTTATTTTATCACTTTTATTCAAAAAAATACTTTTTAAGCTAATGAATAAATTTTTAATCCCGCCAAATAATATTTATTAGTTATTTTATTTTAAAAGTGTTGCGGATTTGTATAATTTTGATGAAAACAAGAGCGGGTTATTTACCTTCGGCTAGTGCATGAATGACTATACCTAGCGTTGATAGAGATTGATTGATTTATGCAGCTTCTTTAAGCCTTTAACCAGTAGCTTGTGTTTACTTTTACCTTTCAGATCCTGCTAAATCAACGAAATGAAGCTTTGAAGATCGTTCTCTCACAACACCACTTGAAGGATCTTTATCTTTTAAGTTTATAGTCATTGAAAATATTGAGTGAGATCTTGAGCTTTCTGCATTCATTCTTGTGGCGCCAATGTGCCTATTTTTCTACCCCTTTTATATTAATTCGACTGCTTACTAATGATTTGTAATTTAAACAGTTGACAAGTTTTCCACTCTCACTCCATTAAAATCTTCTATAACACGAACATTTTTATTTTTCTGAGGTTAATATAAATCAATAATTTCCTCCATGTATATTTCATAATATTGACTTTAAATAACAAATTCCTATTTTCTGCTTTTCATTTTAGCAAATATAAAATTTAAAATCCTTTGAATTAAACCTTTATCTTCATCATTACCCATCATAGTAAATGTTTTTCCCGCTCCTGTTTATCCATATGCAAATATGCAAACGTTGTACCCGCTTAAGCAGGCTAATGCCATTTATTTTCCAACATTTTCAAAGAGTGCTTATTGTGAATCATTAGGCCCAAAAACTTAATCATAGTAAAACTCTTTCAAATCTTAAACTATAGCATTATTAGTATGGCCTATAGTTAGCCTTCCTTTAATCAAGTCATCCTTATTTTTATCAAATAAAATAAAATAAAATTATTTCAAAGACAAAAATATTTTTGACAATGTTTTAAAGGTGTAAAAGTAAATAATATTCTTAAGCTACAAAATAAAATTGATGTTTTTGAATTAAAATATAAGCACAATACTTTTAAAACGCATATTGTTTAGAGAGAATCTTATTCTCTTTGATTTAAGCCCCTTATCCTAACAGCAACTTAAACATTCTCCATAGCATCGTTCATTTCCTCTCCCAATTGAGAATCAAATATTCTACTTGAAGAGGATTAGCTTTATGAGATATTACTCTTTTTCATACAACTTATTTATTGAGGCTTATATCAAAGATTTTATATTAAATGAATATTAAAGAAGGTTGAACTTATTTATCCCTTTTTACTCTTTATAATAATATTATATTTAAAGCTATAAAATAATGAATACAAGTGAGCAGTGAGTTATTATTTATATAATTTACTTTTCTGATAATAATAATAATAATAATCTTAATTTAAAAAGTTAACTTAATTAGAATTTTTAGCATTAACAATAAATCTTTTTTTATGAGTTAAAATAGCTAAAGTATCATTAAACTAATAATTAAGTCAAATTCATTAGCTCATAATTATTAAAATGAATAAACACATATTTTTTCTTTATTTTAAAAATTATGAATTAAATTGAATTTGATCATTTTTGATTTGATTTTGTTTTATTTCAATTCATTTTTAACTGATTTATTTAAATATTTTCTAGAATTATTTAGACTAAAAAATTGATTTATTGGTTTTAAAAAATAAAGCAAAGTGATTTTTGCTGTAAATTTTATGTAAAGAAAGAATCTTTTTAATTGAATAATATTCTAATGTCTTTATTCAATTAATCAAAATAAATAAAATTCATTAGTCTTTAAAATTAAAAACAGATAAATAAAACTAAATAAATATTATTTAGATTTAATAATTTAAAAAGTAATTAATTAACTATCTTAATTCATATTTAAATAATAAAAGTTTCATTTAAATACTAAATATCATCCTATGTAAAAACCTTTGACACCCTCTGTAAAAGCAATCTCAAACTTTTCTTTCATAATTTCTTTACTTTCGTAAAATGGAAGTTCTTTTCGTTTTTAAAAATGAAATATTAATATAACATAATTTATTATAAGCAAGAGTTATATTTAATAATTTACCCATTTCTTTAGAGCAAGTGTGAGCAACAGGTAAAGACTAGGTATCATTTAACTTAGAAATAGTGAGCTTATAGTTTGAAAAACCTCCAAAAGGTACTCTAAATGAACCAGTAACAAAGAACAAAAATCCAGCTCTTTACTCTTAGTTATATTCTTCTAAAATTTCAAACAACCACTTAATCTAATCACTATCTTTAGTGTAAGTTTAGTAATTCAAATTCTATTTCAAATCTTCCACTTTTAATGAATTAAATAAATATATTAAATAATCTCGTTTTTAGTTTATATAAATGAAATATTTACAATCTATTTTCTTCTCACCAGATAGTTTGAAACCTAACTCGCGAACTGTGAAAATCTTTATAGCTTTATAAGGAATGACTTCATAAAAACCTTGCTAAAAGGCTTTGATTTGAGGTTCTATTTGCTTAACCATTCTATATTAAGCGAGTAGTTTAACATATTCTTTTTTATTTTCTTCATTAACTTCGATATGGCTTCCATTTGGTTTTAATTCTATAATTTACTATTTTCCAAAGTCATTATGGGTGTAAGTGAAATCGAGGTATAGATTCGAAACATCATTATCTAATATCCACATCAAATTTTTAGCAAGATCTGGATCTATGTCTTCAAGATCATTTATGTACAATTCTTTGCCTAAAGAAAGAAACTTTTATAAAAATAAATTCTCATTAAATAATATGTAATTACCTAATATTTGTTTTAAGAAAGATCTAGTAAGGTCTATTTCGCAAACAAAACTATCTAAAATTGATTTAGCAATAAGTCTACCAGCATATTTAAAGTGTAGTAAGTGATCAGGAATTATATTTGAATTAGGGCTTGGTTATGTGGTGATTCCATTAGATGAAGGACAGAAGAAACCTTTGTAAGGATCTAAGAAATCTTTTAACACGATAGTATAAAATTCTCTGGATAATCCACCTGCATCGACACCTAATATATTGAAAAAAATATGTAAATCTATATATTTTTTTAAAAAGTATTATTACCATTCTCATCTTTAAATACAATTTCGAATTATTCAGTAACAAGACTAGAAGGTGGAAGGCCTGAGAGCAATTTATAAATGGAGTACCATATTTCTTCTCTATCTATGACGCAGTTCATTTCATAATATTCATCAGGATTAGATCTATTTTTGTTTTCTTTTCTTGAGATTGCTCTATTTAATATTGTCAATAAGTTAAATCTTGACGAAAATATTTAAAGCTTAAAATTACTTAACATAGCAAATTTTGTTTTCTATTGTCATTTTACCTTAATTAAATTCTGACATTAAAATTACCCACATATTATTTTTTCTGTTGTTCATGTATCTATTTATGAGAGGTACAAACTTAGTCCTAAGAGCCTCATATAAATCATCTGCCTTAATAGAATTGTAGTTTTTATGAAGCATGGTAGAATATTTCCTAACATTCTTCAATTCTTTTAAGCTTGGCTAAATTTCATCTTCACCTTCAAAAATCTGTTTATAATAAATTGTTTATGATAGTTTGATTTGATAAACATTTTACATCATTAGGAGTTAAGGTTTATATTCTTTTTAGAACTGGCATTTGGATTTCATCTTCATTTAATATAATTTCTTCCTAATCTAGAGAATCGTCTTTTTATTTAGAATCTTTGTAAAATGTATTGTAAATTCTTAAGAAAGACTTTAGGCAAATTTCAAAGTCGTTATAATAATTAGGCATATTATTTTCACTAACTAATTATAATTTCAAGCAAACATGCACAAATTCAAAGAATTCAACATAGAATTAAGATAGAGGTTTAGTTTCTTCCATCCAATTTACTTTGATTTCATCATAAAGTGCTTGTTTTTCAAACAATTCTCTTTCGTTCCACCATATTAAAGCTTCATTTTCTGTACTTTTAGTTTTCTGATAATATTTTTACATTAAATTTTTAGTAAAACAATATTAATTTTTAAATAATTTCTTGCTGAAATGGAAAAATTTTATTAAAAATATTTTTTTTTGTTTGCTTGAAAAGATTTATTTTATCTAAAATTATTTGAATTTTTAGCTTAAAATTAGATAAGTAAATAAATATTCTTTCATGTTAAGAAAATGTTGCAAAGATATCAAAAAAAAGATATTTAAATTACTCTGGATTCAAATTCTTCAAAATAATGGATCATTCTTTATTCAAGAAGATTGTCTATGCAACTTATGATGAATTTTAAATTTCTGTAGTAAGTATGAGCATATTCCTGTAAAAATGAATAAATGTTAGACAAAAGTGAAGTTATAGGCTCTTTGAGATTCGAATGAACATCATTTCCATCTTCGTCTAAAATCTCTTCATATAAATTTTCTTTATTATGTTTATTTTTGATAAATAATTTGTATTATTTTAAAACAGGTAGAACATCATCAACTACCTTCTTCATTTAGACACCATATTCGCTTAGAAGCTAATCTGATATACTAACAAATTTGTCGTAATTTGAAAGCTCTATTTTCATTAGGTCATGTAAGGAGCTATAGTTTTCTAGATTCTTGCAATACAAAATTATGTATTAAAATATCTTTTCAAATATTGGATTTGTATTTTTCATAGAATAGTTTTTGATTATGATTTACTCCTTCATATTAATAATAGTTAAAGAATTTTATTTTTACTTCTCTCTAAATATACTATTTTTAATTTGATCACTAATAGAACTTACCTTTATATTTGTATATTTAATTTTATTATTGATAGAGCAGAATAATTCTAAAACATTTTCTATCAAATGATTAGATTAGTTATCAATAAAATCAATATATTCTTTGCCATAAGGTTGATTAGAATTACTTTAATTATGGACACCTATTTTTTTTTTATCTATACATAAATTTAGCACTCCTAAAATGTATTCATTAATATTTGAAAAGGCCTCAGATTAATTTTTCTTAAATATTTCATATTATATTAAAAATTCTAAATTATCATATTAAGTCACATTTAAATCTAAAGTGTTTTCATTTAAAATGTTATACTCAAACACCTAAGGTTTTAATTTACTTAACTTTGTTGATTTATCTGAAATAATCTCCAACTTATCAAAGCTTTTTCCAAACAAAAACTCCTCAAATTAAAGGATTATTAAACCATATTTTTTGTTGATTAACAATTCTTGTATCAAATCTGTGCACTTTTCAATGAGCATATTTCTATAAATATTATTTTTTTCTTCTTCAGTCTATTAATATTACAATAAATAAATATTAAAATTACCATAATAGTTAGTTAGTTAGTTAAAAATTTAAATAAGCTATAAAAAAAATATTCTTTTACATCGCCTTTGTTTTAATGCTTTGAATTCAAAAACTTATCACGTGTGTTGAAGAGTATTTTGTCTAACCATTCGATATTAAACTTTGATTTTTTAATAATTTTAGAAGAGATGACCAGAATTAATCCAAGTATTCTAATATAATTAAAGGGATTGATAAAAGCTCTGTCCAATATATTGGAGTAAGTTTCTTTATACATATTTTAATCACCTCCAGTAATTAAGCAGAGTGTCATTTTAAGAGCTACATCTTCCTCAATTTAAGGAACTTGTAATGATTTATTTATCCTTTCAGTTAATTGTTTTTCCTTCTTTTTTTATTTGTGTTGGTCTGTGCTTTTGATAATTTTTTTCAAACCTTTGAAAATTTAAGATTTTTCTTCATTTTTATCTTGTGATTTGCTTTTTTTCTTTTTAGAGATTTTTTGCTTTTTCAAGAATTATTGAGCCTTTTTTCTCATTTAAGTATCTAATAACTTCAAGTATTCACTATCCTGAGATAGCAAGATTAGTCTCTACTCTTCTTTTTCTAAACCCTTGACTGTTTTATTAAATTCTTTAGATTTTAGGAATTTCTAAAAGTCTTTCTTGTTTTTCTCATAATCTTCTTTGTTTCCAAAAATACTTTCAAGCTACATTTTTTCTCTTTCTCTTATCACTTTTAATTTTTTCTCTCTTTCTTTTTTACTATTTATTAAATTATAATTAATTATTAAAATAGCTAAATATTAATTTAAATTATTTTATATTATTGGTAAAATAAAATAAATTTTAGAAAAAAAATTTTTAAAGTTGTCTTAAAAATTTAAGAAATAATTACTTGAATTCCTTCTGCTTTTCTTCTAAAAGAGTTTATCTTTAATCAGGACTCAAGCTGACATAATGGTTTCGATCAATGTTAAATCTTTCAAGATCATTTGTCTAAAAGCCATATACAGATGGACATACGTAATCTTTTTCATCTAAATCAGTAGCAGGTTTGCTTTCATCTTTCACATCTATTTATTCTTTGGGTTCCTAAATATCTTTTTAATTGGGTTATTTTATATCAGGAGCAGCATTTAATATTTGCTTCTTTACTTATATTTTGCAAAAAGCCTATTCATATTATTCTTAAATTTATTTTTCTACATTTTCATCTACAAAAGTAATTTCTGATATTTTAACTGCTTATTATTCTTAATTAGATGATTATTTATCTTAATTTTAATCACAATCCTTATTATTTAACTCTTTTATTTAATTGTCTTCTTTAATTTTTCTTTAGTCTAAAAGATATTTATTCATTTGGTAGTAATAAATATTGTTTGATTTAATTTCTATTTTAGTGTTATTGTAAATGTCATTTAAGTGCTTAATTTATTCAGAATTTTTAAATTAGTTACTAAAAACTGTATTTTTGTTTCCTTCAGTTAGCAATTTAAAAGTTTCAAAATATTCAGCAAACGAATTAGGTGAATTTTTTTCAAAATTTTTAGGAGGATCTTTTAATTTAATTGTTTTTTGGTTTTTTATAATGATGTACAAGAAATAATTATTTTTAACTTCTTTAAATATGTTAAATTGAGATGTATTATCTACTTATTAATATTTATAAAGTTATTATTCATCTTCGAATTCCCACTCTGTATCGAATAGCTTTTTGTGCTAATCATCTTCTAAAATATTTGAAACTATTTTATCTGAATCAAAAAAGCTTTACTCTAATGACTTTTATATTTAATCCTTCTAGAAATATTATAAAAAGTTTTCACTTACAAAATCAGTTTCTTTTTCAATGTTTAAATCATCTCCATAAATAGAAGTCATAATGTAATTGTAAGATTTTTCATATAAGTTAAATATTTCTAAATAGAAGAGCTATTCTAATTATTTCATAGATTAGGCTTTATTTATAAACTTTTAAAATAGACTCAAAATAAGTAAACCGTCTTCTTTTTTCTTTTCTTCAATCTAGATTTATTTAAATTCATTAATAAATTAAAAATCAAAAAATCTAAAAATAAATTTACATTTTCTAAAATATTTTTAAATATGTTCAGGATTCCATCAAATAATGTGTGAATTTTCATGTTGATGAAGAAATCAGGCTGCTCAAGTATTTACTTGAGTATAGATACTATCTTTAAGAAAATTTATCTTAGTATTTGCTTATTAATATCCTAATCCTTATACTAGAATGAGCTAAAAACTATATAATTTAATATATCTTAGCTTTAATAATTTGTAATTAGAGTAATATGGATCAAGTAATCTATAAAATTAGTCTTGCTTTTGTGTTGGTCGAATAAATATAAAGTGTCATGCTTTTCTTTTTGAATGTTATTTACTTTAAACTCATCTAAGTGAGGAAGAATTAAATGTTAGTAGTTTTATATAAGAGATATAATATAGTTTTAGATTGTTTCAATATCTATGTAATCGCATTCTGATTTTTCTATTTTTGGAATGAATTTAAACTTTATAACTTCATTTACATTTTATAACTCTTAGTTAATGTTGTTCACTTTTTGAACAAATATATTTATAATATATTATACAAAATCTATTTGCTATTAGCTCATTTTTACCAATTTATGTCTATTTTCATATAATTTCTTCACTTCATCTGGATTTCTTAGCTTATATATAATCACTCTTTTAATTTTTTTTTCTTTCTCTTCATCCTCTTTCTAAGATTTACTTTTACATTCTTCCTGCTCATCTTCTTTTTTTTCTTTTTCTTCTATTTTTTCATTACTCTTACTTTGAGTTGTCAACTTAGATTTACTTTTTGAGTCTTCTTCTTCTTCTTCTTCTTCATTTTCTCCTAAGTCTTAATCTAATTTTTATTCTTTTTTATCACTTTACTAGTCATTAGCAGAGTTACTTTCATCATTAGATCCATCTTCAGAATTATCCCCTTATCCATTGTCTTAATTTTCCTCATCTTTTTCAGTATCTGCGTTTTAACTTTTATTCTCACTCTGCTCTTCTTCACTTTACTCTTATTTATCTTAATTTTCCTACTCTCTATTTGATGATAAGTTATCTTCTTAGCATAGAATTTATGATCCTATTAAATCACCATTTTAATCTTGCTCTGTTTCACTTTCTTAATCTTTATTTACATTTTATTTATCTTCTTTAGTTTATGTTTTGCTCTCTTCTTCATCTTCTAATTCGCTAAAATCTTTTTTTTCACTCTAAATTGATTAATTATGAGATTTTGATGATTTAGACAAATTTTTATCATCATTGCCAGATTAGCTTTTTTCATCTTTTTTTTCATTTTTTTCATCTTTTTCATCTTTTTGTATAGTAGGGCTAATTATTTAGATTTTTGTAACTTCAAAAAACTCATTAATAACTTCATAGAACACTTAAGAATAACATTGACATATTATAGAATATTTACTTAAAATCTTATTTTAAATTTATGTCAAAGTGAATCTAATATTTTCTAGATTCTCAAGATTTTTCACTATAATTTACTACTTATTAAGTTTTTTAATTTAATCTTTTTCTTTTTTCTTAGTTTGTTTTTTCTTTTTAAATATGCTATCATTTTAAGATTTAGATTAACTACTATTATCATCATCTTCTTCTTCTTCTTCCTCACTACTGCTTGAGCTTTAATCATCCTCATCACTACTGCTTTTACTTGATGAGCTTGAACTAGATGACTCTTCACTATTTTCTTATGATTCACTTTCTTCTTCTTCATCGTCTTCCTCTTATTCTTCTCCATCACTATCCGATTCTGTATGTTTACTTTTGTCATCATCATCAATACTAACTTTACTTTTTTCATCACTTGAGCTATTATCATCTTCTTCATTATCTTTATCTTATCTTTTTTATTTTTTATTACGATTTTTAGATTCCTTTATTTCATCTTCAACGAAGTTCTTTTTAGAATGTATTTTATCATATTTGTCTTAATCTATATTTTCTATCTCATAATCTCCACTTAAAGATAATGCATCAAATAAAATAGAAATATCTTCATCGGATTAAGATTTACTGGAATTACTTATTTAACTGCTACTCTCATCTTCTTCGCTGGAGGATGAATCAGAAGTTGATTTTTTTCTATCTTTTTTACCTTTTTTTTTCTTTTTTATAAGCCCATTAAATACAATTGAATTATTATCATCTTCATCAGAGTCACTTTTCTAGATATCTTCCTTTTTATTTTTCTTATCTTTTTCTTCAACTTCTTAGCTCTTAGAATCATTTTGTGCTTAATCTTTTTATTAAATTTCAAACTTTTGGGTAATTATATCTTAAGCTATACATTTTCTTAAAAAATGCTTAAAATTTGCACCTCCCTTTGCTATGAAAATCACATTTATAAAATATAAAATAGATTATTTTATTTCCTCCCAAGGATTACTCTTGTAATAATTTAATTCTAGATAATTATAAATAAGTGCTTCTAGAGCTTATAAACGAATATTGGGTACAAGGTTGCTCAATGCTTTAAGAGTTTTAAAGAGATCTTCAGTCAATAAATCTAATACTGAAAGGTACTAGGAGGACATTTCTATTTCTAAACCCTCATTTTTATATTTTATTTTTAATTCGTAAACAAATTAGCTTATGTCTAAGCATTTATCATAAAATTACTATAATTCTTAAGGAGTAAGACTAAATTGCCTTAGAATCGAAGGTGTATCTAAACAAATTTCTAATACATCATTTAAACAGATAAAGTCTCGTTAGTTTTTTTTGAGTATTTCAAATTTGTAACATAAGTTATCATAGAATTAAATAAAGCTATCAAATAATAAAAGCTCTTCATATTCATCTATTTCTTCGTCTTTGCTATAGAGTTTCTTACCTTCTTCGGTTGCTTTTAAGAAAGGAATGTCTTATTGTATATCTTTAAGGCAATCGAAATGCCTTCCAATATAAATAATCATTCTTTTAAGGTGCTAGTGTATATATTTTACATTAGCATTATTAACCGTATTTAATTTAGTAAAGCATTTACTAAAGAATTCATTTAACCCAAATGTTTATATAGGATTAATAGGATTAGGTAGGTTTAAGATAGCTTAAATGTCCTTATTAATTGCAAATTACTAATTTTAGCTCAAGGCATCTTTGTAGAAAACATCATTCAAAAATAATGCAATCTACTTAGACATCATTATTAGGATTTGTTTTTTCTTTTCTGACTCTTCTTTCTCGTTTTTCTCCTTTTCATTTTCCTCCATTTCTTTTAGCTTTTTTTCAATTTTATCATTTAATTCTTAATTCTTTTTCTATTCAGATATCTTTTTATCTTCTTCCATTTTAGTTTATTCATCTAATTTTTCATTTTATTCACCTGTTTCTTTCTTATCCTATTCTTGTTGTTCTATTTTTTCAGTTGGTATTTCTTAATTCTTTTCAGAAAGATTTTCATCATTATTTTAGATAGAACTCTTTTCTTGTTCTTCATTTTTTTAGCTTGAAACATCTTACTATTTTTCACTTGAAAGATTTTCTTTATTATCAGATTCCTACTAGCTGACATTATCTAATTTGATAGATTATTTTTTTAACTCTTCATCTAAAATTTCTCTTTTACATATCTCTCTTAATTCTTATCTTTTTAATGCTTTTTGCAATGAAAAATCAATTTCAATAGCATGTTTAAGTATAGCATTCACTTCAACTTCGTAACCTGTGTCATTTAAAACTCTAGACAAATTTTCAGATATCATTTAACCAAATTAAGAGTATAAGACTTATGCTTCTGAGACTAAAGGATCTATATCCAACCCTAAATTTGAGTAGCTATCTATTATATTATTAAAGGAATCTAAGAAATCACTTGCTTAAGAAGTTGAGTAACTTCCCCATTCTCCTCCATTATTAAGCTAAGTGATAATTATTATATAAGTATTGTTAATTAATTAATTTAGAAGATTTATTGTTTCTGTTTGGCGGATATATTTAGGATTCTAACTATGCACCAAGCTTAAAAGAGTTCCAACCATACTCAAACTGCTTGTTATAAAACTATCTAAAAATTCTATAAAGAGATTATGGAAATCATTAGCCTTCGCTCTTTAATTAATAAAAATCTATATATTTTCTTTTTTTAGTATTTTAAGTACAAATTATTGATAAGCTATTTGATCTTTTAATAGGATATCAATATTACTTATGTAGAATAACTTTGATTAATGATCTGCTTAGTTATCATTTTTATTTTTTTTCTTCTTTTTTAATTCTATTAGCTCTTCATCAGCCAATAGTCCAATCTAATGAGTATTACTCTTAATATTTCTGTTAATTATTTTTATTACTATATTGAAATAAGCACTTTACTTAAAGAATTCTTCGAAAGTAATTTTGTCTTCATTTTCTAATATACTTTAAATTGAAGAGGAGGGATCATTGCATTAACTAATTAAATTAGAAGCAAGGTTATTAATAATATCTGGATAATATGGCTATTCAGAGCAATAAGTAATCAGTTTTTTAATGTAGGTAAAAGGTATTTATTCGAATATATCAATTTCATATTACTTACTATATTTATAAGTTCCTGATTAAAATATTTTAAATAATTTTCCTTTTTTAAAGAGATTCAGATACTCAATTGATTCTTCTTAGTTGCAACTTTTCAATAATTCATAGTTTTAGATACCAATAGACTAGCAAAATTATCTAAAATCATAAATTTTCATTATTTAAGTTACAAGCTAGCAAACAACCTCTTATGAAAAAACATACTTGCATTATGCCAAGTCGTAGCTTTCGAAATGGCTAAATAATCCAAAACCAAATTAAATTAAATAAGAAAATCTTCTGCAGATAGCTATTTCTTCATAATCCTACTCGCATTTTATCTATGAAGAAATATGTTGGAGAATATTTCTTTATGTTCTTTCTAAAGGTAAACTTTTTATTTTTTTTGCTGCTTTTTATAGAGTTTCCATATTTTCTTTTAAGAATTAATCAAATATTTCTAAGTAAGCACTAACGTAATTGCAGTTTTCTAGCTTATTTCCTGATTCATCGTAAAGTTCACAGGTTTTAATAGAAAAATAAGACATAAATGAATAATGAGAGATAATATTCCTATTCATCAAACAAAAAGGAGAGATATTTTATAAATCATATTTGATCATTAACTAAAAGTTATCCTTAGTGATCTTAATTGGCTCTTTTTTTAAAAAAAATATTTAATAGAGGAAAAAAAGTAAAAATAAATATCTATTGAAATAACTATTAATTTACATGAAATACTTATTTTAAAATAATAGTAATAATGTCCAAAAAATTAAATGAGAGTCTAAGCAAGGAGATTGTTTTTTAACACCATAAAATTTTATAGGGCTCTAGATATGCTATAATTAGCAGGGTTATACTTATCATACTATTAGAGAATCAATTTTTTGTCATTTTCATAGTATTATTTAAACTCAGTTTAAAAGAATTTTTCAAAATAAACAGTAAATTTTGTTTCTAAGGTAAAGCCAAAAGTGATTTAATCAAAATACTACTATGTGAAGACATAAAATGACCATCTCATAAACAGTAATCCACACTCTTCATATTCGTTTTAATATTCAGGCTCTTTTTAGAGCCTTAGAGCTATTCTGTGAATTATCTCAAAGAAACAGCCCTAATTAGAAAATACTGAATTGCTCTAATCATTAATATACTTTATTTAAAAATAAAATAATTATTTTATTTAATTAGGGTATATTTTAAATTACCCTCCTGTATATTTAAATTAATTTCAATGCTGTTTCTATTGAAAAAGCCTAATATTCACTTATCTAAGAAAATATGAAACCCATCGTCCTAATAAAAAAGTTTCCATATGGGCAGTCTATTTAAAAATTAAATTATTTTGAATTTAATGCAAGTGTTTAAATTAAAAATGTTACTCTTTTCAACATAATGAAGATGTAAATAATTAACAAGGTTTTCCATCTTTGACTAAGCTACATCTTTATAAATCTAGTCACATATGGTGTGATTTGCAAATCTAGTGTAGCTAAAAGTCTATTAAATGTTAAGTTTATCTAAAGTTTCGTTGCGGGTCTATAACTCAAATAGATGTATTAACAATTTTGTTATCTTTACTTTTGTAAACTCTTTACCAACAAGACAAGAGGCTAATAGTAAATTATTGTAATCATTTTTATTAATAGCATTATCTATTATATATTCTTCAAAAAATTCTAATTGCTACTTAGCTTAAGACACGCTATCAATATTCTAATTATTTTCTTATTCTAGAATGTCGTAAACTGTTAAAAGGTTCTCATTATTGTATATGACAACTTTTAATCCTTCAATTAAATCAAAAACATACTCTATTTCTGAAAGCTTATTGTAAGGCTTCAAAATATTATCAATAAATTTCTAAACAAACATAAAATCTTTAGAATATTGAAAATGATTGCTACCATTACAATTAATGTTTGTAGATAATATCTCTGGGATAAAGAAATCGATAAAAAACTTCTCCTTATCTTTCAATGCTTCTGGCTTTATTGAGTATATAGAATGTATAATTACATATGACTAATCTTGATTGTAATTGCTAGAATAATCAAATTCGTATCCATCATAGTAGCTTTAGTGAGTAAAAAAAAATGCTAGTGTTAAATTTACAATGTCTTCAAAATTATCCTTTACTAAAGCTAATTTTTTATTTATTATTTCTTCCCACTTTGATGTTTAAATAAGTTCACTATTAATATCTTTAATCTTGCTTTATTTTAAATAGCTATTTATTATAAAATCAGTTTGGTCTTTCTCATCTTTCTTATTAATCTTTTAGCGCCATTAATTTTAAAGATCAAACTTCCAGGATTTCAATGTTTATAGTGTCTACTCCTTATCAAAATATTCTGGTAAAAAATGACCTAAGGTAAGAAAAATATTATTTTCCTTCATAACCTTTAAGAAAATGTTTTGATGTAAAGAATAATTTTTGATAAGATTATAGATTTTATTAGTTTCACTAGACTCAAAGTAGTTAGTATTTTTGGTTAGAGAGTAAATATACTTCGAAGAAATATAATTGACTTTCCAGTTATGTGAATAAATTACTACTTCAAATAAATTATATTTGGGTCTTATCAGTAATTCTTGCAAGATTGTCTAATATTTAAAAAAATATATAAATTATTTGATTTAAATAAACTTATTTTTAATTTTCTAAAATATTTTTTTAGCAAATCTAAGTTTTAACAAATTAGATCTGCTAAGTATTTATTTTTTAAATTTCTTATGATTGATTGATTCTATAAATTTATATTTAAACTATTATAATATGAATCAATTCTATTTATAAAAATTAAATGCTAAATTCCTTTAGTAACGTGGAGAGCATATGCATAGTATTAAGACCTATCTTAATTATAAGTTATTTTTTATGCTATAAAGTCTTGAAATTTTAAATCAATAAAACTATATTTTAATGATTTTTTCTGTGACATAACTTGCTTTTATAAAGAATAAAATCGTAAAAATCCTTACAGTGTCTGAGGAAGGAGAGTTTTTATATCTTTCTTTTGTAAATAGTATTTATATTTCTGAAAGCAAATTAACTTTATTGCAAATTTCTTCTTCGTACTTTGCTATATCTTTATATTCATTTCTATGAACACAATCTATAAAGTCTTTCACTGATTATTGAGCAAATTTTAATGCCCAATTTTATAATGTACCTAATTCTATAATTTATTCAACAGTTTAGAAAAGGTATTTTCTATTTTATTTCATGCTAGTTGCCAATTCCTGTACTTTTTCAAATGTGATCTCCTAATCGCTAATCCCAAAAGTCTCATTTCTTAAATTTATTTCCTATTGAATTTAATATAATATTTGAAAAAAGCCTATAAATGGATATTGAATTGCTAAAATGCAGTTAATGAGGATATCTGTTAAGTATAATTATCATACTACCTTTTGAAAAAATAAATTCCTATGCTAAATATAATTTTATCTTGAATTTTGCCTAAACTCCATGATTTTCTTATCAGATTTTGATAACTTTTCGTGAAATTAAATGAAAATTAATTAACTTCTTAATAACTATTTTATTTCTAATAAAAAGGATATGAGTTTATTATTTAGTTCTGGCTTTCTACAAAAACTTGTTATTTAATTATTATTTTATCACATTTAGAGGTTTCCTATTCTGATAATGTTCCTTCCTTTTCTTATATTTGAACTTCTAATTTCAATAAATTCTATTATCTAGAAAATGTAAATTTTGGAATAATTAAAAATAATATTTTAACTTTTAATACTTATTAAATCAAAACATTGTATTTTGTTGCTATTTTTGAAATCTTTGTTTTATTAAATATATACAAACAAAAATAATTTTTTTCTTTTTAATAAGTTTAATAATTATTCAACAAAATATTATTGTTAAAATATTTTAAATTTCTGTTTTTCTAGATTAAATTGATATCAATATTTTAATATTTAATAAAAAATAATATTTTTATACTAATAATATTCAGTTATTAAAAAAATTTTAACTTTATAGATTTGTAATAATAAAAAAATTCATTTAAATGAAAAATAATTGAAAAGATTTTAAATTTCAAATGCTATATTTATTTATTATTATTTAGAATTACTAAAGTTGTTTTTTCAAAAATTCTTATATTTCTATTTAAATAATAAGTAAAATAATACTAAATAAATTTTTTTAAAATTATGAAAGATAAATTAATTTATATATTTTACTAATCCCTTGTGCGTTATTTTATTGTTCAAATATACTTCTTACTTTAGGTTCTAAAAAATAGGATTCGATAATGATATAAAATAATTTTTTATAAAAGAACCTAAATAACTAAAATATTACCATAATATTTTAAAAATAAATATTTAAAAAAATGAAATTTGATAAAAATATTAGGTAATATTTTCTATTTTATATCACAAAAAAGCATTTTTTTAAAATTTCATTTTGAAAAATAAAAAAATAACAAAAAATAATATAGAAACATATAAATTTTAGCAAAATGCTAAAAAATATTTGATTCTAGAAATTTTATTAAAAAACTATCTGATCTGAGTATAAGTTCTTAATCTCAAATATGCAAATAAGAGGGTTATAAATACTAACACAACAATTAAAAGCATAAAAAAACGTAATTTGATCTTTGGTTATTGAATTAGATTTTGCATAAAATATTTGCAAAATATATAATTAATTCTTAACGTATTCATTCATAAATAAAATAAAAAATTCTTCTATAATTAAAATTTTTATTAAATTTTATTAAGCCAACATTAAATTTGATATATGTTTAGCATTTTTAAAGTGTTTTTCTTATATCAACAAACTGTCGCCTTTATTTTTCAAGAACAATAAATTAAAAAGAAAAATTTTTTCCATCTAATAATTATTTAAACAAAATAATAATTAGAAAACAATCTGCCTAATTTATTTTAATAAAAAAGAAGAAATGAATCTCTTATTAAAAGCTAAATAATTCTATATCTAAAACTCATAGACATTATTCAAAGAGTCAAGAAGGTCATTAGCATAGGCTTGTCTTACTATTTTGTTAGAGCACGCAATACATTTTACAGCTATTTTCTCTCCTAAATTTATTGAGAAGTAGAAGTAAATTGATCATAATTGCAGTTTTCTTGAATATGTTTCAATTCACTTGATATCTAGCTAATATAAAAATATACTTACTCAAATATTTCTAGGAATTAATATATGTGCAATTTTATTAATTCAAGTTTATTTTATATCATATTTGATAAAGCCATACAAATAGAAGAAAGGATTTTTATCTATACTTATAGTAAATTATAATCCATTTTTTACTATTCCTTTTTATATTATCTCTGCTAGCTAAATGAATATATTTAGCATACTAAACATAGTACTAACAGCAGTACTATCATAATTCTGTGCTATTTAATGTAACAATGATTACAACTACAATAAGTCTGATTACTTATCTAAAATAGGAAATTCTTGGGATTAGCTTAAACCTCTTTTTATTTTAGCCTCTATATTTTCTTTAAGTTTTGTTGGTAATAACTTCTACTGCTTATTTACTTTTTCTTATTCGATCTTTAACAATCTTAATTACATCAATTATAATTTTTACTATAGCAAAGTAATCAACAAATTATTTTTCTTTGCAAATTTACTTGTGACATTTATCTCTTTGATAACTGCTATTTTAAGTATAGTATAAGTAAATTATTCAATATTGTTTCCCATGGTTATCATTCCTTGTCTAAGCTATAAGGTTGCGTAAATTACAGTGGAATACTTTTATTCAAAGATAATTACCAAAATTTAGTTTATTCTAGATAATAATTTGAGTGAAGCAAATAATTTACAAAGAGATAAGTTGATTGATTTTTATACAAGGTACTTAATTGATAGCTTAAAGGGTGATGAAAATAAGATTTTCTAAAGAGTGCATGAATAATCCTAAATATTTTTAACTTCTATAAAAGACCATAAATTAATTTAACTCTAAAATTAAGAGAAAGATAGCAGCTTAGACAAGTTGAAAAACATTAATTTAGGTTAATTTATGTATAATGAAGATCAAAATGCATTTAACTCTCTTTAAGATCAAATAAAATATCTTAAATTAGCTTTAAAAGTGCAACAAAATGCTTCCCAAGAAAAATATTTGGAAAAAAACATTGAAAGAAATTCAATTAGAGAACTTTTTTATATCCTAGAAATAGAATAAAATATTCCAAAACTCATGATAAAACTTTAACAATACATAAAATAACAAGGTAAATATCTGAGTATAGAAGAATAATCGCTTATAGAATATATCTAGGATATAATTTAAAAAAAAAGTTAAAGCAAGAGCGAATAAAATTATTTATAAAAAGCTTTCTAATATGAAGAATAAATAGAAAATTGCATTTGCTAAATGACACTTGTTATCAAATAAAGATTAAACTTTTTACAAAATATATCAAAAGATAATTTTGATTTACAAAAAATAATAAAAGAAGGGGTCTAATATCTTCAAATGAGAAGTGAAATTACATCATTACTTTTGTAGTTAAAAGTTGAAAATGATTAAAATAATGAATTTATTTTTCTTTAAAACATTTATCAAAATGCAATTTAAGTTGATCCAGACGATAAGAAATTTCTTCAAAAATAATTATTAAATATTTAATTAGATGCAAAATATTAACGCTCGAAAAGAATTGATATGTAATAAGCTTTTAAATCTTCTTATTTAATGATTGTTTCATTAGCGAATAATGAACTTGGGATTATTAAAAAAGTTTCAAGAAATGTCAAAAAATTAACTGGATACGACCAAGTTGATTTAATAGGTTAAAATATTAATATATAAATGCCATAATCAATTGCAATTCATCATAATTCTATTATTAGAGAATCTATAGAAAATGGGCATCTTACTTAGTTTTAAATGAACAAGGCACCATTAATATTAAGAGCAAAAAATAAATTTGGAATAAAATTTGAAATATCATTTTAAATGTAACAACAATTGTAATATCAAGATCCTGTTAACTTAATTGGCTAAGTTAAAATACTTAACTAATTTACAAATAAATTCGCCTTAGTAGATGTTTCTCAACAAAAAGGACATAGAATAGATATCATATCAAAAGCTGCATGGTCAGAGCTCTTTTAAACTTACTTTTCAAATTTAAAAGAAGTTGAAAACACTCAAATTCACTAAATTATACCAACTCTTACCAATATTAAAGATTACCTTTTCAAAAGCAATATTAAAAAAATGGAAATTTAGACACTTGCTTTTATTCCTGCAGCTCATATTTAAAAGGAGTACTATTAAAAAAGATATATTGATAAATGTGATAAAATTATATCCAACGTTAAGAAAGGATATTTTAATTATGACTTTAATGATGTCTACTTACTAGATATAAGCATAAAGTTCTACTCTAAAGAATCATTTTATTAAATTTTAAAGTTAAAATTTAAGTCTATAAACAAATTAGTAGACTAAAATTTAATTGAAAGCGCAATTTTAACTGTGCTATAGCCATAATGGATAGAATTAGGATGCATGACAGAAAATCATCTCGAAGAATTTCATAGCAACCTTAAGGAAGATGTATAAAAATTAAAACCAAGGATTTCATAAATATCTGATACATAGAATTCATCTAAAATTTATGCAGATAACCCTACACAAATAAACAATAAAACCCCATCTTTTAATAAATTTTAAAATAGTCTAAGCTGCTTTGATTAAAAACTGTATCCTCCAGAAGACAGTTTTAGAACCTGCTTACAAACAACAGATAGACATAGGAAAATTTCAGAAATTGATTAATTGTAGACACAAGCATCTCCAAATTGCGAAATTTTATGTGCAAGTCCACGCAGTGAAGCTCTTTAGGAAATCCTTTTATTAAATGAGCAAAAGTTGACTTCTGTTTCAAAAAAAAACAGTAAAGAATTAACCTTAGAACACCTTTTTAGTCCAACTCAAAGTAGATACAGCTAAAAGATCAGCATGTCTGATATTCTTTTAAAATTTTGCAGCAATGAAAGAATATTAGGAAGAGACAAACAAATTTCTATCCAGAAAAGTAACATGAATATAAATTTAATATAGAAAAGCTAGTAATTTTAATCTGAAGAAGAAAGCGAAAAAGATTTTGAGAAAAGTGAAGGTGAGTCAGAAAAAGTTAATAAAGTTGCAGATTAGGGATCTATTAACAATAGCAACAAAAGTCAAGGTTCAGCCTTAAGCTAATTAAAAAAAACAGTGGTAAAAAAGCTTCTTTAAAAGAAATCTATAAAGAAAGTACAAATGTTAGCATTTTATATGATAATCTCCTTTTTGCTAATATTTATTACAGTAGTTGTCACACATTTTGACCTTTAATCTAAAATTTCTCATTAATAGATTTCTTTTGATTTCTCTTCTTGGCAGGATATTTACTAAACATATCTTCTATAAGGATTAAACTGCTATTAAATTTATTAATTAATTTCACTTTAATAATATACATTCTCTAAATACCCAGCTGCTTAAGATTTACAACTTCAATTAGCTTAGGATATTTAAAATATATATTCTAATTAAAAGGCTAACATTATTAATTTAATGGATTAAGATATTAACTAAGTTTTTGTTAAATAAGAGCTAGTTAATACTTAAATAGATTTTGTGTACCTTACACCTACTTTCAAGAATATAACTACTTAGACAAGTTTTTTTAACTCATTAATAGTATTAATGAATTTTGTTCCATCATTATTCATGTAAAATTAGTATGGGCTCATTAAAGAACTTGAGCTAATGGTAAATGCTGGGGCTATATAAAATTCTTTGACTAAAGTAAGTAATGAGCAAGGAGGCTAAGAATAAAAATTAAATAATGATATCAAACAATCCTCATCTCTTACTTTAATATTAGTATCCGTGATTACAGCAATTATGGCTGTATTTATTATACCATTTTATTATGTTTTTCAAAGAAAGTAAGAAAAAGTGTTGAGGTATTTTGCAACTATTGAACCTGAAAGTATTGCAGAGATGTCCGAAAAGTTATATAAAATTTTAGAAAACCTTGTCAAAAAAAAGAAAATTTTTGACAACAAAAATGAAAAGGAAGAACATATAAGCCATCATTAAATTAAATAAAATATTAAAAAATAAAAAAAACACATTTCTACATCATCACTTCCTAAATTTAATCTAAAAATAACATTTTATGCTTTTTTGCTTTTAGCTACAATATCTGTGTAGCCAATAGTCAACTATTTCTTAACAAATCTATAAGTAGATCAGCAAACATAAATTTAATCCTTTGTAATAAAATTGTATTAGTTAAAGGAGTTCATGTATTCAGTTTACTATACCCTTTCAATATACTCAGCAAAGGTAGCTAACCCTTATGTAACTCTAATCCCTTCTGAATAAATATAGCAATATTTTTTAGGTTATGTCGTTCAAGCTAATTAATTTGGTAGTTAGTTTGTCAGTGATTTAGGATATATACAAAGCGGTTAAATATTTCATGATAGCAATACTTTAAAATCTGCCAGTATTATATTATCTGGAGATATTTGCCAGTATCTAAAAATTAGTTCGAATTACACATTAACTTATGATTAATGCTCTACAGTTTACAATGGAGCTTATAGCAAAGGTCTTATAAATGCATACTCAGTTTTCATGTTAAAGAGATAAGGGATGTATGAAATTTGCAGCAAACCCTAAGACGATTCTACATTTTCATACATAGATAAATACTTTTTAGAAAACTCCCCTATAGAAGATAGTATTTTTTTTTATATATTCGAAGAATCAATAACAGAATTATAAAATTTAGTAAAGTATTAGAATAGTCTCTTCAAGCAAACTGTTGATTACACTTAGATTTCTTTATTCATATTTGAAGTTTGCCTTTTAACACTATTACTACCTATAGTTGTAATACCATTTTTTAATTACATTAATAATAGAGTAAATACAGTCATGCAGATGTTTTCGATATTGTAAATAAAATACATTCTCGAAAATACTTATTTGATGCATTTTATAAAATAATATTGATTGATTGATTGATTGATCTATTCAGTACTTTTAAACTTTGTTATGTAGAGAAAATAGTTTTATTTTTATATTAATGTCAAATATATTTTACTTTTTAAAATAATTATTTCTTTGAAGAATTTAATTTAAATAAATAAAAGTGTATTTCTTTGAAGTGTATTTTAATTTTTATTAGAAATTAATAACTTTACTAATTAGTAAAATATTTTTTTATTTAGAGATGAACTTTATTTAAAATACTTTGATTTACCAAAATAATAAATGGGCTTTGTAAGAATGCATTCAAATATTTTTAAATTCACATTATTAATCAGAAATATTTTTTTATTAGAAATATAAAGAAAAATTAGATATCAGAAATTTATTAAAAATATTAAATCAAATCTTTTTAAAGTTAACAATATAATTAAATATGAAATATAATAAGGTGATTTTTATAAACATATTTGCTCTTTATCTTTTTATTAAGCATTTAGACTGTGCTGAAATCTTTTAAGAGATAGATTAATCTCAAATTTCAAATTAAGATAATATTTATCAAGTGTAATTTAGAAATGATTATTCAATAACATAATATCAAAGTATTAATGAATTCATTCAATAAAGTTAAATGAATTTAAATTAATATCAAAATCAATAAAAAATGGAAAATTTAGTGAAAGGAAGAATATTAAATTAAGTAAATTAAATAAGATTAACTGCAAATTTTGATAATATACTCAATAATGTACCATATTATTAAACCAAATTAGTCAAGAGAGCTTTTAGATTAGTATCATATGAAATAAGTAAAATCTTATCAATAGTGAGGAGCTCAGACACTTTAAAGCTAGAATAGTAAAAGTGCAGTAGCATAGTTTATAGCACCGCTGAATATAACAATGGAATACCATAAAGTGACCTTCATATTTACATTAGTAAATATGATTAATAGCTATTAAAGTAGTCTGAGAAAGTAATTATATGCTAATACAATAATAATTAAAGAGCTTCAGTAGGAATAATAAGTCTAGATTTCTCAAATTACAACATCTAGGATCAATCTTTTTTGTAATCAATAATAGCATAGGAACTATTTTCTTAAATTTACCATCTTCTAGGATTAAATAAAGATTTAATAGCTAGATTTGTTGATAGTAAAGGAGTTCAAATTACTTTAGATAAAATAATTTCAACATAAGAATATCAGTTTTCATATAATGTGCTGATAACAAATCAAATTCAATTAGTATCTCGATAAATGTTTAATTGTAATGACATAGAAGGAATATTAACAGAAATTAATGTAAGACTTAAATATTTATTTTTAGATTAATATTTATTATATTTTAATTTAATAAACAAAAGCTTGAAAAAAGCATATACTTCTCTAAGGTTTTTGTAAACCCTCAGTCTCTTGGTGCTGATAAAGTTTTAAGTGGAAGAATATTTGTTGGTTAAATTGATTTAGCGTTTTTAAAAGACACAGGATTTTATCCTTTAGTTAATAACCCATACCAACAAAATGAAAGTGATTAATCACTAGCTTATTAAAAGGGTTGTGATTTTTATAAATAATTATGTTTCTAAGATAGCAATTTACAAAATTTTTGTTCATAAGATATTAAAAAGTGTGATAATAATCATTATGGAATTGCTGAATGTAACTATTTTGATTCTTAAATACCATGCAAGATTTATCAAGTAGTTGATATAAATCAATTTTGCTTTAACAGAGAAAGTAATTACAAAAATGATTTTAATTATTATGGTAATGATAGTCGATGTTTCGAAAGTACTTTAATAAGAATTAATTCAGATACTTCAAATACTGATTAAGCAAGATGTCTTTAAAATAAATGTATTTCAAATAATACATAAATTCAAATTTAATTTAACTCAGAGACACTTATTTGTTCTGAAGAAAATTAAAAAGTGGTCTCTGTCTAAAATAAAGGATATATTATCTGTCCTAGCAATTTTGAATAATTTTGTCAACAAAATATAGAGTAATGCATAAACAACTGCTCATAAAATGGGTTATGTATAAACGGAAAGTGTGAGTGCTATCCTGGATACTCAGGAGATTATTGTTAAAGTAAAATTGATTTTTATTACATTTTAATAAAATAATGTATGTTAAATTAATAATTTAAACTCATCTAAAATATCAATCAAAATAATAAAAATTAAAAAAAATAGAAAATAAAAATTAATTCTAGCTGAATTTTTCTAATTCACTTTAACGATTAAATATAATAAAAATTTTTAATTAAAAGATATAAATTGCGTTGAAAATAATCTATTTGGGTGCTAGTAATGTTCTTAAGATGGATCGAATATCTGCTTAAAATGCTATTAAGGATTGTACTTAAGCATTAATAAGTAAGAGTGTTTACAAGACTGCTAAACTGGTTAATTTGTTGATTAAGTGAATCAGTAGTGTAAAGCTTGCTAATAAGGTTGCAAATATTGTATCAATAATGAATCATGCATTAATTGTGCAGATAATTGGTATTTAAATTAAGTTAATTAATGTGTTTCTAAATGCCCTGATGGTTATTTTTAAGAATAAATTTAATAAACACTACTTAATGGCTAATAGATAAGTAAATGGGTATGTTCAAAGTGCCACTAAGCGTGTACTACTTGCTTTGGATACCAAATAAATTAATGTAGTGAATGCAAGAAATATTATACCCTTGTACCACAAAATACTTGCTAACATCCGAAATGTGATTCTAATTATTATGCGTTAAATGATAAGATATGCATTTAATGTCCTAGCAATTGCTTAAGTTGCACTGCTAATGAAATGTGCTATAGATGTGAAAATGGATTTATACTAATTAATGGTAAATGTCAGAATTCTATATGCAAACCTGGATAGATTTTTATTGAAAGCACTTTAAAATGTGAATATTGTGATGAAGGTTGCACATAGTGCATAGGAAAAAAATCGAATTGTTCGAATTGTTAATAAAACTATTATTTTTGGAATAATCAGTGTCTATAAACTTGCCCTTATGGTTTTTACAAATAACTTAATCCTCAGAACCTATCTGGAAATTCAAATGTTTAACCTAATTAAAATAAATAACAAATAGGAATGACTAGCAACTATTGCTCACCTTGCCATTAAACTTGTAGTGATTGTATAGGTCCTAGTTAAAATGATTGTAGTAGTTGTCCACCAAATTATTATTTGAATGTTTAAGATAAATCATGCAAAAAAAGTTAATTAAGTAATTGTATTATGGCTTTATCTTAAGATGTGTGTTTATAGTGTGATGCTTACTATTTTCTTTAAAATAGTAAATGTTAGCCTAATAGTTGTTCTCCAAATTTTTATGCTTTAAGTGTAGATAATTTATAAGGTTTTCTAGCTGTTTAACCTTCATACAAATGCTTACCTTGCTCATATGGATGTGAAGCATGTACAAATTAAAATACATGCTAGCAATGCTCAAACGGATTTTAATTAGACCCTGAAAGCAATTAATGTATTCTCCTTAATAACTCTTGCTTAGATGGATAATATTTTGATTTTTAGAGTTAGTTATGCTTAGATTGTTCATAGAATTGCTTAAAGTGTAGAGATTCAAATATTTGTTTATCCTGTAATAATAATTATTATTTGGTCAATTATTCATGCTAGTTACCTATAATACCTCCTAAAACTTACTATAACTCTTTATTACAGCAGTTTTTAATGTGTGCAAATCCTTGTTCTTCGTGTAAAGATACTAATTCTTGTAATTATTGCTATGATCCAACAGATGTATTATATTAAAGCTAGTGTATTCATTAGTGCCCAACTGGCTATTTCAAATAAGGTAATGGCTAAACAAATTTGTCTCAATGTAAATAATGTGACAAAACATGCCTTCTTTGTAAAGATCAGCTACCAACTTCATGTACTGTTTGTTAGGAAGGTTATGAATATTATTCTGATCTGAGCCTTTGTCTTCCTTAATGCTCTAATTAATTTAATGTAGGCCTTTACTATGATGTAGCTCAATAAAAATGTGTTTAATGCATGAAAAATTGTGTAAAATGCTAAAATTAAAATACATGCACTATATGCTAATAAGGGATGTTTTATGATATATCATAAGAGTAGTGTTCGAACTGCATGGATGGATGTAATATCTGCTCTGATATAAATACTTGTCAATAGTGTTAAGTTGGTATGGTTTATGCTAATCAGCAATGCTAAAAAATATGTACTGTAAAAGATTTAAACTGCTTAAGATGTGATCCAATAACTAATGTCTGCTTACAATGCTAATCAGGTTAGCCAGTATAAAGCAATGGATTTTGCCCAGTAAAATGTAATTTATAAAATTGCTAAAGATGCTCTAGCTCCACACAATGTGGTGAGTGTGATGATGACTATTATTTGGATATTAATTTATAATGTTAAATTAAATATTGTGAATTATCTTTTTGCAAATAGTGTAATTTCGATAAATATATACCTTACTGCACTAAATGTTAAAAAGAATACTTGCTAACAGAAGACGGAACGTGTTCTTCTAAATAAGTAACTTTTATTTTTAAATTTAATTTTGTAATTTATTTTACTATTTAAAAGTGCCCTTAATTTGGATAACAATGCTAACAGTGCTAAAATGATAATAGTTGTAAAATCTGTATAAATGGTTTTTATTATTCTAAAGAGTATAATTAATGTCTTTCTTGTCCAGATAAATGCTCAAGCTGTGATTAATTTTAATGTTTTTAGTATAATACTTGTCCGAATGGATAGTATTTGTTTGAAAAGCAATGTTTGAACTGCTTTGAATAGTGTTAAAAATGTAATGGCCCAAACAAAAGTGACTGCTTGGATTAAGAATTATAACAAAACTGTCATTACACTTGCAAAGAATGCTTAGGTACAGATTATAATTAGTGCATTTCCTGTCCTGAAAACAGAATTTTAACTTTTTACTATAATGTAAAATATGGAGAGTGCATGTGCCCTTATGGTACTTATGATACACTACAAATTAAGTGCATGGGTAAACAAAAAATAAAATTATTTTTATAAATTAAGCCTATTTTTTTTTAAAATTTTCTTTTATAATTAATAAATAAAGAAGGACACTTGGACTAAATACAAAGAGATTTAACTATAGGATTTTCGTATTTAGGAGCAGTAGGAGTTATTGCCTAAAGCATATTAAGCTTGAATCCAGCAATGTTTTATCTACTAAGTGAGTTTGCATAAACTCTTGGCTAGATCTAATATGTAATTTTTTAAAGATATAATATTGATAAAAATTCTAATTAATATGATAACAATTATTAAACAAATTAAATAAATAGATAAACATAAAAAAAGCATATGATTTTGATGAGACTGTTTATGCACTTTAGCATTTTAATTATAATATTTTATCAGGAGTTGGCTCTAATGTAAAGCCTTAAGAATAAAAGTCTACCTTAAGAATTTTAGAGGTCAGATTAGAAGATCTTGAAAAAATAACAAGCTTCTATAAGACTAATAATTTTCTGTCAAATTCAGAAATTTTGATCCTTTTAAACGCAGCATGCTTTAGCCTGATGGTTTTCTCAAATTGCTTAGTGCATAATGAAACTTTAAAATAATATAAGAATTTTAAATCTGTTCTCAGAGTCTTCAGATTCTCTCTTCCTGCTTTTATGCTTGTTCTTACTTCGAGCGAAATGTGCGTAACAATCTAACTTTAAATGAAAAAATTTGATTTAGACTCTGGTCAGGTTTTTGCTTTATTATTATCAATTATTTTCTTTACATATTAATTCGTCTGGATTGTTATCATTATTATCTAGTTGGGAATTAAAAATTCTATCAGAAAAAAAGAGCACAAACTCATTTTTAGAATTTTTAATAGAAAGAGATTTTGGTAGCGCATATTTCTAGCTTTATTATTTGTGAAAAAACAATTTTTGAGCATTATACTTATTAATGTTTTTAAATAGCCTATTACCCTTTTATTTATCTAACTAATTACAGAGGTTGTATTTTCGATATACATTATTGTAATTAAGCCATACAGAGGCACTATATTCAAAAGATTCGCACTCTTAAACTAGTTTACATATATTATAGTTAATATCTTTTTGATATTAATCTCTAGTAATGAAGATCAACAGAGTGAAACAAAGCCTATTTTATATATATTTATTCTTTCTCTAATCCTATTAGTACTAGTTCTGTACTCAATATTTAGTTTTTATTTGATTATAAAGTTTGTCTCTTAAAAAGTTGCAAGAAACTTAACTAATAGAAACGAAAAAACTGCAATATTACAAAAAAATCATGTATCTTCTATAACCTTAAGAAAAACAAGTACATCTGAAAATCAAGTCTTAAATTAAATTTAAGAAATTTAAAGCCAGAAAAAAAATTAAAAATATACTGTTAGTAACAACTAACCTAATAATTTTGAGTTAGTTAATATAGACTAAAACAATGAGTAGAATACAGACAATATTTTTATAACAAATGATTGCTAAATTAATGTAGATGAAGAGCACTAGTTTTAATTTGCTAAAGATAAATGATTTAAAATGATTTAGATTTTATTTTCATAAGATATTATAGTAATGTATACATTTTTGAATTTGTTTTAGTTAAAAAATGTATTTTTGAAAATTCAATTGTTTTGATAATTTTTTTAATTCAGTAAAAATAGAAAAAAATTTTTTTGACCTTTTCGGATCTTTTAAATTTTATTTTGCAAGTGAAGTTGAATTCATACACTTAAAAAGTTATCAAAAAAATCATTTATTTTTTAAAAAGAAAGAAGTATTTTACTTAGATTTTTATTTGGTTATTTTTATAAAAATATACCAATTTAGTTGCTTACTGCAAGCGTGTATAAAATAAACCAGTACAGCGATGTAGTTCATATTATGAAATCATACTTATTCTTATGTTATGTTATAAATTTTACTTATTAATTTATTTAGTATGACTAAATTTCGTTATTGACTCAAAAAAAAAAACTCGGAGATCAAAAATTATAAAAAAAAAGAGTTTTGTATGAATTTTATTTATTTTTATTACTTTTGATTTATAGTAAATTATTTATACTATTACTAAACGTCAATAGAATTACTGTAGTGAATTTAATTAAAAACAAAAAGACAGATATAATAATTAGTAAAAATGAACAAACAAAGCCAGTTTATTAATAAATTAGGGATAAGGCAAACAGAAAATTTCAAAAAATCGATCGTTTCGTTAACTGATTCATTTAGAAGGTTTTATGTTGAAGATATTATACATATTTTAAAGTAATATAAAAGGAATACTTATGTTGGTAGCATTTTGCTTTTGATCAAAATAATAGAGTAGCTTCTAATAATACTAAATTCTACTTTAGCATAATAACTTATTAAGATTGAAAATTATTTTGAAATAGCTTAAAAGTATAACATCAATATTTACTTTGATGACAATCAACAAGCTTGTTCAACAATGACCTATTTTTTTATTGCTTTTAATTCAGTTTTGCTAATCTTTTTGATATTCAAATTTATTTAGAAGATACTATTACTAAATGATAATAATGATAAAATAAAATTATTATCCTTTGAAAAGAATATGGAAAAAAAAAGAAGCATTGATAAAGAGTATTATGTAGAGATTTTATTCTCTTTTTTATTCTAAGTTTATAGTCATGCACTGGCTATCCCTTCCTTTATGGTAGCCAGTAAGAATATAAATGCCTTTTCAATTATCAACATATCGCTCACATATTTATTAGGTATATACTAATATAAAAATTAATCATATTTCTTTTAATTTTAATAATTAAATCTATCATCTTACTTACTATTTTTATTTTTTTAATTAGTATTAATTATTTCAAATAATGACTATGACTACATCATGAAATCAAGCGATTCTCTCAGATAGAAATATTCTAATTTATATTTTCTTTAATAAATTGTAGAAGGATTAGTCTATATTTTAGTCATATAATTTGATAATGAACAGAGTGCTTTGTTAATACTTTTTATTTCTATTTTAGAAATATTAAGATTAGCCTTTTTGTAGCCTTATTTTGATGAAAATATTTAGATTTTGGCTACTTTCTTATAGGTTTACTTTTTTTTGTGTCTATCTACCTTTTACATACTAATTTAGTTTGCGTATAAGTCTAATCATTTATTAAGCGTTTTCATACTCTTGTATATCCCTCTTACTTTCTGTGCAAGCAAGTAAATCTAAGTCATAACTCATTAATATTAAGTTAACTAGTTTGAAAAAGGTTTATAAAATGATGAAAATATTGGTCCAGAAATTCTAAATTATATAGCAAGAAAAACAGTTTTTAATGTAATTAAAGATGAAAATAGTTAAAATCATGCAGAAATAAAACATATAGCATACCTTATTAAGTGCAATATACTAAGATGGAATCTTTATAGAAAAGAAATTGAATAGTCTCATAAAAACTAAGAGAATGAAATTCATGAAATAGAAGAATTACTACAAGAAAAAGAAGAAAATTTACTTGGAGGCTATCAAGTAGATGCTACTGAATAAAAAGGTAGGTTATACATAGGGAAAGAATAAGTATTTGGAGAAAACAAAGATATGAAAAAAGCTTTAAGAAACTTATTTAACAGCTTGTACATAAAGGAGAGGAACAGCAAATAATTCACTATGATAGATATTTATTATCTGATATATATCGTTGAAGTCTTAAAAAATTATTAGTTTTTTGAGCTCACTACAACTTAAATTTCTAAAAACATTAGCCTAAAGCATTAATAAATTTTGTATACAGTTATGAAAGAAGTAGAAAGGCAAAAATAAATCATAAGTACTCTTAAAGACTAGAATAAATTATTTGACTAGTCATATTATGAAGCTCTAATATATGATGAGCTTATACTCTAAACACAGAGCTAACTTGAAGATGCTGTTTAAAAAAAAATACAATTACTGTAATTTATGAAATAAAAATATATAAATCTAGAGGAACTGTAAATTTAGTTAGAGTATTTATTATCAGCAAGAGAATAGCTGATAAAATCTATCACTCTGATGGTAAGGGTCAATGAATATAACTAACATTTGTATGACATTTACTTGAATTTTTTAGAAACTCTGGCATTTAGTGAAACTGATATTAAATTAGAGAGGTACAATAGATATAAACAAGGATAGAGATAAATATATTTTTAAATGAACTCTACTGATGCGTGCATTGTATTTGCATCTCTTAAGAATGAAAAAAATATCAAAATAGTGAAGGTATCCAATAATATTGAACACTTTTTAGGATATTAAAAATAGCATTTAATTAATAATTCTATAGAAATGATTATGCCTTCGCCATATGCATAGATTCATAATGAGTATGTAATGAACTTTTTCGCTATGGGAGATACATAGAGTTATCTTTAAACTTTACTTTTATTTGCGCTTACTTCATCTAATCATATAATTCCTGTAAACGTTGATATTAAAGTAAACTTGCTGGAAGCTGAAAAAGAGTTTGGGATGACTGCTTTTATTTAGAAGTAAAAAACTCAAACTCAATATATTTTATTTGATTCATCAAGTAGCAAACTAATATCAATGACTCCTGAGATAAATTAATTTATTTTTTCAACTATTCATAACTTCAATAAAGTAGCTCTTGCTTCTTTTTTCCCATTTATTTAGCATTTTAAGACAACTGTTGGTTCATCATTATTTTCTAAAACCTCTTAAATGACTTTAAATTCAATAAGAACTAAATAACTATTTTCAAACTAATCAATCAGATCACTCAACTCAGATGAAAATAGAACCAATAAAAGCAAAGATCATAAAAAACCAAAAAGCCTTAAAGATTAATATATTATTCAGAAATAAATCGTTGAAGCAAAGGATAAGTAAAATGACGTCACAAAAAAGTAATAAGATGATTAATACCAAAGAGAATAAAACAGAAAATAGCATATTATTAATTCGCTAAGAGATAGAGATATTGAAGATTCATTTTAGGAAGATGATGATAGAAAATATAGAAACTTATAATTTTTACTAGTTATTAACTCTCAAGATAATTTATTTATGTAATTAAAATCAAGGAGAGTGCAATCACTGAGTGATTTTAAATTCTATTTAATGAATTTAAACTTATATACCTGCCCTTCTCCAGGTCTTGATTAACTTAAATATTTAGAATTAACACAAATTAAGTCAATAAACCCTCTACATAATTCAAAATTTATCCTATAAATATATAATGATGAATTAGATGGCTATCTGACCAACTTACACACCTTCCGTAATTCAGATATTCAGTGCATTTTAACTGAATTAGAAACAAAAGGAATCAAAGAATCAAACCGTAACTCAAACAACCAAGATAACCCTTTTTACACTGAAGATGAGGAAGATGAAAATGATTATGATTTAATAAATTCAAGGAGAGGAGGAGGAGGGAATTACAGAGAAGTGCAACTTCATAAATTTGATGGCTATTAAAAAAATAATGATAACTCTGAAATAGCTCATTAACTTGCAGGTACTAAAAATTTTAGTCATGATGACCTAGACAAATCTCTAAAATCTACAACTTTTGGAAGAGGAGAGAGTTTATTTACTTAAAAAAGAGATAATGGTGGGTTTTAGATATAAATAAATAGTTAAAAAAACAGCAACGAAGATTAAACTAAAGATTAAAATTAAGAAATAAGTTTCCACCACATTGATGGCAAATAAGAATAGCAATAAAAAAATATTGAGTAATCTTCTCTTCAAGCTTTTAAACATAATTAATCAGAAATTTCAAGCAGCTTTTAATTCGGAGGAATAAAATAGCAAAACTATAATAATGATGTTCATGATTACAGCTACTATCCATAACAAAAGTTTAATGAGTTAGATAATAACAACAACAACAACAATAATAATAATAACTAAATAATAGATTAGATTGAATTAAAAGATTAAAACTTAGGGACATAGTCCTAAAATTAACTAGAAGTAGTCAATTTTAAAAATTCTAATTAAGATCTTTAAAAACCTCTTACCTCCAAAAAGCTTCTAAATAATGAGTTAATCAACTATTCTAGCAATAAGTTTGAATTATTATCTCCAAATGAAAATAATTCTTCTTAATAAATTTTCTAGTTTAAAAGCACAGGATTAATCACCTAAACAGTTAAAGGTGGAGGTTCATAATAAAACATTACATCTACAAATAAAGTGAATGACTAACTATTTCAATAACAATCTACAAATTCTTAGTTAATGAATGATGTGTTTATAAAAGGACAAAAGAACTTACAGCCTAAAAGATAGGTATCTCTAAGTGTCCATTCTCTATCTAAAAAACGTAAACAAATTATAGCATCTCATAAAAATTAAATTAGATATTTAAAGGATGCTTTAGATTAATCCTCAAACCATTCTCGATAGTCAACTGCAAGTAGTACAAAGAAGGCAACGAAAAGAATTATTCTAGAAAGAAATACAATAGGCGTGATGAAAGTAGTTAATTTAATAGGAATATTAAGTTTTTTGATTATAATAGCAGTTATAGTAGAGTAATATATTAGTATGCATATTTAATTTAATGCATTTGCAGATGATTTAAATTATGTTAATTGGTCAACATAGTATGAGATTTCCTTATATTTAATTATGAAAAATTATAATCTTAATACTCTGCTTTAATCATCAGTGATTAATGTCCCATCAGATATTTAATCTTAAATGCAAGATACAGCCATATAAGAAATGTATTAATCAGTAACAGATGTTTCTGTTCTAATAAAAAATTTATCTAGTGCAAGTTCTGATCTTCAAATTTTAAAGGGAATGCTTTAAACTTCATATTTTTTTAAATTAGGAAGCTTTTTAGATCATTCAATTCCTATAACTGGCTAATCCAGTTCACAAATGTTTTTAACAGTTGAACGCAAGGTGAGTTTATATTAAGGTTCAATATATTTGTATTCTTATCTATATAGATATTCAAGAGGATTTGGTATAGGTCTGTCCTAATTTATAGCTGTGAACAACTAAGAAGCAATAGTTAAAGCTCTTAAAGAAGTAAGTATTCAATGCTAAAACTTTTCAATAAATTAGCTAAGCAATATTGAAGTAGATGTGAATAATGTTTTAATAATAATTATTATTGTTACAGCTTTCTGTATATTCATAATAATACCTCTCTATTATTTTATTTAATCAAAAAGAGAATAAATAATATAGCTATTTGGAACATTCAACTCCTCATTCATTGATGAATCTATTTTTTAAATTTAAAAAATTTACTCAAGAAATAATAACATAAAAACAGCAATAATCTAAAGTAATAGTAAAGAAAATTAAAAAAAATAAAATCTTAGTTCAACTTCAAGACTTAACAAAGTAAGTAGAGGTGTTTTAATTATGGTTTTGATGATATTTTTGTTAACACTTCCCTATCCTATTTTAAACAAAGCCCTTTCTACGAGCTACATTAACTAAAATAAAGACTCATTGCCATTATTAGGTAATATTCTATTTTTCTAATAAATTAATTGATATTCTTATTTTTTTATATAGAATAACTATATAGTATCTAAGCATTTATTTTAGATTACACGAGCTTATCATTTTTTACTATTGTCTTAAAAGTCTAAGCTTCATCCATACAATATTCATATTAAGAATATGAAACTAAACTTTTAAGCTATGTAGCATAATCATAAAACTTATAAACAAGCTTGTAACAAATACTTTAATCTTCAAGAAATGCTGAAATGTAACATTTTATTATGAAAAATATATATTTGAAATATTAATGATTAAATTAGGTTTGATGTAAGTACATTCAATAAATATTTTATGGCAACATTTGAAAATGATTCTTGTGGAAATATTTTTAAATATCCAAACTATTTACCATAGAATTATACATTAACTTTAAGTGGTTGTAAATCTGTTCTTCAAGGAATCATGAATAAAGGATTGTCTATATCTATCAATAATTACTTTTAAATTTTATAAAATTTACAATAAATTATTTAAATTAATGATATTAATAAATTCTAAGATAAACTGGATCTATTTAGTAAAGAAAATAACTTACAAGAATTTGTTACATTTTAAGTTTATTTAGTAGAAATTTTAGAAGCACTTTCAATATATTTGAAATCAGAAAGTAATGTGCACAAATCTTAGCTTGAAGATATTCTTTTAGGTTTGCTCATATATTAATTTTTAATAATGGGAGTTATTTTCTATTTTGGATGGGTGATTTTCTATAAGAATATGGACCGTTATCTATACAAAACCAAATAATATCTAGCTATCCTAAATATTAACTACTTGATATAAAACCCTTATATACAAAATTACTTACATAAAAATCTAAGTTGAAGAGGAAAAAAATAAATATTAAACTTATTAAAATTTGGTTTTATAAATAAGCTTTTATTTTTTATCAATATATCTAAAATTTATGAATAGTATTTTCTATAGATCAATAGTAAAGTATAAATTTTTATTTCAAAGTTTATGTAAATACTATTTTCGTTTAAAGTTAAACTTTAATTATAATAAAAGTAGCTATTTCTATATATATATGGTGGGCGCTCTTGATTAAGGATTATACTAAAAATAATAGTTTTAAAAAATTTTATCCATAATTATACCAAAAATTAAATATAAATTAATTTAATGGCTCCATATTTAATGAGGATTATTGGTATAAATTACTGATCAAAAATTTATTAAATATCAAATAAAAATGATATTTTTGATTAATTAAATTTTTTTATGCCTTAAATATTCAACATAAAATAAATAATTTGATAAATAAAATATATTTTTATGATATTAAATTAGAACATTTTTTGATATTTAATATGATTTATTTATAAGTTATATAATTAATTATAAAAAATATTTTTAAGAAAAAATACAACTATTTTAATCTTAAACTTAATAAATTTGAGCTATGAAAAATCAATTTTTTTTTTAAAATATAATTTTTAATGTTATCCTATTTGTTATTTTAATTAAAATTATTGCTTTACATATAATTAGTGAGGTTCTATTTTTTTAAATTATAATTTGAAGAATAACAAACAACATTTTAAATGAATCTATTCAAAAAGATAGTATATATTATTTATTTTTAACGAATTTTGATCATATTTATAATCAAAAAAACAAATTAATAACAAGACTAATTACTATTTCTAAAAATTATTGTGCTTTTTAAAAAAAGTTAGCTGATGAAAACAATAAATGATAATTAGGATAGAGAAGCTGCTTAGTATAGCTTAAGCAGATTCTCGATTTAAAAATCTTTGAAACAATTTTATATAGATGACTTGATGCTAATAATAAAAGGTTATAACAGAGGTAAGCACTTGAGCTTAACTTTGATTTTTTTAAAAACTATTTTGCAATTCATCATAATTTTCAATAATGATATCGCTACTAAATTAGTATTAAGAGAAAACTATTTAAGCTTTGTTTAAGATTATAATGTTCTCTAAAGCCTTTAAAGTAATTAAGGTTTGTGTTAGATATGCTAAATTATTCTACTTTCTTTGAATTCATTATTACTTATTTACATATTCTGCAAATTTATTTATGCATCTTTGAAGAATCAAAAAAAGAACAAATATTTAAAGCTTTTGATATTTATAAATGAGAGAGAGAAGTTGATAGTTGAGTAAAATTAAAAACTATATGATATAGTTTTTTCATTTTTCTTCTCTATTTACATGCATATCATATTGATCCCTTCCATAATATTTTCAGGAATTTTAGTAGGAAGAAATATTTCTTCAGTCAACTTATCCCTTACACTAATTATAGGTAATAAAACTATGCATTATTCAAATAAATAAAAGACTTTAACATATTTTTTACTAATAAAATAGGCTTATTGATATCTAATAATGATTATGACTTTTTGGTAATGTCTAAAGATGCACTAAGATAAAAGTATTCAGGGTTTTAAACAGTCTTTCAGCTTTTTGAAATGATATGCTACTTTATTTCAATAGTCATAAATACTAGTAGTAGCTTATTAATATTAATATTAATTTTTGTTTCAGAAATATTGCGCTTAATAATATTAAAACCTTACTTTTCTAATAGAATATAAATTTTACAGCTTTTTATCAATAACTATTTATTAAAATTTGTTATTACTCTGCTAATCATAATAAACATTTAATAATAAAAAATTCATTATTTTTCCTTTCTTGTGATAATATTTCTTCCAATTTCATATAAAATTAGTGAAATTATCTAATCACATCTTACATAAGGATATTTCTAAAATTTCGAAAATTATTTATTTAATCAAGAAGAAATTAAACCTAGCAGCTTAAATTATCTAACAAGCAATTTTGCAGCAGAAAAATAAAGTTTAGAGCATGCAGAAATAAAAGCCATAAGTTATTTAATATAATATAAATAGCTTACTTAGGACTTAAGTAATTAAGAAACTTTATCCAATAAAACTTAAAGATTTTAATTTTTTAAAAAAATCCAAAAAACTTATCTCAGTGAAGATAAAAATAATAACATTTCCCTTTTAGGTAACTACAAAGCTGATTAAAAGGTTATAGAAGGAAAGGAATATGTTTTTAAAGAATAAGCATATGGAAAAAATGAATAACTTAAGCAAGAAATTAACTAGTTTTTTTTAGATATTTTCTAAACATAAAGGAAAAATAATGAATTTGGAATGATTGATATATACTATCTTGTATTTATTATAGAAATATTACAAAATTTTACAAAATTTGAAATGGTATTAACACAATCTTAGAAATTTATTGATGTTAAATATTCATAAATTATATCTTCAATTAAAAATTAAGTGCAAAAACACAAAGATAATTTAAAATTGATTAGAGATGAGAAATTAATATTTTCTCCAACTTACTATTAAGCTTTGCTATTTGATGAGCTAATTAATTAGGCTTTTTAAAACTTAGAGTAGGCTATATAAAAAAAGATTTAGTTGCTTGTATTCATGAAAAGTAGATATATAGATTTGGAATAAATATAATCTAAGTTAGAAGAATTATTGACTCTAAGAAAAACTCTAATTGAATAGATTAGTTTATTAATAAGAGTTAATGAGTATAATTCTTAGCTTTATGATATATATCTGAATTACCTTGAAACTATCTCATTTAGTGATTCCGATATTCATTTAATGAAGTATAATAAATTTTAGAAATAGTAAGAACAGAAGTTGTATAAAATAAACTCTTCACACACATGCATACTTTATGCATCACTTAAAACTGAAAAACAAAGAACAAAGATCTGCAAAGTTTCTAACAATTTTTACCAATTTTTTGGATTCAAACCTTAATTAATATTAAACAAACCTATAGAAGTTTTAATGCCTGCTCCAATAGCAAATATTCATTCATAGTTCATAACAAAGTTTTTTGATTCAGGAAGAAATACAACAAATTTAGTTAATAGCATTTTGTTTGCTTTGACCTAATCAAATCATATCATTCCTATTAACATTGACTTTAAAGTCAATATGATTTCAGTCGATAATGAATTTGGAATAACATCGCTACTTCATAAGGTGATTAATTAATGCTAGTATATTTTATTTGATGCTAATACCTCAAGATTAATTTCAATGACATATGAAATTAGCTAATTCATATTTCCTTCTCTTAAATCATTTGAAAAAGTAAATTTAACTTAATTCTTTCCTATTATATAACAGTTTAGATCAAATTAGCAAGATCTACTTTCAAGTCATTATTCAAAAACATCTTAATTAACTTAAAAAACTAACAAATCATAAAGAATGTTTAGCAATGCTATTAGTATAAAATATACAAAAATATTTACAAAAAATAATGTGAAAAATAATTTGGGTCATGCAGAAAAATCTCTTGAAAAAAAAGAAAATGTAAATTAATTCCATAAGAAAGAAGAAAATAAAGAAGATCATAAAAATGAATTTAAAAATTTAAAAGAAATAGACTAAAATGAATTAATTCAGTTGGAAAATATTAGCTTTCTTTTAATTGTAAATTAGAACACATATCCAAAATAATCTTCAAAGAATAAAACTTATAGGGGATTGAGTTCATACTAGTTTTTCACAATGAATATTTCAATAAGGTCTTTGTAAGTTTAAGGACTGGAAAATATAAAATATATTGAGATAACCTAGATAAAATAAATTAACCCTATTAGTAACTCAAGATTAATTAGATCAATATATAACAGCTGTGTAGAAGGATATGAAACAAATTTTCACTATCTAAATTATTCTGATGTTGAATGTATACTATCAGAATTAGATCAAAGTAGTTTATATGATGAAACATTAATTTAAAATGGATTAATTGAGAACTCTGACATTGGATAATTAAGTAAAGTCAATATTAACAATAACAACATATTATAATAGCCAGATGAAGATAATTCATAAGTGCTTTTTAACAGGTATGCTTCTAATACAATTTATAAATAATCTAAATAAATTAGTTAAGATTTTAGCATTTCATAAAAAGGAGATAAAGATTCAAATGATTTCAAATCTCACTATAAGGGCCTAAAATAAAGGTTAGGAAATTCCTAAAAAAATTAATAATCAGCCAACGATATAAAAAGAAATTAATAAAATAATAAGCATGATACAGAAATCGACACAATAGAATAATAAAATATAAGCTAGTTTATTTCTAATAATCATGATTAAAGCTAGTAACAATTTTTAAAATTCAATGCTATTGACACAACTAACTAAAAAAATAATGACAATTTTTAAGATATCAGCTAAATTAATATATAGACTTAACATGGTGACACTTTTATGTAGAGAAGCAATAATTAATATTAAGAATATAATAACATTTATTCTTAATTTGAATTCCCATAGTAACGAGCTAGCGACAATGAAGTTAAATAACCATTAAGTAGTGAAGAAGTTAATTAGTAAAACTAAGGTCATAATTAAATTTAGTACAATACTTAAAATTAAAATGATGCATAACTGCTTTAATCATTAAACTTTCATCTGAATTCTCCTTTTGAACTAATATAATCTCCTTAACACTAAACTCTGTCTCCTATGAATAATTAGCATGCTGTCTTTTCTATCCTTTCTCCAAATATTTAGTCTCCTCTCAACACTTATAATAATAACCAAAACAACCATGCTTAAGGATATTTATTATCTTAAATTTCTAATAACAATTTCCAGCAATCAAAAGCGGATTAATCAACATAAATAAAAAGCTCGATATAATAAAATTAAAACCAAAATTCAAACTATTAACTAATAAATAATAACACATCTTAGATATTATCACCAGTAAAAAGTTAAAATTAAATACTGTAAAATCAATTTCTTCAGTAATTTTCAAATTAATAAGAATTGAGAGGGTCAAAAATAAGTAATGAGATAGTATTAAATGATCTTCTAGCAAGAGATTCAATAAATATAATGTAAAAATAAATTACTTAACAAAGCTGTCGTTCTTTGTCAAAAAAAAGAAAATTAATATAAATTTAGCATAAAAATGAAATAAAGCATATTAAAAATGCTCTTGATTCTTCATCAAATCATTCAAGAGAAACATCTTCTAGCAATCAAACAAAAACAACAAAATCTATTATTCTGCAAAAGCATACTCTTGGAATCATGAAATTTGTATAAATTGTTGGTTTACTAAGCTTTTTTGTTTTATTTATAGTTGTTGTTTAGCAGTTTTTTTCTATTCAGGGTACTTTATAATCTTATCAAAATGAACTCAATTATGTAGACTGGGCAACTTAATATAAAATAGGTATATCTTTAGTAATGAAGTATAATAACTATGGTCGTTTGATAGACGGAAGTTATTTGATTGTTTCATAAAATAAAACATTCAAAAAGACAGAAACTGCGTTAAGCAATTAGAATTGCATAGATTCTGTGAATACAGTTGGAAACTTACTTGCAGCTGCATTTTAACAAGGAAGTTAAAGAAAAATTTTTAGTAACATCATTGGTTAATAATATACATTTTAGCAAGGCTCCTAAGTGGATAGAAGTTAATAACTCTCAAGCAAAACTGCTTATAATATTTTTAGTTTAGTACCATAGTAAATGATTTTGTTTTAGGCAGTGATTATTCTCTTCGCTTACTTGTATAGGTATTCTAGAAACGTTGGAACAGGAACACCCTAATTTATTGTAGTAAATAATTCAGAACAAATTACAAGTACCTTGATATAGCTCTCTTCTGATGTATAACAATTTTCTTTAGATGAGCTTCAAAATATAAACTAATAGCTTTTGAATGAGTTATTCATAATAATAATATTATCCGGCGTCTGTATTTTCGTCATACTACCAGTTTACTCTTTTATATAGTCTAAAAGAGAATAAATCATCTCTTTATTTGGGACATTTAGTTCTAATTATATTGATTCTTGTATTTAGGATATGAAAAGGTTTTATTAAATTAATAATAACTATAAATAGCAAGCTATAAATGATCATACTGAAAATGTTAAAAGACAAATATTAAGTTAAACTTCAAAATTAAGTAGGACAAATATGGGCATCATAATGGCATCAATTTTAGTTTTTGTTTTGACTCTTCCTTACCCAATTCTTAATAAAGTTTTGGCATAACAATACATTGAACAATGTAAACAAACACTGCCTATGATAAGTAAAATTTTTAAAAAAATTATTTTTAATAACAAAACTTTGTTATACCTAAATTAATATCAAATAATTTTACAAAAATCAATTATATAATTTTAAACATAATTATTTTTTATTTAAAATAGATTAGCTTTTAAATATGGAGTCTTTTGTCATTGATGAGACTAGTTATCATTTATTTACATTGTTAATTAAATAGAGTAAAAGTACTTCATTTGATTTCAGAAATTATATCCCTAAACTATAAGCAAAAATATCATAGTAAAAAGATATTTATGTTTAGTTTCAGTAAAGTATTCAAGACTTGATAAATGTGCCAATGTATCATAATTTTAATATTAATAAATTATAATTTAATATAATATTTTAAATTAATAGGTCAGATCAAAGCTATTTTGATAATATATACAGCTAAATTTATCAGAATGATATCTGCTAAATATATATCTAGAATCCATCCTATTTTAATTCAGTCAACAGTACCTTCACTCCTCAGTCATGCAGCTAGATATATCAGAATACAATGTCAAAAGGTTTGACAATATCTATAAAAATATATTTTGAGATAATGGAGTAATTTTATTATGTTTTTACTACTTACAATAACACAAATCTCTTCAACTAAACACTCTTAAATTTTTAATAGTAATACTACATTCCTGATGTATTACAATTTTAAGATTTTATCGTCTATGTAATAAAAGTATAACGACTATTCTTAACAAATATGAATAGCAACTACAATTAGAATTTATAAACGGTTCTCATTGGTCTACTTTTCTATCAGATATTAATTATGATTCTGATTCTTTATTTTGGATGGGTTGCTTTTTACATAAAAATGGATGAATATTTACATAAAACTAAACTTTATTTAGCTGTTTTAAATATAAGGTATTTAATTTAAAATCCATATGTATAGAATTATCTTCATAAAAATTTGTAGTGAACATATATATATTTTTTTAAAAATTGAATGATTAGTTTATATTATATTATAGAAGCTGTCCAATTTGGTTTTTTGTTGATTCCTATTCAAATTCAAATTTCTGTTTTATCTATCAATCTATATATTGCATTTAGCTTTATTTATAATTAGATTTTATAAATATCGAAAATAAGAATTGTTAGTTAGTAAAGTTATGTATTTAATTCCTCAATTAAAAAATTCATTTAAATAAATTAATAAATTTTGGGTATTACAAATAAATAGTAGACTTAAGAAAAAGAAATTTTTAAATAAATAGACCTAGATGCAAAAAAGTTTGAAAAGCCAAGCAAAAAAGGCAAAGAGAATTTAAATAAGGAAATAATCATTTTCATTGTATTCCTAAATAATAAGGTTTTACATTGAAGATTTAATTTCTATAGCTAAATGCTTCAAAAGAAGCTTCAATTTGAGCATATTTTTGATTTTATTTAAACAGTTAGAGCAGTTAATAGTAATATTTACACCAACAATAGGACAAAACATATCAGATATAGAAAGCTACTTATCTTTTATAGATACATATAGCATCTAAAAGTTTTTACTAAATAATACAGTTTTTTGCCAATATTTTAAATTTATTATACTAGGATTTAATGCTTTCATACTGTTATATTTATTTCTCAAATTTATCATCAACACAATTAGCGTTTAAAACTAGCATAAGAACTTAAAGCTTTTCAACTTTATAGACCAAAAAGAGAAAAACAAAAAGGAAAATTCAAAACCGATTAATGAGCTTCTGTTTTCTATAGTTTTTTAAACATACAATTACATTATTTTGATTCCTTCTCTTGTTTTTTCTTCTATAAATTTAGATAACATATCTGCAGCGAATATTGCTCTTACTATTATAATAGGTAAAAAAAATTTTACTTTCTTTGATTCTCAAAATATAGTAAAAAAAAAAATTAGGAAGGAATTGAAATGATTAATAAATAAATAACCTTCAAGCATTAAACAAAATTTGGTTTTAATAGTTTTTATTAATTTTCTAAAATATTAGGCCATCATTAAGTTTAAGTTTGATTAAATTAGTTTTTAACTTTATTTAAACACATTTATTTTATAATAATTAGCCTTATTAATATCTACTAATGAATATGATTATATGATTGTTTCTAAAGATGCTTTGCGCTAAAAGTATTTTGACTTGTAGATATTCTTGAATACTTTCGAGATAGTAATTTATATTTTCGCTATTATTGCAGATTCTAACGAAAGTATGATCTTATTAGGGGTTTACTTTGCTTTAGATTTGGTAAGGTTAATCATATACTAACCCTTCTTTGATAGAAAAATACTTTAATTCTGTACATTTTTAAATGTATACATACTGTTTATAGTAATATTTTTATATATTCTGTGTGTGACTTAGAAAAAGAGTGAACACTTACTCAGTATTATTATTATAATATTACTTCCTATATCATACAAGATAAGCGAATACATAGAATTATCTCTTAAACGCAGAAGCTACAATATGTTTTAAGAATGCATAAACGAAAATAAAGGTGTTTAGCCTGATGATCTTAACTTTGTAATCCGCAACGTGCTACTTAGCTCAGAAGATATGCCATAAAAAATAAAAAATTAAGAAGAAATAAAAAACATAAGTTTTATCATCAAATATTATGAAATCTAAATTTCATAGTAAGTCAGAGAAATGGAATAAATTCTTTACTAGTAAAGTTAAAGTTATAAATAAGAAGTAGTCATAGAAGATGAGCATATCACTCTAATGAATGGGTATGAAGCAGATACAAAAACTTTTGAGGGCAAAGATTACATAGTGAAAGAATAAGTTTTTGGAGAAAACTCTGAATTAAAAAGGGTTATTAATCTTTTTTTTAACGATTTATTCAATCAATTAAAAAGTAAGAAAGAATTCGGGATGTTAGACGTCTATTACCTTGTTTTTATTGTAGAAATACTTTAAAACTATTAGCTATTCGAGCTTACAGTTGTGTAAATGCAAAAGAATATAAATATTAAGTATCAGCAAATACTAAACTCCATTATGATAGAAGTAGAGAAAAGAAAAATCACTATGTAGTTAGAAAACGATGAAAATTAGATATTTGGATAATCTTTCTTTGAAGCTCTTATCTATGATGAATTAATTCTCTCAACTCAAAGTATTTTAGAAGAGGCTGTCTAAAAGAAAGTTGGTTTATTGCTCTTTATGAAATAGAAATATATAAATTTAGAAGACCTTTAAAAAACTTTAGAAGAGCTCTTGAAACTAAGAGAAGAATTGGTAGAGGCTATTTCTTTAATGATTAGAGTTAATGAGTACAGCAACGACTTATATGATATTTATTTAAACTATCTAGAAACTTTAGCATTCAGCGAAAATGACATCAAGCTTGATAAGTATAATAGGTATAATAGTAACCAGCAATAAATCTTTTTTGAACTTAACTCGCATGAAGCATGTATCTTATTTGCTTCTATTAAAAATGAAAAAGACATAAAGATAACTAAAATCTCAAACAATTTGCTACATTTCATGGGTTATTAAAAGGACGATATAGTTGGTAAGAATATTGAACAGATCATGCCTTAACCTTACTCTGAAACTCATAAGAATTATGTATCAAATTTCTTTGAAAGAGGTAACTCAATGAGCAATTTAAAAAATTAATTACTCTTTTGCGTCACCTAATCAAACCATATTATACCTATCCAGCTTGACATTAAAGTCAATATGATTCGTTAAGATAAAGAATTTGGAATTACATCCTATATAAAAAGACAGATAAATCCACGCCAATACATCTTAATAGATGCTTCGAACTCACGTCTTGTATCTATGACTCAAGAAATAAATCTATTTTGCTTTCCTCAGATCTAGAATTTCAATAAAATTTTAATGACTTCTTATTTCCCATTTATTTAACATTTTAGGTAAATATTTGCAAATAGCTCTTCGAATCCTCTATCAAGAACATCACAATACACATTCAATTCAGCAAAGTCCAAATAGATAGCTTCAAATTTATCAATACGGTCTATAGTCAATGATAACAAGGCATCGAAATAAAAGAAAAATGAAACCATATCTGCTAGACCATAAGAAAAGGAATCAGCAAAACCGAATAAATTAAAAGATTAGGCAAACAGGACTTCAATGTATAATAAAAATCCAGCAAACAAAAAAGAATCTAAGCCATCAACAAATAATAAACTTGGAGTTTAGAACTCATAAAATAAAAACCATAATGAATTAGCTGAAATGTATGAAGAAAGTGATGATAGAAGATATAGGAATATTTAATACTTGCTGATTGTAGGCTCATAAAATAATATGCTTTCAACTAAATCAAAATCGGTCTAAGGAATTAGCGATTACATGTTTTTTACTATGAATTTAAATGTCTATACTGTTCCCTCCGAAGGATTAGAGCATTTAAAATACATTGAAATTAGCTAAATTAAATAAATAAATCCTCTCTATAACGCTAAACTCATCTTACAAGTATACAATGATGAAATTGAAGGTTTTCTAACGAATATTCATAATTTAAGAAACGCAGATGTTTAATGCATCATTTCTGAATTAGAAATCAAAGGTTTTAAAGATTCTACTAGAAGATAGGATGTTTAAAATGTTGTTGAGGAATAATACTCTGATCGTCTGCTTAACAGTAAGCATGAAAATTAAGAGATACTTTTTAATAGATACGAATAAGAGAAAGATAAGACTAAGATGTTAAGCTCAGCAAATTGGTAAGAATAAGATTAAATAGTTAAAAAACGTGAATCCAATTTAGATGAATAATAAATAAACTAAAATTTTTAATCTTTGGTAAAAAGTAATTTATCTTTTATGGATAATGCCATCCATATAATTAAAGAATCTGAAGAAGAAGGAAAAAATATTTTGGAAGAACAACATAAATTCACATAAAAAAGAAAATCAGAATTTATTTCTGTATAGAAGGTCCAAAATGACAGTATTTGGGAAAAGGAATCAGATAATAAAGAAAAGAAGTATGGGATAGATTCTAGCTAGTATTAATTTATTAAGAAAGGGAGTGAAGAAGTTCAGCAAAGTTTTGCAGTTTTCTAAAAGCAGAGCCAAAATAATTAAGAGCTAAGCGATTCTTTCTTCTAGTCACCAAATATTAGTTAACATCCAGTTTTAATTAATTAGTATTCATAAAATTAAAATTAAAATTTAGATAATTCTGCTAGTGTTCTTAAAGTTCAAGAAGCCTTTGATTCAAGGGTTATTCCTTACCCACTAACACCAGAATCTACTGCTGCTCAAGGCTTTACTTAAAATTAGAATTAGCATGCTAAATTTTTTAAGTTTAATGGTTAAGAATAAAATTCAAACTTGGATATTTCAAAAAAGTAAAATGAAGTAGCACAATTTTTTTCACCAAAAGGAGAGTTTTTTTCTCCTAAAGATTTGGGTAGTTAGCACATTTTAATGAATAAAAGTACTACTATATTGAGTCCTTAAAATAACAATTTGACGAATTCTAAATAATTCGCATAATTTGTTACAATGGATAGAGACATGAATAACCAAAGCTTTGAAGTCTAATAAATGGGAAAAAATTTCTTTAAAAGCCAAAATTTTTTTGCTAAGCGATAAAATACCCAAAGCGTCCACTCTTTATCAAAGAAGAGAAAATAAATTTAGATTGCTTAAAAAAAAGAAATCAAAAATCTCAAAGACGCCCTTGAAACATCATCAAATCACTCAAGAGAATCTACTTAAAGCAGTAACCGCTAAACAACCAAAACTATTATTTTATAGAAATACACTTTAAATATCATGAAGATTGTAAATTTGATTGGTATTGCTAGTTTTTTAATTATAATTGTTGTTGTGCTTTAGTAATATCTTGCAATGAATTCTTCATTTTCTAGTTTTAATTTAGATTTAAATATTCTCAACTGGGCTCCTAAATATCAAGTTTCTATTTACTAGATAAGAAAATTTTATAACTTGAATGCTCTTAATAATATGAAAATTTTTTAGCTTTCATCTGATCCTAATTAATTCATATAATTTGGAACCAGTGCTAGGACTAATTTAATTAATTATGTAATAGATGTCAAAAACTTGTTATTAACACTTGAAAATCAAGCTCCAGAACGTTAATTAGTATAAAACTTGTTATACACAAATTATATATTTAAATAGCCTTCTGTAGTAGACAGAACGATTCCACTAAATTAGTAACCATCAAATCAATTATTTAATAATGTAAACATGACAGTTACTCTATATACTGGTGCACTTAGAGTCTATGCTTTTCTTTTTAGATATTCCAGAGGTTTAGGGCAAGGAACTGCTCTTTGGGCAGTAGTTAATAATGCAGAATAAATCATTACTGGAATGCTTTAAGCAACTCAAAATTGCTAAGATTATTCAATAAATTAACTAGATTCTATTGGAAACAATGTGAATAATGTCTTAATTATTATCTGCATTGTTTCTGCTCTTTGTATTTTTATCATTATTCCAGTATATGCTTTTATACAATTGAAGAGAGAGTAAATTATATAGCTATTTGGAACATTTAATACTCAATACATAGATATTTCAATTAAAGAAATATCTAAATTTTACTCTTAAAATAATAATATTAAATCATTGAATTTCTAAAGTCAGAACCATGAAAATCAGAAAAGATAAAACCTTAGCTCTACATCAAGGATTAATAGAATCAATAACAAAATTATTATATTAGCTTTTTTTGTCTTTTGCTTAACTCTTCCATATCCAATTTTAAATAAAGTGCTTTCAAATAGATACATAACCTAAAATCAGTAGAGCCTCCCTATGATATGTAAATTTTTTTTTTAATAATCATTTTGTATAAAAACATAGTTTTGCTTTCTAAAAATAAAATTTTAAATTTAAACCCCACTTTTCAATAAATTAGTGAAATTAAAAATACTTTCTATCAAATAATTAAAACATAAATTAGTTATTTTATATTTCTTAAATAAAAAACACTCTTTAGAATTATGAAAATATAAAATGCAGTTATTTGTTTCATTATCAATAATATTTATAAATTTTTAACAATACTTTTAAAATAGCTGAGTTATATACAGTTTAGTCATTTGTGTTACAGTAATTAGCTACTTCTTTGTTTGCTTTGAATTATAAAAACACTCCAAATAGTCCATATAAGTTAAGTAATTATATCTCTTCCTATTAAGATAGTTTTAATAAAATGAGTGGTATACAAGTTGATTTTCAAAATGCTTATACTAGTTTCATGAATGTTTAGATGTAAATAAATTAACTCGAAATTAATTCAAATAATTAAATTTTTTTTATTTATAAATTAGGTTCGATCAAGACTCCTTCCAAAATTTTTTTTTGAGTGTCTTTTCAAGTGATATATGTAAAATTTCATAAAAATATCCAACATATTTTTAAATACAAAATGCTACTTTCACTACACAAGGATGTCCTTAAGTTTTTAATGGTGTTTTATAACAAGGACTATAAATAGCTTTAAAAACATATTTTTAGATTTATACTGAATTGTATCCAGCCATTATTGATTATAATATCACTTCTATGAATTAAAGATTTGCTTAATTTTAAAAAAATTATGACCTTTAAGATTATTTAAATTTGCAGCAATATATAACAGACATTTTAGAAGCTTAGTGTCAGTATTTATTTTAATAAAGCCTTTTGCATCGAGACTTTTTGAATAAAGTTCTTATTGGTCTTCTTTTCTACCAAATAGTAATGATGTGTTGTATTTTTTATTTTGGATGGGTTCTTTTCTATTAAACTATGGATTAGTATCTTCATAAGACAAAACTATATTTGGCTCTTCTTAATATAAATTACTTAGTGTCAAATCCTTATATCTAAAATTATTTACACAAATCATTAGTTTGAATACTAAATAAATTTTTAGATAATTAAGTATTTGTGTCATTATTTCCATATTGCTTTGTGTGTGTAATCTAAATAAATGCCATTGTAAAATAAAATATAAATAATCTACTAAATTAAAAAATATGATGAGCTATTTTTTTAATTAATTTTTTGAATGCATAGTCATTAGAGTGTTTTTTAATTCTAATTTGATTAAAAATGCATTTATTTGTTTCATCTATTTTACTATTTTAAAAAAATATTTTAAATTTAGCTAATCTAAAAGTATCAAAATATCTCAAATCTTTTTTAATAAATGTAATATTAACTTTTTTTGTTCAATAAAAATCTTAAAATATTGCAAAATAAAATTTTTATAATTAAAATTAATATATCTTACTTACAAGATTGTATTTTTAGAATAAATTATGAAAATTTATCAAATGTGATTTCATAGAATTAATTTATTATAAAGATCTTGAAAATATTTATATTTTAGAGATATGTATTTATAGTGGTGATTAAATTTTTGATTCAAGCTTTCAAATTCATACATATTCATTACTTTGAACTAATATAATCTAATATTGCTTATAAACCTATTTACTATGAAAGCTTTTTTAAAAATTAATTATGCATAAATTAATTTAATTTAAGCTTATATTAATCAAACTATTTAATAGGGCACTTAACTAGTATTTTTCTGGCTATAATTCTTAATTATTAACACATATTTTTTTAAAATTAAATAATTTGATAAAATGAGTCAGCTTAAATATTTGTATTTAATATTTGACTTCACAATTAATTAATTGCTAATAATGCGTATTTCATGAAATTTAAATAGGCTTACAATAAATTAAACACATCTTTCACTATATTAATATTTGATATATTTATTTATTTATTAGAGCAATTTTTATAAAAATTTTTTAGTAATAGTCATTATCTTGCAGATAAAACTCTCTACCTCACAAATCCCTGATAATGATTATTTAAATTCTTCATATAAAATTAAGAATTAATTTAAATTTTAATTTCATATATAAAAAGAAATATATAACTTAAGTAATATTTAGAATACTGAAATAGTTATTAAGAAAATAATTTAGTGCTTCTTATCATTTTTATTTATCAGTTTGATGGAAAACATTATTAATAGATATATTCAATTAATCTAAGTAACTATACATTATTTTACTTATCTTACAAATTAAGAGCTTTTGTAATACTTTTTAGGTTGACCACCAAAGTAATTCTCAAAAGCAAGCTAATAAAAACCATGCATTAATTAAAATCAAAAACATATTAATTAACACTGCTTTATTTTGAGTAATTAATTTAAGGTGTAAAAGTAATAAAATACAATTCAATTTAGCTTTTAGGATTCATTATGGCAAAGAAAATTAATAATTCACAAATAATATTTAATTTATAAATTTAAAAGAGTAAAATGTTTAAATTACGATAGTTGCTAGAATCATTTTATATTATTGAATTTTGGCTATAGCAAAATTTATTTAAAAGAAGAAAAAATATTAGTTTCATACTCATAATTCTTAGCTAGATACTATGGCTTTAATTCAGTTTTAACGATTCGGTTGCTTCTACTTTAGAAAATACTCAAGATTTTATGAGACAAATCAGCTAAATATGGGTTTTTAGAAACCTAAACAATGATCAAATCATAAAGATTTAGTATTGCTTCATGGGCATCAACTCTGTATTAATTTTATCTATTTTACTACAATTCACATATTTCAGCATAAATAAAAAAACAAGTAATTAATATGTAAAATAATAATCTTATTTTTTTGATGTGAATTAACAACATATAAATACAAATAATAGTAGTAATAATTTAAATGATATTTAGCTTAAAGTCTGCTTTGCTATGTCATTTTTGAGTAAGATTTATCCCTATTCTATTTTTCCACTCTCTTTTTACATATCAATATCCTGTTTGAATACTTGTTCTATAATCAATGCAGTATCTACCATTTTGCTAGGTATAAAAATTAATTCAATTATTAAGTATTATGAATTGCTTTAATAAAGAATATTTAATTAACTCTCTTAATATTTAAAAAAGGATTATTGATCTCAGATTCAGATTATGATTATATTATTGATTCTAAAGATTATTTAAGAAAGAAATCTTCGAACTTATCCTTATTTATCATTTTACTTGATTCTTCACTTCTATTAATGATGCAAAGGTTTCAAGAAAAAATAGCTGTCATTATACATATCTTAAAGCTCATAATTCATTTGATAAGTTTAATATTTTAGTAACCATACTTATAAAAAGAAATGAATTAACTGGATATTTCATTTACACTATAAATGCTATTATCTCAATGTGGAACTACTTTATATATTTATATGATGCCTTAAGGAGCTTAGAATTTCATATTTGTTTATTATTCTGCTTTAGTCCCATTTTCTTATAAGCTAGGAAACTTTATTTAAAAGTGTATTTAACAGAAAATAATGTCCAAATTTTACAAAAGTATTCAAAAAAAATGTTTAAATACTAGTGACTGGAAATACTTAGATTGGTTTATGAGGAAAATAAACGAAGATTTTAAATTAATGAGAGATAGATAAAGTCTAAATGAGAACCAATTAGAATAGTACTAAATTAATATGTTGCAATAAAATCTGACAATCAATCAATTTTTTATTAATGATACATTACTAAATTAATAAATACCAAAAAATGACAAAATAATAAATTTCAAAGATGAAAGGGATTAGCAGTATGAATCTATGAATTTCCTTCTTTATGAATTATACGGTAGATGCAAATAAAAAAATAATTAGATTTTGAGCGAATGGGATATTTCCTATTTCGTATTTATACTATGTGTTTAGAATAATTTACCTTTATTTGAGTATAGTGTTTAGCAACATTAAAAGATAATGACTAAAAAGCAAATGTAAATAATATTTACACTGCGAAATGAGCTTTAGAAAAAAATAGACTTAGTAAAATATGACAAGTAAAATATAAATAATATTTATGAAAAAACAGTTAAAGACATTATTGATTATGATACATAAGTTGATTAAGCAAGAAATCTAATTGATGAAGCAATCCATCTAAAATTAAATATCCTTCTTATTATGAAGTAGAAGTAAATTGATCTAATTTCCCTTAAAATAAATTTATAGCTACTGCTAGTTAAAAGAAATAAATTAATTGATTTATTGTAAAAATTAGTTTCATTGAACTAATTAAATGGCGAGTTAAACAGTCTTTATCAAATTTATTTAGAAACTTTAACATTTACAACTAACGATATTTAATTAAATTCATTAATTAATCAAAAAATATTAAACAAAAACCAAAAAAAATACTAATTTTTTAAATATGCAAATAACAAAGATTCTTGTGCTATAATTTCTTCATTTAAAAGTTAATAACAAATTATTCAAAATGTTTCTCATAATTTTGAAAAGATATTCGGATTCAATTCAACACACATTTTATAGTAACCAATTACCAAACTTATGCCTTCTCCGTATGCTGAGGTTCATAATTTGTATATATAAAATTTTCTATAAAATTAAGAGGATTAAAATCAAAACAAATAGAAAAATCATGAAGCTTTTGCTTTGAAGAAAGGTAAATACATTATGTAAGTTTAGATAGAAGTAAAATTTTAAATGTCAATAAATGAGCATCTTTAAGGTAATCTCGGATTCGCATTATATCTTTAATAAATAAATAAAGATAAATTGCACATCCTATATGACTCTTAAACATCCAAAGTAATTTCTATGAGTAAAAAAGTTCACAAATACTTTTTCTAAACAGCTGAAGACTTTCATAACATAAATTTGCTTTCTTATTTTCCAGTTGTTGAAAAAACATTAAACAAATTATTTTAAAAGTATAAATATAATAGCTCAAATAATAAATTATCACTCTTAAGTTAGAATACATTCTAAAACAGTGAATATGGCGAATAAGAAAAAACAAAAGTTTGTAAATTAGAAAATTAAATCGAAAGTGATAAGTGCAATCAAACCAATTAAGCAGAATAAATCTAAAATGAAAATTTAAGTAATTTTAAAAATAAAATTTTGATAGAAAATAATTAAGAAAGCAATATTTAAAATAATTTAAAAGGTAACTAAAAAGAGAGTTAAAAAATAGAATAGGTAATTTAAAATACAAATCAATTAGATAAGTAAAAAAAGGCAAAGTAAGTTTATCAGAAATTTTAGTAAATTATTTAATAAAATTAAAATTATTGTGACAGCTAAGAAAAATTAACAAATAAAATTGATAAAAAAGCTGAGGAAATCTTAGGAATTTAATATCTTTTAGTGTGCAAAAATAAAGAGAAAAGTGATAAAAATTTAAAAAAAGAGCAAAATTCTTCAAGTTAAAATGAAAATGATGAATAAACTTATCTTATTTAAAAATATAATTTTTATATTTTAGACTTTAGCATAAATTCTGTTAAAAGATCGTATTTAACTCATTTAAAATACATTGAGATCTCAAATTATAAATAGATCAATCCAATATTAGAAGCTTCTTTGATTTTAGATATTTGTCTGAACACAAATTCTAATTCGTACCAATCAAATATAAATAGTCTTTAAAAAAATTAACTTGAAATTTTAATATAAGAATTATAGCTTTTGAAAGCTTATAATGCTCAAGAGCTTTTTAAAAGTATTAAATTTAATTAAGTTTAAAATATTTCTAGAAAAAACTTGTTTAAAAATCTATCTTCTGATAACATAAAAAATGAATTATATCAACTGAATAGTATTTTCTAATTGCAATAAAAGTAGTAGTCAATCGAAAGTCAAGGTTAATTTTAAAACTCTTCTAATAATTCAGACAAAAATTAAATTTAATCTTAGTAACAATTAGAATAAGAATTAGATTTATTAAACTAATCTAAATAAAAATCACTTTAGAAATAGGAAGTTAGTAACTAGACATTTTAGTTTATTACTAAGCAAAGCTCTTATGACCAGCAAGAAACAAATAGGGTTTAAAAGTATTAACTAAGTAAGGGAATTATTTCTTAAAATGAAAATAGTTATGGCTAAGACAAATTTATACAAATAATAAAAGAAAATAGCTGTGATAACTCCTAAATGAGAAAAGATCCCATCTTTTAAGGTATCTAAAACAAGATTGAAAATTAAATCTCTTCCAAATAAGACTCCTGCATAAATTTATCTAAAACTAGCAGATTTCCAATCATTTTTAATGATATAAATCTTACCACGTATTAAAATTCTAATCGCTAAATTGTCTCATACACAGGTTCAGTTAATACAAATGGTTAAAGTCCATGCATAAGCACAACATAAAAAAGCTTCTTAAACAATATAAAGAAAGGCACGCTGCAAAATTTAATAGAAAGTTAAAAATCCAGCTAAGAAGTTGAAAAACCTCAAGACTTTTCTTCGCTATATAATTAAAATTAAATATAATCAAGGAAAAATAAATAAAATGAAAATAATTAAGATTTTATTGACTCTTCATCCAACCACTCTAAAAGCAGTTCAACTACTTCCAACGTTAGATATTTTAAAAATATAATTTAATCTAAGAAAAGACTATTCACAATATAATTTGTAAATTTGTTTGGTGTTTTGAGTTTAATTGTTATAATAATCGTCATACTACAGTAATATATTTAAGATTCTTAAAACCTTAATGATTTTTAAGGTGATATGAATGTTGTCGGATGGCCTACTGATTATATGAACACACTTTCTTTAATCGTTAAAAACTTTAATTTGTAAAAACTGCTAGCATACAATGACCTTATCATAAAAGATGGAGATCTTGTTAAATAATAAATACACATGTAATGCTAAACTGAAATTGTTTTTGCTGTTAACTAAATAAAGAATTTAACTAATTAAATGGAGCTTACTTCTAATTAGCGATATACATTTAATAAAATTCTGAATCATCCAAATGTTTTTAGATTCGGTAGTAATTTTGATACTCATATTCCTTTAAATTAGCAGCCTGCTGACACTTATTATCAGCTTGTTGATATTGAGATGGGCCTCTTTTACTCATTAGAGCTGCTGATAATCTATTTATTTAGATTTGCTTATGGTCTTGGGCTAGGTTCAGGATAATTTATAACTTTAAGCAATAAACAAAATATTGATGAGAAATTAGAAATAATTTCAAATGATAGTCTAAACCAAATGATTAATTCAGTTAATTCTATTTAAGATAACCTAACCAAAGTTCTGATAGTTTTAATAATTGTTGTTTTTTGCTGCATATTCTTAACTATTCCCTTATATTGGGTGATTTAAGTTAAGAAGCAATAGATATTGTAGCTGTTTGGTACATTTCATCAAAGTATTATCTAATAAGAAATTTAATAAATTTTTACAATAGTAGTTAATAAATATAAATCAAAAAATGAAAACTTCATTATTTTAATTAACCAAATGAAAGCTTCCTTTTATGATTTAAAACATGAAAAAAAGCAAATTGTAAGTTAAACATCAAAACTCAATAAATTTAGCTTTAAAATAACTTTTTTGGCAGCAATTTTATTTTGTCTCACTCTACCATATCCTATTGTAGATCAGTACCTATGTAGAAACTATATCACTGAGAGTAAAGCAGTGCTTAAAATGTTAAGTAAATAATTTTTATTTTTTAATTTAAAAAAAAAAAAACTAATTTAATTAAAGAACAACTATATGAAATGGAGTAATTAATCATTGAAAACACAGGAATCCATTATTTCTGTATATTTTTAAGAATAAGCCAAGCTACTTTTCCATATAAGTATGATCAGCACAGATAAGAAGTTGAATAAAACTTAGTTACATCAAAAATTTTAAGATAGGACCTATAATCTAGCTTGGACAATCTGAAAGCTACTAGCTTGTAATTATTTTTTATTTTTATATTAAATTAACTAAAATTTTTTCAAGATATAAAAAGAGTGAATATGAAGATTTTTTCTTTAAGTTATTTGAATAAGATATCTGTTAAGTAATGAAAGAAAATTTGAAATTGTTTGTCTAAGGTTTTGAATATAGCTATGAAGAGTGTTAGACAATATACAATCACAAATTTAGTCAAGGTTTGACTATATCATTGTCCTAATATTTCTCTTATTTCCCAGATCTATATGAAATTTATGAAATAAGTGACCAAAAATTATTTTTGAAATAATTTGATAAATTTCAAAGAGATTTAGACTTTGAGCAATTCTACAAATTTGAGAAGTACATAGTTGTAATCCTAAAAAGCCTTTCTAAATTTATTTTAAATGAAACAAATTAATATGAAAAAGATTTGATAACCATTTAAACTTATTTACTTTTCTATTAATTTTTTATCCTAGCAATAATGTTTTATTTTGGCCAAAGAAAATTCTTAAAAGAGATGGAAAAAGAGCTGAATGAAACAAAATAATACTTATCGCTATTAAACATTACATTCCTGCTATAAAATTCCTACATATAAAATTATCTTTAAAAAAATTTATCATGAAAATTAAATTAAAATATTTTCAAATTGATTACTCAAAATTTTTGATAAACAAAATTAAACTTACTCTTTATAAAACATTCTTTAAATTAAATAAATAAAAGTAAAATAGATCAATTTTTTTTATCTAATAAATGTAAATATGTAAGATATATTTTTTTTACGTAAGTTAATTTTCAAACAAATTTACAATTTTGAATTTTTTTATTTAAAATAAAATTTTTAAATTCAAATTATATAAAAATAAAATAGATTTTTAAGCTAGATAATTCAATAAAATAATTAAAGCAAATACTAAAAAAATTATATCTAAATATCATCCTGTCAGTATTTAAGAATTATGAATGTAATTTAATTAAAGATTACATTTAAATGAATAAAAATAAAGTAATCATTCAAATTGTAAGTTATTTAATAATTTCTTGAGCAAATTGATTAGTTTACAAAGATTCTAACCAAAATTTAAGATTTAATAATTATTTTTTTTTAAATTCGCAAATTAATATGATTTAAAATGTAATCATTACTTAGATATTACTAATATTTTAATAAAGTTGACAGAATGTATATAATTTACCTTTCTTATCTAAATAAGGTATTGTAAATTCGATTTATTATATTTCAAAGCTGTTTTTGAAGTGTGGCTTAAAAATTAATAAATTGATTATTTTGTATATTCAATATTGTAAAAGTTGCAAATATGTTTAATGGCTTTATAGTATTACTTTATTCTTTGTTTTTGATTCTATTATTTCTTTAATAAATTGAGTTCTTTTTCAAAAGTAGAAAGTATATGTATTCAAATGAGGCAGCCCAGTTATAATAATTTTTGTTTTTACTTAATTTACATCTTTGTTTTTTAAAAGTTAAGTATTATTAATTGTTAAAACTTCCTTAATTATTATCAATCTGTAAATAAATTCATAAATTTCATAAAAAAAATTAATTCGTCTGTTCTAATTGTAAATGTGGTAAATAATTTATTAATTAATTATTAATTTTTAGCTATTTATAGGTGGGTAATATTATTAATTAGATTAAAAATCCATAATACCTTTATTTAGAGGATATATATAATTTATTTTATTAAAAAAATAGTAGAGAGTATGAAAAAATAGGATAAAAGCAAGTAAACCAACAATACCATTTTGAAAAAATAAAGCAAAATGTAGAATTTTAGTATGATTTTTACAAGATTTTATTTGACAGAAATTTGGAAATACTAAAATATATTTAAAAGAAATAAATTAGTAAGCTATTTATTACTGTTTTTCAGTAAATTTATTTGGATTTAATTTAGCTTTAATGATAAAGTATTGTCTAAAATAGAATAAACTCAAACTTATTTTGCAAATTTTAAAGGCTTTTGGATTTTTAGAAAAATGCAAGATGATCAAATATTGATAACTCAATATTTCTTTTTATCTATAAATTCAATTTTATTGATATGTTTAATGCTGTAATTCATTACTTATTATTTCAGTAAGATAACTGCAAATATAAATATGCTAAAGCAGAATGAAAACTTTTAATCTGAATAAATAAATAAAAATAGTAGCTGCATAAATGCTATATTTCACAAGGGTAATATTATCATATCTATTTTAAGCAAAATATATATTCACGCAATATTTTATCTATCTATTTATATTTCTAAATCTGAATTAGATATTGTCTCTGGAATTAATATTTTGCTCACTTTAATTTTAGGTAATTTATTTATTTATATTAAATATTTATTAAATTTATAAAACATATTAAAATAGGAATATTTATTTAAGATTAAGATTATGATTACTTATTAGATTCTAAGGATTATATGAGAAAAAAAAGCTCAAAATATTAAATTATGCACTTATTTATTGACTTTTCTCTTATTATTCTGATGCAGTAATTTTAAAATGAGACATCTGTTTTAATTCACATTATCAATTTGCTGATTAATCTTGGCATTTTATTCTTTTAACAACCTTACTTTTAAAGTGAGATCATTACCTTTGATATTTATTTATCATTGTAAATTTTGTTATCTTAGATAGGGACAACAATTTACTTACTCTTTAATTCTGAAAAAATTCAAAATTTAATGGTCTTTTATTATTTTTTTGTGATTCCTTTTAGTATTAAGCTAACTTAAAAAATAATATAATATATTTAATAAAAAATGCTATCAAAATTCAATTAAAAATTAGACAAAAAAAGTTTTACAAAAAATGATCAAAAATATTTAGATTGGTTTATGAGAAAAACTATTTCAGATATAAGATAGATAAATAAGAGAAATAATTTTAATGAAAATTCTTTAGAATTATATGAGGTAAAAATACTTGATTAAATTCTAAGATGTAATAGATATTTAAATGATATTTCAAATAATCTGGAACCAAACCAATAAAATTCTCATAAGTAAATAGATAGGGAAAATCTATAAGAATAGCTCAAATTTCTAATTTCATAATTATATTTAACAGGAGAAACACATAATTCATAAGAAGTTAGAGAATTTTTAATTTCCCACTTAGTCTTTCTCATTAATGTGCAGAAAAACTATGCTTTGTTTACTTTCAAAGCTTATACATACTAAAAAAATTTTAACAAAAAACAAAAGCAAATTGTGTTTACATTATTGAATGAATGTTAAAATTAAATAGATTTGTAAATTTACAAACATAAGAATGATAGCATTTACGAAAAATCTATAATGAGTGTTATAATTTATGATGATTAAATAAATTAAATAGAAGTTCTGATAGAAGAGGCTGTATTATAAAAGTTAAACATTTTATTCACCATGAATTAAAAATACATTAATCTTTAACAGCTGCAAAGCTAACTAAACCTTTTTTAAATAAAGAGAAGATAGATTATTTCTTTAATTCAAAACATAACTTAAATGAATTTTCTTAACATTAAACTTTAAAATCTTATTACCATATACTTAAAAACAATAGCATTTACAGAAAAAGATATCAAATTAAATAATAAGAATACAAAAGTAAATTAATATTATAATAAAATTTTTAATCAGTATGCAACCAACGAAGAAGCTTGTGTGATAATTTCTTAATTCAATAATGAGTAAGAATAAATTATTAAAAATGTATCTCATAACTTTAAAAGAGTGTTTAATGGTAGCTAAGATGATTATTTAGGTTAATCTATTAGCAAATTGATGCCTGAGCCATATTCGAGAGTGCATTAAAATTATGTGGAAAAATATATCAATACTTAAAATAGTACTGCTATAACTTCAAGTTGTTTATTAGCATTTGCTTTAACATAAAATTAATACATTATACCTATATAATTAGAATTAAAATTTAATACTTCTTTGGATTTTTAATTAAACACTGAAGTTGGATTTGCGTTATACCTTTAAAAAATAAACAAATAAAAGGAATACATTCTTTATAATAAAAACAATTTTGAGATAGTTTCGATTACTGAATAAATTCATCAAAATATATTCTATGGCTATTAAGATTACACTCGGATTAACTTACTTTAGTTTTTTCCTATTATTTATAAAGCTTCAAATTAGATGTAAAAGCAAAGCCAGCTATATAGTAAAGCATTGCCTATTTTACACATTAAATATGAATCCAGTAAATATAAATAATAAAAGATATTAGCTTATTCTTAAAAAAAATATATTTAAATGTAGAATTTTCATAAGGATTTAAGTAAAAATAAAAGTTTAAAATTAATTTAAAGTATTTAAAGATAAGAAGAAATTCATTCATAAATTGAGCTTGAAGCACAAAAATAGCTAACAAACTAACCACGAGCATATTAATCAGTAGAAGAATAGTTAATTGAATAGCATTTAGATAATTAAATTGGCAGGGAAAACATAGATGATATTTTGAAAATAAAATATTTGCTAGTATTATAAAATTAGTAAAAATCATTAATGAGCTAACAAAAAAATTTAAATCCTCAATAAATTAATTAATAAAAAAATGAGTTATTTTATTTTTATCAATTTTATGTTTTATAATTTAATATAAAATCAGTCAAAAGCGAGTATCTCACTCATTTGAAATACATAGAAATTTCTAAGTAACAAAAATTAAATCCAATTAAAAGTGCTTCTTTAATACTTAGTTTCTACAAAAATAGTTATAAAAGAACAAGTCTTTCGAATATTGATCAGTTTTATGATTAGTAACTTGAGAGTTTATTCTAAGATCTAGAATCTATGCAGCAATTAAAAAACCATATTTGTGATTAAGAGGTTGTGTAAACTCCTGATCCTTATTCATAATAGCAAAGTAATAGTTCTAGTTAAAATAATAACACTAAATTAAATACATAGTAAGCACAAGATTATTTAGGTAATAAAAAATACAAAATAGATGAATTTAATTAGAATAGTTTCAATAATAATAATAATAATAATATAAATAATCCTTTAGTTAATTTGAGCTCTTTCGATATAAAGGAATGTGCTTAAAATTTTGAATAGCCTTTGATAAAACTTGCAACAGATTAAAATGTTTAATAATTCGAAAACTTAACTCACTAAAATAGCAGTTTAATTTCATAAAATAAAAGTCAAATTGCCTTATTTTAATTCAGAGGAAAAAATATAGATTCTAGTATTGATAACTTATCTTAAACATAAAGGTTTCATTTTTGTAATACTTTTTATTTAGATAATCAATCATCTTAAATATCAGACAGAATACTAAAAAACCATAGCAATTCAATGCTAACAAAATAAGATTTAAATATTTCTCAAACAAAACTGAATTCTTAACTTAAATTAAATTTTAACAATTCTGATTTAATAAACTCAATAGAAAGTGATTCTTATGTAAATTAGTTTTAAAATAATATAATTAATCTAAATACCTAAAGCCAAACATAAATATAAACATCACAAAGCTTGACAAAAAATGTGAATCAATAAACATTGCAAAAGCTTATTTTTTAAAATTAAAATAAAATATAAAGTAAAAAAAATGATCTAAACATTTAATAATATGAATAGCAAAAATAAATAAATAATCTTTTAAAATTAAAATAAATTTTCAATGGAGCTAACAATTAAGACTCTGCTTCAAACAGTTCAAAGTGTAGCTCTAGCTCTAATATCAAGTATATAGAAAGAAAAATTTTATCAGAAAAAAGATAGCTTGCGATATAATTCGTCAATTTATTTGGATTTTTAAGCTTGATAATTTTATCTGTAGTTATTATTTAATAATTCTTTTCAATTAATTTACTTTTTGAAAATTTTTAATCAGAATTAAATATTATTGGATGGCCCACAGATTATATGGACAGCCTTTCACTGATCGTGAAAAATTCAAACTTACAAAAGCTGTTATAGCATGACTACATCTAAATAAAAGGTGGAGATGTCATTAAGCAAACCATGAAAAATTAGTCCTAATAAGAAATAGTATTTGCAATAAACTAAATAAAAAATCTTACAAACTAAATGGAAAAAAATGCCAATTCACTATAAATTTTTAAAAATATTTTAGAAAAGCCCAATGTTTTCAGATTTGGTGCAAATTATAATCCTAAAATCCCTTTGAATATCCAACCTGCTGATACTTATTATTAACTTATTGATATAGAAATGGGATTATTTTATTCTTTGGAATTAATAATATTGTACTTATTTAGATTTGCATATGGACTTGGTTTAGGCTCTGGTTAATTTATAACGTTAAGTAATAAGTTACCAATTAGTAAATAACTTTCTACTATCACATAGTAGAACATAAGCGAAATGGTTGATTAAATTTCTTCAATTTAAGAAAATTTGCTAAGTATACTAGTAACTATGATTGTTGTTGTTTTCTGCTCTATATTTTTAACATTGCCACTTTATTCAATAATTTAGATTAAAAAGTAAAAATTATTATAATTATTTAGTACTTTTCACTCAGATATGATTTCTATAGAAATTAATAAAATTGAAGATTGCGTGGTTTAAAATTTTAGTAAATAACTAAAAAATGTAAAATATTTAATAAACTAGTAAATGATGTAATAAAAAAATTTGAATCTAGAAAAAAAGTAAAGCATAAGTTCAACTTCTTAGCTTCAAAAATTTAATTTCAAAATAATTTTATTAGCTACAATTATATTTATAATTACTCTTCCATACCCTATTATCATTTAAAGTCTGTGTAAAGATTATATCAGCCAAAGCAAAGCAGTTCTCCAAACAATAAGTAAAAAAAAAAGTGTTTATTTTATTTTAATAAAATTTTAAATTATAGAATCCCTATATGAAATGTAATAGCATGTCATTGAAAATACAGGAATACACTACTTTTGTATATATCTAAGAATAAGCCCAAGCACTGCCCCATACAGTTATATCAATAATAGATAAGAAGTATATCAAAATCTAATTACTGCAAATATTTAAAAGGCTAATTTGTATTAGAGTTTAATCAATTTAAAAGCAACAAAATTGTAATTTTTTTATAATGATTTATTTTATTCATCATTTAATTATAATATTTTTAAATAGATACAACAGATCTTAATTTGATCAGTTTTTTTTTAGAATTTTTGAATCTGATATTTGCTAAATTATGAAAAATAATATGAATTTATTTGTTTCAGGCTTCCAATATAATTCTGAGGAATGTTAATAAATCTATAATGGCAGATTTAGCTAAGGACTAACAATAGCTTTACAATAATATTTCTCATATTTCCCAGACCTTTATTAGATCTATGAAATTAGTGATCAAAACCTGTTTTAATAAACATTTGATAAATATTAGAAGAATTTAGACTTTGAATAATTCTATAAACTTGAAAAATATTTAGTCGTTATTCTTAAAACTCTTTCAAAATTCATTTTAGACTAAACCAACTAATATGAAAATTATTTATTGGATACCATGATTTATTTATTAATTGTTTAAATATTATTATTTGGAATGCTATTCTATTTTGGATAGAGGAAATTTCTGAAAATGATAGAAACTGAACTCAATGAAACAAAGTAGTATTTATCATTGTTAAATATTAACTTTCTTCTTCAAAATACTTATATATAAAATTTCTTATAGAAACACATTTGATAAATGATTTAAGCAGTAAAAATTATTTAATAAATATAAAACCTAATAATAAATATTATATTTTTAATTTTTATATTTATGATAAATATCTTTTTGATATTATATTTGCTAATAGTTTTGTTAATTATTTTAGCCTATTAAATTTTATTTTATACACTTTTTATTTATGCCGTATTCCTTTGTAGAATTGTCCTCACTAAATATTCAAAATCAAGATTTTTAATTGGAGTAAACCAAATTTTAATTGCAAATTTTTTTTGAGAGTTGATCTCAATAAGTATGAAATTAAAGTACAGATAAAATTCTTATATAAAAATTTGTTAATTTTTAAATAAAACTAAATATAAATGATCTTTATGATCAAACATACATCTTTCAATTTTTATTATAGTGGTTTAAATTAATAGTTATATATTTCAGAACTTTATTATTTATTAATAAATAATCAGAAAATATTTTTTGTATTTCATAGACATAATAAACATTTAGAGTAACAATACAAATTTGATAAATATTTGATAGTTATAATTAAAACTCTTTCAAAATTTAATTTAAACTAAACTAATGAAATATGAAAATTATTATTAAAATTTTTTTACTTACACATTAAAATACCAATTTATATTCTTGAATTCTATTTTAATGAGAATTAAGAAATTTTTTGAAAAAGATAGAAAATGGAATAGGTAAAATTAAGTAATATTTATAAATAATAAAGATTTATCACTTGCAAAAAAACTCGTTTTTTCCAATTTTATTATAAAAGAATTTGCAATTAATGATTACTATAAATGATCTATAGATCAAATAAAGATACTTCAATTATTAATTTAGAAGTTATATATAAGCATAGTATACATTTTTATCATCACTTTTAAATTAAATTTTAAAATCCTTTATAAAAAGCTTACTTACGGTTTTTAAGTAGCAAAGAAAAAAATTGGAAGTGTGAAGGATTTCTAGAATATGTTGTTTACAAAAATTAAGAAAGTTTTTGAAAAAGATAGAAAATGGAATAGGTAAAATTAAGTAATATTTATAAATACTAAAGATTTGCCACTTGCTAAAAAAACTTGTTATAATCAATTTTATTATAAAAGAATTTACGATTAATGATTACTATAAATGATCTTATAAATCATATAAACATTCTTCAATTATTATTTTAGAAGTTAAATATAAGCATAGTATACATTTTTATCATCACTTTTAAATTAAATCATAAAATACTTTATAAAAAGCTTGCTTACTGTTTTTAAACAGCCATAGAAAAAAATTGGAAGTGTGGAGGATTTCTAGAATATGTTGTTTACAAAAATTAAAAACAGTATCTATAAGAAATACAGATAAATTAATTAATCAGAAATATCAAAAATTTTTGTTTAAATATTTAACTACTTCAGATTACTTTTTGTTAATTAAAAATAAAAAAATAAACAATATAAACTATCAATTAAAAATGGAATATAGATATTTAGGAAACACTGGTTTGAAGGTATCAGTTATATCATTTGGTAATTGGCTTAATTCTAATGATTCAAGCTGGACACAAAGAACAATTCAATTAGTAAAAAAAGCTCATTCATTAGGTATAAATTTCTTTGATACTGCAGAAGTTTATGGTAATGGAGAAGCTGAAAAATAAATGGGATAAGCTATTAAAGAGCTTAATGTTGCTAGAGAAGATTTAGTCATTTCTACCAAAATATTTTGGAGTAATAGAGAAGATAAGCTAAATAGAGTTGGTCTCTCCAGAAAGCATATCATGGAAGGAGTTAATAACTCTTTGAAAAGGTTAGAATTAGACTATGTAGACATTGTTTTCTGTCACAGATTTGATAAATATACTCCTTTAGAGGAAACATGCAAAGCTTTCCATGATATAGTCACAGCTGGTAAGGCTCACTACTGGGGCACATCTGAATGGACTGCTGCTCAAATTTTCGAAGCTTTGATGATTTGCGAACGTTTTAATTTTACTAAACCTGTCGTTGAATAACCTTAATACAATATGATATTCAGAGAAAAGTTTGAAAAAGAATATGGAAGATTATTTGATTTATACAGGTAAAAAAATTTTTAATGGCAATTTTATTAAAAGATAAACCAAAATTTTAAAAATAAATTCATTTTATTCTTTTATATTTTAAATATAGATATGGCTCAACAGTTTGGTCTCCATTATTAGGTGGTATTTTAACAGGTAAATACAACGATGGCATTAAACCTGATGAATAAAGTAGATTAACCACTTTTAGTGATGTACCTGCTATTTAAAATTAACTTAGTAATTACTTTGGAGAAGAAAACAAAGAAAAGTACACCCATATGTTGAAAGGATTAGCTGAAATATCAAAAGAAATAGGATGTACTTAAGCTCAATTAGCCATGGCTTGGGTTATTAAAAATAAAGATGTTTCCACTGCAATAACAGGTGCTTCTAGACCTGAACAGCTTGAAGATATAGTAGGATCTGTAAATTATATCTCAAAAATTACTCCTGAAATCGAAGCTAGAATCAACACTTTAACAGGAAAAAGACCTGATGGTGAAATGGACTTTAGACTCTTTTCAACCCTAGAACCTAGAAGATGAGCAAGTTAAATATTAATAAATATTTAGTTTAGTTGTTTTCAGAATATTTATGTTACATTTTGTATTTTAGAATAATGCCTATTATCTATCTTTAAATGAAAAGCATTAAACTCAATTTATTTTATTTTGTTAGTAAAAGAAATATCTTTCATCCTTACAAATGATTCAATTATCATTAATTTGTAAATAATGATAATAAATTAACAAATGAGGTGATGTTTATTTGGTTATATTTTACTAAAATTAAATAAAAATCTGAATAATATTCACATAAAATATGATTAAGTAATTTGAAATGTTCAATCTAGAATAATTGAAATTCGTTTTATTCAAAGTAAATAATTAAGAAATTTACTAAAAATAATTAATCAGAAATACCAAAAATTGTTATTTAAATAACAAAGTTCAGATATCTTTTTTTATAAATTAATTATATTAAATAATTAATAATCATATAAATAATATAAAAAATGGAATATAGATATTTAGGTAACACTGGCTTGAAGGTATCAGTTATTTCTTTTGGAAATTGGCTCAATTCCAACGATTCTACTTGGACTCAAAGGACTATTGATTTGGTGAAAAAAGCTCATTCATTAGGTATTAATTTCTTTGATACTGCTGAAGTTTATGGTTATGGTGAAGCTGAAAAGTAAATGGGTTTAGCCTTTAAAGAGCTTAACGTTGCTAGAGAAGATTTAGTTATATCTACCAAACTTTTTTGGGCAACAAAAAGCGATACTCTAAATAAGGTTGGTCTATCTAGAAAACATGTTATGGAAGGTATTAATAACTCTTTGAAAAAGTTATAATTGGATTATGTAGATATTGTTTTCTGTCATAGATTTGATAAGTACACACCTTTAGAGGAAACATGCAGGGCTTTCCATGATATTATTACATCAGGTAAGGCTCATTACTGGGGAACATCTGAATGGACTGCAGCTTAAATTTTCGAAGCCTTCATGATTTGTGAGCGTTTCAATTTAACTAAACCCGTAGTTGAATAACCTTAATATAACATGATATTTAGAGAAAAATTTGAAAAAGAATATGGAAGACTTTTTGATATTTACAAGTAATAAATTATATTTAAATACTTATAAAGATGGTTTAAATAATTTATTTTAATTGTTTTCTAAATTTTCTTCATTTTAAATTGTTTATTTTAATCCAAAATAGGTATGGCTCTACAGTTTGGTCCCCATTATTAGGTGGTATTTTAACAGGAAAGTACAACGATGGTATAAAACCTGAAGAATAAGGCAGATTAACTACTTTTAGTGATAACAGTGCTATTCAAAACTAACTAAAAACATACTTTAGCGAAGAAAACAAAGAAAAGTACACCCATATGTTGAAAGGATTAGCTGAAATAGCAAAGGAAATAGGATGCACTTAAGCTCAGTTAGCCATGGCTTGGGTTATTAAAAATAAAGATGTTTCAACTGCAATAACTGGTGCTTCTAGACCTGAACAGCTTGAAGATATAGTAGGCTCTGTAAAATATATCTCAAAAATTACTCCTGAAATAGAAGCTAGAATCAACACTTTAACAGGAAAAAGACCTGATGGTGAAATGGACTTTAGAGTTTTTTCCCCACTTGAGCCTAGAAGATGAGAAAATATCTAAATATAAATTTTGTATATAAAATTTTCTATTGATTTATGTTATTTTTATGGATGTAACTTTTATTTTTAAAAAATATGTGAAAGAAATATCTGCAAATTATCTTTTTTGATTTAATTTATGATATTTTATTGATAAAAATAAATCCAATTTCTGATCAAATAAAAGAAATATTTAGTTAATAATTAATTTTAAAACTAAAAAAATATCTTAATAATTTTGAAATAAAACTAATAAGAAGATTATTCATATGGAATATAGAATTTTAGGTGATACAGGTTTAAAAGTTTCTGCCATTTCATTTGGAAATTATCTAAATTCAGATAAGCCTGATTGGTAAGAAAGAACAAACCAGCTTGTTAAAAAAGCACATGAGCTAGGAATAAACTTTTTTGACACAGCTGAAGTTTATGGATGGGGAGAAGGAGAGAAATAATTAGGAATAGCTCTGAAGTAATTGAATGTTCCTCGTGAGGATTTAGTTATATCTACTAAACTTTTTTGGGCCGTACCAGATTTAAAAGTTAACAGAACTGGTCTTTCTAGAAAACATATTGTTGAAGGTCTAAACAACTCATTGGCTAAGTTGTAATTAGACTATGTTGATCTAGTTTTTTGTCATAGATTTGATGACGAAACTCCTCTAGAAGAAGTTTGTCGCACATTTGATTGTATAGTTAAAAGCGGAAAAGCTCACTATTGGGGAACTTCAGAATGGTCTGCAGCCAACATTTTTGAAGCTTATATGGTATGTGAAAAATATAATCTGATTAAACCAGTAATGGAACAGCCTTAATACAATATCCTTGTCAGAGAGCGCTTTGAAAAGGAATATGGACGCCTCTTTGATAAATATAGGTAAATATCTAATATTCTTCTAGTATTATCTTACTTTTTTAATTAAATAATAAAAAGTAAATAAATATTTTCAAATCTTTAATCAAATTAAAATATTTAGAATGGGCTCAACTGTTTGGTCTCCTTTAGCTGGTGGTCTTTTGACAGGTAAATATAACAATGGAATTCCTGACTCAGAGTGTAGAGCTAAAACCTTCTCAGATGATCCGATGATATAAGAATATATTTAAGAATATTTAGGAGAAGCTAATAAAGCCAAATTTATTTCAATATTTTAAAGATTTGGTGAAGTGGCAAAAAAAATTGGATGTACTCAAGCTCAGCTTGCCATGGCATGGGTATTAAAAAATAAAGATGTATCTTCTGCTATAACTAGCGCCTCTTCTGTATTATAGCTAGAAGATACTGTAAAATCTTTGAAATTTATATCTTTAATTACTGATGAAATAGAGAAAGAAATTAATGAGATTTTTGATACTCAACCTAAGCCAGAGCCATGCATGAGAACTTGGGGAATGAAACCTCCTAGAAGATGAAACCTCTAAAAATTTAAACTCTAAATTAAATTTAATAATTAAATAAATAAATAAACTAGATATAATATATTTATTTGTAAAATATCTTAAATCAAAATTAGTATTTTAATAACTAAATATGCTTTTTTAAAAGTTTAATATTTAAAAGAATCTCCTTACCAAAATAAACAGGTTTTTGAAACAAGAAATATTTATTAATTTATTTTAAATTATTGATTCCAAAAAAATTATTATATTTTTTAATTCTACATATTATCTGATATAAAAATTTAATTACTATTTATATCAAAAAGTAATTGAAAAGATAACTAATAAAATTTTTATAAAAAATATGACTGACTTAAAATCACAAATTATTAATAAACATTTGATTAGAATTATTTTCTATACTTCTTATACAAATAATAGAATCAACTTTTAATTTTTTAAAAAATTTAAGAATAACCAATTTTTTTAACATTAAATTTTCTTCGTAAAACATGAATATATGATTTCAATCTATTTGAATTTTTATATTTATTTGATATTATTAAAATTTAATTAGATTTTAAAAATAAATTTTTTACAATTTTAATAATTATAAAAATATGTTTGGATAATTAGATCTCTTTTTTTAGATTTATGATTCATATAAAGCATTGGTGGAAATTAAAATAAATTCTACTTATTTCAAAAATAGATAAATTTTTAAAAAATATTAATTATTTTCAAAGTATTTTTGCAAAAAAAATTAATTAAAAAGATATAAATAATTATTCAATTTCATTATGGGAATTTGTGGCTCTAAACCAAAAAAAAATAAAGAAAACAGAAGGAAATCATATTAGGTTTCTGAAATATCACAAATTAAGCAGATTTAAAGTTTATAATAAGCTATTAGCAAAAAGCCAATAAAATGTTTAAAACATTAATCTGAAAAATGCTAATTAAATTATATCAATTTGTAAAATTTTAGCCTACTTTGTGATGAAGATATAAAAAAAGATGTATTCAATTAAAATTAAACAATGAAATTAGATGATTTTTTGAAAAAATTATGCGAAGATGCTTAAGATTTTATCAATAATCCTTCTAAATAGAATGAAAACAATTTAAAAAATGAATAGATTGAAGTTAAATTGATAGAAAAATTAACATCCCTTTAAAGTAATGGGATTGCATAATCTATTTCTAATATAGAGAGATTAGTGATAAAATTTGAATCCGTTGCCAATAAATTTGATGAAGAAATAAGCATTATATTTAGAGGGTACTTATATTGAAATTATAAAATATTTTAATTTATTTTATTTATAAAAAATAGCTTAAGCAACAAAACAAAATAAGAAATAAAAGATATTCTATAACAAAATTGTTAAATATATCCAAAGTTTTTTAAAATTAAAAAGGAACTAATTGAGTATTATGACCTTTACTTAACTTTATATTAAATGATTAGTATGAAAGTTTAGGATTGTCTCAGAACTGTTGAAGAATTTAAATTAACTTTAGATGTTTTTTCACAACAAGATGATTCCATACTCTTTTCTTCTGAAGGTAATTATATTTCTTGATAATTTAAATATTTATTTTGCAATTTATTAGAAATAACTTACGAAACAGCGACTTAAGAAATGAATAAAATGTTAAAAAATATTGGTTTACAGTTAGATCAAGGATAATATTAAAGACCCAAGTGCTAATAGCACACAGCTTGCTTTTTAGAAAGAATGGATATTAGAAATTTTAGAATATTTTGCTCTAATGACAATAAAAATGACCTTTAAACTCCCTTAGATATAATACTAAAATAATTATTTAACAGAGAGATTCATGGTAGAATTAATTATTTTCAAGAACTTAAGGAGAAATTAAATTAGTTTATTGCAAAAATTAAAAGCTCAGTTCAATTAAAATACTATAATGTTGTAAATTCTTTAAGTAAATAAAATGAAGAAGAATAAAATATTAAACTTCTTGAAAGTATTATCTCTATTTTAGAAGATTTAAGAAAATAAAAAAAATAAAAAGTCAATGAAAATATGCTCGCTGAAGCAATTTAAGATAAAATTATATTTTAAAATAATAAATTTTATCTCAAAAAACGGTTTATTAATTTAAAAAAACTTCAGACTTTAATTTATTTTGGTGAATTTTTAACTGAAACTATTTAAAATTCTTACAATTACTTAGAAAGTTTAGAATAAAAAAGCTTAAATGCATAAAATAGCAATCAATACAATTTATTTTTATAAAAAAATGTCAATTAATAAAATTTATAAGAATTTATTTCCTAAATATAATCTTCGAAATATTCTGTTTAGCAGTTGATATTAGATTTAGTTAAAATTGATTATCGATAAATATTTGATTAATTAACTTAAATAAATTCAATTTAAATCTTATCTCTTAAGTAAGTTTTTTGAATAAAAATCCATAAAGCATTTAAATTAAAAAAAAGACCAAACAATTGTGGTAAAGAAGGAGCAACAAAATTATCTAATTATTTGTCAAACCTTAAATATTTGAAAAGCCTGAGTTTAGATTTTAAGTAAAAATTAAATTTTTAGAAAATAAACTTTTAAAGAACTTTAAATTTTAAAGAAATGATTAAATAGGAGCAGAAGGGCTGTTTGAGGTTTCAAACACTTTTTAAAATCTAGGGAAAAGTTTAGAAATATTAAAACTAAATTTAGAGTACTTATTCATATTTATTAAGTGCTAAAATTAAAAATAATTTTAATTAATAGAGAAAACAAGCTTAAATAATGTGGGTTTTTAGCTGAAAAACTTCAATTTTTAAACAATTTAACAAGTCTTAGCATAAAATTAGGGTAATATTTTGCTAATTAATAAAAAAATAAAAATTTATTCTTAATTTATTAGGTTAAATTTATTTGTAAAGAGCTAAATCGTTGAAATTCTCTACAGTATTAAAGATCTTTATAAATTAAGAAATCTAGAATTGGATTTTTAGTAAAATTTTTAATTTTCCTTTAAAATAAGAATTATCAATTTAAATTAAAAAATTTTTTTTTTTCTAGAATAGGCAATTTTTAAAGAATTTATTTTAGAAAAAATATTATTAACTAAAATTAAAAAAATTTAAACATTTATTTATAGAAATTAAAAAGTGGATGAGATGTGCTTTAGAGTTTTTAGCGAAAGCTTAGAAAACAAATAATTACTCAAATTATCTTTGAACTTAAATAATTCTTAGTTAAAAATGAGTGAATTAAAGTAGTGGAATGTAGATTAATTAAAAGATATTTAGGAGTTGAATTTGAATCTATCTAATAATTCTATTTTAGACAATGACTTATAATCGTTCTTTTTAGCAATATCTTAATTAAAAAATATTCAGATATTATCCCTCCATCTAGATAACGTTTTATCAAATGAGCTTAAAGCAGATTATCAGTGCACATACCCATAAGGTTTATCTGAAATTTTAAAAAATGCTGCTCATCTAAAAGAGTTAGAATTAAGCTTAGGGTATTTAAAAAATAATTTTTATATTAATTTACTAATTTTTAAATAAAAGGGCAAACAAAATAGAAATTAATTAAATAACCTAAATATCAGTATGTTTAAAATAATTAACTTAAATAAGAAAGCTCAAACTTTATTTATGGTAAAATTAAAATATTGTATTTATTTATTAAGAATATCAATAATTCTTTAGGAATAACGGTCTCAATGAATAAGGCTTAAGTGTGTTGATTAAAAATATCAAGCCCCTAGTAAACCTTCAATGCCTACATTTAGATTTTTAGTAAATTTTAAAAAAATCTAGTTGAATTAATTAGAATAAATTCGAAATAATTTAGGTGGAATCAATTAAAGTAGTTAAATAATCTTTAATATATTTTTAACACTAACTTATCATCATGCTTGGAAGATCTTTACTTAAACTTTAGGTAATAAAAATAAATAAATTATTAAATTATTATAAGATTTTTATAAAAATAAAGCAATAACGAGTTAGCAAATAATGAAGCCCTACAATTGATTTAGTAATTAGGATCTCTTTAATATTTAAATAAATTAAACTTAGACTTCTCTTCAAATAAATTGTATTATTCCTCTATATCTTAGCTGCTGCAGCTTCTAGATAAGAACTCTGATTAACTAGAAGAAATATCTTTCAGTGCAAGGTATCTATTTTATTTTTTATGGATATATTTTATTAATTTATACAATAAATAACTTATTTAGGGATAATATCTTAACAAATACAGAAAACGAGGTTTATCTGCCTTCTAAATATTTCAAAAAGCTAAAATATATATCATTAGATTTAGGGTATTTATTATATTTTATATTTATTTTTTAACATAATATTTTTGATTCTAGAAATACTTTCTGTGAAGATCAAATGATAATTCTAATTAAGAATTTATTATAAAATTGTTACGGTGCTGAAGTAGAAACTATAAAACTTAATATGGAGTAATATTGTTTAAAAATTAATAAATGATTATAAATGCTATTTTTTTGATTAGATAAATAAAAGTAAATGGAGAAAAAAATTTATTTGAAATGATTGGAAGTCTCTAACTGTTTGAAGATCTCAGATATTTGAGTTTAAATTTAAATAAAATTAAGAGCATTTAAAACTTATTTGTTGAAAAGATAGTTTCCTCGATTCCTCATCATAAACTAAAACAACTCCACTTATAGTTGAGGTATTTTTTCAATTCCAAATATGAAAACTTTAATTAATTTTATAACCTAAAAGTGATATAGAATTAAGTGATCGTATTGAAAGTTTAGTTTTAGAATTAGTAACTACCTAAAAAGACTTAAATTCGTTGACACTGGATATTTGGAAAAACAAAATTTTTGATAGAACTTTCGAAAATATTATAGATACTTTGACAAATAAAACAGAAAATAATATAATAGAATTTAATATTAATGCTTGGGATAATTAGCTTAGTGAATAATTATAGAAACAAATTGCCAAAAAATTATAAAATCTTCAGTAGTTGAGAGGATTTTGTTAGTTTTGATTTAAATTAATACATCAATATTCAATTGATTATGAGTATTTAAAGAACCATTTTCAAACACTTTCAATATATTCTATTTCCTAATCTATTTCAAAAACTTCCTTATAATTTTTCAAATCTTAAGCATTCATATAAAATTTTTTCTTTAAGAAAGAAAGAAGTGCCTCGATATTATCTCCCCATAAGTTAGCAAGTATTCTATATTATTCTATTTTATTCTCTTGTATATACAAAAATAAATAATTAGCTTTATCATTAAAATTCTAAAGTGTAAATAAATTACTCATTTCTTGAACTCTTTTTGGATCATTTCTTTTTAGCAAATTTACTTATTTAAGCTTTTGTTCCACTGTTTTTTTAAGATTTTAATGTTAACTTAGTAAATCATCTCTGTCATCCTAATATATAAAATTAATTTATTAAGTATTAAAATATTTAATTTACTGATGTTCTTAAACTTTATTCCATTTAAATTTTTATTTCTGTTTCCTAGATCTTTTGATTCAATTAAATCATTTTCTCATCTAGACCGTTTATGACTTTGACCATCTATTGTTAATTCAAATTAAATAAAAAAATCAAAATAAGAATTTTTATAAATCTACTTCTTCCTTTTTTTCATTAGGAAAGGACCAAAAGAAAGAACCTATTCCTACCTTATCCTTATTAATCAAATTATCTTAAACTAGAACTTTTAGAATATCCTGAACATCCTAAGGATCTTATTTAAAAAATGTATAGAAATAATTGAATATTAACTACAAAAAATTACTATTAATTCTTTTCTTTTTGGCTTCCTTTTCAATTTCCTCTTTGTTAAAAATATCTCTCTATTTAATAGTAATAAAAAATTTTGCACTCATTTACATAGTTTATCTAAGTTATTTACTGTCTCAAAAAATATTTCTAGAATGGCTTTTTACTTTTCTTAAGCTGACAAACCCTTTACTCTTTTCATTTATACTTTTTTAATTTTATGTTAAATTTATAGTTTCTTATTAAATTTTTTATAAAAAATTATTTATCAAAAAAAATTTATTTGAGCTTAAAAAAGACTTTTAGCTAAACAAATTCTAGCGAAATTAAGTCAGTTTTGATTAATTAAATTAAAAGGAATACAGTAAAATATGACAAAAATTATACATTTTTTAGCTGAATTAATGGTATTATTTATTTTGATTTATTTTTGTTTAAGTATATTTTTAAAACCTCAACTCATATTTTCTTAACTTTAAACTTTTTTATGTAAATTTATTTGAATTTCATATTGGGAAACTAATTTATTTTCTTCATTTGAAGAATTTTTTTTCTCTCTAAAATATGTCTATTCACTGCTGGTATTAATTTATTCAGACTAATTTTCTGCTTATTTCTAATTTTATGATACTATCAAATTTGAAGACTTACAAAATTTATTTTATTTTGTAAACATTTATAAATTTTGGCAATCTATACTTTAGAGTTTTATTGATTCATCTGCAATAATGCTATGACTACAACTACTGATTAGGGAGCTTGAGAAGATTTTTTTCAATCCAGGAGGGTTGCTATGATTTATTTCATTGTTCAACTCCAAAGATATTTTTTAATTTTATTGTTATTTTTACTGAGATTCTTCCATATCTCCATTAATTACATCTTACTACAAATGAGAATCGTCTAGTACATATTACATTTCTAGTGATTTAGGGTATTGTGCTGAAATATTCTTAACTCCAAAATAAAAGCTAGATCCTTCTTTACTTTATTAGCTAGATACCGAGCTTTCCTTGCTTCGCCTTTGCATTTTATTAATATCTTCACTTGAGTATGATTTTAAGCGAGTAAGTCTTGTAGGTATATGCTAATCACTTTAACCATCATTTTGTATATATTTTATCTAAATTTAATTATTTTTTTGATATTCTTCTACTTCGTCTTATCTATTATATTGAGAAGTTACATGAAGAGATCCTCTCTTTATATGTGGTTATTTAAACATAGATGCTTTCTTAGCTGTACTTCTGTATATCTCCAAGGGAGAACTAATATAACCGCTGCTTCCTTTGCTTTTTTAGTAAATTTCTTTTATCAGATTCTAAGATTAAGGAGTAGTATTTTCTTACTGATAATTAAGTTAAATTTTATTTGATGTATCCTTATCATAATTGATATTAAGTTGATTATTTTCGTTTTCTAAACTCATTTAGTTTAACTAAATTATTTAAGATTTATTATCATCACTGTCTTAATTAAAATAATCTGCAATTTTAGGATCCAGTAAATCTATTAATTTTCTATCGATTTATGTTAATGATGATTTGGCTTTTATTGATTAGAAAGCTTAGAATGCTTGTGTAGCTTTTGTTAACTCATTTCTGGTATCTTAATACAAAATATTTATCTTTTTTTAATCATCTTCAGTTATTAAATTAGAGCTAACCTAAAAAGATTCTTATTAGTTTACTACTTTTTTCAAATTTATTGTTGGTTTTGGAAGGAATTCTAGTAATTTAATTTAATTTTCATCTAATAAAAGCATTTTAAGCTTATCAATCTCAAGTAGCTTTTTAATGATGTAAATACTATCTAAATGGTAATTTAGCTTATCAATAGAATAGCTCATCTGTTCCTTGGTTCTTTTGAATTTACCGAAAGGCCATATATAGTAAAATAAACTTTCGATAAAAGATATTTTTAGAGGATTGAATGTTGTCTTGAAATATTTTTCAAATATTTATTCTTCAGCTTTCTTTTGGTCATTTTATTTCTTTTTGGTTAAGGCAATAGTTTTCTATGATTAAGCGTTTGATAGAAATGATAATCTTTAAGGAAATTTAGGGAGTGGGGAATTTTGATCTATACACTGTTAAGAGTCTATTTATCTTTAAGAATTGATAAAAATAGTTCCCTTTATTATTTCTTTCATTTTGTTTTTCCTTTCTCCACCTTTCAGTTAGCTTAGCTACGTAAAATTTAGTTCATCATTATTGTTTTCTTGTTAAAGAGAATGCTTTGAAAATATCATGCTATTTTAATGTGTGTAATTATTAGTTATTTAATTGATTTGTTTTTATATTGGCTTTTCTATATTTTTAATTTGTTTAAAATTTGTAATACTTTTAGTAGAAGTGGGTAAGTTTTCTTACTTTTAGTTAATATTTTGAATTTAAATAAAACTAGTGACATTTTTGAGAGCCTAAATATATTTTGGAGAACTAGTTTGCAATATATTTTATTAGTTTTCAAAGTTGTTAATCTTCTATAAACCTTTAGAGACTTGCTATTTTTTGGGATTATCTTAATTCTAGGCTTAAGAAATATTGCTGTTGTTATTAATACTTATATGATTTTTGTTATTTGTTTATATCCCATCTAAAGATTTTAGTGACTGAAGATTAAAGTTATTTTAGTAATTTTCATCATCATCATCATCTTAGTCATTTTCAAAATTAAACACCTCATTTAGCATAGTCTTTTAAAAATGAATCTGGCACAGAGGACTAACTATAAGAAATCCCATAAGAACTACTATTTTAATACCACCTCCTAGACTACCTAGAATGGAAGGTATGCTTTAAAACGATCTAATATATTTTTTATTGTAGTTTTATTCAGAAAAACTAATCTTAATTTTGAATAAGACATCAGAATCGTTAATGGTATTTTTAAGCTAAGATTACTCCTAAGGATTAAGAGCACTATTGATAAGCTTTATTATAATTATTATTATTATTAAAATTTAATAATATTTTAAACAAAATAATTTACTTTATCTGAAATTGATTATATTGCGAAAGATTTCATCAGTCTATTTTATTGAATTGAATAATTTCTTTCATCTTCTATTATTAATGCTTAGAAATTTATTTAAATCATTAATTTTTATTAAATATTAGATTAAGTACTAAAAAACAAATTTGTGTCAAATTGTTTCATAATATTTGTGTAATCGAAAGGATTTTGGATGTCTGTATAGTCAACTAACGTTGTAGGAACAGACAAGCTTAAAGTACTGTTTTACTTTAAGTTTTACAAAATTTAGTCATCTAAATCTTTACTCTTTGTTACCAAAATATTAATACTATTACGACAGTTAACTGTTTATTAAATTTCAGGATAAACTTCATTTTCTGTAAATGATTTGTCTTTGTTGAAGCAAAAATACCCATCTTTTGTTTAACTTAAAAACTGATATTCTTAAGATGATTCTATAAGATCTTAGCAATCAGTTAGTTCCACTGATTTACTTTGAATTTCCTAAAAAGATAATACTTCTACTTTTTAATTAATGATATCACATTCTTAATTATAATATGAAACTATTTTAAAATAATTCTAATCAATTGGCAATTGAGTTTATTTATTGAAAAACCCTACCTAAAATGTATTTTAAGACTTAGGATTAAAAGATATTGAATTTAATTCTTAAGCATCCATTACATATTCTTGAGATATGATTGAATTAACAGAAGAATATATTAACTGATAAATTGAAACTAAGGTCCAAAGTCCAGTCAATAACCCAACTACTAAAGTTATTAAGCCTCCAAACCTTGTTTTATATTCAGACTCTTTCATGAATTTGAGGCTAATCTTCTAGCCATAAATATCTATTTTATCAATCTATTTTATAAAATTTAAAAATCTATCCAATCTTTTTCCCATTAGTTCTTTGCTATTTTAGATGAATTAATTTCTTACTAAGATAAATTTGTATGAATATATGTATGTTTATTTAGAGTGATATTTCTAACTAATTAAACTAATTAAAATAATAATTTAAAGCTCTTAACCATTAGCTTTTTATGGTAAAAAATACATACAAGAAGTTTTAATGCATCCAGTAATATTAGTCACATTTTTATTGAATCGATATTTGAATCATTTATGGTATTTAAATTAAGTAACTTAAAAAGAATATATGAATTTTTCAATTAATCAAAATATAAATAGCCACAATTCATTTATATTCTTAAAATTACACTTTAATATTGAGGATTGAAATTAAATCAATAATTAATTAGATTCTAATTAAAAAGTATTTACTTACACATTAATTTTTATAAATTCTAACAAAAAAATTACATATAATACTTAATTTATCTTCAAGTTTGAAATGTAATATTTTTCATTTCATAACCTTTCAATATTTTTAAAAATTAATCATTCATTAATATGCAAGAAATAAAACAAGTTTCATTTTTGAAATATTTTTAATTTTCTAGTGAAATATTTTTTTCCTACTAATTAATTAATATATAATTCTAACTAAAATTTATAATTTAATTTGTTTTATATTTTAATTTAGTCATTTCAATTATTAATTTTTAATTGTTTTATTTGAACTATAATATTAAAAGGTAAGAAATACATTAAATTTAGTTAAATTTTATACTTTCAAATATTTCTTAGTTATCTAGTTTAATAATTTTTTTCCTTTTATAAAAAAGTCACATATCGATTTATTTTAAAATTTCAAATTTAACCATTTTAATTTTTCTAATTTTTAAATATTTTTTTTTTCTGTTTGCTTGGTATTAATCATTTCTTTTAATTTTGAAAAAAGCGCTTGATGATGCTTTAAATTTCGAAAAATAAACTAAAGAGCTCATTCATTATTAATAATTAATTTAAACTTTTTCTAATGAATTGATATCTAGCTTTAAAATATTATATAATAATCTAATGGTTTGTAAATTAAATTTCAAGTAAATACAAAGTAAATTAACTATGATATTACAGCTAAAAAATTAGCTTTAAAAAAAGCAAAAGAAATATTATTAAGCAAAAAGAGGAACTATTCCTAAGATTGTAACAAAGAAATTACTAAAAAATAATATATTTTAAAATAAAAGAACAAGTGAAAATAATGTAATGAAATTCATTCTAATTTGTGTATTGCCTACTTTTTACATTTAATGCTTTTGCTTTATTCCTTATTCTATCATTTATGTAAATTAGGGGAAACAATTATCATAAATCTACTTATTAACATACATTAAAAATGTACCATAGAAATCCGCATAAGCTTGTCATCAATTTAGAGGAGTTAAATTTAACGCTTTCATCTTTTTTTCATAATTTTTTTTTTAGATCAAATGAAGTAGGTATCGAAGGAGCTAGGGGATTAGCTGATGCTTTATAAAACTGTTAGTAACTAGTAGAATTGTCAATTACTATATATTCGTATATTTTTATTAATAAATATTCAAGCATAAAAGTATATCTAATTAGATCTAATAAAATAGGGTAATAAGGAGCATGTTATATAGGATAAAGTTTGGGATGCTGCAAAAATTTAAAAATCATGAAATTAACAATTGGATCGTATTATCTTATTATTACTATTATTATTGTTATTATAAAAAAAATAAATATTTTTAAATAGATATAATAGTATAGGTTCTGAAGGATTGAAGTAGATATCTTAAGGAATCAAAGATTGCCCTGACTTAAATAGTGTTTATCTTTATATTGGATAGTAATCATTTAATTCCAAATTCCCCTTATCAAATTTCTTCATAACAGTTTACACATATAAATTGTATAAATCATCACTTAAATACTAAATTTAGGAAATTGATAAAAGAATATTACCATATCCAGAAAAATATTAAGTTTTAAGGAAAATGTGTCTATGCATACAAAATTTTTAAGCATTTATTTTTTAATTATTATAAAAATAATTAGAAATTCTGATTTATGCAAAAGATTTTCACTTATTTCTAAAAAATTAAATTATTTTAAATAATTTAAAGAAATTTTAATTTTAATATACCTCAAAAATACTTCCAAAACAATTCAAATAATTTTCCTTAAAATTATATTTTAAAAATGAATATGTAAAAAGTATAATTGTATGTTAAAAATGAATATGAAAAAGGTTTAATAATCTAAATGCAGAAGGATTTACAAACTTATTTAAGAACTTGCAGCAATGTGAGAAACTCCATAAATTATTTGTTTAAATAAATTCGTAAGATTAATCATATTGAATTATTATCACTAAAATTTATTAACTAGTGGAAATAATGTTGGTAATGATGGAGCCCTACAAATAGCTTAATCACTTTAAAACTGCTTAAAACTGGAGTCTCTTTCATTGACGATTGGATGGTAAATAAGCAATTTATAAATTTAATTTATTCAGTTTTCAATAAGTAAAGATTTAACATACACATATATCTATTTATTTATCTCTCTTAGTTTTAAAATATAAAGAAAAAAGTATTTTTTATTAAATTAATTATAAATAAAGCCAAAATAATTTATCAGTGAATAGTATAAGATAAATCATATAAAAAATAAGTAAGAATTCATAAATTAAATATTTGTATTTAGATATCGAAGGGTAAACATTCTTAATTCTTTTGAATTATAAAATAATTTAAACTGTCTTCATTATTTTTTTATTTAAAAAGATCTAAATAGATTGCTCTATCATTTTTGTAGCATTTTCTCCATAAAATGAAAAGGCTTGCTTATTATAAAATAATTAGTAAGTAATGAAGTTAATTATTGCTTAGCTGAAGATTTTATTTTCAAGAAGATATTCTTAAAAAATAAATATCTAATTGGTAATATTATATTATTTAGACTTTATAATATCCCTGATTATGCTAAATTAAAATTGATTATCTGAACTTAGGTTCAAGGTATTAAGCAAAATATTTAAATATTAATTTTTTGCAATATATATTTGTATGAAAAGTGTATTTTTATTTCTTTAAAAGATGCTTATTTCTATTATAAGTTAATTTTATCTTTAATTTTTGGGGTTTAAATTTGAATAATTTTATAATGTGTTAAGAAATATTTTTACTTAAGTAACAATGTAAGCTAAAATCAATTAAAGAATGATTAATTATTTATCATATACTTAGAAATTTTTGATTTAATTGATGCATTCATAAAATCAAAAGTAAAATTTTTCTATCACTATCAATTTATGCTTACATTTTTTTATTAAAGCTAATACCAACAAACACTTCGAACTTTAAGTGGTGATTTTTTACTTGAAAAAGAATTCTTTATTCTTGATTTTCAAATAATTAAAATGCCTTTTATTATTTGAAGATCAATCTTTTTTCAAATAATACATTTTTTTAAGAAGCAAATATTAAAAAAATTTTTAGTTCATATGTGTTTTCTAATCTAAAAAAGCATTAAATAAAGAAATTAAGATGATAAATTTTTAAACAAATGCATATTTTGATTTTATGAATAAATTGTTTAAAATTTTTTTATTTAAGTAACCTCAAGAAAAATGAAAATATTATTGATGATTAATTATATATTTGTTTTAAGGTATAAATTTTTATTCAAAATATTTCAAAGTTGGCCAAACATAATTTTCACAAACTATTTATTACCAAAAAAAGATATTTCTAATTTATATTACAATGCTTGTTCTAATTTCGCTCGAAACATGCCTCTTTTTTATCTTTGAATGCTATTTGTAATAAATATATATTCCTCAAAATAATAAAATCAAATTTAATGTTAATATTTACCACAAAAGAAATATATTACATTTAAAAATCAAAAAGAAAATTAATTAATTAATTATATTTATTCAAGGAATAATAAAGGCATAAAATTTTGTATGATGATAATGCTTTAGTTCAAAGTGAATAATTAAATCCCTGCCATTAAAAATTTGAAAAATTTATTTCTATTACCAACGAAAATATACAGTTTTTAAAAATATAGTATAATTTAAATATAATGAGCTTAGCCTTATTGCATTTATCTTAATTATATCAATTGCAATCATCAATTGCTTAAATAATACTTCATATTTATATAATGATTAGTTTTTAAGGATAATAGAATATCTATCTATATTTTAACTTCCTTATAATTTACTCATAAATATTGTTTTTTCTAATTAAAGATCTTTAAGATATGCTTCAGTTTGCTTTTGCATTTCTTTGATTCATTAGGCTTTTAAATCAAAAATAGCATTTCCTAAATAATTTTTAACATAATTTTAAAAAATAAAGCTGAATATTTAAAATAATTATAGAATTTTTTGATCTTTTATTTAAAAATTCATTACTTTATTTAATAAGTTGTTATTATTAGATTTATTACTCCAATGCTAAATTTATGATAGAAAAATACAATTAGACAATAGTTCAATATTTTTTATTCATTCTATTTTTATTTTCTACAAATTTTCAATGAAATTAGAAAGATTATTTCTCAAAAGATTTTGTTTTTTAAATATTTTAGCTTTGAGAGTTGCTGAAGTTTTTTATTTTGGAATTTTAGTCATTTAGTTGAATCAGGATAAAATTTATTTATTTATGAGAAAGAAAAAGTTAAGTTATTGTAAAGAATTCTATTTCTTTTTATCCTTTGTCTATTTTATATTCAATAGATTTTAAACAAAGATCTTGAGAATTTCTTTCAAATTTTTTGAGTGATGTACAAATATAAATAAGCGAATTTCTCTCTAAGTTGTGAATTTAAATTTATCATGTTGTATTTTTGGCAAGACATACTAGTAAAATTAAAGATTTGTTATAAATAAATATTAATTTTTCTTTTATTTTGAACAACTTTAATGTTATTTTAAAAATTTTAATTTTATAAGATAGGTAGATCTAGTAGTTAAAGTTGGATTAAATTTCAACAAGATTCACTCATAAAAATACCTTTATTTATATTCAATAATTTTGTATTTAAATATTTGATACAAAATTTAATATCAAATGGACAAATTTTACAAAGACAGATCTCTTAAACAGATAAAAAACTCTATTATCTTCAAAAAAAAGTTTCCATTTTATTATTAGATGTAATCTATTTTTTTTATCAAAATGTAAACCTACTCTGCAAATTAATTAGAAAATATCAACTAATAAAATAGCTAAAATTTATCTAATTAGTATCAAAATTACAAAAACCTTTTATTTCTCAAAGCTTACATCAGTTTTTTTATTGTAAAATAGTAAAATGAAGATCCTATGCAATTTTACTTAAAATAAAATAAGTTCTATAAAATTTCGTATCTTTCACCAAAATGTAATTTGAATTTTAAATAATAGAAATTATTTACTGAGAAGTAAGTGATTTTGTTCCTTTAAAAATAAATAAATAATATTTAGTTTTTGGTCTTATAATTTTATTGATTGAAAATAAATATATTTATAATGGAATAATTTGGCAAAAAGTTAATCAAAAAAATTGATTGGTTGATTAGCATGTTTTAATCACTCAAAAAGATTCAGTGTTATAAATAATTTTTAAAAAGCTAAATAAAAGCACCAAGATATTTGTTTAATTTATTAGCAATTTTGAATCGAATGTTAATATTAAAAAAAAAACAATTAAAAATCACTAAGTAAGATTAGTTGATATTTGATAATTATTAAATCTAATTTTAAAACAAAGCAACTCGATTTCTAAAGTCTGACTAGCAAACAGCTTTATTACCTACTAACTAAAAAAGATAGTCAAATAAACAATATAAGTATATTACTTTTAATTTAATTTATACATACAGAAATGATCAACTAGCCGATAAACCTGCCCTAAGCCTCGATGCGGCCGGGGCTACCTCCATCTCTAGATTCTGATGAAGAGCTATCTCAGAGAGGAGGCTAGGAAAATAAGAATTCATCTTAATAGGCAGTTTATCTGGCAGATCTGAATGTCTGTTATTACTAATAACTTTAAAGGCAGACTGTTTGCTAGGAAGAAGACGTTAATGCTGAGTAAAGTCAACTCTTTAGAGTGGACTAAAACCTTCTACAAATAAAGGAAGGCTTTTACGAGTTGCAGATTACTATTTAAATTGAGAAGTAATTAATTAAGCTCACCCATTACTTTGGTAAATCTTTTGAAGTCTTTTCTAATTAGTCTCATGCTGAAAACAAAACTCCTACTCCCTCTAATAGGAGTAAGAAAGGACAGAGAAGCCGCCCTTCTTGTGTATAGAAGGCAATTTAATCAGTTAATTTAATATCCTGTTTATCTCCAACTATATCACCGACTACCATTGAGAGGAAAGACTCAAGAACCTTACAAGGAAGGTATGACTCTTTCTCAAGAAAGGCAAGTACTAGAATAAATTCTCAAAACGAAGATTTATCAGGTGAAATTTAATCTGTAAACTAATCAGATCTCAAAGTATCTACAATACTTTCTTAATAAGAAAAGACTAACTAGTAAAATTCTTTGGAAGATTTTGAAGTAGAACTGTAATCTATCCTTATTTTATAGAAAATCTTTTATTTTAAAATTTAATGGATATTATTTAAAAAGTGCTTAATTATATTAATTTTTTAAATTACATTAATTAATCTTTAATAAAATTTTATTGAAAGCCGAATTTGCCTATCTTACATTTTGAAACAAACCAATTCCTCATTATTTTTATATTAAAAGTACTTATGGATTTCATAAAAGTATACCATCATTTATTGATTTTCTTAAGGTTGCTAAATTTTTCTTCATAAAACATGTTATTTTTTATTTTCCATTTTATATTTTTTCCCTCCCAACAAAACAAATGCTTAAATTCTAAGTATTATCAATTAATTACCTTTTATGAAAATCCCCGAATCTGCTAAAATTTTGAATTTTCCATTCTGAAAACTTCAAAAAATAAAATGAAAATGATCTAAAATCTACTACATAAACACTTTTAAAGACAAATTTTAAATCATCGCGATAGACCCATTATAAATAAATATTATATTTTCTATACTAAATGGATTAATAAATTATCCATAAAAAAATTATATAAGATATTCAATACCCTTGATTTACACTTTAGATAAATTTGTGTATTTTTTATAATTTATGTTTAAAAAATTAAATATATAGAGAAAATCCCAACTTAATAACCCCAATCTCACAAAATTAATTAAAGAAGAGTATAGACTTATTTTCTTAGACAGCCATATATACTGATGAATAAATGGAAAAAATCAAACTGTAACAAAGTGAAATTTAGAGTGTAGCAAGACAGTAAAATACTTAAGCTTAAGCTCGCGCACACGATAATAATGAGCTCCAATTAACAAAGCTCCAATACGAATAAACAAGTGATCATAACTTAGAATCTGATTAAATGAGAGAAAATATAGAATTTGAAAGTCCTAAATTTTTACGAGGAAATCAAAATACTTTGTCATTTGATATATCCTTGCTTTAAGAACACAGCTTAGACAACTTTTCTCCTAAAAGAAACAAATCAAACAACTTAGTAAAAAATATTCTAGTTGGCTTTAAAACCTCTTTAACAAACCCAAGATCAAAGATTTATGAATTGATGGATCATGAAGTAAGGATAATCAAGGGTGATAAGTATAGTGATTTCAAAAAGAAACTGAAATAGTTCTTTAAGAAAGCAAGGACAAATCTAAGTGATATCATTAGTATTTTTGAATCAAACCAAAAGAGAGGCATTTTTAAAATATTCATAGAGAAATACTCAAAACTCTGGCTTGAAAATAGTCCTATATAGGATAAAGATAACATTTTACAGTTTTTAGATTTTCTTTTACTTTGTTACTAAGATCCTAATAAAATTAAATTGCTCAGTCCTTACAGAAGAAATAAGTAAAGAAATTTATACAGAGTTACTGACTCAGATAAAGAAGATGATGGATAGGAAGTCAATATTTAATTAAAGGATTTTAAAAAAACAAGCAAAGTAGACGAAAATAATTTTAGCATAGAAGACGAAGAGTCTTATGGTGAATATGATAAGTAAAAAAATTTAAGCCCAGAAATAAGTAGAAAATAGGTCAATAGTAAAGTGAATAAAGACTCAAAAATTAAAAAAATAGCAAAAGTAGATTAGGATGAAAAAACTGAATCATTCATAGAAGAAGAAACATTTGAAGAAATGCAAATCAAAGATCAAAAAATAAAATAAAGAAAGAGTAGCAGTGAAAAAATAGATAATTCATATGAAGATTTTAGTGAGATCTAATAATCTCATTAAAAATCTGAATTGCCAAGCTTATAAAGAAACAAGTAAAAAAAATAGTAAATTTCATTTTTTTTTCTCAATACTTAAATTTTTTATGTTGAATTCACAATTAATAAATTTTATTTAATCAGAAAAATAAATAAATAAGTAAGTAAATAAGTAAATAAGAAAAATAAGTAAATAAATAGATTTTAAAAGTGGAAAGCTTATTTAAATATTCAACATTGAATTTTAAGTGTTTTAAATAAATTTTATCAGAATGCAAGCAAAATCCTAACAAATTTATTAAGAATTTTTAATAATAAAAAGGTTGACTAATTATGAGATCATTAAACAATGAAGAATCAATAATTGATAAAAAACATTTCACTTTAATCAAAACTGTTAAAAATATGAAGACAGAATATAAGCAACATTTTAAAAACTATATCTAATGAAATAAACAACAGAAGAAACTAAGTAAATAATAAATCCTTAATAATAACAAATTTTTAATAATACACTATTATAATTTATATATTATATAAATAGAAGCGAATAAACAAAAGGTATTTTTAATTTAAGTAAGCTTACTAGTTATTGTTAATCTATGCCAACAGTATTAATTTACTGTTGCATCAAAACTATAACTATTAGCGTTAACATAAGTTATAAATGCCTTTTATCTAAACTTAAAAATCAATAACTTATAATTACAAATAAAACAGTTATATTTTATAATTTATATTTACAATCCATCTATTTTAAAATGCATCTATAATAGAAAAATTATATTAAATTGATTAAAAATAACATTTTTTTTATCAAATATATTTAAATTATGATGAAAAATATTTTTTTGCTTTTAATTTTAGTTTTAGAACTAAAAATATGTTTATTTGCCAAAATGTAAAAGCACCATTTGAAATTTTATCATGCAAATTATATCTACAAGCTTAATTAGTATATATTAATTAATTATTAGTCCATTTAAAATACTTGACTATTTTCTATTAAAATTTATTTTGATAAATCAGATAAAAATATTTAGATAATTTAATAAATCTTGATCCTAACTAAATTCATCTTAAATCGATGGTTCAATTTTTATAAGTACATTTTATAGTTTTTGTTCAATAAAGTGTGAAAGTTAATTTTTGAAAATTTTATGAAATTTGTTTACATTAATATAAATTTATAATTTACACAAATAAATATCTGTTAAGCTCAATAGTCATAAAACTGATGAGGTTAATTTATGGTGCACGAGTATATAAAGTTTAAAATTAAATATGTAAATTGATAATTGTAAAGGTTAAAATAAACTTTTATAATAAAAATTGCTAATAGAATTAAATATTAAATTAATTGTTAATTTTATGAGAGGATAAATTTAACATCAAATGCTTTTAATCATCTTAATAGTTTTTTAATTTTAATATGAAATAATACATAACTCAATTATATTAAGTATAGCTCATTAAATATTTATCTCACTTTAAAAAACATATAAAAATATCATTTTTTTTGAGAAAATCTAAATTAACTTATTTATTTCCAATTTTATTAAGGAATACTTTTAAAATTTGTTAATTAATAAAATATGAAATGTAATTTATCTGATCAAAATGAAATAAATATTATGGTAATATTAAATACTATTTTTTGGACATTTGTAGAACTATTTAAAATAAAAATTTATAAATTCTGAATATTAAAGTTGTATAAATTTTAGATAGATGTGAGTAATCTGACTAAAAATACTATGTAAAAATTAGTAATTAGAAGCTATACTTTTTAGGAAAATATAGTTATTCTTATTAAAAAATAAAATTTTGTTCATTTTTTCAAAAAAGCAATTAAAAATCAATAAATTAATTTTATTATCATGAGAATTGTCCCATCAAATTTATTAACATTACTAAATACTTAACAACTAATAACATTTTTCAGCTCTTTTAATATTAATATTTTTAAAAATTATTGTCAAATGTTTTTATGATTTTAGTACAGTAAAATTTGATATTTTTTTTTTTCGAAAATAGAATCATAAATATCTATTACAAGTGTTCTGTTAGTAAACTAAATAAAAAATAATATAGAGTAAGAAATATTTAAGTGTTTTTTTTGAAAATTGATTACATTTCAACTTTTTTACTTGATTAAATATCTAGAGTAATTTGCATTAAACTAATGGAATGATATCTTTTTATTTGATCAGTAAAGGAAGTTAAGATAAAAAATAGAAGATGATTAAATAAATATAAATAAATATTTAAAAATCCTATGATTTTGATTCCGATTCATTAATCAAATTTAATCTTAAAATAGTATTTCTAAATAGATTTTTTAATATTGTTTGTCAAAATGTAATTTTAGCCAAAAAAAAAAATTAAATGTTATTTTGTTTTAAATGTTTTTTTTAATAATCAAAAACAATCATTTATTGCCTATGAAATTTTAACAATTATCAAGCTTTTTTTTTGAAGGAATTTAAAATACCAAAAAAAGTCTAAAAAATCATAATTAATAATTCCGTTTGCAAAAAATGGTCAATTGATTAACAAATTAATTAATTTTACGTTTTCTAAATTATCAATTTTATAACTCTTTGATTTTTAAATATTTGTTTTTCAATTAGATATTGCTTATTTTTAAGTTAGAAGCAATTACTTCGATTAATAAATTAAACATTTATGGCACTTATCAATTTTAATTACAAAAAATGTTAAATTTCTTTTCCTTAAGATATGATAAATTTCTTTTTTTTTTACTGCTTTTTCTTTATTATCAAATTTCACAAAATTAGATTTTTAGTTAAGTGGTTGAAAACAAAAACAGTTAAAAACTGGTCATAATTTGACTATTACATAATTTACCTTTCATGCATACAACTCAATTATTTCTAGAGTTTTGAGCTGTTAATACTGTTATTTTAGCATATTTAGCTTCCAAAATATAAAGTAGATATATTATTGCGTATTCAAATTAATTGTTTTTTTAATGATAATGTTTGAATTTAAGCTGTCTCTTTAGCTAAGAATAAATTAGATAATTCAAAATAAATCTACACTCAAAATAATTTGAATAAATTGTTTAAAATATATTTTTTTTTATAAAATAATATTTTTTTATTACATATTATTCCTAAATAAAAAATTTTGTTTTTATGTTTTTAAAAAAATGTTTTATGATAGGATTTTACTTTTTAATCATAGCTAATAATAATTATAAGTCTTTTGCATTCTTAATTTTGCATATTATTCATATAAAAATGTAATTAATTATATCCATTCAAAAAATCAGTAGGCTATAATAATAAAATACACTGTTTTATGATGCTTAAAATATTTCTATTTGTTTAAAAGAAGTTATTTTTTATTGATAAAGTTAATTCATCAATAACAAAAACGTTTTTATAGTTAAGCATATTTCATAAAATAGCTTTTTCTTTGGCTTTTTATCGAAAACATAAAATTTTTAATAAATTGTATGATCAGTATTTATTTGTTTTTATTTAATAAAATTTGTGTTTACCTTTGCAATTCTTAACTTCTTTTATTCATTTGATAAACAAAATTTAACATATATACAGATTACACTGCATTAAAGAGTTTATCTTCTTGAAGTAACCAAAAAATCTTTTATTGGAAAGTGAGAAGAAAATAATCAAAATTCAAAAGAAAAGCAAAGTAAAAAATTTAATAATTAATTAAATGAAAAGAAATATAAAATTATTGATTTGAGTGGAAAAATAAAAGAAAAAGCAACTTTTTCCAAAAAAAGGAATAAAACACTCTCTGCAACTAAACACAAATATATTTGTGTTATTATCTGAAATCACCATAATTTAATACCGAAATATACTTAAAAAAGATTCTATTCTTAGAATAAAATAGTTTCTTCACATTTTTACAAAAAATTCTTCAATATCCACAACAAATTTTTATTTGCTGAGCACCTAAATACTTTCACATATATCTAAGTTGAGCGAACTAGAATCTACTTTCTAAATATTAAGTCCAGCTATAGATCTTTTTAAATTTGAGTATTTAATTTTACGAATAATAAATATCACAGATTTTCAAATATCCACAAAATAATATCAATTAATTAACATTACATTTTATAGAAAAATTATAAATTTCTAAAACAATTAATAAATAAATACTAATTTGATCAAAACATGAACAGACTTAGATAGTTCAAAGATAAGATGCATGTTCCTCTTGATTTAAAGGCATTAAAAAAAATGGAAAAGAAGGAACTCTTTGAAGAATAAAAAAAATAAGAGGACAGCAAGTATAATGTATTTTATATTAATGGTAATTTCAACGAATACTATCGTGAAATAGAAATCTTAGGCGAAGGCTGCGTAGGATTAGTTAAGAAAGTGGAGCGCCTTAGCGATGGTAAAATCTTCGCTTCAAAAATGGTAAAAACAAAAGATGAAGAAGAAGTGGTCTTAAATGTCATCCGAGAATTCAAAAATCTCAGAGAACTAAATCATCCAAATATAGTAAAAGTATATGAATTATACGTAGATGAAACAAAAGGAAGAATATATACAATTATGGAATTGGTTGAAGCTAAAGAAATGTTTGATGTCATTTCAAAGCTTGGACAATACAGTGAAAGTGTTGCTATAAGTATCTTTAAATAGATCCTTGAGGCTATTGATTATCTTCATGAAAATATGGTCTGTCACAGGGACTTAAAACCTAATAATATTCTATGTAATGAAGATGGAACTTGTGTCAAAATTACTGACTTTAATGTTTCTAAATTTGCTCATTATGATAATGCTCACAAAAAGGCATCTACCATGGAAGGAAGAAAATAAGTTTTAATGTGGACCTATACAGGTACAGTTGCATACAGTGCTCCCGAAATATTTGATGGAGATTCTTATGATGAAACCGTTGATATGTGGAGTGCTGGAGCAGTATTATATACTATGTTAGCAGGATACTAACCTTTCGAGGAAGAATATGTTCAAGACCTCATCGCAAAAATAAAAAGTGCTGATTATACTTTTCCTAAAAATATTTCTGAAAATGCTTAAGATTTAATTAAAAAATGCCTCCAAATTGATCCTGAAAAGCGCATTAAGCCTACTGAGGCTTTAGCCCACCCCTGGATTTTGAATAAATAAGATAATACTTAACCTTTGGATGAAGTAGCAAACAGATTGAGTCTTAATATAACCAAACTAATTTCTAAATTTGCAGCATACCGCAATCTTGGCTTAATTCGTAAAACTACTTAACGCAAGTAAACATTTTGTCCTTCTATGCTTTACAAAATGAGAGAATCGCCTCCTCGCAATTTAGGAATTGGTTTCTTAAATGAAGAAGACTCGAATCAGAATAAAATACTATCCAATTTAACTATTTATAATTTCAATTAGTTGGAAAAACAAAGCTAATAATCTTCTACTTAGTAATTCCTCATTCACAATTCCTCAACGTATGTAGAATAGACAAGTGGATATGACGAGTAATCAAATTAAAATAGATTCGCGTTTGCCTAAAATTAAAACCATTAACTTATAAATAGTTAAAAATATATAAGCACAGGGTTTAACGTTCTAGAGAATATAGATAGTTAGCCAACTTCTAGTTCCGAAATTCAGAGTATCCATAATAATGATGATGAGCCTTATACAATAAGTCCAGATAAAAGTTTAATTTGCTAAAATAGAAGTACTAGAAACAGTCAATAAGTAGAATAGAAAGTAATGCGTAAGAGAAAATAAGCCTACACAAATATCATTCATAATAGATATAAATTAAATGAAAGTGATTAATTTATAGTCTAAGCAATGGAGGATGATTAAATAAGCAATAACGACTTATCTCAAACCACATAAGACTTAAGTGAGAGTGATTAGATACTTTGCTATAAAATATACAATAAACTTAATCCTGAATATCTTCCTCCAAAGAATAGAGTTAATTCTTTATGTGAAATATAAACTGAAAGACTTTCTCCACCAAGGCTAATTTAACACAATCCTTAAATAAATACCTAGAATAATAAATTAAACATGAACTCTTGCCTCTAAAAACTGAATCATAATATGGTTTAAAACTGCTTCTAGACAACACTGAAATCGAAATTTGCAAGCATCTTGAATATAAATGAATTTAACTGCGACTCTAGCCCTATTTCCTACCAATCACTGAGTGACAGCTAAATAAAAACATCTAAAAATATCAAATTACGCGAAAGCATTAAAGATGAATAAATAGAAAGTAAAAAAATGCTAGAATTAAAAAATGTAAAACTTCAAGATACATCTATAGATGCGATAGTGTGAGTTAAAATAATCTGCGTTAGAGTTAATTAACTTCGTACCTATATTTATTACCATGTAAATAATGCAAGTTTCAGATTTTATCATACTGATTAATATTATTGTGAATTAATAAAATCACAAATAGAGTCATCCTAACTATCTAGCTTTCTTCCTTATTAATAATAATAAACCAAATTTTAATTTAAATTTTTCAGTTCAGCTCAATATTCCATTTAGTATAAAAACCACATGAATTTATTTAAATAAAGCTTTTAATGAATTCCCTTAGAGTTTTTTAAATTTAAAAAGGTAGAATTGAAATTGCCTATTGTCAAGGTTAAAAAAACAAATTAGAGGATTAAATCATTTAAAATATTAAATCAAATAGAATCAGCCAGCTTAAATACTTTCTTTATTTACAGAAAAATATTAATCAGCTTTTTATTGAATCTTATTAAAAAAGTATCAATTTATGAACAGCCCAATTAATCAAATTCTATATAAAATCTTTCTAAATTTACACAATTTTCTATTCAAATTATCAAGTAAATAACTTGGGTTGTTAAATACCAAAAGAATGCTTGTAGAAATTTAGTTACTTATCATGATAAATCTGACCAAATAACAAGAAGTAAATTGGAACTTCTTTTAAAAATTATAAGCTTAAAATTTGTATGAGCCTGGAATAAAATTGCAATAATCCCTTTTTTAATAATAAAATAATTAATTGATGGAATTTAAAAAGAAACTTCCTGCAAAAACCATGAAAATAAGTATGGTAATACAACTTCTAGTACATGAATTAATTTATATTGCAAGTATTAATCTAAGCCAAGAATTTGTGATGAATTTATTTTGATGCTAGATTGATTGATACAAAAAATTGTATGGTAACTCTGATAATTTAAAAAATTAACTATCAAACACTAACTAAAGCATAAATACACAAACTAATATCCACGAAAAAATTTGAAATCATTACTAATCACTTTCAAGAAAAATATATAATTACTAACAAATTTAAAAATCAAATAATGAACTTCTCTTTGTAAATCTTCATTCTTTCCATACTAATTTCTTATTCTATGCTTAAAAAAAAATTCTAATTATAATAACTCTTTTAATTATTTATAATTCTATGTATTTTATATTTACAATAAATATTATTTATCTTAACAAAGTTCTTATCATAAAAACCATTTATCAATCCTTAATAAAATCAATCAATTTAAAACTTAAATTCTTTTTTATTTTATTATCAAAAAATTCAGGTAATTTTTTAGTCACTTTTATCTTTTCTCTAAAACTTTTTTTAGAACTTTTAATTGTTTTTTTTTTGATGAATACATTTTTTTCGAGCTTATTTTTAAAATTTCTAAAGACCCCTACCTAATATTCTTTTTTAAAAATACAAAAATATTTACTATTCAGAAACTATTAATCCTTTCAATATAATGTGTTTGATAAGTAAAAAAAAACAAACAAAATTTACAAAATCCTTAAATATTTTTATTGTTTAACTTTTTATTATAGTTTTTTCTATTTTATTACTACCAAAGAAATAAAAGTTTTATTTAATTTATTCATAAAGGTTTTAATACAAATAAAATAAAATTCAAAGTATTAATTTATAGCCCATATAAAAATATTTAAGATAATGAAATTAGACTTATTTGCTTAATCTTACCAAAAAAATTATTTAAAAAATAATTACGTTAAATTTTGATTCTGTTTTATTAACTTTTAATGGATATTTACCCAAAAATAAATTAGCTTCTCTACCAATTTTTTTGTAATATTGTGTTTTAATAATAATCACAAAAAATCTTTTGCTTATATAATTTGAAGGAGTAACTACTTGTTTTATGAATATTTTAAGTAAAAACTTTCAATTATAAATTTTGATTAAAGAAAATTTCAAAATATTTCATAGAAATTGAATAAAAAAATAGCAATTTTGACTTACACTTCTTTAAAAAAATTAAATACTTAGAATAGATAGAATTAATAAGTACTTTTCTTAAAATATTTTGAAAATTCAGAAATGAATGTATCTAAAAAATTAATTGATTAATTGAGTAATTAAAATAACAAAAATATTATTTCATATGATAAATGATAAATACAATAGTATAATAATGCTATAATCTTTTCAGATTATTGATTATATCAGAAATTTTTAAAAATATCTCTTTATTTAAAAAAGTGCTATTAAAATTATCCTTTAACTTTTTAAATTTTTTTAACTAGATCTATTGCATTTACTTTCCAAATTCAAGTGTAGAAAAAAAGATATTATTAGACATTCAATATATTTTGATATTTTTGTTTTAATTAATATTAAAAATTCATGTGTTTGTTTATTAGGATTAATGAATTTTTAGAAAAAACCTTATCCAATTGTATATTTTAGTTAGTTTATATATTTATAAATATTAGGATAATTATAAAGTAAATGATTGAAATAACATACTAATTATGTAATTATAATGATGTAAATATCAAAAATATGCTTGAATTCTTTAATTAACAAACACTTGTATATAAACTACTTAAAAAAATTTCATAAAAGAATTATTTCTGAAGCCCAACAAAATAATCAATTCTTGTTTTTTGTGGGGTACCAAAAAAAATTAAATTACAATTTTTAAAAATAAATGCATTTTTTATGACGAATGGAATTGGTGATTTTTTATCTTATTTACATTTTTTCACATATTTTAAACTATATTTAAATTAAAAACATATCATAAATTGTTTGATTCATTAGTTTAGATGCTTTTTTTTATTCAAATTTGATTTTCTATCTTCTTTTTAATATATTTTATTGATTGGTCAGTTTCTGTATAAGAAGAGATATAATACTTATCATCATTTTTCCTTATTTTTGTTTCCATTTCTCTTCTAGGTATTTCTTCTTCTCCTTCAAACATGCCCTCAGTTTAATACAATTGATTTCGTTATTTCTTCTTTTCCTAATTTTAAGGTGCAATCTTCTGATACTGCATAGATATATGAAAATTTTATTAATTTATGCTATCTAGTTTTGGTTCAATAAATTAATTTTTCTTTTTATCTTCTTGTGGCAATTACATATCTTTTTATCCTTTTGCTGAAAGAGTTCTCTTTGATAGCTCTTACTTTTCTATTGTTTATACGTTTTAAAAAAGACTCTCATCGTATACTTACTCTTCTTCTTAATCATCTTCCCTACTTAATTCACTCTTAATGCTTTTTTAAGATACTTCTTTTTATTTATAATTAAAAATAAATTAGTAAAATATTATTAAAAAAGCATATTTATTTATTTATTTATTTATTTACTATTTTATTTAGTCAATCTGTTTTAATGTTACATATTCAAGTCTTATGGAGTGTTAGAAACTAAATGTTTTTATGAAGATCTTTGAGATTAACCTTGTTATAAATTTTGATGGTCAGATTATTAAATTAGTTAATTAAATTCTATAACGTCTTCATTTAACTAATCTGATTATTTCTTGTCTATCTACTTTGAGTTATATTTTGAGTTTGCTTCACTTTATTTGCCCATTTTTTATCCAATTGGTCTTTTCAAGTTTTAGCTATCATTATCCTATTATTAAAATCTTTGTTCTCTCGAAATGTCATTATAAATATCTTCATAATTATCTTAATATATATCTTCCTACTGCTATTAAACACTCATATAACTAGACTATTCATTTTCTTCATCAACGTAGTTTTCATCATCTCCTTCTTCTCTCTCAACACTAACTTTACTTTTAGTAGCTTATTTTAATTAATGAACCTTAATCTATTCATACTCATCTTAACTATCGTTATTTATCACATTCTAATTCCTTAAGCTTTTTTTGTTTTGCTTCTTCTTTTTCAATGCTTAGAGAACTTACAGCATTTCCTCATCTGATAAATGTTAAATTTTTTGTAGAATTAAGGATTTTGCTGATTTTTAATTAATTGAAATCTCACTTTTACCATCCTCAACTCTGATATACTTAGAATCTTCTCCCTTGCATTTTTCATCACTTGACATTACTTAGAAGTGTCCTTAAAGAATATCTTTTTTCGTAGTTGAAGCAAGATCTACTTATAACTTTTCAGGCTAAGGTGTACTGAGATAGCTGAAATTTTCTGTTACTCTGACAGCATCTATTCTTTTACTTTCATCTAATCCATTTTGAGAGAATAAATTATTTTATTTTTTCTTATCTTTACTATATTCTACTGTTCTCTTAGTATCACCTCTCTCATTTTCTTCATGTCTAAATGTTACATATTCATCATTTAATGTTGGGTTTGTTTGCTCCTTTTGTTGTGTTATATTTTTATGAGTACTTCTTTAACTGGTCTAATTGTTACTTGTAACTCCAGAAATGTTATGTATATTGTGATTTTAAGGGTTTAAGTGATTATTAATTTAAGCGTTTGACTTTTATTGAAGATTATTATTTCCTTTAATTTTACCACCATGCCCAGTAGCATTTGAGTATTTTAATAGCTAACTTTCCTGCAAACTCTAAATTTAAATCTACGTGTTACTCAGTTCAAAAGTGTTTGTGTTTTAAGATTACCTTAATGGTGTATTAATATAGTTATGAGCTATTATTTGATTAGTATTTATCTATTCACTCACATCTAATTCATTGTTTTAAGAACTTATTTCATAGCTCACACTTTCACTCATTTCTCGAAGCTTTTTCTCCAACATTCTATTCAATTTTTTTATCTCTTCCTTAGACATACTTTCTAAGTTCAAAGGTAGATTATTGCTTAGTTCTAGTAATTTGATAAAAATAACATTTTAACTTTATAATTTATAGTCTTTTAAAAGAATTTTAAATCATCAATAAAAGTAACCAAACGAATAAATTAACTAATGAATGAATGATTCAATAAATAAAAAATGAAAGAATAAAATTCCTTAAAAATTAAAATTAGATGAAATTATTTAACAAATAAAAAATAGAAATTGTATTTGTTAAATTTAAAAAATTTAAATATACCTCCTCTCGAACTATATATTGCACCATTATTTTTATTTGAAGAAACAATATTTCTACTAGTTACTCTGGTTAGAGTTTCAGGGTTACTTGTGTTTCTATTTGAATCTATATTTCCTACCTCAGGACGAAGATGCATTTAAGGAGAGCTTTTTCTAGAGGAATATATAGCCTAATGTTAATTAGTTTGATAATTTCCTAAATTCTGTTGATGAGAAGGGGGAGATATGTAATTTCTCTCTCCTTGCTAGACATTCGATGGTGTGTATTTTGAGTCTTTTATATTGACATACTAAAGATACTTATTATGGAATTTAGACATTTTTTCATTATTATATGAAGTGCTGATATTTGCATTTGAAGTTGTTTCAGATTAGAGAATTTATAAAGGTAAGTCATAATGCTTTTAATCATAATTAAAATTACGTTTTTTATCAAATAATTGTGATTGTTCAAAACTGCTTGAATCAAGAAAGTCATCTTTTCTTATTTCTTGTAAATGACTTAGTAATTTTTGCTTTTTTAGATTTAAAAATTTTTGTGCTATTTCAATCTAATCATCATCCTCTTCACTGCTATTTTCATTACTGCTATTATATTATTTTAGGTACTTTGGTGGAGGATTTGTTTGAATTGTATCTTGTTTTTAAGAAGATCTATTGGAAGAATGATTTTAAGTATGTTAAGGTATCTAAGCAAATGTTTCCTAACTCGTATTTGAGTATTTAATTCTATTTTCTTTGTAACTGTTTATAGTCGATTTAACAGTATTTTTTGGTTATTCTGTATGTTTGTTTGAATTTAAACTTTCTAAATTTCCTCTAGAAGAGATAGAATGTATTTCTCCCTATAAGAGTTTCTATGCAGCCTACCTATCGGATGATGGAGATTCTTTACTGCTTTATTTTTTATTGCTATATTAGCCAGTTTAGCTATGTTATGATATTTATTTAACTTATTCTTGCTTTTATTATTTATTCAAGCTGATTTGCTTTAAGGAATTAACTAAACCTTGCATTTAAGAACGGAGGTTTTGAATTTCCTAAAAAGTATGTGTATCATCCTCCTCTGCTTACTTTGCTCTCTCTAAGAAAGGTTAATTTTTATATGGTGAGTTCATTATTGTCTCATTAGTAGATGTTACAGCATACTATTTTTTCCATTAATTAAACATTTTTTCACTTTCACCTGAATTAATTTTTAAAGTAACTCTTTCCTATTATCTATCTGCATGGTTATTCATAGAAGCATGGTTATTTGTTCCATTTGATTACATAAACGAGGCAGATTAGTAAACATTACTTAAATGAGGTTATTTTTTTTATGTCGTTTATGGGGATTTAGATTAAAGAGAAAGAGAGTATTTCAATTATGAGTTGTTTTTTAGCAACTAGTTATTTAAAATATACTACTAATCATTCACTTACCCATTTTTATATACGTATTTAGCAAAAGAAGTTTAAGCTGCTTAATCTTGATACTAATTCTTAGGATTAAACGGAGAAGATTATTGTTAAAAGTTTTATTGAGGTTAATTATGTACACTTTATTGAATTTACCCTCCAAATTACTAATGATAGTTCAATGGAGTTTAGTTATTTTTAAGATTTTGAGGAATGCTGGAAACTTAATTTAGTTACTATTCTAATTCTGCTAATTTACCGTTTTACATATTATTAATACTTTAAGAAAGGAATTCTTATACTTCTTAATCCAAACTATCTGCTAAGTAGGGAGGTTATTAAAATTAATAGAGATTTTTACTAGACTAACTGTTGTTATTTTTTTTTTAATACATATTGGCATTAATAGTTGATTATTTGCTAGCAAAAGGCTAGTTTATTTGCTGTTAATTTGCAATTTAATATTGGTTTTATTAAAATCCCTATGAGTTTTATATTTCTCCTTATTTGCTAATTCTACTGTGTCTACTAAGCCTGTCTTCATTTTCATCAATATCTTCTTGCTTATTTCCATTATTTACATCTAAAGAAGATCCTATCTAAAAATCTGATTACCTAGATTATCTCATTTATTACTAATCTTCAGGTAAATCTTTAACAGGGATATTTTGAAACGAAGAAATTTTTAATTCTTAATTACTTTTGTTAAGCTAGTTTTAGCTATAATTATTTTATAATTATTCTTATGCACCTATGTTATTATCTGAAATTTACTACAAGCTTTTGTTTAATTATTTTTTTTATTATTAACTTGGAGGTTAACTACTTTGGTTGCTATCATAATTAAATTAGTTATTGCTTTAAGGAGTTTGTTGAGGATACAAATTAGGAGAACTTCTCTCAGCACTTCTATCTCTTATATTTTACAGAAGCTTGACTGATTGTTAAAATCTTTCCTTTAAAACATTTGTATTTTCTTGTATTTGCTAATTTTCTTTCACAATATGATTTATTCTCTCTTTATAAACATTCTCATTAAGCTATAGCTTTTATTTCAGTAATTCCTTTTCTTATTTCTCCTCTGCAAGCTTTTTCATTAGCTATCCTATTTTCCTCTTATCTTCTGGACATAAATCTTTTAAAGTAACTATTTATAATTTGAAATATAGAACATTTATTAATATTTAAAATATAATTTCTGTAATTTAATTTTTCAAATTATCTTTATAATTTTCAATCAAATTCACATTTTGAACTTTTTTTGATAATATAATTTTTTAAAAATCCATATCAATTATCTATTTTAAGTTTATAAATAACAACAAAAATTATTGTAAATATGTTTGTTTGTATGTATGTAAAACCAGTTATTTTTTAAAGCTAAAAATAAATTATTTTAAAAGAAATTACCTTAATTAAAAATTGAATTCAATGTTGCTGCTGCTGTATTAGTTCCACCAATATTACCAACTTAAGCAGCTAAGCTAGTTTGATATTAATGCGGAGAGTGTGAGAGTTGATTTTAATTATTCACATATGCATGTATGCTATTGTTGATAATATGACTCTAATTGATATTTAAAGGACTTTAGCTGTAAGCTGCTAGTCTACTTCCTTATGAATTTTCTAATATTTAATCATTCAATCTACTTTATCTTCTTTACTTATCTACTGATTAGTTTAATTAACCTATTTATTGCTGAGATATGCTTTATCGCTTAGAAGTATTTTAGTTATCTAGCTTAGAATTGTTATTCTATCTAGCACTATTTATGCTTGCATTAGATTTATTATGAAAGCTATTATTATTATTTTTATTTTCGTTTGTTATTTATATTTGTTGTAACGATTTCTGTTCAATTTCTTTCTTTAAAATACTATCGCCATGCTACTTCAAAACAGATTCATATCTGCTTTGTCCTTATTTTGAAAGATTATGAGAAGATGGGGATGTTGGAATGCCATATTTAGTTTGCGTTTTTAAAATGCCTTTAGGCTCCTTTGAACTTTCTGAAGACTATCGTCTCATATTAATTTACTAAAACTATCTATCAAAAAAATAAACAAAAGATTGATAATTTATGTGTATAGTTTTAATAATTTTATATATCAACTCAATAAAAAATTGAATCAAGCATAAACTGAATGAAAATCTTGATTAAAACAACTTTTTCTAAATATTATTTATTATTCATAATTTAAATAAAGAATCAGTCAATTTTCATAAATCTTTTTAAAATCTTATCTTTCTTTTATTTAGAATTTTTTGAAATGGTAAGAATGATGTTTTGGTCAATTGTTATTATTCTTTGTTTGATTATTCGCTAACTATTAAAAGAAATTATTACTGTATAATAAAATAAAATTTATTGGCTTTTCACATAATAATAAAGGCTAATCTATAAATTTAGTATTTCCTTTAAATATTTTTTTAAAAGACTTTTTATAAAATAAATTATTAACTATTTAATATTTAACTTAAACCATTTGGATGATGCTAAATAACTATTAGATTCTAAAGGAGCATTTCTATTTACAGTTATGTAAAGTAGAATCTTCTTTTATTTTTTTTAAAGATCATATTTATGACTAGCTGCCTTTTTATTATTACATCAAGAGCTTATATGATAGGTTAAAAGAAATTCATATTAAAAAACTATGAAATAAAAATATACTTATTGAAGTTTTTTACTCCTTTTATCTTAAAAATAAATAAAATAAATTTAGAAATTGATTTCCAAATATTTATTATTAGATAAAATGTTATTTATAGCTTATTATTTGATTTTAATGATACTAAGTTACTTTCATATAACCTTTAAATTTAGCAGAAATAGATATATCGTTTAGATATTTTATTTTATAATTTTTTTATTTATTTAAAATATCAGAAATTAATCAATTAAATAAAGAAATCTTTTAGAAAAATCTAATTAAAGAAATGTTAGTAGGAAAGAATTTATGCCTCATTGGCGGTTCAGGATACGTAGGTTCTGCTATAGCTAAAAAAGCTTAGAAGTTAGGAGCTTAAGTCACTTGCATCTCTAGAAGAGGAGCTCCTATAACTAGATAGGATTGGTAGTAAAACATAAATTATGTTTAGGCTGATGTAACTGACCCTGAAAAGATATCATAGAATCTTGAAAAAGCAGATGCAGTAATTAATACTGTTGGAACTTTAATTGATACATCCTTCACTTAAGGTAAAAAACCTGGTGATTACGGAACATATGAGCACTTAAATAGAGACGTAGCAATTAACATTGCAAATAAACTTGAATCATTTAAAAAATGTAAATAAAAATAATTTTAATTAAAAATTGATAAATGATTGTTTTAAAAAGTAATGAATATTTAATGAGGATTAGAAAATTTTATTGAAAATTTACTTGATTGATGTTTAAAAATGTTTTTAAAACAGATAAAAAAATAGTTTATTTAAGTTCTGCTGCTCCACCTCCATTTATCAACAGATATATTACTACTAAATAAGAAGCAGAAGAGCATTTACTTTCTTTAACTCATGTTAAAAGTACGATTTTAAGACCTGGTTTTATTTATAGCTTTTAAGAAAGATGGTGGAGTTTGATTGTTAGATATGAATGTGATGCTTGGAATTATCTCCATACCAAATTAATGGAAAATGTTCCTTAAAACAGTGTAATGAAAGATGTTGTTGAAAAATTCTATGTAGAAAGATCTGTCCTCCTCAAAGACGTTGTAAATGCTTCTTTGTATTCAGCAGTCAACAAAGAAACTGATGGCTTACGTCTTACAAATGAAGATATTGAAAAATATTCTGAAATTTTTGAGAAAAAGTGAAAAAGAACTTACAAAAGAATTTATATTGGCATTTTCAATATTAGTAAATTTTTGTTGAAAAATAGTATAAATTATTGTAATATTTTTAATTTTTAAAATAAATAATTATTATTTTCTATAAATGTCTTTACTTAAATTTAGAATCAATACATTCGATTAGAATAATTTAAAAGTTAATTTAATCAAATAGAATATAAATATTTTTATCAAATAAATAAAAATAATTTAAATAGAAGATGCTTAATAAAAATTAGATTAACTCAAAAAATTGATTATTTACTAAGTATGAATGTATAAATTAAAATGTAAATAGAATATTAAAATATGTGGGATAGATTTATCAAAAAATTTAGTTTATTTTATTTAAATTATTAAATTAAATAATATCTTAGAATATTTTTCTAAATGAGTAGAATTATTGTTTTAACAGAATTAATTCAAAAATTTATTATTACTTTTTTATTTTTAATTAAAAAATAAGCATGTGCTATATTGACAAATTTACTATCTGGATATTTTTATTAAATAAATGAATACCTTTTTTAATAAAAACAATTCATAATATTAATAAATTTTTTATTTTAAAATTAAAACTTCAAAAATTAAATTTTGAAATAAAATTATTTTTTATTTAAACCAATTTAAAATGGTTTTTTAATTCTAAAATGAAAAAATGACTTATTATTGTTTTTAAAAAATTTGAATAGTAATTTTTTGGTTTATTTTTTCAGTAAATTCAAAAATCTAAAAAGAGGAATTCAAAAATAAAATAACTTATATTCATTTTCAAATAATATAGGTTTTAATAAATGCATTTTTAATTAAAATTAAATTTATTTGTTTAAACAAACCTTTAAATTAAAAAAGAAAATTTAATTGTTTTTTACAAAATAATCATTTATGATGAGCTGAGATAGTAAATTTTACTAAAATAAAATATGAGTTTGAATTTTTAATAAATAAAATTTGAAAAAAAGAATATTATCTCTTCAAAGTAAATTTAATTTTTTGATATATCAGTTTGATTATCTCTACTTGAAATTAAAAACTAAATATTTAGTTTTTAAAATTAATTATTTAGAATAGTTTGGTGCTTTTAAATTGGATATTAAATTAAATGTAACAACAATAAATGCAAAAATTAGAGACGTTGATTAAACAAACACAAAGTGGATATGCTTATTGTAAAGAATTTGCATATATAAAAATAAATTATATAAAATAAAGTATTGAATAAAAATTATTACACTTAATATCCACAATTTTAAAAGGTTAAGATTTATCTTTAAACGGAAAAATATCAATAAATTAATTGAAATTTAAAAAAGATAAAGAGAATAATTAAAAAAAATCAGCTCTTAAATATTAATAAAAAATATTAAAAATTAATTAGCATATTAATACTCTCTTACCACTAAACCCACATATAAAAAACATATTAAAATCCCTCTTAACCATCTTTCAAATTACAAAAGAAAAATTCTATTTACACGCAAAATGAATAACCCACAAAGCAATATGTTTAATTAAAATTATTTTTAGCATCAGCAAATTCAGTACAGCGCTTATGTTAAAAATACATTTTAACTTAATAATAGTGCATCATCCAAAGTTTGTCTCTCTAATAACTAGCTACCTTTTGGTTTTCCTTAAGACTTACTAAGCTTTGCAAATAAGAAAAGGAGAGAATCTGATTCAGAAAATATGAACACCTAATTTTCTCCAGAAGCTGAACAAAGATGCATGCAATATCAATTTAGCTTTAATGGAAAAAATTAGGATATTTATTCTAGTAAATAGCATACTACTTCACAATTAAATCCCGAATATAATAACTATAATGCTTCAAACTTATCAACTTCAACCTCATCATAATCATCCTCCTACTCTTCTTCTTCTCAATCATCTTCCTCGTCATCCTTGCAATCATAAATTTGCTCCTCTTCATTTTTATCTTAGTCTAATTTTTCCTCAACGACTAGTTAATAACAATAGAATATTGATAAGTCGAAATGCTCAAATGCCTTTGTAATTGACAACTTGGTGCAAAAGAAAAAAAATAGCTTTGGTAGCAGTAACATGAACCAATAGCCTTTATAATAGTCCTAACTAAACAATTTAACACAGGGCCCTAATCAGTAGGAAACTAGTAAATTTAAGACAGAAATGTGTAAAAACTGGATGGAATTTGGAAAATGCAATTACGGAAAAAAGTGCTAGTTTGCTCATGGCAAAAATGAGTTAGTCGATAAAAGCACTGTAAATAAAAGACAATATAAATCAAAATTATGTAACTCTTTCCATACATAAAAATTCTGCCCATACGGAAACAGATGTATGTTTATTCATGAATCAAGAACAGTTACTGAAATAAGACAGTCAACCTACTATTAAAAAATTCTATATAATCTTGATGAACAAAATAATAAAATAATTAATTTTTGTGAATTATAACAAGAATCTAAATAATAAACTCCTTTAGAATAACAAAGTTGCGAGCTTTCAAGTAATTCTGGGTAGTATTAACCTATTAGAAATACTTTAAATTCTTCAACTTCTTTTAGACTCCCTATTTTTTAGTTGATTGGTTCTTAACAAAAAGAGTTTAATATTTCTTAATCAAATTTGAATGAATCTATTAATGCATGAAAATAGTAGAAATTACCAACTCAAAAAATACAAAATTGCAATTAAATATGCTTTTTTAGTGAGTTAAGATTAACACTTTAATATTAAATATAATAATTGTCTTTTAATAAAAAATAATATTAAAGAAAATATTAATAACGATATTTTTTTCTGTGAACACCCTTACAATCAAACAAACAAGCAAACAAAAAAGAATGAGAAAAACTCATTAAAAAAAAGAAAAATAATTTATTTAATTTTTAATCTAAAAGCTCTCTGTAAATTAACTTAAATATTATATTTTTTTGAACTCTTAATTGAGCTCATTTTTAAATAAGAAAATAAATTAGAAAAACCATAACAACCTCATTTATATTATTTATATACTAATTATATTAAATTATTTCTTACTTCTTCCTCTTTGTTTATATCTGTCTCTATATTCGTTTTAAATGCAATAATTATTAACAGAATTCTTTTAAAATTTAATTTGCTTGCTACAAAATGATTTTAAATAAATAAATTTTTAATAAAAGCTATTATACTGTTTGCCATTCTTATTAAATTCTGAATAATTCTTTTAAATTATCCTAAATCAAATTCATTTAAAATCTAGGTAAAATAAATATCATTTTTTATTTATAATTTCATTCTATATATTATTAATTCTTTTAATAAAGATTTTGTTATCTTTATAGATACGTTTTTAGTGTCATTAATTAAAAAAATATATTGTTAAACATAATATTAAAGAGTAGCAATTATTTTTGAAATATTTACATCAAGCAACAAAGAAATGACTACTTTGAACACATCAAAGAGAGTAAATTGATTTTAAACTTAAAATGATAAACTGAAAAATTGTTTAATATAGATGGACAGATCTATGGTAATATTCTAAATAAATACAAATTAGTAGGAAATAGACTTGTAGATTTATTCAATAGAATTAATATTTCTTAATTCAAAAAGATATCTGAGAAGAGTGTGGCAGGGTTTCGTGTTGGTAAAAATAATGAAAAAAATATAGAACAATGGTAGTTTATCCCAAAGGATGTAAACATTTTACAGCTTGCTTGCACTTCAGGAAATTGGTTTTGCTTATCAAGTAAGCAATTTAAAATTAATATAAATTACATTTTAAAAACTGGAATAATAAGCTTCTGGATGGCTTTTTTCATGGGGATCTAAAACAGAATGCTTGGGAAGAAAACTAAATGCAGATGATGCTAGAAATCCAACAAGGATTAACATTTAAAATACTTTGATTGTAGCTATTGCGACAGGAAGAAACCATGTTTTAGCTTTGAATGAGAGAGGAGAAGTATATACTTGGGGTAAAAACGATTTTGGTCAAGTAAAATAATATAAATATAATAATTTACTCTAAAAAATGTATATTTTAAAATGACAATTAAATTTTAAAAATCAGTTAGGTCATGGAAACAAATTACCAGTAGATGAACCGAAGTAGGTTTTAGTATGTTTAAATTAAAATTGATTTCAATGAAATTTATTCTATACTTTTAGTCAATTCAAAAAGATTAGATTGTCTAAATATATGCAGGTGATGAATGCTCATTCGCTGTAAATAAGAGAGGTTTGGTTTATGCATGGGGATAAGTAATAAAACATTTTTTTTAATTAAAATGTTAATTAATTGATTATTTTAGAATTCTAATAGGCAGGTTTCTGATAAAGAAACGGAATATGAAGATACTCCTAATCCATTAGTTTAATGTCCATGGGATAATACTTTGTCAACTAGAATAGTTTATGGCAGAGACAATGCCTCATATATTTACCATGGTATCTATTAATTTTAATAATTACAATTTCAAAATTAAACTTTTAATTTTTATCGTCTAGTTTAGTTCAATCTTTTTAATGATAAATACCAATAAAAATCATAAAATAACCTAATTGCGCCAAGTAGTTAGAGCAATATTTTAGACTTAGGAGGTATTGGAGGTGGAGGAGGAGGTATGAGTTAGCTTCATGGAGGAGTTTCAAACTTGACTGCTCCATAGCTCTACAGCTATTCATAAACTATTAAAAAAATGGATTATTAAATTAAGGATTTATAAAAAACATGCGAAGAGTATAAACAAAAACTCAAATAAAAAGGTCACATATTTGGTGATGAAAAAGCAAGTGAAGATCAAGAATCTAACTAGAAATAAGGAGTAGGAGGAGATGTAAAATAATAATAATAATAATAAATTTGAATTAAAATTATATTTATCAATAAAAAAAAAGTAGAAAAATGATTAAATTCTAATTGATATCACTATCAATTTAAATGAATTGGCAAGGGAAAGATAAGACTTGGTAATTTATATTTCATTTGTAATAAAATTTTGTTCAAAGTTTTACATTTATTTAGGAAACTAAAATTAAGACCATCAATATGGAAAAAGACAGCTTAGAAAAGGAAATACAAGTTTATAAGAAAGAAGAAGGTAAATAAATAAATAATTAAAATATGAATAAATGACTAAATAACATTTTTGCTTATTTTTTGAATATATATTTGAGGTTAAAAATTTATTTTAATGAAAGTAAATCAAATGCTATTTTTAAAAATATTTAGAATAGCTTTAGAAAAAAGAAGAGGAGTTTATTCAGAATAAAAAGAATTATGAATTTTAAATTAGGGAAATATTGAAGAGCAAAAACTAAACTGCAAATTAAACTCAGAGATTAACTGAACTATAGAGGAATTTAATGACAACCAAAGAAATATTATAGTGAATAATCTTAAACTTATTATTTTTTCAATAATTTATTAAATATTATTACAGGAGTAATGATGACTTAAAAAATAAAGCTATTATGAAGCAAAATAATAGCGAAGAAGCTAAAAACAAAGCTAAATCTAGCTTAAGTGAACTTGAAAGAAGAGTAAATCATATTAATTCATAAATTAAATTCAATTTTAATTCTTCTTTAAATAAATAGAGAGAAGAAATCGTGAAAAAAGAAAATATGTTTACTACAATTAGAGAAGAGAGAAAGAAGTATCTTAAATCAGCAATATTTGATGAAAAAAAAGTAGATTTAGAAAAATGGATTATTATTATACACTCTCAGCTAAAGCAGCTGAAAGAAACCGGAATCAAAGAAATTTGCAGAAAATAATTTGAGTAAAATAAATTTAAAGATGAAAAAGGGCAGAAAGATTAGCAAGGTGTTTTAGATACTAAGCAGAGATAAGTTGAGTTAAGTTTTACTGGTATTGATGATTTAGCTAAGAAAAGTAATTCTAGTATTGAGTAAAAAATATAGCTTAATTTTCTTATTTCTAATTTTAAATCATTATTTAATAATTTAGAAAAATCTAAAAAGGACTAAAAGAAATTAAGCTTAATCCGAATGATCCTTCTTCTGATATCATAAGTAAAGTTGTTGAAATAATAGATGATAATATAATATGCAGAAAATAGGTAAATATGCATACAATTTAAATATTTATATGTATTAAAATATATATCTAATTAGATAAATGACTTAACTGTTGGCCTGCTAATTTAAACTAGTACGAGAAACTAACAATTTTAGTTAAGTTTAATGAAGCAGGAAGCAGAGTTTGATGAAGACTCAAATTCTTAAGCTCAAGAAGAAGAGGATGAAGACTACATCAGAAGATAAATTTTAAAGAAATATGATAAGATCAAAGAGAGATAATAAAATGAATATGAATTACTTAGAGAGTATGTCCAAAACTAAAAGTTAGGAAGAGAAATGCATGATCCTTTATATGGTGAAGATAGATATAAAAAATAACAAAAAGTAAATAAAGACGCAAATAAATAGGTAAATTATTTATTTTTTAAAAAAACCTTTTGATAAATTTATTTTAATTTTTAAAAATAGAAAAGTGGAACTGGTCTTTTCTTTTTCTGATTTAAAGTATATCAAAATATATCTAAGTGCTAACTGCTTAATTTTATTTTTTGTTTGTTTTTTATTTTTAAATCAGTAAATAAATTTTATTTTATAAAACAAAATTAATATTTCCTTTTTGAATACAAACATAAAATTAATTGCTTTTTGATGAATTAAAAAATTTGAAAGTTATGAGGATATTACTTACAATTAATTATTTATTTTGATCCAAAAAACAATCAGTTTACTCCGAGGATAATACAAAACTAATTACATTAAAAAAATAGCAAACAATTTATTTAAATTATTAATTAATGTAATTTTTATTAATTTTATTTAAATTTATTTGGAAGGTTTTTTACAAATCTTTTAATATTAAATTTGCAGAATTTTAAATATTTAATAATTTTGAAAACGTTAATATAATAAATTTATGGTATAGTTAGATTTTTTTAATTAAAAATTTAATTTATAAAACAATATAAAGATTATATAATAGAGATCATAGATCTATGTATGAATATTTATATGATTTTTATTAAAAAAATAATCATTTTATAGATATATTAATCTTTTTTTAATTAGATTCTTTTTAGTAACTTATTTTTGCATTAAAAATTGCTAATAAATTATTATTTTTCAGGCTTTATTTATTATTAATTAATTAACTTTCTTTGTGATTAATTTAAATAACTGCATTAATTTAATACATGTTTATATTATTGTGTTTTTTGAGTGATTATTAAATGTAATTAAAATACATTTTTATGTTTTTATGTTTAAATAATTTATTTAGACTCTTTATTTCTCACTTTTCGATGACACTTATCCAACCAGGGCGATAATTATCAGTGCTAGCAAATCTATTTTAATTAATAATTTTTTAAGTTTTTAAATAGTAAAAATATTAACTAATTTTACAGTTCCATCATTTTAAGGTGTTTATCTACACCAGGAATAAATTAAGCTTTTGGCAATAATGTTTCTATCATCTGATAAACATATTCTTTCATCATAGTGTCTACTTCTATTTAAAATAAATAAATTATATGTCAAAATATATAGAGATTTTAGGAGTTTTGTTTTACTTGAAGGGTCTTGCTCATCTGTAACTTCAAAAACTACATCAGAAGTTCTCTAATGTCTGAGCTCTAATTTTTAATTTTTATCTCCAATCTAATTTTTTTTTTTTAAATAAGAATACATTTTTATGATATTTAAAATGGAATTACTCTTCTAAACATAAGGAGTGTATGTCTAGTTTTTTTAAAGTAAGGGTAATTATTTCTTAAAAATAGGTTATTGATGTCGGTTGATTTTAGTATATCTAAATTATTCATAACAAATTTCTTTTCTTAGGTAACTTGTTCTATGCTTTTTTCTATTGGTTTATTTACAGATGGAGTTTAAACTGGGTCTTCCTCAAATAGCTTTTAAATACTAGGAACAGAGGACTTTTTTAAAAGTTTGTTTTTCTTTTATGTAATATCATCAGGAGTTTACTATTTTCTTGCTTAATCAGAATCTTCACTATGGTTATCTTGTATTTAATCAGAAAATTTAGAAGTATCTTTTAAGGTCAAATCGCTTGTTATGGCTTCATTATTTGTATTGTTAGTTGAGGCTGTTGAATTCTATGAATCTTCGTCTTTGTGGTTGATAGATTAAAGGCATTTGTTTAAGCCTAAAAACATAATTGAAAAGTTTTCGATATATGTAAATCCTTTTTGTTCCATGATTTCTACTATTTATCCTAAAATTTCTTTTTCGCTCCAAATAAATAAGATTCCATTTTTCATTAAAGAGAGAGGAATTTTTAAGTTACTTAAATCATTTATATTTAATCCTTCTTTTTCTTTTCTGCTCTTAACTTTCCAAAGAGCATTTATAAATAAAGCTTACAAATTAGCTCCATATTTACTCAAATCAGATTTAAATATATTCTTCACATTAACAACTCTATTTTTAGATTTTTAAATAATATTAAAGCATGATAAAAAATTGCTCTGGCTTCATATCAAATTTGATTTAATTATGAATTAATTTATTTTTCCATTTGTTTATTCATTCATTCAAGATTTTAATTAATTCAATCTAGTTTAATAAATTTCTCAAAATTAGAAATCTAAGAATAAAATACAAAATAAAATATTACTTGCATTTGTTATCTGTTTCTGAGGCTGACTTTAAAGGAATTTTATCATTTCTCCACTTAAGAAGGAGAGAGAGTTAATTGTCAGGGGATCTTTAAATTATAAATGAAAAAATAAATACTTTTTCAAATTGCGAAAGATGGCATTCATAAATGCTAATATAAACTGACAAATCTTAAGCTTGTTTTTTTTTGCATTTTTAAGGATGAATTTAAATAACTATTTGCTTTCTATTTTTCTTTCTTTCTTTTTTAAAGTGAACTAAAAATAAAATGTAGAACTATGAGTAAGAGTTTTCAAAATTTCACTATGAAACACGCATATCTTTCTAAAAACGCATGCTTAAATGCTAAAGCATCCATTTTAGAGTATAAATTCGTATTTAACGAGTTTTAAATAGTGAAATAATTAGGATTACGTAGGGCAGGGAGTCATGGGTATTTAAAAAATATAAGAAAAAACTAAGGGGAATTAAATAATAGTATTAGCTTATGGAATGTCATAATAAAAATAACATAAAAAGATAAATACAAATTTTTTTTGCGAGGGTAGGTTTTGCGTGGTCCTAAAGATTTAGAGCGCCCTCTTGCGTTAGAAACCCTAGAAGGTGTCTTACTGCGAGAATCGGCCTTTTTCAATGGCTTTCTGCCCCTCTTTTTGGAGCGAGAACGATTTCTGGCGGGTTTATTATCCTTTTTAAAAAGAAAGAAAGCAATTTTGTATGGGCTAATTTGGTAATTTATTGCTTGAAGAGAGAAAAAAAAGAATAATTACCTCTTCTAAATCATCAAAAAAGTCTTCGAGCTTACCGTTAGAGAGCTATAAGTAATCAACCCTGTTTATTTACAAAATTTATGTTCAGGTTCACTAAAAATAACATGTTTTAGTATTATATTTGCAAAATTTGCTTATTATAACGATATAATTTTTTGTTTATTGCGCCATATCAATATAAAAAGAAGTAGTGACACAGACAGTGCTTTTTCACTAGCTTTTTCCTTTTTTTCTTGCGCTAAAATGGATTTTAAAATGCTAAGAATTGAATTTTGTAATATATCTGCAATCTAATTCTATTACTTCTTGGATGCTGTTCTTGTACTTAACCTTATTGGTTCCTATTCCTATTTTTTTGGTGCCTTTTGTATTATATTATAATTATTAAAATCACTGCAAAATATATTATTAATTACCATTTAAACTGATTTGTTATTGATTTTTCTTTCTTTCTTTTAAAAAATCAGAAATCTTTCTTCTTATTGTTATTTTTTTATTTCTTTTTACTATCATTCTCACTCACTCACTAACTCTCTTTCTTTAGATTATAATCCGCCTTTTCTTTCTAATTTGCTCCAATACATTCATATTCGCGCACAGTTTGTTTTTTTACAAAGAAATATTCTTCATTCATATTTTAGCTCATTATTTCATTTAAACTGGTTACCATTTATTAGTAAATAGAATACATATTATTACTCTTTATTTTATTTTATTCAAGAAAAAAAATAATTTAATTAATTGATTTGCTGGAATCAATGGTTAAGTATTATAATAATTGCTGGAATCAAGAGTTACATATCTTACATTTACTTGCTTAAAAATACAATAAAATGGAAGAGTTTCAAATTTAATCACTTTTATAATAGATATGCTTTTAATTTAGTTTTTTTAATAATTATTATTGGGGAGTTTATAAAAGATAATATTTTAAAACCATTTCATATTCTAAATAAAATTTTATTTTAATTTTTTTTAAAAACATATGAAACATATAAAAATACCTTCTCCATCACAAAAATAATTATTTAAATTAAATCATAATGAAATGCCTTTATAATTTATTAATTTTATATGAAAATATGAAAATATTTATTTATTTGTAACATTTGCTTTAGAAATTAGTAGTATTTTTTTGTAAACAAAATTAAATTTATATATCACAAATCCCTTCTAATTAATTAATTAATTTATATTTTTATTATTAAAATTTAGCAAACATTATTTTTTTATACATACATTATAAATTAGCAACTATTTACGAATTCTAATATCTTAGATGAAATTATATAAGTAAATCATGATATTTTATTTATGCTTTTCTTAAATTTTTAATAAATTAATCTCTACTTTATAGTAAAATTTATTGTAACAATCTAAACTGTAAAAACAATCAAATTACTTGCTATTAAAGTATTATGTACTGAGTTTTTAGGTTAAAGAGAAGTATTATTAGAGCATGTGCAACATATTATAAAAATACAGATGCGAGTTTAACCAAAACTCATCTTAAGCAAGCTGAAATAATTATATAGTTACACTTAATAAATACACAGTATTCACTCAATATCTCTTGCTATTTTTACAAGAACATTATGACGTTAAAATTTACAACTTGAAAGGAAAAATTAAAAGGAAGAAGCTAACTTAAACATGACCATTAACTTTGAATCCCTAAATTATTAAGTGAATGAATAACCAAAATTATTCAAATGAGTATTTGAATTACATTAAGTGGGAAAGAAAAATTTATTAAATATTTTTGTAAAAAATATTATTAATTTAAAAAATAATTGCTAAATAAAATAGTTTTTTTCTACATTCTATCAATCAATTATTTATAATTTTTACTTTTGACATTTTTATATCAAAATTTAGATATATTTTCTTAAAGATTTTAGGATTTAAATATACTTTTACTTATTTTATAAATTTATATTATTTAAGTAATTTTTTTTTTTTGAAAGTACAACAAATCTAAATTACTTACTATCAATCAATAACTTGGTATATTTAATAGTAAAATTATTTAAACATTTAAATTATATTTTATATTTATAGTAATTTTAAATGATCAAATATACTATTAAAAAAAATATTTAGAGGTATATTGTTTAAAGTTAAACAAAAATAATCAAAATGCTTATATGGTACTATCTAAAGCTTAAAAATAAATTAAATTTTATCTTTATGAGCAATAGTTATGATATAACTAAAGAAGATAAACTTATAAATTAAATTACTATTGAGCTTTTGAAATAAGAGATTAATTCCTATTTTTAGAAAAATATTTTTAAAAAATAAAATTAATTATTGTAATTTTTTCATTTTGTGCATACGCTTTTTCATTTCAATTTCATTTTTTTTGTGGTTTTTAATATAAATACCAATTATTTAATAAAATGATTAATATAAATTATTCAAGATTGTTGAAAATTAAAATATCTTGTCATTTGAATTCCAATTTAAATAAATTGAATTTATTTTTTGATTTGAGTGTTTATTAAAAAACAAATGTATTTATTTTTAGTATTTGCTGTAAAATAAATTTTTATTTTTAATAATCATTATTTTTTTTAATTTAATAAATTTATTTTATTTTTTTTTGGATTTTAATATTAAAAAATGTAAAGTATTTGTCAAAAGTGATATAATTAGAAGCAAAATTATGCTTTTAATTTAAATAATCAATAATACTTTAATATAATAGTAAAAGAAAATAAATAATATAGAGGATTTATTTATATATTTGGATAGTTTTAAAGAATGTAAAATATTATAATGTATTAAAATGACACTGTTTAGAAATTTTAAGTTTTGAATTCAATTTAACAAATTTTTAAATTTAAAAATAGCAATTAAGAGGGAAATTTTATAATCTATATCAGATCAAATACTAATTAAATAGATAATAAATAGGAAAAATATTTATTATAATTAGTTAAATTAATTAATATTAATATTCTGTATCTTTTTAAAACTCAATACAATTAATCTAAGATAAAATGATTCAAGATATTCCTCAAGCTTAAGATTAAACATTAGAAAATGTATTTATTTCAGGAATAGATCCCTCTGTTACAGAAAAAGAATTATAAGGTGGATATTTAATCATAAAAATAAAGTGAAGCCATAAACATTTTGCTTTTGAATATTTATACATTAAACTTTATTGCTACTTTATGAAATATTTTTTACATGAGCAACGATAACTAAAAAACCTATTTATTACTTATCCCACATATTGCACATTTTAGGAAAATATATATCTTAAAGTTTTTGTGCAGAAGGTTGTGTTATTTTTTGTTAATATTACCTTATCTCGTAATTTTTTAAAGAAATCAAATTTTAAGTAGCAACTGTTTTTGTAAATATCAATGCAAATGTTTTTCAGTCATGGCTAATGAATAATATTTAACGAAATAAATTGAAAATAAAATAGATTTAATTAGGTTTACAGTAGGATCACAACTACAAATTTCGATTAGCAAAATTATAGCTGCAGGATAGGAAAGACTTCTCGGAGAAGTAAAATGCAAGCTTGAAGAAGCAACTATTCTTCACCACAAGCTCAATAATACTCATCTCAAGAATTGCTTTCTTAAATTAGTCCCTTAATCTTGCATGAAAAGCATTATTATCCAAAATCTTCCTAAAGTATTCAATGAAAAGGACTTATTTAAGATTTTAAACGAACTTACTCCAAATTCTTTGAAAAGAATTATTATTGCAGATAATCCAGAAGTTGTTGGGTATGGAATTTTTTAAGCACAATTTATTAACCTTAATATTAACTTGGTATTATTTTAATAATATGTAAAGAGAAACAGTGGGAGTAGCTGTAGCAATATATCAAAATTATGAATTGGCATTGAAAGCTATTAAGGCACTCAAGCAACAAGGCGAATTATTTAAGTGTAAGATAGATGTATGCTGGAAAGAACCTGATTTCGATATAATCAAGGAGCTTTCGATGCAAACAAAAGTTCTTTGTGTTAAGAATATATCTTCATGCACAGAAACAAGCAAAATAAAAGATGCTTTTTCAGTTTATGGAACAGTAGTTAGAATTTAGAGATACTCAACACATGCTTTTGTTGAATTTTTAAATATAGAAAGCGCTAAAAATGCTTTAGCTGCTTTAAGTGATAAGAGGTTTGAAGGTGGAATAATATGGCATATCTACCCAGCTAAGAAGTTAGATATTGAAAGGTAAAATAAATATATTTTCATTTATTTATTTAAAAATTTACTTTTCTACTTTAGAGAAATATGAATTTAAATTAATTAAAATATATTTTTTAATAAAGACAATACGAAGATGTTGATAAAAACAGAACATTCTCAAAAAATTTTTTACCTGAAACAGACCAATAAATTTTAAGAAAGTTTTTATTTGACGGATAACTCCCTGCCCTAGATAGCAAAGTAAGCTAAACTGCATCAAATTTGCTTTAGCACATTAAAAGTATGCAATAAAATATGATAAACTCGCTTTAAATCAAGGCAGACACATATAGATAGCTTTAAAATAGCATGAATCCTCAGTAAAACAATAACAATAATAATAACAATAATTTGAATAACTTGCCAATTTAGTAATAAATCCCTGTTTAAAACATGATGAATATGTAAGGGGCAATGAATATGAACTAATTCTAAATAAATCCAATCTAAGCAAGCAGTAATAATAATATTAATATGAATATGGGAATGTAATAATAGTGGGGTATGAACTGAAAAAGAGTTATTAAAGAAATTATTTATTTACTATTTTAATTTTAAAGTAAACAGTATTTATTAATTCAATACTTTATACATTTAATAGTATTATTTTATAGAGTTGAAACTTAATTTCCTCTCATTAATTATCAATTGCTTGATTTTTGCTAATTTAATTAAAAAACAAAATTAAAAAAAATTTCTAATTAATTTTTCATATAAAAAAAAAAGTAAATAAAAATAAAATTAAATTTATCTCTTTGATTATTTTTTAAGAGTCTACTTGCTTACTTTTATATTTATTAAATAAATTTATTGGTTAAACTTTAAAAAATATATAGGAGTATTTTTTTTAATAGTTAGCTTACCTTGCAATTAACTTGTGGGGCTGCTTAACCAAACAAAAAAAAAAATTAGTTAAGTGTAAAGCAGCATTTAATAAGAAAAGTAATAGACAATTTTAAAGTGAAAAATAATTTCTAAATTAAAAGTAAATAAATACTTGCATCGAATTTTTTAAAACAAATTCAAATAAATTCAAAACAATTTGTAAATTTATATTGCATCTTTGATTTTTTAAAAAGGAATTACAAATAAACAAAAACATACATACCATTGGTACTTATATACAGAAAATGAAAAACATTTGACTAGTGAATGAATTAATTTTTTAGCTGATTTATGAATTTATTAATGAGCGAGTAAAAGAGGTCTTAGTTCACTAAATAATTTTTTAGAATAATTCATAAAACAATAAACAATTTAATTAATTAAAGTAAAATACAAAATCATTACTCATAAATAAGCAAACAATTATTTTTTAATGCAAATTTTTTTCTAAGTTAGATATTATTAATTAATGAATTCATTTATTAAAATAGATTCTTATTCGATAATACTTTTATAATCTGTAAATTAAGTAGAGATCTTACAATTAAAGTAAGATATAAATAATTATTTTTCAAATTGAACTTTTAAGAATCTTAAGACGAATAAGTGAAATAATCATTTAGCTATGCCTTATTACGAAGTTCTTTTTTATGTAGAATTCATAGGAAGAAATGCTTTAGCGCTTTTAATGTTACTAGTCTTATTTAAGAGATTTAGCATGATGTAGCAAATGGGTAAATCTAGTATTGAGGTTAGAAATATAACACCAGCCTCTTACATGATAAGATTTTTTCTGCTTTTAAGTCATTGCATTTTAACGCTTTTAGAAATATTGCTTTATTATTCAACGGATGAGCTTGATGATCATCCATTCAATTTTTATAAATTTAGCTGGACTCAAGCATTTTAAATATCAATTTACACTTTTCAAATTTTTGTAATGAGAAAGGAGTATCGAAGATAAGTTTCTTATATGAAAATGCACTAAATCTATTGGATTTTAGACTTATTATTATATATTCTTCTATTCATTGCAGTAATAGAGAAGGTAATCACTTTTTCACTTGATTTAACCTTAAATTCTTACTAATAATAATTTTTAAGATTATTCGCTAGTTTATAAAGCTTGTATGTATTTTACAGCAAAAGTAAATTAGCTATATTCGCTTGAAAAGAGCATTAATTTTAAAAAAATAAATTACAGCTAATAGAAAAATAAATAAAATAGCAAGAAAATTTTATGTTACAAACTACTCAATCCATAAGAGTGTTTATAAATAAATAAGTCTTTTACTAAATATATACTACAATTTATTGATCTTTTTTAAATTAAAACATATTTTTCTAATTCGTAAAAGATGTCACATGAAAAGCTAACTCTCCCAATCTCTATTCTTGTAGTCAAAGTGCTTTTAGTAATATTCTCCTTTTTTGGTAATCAAAATAGCATGATGCTACTCGAAAAATCGTTTTTAACTTAGGCAACTAAATATCTTGTTGACTTACCCTCAACAACAGCTCGCAGTGGGATGAAAATTATCTCAACTTTAAACACACAGTGTAAGCAGAATCATTCATTTTAAAATAAAAAATTTAATAAAAGATAAACAATATGAATTAATATAAAAACCTCATTGGATACTGGTTTATATTACTAAAAGTATAAAATTTACATCCGAAAAATAATAACAAAAATTATCTTTAAAGAATATTTTAAGATAAATTTTTGGATAGCAATAAACAAAACAAAAAATATTTTTTTATTTTGAGTTGAAAATATTTTTTTAATTTGATAAAAATTGTTTTTTTGAGTTGTTTGTTGAAAAATTCAGATTTGAAAACTTTAGAAGAGTGAATAACTCATACGAATTTATATTAAAAGTTATTGACTGATTTTTATTACTTTAAAACATAAAATTTTTTAAATATCTAAAAAAAATTAATTTTTTTTTAATGGAAAAATTTAATTAGAGGATAAATCAGCTCATAGCCCAAAAAAATCAATAAAAAGTTCTTTTTCTATTCAGAAGGAATAGGATAACCGTATTAAAGTAAGAGTGAAATACTAATTTGAAATAAACAAAAAAGGAGAAGTGGAATATATTGTAGAATGCCATGACTACTTGAAACAGGGAAACAAAGTTGTCATTAAAAAAAATATGCAAGAATTTCTGCAGCTGTAAAGGGATATAAATTCAATAAAAAACCCTTTGAATTTAACTAATTTTTCCTACGTATCTTCATAAATCTAAAATGAAACCCACAAAAAGAACTAATAAAATATACTAGAAAAAGAATTAGTGGCAAGAATCGAAGATAACTTGCCAACAATTATTTGTACAGATAGATAAATGCTTGAAGATAATAACTAAAACAATTTAGATGAACTAAAGATAGAAGAAAACGCTTTTAAGCAAATTCTTTCACTACAAAAATATTTAGATTACGTCACAAAAGAATTTTATTTCGAAGAAGCCTTTTTAGTTAAATTTTTAGGCTTAACTCGCAAGTAATACTATATTGAAGTCAGCTAACTTTAAGGTAAATACTCATTTTTCTCTCAAATATTATGCTTAATGCTTTTTTAACTAATTAAAATAGCTTAAGATTGCTTTTACCAAAATGAAAACGAATTCATCCAATTCAAATAAGATTATCCAAAGCTTAAAAATACTTTATCCTTAAGTCTGATTACTAAAGTGACTCTCGAAACTTTAGGAAACATTAAGAATGACGGTGTAACTTATTATCAGCTAGTACTAAGGAAGTAAAAGTTAAATTCTGGTTTGTGTTTGCCTAGTTACAGTCAACCCTTAAGATACACAGATTTCTGCAATTTCTATAAAGCTTTATAAAAAGAAATTTTCCCTATAAGACTGCCTGAATTCCCTCCTAAATCTTTACTTAATGACAAAGAAACTATGTATTAAAGGAAGCATTAATTGCTAAAGTTTTTTAGTATTATTTATAATGAAAATATTTATTTCTGTAAAACTCTATTTAGCTTTTAAAACTGCTTTTCGGATTACATGGTGCAGCAAGCTTAATAAATAAATAACGATCTATTTTAGTATAGAGTTTAGCTTTTAGGAAAGTATTTGAATTCGTCGAAGTAATTCCTGTTCAGATTATATCCTAAGCGCAAATAAGCACAAACATTTTATATAGTAAAAAGGTAAAAAATTTTTCTTTAAATTTGAAAAAGTAAATTAATATATAAGCAATCAAAAAATTTGAGTAACTTTTTTAGTAACAAAAAATATCTATGTGTAATTGTTTTTTTAACATATAAAAATAAATAACTTTTAATATAAATAGATTCAAAGACATAATCAACTTGCACAAAGATTTAGAACTCTATTACACTAATTTACTATAATATTTAGTATAATAGGCATACTAGGAGTTTAAAGAAAAATAGTTGAATGTAGAGATAGACCCTTAGAATAATCCTCAGCTTTTAGAAGAAAAAAATATATTAAAAGAGATTAAAAAAACAATAAAAATACCTAACAAACCAAAAAATATAAACGATTGTGCTTAATATTTGTAAGAAATATTAGATTGCAACATCTACCACAAATGTATAAGTTTTAGACAGTTTTTATTCAGATTTGAATATTTAGAAGAAATGCTGAATGAAAACGCTAATTCGTCGGTATGCTTTTCAAATAGGGGACAGTCGTATGAAGATGAAAAAAATTTATGAGATTGAAAAAGGAGAAGAAGAGTAGCATAAATTTACTTTACAAATATATTTATTTATAATAAATAACTACCTAAATATATAAAAATAACAACATAACTAATCATAATAAAGTTCATTTTCTAATTTATAATTTACTAAAAAGTTTTTGTTACTACACTTTAATAATTAATTAAATGAAATTAACATATTTATTATTAATAATATGAAATTAACATTTTTATTTGTTTGCATGATGTATGAAGAAAGAATATGAAAAAGATTTTAATTAACAAAATACTTAAAAGCAACTATTCATTTTAATATATTTCAAATACATTTATACAAATTCTATTATTTATTAACTTTTTTATATAGTTTTTTGCTAAAATAATTTATTTATTTATTTATCATTTTATTTTACCATTTTATTTTTTTATTTTTTATAGAACTAAAAATCTTAAAGCAAGATCTAAATTTTTATTATCTTATTGAAAAAAGTATCTTTTTTATTAAACTAAAACCTTACTTATAAATATAAAAACTAATTGTAAAATGATATATTTGTTAATTTTCAATTTAATAACACTAAATCTTAAACGTAAATTTTGAATATATCTATCTATATATTATATGAAAGGTTTGCTTGAATTAGATTTGAATTAATAAAATATATATACATTTTATTTACATTTTAAAAATATTTAATATATTTACAGAATAGAATATTATTAAATTTTTATAATAATTAATTATTATTTTAAATTAATTTTATATTTATAGTATTTTTATTTATTTATTGACTTACTGATTTTTAATAATGTAAAAGCTGAAAGCAAATTTATAGAGCTTTTTATTTCTTCTTAAGAAAAATTCAGTTTTTAATTTAACTAAGATATTTACTTCTTTAGATTATTCGAAAATTATATTTTTTTGTACAAAAGAATAAATTTAGTTTAGTTGAAATTACTTTTTTTACCTTTTAATAATTTTCTAAAATTTGAGAAAGGTAGCACATTTTCAATTTTCCTCATATGAATAGTTATCATAGTTGTTAAAATGATTATTCATCATCATCATTTTTTGTTACTGATTATACATAAACTAATTCCCATAATTATCCTAATAATCAAAATTTTGGTCATAGTTATTATTATTGTAGTTGTTGTTGTTGTTTAAATTATTGTTAAAAAACTATCTTTATGAAAAATCTTCTGATTTATTTAATTTTGTTTGCCTTTTTTATTGCTACACACCTTCTTGTCTGTTTTATTTTAAGTTGGTAGCTGTTCTAGCACTATTTAAATAGCCTTAAGTCTTTTTGTTTGAAAGGCTGCGATTTTATTATTATGTGTTAGTTGTGTTTTTTAAGTTTCTATTTATGTTATTACTACTCAAGTTCTTATTTGGTGTTACATTTTTCTTTGCTAAATAAGAATTACTTGGGCTTTGGATATTAGTAAATGTTTTGTTAGAAAAGCTGCCAGCTTTGTATTTAATAGATTAACTAGATTATTTAGAAACAGGAGAATACATTTGGGTGGTTTAATTAATAGAGTATGATTTATTGTTATTACTTATTGTTGTTTTATCTAATCCATTATTACTTCTTGCAGTTTTCATTTACATAGCTAATTCGGCATTTCTTTATTCTTTATTAAATTGCTACTTAGTTGTCTACAATTGTAGCTAATTTACCTAATTTTATTTAGGTTTTCCAGCTAATACTCTATTTTATTGCTAATTATTTTGAAATCTATTATTAGGTGATAGTGTTTGGTTATTATTATTCTTATTGTAAGGAGATCTGCTTTAATTTTAATAATTATTTTCATTTCTATTTTACTAATTTACATTTCTATTTTACTGATTTACATTTCTATTTGTTTTTGGGATAGTTTTATTTTAAGCTTGACTACTGTAGTCATTATTCATTAAGACCTCTGGAGAGCTTTTACTTTGATGATGATCATATTATTCTATTTGTTAAATTATAAAAATTAAATTAAATATTAAATTTTTAGAATTTTTTACAGCTCATATTTTCTTCTAGGAGAGGCAAGAAATTCTCAAAATAAGTGTATAAAAGTCTTAATTTTTAAAAACCACAAACTGTCTAATATTTGATTTTCTCTACATTTTAAGGAAAATCATCAAAAAACTCTTAAGTAGTAACATCTCCAAAGATATCATTTCCTTCATTATCGTATTTAACAAACTCAATTAAATCATTGAGTCTTCCTTTTAAAATCACAACTAAATTCTCATGTTCAATTTAAGATAAGTTAGTATTCTTTCTTTAATTTTAAAGCTACTTTATATCATTTAAAACTTACTGAATTTCCATTTTTTAAACTTCTTAGCTGTGATCACTATTAATACTTGGTCTTTTATTTTAGTTAAGATTTTACTATTGTTGCTGGGTATATTGCTACTGAGGCTATATTTATTGCAATTGCTATTACTATTGCTATTACTTTTGTTATTTTAGATTTTCTATTTTAAAATCAGTAATTTCTTGATCTAAAATTTCACTATATTTATTGTTACTACCATTTGTTTAGTTATAATTTATGTCATTTATACTAGGATCATATTAAACGCTTTGATCAGACATTTACTTTTCAGTTTTTTCTTTTTGAATTTGATTTCTTCCGTTTTGATAAGTTGGATTATTTGAAATATCTTATATGTGTTATTCATCATAGTAATTTGTTTGGTTGTTCCTACTACTTAAACTATAATTAAGATTATTTGTATTCTAGTTAGTTATATTTTGGTTGCTTTGATGCAGCACGTTCTTGAAATTTGCAATTTCTATGCTTGTATTGTTTTTAACTTATGTCCCATATTAGGTTGTATCATTCTATTAAAAATTATTTTAGCCCTCTTTTTTTATTGTAGAAGCTTCTTACTGAGCTGCTAATTTGCTTAATTAGTCTGGACTTATGCCATCTCCTACGATATTAAGAATGGTTTCAAAATTAATCTCCTCTGGCTTATTTTATCAAAAAAATTAATTATTAATAATCAAAATTTTTTATGTTTTTAAATTTATTTCATTAGTAAAAAATTACTGAAAATTATGGATCTTCACTCAATAGAATTAAATTTTTTGGTTTAGGAGTAACAAAATTGTGTTATTTATTCCCTGATACGAATTAGTCCTCTATCGAATAACTTATGTTTCTTGCAGCTTCTCTTGCTAAAGGAGAGATTTAATTGAAAATCATTTCATTTTAAAGCTTTTGCTGTGGGCTTGAATAATTAATGCGCCCTCCTAAAAATGTTTCATAATGATCTTTTTATAATTATTTAGGAAGCTTTAAACTGTTTCCCTGATACATCTGGGGTAACAGTAAACCATCTATATTATTTTTAAAAGCAGTAGTAGGTATAAAAATATTTTGATCCTCTTCTTTCATCATTTAATCAGGTAAATCCTAATTAAAAAAAAAAATTACAAATAATTAAATAAATAAAAAAAGCTAATTAAAAAAATTAAGTTAATAAATACCTTAATTTTATCAATAAATGCTTCTGAGTAGTCAGATTAGATAAATTAATCTATTTAGGAGTCTTGATTATTAAAATTTTTGATTGGTTTCCACTTATTGACTACTTGATTCTACTTCTATGACTTATTTTGATTCAATTAGAAAAAATCAAAATTTTTTGCTAAAGGGTCTGCTTTTCTTTTAGTGTCCTATTTTTAATCTTCCAAAATATCCTAATAAAAATTCATGTCTTATTCTCTTTCTGGCTACTTAACAGAATTCTTTTCAAGGAATTTATCCATTAATTTCTGACGGATATCTTCTTCTTATCTTGAGAAAAAATTTTAATAAGGAGTTATCAATGAACTGCTATTGTTTTAAGTTTCACTTTATTCCTAATATTTATTTTCATTGCTTTTATTTACTAGAGCATCGTCTTACTTTTGGTTCAAAAAACTATTGTTTCTGTTTTAAATTTAATCGTTTTTCTTAACTTTAGAATAAATGTTTTCAGACAATTGTAATTGCTCATCCAGAGATTCTTAATATTATTTTATTTGTTTCTATTAAATAAATAAATAAATAATAATTAATTAATTTGTTAATGTGCCTAAATAATTTATTGATAGAACAAATAAATAAAGATTTACCTAAACTTATTCATTTAAAGTAGGGTCTGATGTTTCCAAATTTATGCCTACATACTATTAAATTAACGGAGTTGCTTTGTCCACTTTTTTAACAAATAAATGATAAATAAAAATGAATCAATCCTTTATTTTTTTGAGTCAAATAAAAGGAAATTTAAATTTAGTTTTAGGTTTTATTAACAAATTAATTACATAACTATTTATCTAAAATGATAATTCCTGGCTACTTGAATTTTCTTTCAGTTATAGTAGAAGATTTATTTGTTGCTGATATATTTAATAACTCTTGCTAAATAGTTTCAAAATTTACAGGGGCATTATCTATTTAAAAAACTGATTCTAATTATGATTTATTTTTAGCGCTATTCTGTTGTTGGTTCATTATCAATTTTTCTTCTTTTTGTTCATTCTCTTTCTAATAATTCATTAAAACTTAAGATTAATAAGCTATGGAGTTTGGTAACCCACTTTATTTAATTTATGAGAGCTTTTATCTTCTTTATATACCACCTTTAAATTTATTTTTAAAAGATTTCAGTTAAAAAACTAAATTTTTAGAAGGCTAAAAAACATGATTAACATTAATATTAAAATTAATCCTTAAAGATATGTTAAACGTTAATAAAGATAAAATACTCCTCTTTATTTGCTTGAACTCATCATAATTATTAATTTCTTCTTTTTCCTTATTCTCTTGATTCTAAGGAGCATTCATTTAAGATTTCATTAACAAATTCTAGAATGGATTCTCTATAAAAATAATTTTTATGTTCTTAGCTAATATGACTTATATATTTAGTTATTTTAGTTTTAATATTAAATTATAATTTATGATTGAATATTAATCAATCAATCTTTTTACTTACTTATTAACAATTATAAAATCTCAATTTAATAATTTTAGAAAAAAGTAAATTCCTTTTATTGAATTAATTTTTTCCTTTTAAATAACTCTATTTTCGAAATTGCACATAAAAAACAATCGAAAATAGATATTTAACAACAAATAAATATTTATATTATTTATTTACCTTAGAAAAAAAATATAAAACTTATAATTAACCATTCATATTCAAACAATTCTAATGATTAACCTACAAAGCTTACAAATTTATTTGCTTAACAATAGCCAGAAAAGAAATTTTATTAAAATTATTTTAATTATTATTTTTCCTATTCAAGTTTTAAAGTTAAATTAATTTAAACATCCAAAATAAATTGAGGCAAATATTTTTATATTTATTTTTTACAAGTATATTTTTTTTAAATATATTTTTATTGAAGAAATTTCAATAATATTTATAAAATTATCAATCCATAAATCTAATTTATTACAAATAATTATTTATTAATTAAATGAGCTAATTAGTTTGTGTTATTAGATGAAAATATAGTATAAATTTTTAGAAAATTTGCTTATAGACTCTACTAATTTAACTAGAAATTTTAATTTTTTTTAAAGATATATTTTCATTAAATTTAATCAATTTAGTAAAATTGTATAAAGAATAAATTAAATAGGGATGATAAAAAGCTCATTTGTTAAGAGTGATAAGAATAAAGCTAAGGATGATTTAAATAAGGCCTTTTTTGGTCATGCTGAATTCGATGCTATTTTTTCTAACTCAATAAAAAAAGGAACAACTATTTTGATAGAAGAAGATTATCCTACTTCAATGCATGTTTCATTTAATAGATATTTTGTAGGATGTGGTTTTCATTTAGAATAAAATTGTTTTGTTTATGATGTCTTCCCAAAAAGATGGTATGATATGATTCCAGTTAAGAGCACTAGCGAGGAAAAAAGAGAGTAAGAAAAGTTAGCCATATCCAAGTAAAAGGAAGAAAATAAAATTGCTTGGAGATATAACCACATGACCATTAAATTAAAAGAAGAGGCCCTCTCAAAGGACATTCCACGTTTAGATCTTAGTCGTAATGTTGCAGATAAAGAAAAAGTCAAAAACTTATTAATTTCTAAGGATATAAATTAATTTGGCAATTTGAAAGAACTTTTGGATGATATTTGCAATTCTCTACAAAACTCATTTTCAAGTGAAAACGATACAAAATTAAAGAAAATTTGTATCACAAACTTATTTGGAAACTTCTCAAAAATTAAATACACAGATTAAGAACTTATAAAATTTTTATATGCAATTAAAACTATTACAAGAGCTTCTCATATGCTTTTAGTTTTAACTATTCCTCCTACTATATCAGAAAAGCTTAAATCTCTATTCTATATGAATTTTGATTTGGTTATTAAGCTTGAACCACTCTTTGAAAATACTGAATTCCTTGATTTTAATGGAATGCTCCATATCCTTAAATATCCTCAAATAAATAATTACTTAAACTTCAAACTAGATACTTTAACATGGGGTCTTAAAGCCTCTTCCAAAAAAAGAATTGAAATAGAAAAACTTTATCTACAACCACCAGATCAAGATAACATTAATGCTGATAATGTTTATAAAGAAGAAAATAAAACTCAAACTATTATATGCAGTAACAAGCCTTCTGGAAAAACAGATCTCGATTTTTGAAATAATTTTATAAACAATTCATTAATTATATTTTCATTTAAAAAGTGTTTTTAAATATTTATCTATACAACATTAGTTAATTTGTATTATTTTTCACATAAAAAATTTCGCTAAACTAATTGTCTTTTGATCATAGAATTTATAGCCAAATATAATTCCCTATGTTTTGTTTAATTCTTCAATTTATTACTGATTTTTATGAGCACTTTTAAAATGAGCAAAAATCAATTCTCACATTGTATTCTTTATTTATTTAGTTATTATTTTGTTTATTGAATAAAAAATTATTTTTTTTAAATTAATTCCTTTATTTTCTTTTAAAAGACAATTTTAATATGATTTAAAATTTTAATAGCCTTTAAAAATACTTTAGTTTATTTTATTTTTTTAATAAAAGTTAATTTTTAATTGATTAATGCAAACTCAGATAAATTATTATAAATTTTATTGAATTTAAGGTACAAAAGTAATTTATTATATTTTTGAAATATATTTTTATTTACTTTTTATAAAAAAATAATAATATTTTTAAATTAATTTTATATCAAATAGGAGATATGTAATACTATTAACTAACTAAGTAGTTTTTAATTTAAAACGGATACAAAATATAAATTCAATATAAAATTTTAAATCATTAAAAAAAGCTTTTTTAATTATTTAATAAATCAATTAAATAAAAGCAGTTTTTGAAATTTCTACTTAAAATTAGCAAGATGAATGATTAAGAAGATGTATAAGGACTTTTGACCACTGATGAATCTCCAACAAACTAGCAAGAATTTTTCTAGTAAAGTGATTATGTGTAGTAGCGAGGTTCATTTTAAAATACATATGCCTAGCGAGGTTATGGACTTTAGCGATTATCTACTATTGAAGAACATTAGAATGAAGATGAATTATAAGAGTAAGAAAGAATAAAAAAAGTGATAAGTACATACACTTATGTGATAGTTATTTATTTAATAGTTATAATAGTATTTGCATTAGCTTTCTTTTTGAGTGATGATTTTAGGAATTCTTTTATTGAGTTCTTTTTAAACTTTAAAAAGCCTACACCAAAAAATTTAGTGATCCTATTTTTTATTGGTGTAATTATTAAGATTACTGGCTTCCCTATCTCTATTTATGAATTAACTGTCGCATATATTCAATAAGATTTTATATTATCTGTGTGCTTGTTAACTTTAGCTAAAACAACAGGATGCTATGTTTCATTCTTAATTTCAAGATATAGATTTTCTAAAGATGCTCTGTTTTGGATATAAACAGTGAAGGAACTAAAAGTTATAGATGTTTCTGTTTAAAAATATCCATTTAAGATCTCTTTTTTAGTAAGATTTATGTGGCTACCGATTGTGGTTAAAAATTACGGTCTTGGATTATTTAAAATAAGTTCTATTTAGTTTTTAATACCAACAATGTTGCACACTAGCATAAAGTCATCATTTTTAACTTATATAGGAATAAATCTTTCTAATTTTTATGATATTGTTTCTGGTAAAACCTTAGCTGATAATATTTATATAAGAATACTACTTATATTGCTAGGTCTTATACTATTTGTAATACTCTTTTTTATTTGTAAGAAAGAATACAACCTACTTGAAAAGGAATATGAAGAAAAAGAAAATGAAAGAAGAAGATACTCCAACATCACATCAGATGTGTCTTCACAAAATAATACTTAAATATCTGGCTAATAATAGCAATAACAACCAAATTAATAAAATTGAATAAATATAATAAATAAGCTATTAAATATAATATAAACAAAATATTGATAAAGCATTTACAGTTTATAAATCTATTTATAAAATTTATACCCTTTAATTAATTATTTATCATTATTTTAATGATTTTAATTAAAATATTTTGAATTTAAAAGTTAATTTAAGTTAGAACAAAATTGTTTTTAAGGTTAATTTTTATAATAATTAAAGTAAAAATCAATAAAAGTAATTAATATCTTTTATTAAAAACATATGTTTTTTATTTGTAAATCATTCAGTATATGGATGTCTTCAGTATTTGAGGTAGTTAACATTCTATTATAATTTAAAATAATTTTTAGAATAAAAATCTTATATTAAGTTATTTAAATACTATAAAACTTCATCAAATAAATAAAAAAAAATTAAAATATTAAAATTTTAGTAATAGTTAAAAAAATTTTTGATTTTGGAATAGATTATATTAAATTATTAGTTAATAAGAATTTACATTTTATCAATTAAAATTATTTTGTTAACAAAATTAAATAAAATTTACTTTAATCTAAGATTTTTTATAAAGCTTAAAGTTGATACATTTTTTTCTAGCGACTATTCATCTCATCATTATATAAATTAGAATTTAATTATTTTATTTCTTTTGAAAGCTACTGGACACTTTAATTGACTGATATTGGTTCTTCTGCTTTTTATAATTAGTACATTTATGGTGTATTACTTTCTTTGTTTCGTATCGGTTTTTTATTTGTGACAATAGAGTTTTATGAATTATTCAAATTAATAGATTTATTTATATCATTATTTTGGTAGTATTACTTATGAAGACTTAGCTAATTTTTATGTATTGATTGCTTACTTTCTACAGAACTACATCTGCTTTTAGCTTATATTGGAGAGGCACTATCAAATTATTAATGCTAAAGTGGCAACCGTGGGTATTAATATTATTTTTAATATAATGAAGATTTATTTTATTATTTTTATGCAATAATTTATTTAATATGTTCAGATTTTTATGATGGAGGTGATGATTATATAGAAGGGATAACTTATTGTTATTAAGATTATCTTAAAGAAATGGAATTCTAGTTCAAACTTGAACTTCCTTTGTGATTATCATTCAAGCCTTTACTTTATATTTCTACAGACGGATTTAATAGTTAAGATGGTATGCTTATTTGTTAATTCATCATATCACTTATATTACTTGACGATATATGAGAAATGTATTTATTTTTTCTTTGACGGTGGTATTAATTAGGTTGTAAAATTTCTGACTAAGAAGTTATTTAATTTGTTGTAGCTTAAGTAGATTCCGTTGTTTCGTATCTTGCCTGAGGCAATTTATCTTTTAACCCACGTAAAGACTTCCCAATACGAATTGTGCTTATTAATTCAGATTACATTTTTTGTTAGAAAGGAGTAAGAGAATCTGAAAAGAAATGCTGCATATCAGCCATTCTTTTTTTAATCACAGAAAATTTGAGAATTTCATCACAATTAGGACGCTATTCAGGGTTTACCCTTAATAATTAAGCAATGAAGAGGTTTAGCTCTTTGCTAAAGTGAGAAGGAATAGGATCGTAGACACCTCTTTATACCTATTGATTATAATATTTATAATAAATTATTATAGAAGTAGATCAAATAAATAAATATTGAATAGCTATGAAAATAAAAATTCAAAATATAAATTTGTCGATTCTTTTCTTAATTTATTTATTTATTTCTTGCTTTAAAAGTTTTTAAAGATCAAATAGATCACATAGATAATAGATTGATTAATGTATTCTATATTTTCATCCCACTAGCAAACTTAGAAGATGCTTTTTTGATCAAAAAAAGATTGTTTAGTTAGATTAATTAAATTTTAATATTTTCTTATTGTAAATGATGCTTATATTTAGCTGAAATGCGATATTGCATATGACCATTTTTTTCTTCGATTTTTATCATTTGTTTAATATACTTTTTTTTTATTTTCATTCAATTTAATTTGGTTTTTGGCTCATAAATAAGAATAGATCAACAATAAACTTATTAAATGTGTTAATTTTAAAAATTATTTTTATTAACCTTTTTAAATAAGTCTTCCATATCTTTTCCCTTAAATGGTGGTTTCAGAGCACACATTTCATATATAACACAGCCCAAACTCCAAATATCACTTTTATTATTGTAAGGTTTATCTTTCCAAACTTCTGGAGAGGCATAGTAAGGAGTACCAGTTTGAGTATAAAGTAAACCGTTCACTTGTAGTTTTTTTGATACATTCAAGTCTCCCAACATAGCCCTTGTTTAATACTTATCTAAGAAAACATTAGCTGCCTTTAAATCTCTATGCAATATATTTAAATCATGTAACGCTTTAATGCCTATGGTCATTTAAATAGCATATGACCAAATCATATCTTCCTCAATATATTTACCTGCTTTTGAAGCATGACGAATAATTCTAGCTAAATCGCCTCCCTCCGCATATTCCATTATAACACATAATTGATTGACTCCTTCATCATAAATAGCTTATTTGTAGCTGATTATATTCCTGCAGTTAATTGAAGCCAAAAATCTCACTTCATTTACTGCGTTTTCCCTTTCTTTTTCATTTAATTTCATCATCTTTATTCTTTTCAAAGCATATTCTTTTCCATCCTTTCCACGTCTAACTCTATACACAGTACTAAAAGAACCTTCGCCTAATTTGCTTAGAATTTCAAAATCTTAGAGTTCTTCGTCATGGAAATAAGTATTACCTTAGTGATGCTAAGGACTTTACTGTAAACTACTTGTGTTATTAGAATTATTTTTTGGATGTTACTTTACAAGTGGCTGCTACAGAGATTGCGATTATTAATTTATAAGATTATTTCTGTAATTTGATACCACTTATTAAACAGCTTCAGCTGAGGCATTTGATGCATGCTATAAAAATTAATCATCTAAAATCGAAGAGCTCCTTAGAGGATTACTTTTCTTTTCCATTTAATTTTGTTATTACTACTATGGAGAGGATTATAAAACAGATTAATTATTAGGTTGCAGGCTAATTGATCTATGATTTTAATGGGGAGGAGGTGTTTTAACTTAATCAGGACTTTTACGCTTATTCATGCTATTGTTACTCGAATTGTAAACTATTTATTTATTCTTTAAACCAATCTATCCGGTTTCATCTATAGATATTTCTCTCTTTTTTGAAGGAGATCCAATATCTTAAACACTGTTTGCATTGATGTTTGGTAAATCCATTTGAAAGAATTCACAAATCGCTAAAAAAATTATGTATTTATTTTACTTATTAATTATACTATCCAAAAAAATTATTGAATAATATTCAATTATTTATTTTATAATGCAAAAATTTATTTACTAAGTTTTAGATAATAAATTAATGCAATGTATTTTTATTCATCAAAATATTGATAAATTTTTGACTAGTGGATAATAATACTTATTTTTATTTTGACAAAACTACTTATTATTAATGTAAATACCTACTTATCTAGAACTTGATTATATTTTAATTTTTCATATAAGTGCAATCTTACATCAAGAAATACTTCTATTTAATTGATCTCCTTATAAAAAATAATTTAGTTTTACTTATAGTTAATCTATTACTATAATTACTCATTTTTTATTTGTAACAAATACATAAAATAATCATTAAATACATTTTGCAAAGTCTTCAATTATTTGATAATTTAGATTTATTAAAATTAATTTTTATTTCTTTTTTTGTTTCAGGTTTCTGGACAATTTATTAATTTAATTTATAAAAATTTAGTTATAGTAATGACATAATATAGGTCAATTACTCTATATACTGAAATATAGAAGAAATAAATATTTAGCTGAGATTTTAAGCCAATCATACAAAATATTTTGCTTTGATAATTGAAATAATTAATAATTAATTAAAAATTTAACATTTATTCAAATACTCTAAGAATTTTATTTATTAAATTGATAAAAAATAAAACTAAAAAATTTTAAATAAAAAAACATTTTTAAATATTTAAGCTATTGAGATTAATAAAAATCCCAAGTAGTTTTTATCCTTTATATTTGAATATTTATTTTTCTTTAATAGGGATTTTAAATTAAAAATCAATCCAACGATGAAAATTTATAATTTTGGATACTTTAAAATTTTAATAAATATATTTAAGTTAACTTAATTAAATTATTTTAAATTGCTAATATAAAAAATTAAAAAGTTTTAAATTAGTTAATGTATTTTATTATAACTTTTTATTAATAAATCTAAAAATATTTTTATAAATTAGCATTTCATTTTTTAAATGTTTATCATTTACTCTCTTTAAAATCTTAAATTTATCTGTCCATTTATTTATTTAAATTATTATAAAAAATAATTGAAATCTAATAACTAAAATTAAATTTATTTTAGTTAAGCTAGTGTTAAATGTTAATTCTTTTTATAAAATAATGCTTATCCAATAAACTTAACTCTAGAATTATTTAAGTGAAGTTATTTTTAAAATATATAATAAGTTTATTTTTATAATTATTATAAAATGTTTTGTTTAAAAATTCATATTATAAAGAGATAAGTAAAAGAATAATTCTTTGCAGATAATTTATAATAAAAAGAACCAAAATTATTTATAATAATTAGTAATAGTTTTGAGTTTTTAATATAAGTAATGAAAATAAGCTTAAAAAAAAAAACTTTAATGATTAGTAAGTATTAATAGCTTTTCTGATCTGCATCCTTCAGGTTATTTACATTTTGACTTGTGATTTAGATTAAATCAAAATATTAAATATTATTTTTCAAAAATTAACTTTATGTTAAAAATTAATCTCAAGGGAAAATTTTATAAATTTGAAAGGTGAAAGTGAATAAAAATAATAAATATATCATCATACTTAATAATTTAAATTTTATGATTCTTTTTTATTATAGTAACTTATTACATATAAGCTATTAGGATTTGTTACTAATAATTGATTAAATTTGTCTTTTATATATTATTTATATATATATTTCTTTTATAAATTTAATTTTACTCTATCTAAATAAAAGTCACTTTTTATTGATTATTGATTTAGATTGCTTATTATTTAACAACTCTAGTCAAATGATTTAAAAATTTCTAATCACCTAAGGTCAGAATTATTTTTGACAAGAGAGAACTTTATTTTAAAAGAAAATACTAATTAAAGAAGTAAATAATTCATAAAAAAATTTAAGCACTAAAACAGAATTATAACAAAAAAAGAGATCAAATGGAATTAGAATAAATTAAAAAATAAATAAAGGGACTTTAGCCTTAGGTTTATTAAGGCTTAGATTAAGTTTTTTACCAACTAAATTTAGATAGCAGATATGAATAGCTAACTTATTTTTTGAACAATAAGGATAAAGTTATTCTTTTAGGAAGTAATAAAATTCAAAGCATAAAGGTAGCTTTAGAATTTTCTAAATTAAATACTTAAACTGAAATGTGCAATAAATTTAAGAGTATAATATTTTCAACAATTTTATTATATTTATTTATTTATTATTTTGAAAAGAACAAGATAAAACGATTCAAAAATTTTAAAATTTACCAATAAATGAATCTTTTTTTGTTAAAGATTTTAAGCTAGTAGAATACTAATTAGGTGAATGTAAATTCATTAAAAATAAACAACTTTTTATAAAATTTTTATTTAAAAATAGATGAATTCTCTTAAAGTGAAGTAAAAATTTTAGAATAAACAATTTACTGTTAAACTTATTAAAATTTCTAATTTATAGGTAAAGAGCGAATTTATTAATTTAGTTAACAGGTTAAAAATAGAGTGTTGGTAATTAATTAATATTTTTAAACAGATTTCTTAAACTAGCTCAAATAACATTTGTTATATGATGTTTTTTTTTTTAGAAATATCAAATTATGAATTATAAAAAATTATAAAAATAGTGATAATAAGGATAGATAATCCATTTTATAAATAACTCCAATATTAAAAACTACTAACTTAAAGAAACTAACTACAGTTTTCCAGTAAATTACTTTCTATATTCATATAAGATATTATAATGTAAATTTTAAATAGAACTGTAAAAAACTTTGAGTTTATAGACAAGATTTATGCAGAAATTTCTAAAGTTTTATCTTTGACTCATTTAGACTTTATCCTTTAGTAATCAATTATTTAAATTATTTTATTTATAAAATTTTAAAACTAAAAATTAGTTAGAGTGAAGTAAATTTACAAATAATTTTAGAACGCATAGCATCTTTGCTACTTTTAGAAGATTTAGGCATTAATTTGAGGTAAAAAATTTTTAATATATTTTTCAAAGAATGTTTAATTAAATAAATTGATTCAAAATATATTTTAAATAAAAAGCTCAGTAAATGTTTCTTCTAAAAGTTTATATGACTTTATATAAGGATTATAAGGTTTAGAAAGATTAAAATCTTTTAAGATATATCTAGAGTAACTTTAATTTTTTAATTTTACTAACAATAAATTACTAATTTATAGTGATATAGATTTAAATCAAAATGAAAATGGAGATGATAGATTATACTTTTTAAACAGTTTAAGTAAACTAAAACACTTAGAAAATTTAGAAATTAAACTTTTGTAAAACTTTATTATTTAGAATAATTTTTTCAACAGTTTATAATTATTAAAAGTTCCTTTAAATTAATCCCTGAAAATTATGAATCTTTTAGTAATCTAATTTTAGATCATAGTAAACTATAGTCCTTAAAATTGAATCTTTAGTAAAATTGATAAAATAAAAACTTAGCTAACTATTATTTAATAATAGTGGAAACTAAATAGGCTGCTCAGGTATAAAAAATATATCACAAGGAATTTCAAAATTATAAAATCTTAAAAGATTAGATTTGACATTTTGGTAAAATTCAAAAAAAATTAATTGAAAATAATTTAAATACCATAAAAAAAAGTTATGGTGAAATAAATGATGAAGGAATTATTATTCTAGGCAATAGTGTTTCTTAATGCCTACAGATATAATATATCTATTTATAACTTTCGTAAATTATTTTTTTAGAAAGTATTATGTAATTTTTTTAGATAAAACTAAATAGGAAATGACGGTTTTATCTAATTTGGAGAAAAGATAAGCAATTTAAAAAATTTAACAGAATTCGAAATATTTTCTTCGTAATTTTTTAATTTTAATAACGAAAATCCAAAATTTATTTATTAAATAACATATTTCATTAATTATTAGAGTAAATTAAATTTCCTCTTAAGGGTTAACTTTATTCACTCAATCAATAATGAAGTGTCCTAATCTCATTAATTTCGTTTTCTGTTCAACGTAAATTTTATTCTAAAAAAAATTAATCTAATTTTTTAAAAGATTTAATAATTTTAGAGTATAAGCCATTCAATAATCTCTTGAAACAATTTTAAAAAATAAAAAATTAATTAAAGTTTATCTTGATTTTAGGTAAATTAATTTTATATAAAATATAAATTAAATTTTATTTGATTTTTTTTTTTTTCAAGTAATGTCACTGAAGAATAATATGATTCAGCTCCTTTAAAAGGTGCTTTAAAAAAGATGTTCTTAAATAAATATTGCATAGAAGCTGAAATTTATTTATGAATATTTTTTAGTTGACCTATTGTTAAAACTCTATGTTATTTTCATATATTCTATTTTTGTAAATTGCAAATAAATATCTGATTTTTAAAATTGTTTAAAACTATCATTATAATCAATGAAAAATTGTTTTAAAACAGAAAATTATTCTTAAATATTTATATTTTAAATTAATTGATTACTCATAACTTAAAAAAATTACAATTTATTTATAAATCTTTTTTATATAGTTAGTCATTAGCGTTTATTTATAGGAATAGTTTGCATTTATATATGTGTAGATTATTAGTTGTTAGGTGGTAATTAGTAAACGTTGATTATTTTGTTTTACTACTCAGATTACTATCTTTTAATTTATTAAGATTAACTTTATTTTAAATTATTAACGTCAATTATTGATGAGCCTTATGCAGCTAAAGCCTGTTGCTCACAATTTTAAGCTATTTCATTGAATATTTACTCTAAGGTTGTTTAGTTAACCATGTAAGAACTTATATGTAGTTTTTCTTAATTTTCGTACATCATGCCAAATATTTCTCCTATTGTTTTTTTGGTAACTATTTAGACCTTCATAAAATTATTAAACTGCTCTAAGATATTGAAGTGATCAGTATTTTATTATAAGAACTGTAATATCTTATAGTTTAAATTGTATAAATAAATCTTTTCTAACAAAATTTATAGTTCTACTGAGTGGTTACCTTAAATCTCATAGAATATTTAAGCTGCAAATCCTTTTTCACTTATCTATTCACTAAAGTTTGTTTGGTTAATTTCTTTTAATATACCTTAAATATTTTCACCATTTACTTCCATATTTAAGTTTTTTCCTTTTGCTATTTAAGTTAATTCATGTACTGATGGAAGGTAAGTCTTAATATCAAGTTCATAGCCTTTTCCGAACTTATTTTTTAAGTGTTAAATACTTCCTAGGCATTAAAGGTTACCACTTACAACAATACCGACTTTTGTTCCTAGAGCTTCAGCTTCTTCCATCGAGTGAGTTGTAAGAATGATTGATGATTTCTTACGAAGGGTTGCAATACGACTAATAACATCCCACATAAAACGACGATTACCTGGGTCCATTCCTGTTGAAGGCTCATCCAAAAATACTATTGGAGGGTTGGCAAGCATTGCAATAGCAACAGAAAGCTTACGTTTGTTACCACCAGAATAAGTTCTGCTACAAATATGTTCAAATTTACGCAAATTCATTTCATCTAGTTTTTCATCTACAGCACGAGGTATCATTTCTTATGGAATACCCTTGATAGCTGCATAGAGCTCAAGGTGTTCACGAGCTGTCAAATTATCAAGTAGGGCATCAAATTAAGGACAGTATCCAATGTACTACTAAGCGATGGACATCTACTCAGGGATTTTAAAACCTTCGATGTATGCTTCACCTGATCCAATAGTCTCTTCGCCTGTGAGCATTCTCATGGTGGTTGTTTTACCAGCTCCATTAGTTCCTAAGAAGCAGAAAACTTCACCATATTTCAATCCAAAATTAATGTTATCAACAGCGACTTTTGGTTTTCCATTATTTTAAATAAAAACTTTCCTTAGATTTCTGACTAGGATTGTGTATTCAGAAGGGTTAGCTGTTTCAATGAGATTTTTCTCTGACTGTACATCATTATCCATAGGTTTTGGAATATAAGGGAAATTATTTTCTCTATTTAGTACTGTCTTTCTTGCTCTAAAGTACTCAATTGAAATTAAGACAAGAATAAAAAATATAAACATTATTATAAGGAAAAGTATATCTCCTCCTGCCATATCCATATCCATTTGACTAGGAAGGGAGCTGTAGTTATATAATAATTAGTATGCTTTTATGCTAGCCAAATTAGATATACCATAAGCATATGAAAAGCAAGGGAACAAACGGAATATATAATGTAATTTTATTGCTATGTATTTAGTTGTATCAATAAGCCTAAGTACAGCAAAAGTAACACTTCCAATTCCACCAATAATAAAGTTGAAGAAAAATTAAATTAGTTGAGCATTTCCATAGTCTTTGTGTAAAAATGAGCACACATAGACAAATGATATCAAACAAGGTCCATATAATATGAATATTAAGTAAAAATATCCAAAATTTCCATCATCAGTAACAGATGATATATTGAACGCATAAGCAAATAGTGGGCTTATCAAGGCGGGTACAAGGTATTTAATTAGATCAATTATGAAATTTGATAACCAGTATGCCAATAAACTAACTCCACTTACTATTTATTGATGTTTGATGTGTTCTTCTCTTTCACGGACTATATAAGTAATTAAGCTAGCAGGTATAAATGCCATTCCAATTGAGAATATTAAAGAAATAACAATTCCTTTGATTGTTCCTTAAAAACTATTTTTTTGATATAAATTATAAGTAAGAAAAAATGATAAAAAATTTATTTACCTTTTTGTGTAAGCAGTAAGTAAAAGAGGTTAATTATTAACAATAATTTTAATGTTTCTTCCAAGTATTTAGTTTATGATAGCATTATTCATCATATTTATAGAGATGGGAGCCATATTGGGATTTATTGAATTTACAAATGAATAGTATTAATAATCAGTTGGTAAATTACTAGTCACAAATAACCCAATTTTTAAGTCTGTTGTCTTTTTTTCAAATAGCTCATTGTTAAAATCTTAAACAGTAGCACTTTTAGACATGATATTTTCAGAATTCGAATAAGTTTATAAATAATTTTAAACATTATTAGTTTATCCACCGATGTAAATTTAATTAAAATCGTCATATTGATCTAATGTAAGTTATAAATTTGGCCAATTATTAAATGCAGTAGTAGTAGACACCAAGAATCCAATGACAATCATAATTATAGGTAGCAAAAGTTCACAAACAAAAGATCTAGAGTCTCTCTTAAAATAGTGATATCTTTTTACTATCAAAGCTCGTAAATGGGTTTTAAATATATTAAATCTTCCTTATACACGCTCTTTATTAAAGTCAAAATCAATATGACTTTACTAATCTTTAACAGCAGATTATTTTTTTTCTAAGATGAAATGATTTTCATTCATAGATGCCACCTTTAAGAAGACTTGTTCTAATGTTGTATTTGACACTCCATACGAACGTATCATCAAACTTTTTTTATTCTTTTCTATATTTTCAAAAAGTTCTTTAAATACAGGAACATGCTTTTTCGGTACTTAGAATGCTATTTCAGCTGAAACATCACTGATAATTTCGCAGTCTGGAATATACTTTTTCATTAATTCAATAATTGGTTAGGAAGGAGAATTGTTTTCTTCTTTCACAAAAGTAAAGTTGTATCCAGCTCCATAACTGTCCTTTAAGAATACGTTTGAACCTATACACTTGATTTTACCATCAGATATAATACCAATTCTATCACCCAAGTAATCGGCTTCATCCATGAAATGAGTTGTGAGAATGATAATTTTTGAAGATTTATAGTTTTTAAGCATATCCCAAATGTGTCTTCTAGCAGATACATCCATACCGCTTGTAGGCTCATCTAAAATAATGACATCACTTCCTCCTATGAAAGCAATAGCAACAGATAGCTTTCTCTTTTGACCTCCTGAAAGACTTGAACTTATAATATTAGTTTTTTCAACCAAATCAACATCTTTAATTATTTTGGTGACTGCGCTTTCTATTTTATCATTAGGCATTCCTTTGAGGGTAGCAAATAATTCTAAGTGTTCTTTAACAGTCAACTAGTCAAATAAAATATCATGTTGAGGGCAAACACCTTATAAAATTAATTTATTTAACTATAAATATATTTTTGTAATTTTTATATAAAAATACCTAAAAATTTTCTGATCTAATCCATATTTGTTCTGATATCCAAACCCTTAATATAAGCTGTACCAGAGGTAGGAGTAAGCATACCTGTTAAGATAGACATAGTGGTCGTTTTTCCTGCTCCGTTATGTCCTAAAAATGAGAATACCTAACCAGAATACATTTGTAAGGTAATTCTGTTTACTGCTATTTTTTACTATCCATCAACTTAGAAAATTTTTTCTAAATCTTGGATTTGAATTGTCTGTTAAATTAAAATATAAATAAATAAATAAATATTAAGCCTTATTATGGTTAAAAAAATTACTTTTCCTTCATTTTCTTGTTTTTTCTTTTCAACATCAACATCTTCTATTAAAGCTTCAACATCATCTGCTTTTATTGGTGTCTACTATGACTTTTTTATATTTGAAGAGTAATTTATTCCTAAGAAGAATAAAGGATGCTTTTTTTGACCAAATTCATTAGGGAAGACTTAATCAAGATACAGGAATAAAACCAAGTATATAACACAGTTAATTATGCACGAATTAAAACTGTAAATAAGCTTTTATTAATCAATTGCCTTATCAACATCACCAAATCCAAAATTTTTTTACATTCCCTCATAAATCAAAAATACTCTAGCAGCTATGCCTACTGCGCTTTAAGGAAAGATAGAAACAGTTTAATAATCACTACTTTTTGGGTTCTATAAAAATTTATAAAATTATATAAATAATGGAAAAATATAAATGTAAATCTTACAATTTTATTCATCATAAACATAGTAAATATAAACTAAAGAAGGAAGAAAACAGTTGCAGTAAGAATGCCAGGACGTTAGCGAGTAAAAAATACAGTGATAAAAAGACTCTAAGCAAGTAAGGCTAAACAGTATAAGTAGTAATAAAAGAAAAATACAAAGAAGTCAGTATACGTCACAACTAGCAGCTTTAAGATGATAGTAACTAAGAGAGATACAAAGAAATAATAAACTAAATAGGTAATAACCCAACTCAAGTAGAAAGGTGCTTTTCCTAAACCCATCATCATCATACCTTCTTTGATTCTCTTTTCTTTTTCACTAAGAATTCTAGAAGTCATTCTTAAAAAGGAAGCTATCATAGGCAATACAATATAAAAGTTCATGTTTGAACCTAATAATGTTGCTATATTATCTTTAGTGTATGCTTCTCTTTTAATAGGGCTTAGTTTAGGTGTTATCTTTAAATTCTAGTTTCCGCTTTCTTGTTGCAAGATAATATTGCTCACAAAGTTAACAATTCTTGTAAAACCTGAGTTTATATAATCTTCAACAAGACTATCTTATTCTCTACATTTATTGTATTAATTTAAAATATAAAAATTTATAAAATTATTAATACTTAACAATGAAGGATGTTTCTTTTTAATAAGGAACTTCTGTGCTTAATGTGAGATTATAAGAAATTTAGTAATTATAATTTCCATTATTCCATTCTGTGAAGATAACGCCAAAGCAAATTTTAGGAGGATAGTCATAAATATAACCTTCTCTAGTAATATGATTGTCATATTCTTCTTTATCTTTGAAAAATGTTACACTAATATCAGGATATTCTATTAATTATAAATAATATTATATTATAAATTATTATAGAAAGATTAATTACATGAGAGCACTTTTGCAAGAGCTTAAGTGATTGGAACGTCAGGAGCTAAACCAACCTTTCCTCCGTAATTTTTATCAGTACAATCTTAAATAGTGGAGTGAATTCCGTTAGCGATAAGGCTTGGATCCCAAGCAGGAGTAAGAGTTTATGAAATTGGTAGGTAATCAAGTTCACTAATTGTTTCTTTAACAATAGAAAGCCTCAATAGGAAAAGTATGAAGCAGAAAAATATAGGTATAAATATTTCGCAGCAAGTTCCTTTGAGATCTCTTTTCCATAAGATAAAATTCTTCTTTAGAAGACCTTTCAAATGATTATAAATCATAAAATTAATAATTATTTTCTAATTAACTTTTAATAAATTTTATGGAGTATTATTTATATTTTTTGTAAGGAATTTAAATTAATCTTATATTAGCTTTTTAAATTTAATTATCTTTTTTTATAATAATTTATTATAGAGATTTACAGGAATTTGCTTTTAAGCAAACCATATATGTAAATTTTTCTAGTAAATAATGAAATAATGGATTGTCTTTTTTAGATTTTTAATGATTACTGATAATTTTTCTACTTTTTTATTTTTTCATTAATTTCTAATGTAATTAATTTAAAGAATCTGTTTAAATCTGAAATTCATCTAATTGAAATTAATAATTATTTGAAATTCAAAAGTATAAAGCCAGATACTATTAATAAACTAAAAAATACTAAAAATTAAATGAAATATATTGATTAATCAAAATAAAATATTTTTAAATTGGAATTTTAACAGGATTTTTGTTATTTAATTTATTGCAGATTTTGATTTTTTGAAGATCCTAAATTATTTTTCAAAATTTATAAATTTAATTGAGTTTATTAATTCCATAAAATCAGATTTTAACAGATTATATATACTTTTTTACTCTTGATTGCATGCATTTTATATTATTAACAAAAAATTTTTAATAATTAAATTCAGTTTTCTTTTAATTATCAGATTTTATTATTTTTTAAGCAAACATTCGTGTATTTAAATGGAGATTAAGTAATAAAATAAAGTTCGATTAATTTTGATATCATTAGTTTCATATTAAATTTATTTTTAGAAAATTATGCGAAGAGACTATTTTATTAAAGCAATAAAAACTATACAATTATTTTTTATTATAAGTTCAATTATTAATTGTATCTTTATAAAAATAAAAGATACTTACTAAATCTAATATTTATTTGTTTAAAAAATAAAAATAGCATTCGAATTATTAATTAATACTAAAAAAGATTCGAAATACAATTTAAATTTTAAAGTTTTAATTATTCTAAATTAATATTAATAAATTTCTATTTTTCTATTTGATTTAGAAATTTAAAATTTGAATAGAAATGAATGAAATTTAAATCTTTCTATTCTAATTAAGTTCAAGCAATTTTAATTAATTAATTAAAAATAATAGCAAAATATTGTAAATCTTCTAGTAGCACTAAATTAATTTAGCTTATTTTATAAAAAAATGGAATTATAAGAATTATTTTATCAAAAAATCTATCTAAAAAAAATATTCCTCAAATATTTTTATTTTTCAAAATCTGTTTTGTTAGTCTAAAAATTAATTTAAATTCCTCAATTCTATTTCTTTAAAATTTACTATATTTCTATCATAGAATTAGCCTTAAAAAATAATTGAGCTGAAATTTAATTCAAAAGATCAGCATTATATAGCTCTTTTATTTAATTAGGTTACACATTTTTTTAAAGTAACTAAAAATCTCAAGGAAAATTGATAAAAAAATCAAATTAATAAATAAATATATCTTTTTAATTTTTGAAATAGTAAAAATAACAAGAAATGGAAGTAGAAGAAAATATTTACCTGGAATGCAACAGCACAAATAATAAATTGTTTGCTATTAAATGTTAAACTGTTATAGTTCACCACTCATATGATAAGAGTATAGCAATTTTTTCCAAACTCCTACAAGTTAATAAGGACATATCTCCAAAATAGTAAATAAATTTCATGATCATGAAGACATATTGACAGATTTGAGGCGAAGCAATTCTAAATCTATAGCTTTAGAAAGATAATATATTCTATTTATCAAATAAGTATCACAAGAGTTTTATAATAGCAGATTTAACTTTAACTAATCTCTAAGATAAGCTATTAATTAATAGTGATATAGATACTTGCGTTTCTAATATCTACACCCATATATTTGTAGTAGGAAAATTTTAGTTTTCAACTGAAACATGAATTTAAAGCGTATTTTTTATAGATGAATCATCTTTACAAGAATACTAAAATACAATAAAGGTTTTTAAATTTCATGATAAATAGGAATTAAACAAATAAAAAACAAACCCTAATCACTCTATTTTAATATGGGGTTGTTTGTATTTGTAGAAAGATAAAGGAAGGAACATAATAAGTAGATGCCACAATCAACTCATAAAAATATATTGAAAACATTTCAAAATATTTTCCCAATACAGGAAAGTTATAGAAACAATATTTGGAGATTTTAGCATGGAAATGCTTCATTTCACAAATTTTATTATTAAACCCAAGAATGGCTTAAAGAAATAATGACAAGAGTACTTAAACACCTCATAAAGCACAGTTATATTTAATTGATATTATTGAAATTTAATTTATATTAAGTAAATTTATAAGTTGTAAAACATATAAAATATGTTTTTCGTTCATTTTACCTTGAAGATTCTTCTAAATAATTAAATATTGATATTTATTTTACATAATAAACCTTATCATCATAAGATTATTTAAACTGATTCTGATAGATAAATTCAGATACTGTAAGATTAGAATCTTTTTTTTGGAAATTTAATTACTCTGCATTTTTCTAGAAATTCTCTCAACACAATAAATAATTAAGCTTGGAATCCAATTTTGAAATAAATAGTTTGTTTTTTAAATGAAATTGAACTTTGAAACCATTGTAAAATGAATGAATTTAGTAGTTCCACTAAATTTTGAAAATAAACATCTTCATTTTAGATTAATCGAATTTAAAATTAATTTTATTTTATAAAAACAATTTTTTATTTTATCATTTTAACAGTACATTTTATTACGTTTTATATCAAATATAAATATAAAACTAGATCACTGAGATAATTCAATTACTAATTTTATTTAATTATAATTTATAAGAATTAGAAATCCTAAAACTAAAAATTGATTATGTTATCAAATGCTTTCAGAGATTTTTCACTATTTATTATTTAATTTTAAAATTAACTGTTAAGATCTTATATGAAGAAGGTTGTTTAAATATGTATTGTATTAAAGAGTAATATGACTAGTTATCAAAAAAAATTTTCTTTTTTATGTATTAAACTTATCATATATTAAATCAAAAATAAAAACATAAACTCAATTTTATTAATTTAACTATTGATAATATCATTTCAAAGAAAAAAAAAATTAAAAATAAAAAGTATGATAGGTAAAAATGGATAATTGGAATGTTAGATAATAGATATGTAGATCCATTGATACATAGAAAATTAATAAATTATAAAATTAAAATACTAAAATATATTATTCAAACTTTTCACAAAACAAAATACATAATTTTAATTGCATAAATAAAAAATCAATTTTGACGAGTATTTATTGGCATTACTTATAATTATATTATTGCAGGCTATTCAATATTTATCATATTATCTTCTAAATTTTAATTATGCTATGCCTCATTACTAGACTAAGTTTTAGGTAAATAAGTTTTTTTCGTCTAATCTTGAATGTTTACAATAGCTGAACCTTTTTATTATTAATCTAATTATTCAAATTTATTAGCTATTTGATTAAAAATCTATTCTAAAGTTGTTTAGTTAACCATATAAGAACTAACATGTAGTTTTTCTTAGCTTTCATACATTAATCCAAATATTTCACCTATTGTTTTTTTGGTAGCTATTTAGACCTTCATAAAATTATTAAACTGCTCTAAGATATTGAAATATTCAGTATTTTATTATAAAAACTGTAATATCTTATAGTTTAAATTGTACAAATAAATCTTTTCTAACAAAAGTTATAGTTCTACAAAATTACTATTTTAAATTTCGTAAAATATTTAAGAAGCAAATCCTTTTTCACTTATCTATTCATTAAAATTTACTTAGTTAATATCTTTAAGGATACCTTAAATATTTTCACTATTTACTTCCTCATTTAAACTTTTTCCACATGCTATCTAAGATAATTCTTGCATGGAGGGAAGATTTGTTTTGATATCAAGCTCATAACCTTTTCCAAACTTATTTTTTAAGTGTTAAATACTTCCAAGACATTAAAGATTACCACTTACAACAATACCGACTTTTGTTCCTAGAGCTTCAGCTTCTTCCATTGAATGAGTTGTAAGAATGATTGATGATTTCTTTCGAAGGGTTGCAATACGACTAATTACATCCCACATAAAACGACGATTACCAGGGTCCATTCCTGTTGAAGGCTCATCTAAAAATACTATTGGAGGGTTGGCAAGCATTGCAATAGCAACAGAAAGCTTACGTTTGTTACCACCAGAATAAGTTCTGCTACAAATATGTTCAAATTTACGCAAATTCATTTCATCTAGTTTTTCGTCTACAGCACGAGGTATCATTTCTTATGGAATACCCTTGATAGCTGCATAGAGCTCAAGGTGTTCACGAGCTGTCAAATTATCAAGTAGGGCATCAAATTAAGGACAGTATCCAATGTACTACTAAGCGATGGACATCTACTCAGGGATTCTAAAACCTTCGATGTATGCTTCACCTGATCCAATAGTCTCTTCGCCTGTCAGCATTCTCATGGTGGTTGTTTTACCAGCTCCATTAGTTCCTAAGAAGCAGAAAACTTCACCATATTTCAATCCAAAATTAATGTTATCAACAGCGACTTTTGGTTTTCCATTATTTTAAATAAAAACTTTCCTTAGATTTCTGACTAGGATTGTGTATTCAGAAGGGTTAGCTGTTTCAATGAGATTTTTCTCTGACTGTACATCATTATCCATAGGTTTTGGAATATAAGGGAAATTACTTTCTCTATTTAATACTGTCTTTCTTGCTCTAAAATATTCAATTGCAAATAATACAATTAAAAAGAATATAAACATCACACACAAAAAAACTATATCTCCACCAGCTATATCCATATCCATCTGGCTAGGTAAATGACCATAATTATATAAAATCTAATATGCCTTTATGCTTGATAAATTTGTAATTCCATAAGCATAAGAAAAGCAAGGAAAAATACGAAATATATAGTGCAAATGAATAGCAATATATTTTGTTGTATCAACAAGCCTAAGTACAGCAAAAGTAACACTTCCAATTCCACCTACAATAAAGTTGAAGAAAAATTAAATAAGTTGAGCGTTACCATAGTCTTTGTGTAAAAATGAGCAAACGTAGACAAATGCAATCATACTAGGTCCATATATCACAAATAATAAATAAAAATACTTGAAATTTCCATTTTCGGTTACAGCTGTCAGATCAAAAGCATATACAAAGAAAGGACTTATTAGTGCTGGAACTAAATATTTAAGTAAATCTACTATGAAATTAGAAAGCCAATAAGCTAGTAGGCTTACACCACTTACTATTTGTTAATGCTTAATGTGTTCTTCTCTTTCACGTACTATATAAGTTATTAAACTAGCTGGAATAAAAGCCATACCAATAGAAAATATAATAGAGATCATATTACCCTTAATTATTCCTGAGAAACTATTTTTTTAAAAAAAGATAAATTAAGAAAAAATTATTAGTAAAGTTAGAAATACCCCATTGTATAAGAAGTCAATAATAGAGGCTAATTATTAACAATAATATTAATATTTCTTCCAAGAATTTTGTTTATAATTGCATTATTCATCATGTTGATTGAGATAGGAGCCATGTTAGGATTTATCGAATTGACAAATGAGTAATATTAGTAATCTGTAGGTAAGTCATTCATAACATATATTCCAATTTTTAAATCAGTTGTCTTCTTCTCAAATATTTCATTATTGAAATCTTAAACAGAAGAACTTGCTGATTAAAGGTATTCCACATTTGAGTAAGTATGTAAATAGTTTTAAATATTATTAGTTTATCCTCCAAGATAGATTTAATTAAAGTCATCGTATTAATCAAATGTAAGTTGCAGATTAGGCCAATCACTAAAATTAGTTGTAGAAGAAGCAAAACATCCAACAACAATCATAATAATAGGTAAAAATAATTCGCATACAAATGATCTTGTATCTCTCTTGAAATAATTATATCTTTTTTTCATTAAAGCAAGTAAATGGGTTTTAAAGATGTTGAAATTTCCACTAATTCTCTCTTTACTAAAATCAAAATCAATATTACTTTATTATTCTTTTGCATTAGATTATCTTCTTTCTAAAATAAAATGATTTTCATTCATAGATGCCACCTTTAAGAAGACTTGTTCTAATGTTGTGTTTGAGACACCATACGAGCGTATCATCAAACTTTTTTTATTCTTTTCAATATTCTCAAAAAGTTCTTTAAATACAGGAACATGCTTTTTCGGTACTTAGAATGCTACTTCAGCTGAAACATCACTGATAATTTCGCAGTCTGGAATATACTTTTTCATTAATTCAATAATTGGTTAGGAAGGAGAATTATTTTCTTCTTTCACAAAAGTAAAGTTGTATCCAGCTCCATAACTGTCCTTTAAGAATACGTTTGAACCTATACACTTGATTTTACCATCAGATATAATACCAATTCTATCACCCAAGTAATCGGCTTCATCCATGAAATGAGTTGTGAGAATGATAATCTTTGAAGATTTATAGTTTTTAAGCATATCCCAAATGTGTCTTCTAGCAGATACATCCATACCGCTTGTAGGTTCATCTAAAATAATGACATCACTTCCTCCTATGAATGCAATAGCAACAGATAGTTTTCTCTTTTGACCTCCTGAAAGACTTGAACTTATAATATTAGTTTTTTCAACCAAATCAACATCTTTAATTATTTTGGTGACTGCGCTTTCTATTTTATCACTAGGCATTCCTTTGAGCGTAGCAAATAATTCTAAATGTTCCTTGACAGTCAACTAGTCAAATAAAATATCATGTTGAGGGCAAACACCTAATTAAATAAATTTAGTTATTGATAAATATTATTTTTTAATTTTTTTAAAAGAAATACCTAAAAATTTTCTGATTTAATCCATATCTTTTCTGATATCTAAACCCTTAATGTAAGCTGTACCAGAGGTAGGTGTAAGCATTCCTGTTAAAATTGACATAGTGGTCGTTTTTCCTGCTCCGTTATGTCCTAAAAATGAGAATACCTAACCAGAATACATTTGCAAGTTAATTCTGTTAACTGCAACTTTTTGCTACCCGTCTGTTTAGTAAATTTTTTCTAAATCTTTGATTTAAATTGTCTTTTAATAAAAAAAAATAAATATTTAAAAATGGTTTAAATTAATGATTTTTATTTACTTTTCCTTCGCTTTCTTGTTTCTTCTTTTCAGCATCAACATCTTCTATAAGAGTTTCTACATCTTCTTGCTTTATTGGTGTCTGTTATGATTTTTTTATATTTGAAGAATAGTTTATTCCTAAAAAGAATAGAGGATGCTTTTTTTGACCAAACTCGTTAGGGAAGACTTAATCGAGATACAAGAATAATACTAAGTATATAACACTGTTAATTATACATGAGTTAAAACTGTAAATAAGCTTTTAATAATCTACAAGCTTATTTACATCTCCAAATCCTAAATTTTGTTGTAGTCCTTCATAAATCAAGAAAATTCTTGCAGCCAAACCTACTGCACTTTGAGGGAAAATTGAAGATATCTGATATTCACTATTAGTAGGATTCTTTAAAAAATGAATTAAATATTTTGATAAATTGAAGTTAAAATATTACATATTTGCTCATTACAAACATAACAAAGATAAACTAAAGAAGGAAGAAAACAGTAGCTGTTAGAATACCAGGTCTTTGATTGGTAAAAAATACAGTAATGAAAAGACTCTATGCTAACAAGGAGATACAAAATAGATAGTAAAAGAAGAAGAAGACAAAAAAGTTTGTATAAGTAAGCACGAGAAATTTGAAAAGAATAGTGACCAAGATTGACAAAAAGAAATAATACACTAAATAGGTTATAACCCAACTTAAATAGAAAGGAGCTTTGCCCAATCCCATCATCATCATTCCTTCTCTAATTCTTTTTTCTTTTTCATTTAAAATTCTAGAAGTAAATCTTAAAAATGATGCTATCATAGGAAGTACAATATAAAAGTTCATGTATGATCCAAGAGTAGTAGCTATAACGTCCTTAGTATATGCTGCTCTTTTAATAGGACTCAATTTAGGTGTTATCTTCAAATTCTAATTTCCACTTTCTTACTACAAAATGATATTGCTCACAAAATTAACAATTCTAGTAAAACCTGAGTTAATATAATCATTTATAAGACTATCCTATTCCCTTATTAGAATAAAAGTAATAAATTAATTAATTAAAAGTTAGAAATTAATTTACTTATATAACTAGTTAGTTTCTTTTTAATAAGGAACCTCGGTGGCTAAAGTAAGATTAAATGAAATTTGATAGTTATAATTTCCATTTTCCCATTCAGTAAAGATAATACCAAAACAAATTTATGGAGGATACTCACTTATATATCCATCTCTTGTTATATGGTGATCAAATTCTGTTTTGTCATTGAAAAAGGCTACACTTATATCAGGATATTCTAATTATAATATTAATATTTTAATTAAAGGTAGGTGATAAAAATTTGAAATAGGTTACATTTAAGTATATTAGCAATTGATTGAGTTAGAGGAATATTCGGAGCTAAGCCAACTTTTCCACCATAATTTTTGTCAGTGCAATCTTTTATTGTGGAGTGAATACCGTTTGCAATTAGGCTTTAATCCCACCCTGGAGTAAGAGTTTATGAAATAGGTAGGTAATCAATAGCCTCTACGCTTTCTTTAGTGATTGAAAGTCTTAGAAGAAAAACAATAAAGCAAAAAAGCAAAGGAATGAGCAATTCACAAATTGTTCCTAACTTATCTCTCTGCCATAGAATCAAATTTTTTTTAAGGAGACACTTCAAGTGAATGTAAAACATAATATTTTTTCTTAGGTAAAGTTAGTTTAATTTTATATATTTTAATAGCTATTCTTTTATAAGGTAATTTTATGGTTATTTAATTTCTTTTATTTAATTATAAATAAATATATGAAGCCATATTTAAATATATCTTAGTAGAAAAGTTTATTAATTGCACATTATTTAATTAAAGCTTTCAAAATTTAAATGATTGTAAACCTTTATCAACTGTTAATTTCTGAAATAACTTGAATATGATCTATTTTATTAAATTTTCAAAAAATGTAAATAATAATTCTGATAAAATATAATAAATTAATTTATTGGCTATTTCGAAAATGATGAATAATATTAATCAAATACACAAATAAATAGAAGATTAAATTAATTAAGATAATCAAATTTATTTAAAATTATTTTTTTCTTTGTAGTGATTTTGAATTAGCTCAAACCATAAATTATGAGTTTTTCTATACATACATTAAAAGCAAGTGATTTAAATAAATTTATGTTTTACTAAAATAACCTAATACTTAAAAATATAAAATAGAAAATCAATTTAAATACACAATAAAATACATATTAAAATTGATAGAAATTCTTAGATTTAGTTAAATAATTTTTAAAGAATTTATAAGAGTTTGTTCTATTTCAAGTAAACCTAATTATTCAATTGTTTAAAAAAAACTAAAATATATTTAATAAAGCTAAAAATTAAATTTTTAGTTTAAAATTTAATCAGAAATAGTTGGAATTCATTCTATTTATAATAAAGTATTCTTTCTTTTATTATTTTTTCAATTTTAAAAATAATATTTGAAAATCAAATATACAAAAAAAAACTTATCTTAAATCACATTTGAAATATAAATGTTTTACTATTTTTTATCAAATAATTAATTTTTAATTCAAAGAAAAACATTTAAATTTTTACTATAGAAATTTAATTTTGTGAATTTTGTCTGTGAGAAAATTTCTTTAGCAACACTATTTTGAAATAGAAGAAAAATTTAAATAATTTATTATCTTTAACCTTTAAAAAATATACTATAGAGATAAGAATTGAGAAATATTCTTTTATTTTTAATAAATTTTAACTAATGTAAGATTATTTAGATTAAAATTAATTTATAAAGCTTTACAAAATATGAATAAAAATGAAACGCAATAGTAATTTTTCTATGAAAAAATTTAAAGTTCTTGTTTAAATAAACACTGTATTATTTAAATTTTTTCTAATTTTGATTAACGAAAAAAAAAATTATTTAAAAATTTTTTTTAAAATTTTTCTGGATGTAAAATTTAAAAATTTATAGTTTTTAGAAAGAATAAACTAAAGTAGATATTAATATTATAAAAATTTGAATACAATTATTATTATAAATCTAAAAAGGAACTAAATATATATAAAAAAATATCATCTTTTTTAAGAAAAAATAAAATATTATGAATAGAACAAATGATAATAAAATTAGAATAAATAATTTATAAATAGATATATATTTAAAAAGGGAAAATAATAGCAAAATAAATTCAATTTAAATAAATTAATTATTTAAAAACAAAAAAAGTTTAAAATAAATCAACTTTAAAAATATAACAATAATTAATTTCATTTAAACATTCATAAATATTATGGAAAAATTGCACGCTATTCGCGAATTTTGATATACAAATTGAAATTTATAAAGGTACTACTTTACTATGCTACTCTCTTGTAAAGAGGAGTTATATTATATATTATTAAAATGTATTGCATAATGTATGATTAATTTATTTTAAATTAGGACTTATAGCAAAATATAATAATGTTCATGTTTATTTTGGATGCAGTTAATTCTACAGCTTATTTGCTCTAATTTTTTATAGAGTTTGTTTGATTGCACAATTCTTATTCTAGAGAAATGTCATTCATTCATTCAATTGTTTACTAGTAAATAGGATATTAACTAGCAAGTTTAAATTAAAAGTCTATTAAAATTGTAGGAATGAGCAATTTAAATCAGAAATTGCTTTAGCTTTTAGCCTGATTTGAAAATAGTTATCAATATTATAGGTGAATAAATATTAGATATGTTATTATATAGCTTTTAATAATTAATAAGATGGATTTTTTGAATTATATTTTATAAAATCTAAATAATTAGTTTTTTATGTGAATGGTTATAGATGTGTCTCAATAGAAGAAGGCAGCAATATAAAGTAGTAGTTTAGGTTCAGATATTATCTTTGGTTAGTTAGTTTGTTATGATTTATTTTAGGGCAACAAAGAGAATTTTAGTTACTGCTGTTTCATATAGTCTAGATAATTTATATAGGATAGGAGTGTTTGTTTATGAAACAGAATATTATAAGCTATGTAGGAATAGAGGAGTTATTTAGATATAAAGCATAAAAAATAGAGAGGAATTTTAAATGTATTAGAGTCAAAAATTATCATATTGTTTTGTTTGGTAGCTAATATTGATTGATTGATCAGTTGCTATCTTCATCATCATTATCTTCATCGTCACTGAGAAAGTTGTTTTTGTTTTAATAGCGACCATAGGGAGAGTAGTGATAATTAGAATTTTAAGAATAGTTGTTTTCTTCTTATTCTAATTCTTCATCTTCTTCTTCACTGTCTCTATCGATTTTAATGTCGCGAATTGTGAATGTTTTTTCTGCATCAGGAATTTAGGCAGAAGGGTTTTATTCAAGAGTAGAAGCTACAAGCTTTTTGTGCATGTAGTTGACAGCCTTTTCAAGCAATTCATCACCGCTGCACTTATCATCATCAGAGAATTACTATGATAAAATTAATGATTAGTAATTTGAATTTAGTAATTTAAATTTTTAATTAAAATTTAAATAGTTAATTCAATAAATTTTTAAATATGATTGATTGATTGATATATTTTTTTTAAATAAATTTTTTCTGCTCATACACATATTAATAAGTTTATTGAGTATTTTTTTTTTTTAAAGAAATGTAATAGATAAAATTCTTACTTGTTAGATAAGGCCTGAAAACTCAGCTGGTATTTGAAGGTCAGAGTCCCTGAAACATGGGAATTTTTGTAATTTAATGGAACCTTCTTAAGAAATAGATTTTAGGTAAACTTCTTCAGCGAAGACAGTTCTAGGAGGTTGAATTTTTTTGGGTTGTTCTTAAAATTTAAAATTGTTTTAATTTAATAAAATATTTTTGTGTTTGATGGAAAAATTAATTTATTAGTTTGCGGAATCAATCTGCTAGGTGTTATTAATGCTGGTTTAATTAATATTTGTGTTATCATTAATGGCTTATTATTTTTTACCTTTTTGTTATTATTTTTAATTAATTTTAACTTATTTTTTTTAAGAGGCAGCAGTATTGGCAGCCTTTGGAGCACGCTGCTTTCTTTGTTTGGTTTATTTTAATGACTAAATAATATTTGAAGGTTGTTGTTAATTTTGTAATTGCTACTATTAATCTTCGTCGTCTTCTTCTTGAATGAGATCAAGTTATTTAGATTAGAATTATGATTAATGTTAAGATTGTGATTTTTAAGATTATAATTGTAATTATTATTATGATTATGAGGGTTGATTGAAAGAGGATTATAATTAAATTAAATTAGAAGAAGAAGATGAGGTTGATTATTGCAATGATTATTATGAATGAGAAAGTGAGTCTTCTATTTTTTGTTTTTTGTTTGTTTCATTCATTAATGAATAGGCGATTTCTTCAAGCTCTTCAAAAAAGCTCTTCTTTCTAAGTGTATTGTCTTCTTGTATAGGCAATTGCTATTATTATTGATTAACCTAGATGACTTGAGAAATTTTTCTTTGTTTGTATTGTTAATTAAGCTTGCTTGATTAATGCTTTTGTGAAGAAGCTACAGGACTATTGAAGTCTGTTTCAGCAGATTCGGGTTCTGGCTGATCTTCGAGACTGAAGTTACTATTAAGAACGGATTTTGTGCTTCTTCTCTGAATAGTCTTATCGGACAGCTGAGAGTGAGTCCTTTTTAAAGTTTTTGTACTGCTCTTGATGGACTTTGTACGTGATTTTGGTGTTGAATTGTCATCATCATCTGAGCTAAGCACGATTATATTATTGCTGGTTTTTGGTGTTTAGTTAGATGGTTAGACTGGTCCAGATCCAACAAGACTGTTTTCTGTTAAAAGATTATGAAGATTTGGATTGTCTGAAAGCAAATTACATGTCATGTTGAATGAGTTGATGAGGCTGAGGTATGTCAATATGGTAACGTAATTTTATGACATTATATAACAATCAGTGTTTTGATTAGTGTTTTGTTTTCTTTCTTGTTGTTTGAGTCTTGCTCTTCTTATATTTAATAAATTGATAACTAGTTTCAATTAAGAATCAAAGCAGAAAATAGTTTAAAAGAAAAATGAACTTTTCTTCTAATTTTTTTTTTTCTTTCTCTTGTATTTTCTCTTTGCTTTGATTTTTACTTTCTCTTCCTTCCTTTTTTGGGCTTTTTATTTTTTGATTCCCCACTCTTCTATATGTATATAATTTTTTTAATTACCATTTGACTTTTTCCCCTTATAATTTACTTCTTTTCGCTTTACTAAATTAACATTTGCATTAAAATAAATGAATAAGTGAATGAATTAATAAATGATTTTGTTTGTTCATTTTTTTTTTACTAACTCAATTAGTAAATTAATAAATCAATCAATCAATAAAAATAGTTAGTTAATTATTTGTTATTAAGATTATAAGCTATAGATGATATATAGTCTAAATGATTGAATAAAATCAATTATTCACTCACACTCATAAATTCCCTTTGAATGATATTTAAATTGTTTAATTTTATTTTTGATTAAATTTAATTTCTCGCTTGCTTGGCTAAATAAATTAAATGATTAGCTAATATATTTTTTTTTCTATTTCTATTATATACTTTATATTCTATCTTAAACTGTGACTATACTAATTATTGCAATAGTTTACATAGTTTTAGAAAAAAACAAAAATAGTGTCACTTACAAAAATCTTTCAAAAATCACTTAACAATCTATTCTTATACATACAATCAAATAAATAAATAAAAAAACAAAAAAATCATTGAATCAAGTCAAAGGGTAAAAATTTTAGTCATGCAAAGTAAATGAAATTAACAAAAATTTTAATTAATTTAGAAATAAAGTCTTTAATTAAATAGAAAAAGTGATTCGAATAATTGCATTCTATATATTAATTCAATTGATTATTTTTACAAAAAATCAAAAAAAAAAAATTTTTTTTTGTATGAGCCTAAATGTTATAATTTAGAGTTGAAAAAAATTAAAATTTTGTTTTCATAGAAGGAAATTATAAAAGTAAATTTATGTGCTTTGTTTATTTGTATTTTTATATCTTGATCGATCTATGCTTGGCGAAATAATTAAGTAAAAATATAATTTTTTCCACAAAGTATTTATCTTTTAATTTATTCAAAACAAATTAATCATTTTTTTGTCTGCTAAACCACACATATAACTACAATATGCAAAATAACAAAAGTATACATAAATAAATACCAATAACTTAGTAGCGATTTTTTCTCTATAAAAATTTTTAATTGACCCCCCCCTGCCTTAACAAATTATAATAAATAATTGTCGACTGGCATTAAAAGTTTTTTTTTCCTTTTTAATCATATCACTCATTTCAACTAAAGATATCTATTTGCAATTTGGTTTGCTCCTTGTACCTTTTCTTCTCCATTAAGTTAAAATCCAATACATTTCTCTCTAGGATCCATCACAACTGCATTTTTACAAATAATTTGTCAAAATTGTTTAATATTTTTTAACAAAAATTTCCCTCCTAACAAAGATTATTCAAACTTAACTCTTTTGTTAATATATTTTTAATTATGAAGATATATGTGTTCATTAATATAAAATTCACATTAACTAAGGCATGTTTAACTAACTATTTTATCCTTTTATTTATTTTTTTAAGCATCTCTTACTAACAAAACAAACAAATGTAAGTTAAATAAAAGCTTAAAAAATATAATGAAATTAAACTAGCAAATACTAAATTAGTATTTAAGTAAATAGATAATGTAGAATTTTACTATTACCTTCAGTTTCAATAGTACTCATTTTAATGGATGGTTTATATTATTTTAAAAAATTTAAATAATTTAAGAATAATTTATTTAAATAGAATTTTTAAATTATTTCAAGAGTACTCTTTCTTAAGTAACTCAAATAAATTTATTCCATCACACGAAGATAAAATTTTAAAATATAATTTTCTAATTAAATACATGTGAAAAAATTTCAGTTCTATTCAGCCTATTATTAATCTAATTTTCTGATTTTACATTCAACACTTTAACAAAATCTAAAAAATTCCTACATCATATTTTTTTTAATATTTTTTATATTACCGTGCGTAAATTAGATTAGCTACGTGGTAAGATCAGAGATCAATAGTTGTTATAGATTGTATTTATCTATTATATTTTTTAAATTAAATTAAACGAGATTGATTTATAAATATATTTTATTTTGGTAGTATTTTTATTTAATTTATTATTCAGTACTTCTAACAAAATTAAGTAAAATATAGTATAACTAATTTTATAGATTTCTAACTTTTGCTCTGATTAATTGAAAATATAAATTTTCAACATAATATTTTCAAGGTAATCGATAAATAAATAAGTTTTAAATAGTCTAACCGAACCTTTCACTAGAATTGATTGAAATTATCCATCTCACAATTCAAGAAAGTTTTTTATAAATTTTACTCCAGCAAATTATAATAATTAAAAACCCTCAATTAAATTAAATAATTTTTAGAGAAATAAATGGAATAAAATTTAATTAAAATTCATGGAATATTTAGACATTTCGCATTTAAGACTTACTTAAAAAATAATAGAAAAATTTTTTAATCAGTTAAATTAAAATTTAGTTAAATAAGTTATTTTAACTTTTGAGAATAATTAATTGTTATTAATTTAAATTTAAACAAATATAATCAAAAATCTATTAAAGCAGTTAATTTTAGGTAAATGATATAGATAAAAAAAATTTATTAAAATTTAAATCGAAATAACATTTGTAGGAAAAACAAACCTAACAAATTTTCTATAAAATAATTAAATTGAAATAAATTCATAATAAATTACAATTTTAAAACATTTTTTAAATATAAATTCTATAATTTCTCAATCAGTAAATACACCTTATTTCGTTGTAGCTAATTCTTTGCTCCATTTAAAAAAACGCTTTGCAATCATCATATTTAACCTATGAGTGGAATTAAAATTTTTTTACTCTCTAATAGCAATATTATTAGAAAGTAGAAGGTAGTTAATAAATAATTTTAGGAAGGTAAAACATAAATGTTTTGAATGAATAAATATTTTAATTAAAGTAATAATTTAAATTTAAATGTTAACTAATTTTAGATTTTTTTTGAAAAAAAATTTTTTATATTTATTTAATAAATTTTAGAATAAAACATAACCTAAATATAAACTAGATATGCACTGATTATTTATTTCTTTGCAATTGGCTTGAGTGAGATTTTTAAAGTCACAAAGATTTTAGTTAATTAGCACTACACTTATATAATATAATTAAATACGATTTCTTTACTTTTTTAAATAAAAAATAAGAAAGTTTATTAATTATAGGATAAGATTAAGGCTAAATATATATTTAAGTGTACTATATATATAAATATAACATTTTGTATTAAATTCTTCATAAATGTATTCAGTCAGGTATGTATGTATGTTACCATTATTATTGAGTCCGTCCAACCAAACCTTATTAAGCTAATAAGGAAGGATGATGTTTTATCTATTTATTAATATTAAAGATAGAAATTATTCAAGGTTTATTTCATTATTATTTATTATCAAGATTAAGAGTTATAGCAGTAGTAGGAATTTTTCCTCCCTGACCCAAAACTTGCTAATTAACAGCACCATAGGTTGCACTATTTTGCATATAGTTGTTAAAGCTAGGCTTGATTTTGAGTGCTGGCTAAGGTTCATTTTAAACTCTCAAAGGACTTTCGTTTGATGAATTTTTGGAACCATAAAGATTGAGTTATGCCTACTAAGTTTATTAAGAAGATGATGAACTAACAAAAGATCCTGATTAAGGTGTTGGTTGGTATAATGAAGTTATGCTGTTAACTTTTCCTGGTAAATTTTATTAGTTTGAGGATACTTTTACATTATTATCATTTGAGTTAATAGAACTATTTGTACTGCTACTATTATTGTTAGGGTTTTTGGAAGCGGTAGTCTGCTAAGATGATATTTTTTAATTTGAATTATAGTATGGAGTGCTTTTTTAAGTACTTTATTTATAGTTTGAAGTATTTGGAGATTAGTACATATTTTTTGATGCAGAGTAATCATCCTTAAAACTTGAGTTATTACCTCTTTATTCCATTTATTATCTGTAAAGAAGCTATTGTTAAAACTAATCTTGCATCTATGGAGTATTTAGTTAGGATTAGGAGATGAATAAAAAGTTTGAATTTGGATTAAGCAACTCATTTTGTGAACTGTTATTGTTAGTTGTGCTATTTTCTAAGAAAAAGCGAGATTCTTTTGGCTTTTGTGAGTTGTTTTACATATGATTTTAAGGAGTATTGTCATAGCTGCCCTATCCTGTCATATTCAAAATTGATTGCTCTTGGTGGCTTTCAATAATAGGAGCAAATCCTCCTTAATACGTCTTTAGGCCTCCAGTGCTAGAGCTATGCTTATCTTCTGTATAGGATGGAGTTTTTGAGTGATTCTTTGAAAGTGTTTTAGAGTGCTATGAAGAACCAGATGAACTCAAACCATATTGTTGCTTAACTTTGCTGATTGGTTTAGGTGAAACAAATTGCGAATTGACTGAGTTCTAGTTACCTGTGCTTCCGTTAGATTTTTATGAGGAGTAATCAACATTAAATGAACTTCTTTTGATTTGTTCATCTTCTTCTGTTTTAGTATGCTGGATAATTTTTTAATATTATTAGTGTGTGAGTTCGCTTCTGCGCAAATAGTCATTAGGGTTTCCTTGAGAGCCAATATCCATATCGTTTGAGTCTCTATTCATATCATAAGAATTTTTGCCAATACTGTTATCTTAGCTTGCGTGATCATTCGAGTGAGGAGCTAAATCTATAAATGAAGACTTATAAGAAGACTTAAACAGGTGATTTGATTAGCGATTAGGAGATGAATATAAATGAGTAGCTGATTAGCTGCTTTAAGCTAAAGTATTATTAGCGGCTTGGTCTAAGCAAGTTCTTGAGTTTGGTTATTAACCTTGGACATTTTTTTATGAAGAATTTTTTTGCATATTCTTTAATTAGCTCTCAATAATTTGCTCCTTACGCTTGTATTCCTCAAATTCACGAGAAGTTGGACTCAAATTTATTTCAGACATAGATTATTGCTTGAAAGATTGTGTATTAGCATTAGTATTGGTACTGGGTTCTTAAATCTCACTCTTACGAGAAATGAACATACTTTACCCCATGTTAGAGCTTTTACCTCTGACTGTATTTACCGAAATATTGCTAGAAGGTACAAAAGTTTAGAAGTTGAGATATTTACTTGAAACATCCTTTTAAGAAACATTCCTTGGAGTAACTTTAGTATTTGGGATAATACTGCTAGCTCTTAAATTCATTTACTTTCCTCTGCCTCTAGCTTTCCCTTTTTATCTATCAGCTTGGGTCTACTGCAATTGTAGCTCACTTTAAACAGCTTTCTTTTTAATAAAATTGATTTCATCTTTTAAATTCTAAATCTGCAATTCTTTTCTCAGCTATTCTTCCTTTTGCTTCTACTAATTAGTAATCAAATTTGTTATTTCTTCTTTGAGTTTCTTTTTTTCTTATTCGAATGCACTAATCAACTAGAAATTGGTTAATTATTAGCATTCTTGAATAAATTTGACATCGTAAAGCTCTTCCAATTCTTTCTTGATCATATTTTTCATGTTTTCATTTTCTTGCAATTCCTTTTGAAGCTTGATTATAACCTCATCATTATTTTTAATGATAGATCTTAGAGTGTTAACTTTATCTAAACGGTATTTCATTTCTTTTTAAGTAAGAGCAGCAGGATTGATAGTATCCATAATTTCGTGGACTAAACGCTCATTCTATTCCCTTGATTGATTATATTCAGCTAAATTAAATTCTAATTCTCTATTACGGAAAAGGATATCCTCATAGTGTTCGCTCAATTTCTCGAATTTCTCCTTAAAGAGTTCCCTGTGAGTTTTGAATTGTATGCTGCCAACTACTTATTCTTCAGTTGGAGGATCGCTTGAGATGCCTTATAATTATTTTATAGTTTCATCGTCAATATCCAAGTTTCCATTCTAAATACCAAGTAAGTCAGCCTATTACTATTAAAGCAATTCCTTCAGATTCTCAATTTCATTATGCATTTCCTTTACAGTTTCATTTTAAATCTAATTGTAAATTTATTTCACATTTTCATAAACATCCTTTTGAATACTCTTAGCTCTTTAAGCATATTTAAGAGTGTTGATAGTTTCTTCAACGAATTTAAAAGCGGGTGTAACACAAGCTATGAATAATGTTTTTGCATTACCACCTAAACTTTCTTTAAGCAATCTTGTAAGTTTTGAGTCTCTATAAGGGACATGTTTTTTTCCTTTTTCACCTATTCAATTAAATAATTAATTATGATTAAATTATCAATTAATTTTAAACTCGTTTTAAATCAAAAAAATATTTATGCTTAACTTTCATTATCCAACAAAAAAATGTCTATTTTAAAGTTGTTAAATAAAAATATCTCATTTGTAATAATCTTAATAAATAAACAAAGAACTTGAAAGTAGATTTTTACTATAATTTATGAAAAAAATTAAATTAATATTTGTATGTATTCTTTTTCTTTTTTTTTCCTTTAAATAATTCAAGCTTGATTTGGTTCTAAAAATACTGATTAATCTTGGAGTTTTATCAACAATAAATAAATAATATTTAATTTAATTTTTGATGAAGAAAAAAATTGATAAGATTAAGGGGAATAAGAAATTTTATGAATAAAAATATATTAATTATTTTTCTTAAATTGGAATGATTATTGATTAATTAATTTATTATATTAATCATAATTTATTTTTTTTGTTCGAGGATAAAAAGATTCCCGTTTAAAATTTTTTCATGTTAATTTGCAGTAATTCTTCTATTCTTAAACTGTTATTTGGTTAGACGTTTATGACAAAATATCAATGAATGAAAGCAAAACCCATAAAAACATGAGTTTTTTAGTCAAATAAATAATATTTTTATGTATTTTTATAAAAAGAAATAAAGAAGTAATCTATTCATACCTTATGAAGAAAGTACGGTAATACAATTACCAAGAGATAATAGAGATTTATTGATATTAGCACCTTCTTTGAAACGAATACCTTTGCTTTCAGTTGCAGCAGCTCTTTCACTACCAGCCAGATCAACCATGTATAATTTAGGAGTAAGGAATGTTGTTTTTTATCCATCGTTGCAGAGCTCGATTTCAATAGAGAGTTATATAATAGCATGTGAACGAGAACTAAATTAATTCAACTTTGTGCTTGCCATAACTCTTCTTTTATTTCCTGATTTAATGAATGATGTAATTTGATCTAAGGTAGATATTTCTCTTTCACTTAAAAGGGGACAATAAACACCTTTATCTGGATCTTCTAAGATCATTAAATTCTCTGCTGTTAACGTTTCATGAGAGAGTAAATCACGAATACATTCATTGTAAATTTCTAAATAACTCATTTTAAGCTTAACTTTTGAGCTTTATGTCTAGTTTGCTAATACATACTTAACTGTTTCTGAAACTAAACCGCCTTTACATTCATTTGAAGCGGCGTCATTAGGATCTTTTTTTAATGGACCATCTACTTCTAGATCTGCTGCATTTTAACTTGCCCTATTATTTTCTTGCTGTTATTGCTAATTTAAGCTGATTTAAACTGTTTAGGTAGATTCCTCAAAGTTTTCACCAAACATAGTGAATGTCTTACCTGCTCCTGTCATGCCATAAACTAAAATTGTATGACTAAATCCTTTTTATTATTACCATAAGAAATTTAATAAAATTAATAATTCAAAAGATAAAATGTCTTAAAAATTAAAAAATAATAATAATCAATTATTTGAATAGTTAATTATGTCTTAATTATTTAGTTTATATTTATCTGGGTTCATCTTTATTATGTTTGGTTATTAGCTTCTAATTCCCTTAGTTCTATATTTTAGATTTTTTGAAGAGTAAATAGATATACCCATAAGCATATTTGGTAAAAGCATCCAAAAAAAATAATGAAAACATTATATTATTTTCACTTCATTTTTTTTAATAATTTTAAAGAAAAATTGTCTTTGACCTCATAAATGTATATTCAATAATTGAAAATAGTTTGTCGAACGTTTTGGAGTAATTAACGCTAGAAATTCTTAGCAAGCATGAAAAATACAAGTTCAGTAAAATAATAATAGTATACCTTTAAAAAGAGATTCAGAAATTGTAGGTAAAACAACTCCATCAAATATTTATTTAGTATTTGATTTATGATCGAAAACTTGGTCATAGATAAAGACTTTGTCACCTTAGGTAGAGTGAGGTTAAACAAGCAAGATTGAATTTTCTGGTCCTGCGCGAATATACTTAATACCTTCTACATGTCCTTAATTATCAAATGAGGGGCTGCTAGTTGGTCTAACACGAACACAGACATGAAAATTACTGTTTTCACCTCCTTTTGCTGAACCCTAATTGTTGGTTTGGTTGCTCATAGATATTGTACTGTACTTGTTTCACTAAATTTTGATCTATCTTCTTGGAGAGCTGTGAAGTTGAAATGGAATTATATTCAATCTTTTGTTCTGTCTGTTTATAGTTTTTGAAGAAACTATTGGTCAGCTTTAAATTAATTCTTAAAGGGTTTGATTTTTTACCTTTATTTTTTATTAATATTGTATATATTTTCTTTTAAAGTCAGTGTTTTCCTTTTTAATTATTTTTCTGATTAATTTAATTTTTATTAATTTTTATATGTGCTGGATTTATTTCCTTTTATTCGATGTGTTTTTATAGGTAACTCTCATCTTCTTACTACTAACATACAAACTCAAGCTAATCTAATAAATTAATCAATCAATAATGATTCAGTCAGTAGGTCAATCAATAAATAAATAAATGAGTTAATAAAAAAACAAATGAGTTTGTGTTATTTTGTAATAAATAATCTTAATAAAGATTAATGATTGAGCATAAAAGATTATATCTAATATTTCTTAAATTAGTTGTTAAAGCATCTCAATATGTAAAATTATTTAAAAAAAATTATGTAAAACAGTTCAGCCTAGCAAATTTTTAATTTTCAATAATCGTTTGATTATTTGGAATTAACTTATATTGACCACTATCTTTCCAGATAAAATCAAGAAGGAATTATTAGTCATTTTTTTTTTAAATAGAGAATATTATCATTATTAATTATGTAAATTTATTTTATAATTACTCATTATTACTTTTTGGCATTATATTCATTGCTAAATTAGAATTTGATTTATTTTATAAATAAATTCTATAAATAAATAATTTTTGTTATTAATGCATTAATTTTTTGAATTAAAAATATATAAAGTATTTCCAGTAAAATTAATAATAAAACCTTTTGGCTTCAGATAGTTAGTGAAGTTTTGCTAATACGTTATATATACTAAATAATCATAACAAAAATAATTTTATATCAAGATACTTCAAAAAATTATTTAATTTTAAGCATTAATTAATATTGACCTAAATATTCTATTGTAATTTTCAACCTCAATAAATGGGAATATAATTTAATAACTTTTAAAAATATGCTGAATTTTTAAGTTTGAGCAATCTAAAAACTAAATTACTCTGTTTAAAATAGCTTATCTTTTATTATTAGTGAACAGTTTTATATAATTAAAATCAATATATTTAGAATTTGTTTGAAAACTTTTGGAAAAAAAGATACAACGTTATAAAACATTACTTGCAAAAAAAATATTTATGAAGATAATAATGTTATAAAAAAATAGACTACTATTGCAAAAAAAAAAATTAATTTAAGTAATATGTTTAAATCTATGACTTTTATAGCATTTTTGCAAAACTAACATCAAATTAATATTTTTTAACAGTAATGCAGCAAAGTTAAATATTGATTTAAGTAGTTTATTTGTTTTTCATTATAAAAATCCTACCAATAAGAATTTTGATAATGCATATTTATTTAATTATTCATTTACTCTCTACTAAATAATCAATTAAATCATTATTTTTAATTTATTTAAAAAATTAAATATTTACTGGACTCAAAATTTATTTTTTGTAAGAAATGTATTCTAATTTTATATTTTATTTTTCTCGATTAGAATATATTTATTTTGCCCTGCTATTAATTAGTTTTAATAATAATTTCATTAAAATAAAAAATTTATTTATTTCTATTGCTTGAAAATATTCAGATCATATATTTATTTTACTTTCTTCTTTAAATAAAATCGAATAATTGGTTAGAATATTTAAATAATTCTAGATTTAATAGATATTATTTTTTACATTCTACATTTGCTTATTTATTAATTAAAATTTTATGTAATAGATATTTTAAAATACTCTAGTTATTCTTAATATAGCCCTATACATTCTTGATAAAATTTTATATAAAAATTTATATTTTAATTTTAAATTATTAAAAAATATTTAAATGATTGAATATATGTGTATTTATCCATATTATATAAAATATTTTAAAATATTTTTATAATTTTCTAAAATTAATTGTTTATTGATTACTCTTATCAAAGACTGACCATATTTTTGATATAAAATTTATTTGATTGTTGGTTTTCTATAAGATATTGAATACCTTATTTTTTATGTGTCTATTTATCGATTAAATAATTTATGAATTGATTAATTAATTAAATGACCAAACAATAATTAGAAAGATTATTAAATAAATTTTAGAATTTTATTTTATTTAGAAAGAGAGAAGTAAAATAATTAGATAAAAATGATAGAAAATTTTGACAAATTAATTTAGCAAAAAGATATAAATACTAATCCCGTATTAGAATTTCTCTAAAATAATATGAGAGGTTTAATAATATTTTAAAATATTTAAATATAAAAAGGTATTAAGAGAAACAAAAGTTGAATTTAAGAATTTTTAAGATGGTTAAGGCTTGTATGCATTATTTTTGGAGAAATATAAAGTCAAAGAAAATCAACCATTTGTTATTGAAAGAGTTCCTGAAGATACAGACAGATCAACTATGGATAAAAAGAATTATTACTGCATAGATATTAAGCAAGTGCCTAAGAATTAAACTAAATTAGATGTTAAAAGTTAGGTAATGAGAGGATATATAGTGTAAAATCCTAGATAATCTGTCTTTTTCTCCGCTACAAAGAACTAAGGTTTTTTATTTCTAAGCAAACCTAAAGGATCAAAAAATATTTAATTGAGACCATTTTTATGTGGTTCAGTAATCAAAGAAAAGTCAGATGACCCTGTGTAATAAAAAGAAGATACTATAAAAAGGAATTAAGATTCCAAAGAAATAGATGAAATTAATGATAAAATGAAAAAAGTAACTAAATCGAGAGGTAAACAGCCTATTGAGGTATTCATGAGAAACCCAGAGTTAATAAAAAATACAAAAACTAGAAAGGAAGATAGTGAACTTTATGAAGACAATGATTACAAGTAAAGTAGAAAGGAAGATAAAGAATTTAAAAGAAAAAAAAGGGCATAATTAGAAAGTTATGAAGACGGAGAATTAGATAATGAAGATCAATTTAATATAAATGAAAAAGATGAAGAAGAATTTGACGAATGAGTTCTTTGAAATAATTAAATTAAAAATGCTTTTGAGATGTGATGTATTCTTTCATGGGATATGCTTAAATTTTTTAATTTCAAAGATCATATATTTATATGCTTATTTATCTTAAATGAACTATTTATTTAACTTAAAAAAATATTATTATTTGTAAGTATTTATCTTAGAATTAATTAAATTACTTTTTCAATACTATATTTTTGTATTAGCTTATCTTAATTTATTGTTAAAGACAATATTGCTTATTATATTTACAGAAATAATTATTCTATATGTGTCTAGGATTAATTTTTATAATCTAATAAATGTAATATGATACTTTAAATATTAAGTTAGAAAATAAATTATATTATTTTTGATATAGTTATAACTTAATGATTTTTATTTAATTGAAATAAAAATTCAAAAATAACTATGAAAGTGTCAAAAATATATTTATTTATCTATTTATTTCTTCTTTTAAAAATAAAATTTTTGAGTGAATAAAATATTTAAATATTATTAAATAGTTTCTTTGTTTATTTATGCTTTTAGATACAAATTATCACCACAAAATTTCATTTATTAGAATTATTTATTTAATAAACTTAGTTGATTTGTCTAAACTGCTTTCTGATATTAATTTAATATTACTTATATTTTGTAATTTCTATTTAATCTAGGTTTATATTTAAAGACAAATTAATTGAATATTTACTATCAAATATAACATAGTAAATAAAAATAAACCAAAAATACTAATTTAATAATTAAAAGCAAAACAAAAAATTCAAATTATTTGATTAAAAAAATTTTTTTTTTTCTTCATTTTTGATATGTGTATTAATTAAAGATATCTAATTTTTATTAAATTTTATTCTTGATCTTTCTATAAATCTCTATATTTGTACAAATTATTGCATTTTTCTTTTTAAACAACTCTAATTAAAAGTGATTTGAATGAAAAATATAATTTTTTTATATTAAAACTTCCTAATTACATTTGTTAATTTAAAATAAAATTATTGAGAGTGAAAAACTATATTAAATTCAAAGAAGGATATATTTAATTTTAGCTAAATATTATAAAATAAATATTTTAATAACAAATATTGCCTATACTAAATTTAAATATCTTTTAAATTCGTAGCCAGATAATAGTTTAGTAGAATATTAAATAATTTGTTTTCTTAAAATTAATTTTTGCTTTTTATTCATTTATTTTAAGTTTTAGTAATTAAAGTAATTTAGAACATATAATTTTTATAAAAACTAGTAATATCTATTGAAATCATATAATTAGTAAAAGTTAATTGAATTATTGTATTAAATCAACAAAAATATTAAAATCAGCTTTAGATAAAGAAAGGAGATAAATGAGTTAGAATCTTTAAAAGTTAGCTTAGTTTTTAGGTGGCAGTTTCGTTGGATTTTACTGTAGCTTTAATATGAGTTAGGTCTATTATTTTACTATTCATGAAAATATTTCTAAGCCATTATAATAAGCTAAAGAAGAGGGATCTAATGATTTTTCTAGATAGTCAAGCATAATATTTAATGGAATTAAAAAATCTATAAAAGATTTGTATTGAATTGCGTGTATTCATATAAAATTGCTAATAATAGGTATAAATATGCCAATAAACTTAACTTAGTTTCCAAGAAATATTTTTGACATTTTCAGAATCTGATATCAACCTATCAATCGATTTTTTGAATTCAGATTAATGTATGATGTTATTTAATGACTAAAAATATTTCTTTTTTTATAATAAAAACTCATAAATGCTAGATAAAAATAATGTTTGAAATTATTAAAATTAAATATATTTTTTGTTTTACGATTTTTAAAATTGATGGTTTTTACAAATAGAGAGAAGATTTTGTAAAATTCTTTTTTAAAAAAATAATGTATAAAATGTATAAAAATTATTAAATATCATATCTTAATTTAAGTTGATTTAATTGATTTTTTGCATATTTAAAATATTTATAATTAATTATTTTATGAAGATATTTAAAATTACTCAATTTTTATTTATTTATTTATTGTTGGAAAATATTTTACTAAAATTTTAAATATTTCTTTTTTTTATTTAACTATCAGAATATATAACATTTACAATCTTCCTACTCTCCATGATCCTCTACAATTTATCCATCATTATTAAAGTTTTATAGTAGTCTTCTGCGTTAGGGAGTACTATATATTTACTAATCTGAGTAACCTTCTTCATATTAAATTTAATTAGGTATTACTCTGATTGATTGAGAAACATTATTCTCAGGATATAAAACTCTGCTTGCATTTAAAGATTTTGCTTCCATTTGTATGTTATTCTTTATCTATTCCTTTTCTCTGTTAAGATTCATAAAATAAGAATAATTTTGATTTTATTATTCTATAGTTTATTGCTACGAAAGAAGTTAATTAGCTCCTAGTTGTGAATAAGAGTTATTTAGATAAAAATTTTAGGAATATTGCACCATTCTTGATTGATGAAGCTGATTTTATTCCTCATTCATGCTGATAATTGTAAGGCGTATATCATGCTAAATACCTTTTGCTATTTAAGTGTTATCAAAATAATCTCTTTAAGAGACTCGTTTCAATTCATCCTTAAACTCTAAAACCTTTTCTATAAATTAATCTAAGAGGATCAAAGAACGAAAAAATAGGTCTTTAACATCTTATAATTGATTTATTTATGTTATAAATTCTCTGCAGCATTAGCTTAAACCTACTGCTGACACCGTATCTGCACTTTACTATAAATTTAATACTTCTCTCACAGTCTATTTTATATTTTATTATTCTCTCTGAATTGAAATATATATTTTTGATAAACTGTCGTCAACTGTAATTTTGTCAAAAGTTAAAAGCATGTTTGTATATTATTTTTCATCTCCATTAAATTTTTATATCCCTTAGTTAATATTTATCTAACGTGCAAGTTGCATTTCTATGTTTTCTCCTTATCTACAAAATAAAAACTTACTTGTTCAGAATAAATAAATATTTATTTATTGCTTAAAATCTTTAGATTATTTAATTTATTTTTATTAATTAATTGATTAGCTAATAAATTTTTTATGCACAAATTATATTTTTCCAGTAAATTAATTTTTTATTAAGATGAATAACAAATATAACAAAAAACATCCAAACCAATACTAACTATCTTTTACATACAAAACATTTAAATTAAAATGTAAAAGTATGTTAAATTTAAATATAATTTTTTTCTATCAAAAAAACCTAAATAAAAAGATCTATCCCTACATATTTAATTTTTTAGTTCATAGTATTTGATAGTATTAGTTCTTTCAGTAAATAATCTCTTGTTGAAAGTTTCTAAATTATCAAGTAAATAAAAATTATTTTCATAATTTATGCTAACTTGCATTTTTTTATATCAAAAAAACCTTGTTTTTTTAGAACTTTATCATTGCATATTTGATTTTTTAGCACATGGCTTTTGATAGTATTAGTTCTTGTCAGTAAATAATCTCTTATTAATGGTTTCTAAATTGTCAACTTAATAAAAATAATAAATATGTATTAAAGTTATTTTAAATAAAATTTACTATTTTGAGATGTATTTTAAAGAGGAGCAGACTTTCTAGCACCATTTTAGACTTAAACAGCAGGCTCTAATTCATTTTTTAATTCATAATAGCTTTTAGAAGACTTATTTAGTTCTAAAATCATTTTCTCTATTTTTAAATATCATTTAATAAAATTAATTCTAGCAAATATTAGTTACCTTTATTTGTGTTTTTTGGATTGTCTAGAATTAGTAGCTCTATTGATTAACTCTTGCTTTTCTACTATGTAAAATTTACATTTTAGAGTTATTGGACTTCTTCATCATTTTCATAATCGTCTTCATCATCAGAATGGGAGTTTACATAGACAGCTTTGTTCCGTATTTCAAAAAGCTAATACTCTCCCATTCTCTTTTGAAACGACTAAAATGCTTAGTTTATTTCTTGCTCTGAAAATTATATTAATTAATGCTTCTGATTCAATCCTCCAATCATTTTCAAGTTAGAATATTTTTTAAATTGTTGCTAAGCCTAATTTATGATTATTGAATAAATTATAACTATAATCTTATTATTGTGGGGTAATTTTGTTTTTAAGTTTGTTGCTAAAATGAAATTTAGAGTGAATTTTAGTAAAAGTAAATTAATTGAAAAGATTATTTTAAGAAATATTTTTCATTGATTTTTGTTTAAAAAACTGAAAATATGATGCAATATCAGTGATACCTTCCAGAAATTTTATATTAAATGAAAATAGAAAGCACAACTAAATAATTAATTTGGAGTTTTTAAATTATTGTTTAAAATATCTTTGGTGATTTTAATATTTAATTGATGAAATTTTGTGATTGACAATTTTAAATACATAATTAGTATCCTTAACAAAAAAAAAGATTAAAATTGATATCATTAATTAAAAGAAATAATTACACAACTTCTAGATTTCTATAACCAAAAGGAAATTTATTAGTTATTGAACATTAAAGTAATCAAGTAAAGTATTTTAAAAGTAGATAGATTTATTATATAAACTATAGCATTTCAAAATGTCATTCGACGATTTAGTTAATTTAAGAATTAAGCTAGGCAAATATTAGTATATTGCAATTGCAATATTAGTCATGGTAGATTTAAATGATGGAGTTTAATTAGTTTTAATGTCCTTTATCAATCCAATTATAAAAGCTGAATGGCACATTTCATCAACAGAAGTTGCTACCTTAACTAGTTTATTTTATTTGGGTACTGCATTAGGTTCATGCTGCACTGGCAGTATTGCAGATAGATATGGTAGAAAAATAGCTATTTAGTATAGTTCATTAGCATTATTTTTAATAAGCAACTCATTTGTATTAGTTAAAACAGTGGGATCTATGGGATTCGTAAGAGTTTTATATGGTTTCACATATGGATTCTCTCTTCCACTTACAACATCTATGCTCAGCGAAATCATCCCTATTTAATATCGTGGTAAAGGATTAGTTTTTCTAAACTTTTTTGTAAGTGTTGGAAAATTAGTAGGATGTATCTTAGCTATGATTTGTTTAGACAGCTTTACTTCAGGAAATTGGAAATTAATGATGATGTTAAGTTCTATATCTTCATTATTCGTATTTATAGCTTCCTCATCATATTTATAAGAGTCTCCTCGCTTTTTATTAGCTACAGGTAAATAAGAGGAAGGCTTTGACATTATTGATAGAATTATAAAAATAAACGATGCTCAAGCACCAGTTTTATCACAAGAAGAAAAAGATAGTTTAAAAGCATGGTCTTCATAAGTTTACAATAAGGAACATTAAGCAAGTATATTAGCTTTATTTTAAGACGATTTAAAAGGGATTACAATCAGAATGTGGATATGTTGGTTCATGGAGAATGCTATGTACTTTGGGCAGTTAGTAATTATGCCTTTTATTTTAGGGTAATCAAAAAAAACTTTTGGAAGCTATTTCATAACAATATTAGGAGAAGCACCTTCAATATTTCTTTCAGCTTATATTGTTGATCATCCATTATTAGGCAGAAGAAATTCTTTGACAATTTGCTTTGGATTATCAATGGTTTTCCATTTTTTTTGTTATCTTTAAGGAGGAGGAAGTTATTTATCTCTACTCACTTCTGTTGCTAGATTTTTTATGAAATAGTGTTATGCTATGCTATATCCTTTTAGTACTGAAGTTTATCCAACAATAGTTAGGACTGTTGGATTTGGAATGTGTGGAGGAGTAGGTAGAGTAGGTGCTACTTTAATACCTTATTTAATATTTACTCTTATAGATATCGATTTATATTCACCATTCTTAGTTTTTACATTTACAAGCTTATTTGCAATGATTTCTTCATATACTTTTCCCTTTTGCACCCGTGGCCGCTAGCTCGATCACATTCCCTAAAAGGCAGTTGACAAATAAGGTCATGTACACTATATTCATGATGAAAAACATCTTGTACATAACTAAGAAACACCTACACCAGGAAACGATTTAGAGATGAAGTTAATAAATAAATCATAAAATTATCATTGATTAAAACATTTAAATAAATAAAGATTATATAATTTATAAATATTGGTGAACCACCTTTCAAAATTTTTATAAATGGAAATACTAATTGGAAACAAGCATAAATTTATAACAAATAAATAAGAAAAAATATTTTGTTTTATTTATTATTAGTTTTTTAAGAATTTTGTTGTAAATATAATCTAAAAAAATCTATTAAATAATAAAAAATTGTAAAATTAATATTTATTGGTTGAGTTATATTAAATAAGTTCTTATTTTTCTATTATTTATTACACCTTTAAAATGTTTTAATTGAGTCGTTTGAATATATATTTTTTGTTGGAATAAGTAAATTTATTTTTTAAAGTTTGATTTAAATAGAAGCAAAATATTTGAGTGTTTTAATTTTATTTAACGTAATTACAAGTTAGTAATAATTAAATTAATTTGTTATTTATTAAAAGAATAAATTTAAGAAGTGACTTATATTAATTTAAAATAAGACATATAGATGTTTTAACAGAAAAGACATTCCTTTCAACTAAATTTTTATATTTACTTTTGTACTACAGACTTATTATTTATTTTATTAATAAATATTTAATTATTTTATTAAATAATAATTCTTAAAAAAATAATTTTCGTTTTAAAAATTATACTTAAAACTTACTTTCAAAAATTTTAAGCAAATATTTCTATTAAATAATTGGATGATAACTTAATATTAGCTTTCTTGTTTGTTTGGTTTAGTTATTTAGTTAGTTCTTTATTTATTTGTTTTCTTTTAGTTTAGTAGAATCATCATATTTTTTAAGAATTTTACAACAACTAAATTATTAGCTTAAAGTTTGAATATCAAAGAAATTAGTAAAAGTAGAGATTTATAAAATCAAAACTTTTTTAGCAAGTATTTTTTAGAAAATAAATTCATTTTAAATTTGATCAAAAAATTATGAGCTTCAGATCGACTTCATCTAGAAGCCCTCTTTCAGGATAATCTTAACTCACTTCAAAATCAGATAGTTCAAATAAATTGATGAATAGAAAATAATTATAATCTGTGATTGTAAGTAAATTTATTAAAGACTACCCTTAACTAGATGAATAAACTATTTCAAATGCTGTGTAAGATTTTATGTTAAAACTAGACACTAAAATAAATGAACTCAATTTGAAATAACTTAAGAATATTATTAAAGAATTAGCTTTAGAATAAATTAGTTAAAAAAAATAAATGGTTGTATTTAAACTTTCTAATAGCTAATCTACAATTAGTTGTATAAATGATTAGAAATCGTAGAGTTCAATAGAAAGTATCAGGGATAACAAATTTAATCAAGTAAAAAAAGTAAATTATCCCTCTTTAAATTAAAATTATAGAGCTGGTTAATCACTATCACCTAAAAATTTATCAACTTTGTCATCATTTAAAGAAAATTCAAATAACCTGGCTGGGTCTACATAACTATCTCTTTCAAATGAATCCAACAAAATCTAAAATATTCAAATGAAGGAATTTGAAAAAAATAAAATTTCATCTAGTTAAGATCTTTAATGCCCACACTAATAATCAGTATAATCTGTAGGAATAAAATCAATTCTAAAAAAGGCAAATAGAAGTTTGAGTCCTTAATGTGAAAAAAGGATTCCTCCTTTAAATGATTTGTAAAAATAAAATAGTTCAAGTACTTTATAATAAATCAAATCTAATCCTTTAAATTAAGAATAACAACCTCCCCTTCCTACTATTACAAAACCCTCTCTTAAAAAAGATGATAAATTGAATGAAGGATAACTTAAATATTAACACAGCTCAGAAAAGTAATAAAATGAAATTTAATAATAAATTATTGAAGAAAATGAAAAAAAATCAACTAAATATAAATAAATTTTACTTGATGATAGCATAAAAGATATATAAAAGAAATAATTACTTAATGTGTTAGGCTTACCTTTGGGAAAATCCAATAAAAACTCGTATTGGTCTTATTTAGACAAAGTTTAGCACAAAGATTTTCAATAAATCAAGTGTTAAAATCAAAATGAGTGGAAGGATAAATTTGAAGAAATAAAAAATATAAGGTAGGAGCATCAAATTTAAGGAGATCTTAAAAAGTAAAATAGAAATGTAAAATCAGTTCAAAGTGATTATGAGAGTGATGAAGATTCTTTATCGTAAATCACTTGCCATGAAACTGTTAAAGGTTTCGATTATAACAGATAAAAAGGAAATCTGCTTGAAACTATTTCTTAGTAACAATATATTGATATAAATTATGCAGAAATTGTTAAAAAGAATGCTGAGAATTTAGAAAGGGAAAAGTAATAATAAAGGGCAAGGAAAAAAGATATCTAAAAATACTTAAAAGAGTGCTATGATGAATAGGTTATTTAGAAATAAGTAGACAAAAAGGAAGAAATTTAGAGAGGTAAAGAATTTATAGTTTTCTAAAAGATCATTGAAGAGTAGGAATAAAGAGAAAAACACAATTAAGATATAAATAATACTATAAAATAAGCAAGAAAGTAAGAGTTAAAATAAAAAGAACAAGACAGATAATTGAATTAAAATAAAAAACTTAATACCTAAGCTGAAACTATGGAAAAATGTTAAAAAGATTTAAAATATGAGTAAGAATAAATATACTTGAGGAAGAAGAAAGAATTCGAATTTTATTAAAATGCAATAAAGGAATACTAGTAAGAAAACAGAAAGGTTAAAAAGAAAGTTGATGAAAAAGAATAGGATAAATTTTACATGTAAAACTACACTAATTATTTAGATGAGTAAGAGGAATAGAGATTGATGATAAATCAATAAAGATAGAGAGAGCTCTAAGAATTTTTAAAAAAATAAGCTGAAAGTCATTAAAAATTTAAAGAAAAAAAAATTAAAGAAGAAGAAAGATAATAAATGAAATAGATTTTAAATGAATATGTTGAGAGTAACATACAAGAAATAAAGGATTAAGCATATTATAAGAAGTAACTATAAGGTTAACTTAGAGATTTTCTAACTCAATAAATTGAAGAAAAAAAAGAAATTTAATAAAAAAATTTTATTGATTATGATAAAATTTAGCTAAAAGCCTGCTAAAAGTATAATGATGCTTAGAATTAATATGAAAATTAAATAAATGAACTTAAAAAGCAGTAAGAAATTGAAAATTTTTAGTTTCTTAAAGAGCAAATAAAACAAAATTAGCTTAAAAACACGAAGTATTTTTACCCACTAGCTTACTCTTCAATTCTAGAATAAAAAAATTAGAAATCATGATTAAAATTAATAATCAATATCATTATCATAGCATTTATTTATTTGTTTCGTAAATAAACTCGATTTAGTATTGTTTTTGATCTTATATTTTTTGAATACAAAATCTTTAGAAAAAAATATTTTTTGTTACTTTCTAAATTTAATAAAATGTTAATTTTTCAAAAAATATTATTCAAATTATTTTAATAATGGCGTTTTGTAAAAAATATTCATCTAAAAAAATAAAAATTGGATAAAATAATCCTTTAATTTGCTTTTTATCAAGTAAAATTATGATTGAAAATAAATAGCTTTAATAATTAAAAAAAGTGGCAACCAAGGTGGGACTCGAACCCACAACCTTCAGATTAGAAGTCTGCTGCGCTACCATTGCGCCACTCGGCTTTGACAATAGATTATAAGCCAAACTATAATAATTTTCTTTATTTTTAGCTAAATATTTTGAATAAAATATTTCTTAGAATTAAAATATAAAATACAATTCAGATTTAAAAAATCTTAATTTTATAACTTAATCAAATATAATGTGCTTTTTAAGGTTTGTTATATTTTTTAAATTTAACTAAAGTAAGAAAATTATTTAAGTTATTATTATTAATTGTTGTAAAAGCCGAGTGGCGCAATGGTAGCGCAGCAGACTTCTAATCTGAAGGTTGTGGGTTCGAGTCCCACCTTGGTTGCCATTTTTTGATTTGAAATTTATTAACAAATTTGAAAAATAATAAAACATAAATAAATTAATTGTCTGATTTATTGTGTAAAGCCGAGTGGCGCAATGGTAGCGCAGCAGACTTCTAATCTGAAGGTTGTGGGTTCGAGTCCCACCTTGGTTGCCATTTTTATTTTTATTAGTTGCAAATCTGAATAAAAAATTTATTTTGAAATTTTATTTATATATTGTATAATTAAAGATAAAATAAATAAAAATGGCAACCAAGGTGGGACTCGAACCCACAACCTTCAGATTAGAAGTCTGCTGCGCTACCATTGCGCCACTCGGCTTTACATGATAATGTGAAAAAATTAAAAAAAATATGTTAAATTTTAAATATTAAATGTAATTTTTAGGTTAAAATTTAGCTAACTCAAATTAGAATATCAAAACAAACGCGCCAAATAATAATTAATTTGAGGACAGAAATTCTTTATTTTTTCTAAAAATTTAAATTATTTTAAATTAATGATAAAATTATTTAAACATATCTGTCAAAATATATTTTATTATTTAGAAGGAGAGTAAATAAATATTTTGTAAATACCTTATAACTTTAAACTAATTCATTTGATAGATTTAGCGCTATTGCTTAAATTCAGAAAACACCATCCAAATTCAATCACATAAATTAATTATTCTATTAAATTACTAACTTATTCAAATTATTTTTACAAAATCCTCTCTCGAACACTTTTTAATCATCTAGCTTTTTACAGCAATTATTTAAATTTTTAATCTAATTAAATTTTTTAATCAAAATGTTTCTTGAATTTATTATATTTGCAATCCAAATAATGTTTAGAATATTTTTTGAAGCTAAATTTTACTTCAATTTAAGACAAAATTTAAAAATAATATACATTTTAATCTTTAATATTATTTGATAGAGTTAGGTTGAAGCAAATACTATTTGGATTGGAGAGTAGTGTTTTATTTTCAATATAATCTTCTCTCGAACACTTTTTATGTGTTTTCTATTGAACCCCAATTACAATATTTTCGATATACAATAAATATTATTTTATTCAAGATTAAGTATGTTATATTATTGCCCTTTAATGCTTTCATAAATTAATTTTATGATAAAAACTGAAATGATTTTTTTTAATTACAAAGTAAATTTAGCGTAATTTAAGGCACACTTTATTATTAGCTAAATACAATAGAAAAATTTGAAAATACATAATTAAAAAAGAGTAAAGAAATTTCATCTCATCCTATAAATAATAAAAGAAAGAAGAAAATATCAAAACAAATTTTTTTTATAATCAAAAGTGATTCCAATTGATAAAGTAAAAAAAGTTATCAGGAAGGGGAATATTGAGGAGAAAAAATAAAAGAATAGCTAAAGTAAAATCACGATGAATAGCAGAAACCAAGGCTTATAAAATGCGAGAAATATGATTAACAATGAATAAATGTAATAAGCATAATAGAATGGAAATGTTTAAGGAGCTTCTTAAACTTCTCCACCTTAGTTGCCTTCTTAGAATTAGCAAATTTTAAATTTAAATGCTTAGCAGTAACAATAATAAAATAATTTGCACTAAAATCAACAATAACAGGACATTTTACAATAAAACTTATAAATAAACAAAATGTAATCTTAAGCAGCAAATTAACAGCAGTTGCCAAACTAGTAATCACCTTGGAATTTCTAAGCTCAATGGTCATAAATGGCATTAGGAGTAAATCATTTTTCTTTTCAATTATCTTCACCCAAACACTAAAATAACTCATAATTATAATCACAAAGCTAAAATTAAAGATAAATCTCGAAAAAGAATTAAAAATTACATTTTAAATATATAAAAAAGTTAGCTAATGTCTCTGGTGGTAACAAAGAAATTTATCCTTTATAAATCCTCAATAACTCTTCAAATCTTTCAATAGCCAACTCATAGTAATAGTAATTATAACAACCTAATTAAATGCAGATTTCTTCATAGATTAGCAACAATTTTTAATCAAATAATAGTGATAATTAAGCAAGTGTATAAGTTAGCTAATAACAAGCTCAACTCATGTAACTACTCAAAACAAATAATAACTCTATTAACTAGAACTTTTCTACAGCACAATAAAATTTTAATAGCATTAATCCGAATTTATAGTTTTAAAAAATATTTGAAGAATTTTAGCTTGATCAATAAAGACTACATTAAAGGAATATAATTATGTATAAAGCTTTGCATATGAAGAATAATGGAAATATGGAGGCTGAGGGTAAAATGCTTCCGGAAGGTGGTTCAGATAATTAACTTGATTTTTAATAGGAAAATCAAGTCAATAATTAGGCTGTCCTTGAAAAAAATAACTTTAATTTATCGCGAGCTGACTAGAATAAAGAAAATAATGAAGAAGATGACTAAGATGATGATAATTATGAAGTTTAAGATTTTCGCTGGATCTTGGAAAAAGGAACCCCAGCTTAGCAGAGAGATTTTTTGTTAAATAAATTTGAAAAAAATAATTAATAAAATGTAATATCAAAGAAAAAGGAAAATTAAATCAATAATAAAGCTGTTCTTGAAAAAAATAACTTTAATTTATAGCAAGCTGACTAGGACAAAGAAAATAATGAAGAAGATGACTAAGATGATGATAATTATGAAGTTTAAGATTTTCGCTGGATCTTGGAAAAAGGAACCCCAGCTTAGCAGAGAGATTTTTTGTTAAATTAAATTGAAAAAAATAATTAATAAAATGTAAAATCAAGGAAAAAATGCAAAAATAAAAGATTTAGAGATGAAATAATTGAAATAAACGAAGAGTTAGATGCTCAGCTTCAAGATTAAAAGGACAATGATTATGATGAGGAAGCTTACGATGATAATCATGAAGGTGAAGATGAAGATGAAGATGAAGAAGAAGATGACGATGACGATGATGATGATGAAAATGATGAAGATTAGTAAAATGTTAAAGAGATAAAAGATTATTAACAGTTTTAAGAAGTTAATAAGCTTTATAGATAGCAACAAAAATCTTTAAAAAAAACTTCAGGAAAAAACTAAATAAATGGCGGAGATGTAAATAAAAAAGATAATAAAGCTGGAGAAATAATTTTAGATGATGAGAATCCCTAAGGTGCTAGACAAAAAATTGTGAAGAAAAATATTTTAAAAGCTCACTTTAGAGCATAACAGAAAAATTCAGACTCAATTTCAATATTTAGTAAAATGTATAATCAAGATCAAATAAATGAAAAACCTGTTTTCAAAAAATTTCCAATATAAAAATAAAAAAAATCTGAACAGTTATTTAAGAATTTGAAGAAAGATAATTCTAGTTCTAAAAACAATGAAAACATAGGCTAAGCCTCAAATGTAAGGGAATAAATTCAATCCTATCCATTAATTACTGATTTCTAAGTAAATTAATAGTAACTATCCAACGATTCTAATAACCTTCTCCAGCTTTAATTTAATGTCGGTTCAATTTCTCCTATACACTAAAACTCAGAAAATAGTGCGAGAAACAGATTGTAATAAGTCAATTAAAATGAAGTACAATCATCTTAACCCCAGTTTTCAAATGCAAACAGCAATTACAGCAACCAATTATTTTAGAATTTCTTATAAATGCCATCATAATTTAGAATCCCTTAAAACCCTTAATTAATTAATTTAGCAGCTGGTTTTTTAAATAACAACCAAGCATAAATAGTACCAACAATACCAGCAAGTGGTTAAGCATAAAGTTAAGCATCTATTTAGTAAATTGTTTAAATTAATTAAAATGCCTAAACTATAAATACAGATAGATCTGATTATGAAAGTAGGATACCTCCTATATAATAGTTAAATATGTAATAAAATCAACAGCCTTCATTACCTTTTTCTTTCAACTTATAGCAGCTTACTCAAAAGGCTGTAATAAATAATAATTAACAATAATAGTAATAATAATCCTCTTAATTCCATCAATAGTCTGGCTTTCCCTACAGCCAAAACATTCAATAAATTTAATAGCTATTCAGCTAAAATCACTCTAGTGTACCAAGGATGCCACCTACACCTAATCAATAATTTTATTCAATAAATCCCAGTGAAATCTACAGAAGAGAAAATTTATAACGTTTAATTAATGGTAACTTGCCAACTTAAGCTGGAATAGATGGAGAATTACCTTTAGAAACTCTTAATTAGCCTTTACAGGCTTCTGCAAGAGGGTAATCATAGCAGCAATAGTAAATACCCTCACAAACAGGATAGTAATAATAATAATAATCTTCATAATAGCAACAGTAATTATAATAATAGCAATAATAAAATTAACAATAATCATCATCATAGTAATAAGTATCACTTTAATAACCTATAAATTAAAATAACAATTATTAAGGTGCAAACAGAAGCTAAGCTTAGAAGCAAAATCACTTACCTCCTGAAGTAAAAAAAATATATTACACTTATCGCCAAAATTAACATCCTTAAGAATATGATCCATAAGAACCTTATATGAAAGTGACTGTGATGAAAACAAATTAAGACAATTCTATCTTAAATAATGTATACTATATCACTCCAAAAGGAATGGTTAAATCTAAAAAAAATACAGCTACTGATGATATTATTATAGGCAGATAAGAAAGTGCTAAACAGCCGGAACTTACTTAAAACGGAGAGCCAAACGAAATCCACCCAAACGATATTGTCCTTCCACCAACTGACAGAGCCATCTCTAGAATCCACTGCAAAATTATTTATAAACATGGATTCCATATCCCTAGATTGGTTCCTGATGACTTCTTTTTATTTTTAAAAGGAATAAAAAGAAGTTCTTTCTTAGTTAATATTCCGCAAAGAATACCTGATGTAGTCCTCAGACTTATTTGGAAGTTTGTCCGTCCTAAAAATTCTTTCTATATTGTTGATATAGGTAGCGCCTAAGGGACATTCATAAAAATCCGTTACGATAAATCATAGATTATAGAAAAAGGATAGGTCTTCTTGATTGGGGCAGAGACTTAATTTCATATTCTCGAAGTAAATCATCACAATTTTATGTAGAAAGATGAGTGTAGAGAAGATAGTGGAGCTATGACAAATGAAAATACTGGCAATATGGTATACGATGAAAATGATTTTATCAACTTCCTTCTTTACGAGAAAAAAGCAAACACAAACATACATGGACTCACAGCTGAAGAATAATAAAAATTAGAAACATTATATAATTAACAAGATAATGATTTATAAAATAATACTACATAACTTGTTGATAGCAAAAAGAATTTCAGACCTTATGTCAAGCTAAAAGTTAATTCCACATAAGTTTCTTACCATCTTTTTGTCTTTAGTTAGTAAGCTTAAGATTAAGGTTTCAAGATAGGCCGTTCTCAAGAATGTACTATTCAGATTAATATAAATACTATATCAAGAAAGCAATCTAGAATATTCTATCAGTAAAATTATTTATAATTTATTAATTTGCCTCTATTTTTTTTACAAAAAAACACTTGATCTTAAATATATTTTTTTATTTAGTAAAGGAAAGTGGTAGCTTAAGGATGGAGATATGACAAGAGAAAGTGCTAATGGAACATGGATTTCTTTGAATGACTATAGAGAAAAAAGTGAATCAAGGAATGAAAGTGACTAGAAAGAGATAGAAGATGGATCTGAAATAAAGATAAGTGACTCTATTCTTAAAATAGAGATTTGTAATAATGAAGTTAAGAAGGTTAAGCCTAAATATAGCTTTAACTTAGACAATTTAGATGACGACTAAATGGAAGTGGAATAAGAAAATAGTAGGAATAACGAAAATTCTATAAATTCTTAAGATAGGCCAGATTTGGATATTACTGGTTGATATTAAATACTATTTATATTGATTCTCTACACAAACTATTAAAAAAACATACAAAAAAATTAAATAAAACTATATTTTTTATCTTCTAAATAGAGATATTTATTTACACATTTTACTGGTAATTAATTATTGTCTCATTTTTAGAAGTTATTTATTAGTAACTCAATATTCTTTTATTTGTTATTATCTAGTATTGTTTATTATAATTACCATTCTTTTATTTTATGATTCTTATGTAATTAATATAACATCATCCAATATTTTTAAAGTTTTTAATAGAAATTAATATTTTTATAAATTACTAAGCAAATTTTTTATAATTAAATTAATAAGTTAAAAAAAGTTTTTTTTAATTTAAATGACATATTTTTAAAACTCAAAAAACAAAATTTAATAAATTAAAAACAAAAGTATTAATATTAATTAAATGTATTTCTAAAAAAATCTAAGAAAATCATTTTTTTTATTTAAGTTGAATTAATAATTTTTATTTTTTGGCTATTTTTATATTTTAAACATTTAAATATATTTTATTTATTCCTATCTACTAATAATAAATTCTCTCTTTATAATATCTATTTTCAAAATTTTTTTGTTCAATTTTTTAAAAGAAAATTTTTGTAAACTATTAAAAATAACACTTTTAAAATTAAAAATAAAAGTTTTTATTATTAATTATTTCATAATAGATTAAAACTTTTATTTTACAAATTACATTTAAAATTTCAATTAAAAGTTAAGCATGAAAAAATTATTTTATATTTTTCAAAGCTAATTTCATTATTATTTAAATTTAGTACAATATTTTATTAAATCAACTTAAAATTACAATAAAAATACTTTTTTATTGGTAAAAGATTATACAATACTTACTTGATAACTTAAATTTGAATAAACAATACAATATCCTTAATTTTAAGTAGATTAAACTCATTATGTTCAAAATCAGACTTTAGAGTAATAGTAAGGATATAATGCAAGTCTTGATTGAATTGTTTCAATGTCCTTGTAATGTGCATAGTTTTCATTATGAATTAAATCATCTAAAAGTTAGTTTTATTCTTCTTTGTGTTTTTGAGAAACCAAATAAAATTCTAAACTTCTTGGTTCTTAGTAGAGTAAAGCCTTAGCAAATTTAGTGAACTCTTCAAGGGTTACATTTTCAATATCCTCAACTCTTTTTTGTTCTTAAGATTAAAATATAAACTTTAATAAAATACTTTTATAAAAAGATTTTACTCTTTCCAAATATATACTAAGTGTTGATTGCTTCTTCGTATCTAGCAGTTTCAGCAAAAATGTCAGTGTCTTTTTCTTTGACTGTATTTTTTACACCCTCAACAAGTGTTTTAAATTATTCTTCTGTCATATTTATTAACTTTTCTTCCATAGACTACACAAATGCTTTGATTCTATTTGAAACTTCAATTGGTGGTTTGACATTAGATTGTACTACAAATACAATACCACCTATTCCACTTCTCGTGTTTACAGATGTAAATACTACATAACCAAGTTATTCTACAGTTCTTAACTAAGTAAATGCTGGTATTCTTAAGAAAGTTTAAACTAAGTCAAGTAAATTATGGTTTCTAATTGTGCACTCTTAAGGGTATTGATATAGCTTTGTGCCTATTTTTTAAAAAAATGTCTTATTAATTTTAATTAAAAAATTTTTAAGTTTATATACAAGTAGAATTTTCATCTCCTTCAGGTAAATGTCTCTACCAAACAATAGTTTAGTTTGGAATTAATTAATAAGCACGAATTTAATTAATTTCAAATTGCTAAATCATCTTGTAATTTAATTTTTAAAGAACCTCAAGCCCCTAATTTGTAACATCTAAAGCAGTTTACTTTTCAAAATTACCTACAATAAGCCATTCGAAGCGTAAATTCTTTAACCATTGCTTCACAAAGTGAGTAAAGCTTTCGAAAGTGATTCCTTTAATAGCTTCAGCCTTTTATTAGGGAGAGTGGAAACCAGTACGAACCAAATAATCAACGTAAGGAGCAATTTGTTAGAAAGGTGGATTTTTGAAGAAGTTGTCAGTCTCTTTAGCAACTTCTTCATAAATATTATTAAACAGTTCTTAATTTGCAAGTGGATTAAATGAGACTAATTTTTCAAGAATTTATAAAGTGAATCTTGGCAAAGAATCGTTAAAACCTTTAAAGTCTAATTTTAATTAAAGTGGGGTTATTGCCATTCTAAAGCTTAAATAAGCTTATTCTGCCATATAAGTTAGCTCGCTTACATGATGATTGAACAAAAGTTCCCATATTTTAGAATGTAAAACATTTTATACATTATGAGGAAGGTCGCAGCTAAATTAATAAAAATGTTTATTTTATAAAATTAAATTAAAAAAAAAAATTACTCTTTGAAGTAAATAAACAGACTAATCTAACCTTTAGGGGTTAAAAAGGTGTTATCCTGCTTAAACCAAACATTATCTTAAATTTGGACAGGTAACTTTGATTAAGTTTCATCATTTTTACTACCAAATATTGTCATAGATTTAGGAACAAAATCGTTTGGAGGAGGAAGATCAAGCTTTTTTTGTGATTTAGTAAAGCTCAAATCAGGATTTTCAAAAGATTTTATTGTTGTTTCATCAAAGTTTTCACAACTGTACTTAGTGCCATAAATAGGCTCAGTTAAGTTGCATAAAGACTCTTAAGTTTTAGATTGTAAGAATATTCTTAAGTTGCTAGTCTTTAAAGAGTCAATATACTTTTAAATCAATTCCTTATCAAAAGACTCAAATAAGTAAGGCTATACTAAAATATCTTCAATTTCATAGTATTGCAATTTTGAAGCAAGGGTGAGAATGTATTACATAATTTTCTACTTATCTACATTATCAAATTTTAATTTATTGATAGTATTTATTTCCTAAAAAATCCACTCTTAAGCTCCTTTTTCACGAAGCATTTTTAAGTAAGCAAATGTGGTATTAACTACCTATTAATAGATTTATTAAAAGCTTAAAATGAAAGTTTAATTACAAATGGTTCTATTTTACATTTTAGTAATTCTACAAGCCTTTTTGAGTGAGTTTTATTTCAATTTCAAAAAGTGTGAATAAGTTCATGTAGTCATGGTATCCTGAAGATAATTCTAAAGCTAGCCCTTCTTCTTTAAGGAATGAGAGCAAAGAATTTTCACCTTCGTGGCCAATTAGATGGCTAATGTACTTAGCAGGATTACTTTTATAATGTGGAAGAGTGTGGTCGAGAGTCCACATTAATTTAAGCTATATATTTATTTTAATGTGAATTTTAAGTATTTAATATTTACTAATTTACGTAATCTTCATCTTTTACTGGAGTGACTCTCCAGAAATTGCCCTAATTAGTATCATCAAAAGGCTTCTCTTCATACTTTGGAGAATCAATATCCTTGTTCTTAACAGACCAAAATTTATCCATCACTAATGTTTCTAACTATGAAATTGACTGATTGCTATAAACAACAAGCTTCATTTGATTACTGCTATAATATCTATTATTGTTTAAAAATAAATGTAGTAAACCTATCTCTTATTAATTAAATTTCTTTTTTTCTAAATGAACTAATTTTTTGATTTAAACTTTTTTACAAGTAGAAATAAAATTTTACCTTTCAAAGAATTTAATAAGATCTTCTCTAATATTAGGGTGATCCAGTGTTTCCAAAGACCCAACACCAAACTTTGAATTAAAAGTAGTTTAACTTGCTTTATTTTATTTAAAAAATATACCTTATTTAAAGGATTCCCCTTCTTAGCAGAGTGCCTCAATAGTTAGAATTAACGCCATATATCTTACTTGAAGTATAATTGATGTTCGCTATTAACTGCATTCATTTCTCTCTTAGCACAGCTTTCTGTAAATAGAGGAGCTATAAAGAATTGAGAAAAACGGTCAATACCACCTTCAAATGCAGAATTTGAACATTCAAAGAAGTAATTAGTTTCCATCAAATCTGTGTATGCATTAAAGAGACCAGAATTTTTAGAAAGATAATCCATATATTCTGATTAATTTGGATACTTTTCAGTACCTAAAAAGAGCATATGCTCTAAATAGTGAGCTAATCCTTCACGCTGTTAAATATGGTTGGAAATTAAATCATTTTATGTTTAAGCTTTTTAGCTTTTTATAATAATTTTATATTAAAAATATAATTTAATTACATCAGCTGGATCTTCTAAAGCTCCAACGAACACATTCATGGCTACACCAGACTTATCAGTTTCTAATTAATTGTAAATAAATGAGTATGATTTAAAACAATAAGAAACAAACATTTTTCTAATCATATTTATTTTTAAAATGAAAAATACCAGGATCAGAAATCAAAACAATAGTCATCTTATTCTCAAGACGGATTGCCTTATATTCTCTTTTGTCATTTTGACTCTTTGTAATTTTTGATAGATTCTCACACATTTTTTATATTTTTCCTTTAATTTCTTAAGATCAATGCAAAATTTTTATTTTAAAAGATTTATCAATATTGAATCACTTTCTGATATCTCTATCTGGTGAGAAACAAATACGCAATTAATTAAAGACCGTACTTTAGAAAGAATTCATTTAAATGAATTTTATAATTTAAAATACCTTTTTTGGTTTATAAGCCTTTATTATTTATTAATTTTTTATTTCTCCGTTTTCAAAAAATGCATATATCAATCAATGGCTTACTATATTTTCTATAACAAGCAATATGAATAGATTTTTTTGAAATAATAATTATCAACAGAAATTCGAAAAATGTATCTAAATTTGTTTTGATTAAATAATTAAATTAAATTAAAATAACTCTAGAAATGGTTGAATTAATTTATATTCTGGAATATTTGAGTGATAGAATAGTAATAAGAATATTTATTTTATAGAAAATACTTTATTTATTTAAAAAATTGTAATAGAGTTAATTAAACTATTTCAACAAATATTATACACTTATTGAAAATGAAATACTTAAAAGGAAAAAATATTTCAATTTTATTTTTTAAAGATAAAAATGAATAAAAGAACAGCAAAGGTAGCTAAAAAGTAAAGAGATAGATAAGAATTTTAAATACTGGAATATTTAAACTTAGTATTATTTATATAATTGTTTGCAGATTCAAGGTTGAAGAGAAAAGTATATTTAATGATATTTGATATAGCTAAATAAGCATAAATAAAATTTATTCATAAGGATAACTTCTTTATTTTTTTATAAAGATACTGAGTTACATCATATAATCAATCAATCAATTAAGCAAGCATACAAACAAGCTTAGAGCTAATTAATTTTTCTGTTTGAAACAAAGAAAAAAAGAAGCAAATATAATAAATAATTGATTTTACCTAATTATTGTAAAAATACAAATTATTAAAAAGAAAATAAAAAGTAAATCATAGCTTAGCTTGATAAAATGACTTTCTAACACTTCTACGAAGATCCTGCTCCAACTGCAAACGCCCCTGTTGACAACCAATCTGTTATTTCTGTTGACAAGATGTACGGTTTGGTAGTTATCTCTGCTTTAACTCTCTGCTTCCAATGCGCTGTCTATGGATACTTCCTCGTTGGACGTTACAGATCTAAAATTTTTAATAAGAGCTTCTTAGAAGCTGAGTTCGGACAACTCCATAAAGTAAGAAGCATTCATAATATTTATTGCAATCAGTTTTATTTACCAGAAAAAATTAAATTATTTTTAATCAACCTAACTTTAAATAAATATATTCTTTTATTTCAAAGGACGTTACTTAAAGATCTATTGAAGCTGGTGGTTATCCTGATATGGGTAGTGGTGTATACGCTTAGAGACTTGACTACTATTCTTGGTTATTATTCAATAAAGCCCAAAGGTAAAATTATTTTAATTAAGAATTATTTTTAGTACTTTATAAAAATAATTGAAAAAATTAATGAAAGAGTTTTTACAATATAAATTATACTATTTAAGTATGGTGTTAACAAACTAACTAACAATTATTTTATTATTAAAAGAATTCACTCTAACTTCTAAGAAACCCTTCCTATTTCAGTCTTTTTCCTCTTAGTTGCTGGTTTATAGTTCCCTATCACTGCTTCAGTTTTTGGTTTCATTCAAGTTTTTGCAAGACTCCTCTCTCTTGCTTACATCTCCAACTAAGGTGCTACTCACCCCCTTAGAAGAATATCTTCCTTACTTATTCTTGTTTCTATCCTCACAACTTTCGTTTTAGCTTTTATTAAGGGAGTTTACGTTATGAAGAATCACCACTAGTGAAAATTTTTGTAAGAAGCAAAATAAATTTATTATGGATAATAAGATATTCATAAATTTTAAGCGCTTAAATAAAATTCAAATAAATGTTTACATTAATATATGTCATTGAATATTTTGTAATAGCTAATAAATTTTCTTCAAATTTTTCATAAATTACTTAAATAATATTTTATTCGTTATTTATTTTACTATTTTTATGCAATTTGTTTAAATATTTACATTTACAAATTTTCAACTTTCTTAGTTTATTTCTTTTTGACTTTTTTATAATATTTAAAGAAACAAAAAAATTTTCAAATTCAAATATGTAATTGATATGAATTTATGAATACAACTTTTATATTCTTTAAGAAACAATTTTAAAACGATTTATGAGTTCTTGTGTTCTTTAATAATATTCAATTTATATAAATTTATGATAAATTTAATTTTTCAAGCTTTTAATTAAAAATTTTAAAATAATTAATTAGTTTTTCACTCTTTACTAGATTCTAAAATACTTTATTTTTATTTTTTTATTATTTAAATTAAAAAATGATTCAAATATTATTTTTTTTTAACAAATCTATTTTTTAAGAAATAATTTTTAAAATGATTAATAAGTTAGTTCATTTGTTCTTTAGTACTTTAGTAAATTCTAAATTAAAATAATTTTTACTACTTTATTATTTAAAATAAAAATTTATTTAAATTCAAATATTCAATTTTTAAATGCAGCGAAACATGAAGCTTCAAAATAATTAATTCAAACTTTCATTCCAAATTCTAAAATATTTTATTTTATCTTACAATTAATTCTTTTTTTTCTTTAAGTTTAAAATTTTTAGAATTTTCACTCATACAAATAAAGATTTTATACAATAAATAGTTATTTATTTGTTTGTTTGTTTATCTAATATTATAACTTTAAAAATTATTATTTTTATTAATTTTAGCTTCATAGAGTTACTTTAGCTTTATCAAGATTTAAATAATAAAAACTTTCACTCGTCTTCCATACTTCCATTAGCACCTCTACGTTTTACATTCAAAGTGAATTGTTTTCCCTATTTTTAAAATTAAATATTAGAATTTTTGTTTAAATAAATTAATTTTTTTTATTTACTGTATCACAGCCAAGATAAGAATCACACATTAAAATTATTCTTAGTTCATGAGAACCAGCTTCAGGTACATCAAATTAGAAGTCAACATCTGCCTTTTACTTAAAACCAAGCTTTTTTATGCAACGAAGTATATTTTTATTGGTATCTGCAACCATTACCCACCACAATTCTTCTTTTTACTAATTTTATTTTTGAAATAAGTAAATACTACAAATTAGAATACCAAATAAATTACCTTGGGATAGTAAGGTGCAACAACAAAATCAGTATAATCTTCACCTTCTCTTGTGATTGATATTTTCATATTAACCTTATCATCTCCTTCATAAATGCTATTTACATTCTAAATGCTATATGTAAAGTTAATATCAGGATATCTGTTTGCTGCATTAGCAATTTCTTCGATTTCTGATTCAGAGAATTTAAACTATTCGAAAACTTAATCTCTAGCTTCATCATTATTAAGAAGATCATTAATTGATTTGACATCAAGATCTGCTAGAGCTTTAACTATTTTCTCGTTAAAGTGAGGAAGTTATAAAAGTGGAGAGCTATCAGTCCAGACTGCTTGCACTATCATATGAGAGAATCTCATTGCTTTTATAGCCTAATTAAATTCATCAATATAAGCTAATAATAAAATTTTATATAATTTACCTCTTTTGGTAAGCCATTTGAGTTTATAACTTCAATTAATCCGTGTGTTAAGTTAACTGCCTTGTCTAAAACTAGCTTTTAGTCATAAGAGAAATCTGCAGAAAGGTTCAAGCGTGAGAAATAAGCTTAAAGTAAAATATATGCTTTCACATTTGGATCATTGAAAACTTCAATGCTACTATCTACAGGATACATAATTTATTGATTCAATTACTTTAATAGGTTTTCTTCTTAGTGACGAACAGGGATATCCAAGAATTCATTTGCAGAGCAGATGATGTTAATCAAATGCTTTGTTGATTAGTCTAAGAATGTAAAAGAAAAAAAATAAGAAATAAAAATTAAATTACAAAGTAAAATTACCTGGCTTTATTCTCTCATTAAACATTTATATTGTTTATACATCAATATAGTAATATCCTGCAATAGAACCTAAACTTAAAAGAGCTAAATTGTGCTATTCTAATTCTTTAACACACTTATATTCTATTAAATATTCAATAGCTTTTTCAAATAGATCACACAAGAAATCATTAATGGCAGGTCCTGAAACTTCTCTGAGTCCATAGAAGTAAGGATTTTAAGATAATCTTCTATACATAAATGTCCAAGTGCTCCAGTCAATACAAGCTGGTAAAGAAGTAATTCTTTCAGCATAAATTTCACCACAAATGTGATTAGTTATGTTTTCTGATAAGATTGATTCTACAGGGAAAGGTTCAAATAAGAATTTCTTATAATATTCTTTCTTTGGAGAATGGCAAAAGACTAAACACTTAGCTGCTTAAGCGTTTTGTGCACTTGCGTTTTTACTCTTAGCATAAGCTATTTTTTTGAAGTATAAAAAATTAATTTAAATCCAAATAAAATGAAATTTACCTATCATTTAAAGCATATCAGGAATGGTATAATCAATATATCTCTTTTCACGACCATCATATCTTTGATTGTCAAGGATGATAACAACTTAAGAGTGAAGATTGAGCTCCCAGCATAATTTGTATGTTGAGATTAGAACTTAAATAGCTCCAGATTAGTATAGTGACTCAACAACTTCTCTTTCCTATTCACTCATACCTTCATAGATAAATCCGACACCATATTTTAATGATTATCTCAAAGAGAGATCTCTTAATGACTCGACTATTTCTTAAATACTATCATATGGAACCTTCAAGAATTTCTAAGGATTATTGTCACCTGCGGCTAAAGTTTACAAATCAATAGCAGTGATTTTAGCTTACTTTCTATCAGAAACAAAAATTATGCCTTACTATTGAGGTGATTTTAAGAATAATTTGAGACCTTTGAATAAATTAATTAAATTAATTTTGCTTGTCCAAAATAAAGAATAAATTAATTACCTTAATACATGTGCTTTTGCATAGAAATTAAACGAGCCTTTCTGTGATGCTATTCAAAACCAGTAATATGTAAATCTACAGGGTAAGGTCTAACATCAGGACTGAAATTAAAGGTATTGCTAGGATTAGCACCAATCCATGATGCCATTTCTTTATAGTCAGCTACAGAAGTAGCCAAACCAATAATTTGAAAATTATGATTAACTTCTTTCTTGCCTTCTTATTTGCCTTCTGATTTAGAAGAAAGCAATGAAGAGAACTATCTCATACGAGAAACAATAACTTCATAAGTTGAATTACATTCATTAAGCATATGGAGTTCGTCAGCAATGAAAAGTTTTATATTTTTGTTAATGATTTATTGTGTTTTTTTCCATTTTCTAGTGTTTATATCCCAGTTTTCAGGTGTAGATATAATAATATCATACTTGGTAAAAATTTGGTTGTCTGTTTTAGTTTAACCAGTCAATATGGCAACCTTTTTGCCAAGATGCTTAAAAGCCTTAGAAAATAGTTTGTACATATTTTGGCAAATAGATTCAAAAGGTGCCACATAAATTACTTTTTTATTTTCATAGTATGTTTTAAAAATTCTTAGCATAGCAACAATAATGCAAGCTGTTTTTCCTGAGCCAGTAGGAGCTCCAAGGAATATATTTTCAGATTGACTGTAAAATTGATTCAAAACTTATGTTTATATTTTGTTGAAGGTAGTAATTCCTATTTATATTTATTAAAAAAATTAAAATTGTCATTTAAAGAAAAAAATATTAGTTCAAAATTGATTTCTTAAATGAATGAATCAATAATATACCTAATTCTTTTAGAACAGCCTCTCCTTCAGGGAATCTTAATTCTGATGTGGGTACTAACTAGAATTCTAACAATTTAGTAGGAGCACTGAATTACTCAGGGAGGATTAAATCTTTAAAGAAAAGAGGTTCAATAGTCTCACACTAAATCCATCTGTCAGAAATAACTTTGATATAGTATACAGGATGCAAGTTTTCAAATAGACTTACAATAAATTAGAAAACGTAGGGACTTTGTTCGTCTTCGGATCTTTTTGCACATAATTTGTGCTTCTTTGCAGTGAAATATTCATGGTAAAGTAATTCCTCTTCATCACAGTCAGTTACCAATATCCAAAATGGCTCTGAATCACCATGGAAAGAGTCTTCCCACTAGAAATCTCCTTTATCGATAGTAATAGTAACTTGTAAACAACTTCTTGTGATAGGAATCTTATCTACAGTTATTTTAAGTTCTGGCATCATACGAATTCTATTTTTAAGAATGGCACCAAGCTTATTATTTTTAGTATCACCTGTTTTCAAAAGTTCCATTAATTATTATTCATTCATGGCTTTTAGACGATTAAATGTCATTTATTCTATTTTTTCTATTTTTCTGAAAATAGATTCACCAATTTTACCGAATTTCTTATTGCTTGATTATCTAAACTATCTGATAGGTGTCATGCAGCTCCACATTTACTTATCAATCATTTTACAAAGATTTAATGCATTTTCAGCAACATAAGCCCATCCTCTCTTTAATGAAATCTCAAATATAGCTCTCATAATACGTCCAGCACTTTATGTAACAAAAATCATATCAGCATTCAATGCATATCCTTCCATAGGTAATTTACCAATGTAAGCCTTTTATATATTCAATATTTTTTTTAGAATGAGATATTTAGAAAATCTATTTATTGGAAAGAATGAGTGAATATAATTTGTTTAATTAAATTACCTATAAAAGAACATTTATTTTAGAAGAAGGTTCTTCTATAGAACCCTTAACAGGTATAGGTACACTTTCCATGAGACGAGAGAGTTCAGCTTTTTCTTCTTCTCTAATAGGAATGTATTTAAATTCATTAGAAAGAGAGAAAACCTTAAGTAACTCAATAACACCCATATTTTGCTTTAAGTGCTTATTATAGATTTCCATCGAAGGGTATTTGATATAATAGTGAGATGAAATCTTACCTAATGAAGTCGATTAGAAAATACCGGTTTTCTTATCGTATTTTATAAGTCCATATTTATCCAGTAAAGTAGCTGCTGAATGAATCAAATTAGCTCTATGCTTTACTAGGAGTCTATCATTTTCATATTCTTCATCTGAAATATGATAAACCTTAGGGCTTCTCAACATTCTAATATATAAATATGTATAACCAAGCCAATCAACAGCTTCTTTAATGTTAGACACTGTTCCTAATACAATTTCAGCGTTCAATTAATCAGGGAGTTAACTAATGAATTAGGATTCAATAGGTAGTTATTGATTAAGTAAACTCAAATAGTAATTTTTTTCCTAAAAAGAGGTAATAACAATACTTTCTCCCCTTAGATCAAAGCCAGGTCTACCAGCTCTACCAACCATCTTATATTTACAAAAAAAGTTTACTTAATAATTGTTTGGGTAATTTAAGATTTATTTAAAAAGAAAATTTTTAAAGAAATAAATCAGCTATTTACCTAGATCATATCTTGAGGGCTCAATTCAGTCCATTTACCAAGTTCAGGAGAATAAACTTAAGTACCTTTTATGATAACACAAGAAGCAGGCATATTAACACCCCAAGCTAAAGTGGCTGTGCAAACTAAAACTTTAATTGTCTTTTAATAACGATTTTAGAAGAATAAATTTTCTACAATATCCCTATCATCTCTACTTAAACCAGCATGATGGACTGCAAATCCCTAGACAATCATTTCCTTCAAATCTTTATTTTAGATATTTTCAGCAGCTTTCTTTAAAATTTCTTCTGCATTTGACCCTTCTCTTAAAATTAAAATAAATTTAATATAAAATTTTTAATACATTAACTAATAAATTTATTTACTCTACAAATTTATTTAATTCGTTCATTTGGTAAGCCTATTGACGTAAAAAATTTGCAGTTTTAACAGTATCCCTTCTTGAGTGAACAAAAATGAATAAAGGTTGATCCTTAGAAGCTCTTTACTCAACTTTCTAGTACAAGATTTCATTTGTTAAAAGCATTCTTTTAGCTGCCTTCTTTTCAGAAATACCAATAAATGATTGTTAAAGAGGGACAGGACGATAGGTATGATCAAAAAAGAACATACCACCAGTATTTTCTTTTTTATTCAAAGGCTTTACTCTCAAGAAATTCTAAACATCAGCAAAATTTGGAAGAGTTGCAGATAAACCAACTATTCTAACATTTTCCTATTTATTTAATAATTTTAATAATTATAACTTATCTTTTATAAATAAAATAAATTACCTAGGTCTATTCAGTCATTCTTATAGTTCTTGCAACTAAAGCTTCAAGGACTGGACCTCTTTAATCATGCAATAAATGAATTTCATCAATAATCAAAAGTCTAACAAGCTCTGTATAAGTTCTGTCTCCTGCCTTTCTAGTGATAATATCCCATTTTTCAGGTGTAGCGATAATCAATTAAGTTGAATCGATTTGTTCTTTAGACAATTAACTATCACCTGTAAGTTCTCTTACAGTAATGCCGTAATATTCTATTTAGTGAAAAAATATTTTAATAAATTCAGATTAAAAATATTTATGAAAGGAAATTTTTAAATATTTTAAAATTAATTAAATTAAGAATAATTAATTACTAAGTCTCTATGTGAATGTTAAAACCATTTCACCAACCAAGGCTTTCATTGGTGCCAAATAAACAATTTTAAATTTGTTTAAATTCACAACTCCTCTACGGTCAATATATTTGCCTATGACGTTAAGAATCGCAAGCAAGGCAATATTTGTTTTACCAGCTCCAGTAGGTGCACAAACCAGCATATTTTCAGTTCTGTTAAAAGCACAATCAAACACGGCTGATTAAATTGGATTGAATTCTTTTATATTAACTTCTTTATCTACGAAAGGCTTTTGGGCCCATTCAGGTAATGCTGTAACTTATTTTAATTCTGCGTTTATCTGATTATTTTACAAGAAACTATTAGATGAAAATGAATTAAATAAATAATTTACTTTGATTTAAGTTGCATTTATAATTGTCTCTTCGTATCCTTTATAAGAACAATTAGTGGCTCTTTCTGGAGCAGTGAATTGCTAAGTGCTCATGAAGTGAGAACCTTCTTAGAAAACTAAACTTTCTAAGTCAAGTATTTTCTTACTGATTTTATTGAATTCCTTAAAATTTTGAAAAGAAATTAATTTGATGGAAAAATAGTTGAAACTAATTGAATTACTTCATCTGTAATCTTGTTTGCAGTAATAAGCTCTTCAATATCCATTTCTTTACCCTTAAGATTAGCCATCTTGCTCTTAGAGTCAAATTTATTTAAATGATCTGATTTATATTTTTTATCAATATTTTGTAATTATTCCCATACTCTTTCTCCTGCTTCTGTTGATCTCATTTACTCAATGATTTAATCTTTTTCCTATTACTTTTCAGCTCTCTAAAGCAAAGTGCAAAAGTAAATTTTGTGTCTGTTTTAATATTAAAGAAAATATTTAGTTTATAAATAAAAGTTTCTAAATAGAGGTTTACCTATTTTTTTCAAGCAAAGAAATTAAATCAAACTAATCATAACCTAATATCTTAATTAATTGACTTTGACAAATAATATTATTTTGTTCATTAAGCACAGACAATATTTCTTTATCTTTTTTCTAAGCTTACATGGGGTCGTTATAAATCTATTCATAGTAAATTTTCAAAAGGTAAATAGATTGTTTACATTTAAATTAAATATTATTTTATTACATCATTTAATTTGGTTTAAAGCCAATATGCATCAATAGCTCTAACATCAATATTGTTAGGATCATTCTTTTCATTTTGATTGCTAAAGTTGTCTCCCTGTATTTCATCAAAATAAATATTAAAAGGGCTTAATTAAAACGTAATTAAAAAAATATTTACATTAAGAGCTTTAATCTATTAATTTTATTCCTAATCTTCATCTTCTTAGTCACTTTCTTCATCAATATCTTGCTAATCTTAAACTTAAGCTTAGATTTAATCATCATCATTATCATCTTCATCATCTTCTTCATCAATACCCATATCTTGATCTTCATCATTGCCATACTTTTATTCATTTTATTCATAAGATTAATTGTAATCATTGATTTGCATTGCAGTAGTTAATAAGGAATCAAATATTTCTTAAGGAATTTCAGTCTAGATAAGCTAATCAATTTCTTTTTTTTTCTCCTTATCTCTCTAATTATCATTTTTCAAGGTAGCAAGAATATTATCTGTTACACTTATGAGAACATCTCTTGGCTAATCTGTTAAAATTTTGTTAACTTTGCTTAAGATACTCTCGTACAATATCCTGTTTTCGTTAGTTTTAGGCTATAGAGATTTATATAAAGATGAAAAATTAATATAAAAATCAAATACATGTCTTAATTTATAAAAATAAATAATAAATAAATAAACATGCATATAAATAAATAGATAACGAGAATATTTTTTTGTATAAATCTTACCTTATATAAAATTGAAGGGTCAATTTCAGCATTCAAAATATCTTTCTTTTCAATTTTCTATTTTTTTAAATTGAAAAAATATTTTAATTTAACTTGCTAATTTAGTTAATAATTTTGATCAAAATTTACTATTTTAGTTTTCTTTTTAGGTTAAACTAAATTGTCTGCTTTCTTTTTTTTGAGCTTTGAGTCTTCATTCTTTTTCATCATATCTAAAATCTTTTTAGGATTTTATCTGACAGCATATTCACCCATCTTCAATGAATCTAAATGACCTACTAATGAAATAGGCTCACCAGTATTCTCATCTCCTCTTTATCTTTCTCCTTAAATAACTTCATTTGCTTGCTTTTTAATACGGAAATAATGTTAATTGCATATTCATTTTCAGAATATATCTTAGATTTGATATTTTTTTTATGATAATGTAAATATATTTACTGTGTTGAATTGATCAATAACCTAACGCTAATCGGCCATATCTTAAATTTTTCTATTCTAGTTTTTATATTATCTTAATTTATATTTTAGTGCAGAAGTAGGTAAAACTAAATATTGAATGTGATTTATATATAGACTCTTCTTTCTTCTTTTAGCTAAGATATAAACAAATTCTTTACTTATTTTATTTAATATCAAATGCAAAGCAATTTAACTTTATTTATTTTTAATTTCCCTTTTCAAACAAACTAAGTATTCAATCAGAAAGAGACAAAGAAAGACAGACAGACACAGCGAAATGTAAAAATCACAATATAATGAATCTCTATGTATTGTCTAGCTAATAAAATTATCAATCTTCAAAATATATAAGATACGCATTTATTTAAATCGTTATTTATTATTATTATTATTAAATAAATTAATAAATATTTTGTGTCTATGAATTTTCAAATAAATTGTACTCACTGATAAATAATATAAACTTTTTTTCAATAAAAAAATCAATGCAATTTTTTGTTGAAAAATTATTTTAATAAGAAATTGACGAGTTAAATGAAAATAAATAAGAATTGAAATAAAATAAAATATTAAATTGAGCTTTTGTCTATTGGTTTTTATACATTTTATATAAATAAATATACATTTAATATTAAGAAATAAATTTAATTATTTATATAAATAAAATGATCACTTTATATTTAACTTAATTAATAAAATTTTGATAAAAATAAATTGATTAATTAATTGTTGATATATTATTTACTACTCATTCATCTAAATTCGAAGATAATGTACATGAATTTAATTAGCTATTGTGTGATTTGAAAAATTGATAAAGATCTATTTTGCTATTTTCTTGATTATTTGCTAAATTATAATCAAATTAAGCTTATATGATTCTATTTTAATTAGCTGCAGAGATGATATCTGAAATAGAATTTATTTTTTTATTATCTTAAAATTAACATGTTATTATTTATTTGTTAATTGGTATAAATCTGTTGCTACTGTTGGGTATAGCATTGGTCTGCTCATCAAAACATATTGAAATATCTATTTGATTTGTTTAAATATCAGATTTCTCAGATTTATCAATCATCCCACGATATGATTAATTAATAGATGTATTTTCTATTTATGGTTATTTTTGGCTGTACCATGACTTTTCCTTTATAATTTTTTAGGGGAGAGCTTACTAGCTTATATGTAATTAATTTAAAACACTTTTTTTAATTTTTAATTATTTTCTCCTCTTCTTCTTTAAAATAATCTTTAATTTAATTTAGTTTTGATAATATTCTAAAAGTTAAATAGATTTATCGTTTATTCTTTTTATTACTTTATCTATATTATTGTGTACAAGAAATTTTTTGAAGATATGGTAAGAGTCAAAACTATTTTCAATCAAATATAAGTCACTTTCGTTAAGATTTTAGTTTTAAAGTTGTTGTTAATTATTATTTACAAAATTTTATTGTTGTAACTAAATAAATTTACTAAATTCTAAAAACTTTTTTTCATAGCTAGAAATCTATTATTTTTAACCGAATTAGATATTTCTGTTACTTCTAATTTAATCTTGGCTTTATCCTATAGTTTGAAATTAAGGTGGATAATCTGTAAGTATGATTTAGCTGTTTGAATTTTACTAAATTAAATTGCTATTTATATTTGACTACTAATTGCTATAATTTTTATTTATATTTGCTAAATTTTGCTAATCTTGAATAAAAGTATAACTATTGCTATTATTATTGTTATTGTTATTATTATTATTATTATTATTATTATTATTTAATATAAACGTGCTTTTTCTTTTTCTTAAAGTGGTATTTTTTCTTGATGCCATTCTTCGAAATTATTTTACATCTTAATTATTTTAAGAAGCATCATTATAAGGATCTTAATTTTGGTAATTATCTTCTAAATTTTATTACTACTATTAATGCTTCTAAATTTCATAAAAAGGATATTATGGTCCTTTTATTCTTTGTTCAATCAGAGTATCAATTCTTTAAAAAAAATATTTTATCATATTATCATTTTATTTTTTCATATCTTCAAAGTCTTTTGTTGAAGTTTATTCTTATTGAACTCTATTCAATAGTAAAAAAAATTTAACATAAAATAATCATTAATATTTATTTAAAATAATTTTGTAAAATACATATTTATTCATTAAATTTAATATGATATGTATATATATTTAATTTTTATTTTTTTTCCTAAATTAAAGAATTTAAATTTTAATTTTTAAATATGTGAAGTAATTAACAATAAGATTCCTTATTAAAATGTTTTGAAAAATAAGGTAAAATATTTATTTACGATGCTCGTTTTCTGATATCTTCATTTGATGAAATTTCTTATGTCTCTATACTAGTTTGTTTACTGTATTTTAACTTACTAGGTACTTAAGAAACTCCAGGTTTCAAAGGTGACAAACTAATCGAAAATTCAGGATTTTGATTTAATATTGTTTTTCTTTTTTAGTCACTACGTTCTTATCTGATATTATATTAACTATCTTACCTAGTAGTAGGAAAAAGACTATCTAATTGCCTATATTCCTCTTTTTAATTTATTTTATTTCTAATTTCAGCTTAGCTGTTATCTTCATTTAGATCATTAAAACTTAAAGAATCCAAAAAATCAAATTTTGATATCTAATTCATTTATAGATAATAAAACGCATGGCTTTTGAATTGGCATTCTCTAATAAAGCATGGATCTCTGGCTTGTTTAGATTCAAGAAATTTATTTTTTAGCATTAACTTATATTTATCACATTTATATTACAATAGAGGGCAATTTACTACACTGTGATGCAAACTTTAGCAAGAATAGCACTTTATACCACAATTTTGTAATATACCAGTCATCTAATAAACATGGTTGATTTGAACTAGAGTCTCATAATCTTATGGAAATTGTTTAATTAAATTTAAAAAATCCTCTCTTTTTATGCTCAACAACTTGGTAAAATCAGTTGTAATTACTGTTGCATTTCTTGGCTGGCCTGTAAAAAATCTTATTTACCCAAAATACTGTCCTTCTTTTAGTAAAATAAACTCCTTATCTTTTTCAGAATATTTTAAGTTTTAACCATACTACCTTAATTATTAATTAATTCAAAAATATTTATAATTTAAAAATAAAATTTTTAATTAAATTTCATTACTGTTAGCTATGAGCTAAATTATATTCAAAAATTACTTTTAGTGAACCTTTTTTGATAAAATATATAGACCCATCGTCGTCATCGCTATTCTATTAAATTATTTTCTAATCTGGAATTAGTGTGCTTTCTTTAATTAAAGATGCAAGACGCAATATTAAACTTTGAGAAAAGTTATTTGAAAATATACTTGTGTCTCTCAAAACTAACCGATTGGCTTCCTGTTTCATCTAAAATCTTAAATCTTCAGAAAGTTAACCTATTATTTCTTTCTCTTGTTTCTCATAATTTTCTTTTATCTGGGACCAATAGTACTCTAGGTATTATCTTATCTAATACTGAAAGTGTGAAGAAATTTAATGTTAATTCATGTACCTGTTAATAATATACATATTTCCTTCCTTTTATTTCTATTCTTTGCCAAATTATTCAAATATAACACCTATTTAATTTATACTGTAAGCAAATAAACCACAAGCTATAATCATAGTGAAAATGCAAAGAACCATTTCTGTTTCATTAACTGCATAGATATCACCATAACCCACGGTAATCATAGTCACTGTGGAAAAATAATAAGCAGCTATATACTAAGATCCCCAGCCTCCATGTTTCAGAATTTCTACTTAATCCATCCATGTTTTTGTGATAGAATTCCATCTAGAAAGACTAGCTTTTTCCCAATATGCCACTTGTACCCAAACACAAGCAAAATAATGTGAAACTAGCAAAATATTTTTTATTAGCTTGATAAGCTGAATAAAGTTCATATTTATTGGAGATATTTCTACTATTTCAAAAAGCAACCTCTCTATTTATAAAATTGATCTTAGCTTAAAAAAGTAAAGTATCATAATCCAAGAATTTTATTCATCATCAAACCAATAGCAAAAAAGAACTGAAAAATCAGCAATTATCCCGTCAAGCAAATGTTCCATTAAATATTTTTTAATTATTTCAGGTCTACGCATAATAACTTCTCCTTTTTAAAAATATCCTGTATTCATCTTAATAAAGTGATCCAAAACCATAAAAAAGAATATTAATTTTGTTCCAAATTTACTAATTATATCATAAAATGTTACTGAAAATACTAATTAAATAGGTAGAATTATTAAGATTATATTGATTGATATGAGTTAAATCAAGTACCAAAGCTAACAAAACTTATTAGCAGGATGAAAAATTGGTATTTTTTTTACCACATTAAAAATAAATTTTATAAATTAATTTGCTTCTACTTTTTTTGAGAAAACATTTGAATTCTTATTATTTATTAAGCTATTTTCAGATTGTTGATATCTTTCATTTTTCCTATTTTCATCAGCTACATAAGCCGCAGAATCTCCTATCCATTTTAAATGATTTATATTGAGTTACTTTAGCATTTTGCTTGGTAAAAACTTTAATATCTACTTCATTCTTACCTTTAATTGCATTCTTTTAAGGATATTCTCTTAGTTAAATAAAAAATTATCACTGAAATAATTTTAGCATATGGCTTGCAGGCCTGTATTAAGTTCTTATGTTTATTATTTACTATTTTGTTGATATAGGTTATCATTATTATCACTAAAACCTGAATTATTTCTAGATTTGAAGTTTGAACTATCCTAAACGTTCTATTAGAATTATGAAAATACAAGACTCTCATTATGATGTGATGAAATTTTTGAATTTATCTAACTTAAACCGAAGTGCTATATTTTACTTGATACTTAATTTTTCTCAATCTGCAAAATATTTTTATTTAAATTGTCAAAAATAGAAGAACGATCTTGAGAAGGGTGATCTTCTAATGTAGTTTATTTAATCATCTTTTAAAATCAAAAACTTATTTCTACTAGTGTTTTTAATTAAAAAACTTTTTAACTAAAAAGTGGCAATATTATTGTTTATTTACTTTAATAAAAAAAACAAAGAAAAAATTAATGCCTATTATTAAATTATTTTCAATATTATTTTATGTAAACAGCAATTTTCATACTTTTATTTTTTCAAAAAAATAATCTAATAATTTTTTTCTAAAAATATTACCTTCATTTTTAAAAGGTAAGAGAGGTTATTAAAAAGAGTGTTACAACGCTGAATAAGTTTTTTTAAGAGTTTAAAAATTTAGAAGTTATCCTAAAATGCGAAATAAGTATGTTTATAATAGTATAATCAAAAATAAGTTTTGATAAACTTAAAAAAATAAAGTAAAGCAAAAGAACTTAAAATCAAACAAAAGGAAAGTGAAAATAGTAAGAATTAGGTAGAAAAGCCTTAAATATATTGATATTTTTTGATTCAAATTAATTAAGATTAAGTGATTCAAAGTTTTTATTAAAATAAATGAATTAATTTTTGACTCGCTATTTATTTTTAAAATATTTTATAACCTACAGGATTTAGCATTAAATTCACTTTGCTTATTTTCAATAAGAAATTAATCATTAAATCTTACATTTTTCTTGTATTATTTAATACACTATATTTATTTTAATGTTTTGCATTATCAATTGAATATTCATATACACTATTAATGGTACATTATTTAACTATTTTATATTTTTACTTTTTACTTAATTTAACTATTTAGATTGTAACTTTTTATTGTCATTTATCATATAAAAGAAAAATAAGAATAAACAAACACATTGAGTATTTTATATATAAATATATTTAGTTAAAAAGGCTTAAATGTCTTTTTTCGTTTTATTATTTGATTAATAATTAATTATAGGTAATTATTTATATTAATAAATGCTTTTGTAATTTTATGGAAAATTAAATTAATTAAGAAAAAGGTAAAATATTATAAAAATTCATCAATTAAAAATTAATAAAATATTTTGACATTTTTTAAAATTGCTTTCAAATAAAACAATACTTAACAAAATAAAATTAAAATTTAATAAAAATCCATTTATCATAAAGTGAATAAAGCAAAGTATATGTTAAAGATGTTTAATAATAATTTGAAATGAAAATGTTATTTATATACTTATTTTAATTAAAAAATAGATTATTAATTTAATTTATTTATTCTTTTATTTTAGTTTAAAGTCTTTTTAAGAATTTATCAAAATATTTGACACCTTACAGCATTTAGATAAGCAAAAAATTAGATATATTAGGTAAAATTTAAATATATGTAAACTAAAAGGAGATTTTGTCGAAAAGATATGAAGTAACTCGATTTCCTAAAACGAGTTTATAAATAGAAATCATTAGCTGAGAGAAGAAGAATTCTGGAATAGAAAAAAAATTAAATTTATTAAGCAGTTTTGAAGATAGTATAAATAAATAAATTAATTAATTTTGATTAAAATTCTTTCATAATTATATTTAGATTATGTGCTTACAATTTGAAAATCAAAACTAATTATTTTATTTTGTGCGCTAATTTGATTGCTATTATACTCATTCCAAACTAATTTAATTACAAATCTATTCATTTATCCTAATTTTGTTTATTTTTCAAACTATTTCATTTGTTTTGTAAAAATACTAAATTAACTAATTACTACGAAATACATGTTTTACATTAATCTAATCTTTTTCTTTTTTTGGTCTCCCCAAAAAATCTCTGTCTGTAAATTAAAAAATTGATGCAAAATAGATTTAATATTAAATTATGTGTGATCATATAATAAATAGATTCTTTTTACTTAAATTACATACATTCGCTAATCAAATTAAAAACAATTCATTAAGTTAAAAATGCATAAATAAAATTAAATTAAAACAATCTTGATAAAAAATATTGGAAAAGTGAATTGAAATATGAAGTTATTATTTTCTTCGTCTTCTGGGAAAGAAAAAGTACCAAAAAACTTAAATATAACTTAAAAGAATATTTTTGGTAATTCTGAAAACTAAGCTGTTGTTTTTTAGAATTTAAGAATTGCTGTAGTCACTGCTTGCATTAGCACCGAAAACACTGAAGTGATTATAAACCCTTCTAATTCATCTCTCTCTAATACGACTGGAATCAGTCATGCAGTTGTCAATAAAGGTATTTTATTTTTTATATAAATTTTTTTTTGATTTCAAGCAAATTAAATATTTTTGTAAAATATTTGATGGAATACTTGAAAGGAAAATTTATTCCGGCTTTAAAGGATTTTAATTCACGATAAATTTTATGATAAATCAAGTAGTAAATGAACAAATTATTTTTAACTTTTTATGAATTTACGATGTATAAATTAATATTTAAATTATCTTTATATAATAAAGGAGGAAAGAAGCTTATTGCTGAATGCAATTAAATAATTTAAAATTATGGTTAAATCGAGCCAGGCAATGCAATAATATCATCTGCTGGTGAATTGAATTGTAAAAAAGTTATACATGCTGTAGGTCCTTCGATTTTTTAAAATTCTGAAGAGGCTGAACTTTAACTTCGCACTGCTATTTTTAATTCCTTAAAATTATGTGATTTGTACTAGTACTAGAGTATTTCAATACCAATAATGAGCTCAGGAAAGATGGTTGGATTTTCCAAAGAAAAGAGTGCTATGATTATTTTTAACTCTGTTATTGAATACATTCTAAACAATTCAACAAATATCAAGCATATTCGCTTTACCAATCTTGATAAATCTATTTCTGAAGTTTTCACAAATCTCCTTATCAATTTTTAAAAAAGATATGTATAGGTGCTTGCTTCCTAAAGAATGTAACAAGAAATCATCATTCCGAGATACAGAGTATCATTAGAATCTAATTCATCTAATTCTTCTGCAAGAAATAGTTATGAATAATGAATGATAAATTAAAGAATGTAAAAGTCGATTTTTACATAAAAAATAAAGATAAGCATGTATCATTAGCCTTGATCAGATATGTAATAAACAAAATCGCTTACAACTTCTTGAAAGTGCAAATACAAAAATAAAAAATCTTTAATAAAAAGTTAAACCAGCTTAACTTAAGCCAATAGAAAAAAGTAAATATTTGGTATATAAAATAGAAAGTTTTAGATAAATTGAAAATAAAAGAAAAAAAAATATAAAAAATCTAGCTTTAAAAAATGTTTAAATAATAACAAATCTTTAATTAATTAAATTATTTTAAATAACAAATTCTATAACAAAATTTTAATGTATTAATATGTGTATATATAACTATTTATCCAGTAAAAAAATTAACAAATGTTTAAAATCATACAAAATGAATTATAAATATTGTTAGATAGAATATTTTTTAATAGTAATCAAAAATAGGTAGCCAAATAAGGTCAATTTAGAAGAATTTAATTTTTTTTATTTTACAAAAAAACCTTCTTAATTTTATCTAATCTAATCAAAATCTATCAAAATGCTTTGTAACTTGATATAAAAGCAGCAATTAAAACTATCCCAATCCTGTTTTTTAAATTAAAATTACACATTCCTGTATTCATAACAAAAAAAATAGTTTTTTATACATTGATAATAGAATTATCTAAAATTTTTATATCAAGTAAATTTAAATATACCATTACACATATTTATTTTCATTATCTCAAAAGTTAATTATCATAACTAATTAATGATTAACTAACCCCCTTTTTTAAGTAATTCTAGAAGGGAAATAATTGTTAAACGAAATAAGTATAATTGGGGGAGTTTTTGTATTTTATAAATATTTTACTTTTTTATTTAGTTTATATTTACATTTACTATATTTTCTTTAATAAAATATACTTTTTGCTCTTTTAAAAGTTAAAAAAAAAGATTAAGAAAGAAAAAAATAATGTAAATTCTATCAGTTGATTTTAAAAATACTACTGTTGATTATAGTTTCTTTACTCGCTATGAACATAAAATTTAATTTATTAAAATAAGTATTTAAATAAAATATAAAAATGGAAAATTTATAAAAAAATAAAATTAGCTTAAAAAGAAGTAGAAAAAATATAAAGATGAACAAATTTTATTCAATAAACAATTTATATTTGTTTGCTAAATACAAATAAGAATAGTAAAAATTTCATACAAAAAAGATTTATTCTATTTTCATGGCAAATATAGATAGAGGTAAATTATTTTGGTTTCATATCAAATAAAGGTTGTGATAATAATTATTATAAATCCAATTATATAGACCTTTTCAAAGCCACAAATAGTTAAATTCTTTGAACTATTGTTTATTGTATCATCGTAAGCTTTCTTGCAAATATTATTATTTGATTTAATGTAATCTTATGGACATTAAGTTAAACACTTGTCGTTATATAGGACCTATTATTAATAATATACATATTAAATATTAGATTTAATAAATATTAGTTACTTTTTCATTAGAACAAGTTGAGCATTTGTCTGCTTGATAAGAGCATTACTAACAACTATCAGAGCATTTTAAACAAGTGTTAATTCCGTTAATTTTTTAGCTATAATAACCTGATTTACATTACTAAACGCATAAATTATCTTGCAATGAGAAGCTATCTTAGCATTTAGAACATATTTTAGGGTTTTTAGGGTCTTGGCATACTAGGCAAGGAGAAAAGCAATCACCCTTTAACACGCATTGTTAATTATCAAATAAATAATATCCACTAATTTCATCACATTAATTGCACTTTAATTAATTTTAACAATCAACACAACCTTTCTAACAAGGATAACAAATTTAGCTTACAGGATCTAAATAAGTATTTTTTGGGCATTTATTAACACATATACTATTCTAGTAAAGAAAATATCCAGATTCGCACATTTAACATTAAGATTTATTAATTTAATCACATTTTTTACAAGGAAAAATACAATTTGTGCAAATCCCATCAGTAAGTCTATACCCAACAGCACATTCATTACAAAGGTCTAAGTTAGAGCATTTTACACATCCATCGCCACATTTTTCACAAAGTTTGTTATTTTTGTTTGCGTAATATCCATCCCCACACTAATCAGGTGTAACACAGTTTTAATTTATTAAATAAAAACCAGATTTACAATCAATACAGGTTTTAGAAATAGCTGAACACTGATTACAGTTATTAAATTAATCACAATTTTGAGAACCACAAATACCTTAATTTAAAACTAGTCCTATAGTACTATCACATTAAATACATTTTTATGAGTTTTCACAATTTAAACAACCTGAACCACATTTTTTACATTCTTAACTCAAGATATCACCATAATAACCTGTTGGGCATTAATCTAAACAATTTCCTGAATACAAATACTTATATAATGTGCATTAAGTGCAGTTTTTTTACAGGCTTTGAGATGAAGATGGAGGGCCATTACACTATTTGCAAGAAAAATCACATTATTAACACTAATTTGTTTTAGTATCTCCAAAATACCCATCTGGACAGCTTGATCTGCAAGTCTATTATAAAAAAATTAAATTTGTTAATTTAAACAAAAAAAAACTAAAACAAATTTATTTAAACTATTTACTTTATCAGGATTGGCAAAGTTACCGTTTGAACAATTGTTAACACAGCTTCCGTTTTCATAGAAGTAATTACAAGAAATAGAACAATCTACTCCAGTAAACCCTTCTGCACAATGACATATTTTATTTATGCACAATCCATTTGAACTACAGTTATTTACACACTGCTAATTATTTGAGCAGAAATAATTAAAATTTTTAGGGCATTCTAAGTCACCAATTTTTTTGTTATTGTAATTAATAACTTTAGATTGGCCTGGCTAATTGCATTCAATAGTCATATTTAATTATTTGATAGTTATAGTGATAGTTGAAAAATCACTAGAACATAATGACTCATGACATCTGCTTTTAGAACTAAAAGAGCCTAACATTCCTGGTTTAGTTAGTGTTGACATAATGCAACGGCTATTTGTTGAATAGCTTTCTAACTTTAAATCAGTTTGCGAATTATTTTGATTTGAAAGATCGGTACAAAGCATATTTGAATATGGCTGAATATAATAGCAGTTATCTGAAAATCCATCATTTATTCCAACTCCATATCCATCGTTTGTCAAAGAACATCCTTCAACTGAAGAGGAAGATACAAATTCTTAAAAATTAGCTTTATTACTACTTTAGCAGGCCTAATTATAAAAATCACAACCTTGATTTTTTCCCCATAAAATCTACCCAGCTATATTAATATTTACATCTCCCCAAAATCCTGTATCTTTTAATAAAGCAATAGTAAATTAAGAAAGAGTTGCACCAATAGAAACTTATTAAGCAGTCATTAATTCATTCATTATTACTGTCCTTTCCCAATGAGATCCAGCAGATCCAGAACCTCCCTAAAATACAATAAAAATTATATTTAAAAATAAATTAAGTAAATTTGTAAATTTTGTCTAAAAGTATGTCAAAACTTAAACATGTTAAAATTTATTATAAAGATTATTAATTCATGATAAAGAAGTTCATTTGAATCTATTTATATTTGTATCAATATTAATATTAGTAAGTTAAATATAAAAATCTTTAATTGTTTTTCAAAAAAAAAAAAAACGAACAAAAACATAATTCCTTTATTTATCAAAAATTATCATGATACGCTTAATTATTTTTACTATTATATTTGGCTAAATTAAAATATTTTTGAAGAATAAATAAATATATCTTTATTCAGATAAAACAAAAAAATAATTATTAAGAAGATAAATATTTAAAATAAAAATAATAGTTAGTTAAAAAATTTAATTTTACCTGATTCTCGATTTGCATACCAATTATCTAAGAACAGTTGTAATGCTTTCTAGCAATATCAGTGACATTTTTTGAAGTAAGGATAAGAGTTTTGAAACCTCTTATGGTTTAATATGTATTAATTTTTGAGATTCCTGATAATTTATATGGTTTTTGTGTATCAGGATCTATCCAATACTGCATTGAATCACTTGAAAAACCTAAAACATGAATTATTTCATGTAAAAGAACTTATAAATCAAGTTAAAATTTAAAAGAATTTGGGTTAGTGTTTGTTAAATAGCCTATATTAAATGAAACCCTTCCAAATGTTGGTCTTTAATAAACAGGATTCATAAAACATGATGCAGCATTTGCAAGGGCACTGCTTCCACTATTAAAATAAATTATATATAAATTTAAATCTGAATTTTCCACTCCTATCTTCTAATCATTGATAGGGACTGCTATGTCAATGCATCTTAAGTTACTTCCATATATATTATTTCCTGTGAGAGGCTTGACTTTTATCAGCTTTGTGATAAATTAAGCTGCTATCTTTGATATTTTTTATATATAAGCTTTTTACTTATCTGTAATACCTAGCTAAAGAGTATCAAGATAACTAAAATCAAGGGTGACTCTTATATTTTAAAGGTCTTAAGAGTTTTAAAGTTTCCTTAAGTTGTTTTGATTTTGATGATTTGGAAGGATACTATTAAAGTATTATTAAGAGAATTCCTCTTAAAATCTTTTAATTTCTTCATTACTATCATGCTAACATTCACCGATAATTAAAGGGATAATGCATACAGTAAATACTAGCAAACTTTAGATTATTATTTTCATTTTTAAGAAATTCAAATAATATTTCTTTTACAAGTATAATAAATAATTAAATTATTTCTTTGAAGGAAAAATTTATGTTGTTTTAGAATATTGAAAAGAAAGTTTACAATCTTTACAAAATTTTTTAGCCATACAATAATAATTTAGAAATTTCATTAACAACATTACTCAAATTAATTAAAAAAGTATGAAAATTTAAAGTCATAAAAGACCAGTTTAATCGTAAATTAGATATTAAACCTACTATTTTAATGCAGAAATATAATTAATCCTAAGTATCATTTTCTAATATATGATTATTAAATTTCAAAATTATGATACATTTTTATCACTTTATTTATATTAAAAGTAAACCTATGAGAAAGAACGAAGAAAAACAATATCCTTAACTTAAATTAAAAATTAACACTATTCTGAATTTAAAAAAAATTATTATCGACCACATTTATTTGTTTTTAATTTAGATAATTTTGAGGATTATTGAATATTATTAAGTTTTCAAATAAATTTTATATATAATATAAAATTGTTTTATTTAAAAATTATCAGAATTAAAATTTTGATTATTCTGAGACATAGTATCGAAATTTTAAAAATATTTTTATGAATTAAAAAAACTAGAATTTTTGAATTGATACTAATTAGGTCAACAAAATTTTTTATAATTTCCAAAAATTTTCTTTAAAAATGAATAATATTTAAATTTAAATACTTTAAAAATAAAGCAAACTTTAACTATAAGCTATTTAATTTTTTTGTAAGTTTGTTTGGTAAGGTTGATATTTTTACTATAAAAGAACTTCAGAAAAATAAGTTTTATAAAAATTATTTCAAATTTATAATTATTAAATTTAGATCTAAAAAAAATAATGAAGAAAGTGATTTGTATTGAAAACTTAATAAATTTAATTATTTTAAAATTATCTGATTTTCAAAATGTAATTTTTTTTACTTTGAAACTAACCAGGTTTACTTCATAGTTCTGATAAAAGTGAAAAATATTTTTTTTAATTTCTAGTAAGGATTTAAAAATATTATCAATAAATACGAACAAATATTTAGTTAAATATTTATAAATAATTTAACTAAATTTTTATATACAATTCTTACTAATATTTTTTTTACTTATTCAATATTCTAATTAAATTTATTTCAACAGTATTCTTTATGGAATTTTTCATTGTAATTTTTAAGAGCTTCCATAGATTCTCTAAGACGATCCTCTCCAAGGATAAGAGTAGTTATACGGAAATGATATGTGTTTTCTTCTTGTCTAAAACCACTACCAGGAACAAGGACTATTCCTGTGTTTTCAAGAACATTTAAGCAGTAGAAAAGATCAGGTTCCATTTTCTTTTTAGCAGCTTCAGCAAGGGCTTTTTTACCGAACTTAATAGAAGGGAATGCATACATTGCTCCTTCAACTTCTTGGCAGGTTATATTAGTCATTTTATTTAATGATTCAGTGACAATTTGGGCTCTTCTTTTAAGAGATTCCAAAAGAGCATTTCTTTCATTATTATATTACTCTACAGTTTCAGCACTAGCATTTTAAAGTGTAGGAGGATTGCACATTAATTCAGTAGTGCATTAACCAACAGTGTTAGAGCACAAGAACATTGATCTGAGCTTAATAATTTCTTCTTTGACACGAGAGTCAATGTTACACATTTCAAAGTAACCTCCTCTCAAACCACATTCTCCAAGAAGACCCTTAGAAGTAGAGTGGAAAGAAAATAGCTCAATATTGTTATAAGGATAAGGTAATTCAGAACGAACTTTCTTAAAGCTGACGAATTCCTTGTTAGGAGTGTAGATGTTATCTTAGTAGACTTCATCTGCAAAAATAACCATCTTATGATCATAAGCAAATTCTATCATTTGCTTGATGGTATCGTAGCTTAATACCTAGCCAGTAGGGTTACCAGGGTTGATTACAACAAGAATTTTAGGATTGATGCCATGCATTTTAGCGTCTCTGTGTTGTTTCTTTAATTCTTCAACAGAGCAAGACCATCCCTTTTATTCATCTAAAAAGTAGTGAACTTCTGAAGCTCCTACAAGAGTACATGAGGCAGAGTAGAGTGGATATTGAGGAATAGGAATCATGATACCATCTCTAGAATCAGAAATAAGTACATTTAAGCAAATTTGAACACCTTGACTGGCACCATCAGTGAGGATGATATCATTAACATCTAAAAATTAATTTTAATTAAAAAAATTTAATTTATTTCAAATACTTTATTATTAATTTTTCAATAAATCCTATTCTCTACTTAAAAAAATCATCATTATAATTTGATAGAAATAATTCAAATTTGAAGTTGCTAGTTAGTAGTTTGAATCAATTTATTTTTTTTATTTTTTAATATTAAAATATTCATCAAGCTTGTTAAGTAATTAGAAATTTTTACTTTTTTTAATTTGGCATTTAATTAATCTATTAAATAATAATATTTGCTTCATTAACTTACTTTTCAAGCTCTTTGCTTTTATTTAACTAAATTAGGAAAAAAATGCTATCCTAACTCTTGAAAATTGTCATTTTTTAAGCTAATTTAATATTGAGCTATTATAAAAATAGCAGCAATTTAAAGAGATTGAACTTAAATTTCTATTTTTGATGCCTTTTTATAAGTTAGCTTAGTTTTGAAAAGGTATTTGTCAAATTTTGTTTATCTCTTTTTTGATAATTTATTTAGTTGTTTATAAATTATATTTTTATTTACCTGGTGGGATAAGGTGGTTATCTCTCTTAGCAATGTACTTAGCAATAGATTCTCTAATGAAAATATGACCTGCACTATCAGAGTATGCACCAATTGTAGTACTGCCCATACGCTCTAAATAATATTTAGCTCTAGCTCTAACATCTTTGCTATAGACTTCACTATTAACTAATTCGGGATTCAAAATAGTAGAAAGAACTTGTCTATTAAAAGTGATAGGCTTTTAACCAAAAATTTGAGGGTTACCAATATTACACTCAGTTAATTAATTGAAAGGGTAGTTATGAGAACCTTCTTTGAGCAATTATTTTATTTTTCCTGCACGAGTTGGTACAGTACCTCTTACGGCGTACTCAGCATTGATAACTCTCTTGTTAATATCTTCTTCAGTAATGAATTTGGGAGCTTCAGTTCTTTGTTTTCCTTAATTATTCATGTCTGATCTGTATTGAGCTCCTGTGTTGGCAGAGCTAGCAGCACTGTTGAAAAATCTTACTAATTTTGAAGCTAGTTATCTTTGCATCATGTTTCTTTATTTGTTTTAACTCTATTCAGTATTGTAAATTTTAATTTTTTAATGTTTTTAATTTAATTTATATCTACAATTTAAAGAATCTACAATTAAATCTTCTTAAAATTTGATCTAGTTCAATAGTTGATTGATATCTATTTCAAAGTTAAGTACTTGATAGGATTACCATATCTCTAAAAAGGCTTAACAAAATCACCTTTTAAACAAATTACAAGCTTATCTTAGAAACTTTCATAAAGACATTTAGAAAAATTTATGATCTTCTAAAACTTAATCAAATATCTTTAATTTTTTTATTTTCATTTTAACTTCATTTTATAGACTGAATTGACGCATTCAAATGCAAAAATTCTTAAATTTATCCCTTAGCCTGTTAATTTTTACTAATTAATTTTTTCCAAAAAATAACAAATTATGAGTAATACTTCATATAAAATCTCTCTTGTAAATGCAAAAGCTCTGTTATCACATCAAGATTATGTAAATTTCAATCTAAATAAGTGGGTTATGTTGAATTTTTTTTTGATTAGTCAGCCATTTTTAAAATTTTTAAGTAAATTATTCAAAAAAAAATTTAAAATTGATAAAGTATCAACAGATAATTATTCGTTCAAGTTACAGTTCGAAAAATATATATTTTGCTTAGTAATATTTAAATTTTTTTCTTATTGATTTTAATTACCTCTCTAATTAAATAGCTAAAGATAAAAAATACGGAATAATCAGCTTTGATTTTTTTGTAAATAATATTGTTTATTACCATTAATTTTCTTTGAATTTTTCAGATAAGCCACATAAAAATAATCAAACAGACAGAATAAATTCAAAACTAATTAATTTTTATATCTAGCAAATTACTATCTTAAACATAAGATTATAGCAAACAAAACTTTTATAAACAAGTTCATAGTTATATTAAAACAAATTAATAATTTTTTGTCAATCACTATCTTCTAGTAAATTGTCTAATTATTTTTATATAACTTTCTATTATTTTTTATAGTAAATATCTAGAACTAATTTGAAAAATAAAAATATTCTTAAATTAATATGTGTGACTTTTTATTTATTTAAGATATTTATTAAATATTACGTATTTTTTCTCTACTTATATTAAAAAATTATATTTTATCATATATTATTTCCATTTAGTTTAACATTTTCAAACCTTGACGAATATTAAAAGTCATTTGAATAAAACAAAGAAAATTTATTAAAAAACACTACTTTCTTATTAATGTAAACTAAAAATTTTTAAAAAAATAATATTTTATATCTTTTTTGTTAAATAAATAAAGAACTATTAAAAATAGTTGTTTAAAAATTAAACTTTAAAGTTTTAGTGAAAAATAAATTAATGAAAAAAGCAAAATAGAATTTTTAATAAATAATCAGTTATTAATGTGTTATGTATTAAAAATTTAAATAAAATTTATAAAGTTTTAACTTTTTATGAATGAAAACTTGAATAAGTTATTGCTAAAATAAATAAAGAAAAAAAATATAATAATAATTAAAACTTAATACCTGAAAATTAAATATTGAAGGATAAGTGTTTGAAGATGCTAGTTTTATTATAATTGTATTAAGATGTAGAATGCTTGTTATTTTTATTTAAAATATAAAAATAAGTTTTATAAAATATTATCATCAAGAATTAAAATAAAATAAAAGTGTTAAAATTTAAATTAAAAATAATACCGTTTTAATAAATTTAGTTTTAAAAAAATTAACTTAAATTATTAGTCGATAAATCTTAAAATAAATTCATTTAAATATAAAATAAAGTTTTAGATCATTTTATTTTATTTATTAATTTATATACTATTATCCTATTAAATATACTCATAATTCTTAAAGCAAAAACAAATCATTTTGATGATATTGAATTTGTATTATTAAAATAATTTAGTATAGTAATTAGTTTAATTAAAATTTTTTCTAATTAAAATGTAATTATATTAATATATTTTTATAAATAAAAATTATATATTAATTTACATGTACACTTACTTTAAATTAAAAAATTAAAAATTTTCAAACCAATTTATTAATATAATTTAAGTTAAAAAATTAGATTTTTTAATGAAAATTTGTGATAAAACTTTCATATATTTATATTTAATTAATAAATATTATTTTCCTAAAAAGATTACTCTATTAAGTTTTTATTTTCTAAATATTTCTAAATAAAAAATAATTTTAGATAATTTAGAATGTAATTAATTTAAACAAATTTTATTTGTTATTGTTATTAAATGCAATGTTTATATTATTAGATTGTACTTGTTAAATTAAATGATTTTGTTAATTTATATGAATTGCATGGAATTTTATTCTTAGTTTTATGTGATTGTATCTTTTCAAAGCGTTTGAAAAAGTGGAAGAGAAATAAAAATAAAAATGGAAAGAGTTGAAGATAGTAAAGAAAATTTCAACAAAACGTGGATTAAAATTAGAAAATGAATTTCAAATAGAAGATGCATAGGAGAGAGATAGTGAATGCTTTTTGAAACGAATAGATTTAAATGAATTTAGCAGTAGTATCGCAAATAACTAAATGGCAATAATATCTAAATCTAAAACACTAAATTGTATTTGTTGATAAATGATTAAAATGTAGATGCAAGTACGATAATATGCAACTATTAAACGTAAATAATGACTCATACAATGATACTAGTTTATGGGCTATTTTTTTATGTGCTATTTTAGCTTAATTGCTTCGATTTTCAAGCTATTTTATCTAACTTAGTAGTAAAATTTTTCTCCCTATTTATTATTAATTGATGTTATTTGGTGCATCAGTCAAACCGATTAAAACCTTTCTGAACTATTTAGCCTAATTAAAAAAATATATATAGCTACTTCCTTTGTAATAGTCATATATTGTACGATATTGAGCATTCATCTTTTTTCAAAACCCTTGCATTTATACATTATAATAGTTTTTTTAGAATTAGTAATAAAAAATTCTGAACACATCATTTTTAAGCAATGATATCAAGAATTTTAGATTAAGGATCTTCCTTAAGGTACTTTTGGGCCTTTTCTAAAACATAAGCTTCTCTTTGTTCTTTGTTATTGAGTTTCTTACCACTAGCACTTTAGACAACATAAATATCATTCTTAGTAGTATTGAAACTGCTGCTTACACCAAGGGAATTAAGGAAACCACCAGCTTCAGATTCAGCAGCAGGTCTAACTTTAATAAATTCAGCAGCAGCAGCATCTAATTAATTGACAATATCAGAGGCAAAGTAAGGATTAGTTTCCTTCAATTTTTAAAAGTTAAGTTTGCCAAGTTATTCCCAGCTAACCAATAATCTTTAGTTGAGGTCGTGAGAAAGAGTATAGGAGTCGGGGCATTCACCGAAACCATCAATAAGTTAAAGGGTTTCATCAACAGAGAGTTCAGGGAAAGCACCAACAGCAGCCTTATCAAGTTAAGACCAAAGTGCTTCAGAACCTTGCTTATTAACACCAAAATGGTGGGTAATTTAAACCAATTCAGTTTTTGCTAAGTTGTTAAGGCCGCTTAAAACCTTTTATTCAGCACCCTTCCATAAAGCAGCTTCACTCTTTACAGTCAATGCTAAAATTTCTTTTAATAATGCTGACATATCTTATTGCTTTAATTAATTTTCCTTTCTTTAATATTTTAAGCTTTTTGAATTCTTTTGCCTTCTCTTTTTATTATGAATCTTATTTTATTTATTTTGTTAAGAATACTTTCTATTTTTTAACATTTTTTAATTAAATTGGAAGGAAATAAATAAAGAAGATAGATGAAAACAATCAATAAATCTATGTATTTGCCTTCATTTTTATTAATAAATTGAAGAAAATAAAATAAAATACAATAAAATATAAATTAGTTAATATCACAAAGGAGTAATTTTTTTTCATCAATTATTCTTAATACTTATCATGTAGATTTAAATTTATTATCATTTAAAATTTAAAACAAATATTTTCTTTCATTACAAATTACTTAATTTTCTTAATAAAATTATTTTCACAAAATAATAAATAAATCCCATAAAATTTAAATTGATAAATAAGTATGACAATGTTTAGTTTACATAAAATTAAATAATATAAACAAATATGTTTTTATTCAGTTATGATGAAGAAATTAGAATAAAGTGCATTGCATATTTCAATGGTATATTTTTTTTAAGAAGTGAGATACTTCATTAATGAATATTATTGGTTGATCTGCTTAAACCCAATGACCTGCCTTTTCTATAAATTTAACGTCTTTCTCCAAATTTATATTCTCAAATACTTCTTTAAATGTGTGGATTTGACTTCTACTTACATAGTTAGAATTTTCTCCTGCAATAGCTAATACTTTACCTGGCCAACTACCCTCTATTTTATGATAAATCTTTAAAAATTTTAAAATTTTTACTAAATTGTATTATTTTAATATTTACAAAATCTTAATAATGTTCCACTATTTCTTCAACATTAATTTTCCACTTTTTGCTTTCCATATCAACATTTTATAATAGAAGGTCTGCAACTCTCTTATTAGGCACTATTTCATTAATTCTTTATGTTATTTATTCTGAACTGCTGCTTTATAAATCTAAATGTAATAATTTTTCAAGAAATGATTTCATGCTCCCTACTCCACCTAAATTTTTAATAATTCTATTTATATTCGATAAAAATAGATTGTGCTATTTTATATTATAATTTTCTAAACTCTTTAATTACTTGATTATTCGGATGCTTATTGAGAGTTAAATGGAAGCATATCTACAATAACAACACCTTTAACTTTATTTTATAATTCTTATTTATGTTTACAAAGTGTTGCCATAATAATTTTAGCACCAATGCTATGACCTAAAATGCAGGTGTTGCCTTGAGGCAAATCTAAAATATATTACTTTAGGTAGTTTGTTTGTGTTTGCATATTAAATTTTTATGAATGCCAATAAAGTAAATGCGAATTCACTTGACTACTAATTTTATTATTTTTCACTATTGCACTAAAGTTATTTGGAGATCCACACAGTCCATGAAGTACAACTAAATTATTAACTATGTTTGGTGTCTTGCTCTTTATTAATTGCATTGAAAAAATTTGAGTTTATTTATTTAATCTACTTATGATTTGTTAATTAACATAATATACTGATAATAAAATTTTTATTTTCTGATTAAAAAAGATACTTTTTATTCATATCAAATGCATCCATAAAAAAATTCCTTACAATAAAAAGATAAATTTATCAAAATTTAAGTAAAATAAATTTCAAATTTAGTTAGAAAAATTTTATTTATTTCATAAAATAATTTTTTAATTAGCTATTTAAAATTAATTTAATAAAACTTAAATTATGAATCTTTTAGTTATATTTTAAGTATTAATTGATGTCAAATTCAAATTAGATTAAGGTAAAATTTAGTAAAATAATTCAATTTTATATAAAAATTTTAGAAATTACATTTAAAAATTTATGATTTTTAAGATATAATAAAAAATACATAGGGGTTGGGGTTGGGGTTGGGGTTGGGG